GGCTCTTACCTCTAAAATAGTTATAGATTCTGCTACTATCTTACTCTTTAAGTACTATAAATTCTTAGATATTTTCTTAAAATACCTCTTAGACTAGCTACCTCTATATTATACCTATAACTACTATAACTAGCTATAACTAGAAATAGAACTACCTACTAGCCCTTTATATAAAATATTCTAGAAGGAGCTACTTATTCTAAAAAAGTATCTAGAAGACTACCTTATAAAAAGCTTTATTTATTCTAGTAGTAGCCCTATAGCCTCCTTAATTCTTTTTATTTAAAAATCTAAAGGGGGCCTCTACTTCTATATAGACTACTAGAGCTTTAATATAATTAAAATTAAGAATAAGTATTCTATTCCACTTATTTAAGAGACTCTTATTTATCTTTTATTAGCTAAGTACTTTACTAAGCTCGATATTATTATAGTATTTAATAAACTCTATATTACTAAGAGTAATAAGTAGCTAATAGTATTCCACATCTATTATAGCCTTTATAAATACCTAATTATACTCTTTAGTCTATCTAATATACCCTTATTCTTTAAATACTATATTAATAATATTTTATAGAAATACTTAGACCAGTTCTATACTACCTATATTGATAATATCCTAATCTATAGTAATGCTCTAAGTAAGTATAGGAGATATATCTATAAGATTCTTCTCTACCTATAGAAGATAGGCTTATAGGTTAATATTAAGAAATATAAATTCTATATCTAAGAAGTTAAGTATCTAGGGCTAATTATCTCTATAGAGAGTATTAAGATAGACTAAGCTAAGGTTTCTACTATATAAGATTAGCTTTAACCTTAGAACCTCAAGAATATATAAGACTTTCTAGATTTTATAAACTTCTACTATTATCTTATCTATAATTACTTAAGAATTATTACTTCTCTTATAGGCCTTATATATAAAGACCGCTCCTTTCAATAGGCTCTAGATTATAAATACACTTTCTATAGGCTTAAGCTTATTATAAGACACAAAGAGGGCTTTAGACTCGCTCTAGGCTTACTACTAGTAATATACTAGCTAAGCGAGAGTATATATTAGTCGCTCCTATACAATAAGAGCTTAGTAGAATTTAGTCTTCTATTAAACTAACTATATTATTCTATTTATATATACCTTATTATTATATTACTATATTAACTCTAAGGATGTATATTCTCTAACACTTATCTTTATTACTATACTAATTCTATAATACTTCGACTAGAATAAACTAGTAACTATAGAAATAGATATTTTAAATTACATTATAGCTAGTATACTTTATTAACTAGACTTAAAGAGCTAACTCTAACTAATAGCCTACTTCTCTACTAAGATATCTATTACCAAATATAACTATAAGATTTATAATAAGAAACTACTTACTATTATTAAAGCCTTTAAGGTCTAGTACCCTAGATTTAAGAGAACTAAAGAACTAATTAATGTTATCTTAAATTATAAGAACCTTAAGTTTTTTATATCTATTAAGTTTTTTATATCTATTAAGTTTTTTATATCTATTAAGTTTCTTAACTATTGTTAAGTCTACTAGAGTGAATTTCTATTCTATTTTAACTTTAAGATTATCTACTAGAAGAGTAGGTTAAATATAACTCTAAATATCTTAACTCATTAGTCTAGAGATCTTCCTACTAAAAAAAAAAGTAATTCTTAAAAAAACTAGTTTTAAATAGTATTAAAGTAGTATAACCTTAACTCTTAGCTAGAGTATATCTCTTTAGTTACTAGTAAGATTTATATAGCCTCTATTAGAGTATCTACTACCCCCTCTAACTCTCTATAAGATACTAAAAATAAAGAAAAACTACTAGCAATCTAGCTTAATATAATTAAGGTACTAAATAAAAGCTCCGAAACTATACTAAACTAGAATATTAATCCTATCTATAAAATAAATAAATAAGTCTAAGAGATTCTAATCTACCTATAATAAGGTACTTATATACTAAAGAGCTTTCTACTATCTAAAGTCTATAAAGAGAATAACTAAATTATTTACTTAAACTACTAGTTTCTACTAGAGTTTTACTAGATTAGAATATATACTCTATATAAAGCTTACTCTCCTCTAGCTATTAGATATTCTAAAAGAGTAAAGACTTTTAATATTCTAGTATACTTCTATTAATATCTAAAAATAATATAAGATATCTACTAGTTTATCTATAATTACTTTACCTACACTTATATAAAGATCTTATAGAACTACTATTTTAGTTTACTAAAACCTCTACTTATACTAAAATATTACTAATCTAATATCTCTCTTAACTTTATTATTAAGCTCTCTAAGAGTAAAGATTACTAAGGAAATATATAGAAGAATATTCTTATAGTTATAGACTACCTATCTAGAATATAATACTTTATTTCTTATAGATAGATAGATATACTAACTACTATAGTGCTCTTCTCTTAAAATATCTAGAAGTACTATAGTATTTCTAGATTAATTATCTCTAATAAAGGAAGCTAATTTATTAGCTAGTTCTAAAAGAAACTATACCTTTAACTAGATATCTAGTATAACCTTTCTATAGCCTACTACTCTAAGATTAATAGCTAAACTAAGAATACTAATATAGTTCTAGAATAGTATCTTAGAGCGTATATAATGTTTCTATAGAATAACTAGATGAATTAGCTACCCTATATAGAGGTCACGTATAATAATTATATATTAAAAACTATTTAAGTCTCTCTATTCCTTGCTAATTATAGTTAATACCTCCTTTTTAGCTTAGAGCTATCTATTCCTAAAGTAGATCTATCCACTAAGCTAGACTAAAAAGCAATAGCTTAGTTCTATAATAAAATAACTATTATTACTTAAGAGTTTAGAAAGTAGATATACCTAGTATAAGCTATCTATAAAGATACTACTAACTACTAGTAGGCCCCTATACTAAATTACTAGATTAGTAATAAAGTTTATTTAGATATATATAACCTATTGTCTAGTTATCTACTCTAGAAGCTATTAAATAAGTACTATAGTTTCTTTTATATTATAGAGATTATTAGTGTATATAGCTACTACCTAGAGATTCCTTAGTTCTAGTATTACTACTCTATATTTTATACCTTACTAATTCGGCTCTCTATAGATAATTTCCTACTAGAATAAGCTTTACTATTTCTTTTTCCCTACTTAGGCACTTCTATAGAAGATATATAGAATATAAACTAGATTCTTAACTTATAGAACTACTATAGATACTTTAAGGTACTTATAGATTAGATTAGCTTAAATAGAAACTTCTAAAACCCTCTATACTATATACTAATAGCTTTTATAGAAGTTAATTATTTCTTTATATATTACTCTTATAAGTCTAGCTATATTTACTAGTTAGAGCTTAAAGCCTATAGCTACTCTATATCTTAAGTAGAGTTAAATAAGAACTCTAATATTAAATTAAAATATAACTTTAACTTAAATACCTTATAGAAACTTAGCTTTTAAAGAGAAGCAATTTTTATAGTTTAGACTTAATACTTTTTAGTATTTAGATCTTTAGTTATTCTAGAGTTATATAGTTATATTATAAAATATATTTATAGAGTTTTCTTTCTATTTTTTTTTCTATATCTTCTAATCTTATATAATATCTTATATATTACTCTAATAAATTAAGTTCTAGTATTAAGTCTTTCTATATTATAACTAGTATTTACTAGAAGTAAAGATAAGATCGGTTTATCTAAGTTAGTATTTTATAATAGTTTAAATTGTCTAAAATATCTAAAATAACTAATATATCTTAAATATCTAGAATATCTAGAATATCTAAAATATCTAAAATATCTAAAATAACTAATATATCTAAAATATCTAAAGATAAAGCTTAGTAAAGCTTAGTAAAGCTTAGTATACTTAGTTAGTAGTAAAAAAATAATATATTAAATCTAATCTAGCTAGTAGAATAGAAGAGATAAATAATAAAGCTAGTTTAGAGAGTAAACTTCTAATAAAAACAATAATTATCTACTTGCTTTTTAAACTTAGTAATATTTTATTTCTTTTTATAGAGAGGTAAAAGTTAAGTAAGAATAGAAAATTAGAAAAGTTCTACTTACTAAGTAAAATTAACTATTTTAGATATACTATATTTTAAATATCTTAAATACTTTAGATATTTTAGATATTTTAAATAGCTATTATCTATAGTATAGATTACTAATTATAGAATAGAAGATTCTGTAGATTAGTAAGATAGAATCTACTAGAAAGTAGTAAGATCTATAGGATTTAGGTATATATAGATAGTTATTTCCTATTTTAGATAGTAATTAAGAAACTTAATTAATATATTCTTATATTATTAAATAGTAATCTCTTTTATAAATAGTTCCTCTTATAATTAATATTCTATCTATATAAAAGCACTAGGTTAAGCTAGCTTAGAACTTTCTTATCTTTCAGAGGGCTACTTAGTAAGCTACTCCCTAAGTAGCTTAAACCGCTTAAAATACTTATAGAAATTACTCTATCTTGCGAGGCACTTGTGAGCGAGTACATCTACTTACTATTTCTAAGCGCTTAGAGCGCTCGCAAGCACTTGCAAGCGCTTGGAGACAGTGAAAAGATTCATTGATATATATTATCTCTAAGCGGCACACATCTGAACACCTCGCCAATAGATGCAACGTCCATAATTCAGCCTATATTATAAGAATGTTCCACTCGAGTTCAAACCAAGAGAGAGAGCGCTTGCGCTCTATCAGCCCACCGTCATGCCCCCCGTTCACACAGATGCCGCGAGGCGATGAGAACCCAAACACAGAACCCAACATGCGCACCACGCCAACCATACAAACCGGGACACAGATACAGTGACGAGGGCCCCGCAACCACAACATGTCACACAAAATTCTCTTCCTCCACTTCTTATCTTTCCCTTAGGCTTCCTGGTCGGCTACGGCCGAAGCCCAGATTCTACTCCCCGGTGCCCCTACAGCCTCACCGCCTCCCCGGCGCACGCCCTGCAAGATTCATATGCATGATCGCCTCACGAGGCCACTCCTCCTCCTCGGCCGCCGGATTCGCGACTCTGAGCCCGCCGCCGCCACCGCCACCTCCGTACTGTTGCTGGCTGGGCAGCACGTTCCAGTCCGCCTCAGAAGAGGGGAGCCCAGTTACACCCGGCAGGTCGAGTCTGTAGTACGCGTCGCCAAAGGCTAGATGTGGTCCCTGCGATTCGGTGTACGCCGAGGGCGTGAGCGAAGGGCCGGCAAGCCAGGAAGTTTTTGTGCTGGGGAGGAGTCCTGAGCCTCCGCCTACGCCTGCGGGTTGTGAGGTGGGTGAGTTGTACCGCTCCTTCTCCTCTGGGCTTGGATCGCCGCTGTCAAATGCGCCAGCCATGTCGACGGGGGAGTAGTTCACAAAGCCCTGCTGGGTTGCCGTGTTCGACTCCGGCCCCGGCCCACCCAGAACCTGCAACTTCTCCAACCTGGGCGTCTCGTCGCTGCGTCGTGGACTCGGTACCAGCTCCAAAGAGCGAGCCATCTCATCCGAGTAGCGCTGTGTAGGCATCTCCGCCATGCCAGTTGCGGGGACAAGGATGTCTGGTAGGTGGGCATCCAGCTGTGTCGGGGTCTGTAGCCGTGGCAGCTCGAGCTGTAGTGGGGTCCCGCTCTCGACTCTCTCGAGGCTGGGAGCACCCTTCGCCAACCCTATTCCGGTCCCTGACGCGGAGCTCGCGAAGGCCGCTTCCTCGGGCTGCTCCTCGATCCCTGCGTCCGGCCCATCGGGGTCACGGATGCCGAATTGCGCGATCGTGCGCATTTTCCGCGTCACCCAGCTCGCGAGGATCTTGCCGCGCTGTTTCTCGCCAAGTCTGGATCTCGGGAAATCGCCCTTGGAGACAAACGCCACGATATCCACGACGAGGTGGTGTTCATTCAGCACCGCGTTCACGATGACAGGGACGATGCTCGCGAGGTAGCTCTTCCGGAAGCACTCAACCAACACCACAACCAGCCCGCCAGCCTGAAACACCGCACATCCGCCTGGTACGATGTTGCGGTGGCAGCGCTCAATGCTGGCCTCGATGTCCATGGGGAAGTGGCTGAGGCCGTTGACCTCGAAGGTTTCGCCGATGTTGCCGAGGACGAAGAGGCATTGCATCTCGACCTGCTGGCCTCCGGGGCCGATGGGGCGGGCGACGTTATGCAGGAAACCCAGATCCCCGGTGCGCACATACCGTACGTGCGGGTCGCCATCCACGGTGCGTCCGTTGAAGCGCTCGGCGTCGAAGAGATCGCGGCTGCCGTAGAAGGCGTACGCGTTCGCCTCGCTCTGCACCCAGATCTCGCCGTACTCGCCGTTTAGGCACAGTCGATTGGTTTCCGGATTAACGATTGCGATTTGGGTTGATACGGGCACCATGCCTGAGTCCTGTACTAGCAGCGCCAGGGGGTCTGTGTCCGGATCCACGGGGAGGACGAGCCCTCGCCGCAGCGCGTTCATGTCGAGCCAGAGCTCGATAGGCTCGATGCACATGTAGCTGCGCGATGCGACCATTGGGTTCAGCACATGGGAGTATATGGTGTTGATGGCTGTGCGGTCGAGGCCGGCGCCCGCGAAGTGCAGCCGCACTTTCTGGTACACGTCCACGCGCGGCCGGCCGTCGGTCGCGATCATGAGGTTCTTGAGCTCGTGCAGGGCCGTCGCCTTACCGGCTGCGTGCGCCATGCCGTGGTCCAGCATCTGGCTCGTAGCGTACGTGTCCTTGATCTTGTAGCGCGAGAGGGTTTGAAAGAGGATATTAGGATTCTGAGCAAAATCGACGGGAGATACGAGGTAGGTGGGCGCGGCGAGGAAGATGCCCATCAGGCAGGTGTGAATGAAGCCTAGGCCGATAGTGCTGCGGACGCAGCCGAGAACGGGGCGCGTGGAGGTCATCTGGCATGTTTCCTTCTGCACTTTGCACAGCGCCATGATGGTGTCGTGGCCTAGTTGCACGGCGATGCGGCGTTGATCAGGCGTCCAGTATGTCCAGATCAGAACGGGGAAGCCTGGCTGGACCCACGCGGGGCGGATGGTGAGGCCGAGCTCGCGGCAACCGGAGGATTGTTTGCTCGGTTTAGTGGTGTTGTAGGTGTTCGGTAGGTGGAGCTTGAGGATGAGGGCGGATTGTTTGAGATGCGAGGATATAGGCTTCTGTTTGAGGAGATGGTCAACGTCAGCGTTGACGAGGAGGGCTTTGATCTTGAAGTCGGCGATCATGTGAAGGAGAGCGGGGGAGTCTTCGTTCAGCCGGTTTTGGTCAATTGGGGCCATCGGTATTGCAATGGCTCCTAGGCAGAAGCAGGCGTGGACGGCGAAGACAAAGTCCTCTGAGTGGGTGTACATCAGCAGCAGATGGTCTCCAGGCTGTACTTTGGCTTTGTTCTTGAGGTACATGGCAACGGCGGCGACCTTGAGATCGAACTTCCTCCAGTTGACGCCTTTGCCTTCTCTGCCTCTGCCGTCTATCGTGCAGTAAGAGAGCTCTTCGGCTTGCCGGGATACGCGCCACTGCATGAGGTCGTGAATATTCGTGAAGCGATTCAGGGGTTCCGAAGTCCGGTCGTCGATGACGACTTCCCGGTAATCCACGCCGGAGTACTGCTTGTCCTGCATCATTAGCATCTCTTGCCGTGACTGTGTTGAGAGAGGCGACCATATCCCGCCGGCAGGATCGTCGCCGACTGGAAGGTTCTGCACTGCTCGTTCGACGCCAAACTTGACGTGGACACAGGGCAGAGATCCATTGTCGAATTCCTTGCGGCAAAGCATGTTGCCTATTTCCCGCCGGCCGCTCTTGACGACCCTTGGTAGGGTGTTTGGCGCTGTGATCATCACGCAGTAGACCCTGAGGTGATGCTCATTATATAAGACTTCCATCACTCTTTCAGACAGTGAGTCCAGAAAGGGAATGTCGAGCTGGCTCGGCGGGCCTCCTGGATTCGTAGGTGCTGTCGAAGCAGCCTGTGTTTCAATCAAGATGATCGGTAGATATTCCCCGTTGACGTGCGCGTCAAATGCGGAGCTGTGGAACAGTTAGCTGGTAATTCTGACTAAAAAAACTAAACGTGTAAAGCAACGCGGGATACCAGATAAATGACTTACCAATCATACATCTTCGGCACAGTCTTCATAATACTAGTAACAAGATGCTGCACGAAGAAATAACGATGTTCCGCCTCTTGGACTCCATGCTCCACCCACTCGACCCGCTGCCGTATCCTGTCCTCGTACAGACCGAGAACAAAGACCTTGCCTTCAATGATACAACCCAGCAAGCCAGTTCGCAGGAACTCCGGTTCCACGAGAACAGGTGTAGGGCTCCCCGGCATGAACCGGTATGGTCGCGCGTGGAAGATGCTTTCCGTGTGTTTGGGCAGCGCCCAGAACCCTCCAGACAGCGAGGGCGAGTCAACCCACAACTCTCCGATGGAGTACGGTGAGCAGAGCAGGTTCGTCTCCGGGTCCACCAACGCCATGGTGGCATCTGGGATGGGATAACCGAACGCCCCAACTCTGAGCGTGCCAGGCTCGTTGGCTCTCTTCCTCGCCTCCTCGCCCATCGCGAGTACCACGACTTCGTTCGTCTTGAGCGCTTCCTTATCCAGCAGCACCTCGCTCAGCTCAGTCCTGCTCTTCTTCTGGCTTGTCTTCTTCGTCGTGCCGCCGCCGATTAAGCTGGTATAGCCATTCGAGATGGTCTCGTCAATTTTTGCTTCTTGTACCGGCTTGGCTTCATCCTCCTCGCTCAGCGGACATCCCATGCGCTCTTCGCCACCGAGCCAGTCGCGGACGGAGATGATCATGCCGCCGTGCTCCGGAAGGCATAACATGGGCGCTATGAGCTCGCGCGCGCGAGGGTTCCGCATGGGCCGCAGCCACCGATCGCCCAGGATCTCGTGGAACTCGCTGTCCACAGTCAGGGTGGCTATCATGCATATCTTGACCGAAGCGAAGTTGGGCTCGGTGTTCTTCTTGAAATTCCTGGTTGCCATTGGATCTGCCTGATAGTTGTACGCTGCTCTTTTTAGGCCAGGGTAATCGGCTACCATGACGGTTGTCTTGTACTTTGAGATGAGGTGTGCGTACAAACCGGGCGTTTCAACGGATCGTGACTCTAACCAGACTGTGGTGTGACCGCCATAGACACCAAGGAGGATCCCCAGTATCATGCCTGCACCCTCGCGCGGGTCAAGGTAGCTAAGAATGATCTCTCCTCTCTGGTGAGAGTATGGTCCTCCAGCGATGAGGTTGCCATTTTTGTCTCGCAGACCGACTGGAAAGTTATCCGTGAGATCGCCCGTAGGTATAGTGGATATGATGGCACTGAGGCAGGCCATCTGATGCATGATTGTTCGATGGCTCAAGACCACGCCTCGCAAGTCTCCGGTAGGCGCACGTGAGAACTCAATATACGCTAGGTCCGGAACCTGCAACGGAGGCTCCTCGCCTTTCTTCTTCGGATGATAGCTCCCAAACTCGTTTGTCTTCCACCACTCCACACCTGTCGGCCATTTGAGCCGCTGTGCGCTAATGTCTCTATGGAAGGCTTTGAGATTGTTGTCGGTCGTCAGCGCCAAGTGAGCCTGTGTTGTAATCAATAGCAGACTAAGCTTCTGGTAATCGTCCACGCTGTTCATAGGTACGGCTACAACGCCGGCTATGAAGCAGCCCATCAAGGCAACGGCAAAGTCGATAATCTCGGAGTCACGGTACACTAGTGCAACCCGATCGCCTCTGTACAGATTACTCTTGTCCCTGATGACTTGCGCGACCTTTTCCGCCCTGCTTGCTAGTTTTTCCCATGTTATCGAAGCGGTCTCTTTCCCTTTGGGATCCAGCACCCAGTAAGCGGGTTGCCTTGCGTTCTGCTTTCCGCGATGCCGTAGGACAGCACCGATGTTGTCAAACTTGGACATTGGAACGTTGCCATTGTGAGGGTCATATACGGCAAAAGGCACGTCCCGCGGTTCCAGAGGAAGCTGACACTCGACAACCTGCGCGCCGGGAAGATCGTGTGTAGCAAGCATCGGAGGCGGCATACCCGCAGTGGGTGAGAAGGCGTGGTCGGAGGAGTAGCGGTTTGGGCCGCCATAGCTATCCCGCTGCTGCTGCTGCTCCTGCATCTGCTGGCCCGCGAAGTCGGAGAAGTAGCCTTGCTGGGAGTCGAGCATGGTGCTAAGCCTGCTGGCGCCGCCTGATCCCGGTGAATTGTATCCGCCCGACTGTGCGCCATATCCACGCTGCGCTGCAGGGTTGTAGCTTGTATCTGTACCCACCATCGTGCCTTCGCGAGAGTATCCGTACGAGTCGGGTGTCCGTGGTCGTGAAGAGTACTCCCGATCGTAAGGAGATGGTCGCCGGCGGATGGGCGATACTGCTCCCAACTCTCTCTCCTGGAATCTTGCAACCTGGCTTGGAGGATTCACCATTGTGCCGGAGGCAGAGCCCGAGTAGCCTTCGCTCGACGCGACACTACCGGCTCCTGCCATGAGATGAGGTGAATGTGGTCGCGAACCTGCGGGAGAATACTGGGTAACCGGCTGCTGGCCACTGAGTGCAGCGTAGGATGCGGCGCGAGAGCCATCATTAGACGAATATGTGTCTTGGTCGTAGTCTCGTATGCCAGGACTTGTTGTCGCTCGCTCCCCCTCTGATCCTCCGAAGTACTGAGACAAGAGCAGTGTCCGCCGCTTTTCGTAGCCCTTTTTCGTGATGTCTCCTTCCTGTGGGTTGCGCGTGCCGGTCAGTATGTATATTCATTCCAGCACAATGCAAGGGCTACGAGTGGCAAAATCCGCCGGAAAAGCACCCACTTCTAGTTCATGATCCAGCTCCTGCAGCTTTGCCTGCAGCTCAGTGTTATAGTCGGCCATAGTGGCATATGTCCAAATGGTGTCTTGAGTATCAAGGGTCGGGGATGCGGGCCCGGGTGTGCGGTGGCATTGAGCGGGCAAGCCAGCAGCGCCGTCTCTCAGCTACGATTTGCTGTTTCAGAGCAAAGGTAGGTTAGTTACTACTTGTGTGTTTGAACACAGCCAGCGTTGAATTTCGCATCAGCGTCAGCATCGGCATCCCCAGACTTTTGATGCAGGTCCCGCGAAGTCAAGGGGACCCCTGATTCGGTTGGCTGTGGGCCCCTCGGGCAGTTCAGAAGGCTTGAGGCTTGGACGATGACGCCGAAGCCTGGGGCTTCTTCCCCCGTGTCCGTGCAGCGGGAGGTCCGGAGTCGCCCGCTACAGTCGGCCCATCAATCACGCTCAACCTCGGCTTGTTGGGCCTGAAAGCTGGCAAGCTGACCCGGCTGACTCCCGCCGTGCGATGCCTTAGAGAGAGAGAGATTGCTCTGTAGATACATAGACACCATGTAATCAGCCTTCTACCTACTCTCTTACAGCTCCTCTCCTCTCCACGCTCACCACTCCAATCCCAATCCGGCACCCATGGCCACCCTCATCCGCCCACCCCCCGAGAACACCTCCCTCTCCGCCATCGAAAACACCCTCGAACTGACCCGCCTCTCCGACATTGACACGAACCTCTTCACCAACACCCGGCCCCTCTGGCACCCCCCAGGCGCGCGCGGTGTCTACGGCGGCTCCGTCATAGCCCAATGCCTCTCCGCCGCGCAAAAGACCGTCCCGCGCACCTTCACCATCCACTCGATGCACTGCTACTTCGTGCTCGCTGGCAACGCCGAGATACCCGTCATCTACCACGTCGAGCACGTGCGGGAGGGCAAGAGCTTCGCGACGCGGACCGTGCAGGCGCGGCAGCGGGGGAAGGCCATCTTCACGACAACCATGAGCTTTGCGCGGGAGGGTAGTGGAGGGAAGGAGACGGTGGAGCACGCATGCGAGATGCCGGACGTGCCGCCGCCGTGTGAGGACGATGCCGGGAACATTTTCCGGCAGAGGGGCACGCATGCGCCGTTTGAGAGCCAGAGGATTGAGATTTTGAACAACGACTCGCCCCACCCGCACACGAAGCGCACGCGCCAGTGGATCCGCGCCCGCGGGAAGATCTCGCCGAATGGTGGGCACGAAGCGCACCTCTCCGCGCTCGCGTACATGTCGGACAGCTATTTCATCGGCACCGTGGCGCGGGTGCACAAGCTCTGGCGCTTCTCGCTCAAGCGGCCGGGTCAGGACAAGGAGTCAGCGGGTAACACCGTCGTCGACGAGGACGTGCTCAAGAAACTCATGAACATGGACGCCGAGACCCTGCGACGGCACCCGGACATGGATGAGCACGTGATCGAGCAGCTGAAGAACGGGATGGTGAGCACTGAAGGGAAGATTCAGAGGCCGGAGGTTGGGATGATGGTTAGTTTGGACCACACGATTTACTTCCACACGCCGAGGGACTTCAGGGCCGATGAGTGGCTGTTTACGGAGATGGACACGCCGTGGGCGGGCGATGGGAGGGGGCTGGTGCAGCAGCGGATCTTTACGAGGGATGGGAGGCTGGTTGCGACGTGCATCCAGGAGGTAGGCCGGCTGACATGCTGCTGTGAAAGAACCACTTACTGACGCGCGGCAGGGTGTTGTTCGTCTGAAGCAGACTTCGGACAGCAAATTGTAAGCGGGGCGCTCAGCAGGACACACTTCGCTTCGTCTGCAGCAGAATGTCCGCTGGGAAGGCATCATACATGGTTGTCCGATTCCTTGTATACCATACCGTTATTTCTTGAGACATTGTGTCTACAACAGGGAGCGTTTGAGGCGTAGAGCGTGTCTCGTGGGCTCCCTCAATTTGTCAAAGTTGATTCAAATAACTGCTGGCGAAGGGCGTTCGTAAGACATGAAAGCATTGATGGTGATGCTGTTGTCCGGAGTCGCTTGGCTCCTAGTCGACCAGCTGAAGACGCCTGCCCTCTCGCTGTTCGATGATAGCTCGATCTTAAGCTGTCGGGTCTTTATTCCGGGTGCAAATCTCATCCAGAGCTCTTGCTCCAGGCTGCGTTGTAAACACCGTACAACGGCCAAGAGGTGCGTCAACGCTGCGACCTCGGCGTGGAGGGGCGTGGAGGGGCGTGGAGGGGCGTGGAGGGGCACGGGAAACTTTTTTTCCCCCGCAATCCACACCATGGTGCGCATGACTCAAGGCTGACTGCCAGTCCATCAACCCATATTTACCACCAATTCCCTCTCTTCAGTTCGCATCTCTACTACAGATATCACTCACCATGCCTATGCTCAAAGACCCCTCCAAGAAGTACCGCCGCTTCAAGCCCCTCAACCTCCCCCACCGCCAATGGCCGTCCCAGACCATCGACAAGCCGCCGCGCTGGCTTTCGACTGACCTGCGCGATGGAAACCAGAGCCTGGTTGACCCTATGGTACGCGCCTAGGCATGTTCCTGCACCACCTCGGACTTGTCTCACACTAACCTCCTCTCCCAGGACGGCGAGCAAAAATGGCGATACTTCCAGATGCTGGTCCAGCTCGGCTACAAAGAAATCGAGGTCTCGTTCCCCTCGGCATCGCAGACGGATTTCGACTTCACGCAGAAGCTGGTACAGACGCCGGGGATAGTGCCGGACGACGTGTGGCTCCAGGTGCTCTCGCCGTGCCGGAAAGAGCTGATTAGGCGGACGGTCGACAGCCTCAAGGGCGCGAAGAAGGCCCTGCTGCATCTCTACCTGGCGACGAGCCCATGCTTCCAGCAGATCGTCTTCAACATGAACAACGAGCAGAGCAAGGCTCTGGCTGTCGAGTGCACCCGGTATGCGAGGTCCATCACCAAGGACGATCCCAGCCAGGAGGGGACGGAGTGGGCGTTCGAGTTTTCCCCGGAGACTTTCTCAGACTCCGACCCGGACTTCGTGCTCGAAGTATGTGAGGCTGTGAAGGCAGCGTGGGAGCCGTCAGTTGAGAATCCTATCATCTTCAACCTACCTGCAACGGTCGAGATGGCGACCCCAAATGTCTACGCAGACCAGATCGAGTACTTCTGCCGCAACATCTCCGAGCGCGAGAAGATCTGCGTATCCCTCCATCCCCACAACGACCGCGGCTGCGCAGTCGCCGCCGCGGAGCTCGCCCAGATGGCCGGCGCCGATCGCGTCGAAGGTACCCTCTTCGGCAACGGCGAGCGGACCGGAAACGTCGACCTCGTCACCCTAGCCCTAAACCTCTACACGCAAGGCATCCACCCCGGGATCGACTTCTCGGACATAACCTCCGTGATCGACGTCGTCGAGAAGAGCAACAACATCCCCGTCCCCGAGCGCTGGCCCTATGGCGGCCAGCTCGTCGTCTGCGCCTTCAGCGGCTCGCACCAAGACGCCATCAAGAAGGGCTTCCAGGTCCGCAAAGCGCAGAACGCGACCTCGGAAAGCCCCTGGCAGATTCCCTATCTCCCGCTCGACCCGGAGGATATCGGCCGCACCTATGAAGCCATCATCCGCGTGAACAGCCAAAGCGGCAAGGGCGGCGTCGCCTGGGTCATCCAGCGTTCGTTGGAGCTCGACCTGCCGCGTGGTCTGCAAATCGCATTCTCCAAGATCGTGCAGAAGGAGGCGGATGCGTTAGGCCGCGAGCTGCGCCCGAGCGAAATCGAGAAGCTGTTCGTGGACGCGTATCACCTGAGACGGAACCCACGGTTCAACCTCGTGGACTACACCATCACGCCCGACCGCACCGCCTCCCCTGTCGCCAGCAAGACGGTCGCGAATACGGCGCGCAATCGCTCTGTTGTCTTCAATGGCGTTATTGAGATTGATGGGCATGAGCATAGGATTCGGGGACATGGGAATGGGCCTATCTCCTCTCTCGCGGATGCGCTCAGGTCTTTGGGCATCGATCTCGATGTCGCGGACTACAAGGAACACGCCATCGGCGGCGGGAAGGACGTCAAGGCCGCCACGTATATCGAGTGTACGGCTGCGGGCTCGAGCCAGAAGGTGTGGGGCGTGGGAATTCACGAAGACTCGACGGAGAGTTTCTTGATTGCTTTGTTGAGTGCTGCGAGTTCGGTAGGTTTCCCTTCTTTACCAAACCCCTTTTCTTTGCCTCTCGGTCCCGTTCTGTTCATCTCTCTCCGTTGTTAAGCCACGACAAGAGCTAACAAACCCACACAGTTCCTCTCAAGCCGCCCCAGCACCCCAATACCGTTCCGACCCAAGCGATCAGATACGCAGTCCCTGCCGACTCCGCCCGAGCTATCGCCAGCGAGGCCACGCAGCTCAGCTGGGAGTCATCATGGGAACGAAGTCCACAGCCAGCTAGTCGCGAATCTGGAGAAGCAGGTCAACGGGATGGGAATGGGGACGGATCATGTTGGGTAGCGTCATCGCCATGTGAACCGCATTTTGCGTAAAAAGCTCTACGCATAAAAGTAAGGATTTGAGTCAAACAAGTTATCGTTGCCAAGTTAGAGGTACTGTCTATATTGTAGTATCTAACCAAAAGAGAAAAAAGCCAAGCAGAATACATGCTGCAATCGTTCTACAATAGATCCTTCCCTCTGAGACCCATCCAAAACGGTGTCTCCCTCTTCACTCCCCCTCACAACCTCGCCCGATCCAACAATTTCCCCCCATCCAACCTCACCGTCTCCCCATTCACATGTCCCGCCCCCTTGCTGCACAAAAACACCACCGCAGCCGCAATATCCTCCGGCCGACCTAAGCGTCCATTCGGCGTCTCCTTCGCCAACTTCTCCACACCTCCCGTCATTTCCATGAGCCCATTCGCCATTTTACTCGGGAAGAACCCCGGCGCAAGCCCATTACACAGAATATGTCTCGGCGCAAGCTCAATCGCCAGATTGCGCATCAGATGCAGCACCGCGGCCTTGGAGGCCGAGTAGCCCGGCGTGCTCTGCGGACCTAACGTGCCGATGCCCTGGCCCGCGACTGAGCCAGTGACGATGACTCTGCTGGGATCCTCGGCGGTAGCACGTGCTTGCAGCAAGGGCGCGAATTTCTGGATTGTCAGGAACACGCTCTTGACGTTCAAGTCCATGACTTTCGCAAAGGCGGAGTCCGGGTGCGTATCAAATTTCTCGCCCCAAGTCGCGCCGGCGTTCGCGAAGAGGATGTCAACATGATCCGTGTGCTTGGAGACCTCCGCGACTAGGCGTTCGATTTCACTGACTTTGGAGCTGTCGGCGGGGACGGAGATCGCAATGGCGTCGGGGTGTTTGTTCGGAAGGGCGTTCAGCGCATCGCAGGCTTCTTGACACGCGGCGGCTTTGCGGGAGGTTATGAATACTTTGGAGCAGCCTGCTTGAAGGAGGCTAGGGTAGGAGGTGTCAGTATGAATACGTGAAGGGAGAGTTTTTGGGAGGGAGCTGAATTACCCAGATGCGGCGTGCAGTCCTAGACCACGAGAACCGCCGGTGACGACGGCGACTTTACCATCTAGGCGGAAGATGTTGGAGAAGTCGTTGAGCTCGACGTCAGCTTTTGCGGTTGACATGGTGGCAGTGGTGCGAGAAGGGATTATCGGAAATAGCTAAAGAAGCAAATGCAGCAGGAGTCGATATGATTGAGGCCACATGTTGGCGGGTGGTGTCGTAGATGTCCGCCTTTCAATCCAAGAACCCGAGGGAAAGCTTCGACAGGGGTCTGCTGCCGCGGCTCGTCCAGATCGCGGGGCTGTGGAGAAATCTTGGCGCTGGCGAGGTTGCAACTCTTCACAGCAGCTTGGGTGCGAGACGTGGAGACCTTTGATGACCTTGAAGCAGCGCTTGCTAAGCAGTTGACCACAACTTGCCTGTGCGATAGCTAGGGATGTTTCCCTGGTCGTATGTCGCTGGTCTTACAACCTGCAGCTTCCCGTTCCAGAACGCTTCTCCGGCACGGCCTTCTGCCACTGAGCGCGCTCTCTTCTCACGCTGCGTTTGTCGAAATGCCGCCAGAGATTTGATGACATCTGAGTCTGGATGGGGTGGTCCGCTGTCCAGCAGCGATGGAGCTTTAGATGGCGCAGGCTCTGAGGACGATGTGGAGCCACTGGTCTTCTCATCCGGAAAGAACGAGAAGTCATCTTTCCCAGGGTTCTCGGTCTCGGAAGCACCAGTTTCCTCGGAGCGGTTTAGATGAGCTGGTGAGGGACCAAATTCAAGGCGGACCTCTTGAGTTGTCAGAATATGTTCTGGGGCTGGAAACACCTCCGGAGGGCTGACATCCCCATGATTCCGCCACCACTGGTAAAGTGCAGACGCTCGCTCCATGGTTCCGCAGGCTTCGAGGAAGGCCTTCAAGCATGCTGTCATGTAGCCTTTGGCGCTGGTTGCTGGCACTGAAGTAAGTACTAATGTGTCGATGGATAAGAGGGACAAGGGGTATGAATATTTCTCAAGAGCTTTGTTGGCGGGAGGCTTATCTTCCCACTGCGTACCCCCGGCACGAAACGCCGACTCTGGTACCCTGGTCCATCCCCTGTCGTATAGCGAGGAGAAACCTGTTACTACTTGGTGATTGACGCGCAAAAAGCGCAATGTAGGACATTTCTTGATGCCAGCTGATATGGTGAAGGCCACCTCCGTCTCTACAAGAATGCTAGCCTCTGTGGAAAGAACCTCCTTCATGGCCTTGCTACGAGTAATTGTACCACAGTCGAACACCTGGAGCGGAAGCCGCTTTAACAGCTCCTCGACGCCCTGCGCGGTGATCTGATTGCCGGAGATGTACAAATGAGTCAAGCCGGGATGCAGTGACTCGTATAAGTTGCTAGTAGTCAGCGTCGGCGAGGCCCTGATACGAGCGACTACATCTTCAAGTTGATCGGTAAACTGAAGCCGAGCGGAGTGCAACGCAGCGGAGAACCTTGTGTCAAATACACTGACTATATCCTTTCCATCCTCAAACGCTTTGAGGAAATCTGGGCTATCAATAATGCTACCCGGCTGGATATCGGATACTGTGAGGCTGTACGGCGGTGGTTCATCATCCTGATCTGTGTTGTTCGGAACGACACGCCAATCGAACGCCTCGTTCGTTAATAGGTTATCGCGAACATCAAGACTCCGTAGATAGTGCGGCTCTGTAGTTGTTACGTGCAGGCGAAACACTGCAATTAGCAGGGCACGTAGGCCCGCATCTCGAAGATTTGCGCCTCGCAGCTTTAGCGTGCGAAGTTGCTGGAGATCCCTGGATATGGCCGTAGATCGGTAAATGGGGTATGTCTTTTGGTTCTGGGATAGATCCAGATAGCATAAGTTGCGTACCCTAGATAACAGGCTGCGCAGTGGTCTGTCTTCAAGGTTTGGGCAGTCGGTGATCTCAAGAACTCTAAGCCGCGGAAGCTCCGGAAGGGAATCCTCAGGCAGGTCATCGATCGACACTACGGACTCGGAGAGCAACAGTGTATGCAAACTTGTTGATGCCTGAAGGATCCGCTCAAGCCATCCAAACGGCAGTGATGTGTCGAGACACTCGAAGCCGAGGCGACGAAGGTTTAACACTCTCGTGTAAGCTGCAGGCCCGGTTCTTGGAACGTCTGACGATGCGCCCACGGCTTCTAAGAACATTTGGAAAGCTTCTACCTGAATGTATTAGCGGCTGGTCAACTACGGATGCGAGCGTTTGCCAGGAGAAGCGGTGAAGACTGACGAAAGGCTTCCACTGGGTCGGTCGACCAATATCTATGCGGCTCAGCCCATAGATAGCCCTGCACTCTTCCCCGTAGCAGCGGCGATACCTGCGCAAGCGACTTGAGATCTGATGCGCTCAGATAGCGAAGAACAAAGGGCCACGGATCCGCCTTCTTTGCTGTTTCGTAACTTGGTAATTCATCATCGACTTCGGTCTCCATGTTGTGACGATCTCGTGTATGGCTCTCGGTTCAAGTAGAGGAAGGCACGATGGGAATCAGGCGGTGCGCTTTCTGGCACAGCCTCCTTGGTAGGATTCCCTCAGATTACAGACCTGAGAACTGAAAATACTTTTATCAATGTAGAAAGTCATCGTCTGGTACATGGTATCTCTCTATACAGACCTTGAAACGAAACGAAACGGACGAAAGAGTACAAGGTCACACGTCTTTGAAACAGGAACTCTGAAACGAAACTCTGAGGTGCAGGTGATCCTTACTTGGCATCACGTGCGCGAGGCGCAATGAAGATGGCTAAGTACAGCCCGATAAGTTTCACCACTATAGCTAGTTTCTTCCTAAGGCGATGGACCCCTCCGCTTTAATCGGTCCGTTCAGACGAGGGTTCAGGTTGCTTAACCAGTCGTGCGCTGGAATGTTAGGAGCATAGTTTGATCGAAAGCATCATTGGTTGGTATATATGTCGATTCCAACTGGTCATCTGGCCTGAGTGGTCTGGTGGTGATTCCGGGTACGGCAGTAGCTGAATGCTCTTTTCTGTATGTCTGGAAGGTTGCATAAATGCTTGCGTGACATGCGATTCCGGGTTGTCGTTCTTGCTTATACAACTCAAGCATACTGCGTCCGCTCTTAGTAACCTATATTTCTGGATGTATTCAATCTGTGAGCCATCGATCGAGGTGGTTAGGCGGAGGGCAACGTCGATGCGGTATAGAAGCCTGCGCACAAAACAGTTCAAGCTCTAGATCACAGTCCGTTGGTCATAAAGGCATAAGCAAGTTTTACGAGGCTACGCCCTAAGTCCCAAGTACTACTGTCCTGTTCAGAAGTCCTGCAGTCTGTTAAATCCGGGGTGTTGACCGCTTCGTATAAGCGGGAGTAGTGATCCAGCGAGAGGCAAGACGGATGACCGGGGTATGGAAATCGTTACAGAGACGAGGTCCTTTAGGCTTGGCAGCAGTTTGACTCAGCTGACAGAAATCAGCGAAGCAAGCGAAAAAAGAACCCAGAACGTGATACTGCATGGCCAACTGCCGCGCGGCAGTCCTCACCGCCTGTGCCGGACCAGGTTCAGGCTCAGGCTTTTCCGCGAGCCGGATCGTCGCCGGTGGAGTGTACCTCGATGCCGTCATGCTGCTTCTGAGAGACCGCGATGGTGGATTCGGAGACGGTTGAAAAGCCATGCTTCTGCAAGGCACGCTGGCCTTGTGCGACCGTCTTTCAGCCTGCCGAGACTGGCATGGTTCGGCGAGTGAGCGAGATAGGAAAACACCATGAACTCTTGCCTCGGCCAGTGCGGTACCAGGCTCTCGCCTATCATTCACTTTAGCGAAGCATGAAGAATCTGGATGACAGCTCCGAGCACCGCAACCTTGCTTTGACGACCGACTCCCACACAACAATCTCGCCAGTTGTTGCTATCGATGATTTTGAACCACGAAGCGCAGCTTGAGTCCTTGTCCGCATATCGTCACGGACACACCGGAGAAAGCAGAGTCGAATACTCGTACTTATCAGCAGCCCTGTGTGCGAGACGGGAGAACAAGAAAGCTCCTTATCGTCGGCATTCGTTTGAGTCGTCCGTTTTCCGGCCGCAGGCTACCGAGGTCGGCAACGTCGTCTTGGGGAGGGCCAGGTTGACGCGACGGCAGCAGCAAGGGGTCGAGGGCAGGAAATACAAAGATGGTAAGAGGGATTCTCTTTTTGCGCCTGGCGCACCGACATTTCTCTCAGCCCTATCGTCAACTACCAACGGGCCTGCCGTGTTGCCCGGATAGCGTCCCTGGCCGCCTCAGTTTGTGATCGACGTTATTGTGACGCCTCACGGGCACCGATTACCGGACCCAGTGTCGGAAACGCAGGTCTCGGGAGCAAACCCAGGCTGAGAGCGCAGGAGTGTTGCTTACCTGCACTTGCTGTCGCGTGCGCTGTTCCTCCAAGTATAAGGCGAGAAATGTCACCCAATCAGCATATTGCTGCCTCTCCTGCGCTCGCGGAAGCCTTGCGCAGTGTGTCACTCTTGTAGAACGTCAGAGTCAGCGTCTTTGCGAAGTAACTTCTCATTTGTCCTCCTCGAACCTGTCACATTCAATCAACCCGTCGGCTGGATCCGCGTTTTTGCGGTTGGGCCTTCCGGAGCGTATCAAGACATCGAAGCTTTCGTACTCTCATCACATTACCACTCTTCGTGTCGCTACATTTCTGTTCAAGTATCACACATCTCACGGCACCCACCTTCACTGCTATCACGATGGGGGTGACAAAGCTTCCTCTGCGCTGAGTGCTATACTACCCTCTCGAGCGTGGAGGCTACACCTACACTCCATCCGCCACAACTCTCGAAGTTGCTTAAACCAGGCGCTGTCGCATTATCTCGGTGTTTCCTGTCATCATGCCGTCCTCATCTCTGTCTATACCAGCGCGTCTCGGCCCGGAGGAGGTCGTGGATGATCCCCACATGGGCTTTGGCAGATTCAAACCGGCAGCGAAATTGACTCTGATGCGATATCTTCAGGACCTTCAAGATGCCGAGATTCCTACTAGTCCGGTTCCGCCAAAGTATCATACTGGACGGCTACCGAACGGCAAACCTGGAGACGGAAAGCCACGGCTATTGCTGATGGGCCAGAGAAGGTAAACAGTAGTCAGACCAGTCTTGTACCTCGGAGCGCCTAGCTAACAACAAGCCCTTTACAGGAGTGGCAAATCATCAATATCAAGCGTAGTGTTTCACAAGCTACCGCCGAGCGAGACGCTTTACCTTGAGACGACCACCCGCATCAAGAAAGAGTCTATGCAGTAAGTGCGCCTGTGAGACCTGTTCAGATCACGTCACGGCTCTTTGTCACGGTGGGTCGTATAGGTCCGCTAATACTACTAGCTCATTCATGGACTTCCAAGTCTGGGACTTCCCCGGCCACTTGGACTACTTCGACCCCGCCTTCGACGTCGATAACATCTTCGACGAAATCGGCGCGCTCATCTGGGTCATCGATGCTCAAGACGAGTATCTAGACGCCATCAACCGGCTCAACACCACTATCCTCAACCTGCAGCACTCCTACCCGAACATCCTCGTGGAAGTCTTCGTCCACAAGGTCGATGGCCTGTCCGACGACTACAAGAGCGACACGTTCCGCGACATCATCCAACGCGTGCAGGACGAGCTCTCGGACGCCGGCTACGAGAACCCGCCCGTGAGCTATTACCAAACCAGCATATACGACCACTCCATCTTCGAGGCATTCAGCAAGGTCATCCAGAAGCTGATACCGCAGCTACCGACGCTTGAATCACTGCTCAACAGCCTCTGCGCCAACTGCCGGATAGAGAAGGCGTATGTTTTCGATGTGTTGAGCAAGATCTACATCGCTACAGACACGTCACCAACCGACATTGGCAGCTACGAGATATGCTCAGACTACATCGATGTTGTTGTTGATGTCAGTGAAATCTACGGATGGGACCGCCCTTCCGAGAACGGTAACGTGGACGAAGCAATTGAGGAGACGGGTAACAATGACGCGGAGAGCCTGATCACTATGGAGAGGAAGGGGAACAACTACCTATACCTCAGGGAGATCAACAAGTGAGTGACTGCCCACCCTCCCGGGTAAGGGACGTTTTTGCTGACACGGCTTTGGTCAGGTATCTTGCTCTGATATGCTTGATGGGCGACGATAGCCCGGCGGAGAAGAAAGCGCTGATTGACTACAACGTCGGCGTCTTTCAGGAAGCATTAGCGCAAGTCTTTCCGCGATAAGGTAGCTGTGCTCGGCGCGCGCCGTCCTGCGAAAGTGGGAGGTGCATGAGCTGAACGGCGCAGTTCCTGCTAGGGCCATAGTTTGCCTTGTCAGTTAGCCTGCACAATCGTCATGGTAGTCTTCGATATTGGCCTCTTTCTCCAACATTCTGACACAAGAAGACCCATTCTGGCTATGGTCTATGGTGATGCAATTTACAGGAGCCCCAACGGTCCGTGATACATTGGTTGTGTAGTAACGTCACACAAGCGTTTGGTACCGGAGGCCGAGTACGTGTACTCGTGGGTTTGGATACTGCATCACCTCAGCTGAAGAGCCAGTCACGTGCACAACACTATGGTTCTTCACCCACAAGCAGTTCCCACCACCCGTCAATACCTTTGTTTCAACAAAACAATGCATTGTATTTTGCCCCCTGCTTCCCCGTAACCAGCAGCGTCAGCCATGGGTAGTCGTGCTTTGTGTTGCATGATCCTCCCTAACCACGTTAACCTGGCGGGCAGGCAGGAACAAGATAGGAAGCAACGCTGTGATCGGTTCATTCAAGCTGTTCAGCCGCTCCCGTCGTGCTCCGCACCTCACATGCGGGACGAGCTCTTCCAGTGGCTCCTGGGAGCTTTTCAGCTGCAGTGTCCGCGCTTACGCCACGATCTTGCGTCAAAACTTCTCCCAAAAGCCATCCCGAACCGCCGACTCGTGCCCATCCGTGCTCCCGCGATGAAACACGCCAGCGGCGCCGCCACCAAGGGGAAACGGGGAAAGTGGGAAACGGGGAAGCCGGGAAACGGGAAGGTGGGAGGACTCAGAAACACGTCCCGGCAGCAGTGCGGGAATGACATCCTGACTCCGGAGCAGCTGAACTGGATGTCCACCAGCAGCAGCTTGATGTGGATGCAGATGAGGGACTCGAGTCGCCTGGGTCAAGGGGTCCTGCGGGCAGTGCGGGCCACTGATGCTGTGCGCGTGCTGATGCGGCTGTCTGCCAGCCGGCGCGATGTTGGCGCGATTCTGCGAGGCCGTGCCTGACGCCAACGCCAACGCCAACGCCGCTCTCTGCAAGATTGGCGGTCTCCAGGCGGTCGATTGGCTGAAGCGAGCCCAGATGAACGCGGACCTGAGCACCAAAACATCGACCAAGAACCCAAAAACCCTCCTTGCCCTCCCTGCCCTGCCCTGCCCTGCCCTTTCCCGTGCGCTTCGTCTCCAACCAACCTCTTCCCCGAGAGGCCTCGTCGTCCCCTTTGTGTGAAATTGTTTCGTTCGCAGTCTGAGGCCTAGCGCTTCTTCTCGCTCCTTTGCGCCGTCATCGCGTGTTGTTGATCCATCACACCTTGCCTTTCTCCAGCAGAGAACCTCATCGCCTTGGCATCTTTCACCAGCGTTCAGCGTTCAGCGTCACCATTCCACTGTGTCACTCGGACAATCGCTACATTCACTCCAATATTGCATGACTGTCGACTGTCGACTGTCGACTGTCGTACGCTCTCCGACGACCTGAGCCCCGCATTCGCCTTGCACAGTACCTCAATCCTTATCATATCCAGCCTCAGCATAAGCTCGATACATTCTTTTGGTTAACACAAGTCGTCCTACACACCTGCTTTGGACCAGCGACATACTGTGCTTGCCCTCGCCAGCTGTCCGTAACCCGCATGCGCTGCTTCGCTCGATCCGTTCCACCGAAGCAGACCGAGACAATAGCGTTGTTGGTTCATTGTTCCAATACAATCCATTGTCCGACCTGTACCACTCACGAAAGAGAACGAGCTCCATAATTGAACGACGCACCCCGTATAGATTCACAAGTTTTCGACTTTCACCTTCGAAATCCGACACTCATTCAGCAATCTTGCAAAGCGCGCTGGCAGCGCTTCTCACGTCTCCGTGTTGCAATCGTCCACCGCCGAATCATCGATATCCTGGACAAGCATCTCCTAGATCTATCAGGATCTCACAACACTCGAGCGTTTGACGCTATGCACATAAACCTCTACCCCAGGCGGGTAGCTAACGACATGCCGCCAGCTGGATTAGCGGCGCAACAATCCAACGACACAGATCTTCTGTTCCAATTTACCCACGGCCTGCACGGCGTCGACCAGGAATTAAACTACCTCTTCGTCCATGTCCTGGTCTTCTCCTTCGTCGCACTATGTGTGCTCACGTTCCTCCTTCGGTTCATGCGGATGGCGAACGCACACCTACGACATCTCTCAACAATGGGCAGTACCAGACAAGCATTCTGGGCGGAGAACCAGACATCCTGGTGGCCGGCAATCAAGAAACACTTACTCTGGGCACCACTTTGGAGGAACCGGCATAACCGAGAAATTCAGCTGTCACAGGCTGTGTCTATCGGCACGCTCCCGTCAAGATTCCACATGCTTCTGCTCGTGGTGTACGTTATGAGCAACGTAGCGTATTGCCTGATCCTGCCATGGGATAACCCAGAAAGCGGATCGGTGATAGCAGCGCTGAGAGGCAGGACCGGCACTCTCGCCGCGCTCAACCTGATCCCCACTATCCTCTTCGCGATGCGCAACAACCCGCTCATCCCGCTGCTCCGAGTCAGCTACGACACCTTCAACCTTCTCCACCGTTGGGCCGCGCGGCTCGTCATTCTCGAGTCCGTCCTGCACACTGTAGCTTGGGCTGTCAACGCCTACACCGCCGGCAAATGGTCGGGTATCAATACCAGCCTCGCGAAGGAGCTTTCCTATCAATGGGGCATGGTTGGCACTTGCGCCATGCTCTTCATGGCCATCCAAGCCTGGTCACCTATCCGTCACGCCTTTTACGAAACCTTCCTCAACATGCACCGCCTCTTTGCGCTCTTCGCCCTCGTTGGCGTCTACGTCCACATTGACGCGCACAGTCTCCCTCAGGTACCCTGGATGCAGGTCATCTTCCTATTCTGGGGCCTCGAGTACCTTTTCCGCGTCTCTCGGATAGTGTACTACAACGTCTCCCCACGCGCAGTTACCCGCATCACCGTCGAAGCTCTCCCCGCGGAAGCCTGCCGGGTAACCTTCGACCTCGTGCGTCCCTGGACAATACGGCCCGGTTGCCACGTACACGTCTACATGCCGACCCTGTCCCTCTGGTCCTCGCACCCCTTCTCTATCGCCTGGGCCGAGACACGCCCGACAAACCCGATCGGCAGCGATAGCGAGAAACTCCCCACTTCAACCCCCGACCTCGACCTCGACCTTGACCGTGCCAGCGGTCCCCGCAAGACCACCATCACGCTCCTCATCCGCGCGCGCACGGGTTTCACGCGCCACCTCTTCAACAAAGCCTCGAGCGCGCCGGGCGGCCGCTTCACGACCTTCGGCGCGATCGAAGGGCCCTACGGCGGGCACGAGCGCCTCAACAGCTTCGGCACCGTACTCCTCTTCGCCGGCGGGGTAGGGATAACGCACCAGCTGCTCCAACTACGAGCTCTGCTCGCCTCAGCCGCGAACGGGTCCTCCGCCGTGCGCAAAGTGGTTCTGGTGTGGAGCATCCCGAACCACGATGCGCTGGAGTGGGTGAAGCCGTACATGGACTCGATTTTGAGGATGCAGGGTAGGCGAGAGGTGCTGGAGGTTAAGCTGTTTGTTACAAAGCCTAGGCATGCGAGGGAGGTGGTTAGTGGCACGGGGACGGTGAGGATGTTTCCCGGTAGGTGTAATGTGCAGGCGCTTGTGGATGGGGTGGTTAGGGAGAGGGTTGGCGCGGTCGGGGTCGTGGTTTGTGGACCGGGGGCTATGGGGGATGGAGTAAGAGCAGCTTGCAGAAGGAGGGTGGGGGTGGGGGCTTTGGAGTTTGTGGAGGAGGCGTTTACTTATTAGGGGCGTGTGAGGGGATTTGGGCTGAGGGGAGAGCCGGCGGCATATACTCAGGGTAGTACACTCTTATGGATATTTTGGATATGTGAGGGACTATTGTCATGACCACGTGAATACATAACTTGTGTCTATAGATAATTTGAACCCAATATCCTCTACTTACCACTTTTGCGGTTAGGCACCAGATCAGCACGTGATCACCATCAGGCCGGTCCCGGTTTGCACCAACGTCAAGTCACTAACTTATCTAACCTAACATACTCAAGAGCCACACAAGTTCTCTTCGGCCATCGGCAATCACTGAGTAGGTAGAACGACATCGAGGTCTTGAGCTTCTCACGTTCTTTGTTCCTTTTGCGCTCATTGAATATGGGGCGTCCCAGGCTGCGACGTGCTGGCTTGGTATGCATAGCCGCCCAGCACCGCCTCGAAGCAACCTCAAGCCTTGCAGCTTCCAGACCTGAGTCCAGCTTTCTCTCAGTTCAATACAACGCGTCAACCCGGCTTTCCTTGCAATACTGCTCATTCGCGTTCGACTTCATCTGAGAAAGAAACTTCAATATGAGCGACCTGGATGTCTCCACCTCACCTCGTCTGACTGATGACAGCCACCTTCCAGACGGCTCGGGAGGTACTGGCCTGGCTCGACCCTGGGTCGAGCCATAGTAACCTAGCAATCAAGAAGATGCAAGCAATGTCAGCGGAATATCTACGCCTGGGCTATAGCGTCTATGCTGGAGACTGGAGGGCAACAGAAGAATTGATCAATCCTTCTACGGAGCCCTTCACCGGGTGGTGGAGGTTGAACGCGATTTTTCTTCGAGGTCAGAGAAGCTACACTGTAAAGGTGCTGTGTGGCGGAGGCGATTTGTGGGAGAAGCACCCGGGAAACTTGTAGAACAAGGGGTCTGGCGTTGTGTCCTACGAGCATAGTTCAGAGGCGTTCATGGTGCTCTACTTCCTTACTATTGTAACCTTACCGGCGGCCATACATGAGTAACCGGCAAGACTCTCGGACCAGACGATGATCGCTTCGGTCCAGCGACTGCACGTGACATGCTGAGCATGAAACCTCACAACGCATGCACTTTACTACTGGGCATGAACTCTGTGGACTAAGCACCAAGAACGAGTCTTCTATATTGACCATGCTTGATTCACTTCTACGCTCTACCCTCTTCCACAATGGCATGCTGTAGGTATTCGTAACGGACTACTCGACTGCCGAAACTTCAGATATGCCGCCGCAAAGCGCGCCTCGTCCCCACGCTATCGAGAGCAGTGTCTCTTCCGAGACAATGCCATCCTCTCCGTCTGAAACCAGCGCCAATTTAATTGACTCAGCACTGCCTACGGCAATTGATCAAGGCTCAACCCGCTAGCCAACAACCTCATCTTTCCCACCGCCCACCGCCCACCGCCCGCGATCATGGCCTCCGCACCCGCTGTCCGTCCACCTCCCCAGCCCGCCTACCTCGCGTCCGCAAACTCACCCCTCAACCCTGACCGCGCCTTATACGACCGCGTCGCCGCAACCTCCTCCCGCATCCCCACCGCGTCCTTTACAATCCCTCCGCGCTCTGGCCTCGCCTGGCACGTCCCCGCCGCCTACATCTTCCGGCTCTCGCTGCCCGACGGCCCCCAAGTCGGCGACCTAAACCTCTGGTCCGCGTACAACCCGCGCGAGCGCTTCTGGGCGAGCCGGACGCGGCAGCTCGAAGCCTCGCACGTAAGCACTTACAACCGGCTCTGGTCCTGCCTGCCGTACCTGCGGCCGCTATGCACCATTGTGGCCGACAGTCTGGGGCCGCGGGTCGGGACGACGGAGTTTGGGGGCAAGTGCCATGATTTGCTGGGCACGCGGTGTGATCCCTATGTGAACAAGATGCTCACAGATGACGAGTTTGACTTCCATTGCCACTCGAATCTGGTGCGTGCGGTGCTGCCGCATGGGCTTGGGGAGATGGATGTGCATGATGTGTTGAACGTGTTTCAGGTCACGGGGCTGAATGGAGAGGGGAAGTATTTCATGGAGGCGTGTCCGGGGGTGAAGGGGGACTATATTGAGTTTTTTGCGGAGACGGATCTGTTGTGTGCGCTGTCGACGTGTCCGGGGGGTGATCTGTCGGCGTGGGGGTGGGCGGAGGGGAACTCTGGGGGAGATGATGGGGGAGATGGGGAGGCGAAGAAGAAGAAGGGCAGGATGGAGGACACGTGCAGGCCGATCAAGGTCGAGGTGTGGAAGATTGCTGATGAGGTTAAAGAGGAGGTTCTGGAGGGATGGAGCGAACCGAGGAGGCCGGATTATCGCGGTATGCATGGCATGACGGTGCCTCAAGGGCAGAATATGGGACAAAGTGGGCCGTAGGTGCTGTGGAGGTCAGTAGCGGAGGTACGCATGCTGACGATGTGCTTCGCCGGCTTCTCTCTGATGCTGTACTCAGATCCGTGAGCCTCATATTATACACCGTGAAAGCCGTAAAGAAAAGCAAGTCATGAAGCTGTTTCGCAGCGCTCAGGGGCTAGATAAAATCGACGAGATTGACTATCATCTCGAGCGTACTCGTCCTTCCCTTGATACTTCTTGAGCAGTGGTGCTCTACCTCTATTCTACTCTGTCTCTCGCTGGTGATCTCATGGTCTACTCTTCAATGCCCAAGGCACTCAGGATCATCGCTGTTCCGTGCCGGCTTTGTTTCAACCTCCGGGTTGAGGATTGGCTTCGTTGCATGCAGTCCCTGTTGCGATCCTTTAACTACTGAATCGTACATACGATACGATCTTCACGAGCTAGGGGTTATAGATGACGGAGAGAGTGTGTGAATGGCTTGTCTCGCTACTCAGAGCTCGAGACTCCGGTTGGTCCGCGCGGAACGCCGCAAAAGGCCTCACTGCGCTACATGTACGATCTCGGTGATGGGAAGATCGCTTCCTTTACAGTTCACAGTCTGCAGGTCCCGACGTCCCTTCGTCTCAATTGAATCCAACGGTCCGAAGATGCGCTCCCCCTACCTATCTCCGTTAGCGCAGAGCTGCGTAAGCTCTCAATAAGTCATGCTGTCCCGCACTTGTTGCTGAACACGTCTATTTTGGTGTCTGGGCCTTAAGTGGCTAAGGAAGTTGAAGCAGCCTCTGGAACCCCAATGCCGGTGCTGGAGAAGATCTACTTACTCTATCACTTAAGCGCAGCTGTGACTGATCCAGCCCCTTAACTCATAGTCCCAATCAGCAGATCGGCCATGGCCAGATGCTGGAAGCTCAAATTTCATACAAGTAGATGAATGGGTGACCCGCCCGTATCCTAAACTTCTCTTACTACCTATATTCACTACTCTGTTTTCCACTCGCCGCGCCGTCAATCACTCTTAAATTATCGTTCTTGCTGTCGTGATCATGTTTCTCAGTGTTCGTTCATGTGCCTTTGTGTTGGCGGTCTACAGCCTCCTCTCGAAACATGGCGCTTCTGCGTTGCCAGCTCTCGAGGAGCGCACCAACAACAAGGCATGTAAAGCGACCGGCGTGCTGTCAGTCATGAAGGTTTTTGCTGCGCCGGCAACCTCATTCTGCGGCTCTTACCTTAAGATTGGAACGGTCACAACCACAGTTGCGACCACCACTCCCGTTACGTGAGTACAGACTCCTCAATGCACAAAGTGATCCGGCTTGCTCAACGCTCTCGCAGTACAACCACCACTACGACAACCACGACCACAACTGGCCCACCAGCTCCGGCCGCCCCGGGTGTACTCATCCCTGACGAGCGAAATATCGAACAGCATCTCGATAAGCGTGCTGTAAAGATCCCAGCCTGGCTAGTGGCTTACGCCACACCTGCTATCTCCTCGGCTTGCTCGTGCCTGAGTATCCAGCCAGCAACAACGCGAGTGACGTACACCGCTTCGACGTCGGTATGTTGAATTTTTCCTTGGGTCTGCTGTTCGCAGCTCTTCATTATTTCACACTGTACATCGCCACGGAAACGACGACTCTTAACGACAACGAGGGATTGCATCCCGAACACCTCGAAGTGCGCCTTCGAGAACGCTGCGCAATGCGGCGGCAGGTCTGACTAAACAGCCCACCTAGGCCTGGTGTTGCTGGCACATGTTACCTTGGATAAGGTCCATGACCTCCGAGGCTGCCTGTGCATGGCTGCTTACACCATCCTGTAGTTCACGAGACTAACCCTCGCGTCTCTGCAGACTCAAACCGCTACAGAAACATTGACCGTAACGTCAATACTGCCGCCTTCGCCTCCGCCTCCAACACTGACATCGACACCCACTTGTTCCGGGGTCGGCTCTCGCTGTTCCAGTGATTCGGATTGCTGCACCGGTATTTGTGACGTTCTCGGCTCTTGCTTGTGAACGGGCGACACCTGCAACGAAGTTCTTATTTGATGTACAGGGTGTTCTTACGGGACGGTGGATAATTGATTTGTAGCTATACACTATAGTATCGTACCAAAACGAGCTATCGTACAGTAGTACCTTGCGGGACCGCGGTCGATGGTTGCGGCAGTGGCTTCCGGCATCACCAACGTGTATATCAGAAACATCAGTTCTACGGACAGCTTTACTAACCGGAAGTCTTCGAAAAACAAGTTGTTCTGAGGCCCTGCCGGTGCGGCCGAAGAAGGTGCGGTGGATACGGATATAGGCGAGAATGTTTATCTGCCAGTGCTGGGGTCAGCGATACCGGAAATGTAAGCTCATAACATGGATGAATTGCTCATTGAACACCCATATTACCCACTAACACCGACATCGGGGACACAAGGGGGTTAAGGTAGGAAGATCTTGACGTTGATGTGATTGTACCTGCCCAAGAGTATTACACGGGTCAAACCAAGGGTCTACCTGTCCAATCATGCATAACCCGCTGCAAAGCCTGCAACAATTCGTCTTTCCTATCTTGCTCACACCAGCTCCCCTCAATACTCGCTCGACATATACTCTCCCACTCCGCCACACTCAAGTTATGCGCCTCCTGCACAGCACAGTAGTTATCTAGAATGTAACCGCCGAAATATGCCGGGTCATCACTATTGATGCTGAACCTGACTCCCGCATCCAAGAACCTCCGAATGGGCACTTCAGCTACGGACTTAACGCACCGCAGTAGCACATTACTGAGCGGACAAGTCGTTAGCATAATACCGCTCTCCGCCACTCTCCTCATCAGCTCGCCGTCTTCAGCAAGCTTGATGCCGTGATCGATACGCTCGACTCCAAGCGTATCGATGGCATTGGCGATGTATGCCGCCGGGCCTTCTTCGCCAGCGTGCGCAGTGCGCCGCAGACCTTGCTCTCCGGCTTTGCGGTACAACTCGCCAAAGAGCTGTGGCGGGAAATCCAGCTCGCTGGAGTCAAGGCCAATACCCGCGACTGCTCCGTGCTCAAAGCTCTCCTGCAGTTCGGCCTGGTTGAAGGTGACCAGGCAATCTGCGGGCGGCAGGTGGCGCAGGAAGCAGCAGATCAGTTCCGTGCTCATTCCTAGCTCCTTACACGCCCGGTCTCGCGCGATGGTGAAGCCGGACAAGACGGTCGAGTACGCAACGCCGCGGGATGTGTGCGCCTGCGGGTCGAAGAAAACTTCGGCGTGGTGGACGCCGTCGGCGGCGGCGCGCTGGAAGTAGGACCACGCGAGGGCCTCGAAGTCAGAGGAGTGGATGAGGACGGACATGCCGATGTAGTAGTAGTTGAGGAAGTCGTCTAGGGATGTGAAGCTGTTTGTGGGGTCAGAACGAGAATCGTCCTGAGACTCAGATATTGGGACGCATCCGGGAAAGTGGGGAACGTACTGGTCATAGCGGAGGCGGAGCGATTCGGCTGATAAAAAGGCATGGTCATCGGCCGGGAGGGTGGTATTGTTACGAGCGGCAAGCTCGAATAGAAGGGATGGCGTCAGGGCGCCCTCTAGATGGATGTGATGCTCGCATTTTGGAAGAGCTTGTAGAAAGACATGGATGGGTGACTTGCACATGTTCCAAGAACGCTCTCAAGTAATGCAAATGGAAACTGAATATCGTGTTCGATAGATTGCAAACGAAGGGAAGTAGAATATGAACGATGGACAACTGATAAGTGGCGAGAAACTGGAAAACCCTAGTCCCAACGGATGCTTAACGGTGGGCGCTTTTGAACGTGATTCCGGACAGCTTGTGTTTACCTACTCAGCATGTGGAAAGGCCCGAAATTAGAGGAGACAAACGGGGAGAGCTTCAAGATCCCTATCAGGCCGAGATTTCAACCTCCTTGCGATAGAGCGGAGGCTTGTTCAGCCGATTGTAAAAGCACGAGGCATAAAAGTAGACCTCTAATTCTTGAAGATAACCTGTGCCGGAGGTCGAGGTTGTATCGGTAGCGGGTCCTGTGGGTGAAGCTAGCATCGGGGCTTGCTCTTCCTTGTCGTTTCAACTGCCCGGTTGTCGACGGTCTTGAAAGAACACAATGGGGAATCCATGACCGGTACTATGTATAACCTATGTTTCGGCAACTTCCGTCGGTCGATGTCGTATAGTGGTTAGTACAAGGCGTTGTGGTTGAACAGCCCTTGTTCCAAACATCCCGCCTAAGCCCAGGTTCGGTAAGTTCACAGTTCGATCTCATCGTGATACGGATCGGGTTTTTTCTGACTCGTCGAAGATTCCTGGCATCGACAATGGTGCCACGTTAGCCCTAGATTGCGTACTTTTTGCCAATGGTTGCGAATTGCCCAGGGGCTGGCTGGCTACTCAAAATGTCCATGGCCCCTCTTGGCTGGATTCTGGGCGCGCGGAGAGGCTACAGACCTCGCAGGCAACCTGCAGCATTTTTGAGATGAAGAGGACGAGCACTCTTGCGGCGATAAGTTTACTCAGCGGTAAGTGGACACAGATATTCAGGGTGTTTACTTATTGCAATCTTTAGGGCGCAAGCGCTGTTTTGTATTAAGGAAGAGCAATCTGCATCTTATGATTTAGGATTCATCTCTCCATAACTGTTACTAAGCTGCCAGCGCTTCGGCTTTAGATTACTTACATGCTGAGCTGTGAAGACCGATCGGCCTTTATATCTCTTTTGCGAGTTCGTCTTAAAGACAAGATAGTCACGGACATGGAGGCGCAATAAGCCTATAATATTCGGTGATTGGACAATACTTTTCAAGTGAATTGCGGAGGGTATCTTCCCCGTGTCAGCCATGTCCTCACAGACCCGCCTTTGACAGGCAGTTACTCCCTGCTGCTGTCTCATAACAACGAGCCGAGTAACAAACTCCACTACGAAGCACAACCTTCGAAGAAGCGGGTCAGCTCCGCCAAGGATCTATCCATCATGATTCGCGTGACAGCTGAGTCGCTGCGCATTTTCCGGCGGACAGCTCGGGCGGAGGCATCCGAGCCGCTGGAAGCGTCGAGGTGTGGGAGAGGAAGATCTGTAGATCATTGAGGCTCCGATCTCCATTAGGCTTTCTGCATGTGCCCGGTCAGATACGACCACAAATGACAGTTATCAAGAGAGTAGCACCACGTGGACTCCAACATGTGTATCTTGACACTTGAGACAACCAACCACAATATTAATCCGTCGTACGGCTGTTGACCCTGCTGCCGCTTGGTGACAGATTTGCGGTTCGGGCAGCGGCATTGAGGCTGGCTGAAGCCCTGCTCTCTTACCCACTCCGAACCGCCCGGAAGCTGGAGGACGGCTATTAGCGCGCTGGAAATCCGACTATCAATTCGAGCCGGCAATCTAGACGCACTGAACGTACGATGTCCCACAGTGCCAGCCGCCTCTGCATACATTCGCCAGGGGGTCATTTCGAACTCCTCGTCTGGGGTTCAAGGATCTGTCAAGGTCAAGGCAGGTCCAACACGCAGGTAGGTCCGGAGCCTCGCCTGGATCAGCATCTGTGAAAGCCAATCACCAACACAGTGGGATGGCCGGCTGGGTTTGCAGTCATGGGAGACACGAATTTTGCCACCGCTGCACCATCTCCCTCGCACTTGCTTCAGATTCTTTCTGCGCACGCTGCAGCTAAAATCAAATCAACCGGACTCGTGAAACACAGGCGGATCTGACAGTGAGCGCGCCGCAGGGTGCGTTTTCCACGCGAACGTGGAGAAACAACGTGGCCATTCGGTAGAACAACGCCACCTGCAATCGAAGCTTGCGGCATAAAAGTGGCGACGATACCATCCCGGTCACTGGCTGAGGCTTTATGGCTGACTTCGCGGTGTGGGCTGCCGCTCCGTCCAGGCTACTGCCGACGAAGCGACCTGTCGGAGTGGTGCCGGAAGGCCAATCGAACGACATTTGTAGCCCCTTCTCCTGATCTTCTTCTGCATTCCTCAGCACCTGAACATCTCGATGAACCCCTTGTTGGATGGCAAGGTTGTCCAAAGGGAAGGTAACTAAGTTAGAGCAAGATTGCGGCCCCGGGCGAATGACCTGACATACCAAGCGTCACCGCACGCTAGGAGGCGGGCAAAACAGGCCCCAAGCGTCTAGCAGACCGAACTACTAAAAGCATGGACGCTCTTGCGTTCGCGAGGGCTCGCCTAAACCTTGAGTTCTCGCAGGAGTGGGGTCCGTCCCGCTATCATTTCCATCATCCGAGCTCACGGTTACGGGACAGTTATGTGCTCGACACTCATTGACCTCGCAATCATTTTGAAATTTTTACGTTGCGAAGACAGGCTTAAGATTGTCCGGAGGGGCACAAATACTCCGACTTACCAGAAAGTCGAAAAGAGAACAATCGTGCTGCAAGGAGCAGGCGGAACCTTCCACGTTGAAACCTTAAACAACCGCTAGAACCCGTCACTCATCAGCCATCTTCTATTCCGGATCGTCACTGGATCACCCTGCTGGCAGGAGCCGTCGGCAGGGATCCCGCCCGATGATGCAGGTCAATCGCTCCCCGCTGTCGTCGTCATTGGTCAAACCCCCAGCCGTACCACTCGGATCCAGAAAAGAAAACCGTCGCCGCGGAGCGGCCAGAGCACAATGGTTTTCTGGAAGCTTGAGGCCCTCGGGTATGCCGAGCAGGGCCTCCTCGTCGCTTTCCATCCAGGTGGCATTGGTTCTCTCGGCGGCGTGGAGGGGCAGGGTAAGTCAGTGTAGGAGCCGAGATTCGTGTCCCCATCAGCTCCCGCTCCGCAAGCTCCATCCCAGACATGCCGAGCTGCCACTGGCTGTGGCGCCCGCATGGAAGGTGAAGCTTGTCCGCTTCTCCAACCCGGACGAGTGGCATCAAGAGCTAGAACGAGACATGGGCTCGAAAGTGGCCGGTCTAGGTGCTTTTAGGCGAGTTTTTAGCTCCCCTGAGGTGCTGGCCACAAACCACTTGTACTCGTAAGAGCAGGCCAGAAAATGGGGGCTGGAGCATCTTGTTATTCTTTCCTGGCCACATCTCTTTGAAGGCGCATGCGGATGCACGGCAAGCCTAAGCGCATGCACTACGAAAATAATTGGGCATCAACGGGGCGCATTCTACTGTCCCACCTCGTCAAGCAGCATGCTACTGGCCGTTGATGGCGACAAGCTAATCGACACGTTTTAGATTGTGGCGCTTTCCGCCACGACTCGGTACCCACATCACATTGTTTCCGTGGGGAAGATAGTGCTTGGCTTGGCGGAAGCGACTCGGGCCTCTAGGCTCTATTGAACGAGGTTGTTTTTGTGAAAACTCACTGTTCGCTGGGCTTGCCTCGGAAGTCGCAAGATGCAGCCGTTACTCCTTCGCAGTGACCTCCGGGTGCTTTGCCGCTGCCGCAAGTGTCATCTGGACTTCGGCGCCTCACCCTGAAAACGTTCGATGCTGTGTAGATCCATCGCACCCTACGCGATCTAATCTTTCACATTCAGATCCGTCCTTCGAGGCTTCAGTTGACAAGCGTAACATGTCCCATTTGAAAATTGTTGCCCACATCAGCAAGGGGCTACAGTCTACTTCGCCTCGTGAAAGACCAGCACAGGGTACCATCATCTCAGTCCTTGCAGTTCGCTGCCACTGTCGGGATCAGCACGAATTGCGCGCGTCTTGCTAGTCCCTTCCCGCATGCATGTTGTAGGTGCTTACCAGGTTTCAAGTCTTTCTATCAAACCTTCAGCAGCCAGGATCACCCCTTCTGTTGATCGATTTCGGTATCAGCCGCTCCTCGTTCCGCTGTATCTGCTCATCTGACAAGGGGCACGTACATAGGGAGACGACTAGAGGTCTATCCGTGCCGAACCCAGCATCTCGGTCGCTGCACCAGCACCAAGCTATCAATTGCGGCCATTCGGCAGAATTGCCTGTGCATTACGACGTAAGTCGCACGACCGCTAGGCTCCTTGATCCGGCCGAATCAGGCGAAGTGGAGATCTACGGAAGCTTTCTCTAACTCGCTTTCCCTGAATTCACCTACAATCTTTTCTCAAGCAGAGGACAAGCTTCGTGAATATTCTGACCAGGACTCGTCCACTGACTTCTATTAACTCTTCGCCAGTCTTTGACCATTTTTGCGCCACCAGCTGGAGGCAGGCAACCATTCGGCTGTTGCCGAGCCCGTTCAAACATCAATAACGATATCTTTCTGGGGACCGCCTTTGCTTGGAGATCTTGTTATTAGACAAGATGGATGGATCAGGAACGAGCCCGTACGCGCATCAATCGCAACATCCGAATTCCCTTCATCATGAGTCCTCGTCCGTGTCATCCAATGCCTCATCCCATACCCTCATTCCTACGCCGTCGAGTCTGTTCTCAGGTGCGCCGTCGACGCGGCCGCACACCTTTGCTACTCCTTCGCTCCAGCATCATTCTTTGTCGAGATCGTCCGCTGGGCTTAACATGAACGCTCACAACCCACCTTATGGCATTTCGTCGACCTCTCCAAGTACAGCGACGGGTAGCCTTCCCGACGCCCTACCACCTGGCGAACTGCTCATGGCCGGAGTCAGGTTCTCTCCTTCTCATCTATCGGCTAGCTTGTCTGCTCAGAAGAGAGCCTACCGACAGCGCCGAAAAGATCCGAGCTGTGATGCGTGCCGAGAACGGAAAGTAAAGGTATGCTGTTTATCATAGCTACGCATGGGTAGTTCTTGGAAATTCGGGTGCACTTGTCTGTAGGCTGGAACGAGCGAAAAGCAGATAGGCGCAGCGAGTCATTCGCCTGGTTTTGGTGGATCTTCTTCAAAGGCGCGATACTGACAGCACTTACAGTGCGACGCCACAGAAACAACGAGCTGCTCGGAATGTTCCAGCAGAAGCGTAAAGTGCCAGTTTACAAAGGAGACCAATCGCCGTATGTCTTCCATCAAGTAGGTCGCTCACACCATATGCTACTCAGTGCCTCAAGGTAGCTGACCAGATCAAGGCAGGTGCAAGACCTGCAAAGTCAACTGGCGGACGCGAAGCAGCAGATCCATCATCTACGAGCCATGTACGAGGTTGGCGGGATGGAAATCAGCGCAAGAAGCGCAGATGTTCCAGCTTTAAAGCTTCCGGACATCCATCCTAATTCGGAGAGGAAGCGAACTTTGCCAACTATAAACAATTTCGACCACGTTCGAAAGAACATACGAATCTACTCTCGGGGTATATTCAAGGCTCCACCTCCTTACAGGCAGATGGTTTCTCAGCCCCCATACTCTTCGAGCTCTGTCAAGTTGCCGCCTCGGCATGTAGCAGATCGTCTTCTCACCCAGTATCGCAACTTTTGTCACTCATTCGGACCACTGCTCCACTGGCCAACGTTCTCTCGCGCTGTCGATGCTGTTTACTCCGCCGGCACATTTCGAGGAGTTCACCAGGAATGGGTGTCGCTATTTTTCGCGGTACTGGCAGTCGGTACACTCCAAACGACAGACGCTCCGTCAAACGGGGCGCGGCCGGACGTGGAAGGTGTTGATTATCTCAACACCTCACAGAAGACTATAAACACGTGGACAGATGAGCTGAACATTGACCAGGCCAGGACAGGCCTTTTAATCTCTATATTCTTGGTCGAGATGAACTTAAAATCAGCCGGCTGGGTATGGCTAGGAGCCGCCGTAAGAATAGCGCAGGATATTGGACTCCATTGCGAGAGTGGTCCTTGGCCCGTGATCGAAGGCGAGGTTCGTCGGCGAGTCTGGTGGACCATTTTCACTTGTGATAGGTGAGCCTCCGATGACTCCTTACTTTCCATGCAAAGTCTCTGCGAAGGACGGATACTTGCACTTGCAGCAAGGCCTGCGTACCCTTTAATAGACGCATTGAAAGCAGACAGCTTTCTTGCAGTGATCTGTATCCCAACGCTGGCAGAGGTTTAGCAAGAGGATTTTTGAGAAGCCTATTCAATGTTCAGGAGAATTTCCAGCACCCATCAGAACATTCCGCTAATCGATTTAGGTTCCTCTCGCTTGAAGTCGGAAGGCCACCACTCATTGACGACGACGACACCGATGTTGAATGGCCTTGTCCAGTGGACGACTACTACATTCGTCCGGGTGGCATTACAAGGCCTCCTGGAAGCAGTAATCCCCAGCACAGTCTTACTGTACTGATACCGGTCGTGCGGTTCATCGGTCAACTCAAAAAGACGCTTAAAGCCCGATTCATCCCTCCGGGAGTCCTGAAGACCTATGACGACTATTTTCGCTCCCTCACGGCGTCTTTTCCGGAGCCTTTCCAGACTAATCGCGACGCATACCTCGATCCAATCTGGTTAACCCATGCATTTACGTTACAGATTGCGAGGTTCTTCCTCTATCGTCACAACCTCTCTACCGCCTGCCGTTCAGCAGATCGTGTAGATGCGCTGAGTCGCTGTCACACGGTAGCGCTGGATACCGTTCAATACATTATGCGCGGCTTGCAGTCCCCTCCGACTTCTCCCGAGCAGCAGAGACATTCTGGCGGTTACCCTTACGCTCAGGAGCAGAGGTATGTCTAACCCTTCCTCGCCTCCAATCTTGTTTCCTGAAGTCTATTTCATGGCATCCTGATACTGTACATCGTGTTGATCTTCTCCGTCTGCGCCTTGGTCCTTGAGATGCTCAGCGATCACTTGCGGCTCAGAAGCACACAATCCTGTATCTCGGAGACACTCAAGCCGCGTAAATTGCGTTTGCTACAGACCATTTCTAAGACTACTATATGTGAAGCTAACGGCTATCGCTTATGCAGTTGGCGGGCTAAGGTTCTTTCCACGACTACCACCGTAATGTGCACTCATCTCTGGCGGTGTACACTCATACTCTGTTTCCGAGCTGATTACTCCAATGCTCTCTCCTGCGTTCGCGTCAGCTCCGCAGTTGGCGACTTACGGCTTGTTAATAACGCCTGCGGACGTAACCTGGCCTTTTTCCTCGACCGCCTTACCGAGCGGGTACAAAGCGGCAACGGCAGTCAACAGCAGCTGGAGATTGACGAGGAGATGCTCGCATACGTCAGCGGCGATATGCAGGGCTGCACGGAAAATTCATGGGTCTGGACGGGCAGCGAGACAGGCATGAAACTCAACAACGGCTCTTCCCATTTCAACTTTGGCGGACCTCTTCACCCTGCCACAGACGTCAATGCTCGTGACGGCGGCGATATGGCGAGCGACACGCTCGGCCTCCGTCCCATATTAACGGACTCCGACAAAAGAGAATGGGGCGGGTGGGAGAGAGTTGAGCGGATGATACACCATTTGCTGGACGATCAGCGGAAGCGAGCTCAGCAATCACAAGCGTATTATCACCAACCTTCACACAACTCAGGCAAGCGGCTGCATCTGGCGCCGCCGGAAGGTCCGGCCTCTGGACCTGCGTCAGCTGGGACGAGTCCAAATGGCACGTCACGAATCAGCATTGCGAATATCATATAAACAACCGGAGTCCCTCCCGACCCCTACGAACGAGCGTGGAATCGAACAGCCACTCGAGCACTCACATGATCCATGTCTTACGCTCGCGCGGCTCCGCCATACCGAACTATTAGGCCCTGGGATTGAACAAATGGCGACTCAGGCCGTCCCTTGATAACGCCATCGCCATCGTCGCCACCGCCATCACCATTGCTTATGGCTGCCTTGCCAGAAGACAATAGGTCCGCCGCCATCCCTAATCTCTATTACACGTTCTTGACTGCTGCGAACCATGAGAAAATTTATCCGTTGCTCAGCGTTTTGCATCCTAAATTTTTTCCGCTTTTGTCCTTGGCGGCCTTTCTGTCTATGGCCGAGTCACATAGGGCGTCTCCTACGCATTTCGACTTACGAGGAATATATTCGCGCTTGTATGGCACTGCATGGCGCGGCTGGTTCACGCATGACGCCCACGATTGACGGACCTGTAATGTATACCTGAGCAAAACACATGACGAAGAGCAGGGAAGCGTAAGATATTGTCGCATACTGCAATTGAAGGACCAGATAGGTATGTGGGATCGTACTAGATGTATGTGGCGTCGAGGCGCATCAACAAAGCTCGACCCTTATGGGTGAGGTAACAAAGGGAGTCACATCTGTTGATCTTCAAAGCATCCCCAACGCTCGCGCAACACAACCTTGTAGTAGTATCATGTCTTGATTACTCTAGCATCTGCACACCTGACCATCTCTAGCACAAGATGCTCTTCTGTGCAGCCACAGGCAAGAAGCGATAAGAGTGTTGTGCCAAGCGCTGGATCGGGCCGTTGACATGTGGAAACACGTTTCCCTTGTCACACGTCGGTCCGGATCTCCGGTGGAACGGACCGGATCACGGCTGGATCACGTTGCGGCGTGTGGCGCAGGCTGGATGCTGGATGCTGATTTCATGAATCCCATCTTCCCATGTGACGTGTGCCTCCTCGTAATAGGAGGTCCAGCCAGAAAAGTGCGTGCCGTAGCACTCCGGAACTGCCCCTTGGACATCACCAAGCAGGTCTAATTCCAACATTCATTTCCGCAGCTGGTATGCCTACCGCATCAGTAAACAGAGCTGACCCTTTCAGCTTGAAGGCACAGCAGCCCGCACGGGACACACATGTCTCTTCAGATTGGCAGATTGGTCTCGGCTTACTTTTAGTTTGCGCTGTTTTCCCCCTTTCAGCCAGCCCCGCTGTTGCCGCTCCTGCACTGTCTCGGCTCCTGCTGCAGCATTGGCCCCTCAATGATCCAATCCCGCTGGCTCCTGCTGTGCGGCTCTGACGTCGCGCGGCAACTCCCCGCATCTCCCGCATCCCCCGCAGACCGCTGCCACAGCCAAGCTTTGAGATCTTGGAAGCTGAAGCTTGACTCTGTAGCTAAGAGGTGATCGTCGGCAGTCAGCCTCAACTTTCCACTGTCAGCCGTCACCGCTGTTTCGAGAAAAGCTCCTCATTCAAATACCTCTTTCCTCGTTGTTCATTAAACCTACCCTACCTCTGATTCCTTGTGACCTCTCCTACTTGACGTCAGCTCGCCGCAATCATGGTCCATCTAGCCCAGGTCCCGACAGACAAGGAGAAAGAGACTCCCCTCGTGGAAGGTCTCGAGAAGGCCAAGTTCTTCGAGGAGAATGAGGAAGACGGTGTAACAGCAAGCGTCTATGGAAGCCGCTTTGCCGCACAAGATCTCCCGCGGATCGAGATGCCCGAGAAGGAGATGCCCCGCGAGGTAGCCTACAGGATGATCAAGTCAGTTCACCCTCTCTCCACCCATTGGAGCACCCACAACTAACCTGCACGGTGAAGGGACGATCTGACGCTCGATGGCACGCCGACGCTCAATCTGGCCAGCTTCGTGACTACATACATGGAGGACGAAGCCGAGAAGCTCATGACGGAATGCTTCTCCAAGAACTTCATCGACTACGAAGAGTACCCCGTGAGCGCCGATATTCAGAACCGGTGCGTGTCCATGATCGCGCGTCTGTTCAACATCCCTGTTCACGATGAGAACACCAACGCCATGGGCACAAGCACCATCGGCAGCAGCGAAGCGATCATGCTGGGCGTGCTGGCAATGAAGAAGCGCTGGCAGCAGACGCGCAAGGCGGCGGGCAAGAGCACCGAGAACCCGAACATCGTCATGAACGCGGCCGTGCAGGTATGCTGGGAGAAGGCGGCTCGGTACTTCGATGTTGAGGAGAAGTACGTGTACTGCACCAAGGATCGCTATGTCATTGATCCGAAAGAGGCGGTCGATTTGGTGGACGAAAATACGATTGGTACGTGAAAGCGTATTTGATACCAGCCAAGTTGTTCTGACTTTTCTTAGGCATTTGCGCTATTATCGGGACGACTTACACGGGCGAGTATGAGGACGTCAAGGCTATCAACGACCTGTTAGTGGAGCGGAACATTGACTGTCCCATCCACGGTAAGCCACATCCCTATCCTTCTCACCTTGTTCGTACAAGCTGACATGCCCAGTCGATGCCGCCAGCGGCGGCTTCGTCACCCCCTTCGTCAACCCCTCCCTAGAATGGGACTTCCGGCTCCCCAAGGTCGTCTCCATCAACGTCTCCGGGCACAAATACGGGCTCGTCTACCCCGGTGTGGGCTGGATCATCTGGCGAGACCCCGAGTACCTTCCCAAGGAGCTAATCTTCAACATCAACTACCTCGGCGCCGACCAAGCCTCCTTCACACTCAACTTCTCGCGAGGTGCGAGCCAGATCATCGGACAGTACTACCAGCTGATCCGGCTCGGGAAGCACGGCTACCGGTCCATCATGCTGAATCTGACGCGCACGGCCGACTATCTGGCTGCGAACCTCGAGAAGCTCGGCTTCATCATCATGAGCCAGAAGGGTGGCGAGGGACTGCCGCTCGTCGCGTGTCGGCTTAAGCCGGGGAAGCACTATGACGAGTTCGCCGTTGCGCACCAGCTGCGTGAGCGCGGCTGGGTCGTGCCGGCCTACACGATGGCGCCGCACAGCGAGAATCTGAAGCTTATGCGGGTGGTTGTGCGCGAGGATTTCAGCCGCAGCAGGTGCGATGCGCTCATTGCCGATATCAAGCTTGCGCTGCAGGTGCTAGATAAGATGGATGGGGATCGCATTAAGGAACATCAGGAGCATATCAAGCAGCATGCCACCAGGACTGGAAGGCATAGGAGGATGAACAAGCATTTTGCGGATGAGAACCATAGCTTGCAGGGGAAGCATGGGAAGACGCACGCCGTGTGCTAAGGGAAGAGGCTGGGCTTTGGAGGCATTGCTGGCAGAGCTACCTCATACCTGTTCCGGGTCTGAGTGCTGGAGGCAAACCGCCTGGGTGGTGTGCCCACTGTCCGATCTGTTGATAGAATTGAAAAGCAATATGTATACGAGCTACGAAAAGTTCCGGGTAACTCAAAAAACGTGGCTGTAGAAGCAGTCCCGCTCAGTACGCGACTCACTACACAAGAAAGTTCCTAAGAGAGCATGCTGCTTATAGTAAGGTGCATATCTTCGTGCTTCCAAGCCATGCAGGCTCTTATTAAGGCAGGCTCTCTAGGATCAGCTCTATTACTTTGAGAGATGCTGCCAAAAGACCGGATCAAGCTTGGCCAAGATACCTCCACCGCAAGGGCTGGTCATCAGCTCCCAACCCCTTCACTATAACGACTTGCACGTCACCCGGCACAACGTCGAGGGCACTATCATTCAGGAGCACGCCTTCACGCTCCTCAAAAACCAGGCCTTTAGTCGGCTTCTCCGCGACAACAGTGACTGTGTTCCCGTCCCACTTGACTTGAACCCCTCGGTCTTCGAAGCTGAGATATTTCAGTGGCTGGGGCCAGTCTACGTCTCGGGCGACCACTCGAGCATCGATCCATAACCTTGCGGTAAGGACGTGAGGTTCTTCCTGAACATTATCAATGGTTCCGGAGAGTACGTCGGTCGTGCCATTCGCGACGATCTCGATGTCATTCTTGACAACAGCATCCTTGATTTCCTTCCCCGTCGCAATGGAGATGAATCGCAATTCAACGGTAGCAGTCACCGGCTCAGCCTTACTGCTCGCTACCCAGAGCTCCCAGTCACTAGTCTTAGCAGGCCGCGCATGTGTGATGCTCCAGTCGTGATGCGCCCGCTTGACCGCAACTGCGACTGGTGCCAGCGCCCTACGCATGGCGTAGTAAGCTGGCTTTTTACGGAGGAAGTAGTCCACGATGGACCACGAGGTCACGGGCCAGCAGTCATTGAGCTGCCAGACCAGAGCGCCACCGCAGCGGCGCTTTTGGCCCCATTGTCGCCGCCAGCCGCGGTAGCCGAACATGAGAGCTTCGGCTTGGGATAGCTGCGTTAGGTGGATGAAGGCCTGTGTATGTGTAATCAGTGATCGTTTCATCCGCAAGCAAAGAACTAGGTCGTACCTCTAGGTCAGTCTCTGTGCGGAAGTTCTCCACAAGGTAAGTCGCTATTCTTCGCTCGTGTCCGTCGGCTTTGTTGTGGAAATCTAGCATGCGCGATTGCGGATACAGCTGCGATTCGTCTGTGCAGAAGTGTTTGATAGTGTCGATGTGGGGGAAGGCTTCCATGCCGAATTCGCTGTTGAAGCGGCCGCCGAGGGTATCGAAGATTTGGTACTTCTCTTGTGTACCGTGCCATACTGAGAGGGAATAAGCAGGGTCGCCACTACATGTGGCACTCGGTGAACGCGGACTCACCGTTCCACTGGTGCATGTCGCCCACTGTGGGATTGGAGGTAATGAGTCCATCGCCCCAAGGACTGCCTGGATGATACGCAACGTGAGGGCTCTCCGCTTCAACTACCTCAGGTAATAGCTGTGCTCGATCAGGAATGATTTAGTGAGTTTGTTCGCCAGGAACACACGCCTACACTCACCTTTTCGTAGATATATCTGGCCGGAAAATCAGTCTTGAGCCAGCTCTCTGGATCATTGTCCTCATAGTGGTAAGTCAATCCAAACGACTCTTGGACTTGATAATCCTCGTTGTTGCCAGCGTAAACAACGATGCAAGGATGATGCCGTAGTCTGCGGACATTGGCGACGCACTCCGCTTTGATAGTCTTGAGGAATTCGGGAAAAGCTGGATAATTCCCACAGCCGAACATGAAGTCTTGCCACACTAGAATACCAAGCTCGTCGCAGAGATCGTAGAATACATCTTCTTCCCAAATACCTCCGCCCCAAATTCTGAGCAATGATTAGCATACAGCAGAGCATTTGGTTAATCAGCTGCGGAAGAGTGTTACCTGATCATGACCTGATAGCCATCAACCATCAACTCCAGCCATTTTCGATATCTCTCGGCTGATACTCTGGGCGTGAAGCTATCGGCAGGTATCCAATCCGAGCCGCCGCAGAAAACGTCGATTCCGTTGATGCGGAAGTAGAAGGACTTGCCAATCTCATCCGGCTCTTGTACAAGTTCGCCCTTACGGAAACCAATCTTCTGGGTTGCGGAGTGGAGGTTAACCTCGCGCCCCGAGATGGTTGCGGTTATCTCATACAGAGGTTGCCCTCCATATCCGTGGGGATACCACAGCTTGGGTTCGCTCACGCGGAATTCCACTTCGGCCATACCGTTCCGGTCCACCTCGGTTCTGGCATCGAAGACGGTTGCATCCGCAAGACGAACTTGAAATGTTACAGACTTGGCGGCAGCACCCTCAACATGGGCAGTCAATGTTCCATTTACACTTTTGAGGTTCGTGCTAAGTTTGTAATCAACACGCAGGTCACTGATCCTCGCCTCGTATGTCTCTAGGCGGACTTCTCTCCACGGTCCACAGGTGTTGAGGATTGGGCCCCAGTCCCAGCCCCTAGGACAACATCAACAAGTGTTGAAAATACTGGCGGTGGGTAGCAGTCCATACCAGTGATATTGCGCTTTTCTAACGGCCAATCTTGACATGTCTCCGTTGAAACCTACCCACTTGTGCTCCGGATAAGCCTCCTTGATCTCGATAGCCCGAAGTCTTGCGGATTCGAAATCAATCTCCAGTACGTTCACCTTGCCGTACCGCATACGATTCGTGACGTCCACCCGATGAGAAATGAACGTATTATCACTCGTAAGGATGACTTCTTCGTTAAGCCTGACTGTGGCAAAGGTATCTAGACCGTCAAATGCCAATACAACGATTGACCCATTTTGCAGCTCGATGACTTCCGGTAATTCGATCCTGTACGTCCATGATTGATCTGCAACCCATTCGCACTCTAGCTCGTTGGAGGCAATAAAAGGGTCGGGGATTCTGCCAGCCGATCAGCTTTGTTATCAGCCACGGCTTGTAGTGCGTATGTACACATTGTTATCCATTAAATCTAGATGGACGTTGGTGGGAACGCGAGCGACGGGAAGCCAGGCATCCTCGGAGACATCGTCAGTCTTCTTGAATGACCAGCCACTGTTCAGCTGATGGACAACGAGTGCCCGGGCCATCTGTATCGCAGGTGAGGTTGTGTTTTTTGCTTGCATCCAGGATGATGGAATACGCTGTCTCGTCCGTGCTGGAAGTCTAAGGGCAGGGAACTCGCATATCAGATCCTGGGATTACTCGTAGAGACACAGTCGCATGCTTCGCAACCAGGCGGCCATAAACGCTAGCTGCTCCTCAGGAATCCTCATTGCCGGAGCCCGTACCTCCAGTAGCTTCACTCGCAGGTACTCCGTTGCAAGCGGATGCGGATATTGGTGGTGCTTGGCGGCGAAGGCCATCTGCCACGTGATCCACGTGATTCACGTGACTCTCAGCGGGCGCACCTCCGCGAGGCAATCGACTAGTCCGATTCAGGCATGGCTTCACCGTCACAGACATTCGTAATTGTCGAGTAATTCCGTGGTCAGGCCAGCGAGCTGTCGCCGACGACTCCTCAACGCGACAACTGTCTCTCCTTACAGTTCCAAGTCCCTCCTTCACGTTTTACGAACAGCAATCGAGTCTACAAAACAAACAACACTTTAACCGTCGCATCCGCCGCTCCAAGCTCGATCCCCCGTTCTGTTATCGACGCTTATCGAATACCTTTCTCACCAGCGACCCTTCCGGCCTCTGCCTCAACCATATTCACCGGCTCCTGATACCGCTCGCGCTCGAACGCGTTGAGCAATTCTAAAAGGGCTTTCTCAATCCAGACTCAGGGATCCCAACCGCCTACGGGAGCCTAGAAGTCGAGCCTTCAGCAGCACGTGCCTCGTATCGCTCTCTGCCGGACCGCAACATAGCTGTGGATCCTTTTCGATCGAGTGAGGAACATCAGTCACACGCTCCTAAGTGCTTCGGGGTGCAACGCAACGATGGCGAAAGAGGCACTGGCGAGTAGCAATGGGAGTGCTCATGGTGTGCCCTCCCGCAAAATGCGTGCGGAGCCCGACGAGAACATCTTCATGTTTGTTCCAAACCTAATTGGTACAACGCGCGTTATTTGAATCTTTGGTGACGATTCTAACTGATTCCTCATTGTAGGATACTTCCGCATCGTCCTAGCAGTCGCATCCCTCTACTACATGCCCCTCCACCCGCGTACCTGCTCGCTATTGTACAGCATATCCTGTCTTCTCGACGCACTTGACGGAGTGGCGGCACGCAAATTCCAGCAGTCGACCAAGTTTGGCGCCGTGCTAGACATGGTGACGGACCGTTGCACAACCGCTTGCTTGCTCGTCTTCCTGGCCTCCGCTTTCCCAAGGTGGTCCCTTGTATTCCAGGGCCTAATCAGCTTGGACCTGGCGAGCCACTACATGCACATGTATGCGACATTGACGATGGGCGGCAGTGGGCAAAGTCACAAAAAGGTCGACGAGAGCCGCAGCTGGATTCTGAAGCAATATTACTCCAACAATGTATGTGCTCTGAAGACTTCTATGGAATTTCGGGCGCTGATGGTCTCCACAGAAAGTTCTATTCACCTTCTGCGCTTTGAATGAACTGTTCTTCATCGCGCTCTATTTACTTTCCTTTTCCTCGCCGACCCTTTCGCCCTCCCTCTTACAGCCGTCGCCTTCGTCGCTGCAACCAGGGAGCCCCGCTGCGCCAAAGCCGAGCCTACTGTTCACGAGCCCTTGGTCGGCAGGTGCTATGGAGATGGCCCGGTAAGTTTCCGCCATAATCCATTACGAGCTCGGCAGAAGCTGACATGCCTCAAAGGGCCAACAAGATGGACAGCACGGTCCCTTGGATCCTCGCGGCCATCTCCTTCCCAGTCATGGCGGGCAAGCAATTCATCAACGTTGTGCAGCTTGTCAAGGCGAGCAGATGGCTTGCTGAAGGTGACATCGCGGAACGCAAGCGGCTTGGATTACCGAAGAAGAAGAACTAGTTCATGACGACACCAGTAACCGTAGCGGTGATGGAGTTTCAAATGCTTCAAGTCACTCCTTGCGGACAGTACTCCGTCACTCGACGGACACGGGGCGTTATGGATAATGGGACTTTGAGATTCTGAGTGGAATCTAGGATCCTGATCTATTGCTTCTATACTGGAGTAGATCGATCAGGCGAAGCATGAGATTATCCGACAGCGCTTCTCCTACGCGCTCTAACAGAGGCGGTTTGTTTGTAACATAGTACAAATCTAGTGTAATGCTAATCCTCAAGACAAACACTGGAGGCCAACGAGGACCTGTTCTCAGCGAACCCTATGCCCGCTGGGCGTGGCTCGTATGGTTTTGTCATCGTAATGGCACTTAACCGGCCGAGTATGCTGTGAGTAGCTGAGGTGCAGGATATTGCTCCTGCGGAAGCACAGCCCTATCGGCAGTTCGTTTGTTTCAAGCAGTTCAAGGTCCGGATAGGCATGTACTCTATCCTGAAGGGCAAGGGGAGGGGACGCAGGAAGTCTTCTTCCAGGCATGTCTTTCGATCTGGAAGGGACAGGGTTGTGATTGCTGTCGGGGGGGCATCGTTCTACATCAGTTGCGAAGCTCTACTCACTGCACAGCTTACTCGTAGCCCTGAGACATTCCACGGGTGTGCACGGTAGCCTCCCGGACCTCTGCTCGATGCCGGGGTGTTTTCCTCGAAGATCGTTGGAGCTTCCAGGTTCCCCGCATTTACCCCAGACAATCTACCCCGACAAGCTCAGCGCTAGTTACTGCAAGACTGCAAGTTCGAGCCACCCGAGGTCCATTCCAGCAGTGTGGGACGACGCCGAGTCGCAAAGATCGTGCCTGGAACGCCAAAGGGCTGAAGATTGGACGACCTGGCCTTGTCCCGCAGCACTTTCAGAGGGGAGCGCTATCTGGTAGCTAAACGTAAGTACCTCCTCTCTGACATGTCCATGCTGCGCGCTGAGTTACTTAGGGAATCTCCAGCGGTAATATCTGATCGCATGGCTGTCGCCGAGTATCAACAGCCAAGGACCATGTACGGAGGCAATTACAAGATCAACGTAGAGAAGTGTTATCATCTACAACCGAAATGAGGAGGCAGCGCTTGTTGCGTTTAGCTGTCGGGTGACATTCGGCTCCACACCACCACCACCTGTAGAGGTGCTGCGGAGCGCCTTGGCCAGTCCAAGACGGTCGAGATTTATGCAACTCGAGCCTCGGTACTCTGCTGTTCTTGACCGGGCACCTACAACAGAGCTCGAGTATACCTATGCCTTCTATCTCCCTTCAATCTTCTTCTGCTTCTTCTTCATCCTCCATCCACTACACACATCCTAGCATTGTCGTATCACTCTGCACTCTCTAATACTCATACTGTCTCCAGCCAGGCTCGCCTTCCCTCGATCACTTGAGGATTGCTGCCCGTCACAGCAACTCCAATGGCTCACGAGACCAGCTCCATGGAGAGAGTCCCGAAATCTATCGACGAGAAGCCAGTGGGCGCCTCTCACATTGAACAAGTAGAAGGCCACCCTGGATTGTATGAGAAAGATGGACTCCGCATCTACGGTGATGGCGAGGACCATGATCACGAGCCTCCAGTGAGTGTTTGTGGAGAGTTCATTCACTACTTCTCTAGACTAACCACTCGACAGATGACCAAACGAAGGATCATGAGCTTAGTCGCTATGGCATTTCTCTGGACCGGCTCTCAAATCCCAGTATATATTCTTGGAGGTATCCCTCCGATCATCTACGGTGACCTCGGCGGTTTGGACCGATGGGTTTGGTTCGTACTTGCCAACCTGCTCGCACTGGCTGCTGTCTGTCCGTTCGTCGGCTCTTTGTCCGACCTGATCGGTCGACGATGGGTCGCCCTGATGGGCTCCGCCTTCCTTGTGGTCGCTATGATCATATGTGGCACAGCCCCGAATATGAACCAGTTTATTGGTAAGTCATGCTTCCAGTAGAAGTCCAGCAATACCGCAACTAACCTTCCTTCAGCTGGCATGACCCTCTCCGGAGCCGGAGCCGGCATCTGCGAATTGACGTCTCTAGCTGTCACCTCAGAACTCGCGCCAACCCGCAAGCGAGGCAAATACGTCGCTGTTTTGATCTTTACCATTGTCCCATTCTGTCCATCCGTCCTCTGGGCTCAGCTCATCGCAGCACACACCTCATGGCGGTACTGCGTCCTGTTCTGCGGTCTCTGGGCTCTCGTTGGATTCCTCGGAACGGCATTCTTCTACTTCCCGCCCCCTCGCCCTAACGCCCGCGGCCTCAGCAGGAAGGAAATCATCATGGAGATCGACTTTGTCGGCGGATTTCTCAGCATCAGCGGCATGATCGTCTTCCTGGCAGGCCTCCAATGGGGCGGCTACCAATACCCTTGGTCATCTGCCCACACGCTCGCTCCACTGATCATCGGCGGCTTTGTTCTATTCGTCCTCTTCCCGCTCTGGGAGATCAAATTCGCCAAGTTCCCCATGTTCCCTAGTCGAATGAAGAAAGAAGCCCGTACCCTCACCCTCACTCTGATCATCACCGCCATCAGCGGCGCCAACTTCTTCTCCGTCCTGATGTTCTGGCCTACCCAAGCCTTCAATGTCTACGGGCACGACCCCGTCGGTGTCGGCATTCGCGGTCTGCCAATCGGCTTCTCCATCCTCTTCGGCGCCTGCATCGTCCTCTGGCTCCTCTCTGTCCTCCAGGGTCATATCCGCGAACTCCTCGTGATCAGTTCCGTCCTCATGACTGCGGGTTGCGGCTCCCTCGCCATCGCAGATACCGACAACATGTACAAGCTCTGGGGACTACTGATCATCGCCGGTCTCGGTATCGGCGGCATCGTCGTGCCCGCCTCGATCATCAGCACCATCATCTGTCCCGACGACATCATCGCCACCGTCGCTGCGCTCACCTTGTCCATCCGCGTCATCGGCGGCTGCATTGGCTACACGACCTACTACAACGTCTTCGTCTCCAAGTTCGTTCCGAATGCCGAACACTACATAGGCGGCACGATGGCCACCCAGCTCAACATCACGAACGTCTCCTACATCATCCAAGCCATCCAGCTTACCGGTGCCAGCTTGCTCGAGCCCATCAGGCTCATTCCTGGTATCGCGGGGAATGAAACAGCATACCAGATGGTCGTCAAGGCTGGACAGGTCGCTTACGCTGAGAGCTACAAATACGTGTACTTGGCGAGCATCGCTTTTGGCGCTGTCAGTATTATCGCTGCGGTGTTCTTGGGCGATATCAGTAAGTATATGGACGACCATGTTGCTATTGTTATGCATTGAGTTAATTAGGGACTTGAGTACCCGAGGACGAGAAGGGATGCATATATATGTATTAACGAGTGAGGATACCGGTGCTAGAATAGGCATAATGAGAACATGAAAACGACTGTATACACAGCAGACTTTAGTGATACTGCTAGGCACTTGCCAAATGATGGAGATATCGAGGACTTTTAAAGTTTAGACTATCGTCTATGAACTGTTAAGGTGCCAAAGATGTAAGTATCAGGCTGGTTGTCTGGCCGTCGTAGGAATTGCTGACCATCCGGCTTGAGCTTTTGCGCGGCTAAGAGCTGCCACGCTTGATGTGTGACATTATATACTCGTAAAAACACTAAGTTCTTTCACATACGGCCATAGATCAAAGAATACTGGCCATCCCGTCCGCTCTGGCACCTCATAAGCTTTGAATCGGTGGATTAGTAGTTAGGTGGGTGACCACTAGCGAGTCCCCACTGCTGTATGTTTTGCATTTTCACATTTTTGCATTTTTGCCTTTTGCATTTTTGGACTTTTGCATTGTGGCCGCTTCATGGCTCGGAGATCTAACTTTTATCCGGGTTATCGTCGAAAAGGCCAACTGTTCTGCTTCAAAGGGGAACCGCATTGCGGTGTGGTAAAGACAAACTTGAAAGGGACAGCACACCTCGCGATGATGTCTGGGTTCCTGTTGAAGTCGTATTTGGTCTCACTACTACAACTGTGTCACGGATCGGCTTTTCTATTGCTGAACCTTCAAATGGTTACAGGAGCCGCATGCTTGCTTTATGATATCCTATTATCAATATCGCAAACTTTAACATCGTGTGAAACATGCTATCTCAGCTATCTCAGCTATCTTAGCTTATTTGCAGCCTGTTTTGTGTTGATCATTGCATTCAAACGCGTTCAGAGGCTCTGATGTTCAACTTCATGGCCATTTGGCACAAGCGCGGCTATATCTTGGGATTTGCTGAAACTTAGCGATGGGGAAGCTGAACCGTGGCACTGGTGGACTTAAAAAAGTCCTTCAGCTTTTCATCGAGCCACTTGACGTCCTCAGTGCTCTGCCCCGGTCCTGATCCTAATCAGCATGCTGAGTCCTACTGAGGATATGCACGACGCTTACCGCCAGCCCAGTGTCCCCAGATGCTAGGAAATACCTCCATTCTGCCAATCCCGGGACTCATGTTGGCGACCTCGATTTCGGAGTCCTCGGGTCTGCTACAATCAGATTACGTTCAAAGCCGACTCAAGATAAACAACCTACGGAAAGTAGAGGTCGGTCTTGCCTGGCATTACGAGCGCTTTGGCCTTGATGCCTTGCATAGCCTTTTTGAAATCGCCGTTATAGGGGTCTTGGGCCGAGCAGTCGCCGGCTTGCCAGGTGTGGAGCATAACGAGCATGTTCTCTGGATCTGTTCAGGGACTCCTGTCAGCAGTGTGCTGGTACCGTTCCAATCTCCGGAAAAGGTTCGATGGTCAGATAGCGATGCAGCATTGCAGCTGGAAGAGACGCACCTTTCGACAGCGCCCACGCCTCCCAAAAGTTCACCATGAAGTCATCCAGGTCTTTGAATCCAAGGGTTGGGGCCTTTTCATACAACCTCTCCCGATAAAATGCTTGACTAAACCCCCATCCCGCATACACCCTCCCGAGCGCCTTCAACCCGTTGTTCCTCTCCTCATCATTCCAGCCCCTATACTCCTCCTTATCCGCCATCTCGCCCTTCACGATACCGCCAGATGACATCCCCTTCGCAGCCAGCAGCGCACTCTTCACGCCCTCGAGGAAGACCTGGTTATGCAGCGACGTCTTCGCGGAGCCGCAGAACGGTGCAACCAGGTCCATGAATTCAGGGTACTGCGTCGCCCATTGGTACGTCTGGCCCGCGCCCATGGACCAGCCGAGGACGGCTTTGGCGTGCTTGATGTTCAGGTGCTCGGTCACGAGCCTGTACTGTGCCTTTACATTGTCGTAGAAGAGGACGTCAGGGAACGGCTTCAGGTCAGGGGTGTTAGAGGGCGAAGAGGACTGGCCGTTGCCGAAGAGGGCGGTGATGATGATGAAGTACTTTTGGGGGTTGAGGGTCTTGTCTTCGCCGATGAGCCATTCATTGTCGGCGATTGCTGTGCGCGGCGTCAGCGAACGTGGTCTGGTACACGATGTAGCTAACAGAGAGCTCTTTCCACGTACAACCGGAGTACCAGCTCGGGTAGATAATCGCAGGTAGGCTAGGGTCTCCGAATGTCTTGTAGGCGATATGGGCATTGGGGATCTTTCCTCCGGACCTTAGTTCGAAGTCTCCCAAATTGTATGTGCTGTAATGGTCGGCCATTTTGGAGTCCAGTGCACCAGTAATGCTCTTCTACGCAGAAGTCTTTGTATCGGTACATATGGCTTCCATCGGGTATACCCCAGATGGAGCTTCAACCCCGCCATTGATAAGCCTGCGGAGGGCCCCCTTGGCCGAGACTTGCCCAGCAGTCCGAGGTCTCAGTGTGTGCCTCATGCTACTTTCGTAAGCGCATTGTTTCGCGTTGTGAACGTTGTCGTGCTCTATCCAGCTCCGAGGACTTCTTGAGTGGAATGCGGTGCTTGGTGGGGCATTCTCAATGACGTCGTTCTTAGAAAAGCTCCGATATCAACACCACAAGAGTGCCGGCTTAAATGTCGGCAATGCATTGACGTTTTTTTGCTAGTCCTCACCTATAGAAAGATCCGCTTCGTAATCTGCCTTCCTATACTTCCCTTCATCCGCTCTTCTTCCGGGTCGTTTTGCCAATTGCACCGCGTTTCTCAATCCCGGCAACTGTTCCCCCAACTCGACTACCACGTGTCTGTCACCCTACAAGCCAGTAAACCTACCCGTATATCGTGAACATATTGGAAATGGACTCTGAGAAAGTACAACGCGCCGAAGACCCAACGGCCCACGAGCACATGCTCGACTCCGAGAAGCACGTGAAGCGCAACCCGCACCCAGACTTCAAGAAAGTAGAGTCCTCACGCCCCGACTGGCACGAGCAGGACAAGTGGGCCTTTACCAAGACCCGCGATCCGCACTGGAAGCTCGGTCAAGGCCCCAACGACGGCGGAGAATGCCTGAAGAAAGAGCACGTGGAGATTGACCCGTATGCGGAGGGCAGGCCTGCGACGTTTAACTATAAGCTCCTCATTAGCGCTGTCATTCCACGGCCGATTGGATTCGTGAGCACGAGGAGCAAGGACGGTGGGTGGGCCCCGGGGAGCTTGGGTGCGGATTGAGAGGGTGCTGGGCGGCTAGGCTGACAATGGCAGGCAAGAGCACGAATCTGTCGCCGTTCAGCTACTTCAATGTCATTAATCATGATCCGCCGCTCTTTATCATCGGGTTCGCAGGGGGCTTTGAGAAAGCGAAAGACTCGTTGAGGAACCTGACTGAATCGGGAGAATGTGCGTGTACAATTCTCCGGCTAACTTGACCGTTCATACAACCCTTTTACCCCGGAGGAAACGATTGTCAAACGCAGAGCTTACGCCTAGCTTACGCCCACACAGGCTGCCTCAACATCATCTCCGAGCACTTCATCGAGGCGGCCAATGCCTGCTCGATCAATGCTCCCTACGGCGTCTCCGAATGGGCGCTGACAGGCCTGCATCCGGCGCCCTGCAGCAAAGTCAAGGCGTCACGCGTCAAGGAGTCAATCTTCTCCATCGAGGCGGTTCTAGTGGAGACGAAGGAGTTTGAGAGCCGGGCGACGCCGGGTAAGAAGACGGGGGTGCTGGCTATCGTTGAGGGTGTCAGATTTTGGGCACGCGAGGATGCAGTGAACGAGGACAGAAATTTGCTTGATCCTGCGGTATGTTTTGGGCGCGGCTCGTCCTTTTTCTCGAGGAGAGATCTCTCGAGTGTAGCTAGGGAGTTGTGGCTAATTTCAGACGACTAGATCTTGATGCCGATGTCTCGTCTTGGTGGCATCACGTATGGCCGTTTGTTGGAGGGCGTGGAGCTGCCACGGCCTGAGTGGAGCGGAGTCAAGCCGGAAGAGAAGGAGAGGCTTGCAAAGCCTAAAGCTGAGAGCCAGTTATAGACTAGAGGTTGCATGTTGGAGACTTGCCAAGAGTGATAGAAAGATTTAGAAATGACCATCAAGATCTATGACTAACCCCCATCCCAGACTTTATGGTGAAATGGAAAGGGCAGAGTTATAAGAGACGTTTGAACTTCCACCTTTTTGATCAACATTGTTCTTGACTCGTTGACAGACATCCTAGCATTCGACTTTATACCACTGTCATCCCCAGTGATTAGATCGCTCGTCGCTCTAATCCCGTTCATGGATCTAGATGTCCTCCGAGTTGAAAGAGACTCAATAGAACCCACTTAGCTTGTCGGCCTTCCAGCCGCTATTCCGTCTTGTCATCGGAGGACAGAGCACAAGCGACAACCGCGCACACGGAGCCTCAGCTATCCTCGTCATGCGACGACGAGCGGAGCAAACCTTAACACCAGCAGCAGGGACCATACCACAATCCCTCCTTGCCCGACCTATATCTCAACCTCTGCGGACCAGTGCATAACAAAGCTCGTGCCGCCCGATGTCAGAAAGAGCTGCATGTCCCTCCGTCTTGGCACGGAAGGTGCGGGACGAGCCTTCTCTATGATCTTGGAAGCACGCTGGGGATCTTTTTGCAGTGCGTGCTCTCACGGTAGGCGAGGTGACGGCGGTGCGAGAGGTTGTGGGCGCGGAGACGGCGAGTGTTGTTGGTGGGGCTTGTCAGAGCGAAGATGGTTTGGGTCACAAAGTCTTAGTGTATAAACACGGTCTCACGGAGAGGAAGTGAGTCGCTCCCGCCGACCGTCCCCAACTTGTGGCCCTCACCGTATAGTCGGCGATCTTGCAGAGTGTTCAACTCAAAGTTTTGCGACCTGTACCATGGATAGAAGAATCGACGTAACTCGCAACAAAACAAACCTTGGAACCTCCCACAACCGCGTGATTGAACTAGCACCGCTCAGACATACTCTGAAGACATCTGCACGATAAATACAGCGCCCTCCCCATCGCCAAAGCCACCCTCCCGTCCCACTCGCACAAACTCTACACAACCAAACCAATCACTCCATCATCACCAAAAACCAAGCATCATCAATACCGCGAAACCATTTCCATCTCCGCACCTCCCTACCAAAAATGCCTCACCACCCTACCGCCCCCCGCTCAAACTCTCCCGCCGACGCACTCCTCCGCTGGCACCGCACCACCAAACTCTCCTCCCCCACCTCTCTCAACAGCCTCCTCGCCCTCCTCAGCAGCACCACCCCCTCCACCCTCGCCGAGCTCGCAAAAGCGCACCACGCCGCCGCCGTGCCCTCCAGCCCGCGCTGGTCCGGCTTCCACGCCTGGATATGCAACCGCCCTCTCTGCGCCAAGCCGCCCATCTCCTCACGCACCAGCCAAACAGAGGCCGCAGAAGCCTTCCTGGCGCTCTACCACACGGGCATCATCCCCGCCGCCGCAGCTCAGAGAAAGAGCTCGATAGGTCGCTCTAGGCGCGACAGCGGCACAAGCACACCTCCACCTCTACGCAGCCCTCGCGGGCTCCGCATCCTGGACCCGACACTAGACGACCTGCCCCGCTGGTGGGCCAAGGCGAGCGAGCAGACGCTTTGTTCTTTCGCGTGGATGCTGAGCGTAGACTCGGACATCGACGAGGAGTTTCGCGCGTGCTTGGAGGGCGATCTCGCAGCGTTCAAGAGCGCGATGCAGAAGTTCCGACAGGGGCGCGTTGAGAAGAGTGCGGCGTATATCGCTAGGTATGGAGAAAGGGGGCAGGCCGACAAGAGCGATGCTCGCTGGGACCAGCTGGCAACGGTGGCCGGGTGGGCGGTGTATAGGCTGCTGGAGGCGAGCGGGGAACCGGAGGTTGTGTGGAGGCTAAAGGAGGAGGAGAGGAGGGTGGCGAGGTTGCCGGTCGCGAGTAAAGAGACGTTTGAGGAGATCTGGCCGCCGATTGATGCGCCGAGGGCTGGATTTAGGATTCCGAAGAAGGTTGAGCGGGAGACAAGAGCGCCGCAGCCGCAGCGGCAGCAGGAGAAGGTGGTGAGGAAGGAGACGGTTCGACCGGTCGTCTCTGAGCCTGTCAAGCAGATCATGTTTCCCAAGGACAGATTCAGGAAGGAGCAGTGCTTGATAACTGTGATAGAGGCGTATGAAGTCGAGATTGACAGTTGGTAAAGAAAGTGGGCGGGTTTGATACCCTTTTACCATAGAAAGTCAGCATTACAACTTGGAGTCTATAAAGTTAGTCGGCCCCAAGAAAGCCTGCAAAAACATCAGCTCCTCATCATCGACTTCTGCGTTGACCACTCTGTCGACAGCCCCATCGTCCCAAGCAAACCCATGCCACAGCAGCACACCCACTTCCCTCGACAGCCCCACAGCCAATCTCAGCTCGCTCCTGCTCCTCAGCTCCGGCACACACTCGTACATCTCTTCCCAGAACGTCTCCCGTAGCTTCTCCGCGCACGTGTAATGCCGAAACCGCTTCTCCGGCGCTCGCGCCAGATACCCGAGCAGATACTCCAGCCCGTAGAGACACATCCCAAAGGGCAAGTACTCCGCTTCAGCCCAGTCGACGAGCCCACATAGACGTCCGCTGGCGGCGTCGACCATGATGTTCGAGGCGACTACATCTCCATGCGTGAGCACCACCGGGAGATCGTCCAGTCTGTGAAGCTCTTTCGGCGTGCTCTGGGCGTGTAGGCGAAGGCTGGATGTGGGAAGGTCTTGCGCGAGCTTTAGCAATCGCGCGGGGATCGTGGAGCCGATTTTGCCGGTGCATTCAGGGCGGGTAGTGGGGTGGGAGGCTGGAGGCCATGCCCGGGCGACGAAGCGGGCAAAGTCCGTTACGAGGCGCTCTTGCCATTCCTGCGCTGTTGGGGAAAGCGTGGGTCGCCGAGTCACGTAGCTGATGTATGGGACACCAGGTATTCTTTCTGTCTCGTACAAAAGCAGTGTCCGAGGGTCGGCTTGTTGGCTGGGGCTAGGGTTTGGCAATGCCAGCGAGGCTTTCAGGACGGTTGTTGGCGCGTAGTCGCCGTAGACCGTTTTCGCCGCCGCGGCAGTGCTGATATTCAGCGAGTATACGGTGGGCCGGAACTGCAGGGCTTTACTAGATCCGGTGTCTGGGTTGAGGTCGTTACTGGAGCTGTTTGGGCTGAGGAAGAGCGTATAGCTGCAGTAGCCTTGGAAAGGAGCTGGTACGATGTGACATGTGGGATACAGCTTCCTCACTGCCTCGTCGCAGACATCCTTATCGGACTCAACGAGGCCGTTCCGTGCAAAGAAGGGGAGATGGGGCTGGGAAGCCATCTGGTATAGGGACGCGGAGCGGTAGCATTGTAGGCGGCGGGAGCCCTCCTACAGGCAAGTCCTGCGAGAGGCCCATTGCTCCTGATAGCGTCCGTACCACGAGCAAGCGGGATAGTGGAGTGGACGTAAGTGGGGGTGGACGACGGCTTGTGTGGTTCGTGGAGATGAACGTGGAGGAACCACTGCACGAGCTTTGACCAGGCGTTTGCGCCGCCAATAGCTCTGGTGGTTTGAGCATCAAGTGGATATTGGTTTAAAGCAACAACTGAAGGATCGTAATATTGATGTTGAGAGATTTGCTTGTGTATTGAGAGGAGCTACGGCACTAACCCCATTCTATATTCCAGAGCCCCAAAAAGCCCAAGCCTCTATACTGATATACGCCCATCATCATGGCATAACCCTCCTTGATCCTCGTAGCTCGACATAGTTTTTCCACCATCTATAGGGTATCATAATTTGCATCGCATCCAGGTATCCAATCCTACCTTACAACTCCTTCTTCCAAAAGTGCTCTGGCGCATGCGATGTCTCAAAGTCCACATGCACGTACGCCCTTTCCACGTTTGGCAAGCTCTCAAGCTTCGTCTGCAGCTCCTCAGCAACGTCATGCGTTGCCCGCAACGTCTCCTCGGGATCCATCACGATATCCACCTCAACAATGAGGCGCGGCCCGCTATGATAAGCGCGAACGGTGTCGATTGCACGGACGAAGGGCGAGTGTGTCATCGCTGTCTCGTGTCAGTGATACTCAAGACTATTTTTCAAGGATGCTCACAGATGTATGTGATCAGCTGCAGCATATGCGGATCCGCCGACACCCCAATCAGCAGCTGAAACTCCGAGTACGCAGTCCTAAGCCAAAGGAACACGATAAGACACGACAGAATAATCGCGCCCATCGGATCGATCCACCACCTGAGCTTACTCCCCAGCACAGAGGTAAGAAGACCGAACCCGTTGATCAACAGATCATTCCGGTGATCCTCCCACAAGATGCGGATCTGCGAGTACTTGTTCCGCAGCGCCCAGCAGTACAGAAATAGCGTGAGCTTGGTGCAGAACGCTATCGCCACCGCGATCACAGCCGGCAGGTGGAAGCCCTTGGTGTCCTCGCCGTGGCCCACCGCGAGGTCCCGGCTGGACATTACGATCAGGATGAAGGAGACGGCGCACATAAGGAAGCAGAAGACGATGTTGCCTGCCGTCTCGATGCGCGCTTTGCCTGAGGGGAACTTGCGCGGGTCCACACGGTTGACGGCCCGGTTGGAGAGGATGAGCATGAGGTTCGACAGCGGGTCGAACAGAGAATCCGCCATGGTTGTGAAGAGCGACAGCGACCCGGAGGCGATGGCGGCGTACAGCTGCAGGCCCGCGAGCAGAATGTTGGCCGCAAAGCTGCCCTGGACAGCAATCCTGAACCGTAGCTGCTCGTCCCCTTGCTCCTCCTTTGCCTGACGCCTATGCTCGTCCACGGGCTTCAGGAGCCTCTGGATGTTCTCATTCTGCGCCTCGTAGAAGCCCTGTATCTTCCGCGCCTTCCACGCATCCTTGTTTGTGACAAACGGCCCACACCCATCGCGCTTTCTCGAAGTATTGGCGCCGATTCTCTCAAGCTCGCTGGCAGATTTCAGCTTGCTGGAGAGGCGGAACGGGTCGCTTTCGCGGCTGTAGCTGGGCAGGCGCTGAGCCTCGGCATCGTCAGTGTCCGAGTTGTCGAAGCGGGCTGGATGGCGTGCTATGGGATCGCGGTGCTCTTCGGGAGGCGTGACGGGTTCTAGGGCTGTGCTAGTGCCTGCTTTGTCGGCCTTGTCGGAGGGAATCGGAGGCGTCTCATGTCGGACGGGCGTCTCTGATCGGGACTGGTGGTGGTGGGGGAAGGGCATGGGCCGGAGGGAAATGGCATGGCGGAGGTCCTGTTCGGAGCTCATTTTCCGTGTGTGTAGGCTTGAGAGTTTAGATGTCGAGGTACAAAAGGGAAGAGAAGTTCCAACCTTTGTCCTTTTTGCTGGCATGGCTGGTTTTCCCAATGTTGGGTTACGGCGGATTGCGTGCGTGTGGAACCCTCAGCCACAGCTTGTGGCGCGCCTGAAAGCCCTATCGCTGCCCTGACATGTTGAAACTTCACTCGCTTACTACAGCGTTTTGCTATGGATCACCTCTGCGACAGCCCGCGAGGACGGTTGGGTTGAGGCTCCAAACTTCAGATGGCAAGCGCGAAAAATAAACATGCCGAAGTTCCGAGGTTAGTAGGTATTCTTCGGTTCAAGGGTTCCCCTAGGTGGGCTGACCGCGCTCCCTGCTTCCCGCCTTGGAGCGAACCACTCGGAAGCAACGGTGTGTCAGATAGATTTTGCTATTGGTTGTATGCAGCAGGGAGCGCGGCCAGCCCGTCTAGGGGGGCTCCTTTGTACACTGCCTGTCGCTAGCTGTAGGCTATCACCGCCAACTTCTTAACGACAGATATACTAGCGGAAAGCGTTCCCCATAGAAATGGCGCTTGCCACAGGTTTTGACGTTAGCTCGAGCGATCTGATGCCACAGACTCGAATAGTAGTGCAAAACAACAAGCCCGCCATACAGTCACTGCGCCTTTGATGCCTTGCACGTGGTATATGTTCGCCCTTCAGCTCGTACTCAAAACACCACACCTTACCTCCCTCAGCCTTTTCTTATTGATATACATCCCCTAACCTCACCCCTGCGCCCCACCGCCATCACCAGCATCATAAAACCCCAGCATCTCATGCGGAAGATACTCGAGCCACGGCATCATATCCGCGCCCAGTGCCGAGACGTCAATATCCTGGCTCTCGATCATCATATCGCCGAAGGGCATCATCGCTTGCGACTGTCCTCGAGGCGGCAGGCCATCGAGGTTAACATGTCCAAAGACGTTTTGCATGGAAGATGTCTGCTGCTGATGCGGTCCTTGCAGCGTGCTCCCATTCGGCGGTAGGTAGGGCGAGTTGGCTGGATAGGGTGAGTGCAGGTTGAGTAGCAGATCGGCGTCGGAGACGAGGGAGGGGTCGTAGGGATTCGGTGGATGTAGCACAGTCGATATCGTTGCCTGGCTGTAGGGTTGGTTGCTAGGGTGAGCGGGGAGCGGCGGAGGTAGGTCCTGTACTGGATTGTTCGAGGGCTCGAAAGAATTGCGGCCGTACATTGGAGCAGTAGGGGCTGGGTTGCTTTGCGAGAAACTGGACGGAAGAGGTAGGATGGACTTTGCGGTTGGGTTGTTGGTGGAGTCGCGGGTCTCGTTCGGATAGAGGACGGCTAGCGAGGTGTTTGGGGAATCCATATTGCCCGTAAGAGACCAGCCAATTGCTGCTGGAAGTTCAGTGCCTGGGCCCCATGATCGAAAGGGGGACATTCTGGGCTTACCATGATTAGGATCGAACGATGAGGTCAGTCCGCCCATGTCTGGCATGGCGCCGGTACTGTGAGTGGCAGCGGCGATACGTGCCTGAGCGCCGTCCGTTGAACCTTGCGGGCCCAGGTACGTGCCCCAAGATGGTTTTCGCCGCCATCCCGGGGTGGTAAACGCAAGCTCTGGTCGCGGTACCTCCAGAGCACTCTCCATCTCTTCCCGCGTGTAGAGAAGGGGGTCGCCCACGCCTTCGGCTTTCTGGTCTAGGACGGTCAGGATGTATTTAATGCCCGCCCAGTAAGTCTCCAGCGACTGCAACGCTTTGTGGCAGCGCTGGTAATTCTGGTTCGCCGCACTAGCCAATAAGGTACTCTTCGCTACCTGCTTCTGGCTAAGTGATACCGTTGCAAGCCGCTCGGTAGAAGCAGAGGCATTGTGGCCATTGTTGTGTTCAGCAGAAGGTGTATTGCCCGCTGTCGATGGCGAATCTCCGGAAGTTTCAGGCTTGGCCCTATGTCGAGGCTCCGGCGGCGAGTTATGCCTCGAGTGATGATTGGAAGAAGCAGTGTAGAGGGTAGCCTCCTTAAGAAAAGCGCATGCCGCGATGTATAGAGGCTGACTGTTATACGTCAGCGCCGGTGCAGCCATGGGGGAACAATAGCAATCCGTCTCACCTGGTGAAAGGATTCACGATCCCTGACTTTGGATCAATAAGCTCCGCGAACGCAAGGATGTCGGCGATCGTCTTTGCGGAGGACATGGACAGCTCTCGGCTATTGGAAAGTCGATGCTGTATCCTGCCTTCAAAAGTTTTGAGCAATGTTGGCTGATGGAGGAGCACGATCAAAGCGTGGAACCAAAAGTGAAGCAAGACAAAATTGGGACCTTGGCTCATCTTGACGTATTGCTGGAAGTTAAGAGCATTGAAATGCAGACGAGGAGACAGTCCTTGGTAGATAACTGTCAGTTGGTTCTCCATTGACGCTAAACGCTTCAGCACATCCGCGGTAATGTTTGGTTCCTCAGTAATGCTATTCAGCACGTCTGTCGCTCGGCCGTAGAGATGTACGATTCTGATTAACGCTGGGAAAGGTAGAGGCCAGCCTGTGATGGGATCAATCTCCTCCAATGATGGAAACGAGATCTCGATATCCCGATCTCGGAGGGTCACTGGCCGTCCTGTCCCGCTTGAAATGACTCGATCGAGGAAGAAAACTGCCCAGAACGTATCGATGCGCTCACGCTCGACAGCTCTCTGCTCCTTGATGCTTTGGGGATCCGAGTGTTTCTCGATTGAGCTTGTTGTCCTGGTGTTTGAGTGTTTCGTATTGGGAGAGATGCCACTGGGTATACCTGACTTGATCGATCTGGGTGTCGGACCGCTTCTGCCTTCATATCTGAGTCCTTCCAGTTTCTGCATCCCAAGATCCTGCGCCATCCGAATAGCGATCCCAAGATACATCCAGAGACCACTGTCACGGCCCGCGCCGAATTCATCGTAGGCAAGCAGTAACGCAGCTTGCACGACCGCGACACTTGGACATGCGAACGTGTCAACAATCGCCGAGTGGGCTCTCAATGCAAATGCCTGACCATACTCCGAGGGTGAAGTGGTCGATTTGTCGGCAGCGTTCTCTTCGTCTGAGTCTTGTTGTGGGTTGGCTTTGCCTGTCAACATCGGATCTTTCGAGAACCTGGCAGCCAGTGCGCAAACGGCATCCACGAGAATAGCATCAACTTGTTTCTCCTCGAGGTCACGCATAAAGCGTTCCTGCTGCAGGAATGGAAAGCTGTATCCTAAGTGGGTGAAGAAAGTCTGGCAAAGATGCGTGATCAACGGACTGGGAGAGACTTCTGAAGTGTCGTACAACGGTATCGCTAACGGAGTCTCTGCTTCTTGTTCCCGCAATGCTGGAGAGATGTGGCCGAGAGAGGGAACATGTCCGGACGTTGACTCTAGGGCATCCGACGTTGTGGCCGTAGACCCGTGATGTTTATCCTTGACTTTCACCATCATCTGTCTAAATCCAGGCATGATAGCTGTAGGCCCAAAATAACGGAAGTAAGGCATGCGATTGCGTGTACTAAGGCTTAACCCTTGTCGATCGCTTGGTGAAGTATTTGTCCCGTCATCGCCCATGGGAGTGTCCCTCGAAGCATCAGGCATTATGGGCGACGATGATACTGCGTCTAAGACGATCGCCTCGGAGGAGGTGCTATAATGGCCCGCCAGAGGCCTTGAGGCGCGTTGGTCGTAAGATTGTGACTTCGGTTTCCGTGGCTGTCCATTGACTCCTGGCGCCCAAGCTCTTTCTGCTCCGCTGGAACGTCTCCTTTGCTCTGCACCTTCGCCGCCGGGGCTTTGCCCTGCTTCTCCTTCATGGCTGTACCCGAGGCATTCGTGATGGTTGTCGATGCAGCTGCGGCATGTTGGGCGCTCACCAGAGCATCGCGTCTTTCGCCTTCGACAGGTCAAACAGGCGGAATTTATCCTTCTTCTCTTCGCATACGGTCCTTCATTGTTGGAGACGAATCGAATCGGCTTTTGCTGCTGTTGCGCGGGTATCGAAGCGGAGGAAAAGCTGCCGTGTTGCATTAAAGGTACCGATATTGCCCGTCCTATCTCTCCGTCCTGTTACAATACAAGCATGGAAGCGGAACCGGTGACAGTGAGGAAAGTGTTCGGTTTCGACAATGACCTTGGTGTCTGACCTCGTAGGATCCCGCGCATCGAGAAGCGGTTTCGCATCGCTTTGCCGATCTCCGCATCTTCAAGCCTCAGCCTCCAGCTCGAACCCCCGAAAAGCGGGCAAACGGCCCTAAAAATCTGGGGCGGCAGCGCCGGAACGACCCTGGCTGGCGGCGTCAAGATGGCGTCCCAAGCTTGTCAAAACGCTGCCTCCATCTCATCTTGACTTTTCGAGCATTTGCACTAGGCTCTGCATTAAACGCGATCACGACGACAAAAATGGAGGCTTTAAGACCACTGCTATCAAGGGCATCTCTACCCACCCACCGTGCAGTCACGAAACGATCATGGGCTTCAATACAACGTCTGCACACCTCATCTCCGAAACCCGCCACGCCGCTTCCACATCCAACAGCTCCCGGGCCTCCACCAGAGCCACCTATACCGGCTGCATCGCAGGCTGAGGACCGAATAGCAAGGAAGCTGAAGAACGCAGAATTGCTGCGCAGGGGCCAGTCTCTACGAGCAGATCCGGCAAAGCCCGGGACAGCGCTCAAGAAGCGGTTCTGGAAGGACGTGACCGTCGAGGAGACGCCAGGTAAGTAACTGAATCATCATGCACATATCCCGCACTTCTTGCTGACGAGAAGTACAGATGGCTACCAGATTTTCCTTGACAGCCGACCCGTCCGAACAGCCTCCAAGAACATCCTCACCATCCCCCTCAGCAAACCCCAACTCGCCACAGCCATAGCCCTGGAATGGGACCTCCTTGTAAGCGCCCAGCAAGCGCTCAAGTATCACTATATCCCGCTCACGTCTCTGATATCACGGGCCGTCGACATCTCCCTCGCAGACGCACAGGGCAACACTAAGATTCGGGACGACATAGTTAAGATGTTGATGCGCTATCTCACAACCGACACGCTGATCTGCTGGGTGCCGGAGAGGAACATCCACGACGCCGTTCACCTGGAACAACAACGGGACGGGGCCGAGAGCCTGCGCCAGCTCCAGCAGCGGACGGCGCAGCCCATCATCAACTACCTCAAGGCGCACGTCTGGCCCGGCGTGGAGATAGTGCCGATTCTGGGCTCGGACAGCATAGTGCCGGCGAAGCAGCCGCAGATGACGCAGGACGTGATCAGAGGTTGGCTGTCGGGATTGCCGGCTTGGGAGCTCGCTGGGTTGGAGCGAGGCGCGCTGGCCACGAAGAGCTTGTTGGTCGCTGTTAGGTTGTTGGTGGAGTGGAGCGAGGAGTTTGCGCAGCTACAGCCTCGGAGCGAAGGCAGCCAGAGTCAGCGGTTCGGTATAGAAGAGGCGGCGGAGGCGTCCACTACGGAGGTTAGGTGGCAGACGGGCATGTGGGGCGAGGTCGAGGACACGCATGATGTGGAGAAGGAAGACCTGAGGAGGCAGCTGGGAAGCGTGATATTGCTGGTCAATGGAGAGAAGAGGTAATCTTAGACGCATGGAGATGATGTAAGAGCAGCTGTATTATCCGTGTATCATTGCTTTCTTTTCTGTTTACTAGCACGTGAAACAGCAGAACCGAGGAAGCTCAACAGTTTCTGTCCAGCCCAAGACCAAGAAGGCAGCTCTCTACTTCGCGGGTCTGCTGTATTGAGTTTCGTGAGAACTGTGTGGCTTTGATGGCAGAAACCCCTTGAAGCTCGGTCGCTCCGAGGCATGATGGCGTCAAGCAACCCCGCCATGGGAACCCCAACTTGAGGTTCCCCAGTGCTTGAAGCCATCTGCAGAAGCCAGGTTGCGCACTTTCCGCATGCTTCAATCGAACCCATCGTTGGGCTCTGAAGCTGCCAGAAACCATCGTGCATTTGATCAGTAGTCCCGCTACCTGCACTGAGAACCGCAACGCAACCACCATGTCGGAACTAGGGTAGGTCGTTTGTTCCACCTGCCGTTTCCCGAAACTCACCGTGTGCGCCGCTGCTCTCTTCAAACTAACCTCGCCTTCTCACTCAGGCACAAGCGGTCCAAGTCCTCGCACGTCAAGGCGCTGCTCCACCGCGTGTCCTCTAAACACGATGTCACCGAAGGCGCAGACGCATCTCCCGTGTCGCCAGTCACCTCCGACCCAACCTCGACCATGGCTCCGTTGCAGCCCTCGGTGAGCAGGCAGTCGACACGACACATGCCGCATCTGTCCACGACCATGTCGCATCACAGCACGCAGGAAAGCTTAGTACCACCCTCGCCCAGCCAGGCGCGCCTCCCGCCTTCGCCCTCCACATCCACTCAGGGTGCTTCGATCGAGCAATCCGTGCGCCTCTTCCGGCTCTTTGAGGCCTTGCGCAGCGGAGATACGGCCGCTATATCAAAAGCGATGAGGGAACAGTCCGGTCAAGGAAGCGAAGAAAGCTTCTCCTCGCCCACCAGCGGCCGCGTGGAAGGCACGTCAGTCCTGCACCTGGCTTTACAGTGCGCTGAAACACCGGTCATCGAGTTCGTTCTGTCAAACGCTCCGTCTACTCCAGGCGCCGGCTTCGACATCAACGCGCGAGACCACGATGGAAACACTCCGCTGCATATAGCTGCTTCGCTAGGGCGTGCGCCGGTTGTGCGCATGCTGCTTGAGCAGAAGGGCATCAATGACTGCATCACAAACTTCCAAGGACAGACCCCGCTTGATCTTGCGCGCACGCCGGACATCTTCCAGCAGCTGCAGCTGTCCCGGTCGCTCTTCATCGAAACGAACGTCAAGAAGATACAGAGCCTGATAGCTGCCAAAGATTACGAAAACCTAGAGAAGCTCTTGCAGGACTCTCGTGTTAAGAGCATTCTGGACATCAATGGATGCGAGTTAGCTACAGAACCGGTGACCGTGGAGTCTGGTGGGAACTTGTTGCACCAGGCGGCGCGGCAGCGAGATCACAAGCTGATTCAGATGCTGCTCTTCAACGGTGCGGATCCGTTTAGGAGAGACCGCAAAGGCAAGCTTCCACAAGATGTGACCAAGGATGATGGCACAAAAGCTCTGTTGAAGAGGTCACCAGCGGCAGCCGCCGCCCAACGAGGCATTCAGGAGAAGACAATCTTAGCCGGCGGAGCACCCTCGGCTGCAGGACCCTCAGAGAATCCATTGAACGGTAAAGAAGGCCGCGAGATGAAGGGCTACCTGAAGAAGTGGACCAACTATACCACTGGGTACAAGCTGCGGTGGTTTGTGCTCGAAGACGGTGTCCTCAGCTACTACAAGCACCAAGACGATGCTGGGTCTGCTTGTCGCGGTGCCATCAACATGAAGATTGCGTCTTTACATATGGACCCCCAGGACAAGCTCCGCTTCGAGATCCAGGGCAAATCCTCGGTAAAGTACCACTTGAAGGCGAACCACCAAGTCGAGGCAAAGCGCTGGTTCTGGGCGCTGAACAATGCGATCCAGTGGAGCAAAGACGAGGCGAAAGAAGAACAGCGGCACAACCGCGAGAACCAGGCACTGCAGCATACGAAGTCGGAGCGAGGGGATAAGCGACAGACTCGGGACGGGGACATGTCGAGCCTGAGAAGCTCAACGCTTGCTGACAGTGGCAAGGGTCTTGCGCCAAGCTCTTCTTTGGGCGTTCCCCACACGTCCGCCGGTTCCTATAACGGTGGAAGCACCCACGACGACGATGGCTACGGCGGCAGTCTATATGAACCGAGTATGGCGGGAGCGGAGTTAGGGAAGATTGTCAGCAATGCAGGTACCACAGCCATCGAGGCCGATGTTGACGATGATGACGAGTACGGCGATGACGCAAGCAGCCACGAGGCTGCGCCTGCCAGTAAAGACGCGTTCAACATCACGGCGCAGTCCGCGAAGCTGCAGCTTGATCTACTGGCGCAGGTATCTGCCGCGCTCCAGATGGAGAGGGCGAGGAATCCCACGTTGCAGGTCTCGGATCCTGTAGCTGTGCAAGCGTTCTCCTCTTACGACGCTGCAATTGGAAACCTCAAAGGGCTAATCGGTGACCTTCTGCGCATCTCAAAAGACCGCGATGCTTACTGGCAATACCGTCTCGAACGTGAAGCCAACATCCGACGCATGTGGGAAGACACCATGGCCCGCGTGGCCAAAGAGCAGGAAGAGCTTGGCGGCCGTATGGAAGAGTCAGAGGAGATGCGCAAGAAGACGAAGCGCGCGCTCAAGGAAGCGCTTGAAGAAATGTCCGCGGCCCAGCCGCTTAGTCCTGAGGTCCATGAAGAGCGCGTGGCGATTGAGAAGATGAGGGTGGACACTAGTGGAGCCACGCTCTTCCCTCCTCAAGGAGATATCATTTCACCGCTACGGAGAAAGTCGACGTTGGCCGACTTCAACATTCCGGAGAGCGACTCGGAAGACGACGAAGAGTTCTTTGATGCCATTGGCACCGGGGAGGTAGAGGTCGTCGAGAGTTTACCTGTCACGAGTCCTCCAGTACAGCCAGTTCAGGCGCCGCCAGCGCCGGATGAGGATCGGAAAGTGGAATTTGCGAGCTCGTTCAAGGGCTATGAAGACCCGCCACGTAAGCGGCTAAAGCAGGATGCTGATGACCGTCCGAAGATCTCGCTCTGGGTGAGCCACCGGTTGCTACGTCGAAAATCTCAAAACTGGCTAACAGCACTTAGGGCATCCTCAAATCTATGATTGGCAAGGATATGACTAAGATGACCCTGCCGGTATCCTTCAATGAGCCGACTTCGCTACTCCAGCGAGTAACCGAAGACATGGAGTATACCGACCTCCTCGATATCGCTGCAGAGCGCATGGACTCCACCGAACGTATGCTGTATGTTGCAGCGTTCGCAGCAAGCGAGTACGCATCGACTATTGGTCGCGTCGCGAAACCTTTCAATCCCCTTCTCGGCGAGACCTACGAGTATGCCCGACCAGACAAAGGATATCGCTTCTTCATCGAGCAAGTCAGCCATCACCCGCCCATAGGCGCAGCGTGGGCCGAAGCGCCGAAATGGGATTACTACGTAAGTTCCCGTCTCCCAAGCTCCCATCCGTCTTTCCCTCTCTCGTGTAACTCTTCACTAACAAGGTCACACCTCAGGGCGAATCCGCAGTGAAGTCCAAATTCTATGGCAAATCCTTCGACATCAACCCACTGGGCACCTGGTTCCTGCACCTCCGGCCCACCGGCTCAGCGCCCGAACTCTACACTTGGAAAAAAGTGACCACCTCCGTCATCGGCATCATCACCGGCACGCCCACGGTCGACAACTACGGTCCCATGGAAATCAGAAACCACACCACCGGCGAAACCTGCCTGCTAGACTTCAAGCCGCGCGGCTGGAAAGCCTCCTCCGCGTACCAGGTTACGGGCCGCGTGACGGACAAAGCGGGCCGCGTGCGCTGGAGCATTGGGGGGAGGTGGAACGATAAGATCTATGCAAGACTGACGCCCGGGTATGAAGCTACGAGCGTCGAGCCCGGCTCGGGAGACAAGCATGGCGAGAATAAGGCTTTCCTAGTCTGGGCGTCTCATCCAAGGCCGCAGGGGATTCCGTTCAACCTCACGCCGTTCGGGCTGACGCTGAATGCGCTGCCGGAGCGGCTGAGGCCGCTGCTGGCGCCCACGGATTGTCGGTTAAGGCCGGATCAGAGGGCGATGGAGGATGGGGAGTACGACAAGGCGGCCGAGGAGAAGGCGCGCGTAGAGGAGAAGCAGAGGGCGAAGCGCAGGGAGAGGGAGGCGAACGGGGAGGAGTTTGTGCCCAGGTGGTTTAGTAAGAAGAAATGTGAGGTTAGTGGGGAGGAGTATTGGGCGTTTAATCATGAGTATTGGAAGGTTAGGAAGCAGGTTGCGGATGGGAAGACAAAGTGGGAGGGACAGGGATTAGAGGATATCTTTTGATGAAGTGGCCGAGACTGGTGTGGCTGTAGATTGTGAGATGAGATTATTTATATGCGGGTTGGATGGCTGGGAGCCGAGTGTTGGCTGTGTTACTTTGGAATGCGGTATATTTCATAGCAAGACCGTGCGTGGAAGCATACGTTACTTGGCTCGGTAATAATGTAAGTACCAGTATGTACAATCATCCCCATACAAGCTTCTTCATAGAATATCCAATCTGCTCAAGATACCCCGTGCTCTTCTTCGCCTCTGCGACGGAGATGATGTCCCTCTCTTCGATCTCCAAGCCGCCTTCTCTTTCACTGGTGGTTGCGCTCGCTGTTTTCCGCGCGCTGTCGGCAACCCTCTTGATCTCATCACAAAGCATCGTGACCATCTCCATCTCGCTCTTCGGATCGTTATCCTCGCTCTGCACAGTTGCGACGGCCGACCTCGGTGGCAGCGCCTTGAAGGCCAGGAACCTCTTTTCCATCTCCGTCACCTTCTCCGCTTTCCCCTCAGACTTCGTATCCTTGTCTTGTTGCTCGTCCTCCTCTTCGACCCCCTTACCCGGCCCATCCTCCTCCCCCTCCTTCCTCTCATTCGCCAAACTCCTCGTATTGACTCTAACGCCCTCATCCTCCTCCCCCACCTCAAATATTACCACAAATCCCACATTCCTCCTCTCATCCGTATGCCTCTTCGCCAGCGTACTCGTCACATAAACCCCCTTGACCAACCTCTCCACCCTCCCCAACTCCACCCTCTCAAACTCCCTCACCTTCTCTGTCGTCCAATCAAACCTCACAAAATACAACGCCCGCTCCGTAAGCAGCAGCACGCACTCCTCAAACGGGGTCGCACGCAGCGAATTCGCTTTGGTGGGACAACTCAACGTCCAGCCTCCCACGAGGCCCTCGTCGGCCTCCTCGACGCAGATCTCTGCGCTGCGGTCAATCGCCGCCTGCCGCACCTTGCGGATATCGATCGCGTGGTCGCGACTCATCATGTCGGCCTCGAAGTCCGCGAAGACCTGGTCGGTCGCCTTGCCGAGGAGGTAATCGATCACCGCCTGCGTAAAATAGTCGTTCACGATATTGTTGTAGTAGCGAGACAGCGTTAGGCCAAAGTCCGTGAGCGCGCCGCCGATGTTGCGTTTGCGTGTCCGCGTGAAGTCGCCTTTCAACGCTGCCGTGCCGGCGTATTGCTTCGAGATTGCGTCGCCGTTGTCGGCCCAGAGAGTGTTGAACCAGGAGGTGCTGGGGTCGTGCTGCAGGTCGATGGCGATGTGGAGTGAGCCGAGTTGTTGCTCCAGCGCGTGGCGGGCGCATGCGGATTGCACGACGTTGGTGCGGTCGAGGCAGTCCATGCAATTGGTGCGCAGGATGCCGGATTGGCGCTGCAAGAGCTGGTCGTGCTGCGTGACAGTCCAGCCGAAGGAGGAGAGGGTCGGGCCGAGAATCTCCATTAGTTGTGAGACGTTTTCGAATTTCATGCCTCGACATACGGCGTGGAAGTCGAACCAGTGGAAGCTGATGCGCATGCCTTTGCCGTCGACGCCGCCGATGTCGTTGAGGAGATTGGCGTGCTGCTCATAAGCTGAGCCGATTTTGGCCTCGGTGCCGTGCTTGTCGACAAGGGAGGCGCAGGCGATGCCACCGTAGCGGCTGGCGAGGTTGGAGAAATGTTGGCGGAAGGCTTGGGTGTTTGTCTCCTGGGAGCCGTGCAGCGTGGGCATTGGTTTGAAGCTGAAGGGGCTCTGGGAGAAGAAGAGGGGAATGGAGCCGCGGTATTGGGTGAAAGAGAAGATCTTCTCCGAGGATCTCCATGATGGGGTGGAAAGTATTTGCTCCGTTTCGACGCTGTTGGCAGCGTTGCCTTCGTCGTCGACTCCGCGGCGAAGGTAACGAAGGCCGGCGCGCTTGGTCGAGCGGCGGGATATCAGGGTCAGAAGAAAGTCTTTACGTCCTTCCCCTTTTTCAAGATCTGGCTTGCCGCTCGCTTCTGCTGGCTCTGTAGCGTCGTTCTGTGCTGCGATCACATCCTCCGGTTTTGAGGCTGCGTCCACTATAGCACTCTGCTCGGTGTCCGGTGATACATTGACGGAGAAAGCTCGCTGACCAACAAAGCCTTGCAGAAGAGGCAATACATAGCTGTGTTGACCAGCTTCGATGAAAGGCTGTATGACATGCTGGTTCCAGAAGTACTGGGAGGATGGTCAGAATCAAATCACTAGAAAAAAAACTCGGCCCACTTACTAAGGGATCGAACAGCTTGAACAACGGTAAAGATGAGTGGCCGGTGGTTTGCTTGCTGAGACTGTGGGATATGTCGTAGTCGTAAGAGTAGAAGAAGCTCCTAGACGAGAAATACAATCTCGTCGTCCGAATGATCTTTGGCATCATGGATGCCATAACGTCCTGCGATGGATCTTCTAGTACTTTCTCGATCTCCGCTGGCGACTGGTCTGCGTCCTTGCCGCCACTTGTGCCAGCCTCGACGGCTTCAGACTTCTCAGGGGTCCCATCTTCAGCTGCCCCGTGATTAGACTGCACAGCAGTCAAGGAGTTTCGCAGCTCCTGCTGGTGGTTGAGTTCCTCTTCACTACTCATTCCTAGCTTTCTCCGCCCCTCAGTACTCCAACCCTTTTTGGAAAACCATCTGTCCGCGAACCTTCCGTACGCGCCCTTCTTAACCACAACATCTTCGGCAATGCTTGATCTCCTCTCACGCTTGGTAGCTGCGGTCGATTGTATGTCCTCCTCCGTTGGTGGAGTTGAAGGCAGAGAGTCCTCGTGGGTGGCAGTGTCTGCATAGGTGACAGATTCGTCGTCTGAAGTATCGCTTTCCAGCTCTTCACCAGTGCCTTCCGCCCTTGAATGCTTCTGCAGGCTTTCTCGGGCCTGCGTTATAGCCTTGTTCGCATCTGCTTGAGAGGACAGCGGGATGAGAGTGACATCGGTGATCACGTATATTGGCCTTCCCCGTATCTGAGCGACCTGCTGACGGCGGGATATAGAGATGAGGAAGGAGGAGGATGCGATCTTCAGAAGACCTACGAGAACGGGTCAGTATTGCTCACGAGCTTAGGTCTCTTGAGGGCAGTCTACCAACTATGCCATGGACCTCAAGCGAAGCTGGCGCGGTATCTTCGTCGCGGCGGTCTTTGAGCAGTGGGGAGACGTTGCCCTTGTAGTCAATCTTAATGGCTTGCTGGGTAGTAGGAGGGTGGTTGCGAGGTGGCGCTGGCTGAAGGATGAGCCCGTCGATTGCGGCGAATATAACAATTCTTCTGGTGAGGCCGAGCATTTTCAGGGTCTTTTGCACATGCAGGTCTGCGCAGCTCGAAGTCCCCGTGCACAGACCGAGGTTGTGATGTATGACGTCACGCAATATCTACTGTCCCTCCCTTAAGCCGCAGGGACGTTCAATGATCGCTCTTGGGAGAGCTGGTACAGGTAATCACAATACCTTTCAAAGTTCTTATCTCCAACGCGGTGGCCCTGCTCTTGTCCAAGGCTTTCTCTACGCCAGGTGTAGTGAAGCTCCACAGAGCTACGGAATAGAATTCCAACATATCACCGATTCCCGTTCAGCAAGCGTCAATTGTTCATACGTATGCGATAGGCCTTACTCCGTTTTCAAAATTCATGCATAGCTGTAAAGAACCCGTTACGACGACTAGTAAGCGAACCCCTTGATTGACGGTTGAGGGTGAATCTCTTGTATACCACCTAACATTCAATTCTCTGCAGGCCAGCTAAAAACCCTCTTGCACAGAGCAGCTCTTTCAATTGAATCACGATCTCCAGCCATAAAGCTTATGTCGTAAGTCGTTCAGAATATCAGTGATAACAATATGTGATCGATAGGCCGTAATTCAGAATTCGTACTCAACGATGAGACGCCGAGACCTGCCCGACATTGTTGAAATTACTAATGAAAACAACTAATACAGCACAGTAGGCCGAAGATGCAGCAAACAGCTCATGACGCCTTGCCTTTGTCAACAAAGACATCGCGGCGGAGAAAAGAAGCGTGAAGACGATCAAGACGCCGACGGCATCAAATGTCGCATCACGCGAACTGTTGCACGTCAATTCGTACATCGCCACGACAGGCAGCACAAGCAGGATGAATATAACGCAAGTAATCAACAGCGCGACGAACGTCTCGATTCGTGCGGCTGAGTAGTAGTGGGCGTTCTCGTCGATAGTCTTGCGGCGAAGCTCGGAGTTGCAGAATAGAAACTAGAAAGTTGGTCATGTGGTCCATTAGAGTAGGAGGGACGGAGGACTCACCCGAACCAGCTTGCAGTCGATCTTCCGGAGAGACGTTTCGATGAGGCCGTCGAAGCCGGCCCATTCGCGGCCTTGCCGGAGGGTCACAATGTCCTCCTTGTGCTTTATGCAGTCTGCTTCACTGTCTAGAAGAGGGGCGTTGCTGTAGTACCACGACCGTAAACTATGATAGTCTCGTTTGGAAGGTCGTTGAAATGCTCCGAGGTCTCTTGCTCTGATGAGCATGTCATCTGGAGGCGCATCAGAATCGTTGTACGACTAAATCCGACGATTGTCAACGCTCTTACCATACTCGATTAGCTTATTCCGTAGCTTGTTCAGCAACTCTGGTCTTGAGCCTTCGTAACCTCCCTCTTCGACATCGGCAAGGTCCTTGGCTCTGGATTTCAAGTAGTCTTGGCGGCCATCCTCCTGCCAGTCATATTCGTCAATTGCTTTGAGGTCTCCTTCTAGTACAGTGATTTCTGCTTGTAGCGCTAGAAGAATGCGAGAGTGTAGATATCCGAACCCGCGATACTGGGAAAAGGAGTCGTCGCTTGCTTGGAAAGCTGCAAGCTGGGGATACCCTTCTGGACATGAGTCCACTGAGAATCATTAGTAATGGCAAGCAGCTTGTGCAAGCAGCTGAGACCTTACAGTCCTGAACGATGGTATCGTTGAGATTGAATGTTTCTTTCCCTGCAAACATGGTCTCGGCGCGTCGGGCAAGCCATGATTCTATGGGCGTAATTAACGGTATGTTCTTCGAGCTTCAAATCAAACAACCCTCACTTTTTTGAGATGCTGCTGGCGGTGAGTCCGGATCTTCCGGCATTGGTATTGCTACATGGCCGGAAAATGCAGTCTCCGTAGGCGATGGAGTATATGGAAGCTTCTCATCCAATGTCCGGTCGTTATTGGCCATGCTTTATTCTATCCGAATGACACTTCGGGCCAAAAACTCAATCACACATAGTGTTCTGTCGCAAACAGGGTCGAGGCGCAGTTCCGACTCGTCGGACTCGATAGGTAAAACACCAAGTCGAAAGTTTACAGGTAAGCTAAGACACAAATGATAGCATTGACGAACTTGAATTTGGAGTTGAGACTTGAGGTATCCCGACAGCTTAAAGCAAAGACATTCAAAGCGCCTCGCCTGTTAATCAAGCATAGACTCAGCCTCGCTACATACTGGTTGAGCAACGACGAAAACTGAGGTGATACGGTCTGCGTGGGCGGATCCGCCTCGCCCGACGAGGCGCAGCGCGGGATGCTCACCCATGTATCAGCCGGGTCTTCTCAAACTCCCGGCCATTGTCATACAACACGTAAGAACCATCCTGCTTTTCTGCCAGCTGGTACATCCATTTGTTACTCTTGAAGGTCGCTTTGTAAACGAACAGATTCTTCTTCGTGGCCATCCTGCCGTTCACCAGGACTTTCAAGGCCACTTTGGCGTCTTCTTGAAAGTCTGGTTTAAGCTATTCAAGACTTTAGTAAAGCCTCTCCGGTGTAACAAAATGGGATAGCTCCGTCTAATCTTACCGCAGCCATGTCGCTAGGTTTGTAATGGCTCTTCACGGGCTGGTCATTATGCAGAGTGTTGTCTTCAGCTTTCTGCTCAACCTGCACAGCCGAGCCGGCTTTGATTAGCGCTAAAGCCTTCAGACCGATGTCCGAAATGCTTACCTCCTGATTTGACATATCGGCGGGCAAGGCGGTTGCGCAAGGTGGCTCCTGGAGGATGAGTCCGAACGGTCAGGCGGCACAAACAGTTGGGCAACAGCAGCGTCTATCACAGCCTTATGCGAAACGTTAGGAGCTGAATGAGGCAGGGCGCCGTAGGTGTCTTAAGTGAATTAGTCGCTGCATGGTTGGACTGCTCCGCTGCGGCTGAGATAGCTTTGCTGTGCTCCAGCGAAGAGCCAACAGGCAGCATCTGACACGCCTTGCAAACCAATCCGTCATTGGACAGCACCGACTGAAGTGGTTGCCCTGCGCATCATTTTGGTGCCGACGGCAAGGACTTTGCCTGAAAGTTGGGGTTTTTCTTGCAGCAGTATTACCCTGATTGGCTGTACCGGAGCGATAGACAAGGTTTAGTGGGCTCAGAACCCAGGCAGGCAGTGCTGTCTCGCCTTGTCAGTTTCCAGCACTCTCAGCCTCAATGCCATCTGCGCCTGTGAGAGCCTCTACGACCGGTCAATGATGAAGTCAAACCTCGCGTTGGCACCAGGGGCTGAAGCCTTATATGTTTCTGATCACCGACCAATGCGGGATACCGTGCGGCGGCCTTGAATGTTACTGCAATGGCACTTCAGCGTCCGAGATCTCAGTCAAGCTTCCTCTCTCAGGTCGCTAGGCTGGCGCGAGTGCCCGAAAACGCCGACGTGGATGCCCTCCAAGCTTCCCCAATCAGCTTGTCGGACGAAAGCAGCACATCTGTGACTGATGAAGAGTCATCTGCGAGGTCCCGCGTACAGAATGTCTGGGACTCCGCCGTCAACAAAAGTATGAAAGTGCCTGATACTTATGAAGACGTGGCTGTGTTGATCATCAAATGGGACGAGAAGTTGGACGAGCTGAAATGTGGTCCAGAGGTAGGAGTACCGGTGATTAGACGTGAGACGCGATTTGCTGAACGATGCACAGGTGAAGGAGCTTGATGCGCTGTTCCAAGAGCGTTTCAGATACCAAACACAAATCTTGAATCTGGGCGATTCTGAGCTCAAACCTCAGAAACAGCTTAACCGGGACGTGTCCCATTTCATCGCGGAACATGACGGGCCGAACAACCTCATCATCATCTTCTACACAGGGCATGGGAGCTGGGACAAATGCCGCAACGTATTAGATCTGCACGCGTGAGTGTCCCGATGCAAGAATTTGGATATCGATTGCTGACCATCTCTCAGCAAAGACTGGTCTCAAGGCAACACCAATGAGCACCCAGCCAAGGCCTGCTGGGAGCCTGCAGAGCGTGCACTTATGGAAGGCCCTGAGGGCGATGTCTTGGCCATCTTCGATACTTGTTATGCCAGTAACGTCCAGAAAGGAGTAACGAGTGATGCTCGAAGTTATCAACTTATAGCCGCCAGCTCGTATGATCAGCCAACAGCTGCTCCAGGGCAGAACTCTTTCACGACAGCATTGATTAAGTCATTGAAGGAGCTTCTCGATAGATACGAGAACCGACCTTTCACGGTATGGGATTTGCAAGACCAAATCAATCATCAGAAAGAGCGCCGCGACAGTCCATGCATGGTACACAACCGCCTCAGAAGGTATAACGACCGATACCTACGCCTTGCACCATTACCATCGAAAGCGGAACGCGCGACAAGGAGGCAGAGCTTCCATACAGAGCCTTTCCGCGCCTTCTTTACGCTCCGATTTGCACTCACGGATGGCGATATCGAAGACGAGCAGATTCGGAAACTCGCCGAGAAACTTTGCAATGCTTGCGAGACCTTGAAAATTCCGGCGCGGCGTATCGATATGATCAGCTTCCGGGACTCCATCAAGCACAACCGTTTGAAGTCCGTAACTCATGCGCTTATTGCAATCCAGTCCCGTCTTCGACGATCTACACTCGAGAGTGTTACTTCTGTATCCACATCAGTGCCTCAGCTGGCATGGGTCACCACGGAACGAGGTCCTCCATCGCCAACCATTCCGTTGTTACAGTTGATCAATCCATCACCTATTCCCGATCCCTCCAAGCTGGCTCACGCGTATTCCTCCGCACAGGAAGAAGAAGCCCCTACCTCGAAAGAGATGTCCGGCGCCAGAAGATCCTTATGGCACATTGAGATCAACACCGCCCTCTTGGTATTGATGTCGTCGTTTTTAGTTATACAGTGTATGAATCAAACCTGGTGGCACGACATTTTCACCCAAGCCCAGGACCGTGCCAAGGATATTCATGAGGTTGTCAACGCACTGCTTGCCCAAGCAAAAGCGAGGGACGAGACTGCTGACAGCCAGGCGCCCTTTATGCCTGGTTTTGCACATGCGCTCAAACGCTGGCGAACGTGGTGAGAGTAACTGTGTGTGTGTGTGTGTGTGTGTGTGTGTGTGTGTGTGTGGAAAACAGGGGTAGCTCCAACACGTGTTGTCTTGCAAAGTCGTTAAGAAGTTCAAGAGCTTAGCACGCGAGCGACAGAAATCGCCGGACTCGTAAATTACTAGACTTACAACTCACTCCAAAATTACCAAAATCTATTAGATTCAATACCTCTCTAAAGACCTTTACTCTAGCTATCCTACCTCTAGGTGTAGCTTACATATGTTTATATAGCAGTATACCATTAAGGATTACGCCTATTCATGACCTTCCTAAGCTGACTAAAGACCTGTCTGTTTCCCGGAGTCCGGCAGTTTCTGTCCCCCAGGTGCTTGGATCGTCGTCCATATTCAGGAGGCTGAGACAAAGCGGGAACCGATGCTTGAAGAGCTCAGCTGGCCCCCCTCTGTGGGGCAATGGCTCGTCGAGCCCACCTTGCGACGCACTGAAACCACTTCAAGAAAAGACTTTAGAAGAACTCCTCTCAGCCTCTGCACCGAAGCAGAACCTGAAGCAAGAAACACTGTTCGCTTCAGCCGGCTCTTGCAAGAGACTGTGCGTGGAGGTGTCCTCGTACTAAGATCTTGGTAGGGTGCCGCAGCAATCTGGCCGAAACCCTTTACACAAGCGCGAACTTCTGTTCAAAGCCTCTTACCACTAAATTACACCGTTACGGCTCGATGTTCCGTCAAGAGGATCCCGGAAAACGCCGGTATGCGAATTTCCACGCGCGAAAGCGTACAGCATACTGGCACCCTCAACGCAGAAAGATACTCTATACTAGTTCTATATCAATCTAGATGTCAAAAGCCTCCAAAGCCGGTCATCATCATAAATTCGTCATCGTCCCCCTCCAATACACGCCCTAGTCCTGCCCCGCCTCCCTCATGAACGGGCTCCTCTTCCTAATCTGCGGCCCCCACACCATCAACACGACCGGCGCAAAACTCAACACCAGCGCCAAGAACCCCAGCACACTACTCGCCCACTGGAGCCCCAAAGCCGTATACAGCGCTTTACTCGCCAGTGGCATAAACGCCGCGAAGATATTCTCGCCGAATGCAATCGCCGCGAGGCCCGACGCGGCATATTTCGCGTACGCATCCGTGATGTAGTTGCTCACAGCGGCCACGACGGTGAAGATCCCAAAGCCGACGAGGCCCAGCCCGATGGCCGAGAGGATCCACGGCAGGTCTGCGTAGCTCGTCCAGCCGAACCAGAAGAAGCCTGCCGTGAGGCCGAGGAAGCTGCCTGGGATGGCGAGGTAGAGGCGCACTTCGGGGATTGGCTTACCGGGCGTCTCGTCGTTACGTTTTGCAGAAGCATCGTAGAGCCTGTTCTGGTAGAGTGAAACGACGAGACCCACTGTCTGACCGATAACGACGGCAGACTGCACGGTGCCGGTTAGGAACGGCGGCCAGGCGTAGAGCGCGGTGTAGACCTGGGTGATGGACTGCGTGAAGAGGAAGACGGTGCCGAAGGCGAAAGCGGACCAGAGCGTGAAGGTGAAGACGACGTATTCCGTCGTGAGCATGTGGAGCGGCCGGATCACGGACTCGCGGATCAGATGGGGGAGGCTGGGTGCGTCTTTTTCGGCACGCGTGTGCATGTTTTTGCCGGTCTCCTGGCGCATGTGCTTGGCGCGCTTCTTCAGGATGATGGGGCCGCGAGGCTCGCGGATGATAAGGAAGAGGGGTGGGAAGAAAACTGCATAAAGAATTAGTTGAATGTAGAAGATCCTGTGAGGTAGTTGGTCAGTAAGTGTTTTGCTGCTGCAGTTATAGGCTGTCTTACCATCGCCATTCGAGGTGATGAATTATGCCTCCGCCGATGACTGGACCGACTGTCACGCCTGCAAGCAAGGCCCAGATGTAGAGGTTAACCGGCAAGCTCCGAGCTTTTCCACCTTGCCAGATGTCGGAGACTATCCCACCGGTAATGTTCTCGAGGATGCTGGCAGCGCCGCCGGTAAAGAAACGAGTGACGATCAAAGTCGCAAAGTTCTTTGCAAAAGCCTGCGGAAGACAAAGTATGATGAAGACAAAGTAAGAAGCCTGCCACGGGTAAGAATGCAGTCACAAACTGTTGAGTCAGGACGGATGGGATAGAGAGTCCCACCAAGTATCCAGTCCTAACCCCAAAATTCTCCATCAACGGCAAAGCCACCAACGGCACCAACGCAGCGCCGACATTCCAGCTGCAAACCGGCCAGTACGAATGCGGGAAATGCTCATCGCTGACCCCAAACTCGTGGTTGATTTCCTCGGCCGCGCTGGCAATCGCCGTGGCGTTAATGCCGACAATTAACGTGCTGTGCGTTCCCGCGGTCAGTTTATGACAGCACACTTCCCGCCGGCTCGGAGCGGATACGCACATAAAACACGTCGTTAGCGTGATGAGCCATTTCCGTGAGGTCGGCCAGTTGAAGCTAAAACAGGGGTTAGCCGTTTGCCATGCACGGGCGCGGGCGCGGGAGGGTCCCAGCATACGGGTTTGCAGGGTCTGAGGGTCCGTCCCAGGAAACAACGGATGTCTGATCAGAGTCGGATGAGCGGTTGTGTTGATCGCCGTTGGCAGTATGAAGGGCTTCTGTGCGCTGAGTGAGTGTCTCAGACTCTGGTGATGCGAGCGCTACGGCCAGACTTACCGTAGCTTGAGGCAGGGTCTTTGGCAGCTTCTGGATCGGTAGATCTGGCCATAGTATTGGATGATTGTGGAACAGGTGGAACAGACACGGGGACTGGAGTTGACGGGGAGAAGAAGTACAAGACTGTCTTGATTCGGGATACGATTCAAGGTGTACTTATAAGAAATCGAAGCATGTGAGAGTTCAGGGCACGTTCTTGGTGCGTGTGAAAAGAAGTGATGGAGACTAATAGCAATCACAGTAATACAAGGCTACGGAGCGGGTACGGGCGTGGAGGAAGCCAGTGCCTGCAGGGCCGGCGAAGAGACAGAGGCCATGAACAGTGTAAACTCAAACCATGACTGTGGAAAGCAGATACGAAGCGTTTGACGTGATACCAGACGAGGAGAGGCACTCTGACCTTGACATCATGTGCTGCAGTGGCCACTTACTTCTTGCGCTATGGCAGAGTTGTTCGAGCTAACAATCGGGAATGTGGAGCTCCATTGGATCATCTTACTCTTTCTCGTAAGAGGAACTCCGTTGGTATACATACGGCACGGAGCGATGTTTTGCATGAACCCGCGTATCGCGCAGGCGCATTACCAGTGCTTGCTCTCATCTGGGAGTTTAACGGGAGATCTTCATGCAAGATTCGGGAAAGAAAAGAGACGTGGGCGGCGGCTTGTCCGGCACGTGAGCCAGGTAAAAAGCCTCACCGCGAAAATCAATCATTAGTTACGCCATCGCTTTTCAAAGGCTGTAGATGGTACAAAAAGGCTATCCAATTAAGCGTTAGCCTATCCTCTCCCTTACCGCACTGTTTTAGGCAATTTGTTGCTGTATTAGTAAGGGGGTGTAGTGAGTGTAAAGCGAGGCGTGCCGATAAAACTGTAAGTTTCGCGGCGAGATTTTCGCGGTGAGACCTTTTACCTGCTCCACACGTCCGGCTCTCGGCCAAATGCTCTTGAACAATCTCAAGAGGTGCAGGTGGAATTGGATTGACAGCCACAGCAGCCACAGCGGTCACCAGCCACAAGTAGTGGGACAATTGAAGCTCTCCCGATGAACTCCGCGACGAAGCTCCTCGGATGCGAGCTCGCCCTGAGCTTCCCCAGATATCCCCGCAATATCACCCCGCAGCCAGGGTCAACTAGTCGTGTCACTATAATGAGGCCTCTACTTCGAGGGTCTCAGTATGCTCCACACCTGCAAACCACCGGTTACTGTATCTCGAAACCCCCTTAAGGATGGCCGCAAACACCGCAGGCAGACTTGATGGCAAGGTCGCAATTGTGACCGGTATATATGCACTCTACCTCCATCCATCGGCTGGGCGCATAGCTAAACTACGCCAGGCGGAGCGGGCGGCTTCGGCAAAGCTATCGTGAAGCGCTTCCTGAGCGAAGGCTGCAAAGTCATTATCGGCGACCTGAACGAGTCTCTCGGCGAGTCCGCGGTAAAGGAGCTCGACAGCTCCAACGTCCGCTTCGAGAAGATGAACGTTGCAGAAGAAGACGACTGGCGCCGGGTAGTGGATGGAGTAATCGACAACTGGAAGAGGCTCGACATAATCGTCAACAATGCGGGGACGACGTACAAGAGCAAGCCCACGCTGGACGTTACGGCGGCGGAGTTCCAGCGGGTATTCGATGTTAACGTCAAGAGCATCTTCTGGTCGGTCCATGTTGCGATTCCGCAGATGCAGAAGCTAGGGAATGGCGGGAGCATGATCAACATCTCCAGTATTGGCAGTCTAAGGCCGAGACCTGGGCTGGTATGGTACAACAGCAGCAAAGGCGCAGTCTCAAACGTGCGAACATCCCCACTCCGCATATGCACTGTTTTTGTTTAACTGACAAGAATGTCGCAGGCGACCAAAGGCTTGGCCGCTGAGTTCGGCAAAGACCAGATCAGAGTCAATGCACTTGCTCCGCTGCTGTCGGGCACAGCGCTATTTTCGTCCTTCGTAGGCGTTGAGGACACAGAGGAGAACAGGAAACAGTTCACGGCAGCAGTGCCTCTCGGCAGACTGACTGAGCCGCTCGACGTTGCAAACGCGTGTTTGTTCTTGGCTAGCGATGAAGGCAAGTTCATCAACGGCGTGAATCTAGAGGTTGACGGAGGCAAGGGGATTTAATAGGTATATACGGCTGAAACCTCTCAACATCGAGTCCGAAGAGTGTCAAATCGATTATGAAAATTCGGCGTCACGATCCAGTGAACTCAGGGCGTGCTAGCGACTACGGGGATGCAACCATGATTGCTGAAGCGACATACAAGAAAACAGCTATACGTTATTTACACCAACCGGAGCTTTGGGGACCATGAAGCTCTGAGACACGCTTCCCAAAAGGGTAATGTCGGGCATAGCGTAGAACGTCGCAAACCGCGGAGGCCGTCCATATTGCAGTCCAAACACGCTGCCAGTGTACTTACGCTCAGCGCAAAGCGCAGTCCACAGCGTTGATGTCACGGAGTACTTCGTTGAGTTGGCAGTTCGTCTTCGGGGCACAGTTGGCGGATTCATCTTGCTTCATGAGAATCATGCATGGTGTCCGCCGCAACGGATAATCCGCACCATCAACGCAACAGAGTACTTCGTAGGTTTCGCGATTCGCTCTCCCGGCACGACGGTGTTCCTAAAATCTCCCAATGACAACAGTGCATCGACGAACAAAGGTGCTGGTGCACTACAAGGGCAGCCACGTTTTTTGAACTTGGCCGCTTGTTTTGCGCAATGCCTTTAAATTTGACTACAGTCTGGCTTTCTCGCTCCCTTCTCCGGTTTTCAATGCCTGGTCAATGACTTCCATCGCCTGGTACAACCTCCGCTCCTGCATCTTCGGAGCGATCACCTGGACGCACAGGGGCGTATTCAGGTAGACGGAGCGGTCGACTTTAGTCCACAACTCGCGATTGACTCCGTCCCATGAGGACAGTGGCTCCGAGGTCGGGAGCTCGCCGTTCAAGTCATCCGGCTTGACGGAGCGGACGGGTAGCGTCTGGAATTTAGAGTTAGTGCTGATTCTCCCACGAAGCCTTTCGAAGTCTGTTCTATGCGGGGCAGTAGAGGTAACATTTACCGCAGCTGGATAATCCAGGAGCACAAAGGAAGACGTGTAGCTCACGCCGTTCCAGCGGTCGATCGGCGGCACCGGATGCGGTGCCACTGGGCAGACAAACGCATCAATCTCCTTGCCATCCTGCCCCTTCCAAATCGCCAAGAACTTGGTCTCCAGCTCCGCCCTCTTAGCATGCTGTTCCCTAGCCTGGTCTAACGTCATTGGCTTCTTCCTCTTCAGCCTGGTCGACAGCCAGGGGCTCAGCGGCTCCCCAGTCTTCTCCAAGAGATCGAACATGTTGTTTCCACCCTCAGCGCCAAACAGCGCATTCGCAAGGCTCTGACATTTCGAGAAAAGCGGCCTGATATCCATTTCGACAACCTCAACGCCCCTCGCGCGCAAAGCTGCGACGACATCGTCCAGAGCCCTCTGCACAGGCGGTAGCGGCTCGATCAATCCATCCGTCCGGACGATCCCAATCACCGGCTTCTTACCCGATCCTCGCCGCCGACTCGGCAGCTCCCCCTGCGCCTCCCACGGCCCGAACACTACGTCCGGATCCACAGTCCATGGCTCCGCACTGGCGATCGCCTTAAGCAACAGCTCACAGTCCCTGAGGCTCGTAGCAATCGGCCCCGCGCTGGCCGGTAGCGCGAGCCTCGCCGCCGCAGGCCTCTGACCGCCTTCCTGGCCCGCATACGGCACGCGCTGCCAGCTGGGCTTGAAGCCGTACAAACCCTGGCACATTGCCGGGATACGAATGCTACCGCCGACATCGGTCCCGATGCCCAGAATACTGCCGCGGATGCCAACGAGCGCGCCTTCGCCCCCGCTGCTGCCGCCGGCAGTCACGAAGGTGTTGAGCGGGTTGAGGGTGCGTCCGAAGACGTTGTTGTGGCTGTCGAGCGCCATGAGGGTTTGCGGGACGTTGGTCTTGCAGTAGAGGACTGCGCCGAGGGAGAGCAGAAGGGAGACGAGGGTTGAGGGGGCGGTGGAGGGGCTGAAGGCGAGAGAGGCGATGCCGATGGAGGAGTCATGGCCCGGGATCCGGAAGGTGTCTTTTAGGGAAATTGGGAGTCCGTGGAGGGGGCCGAGGGGCTTCTTGTGGGTCGAGAGGTGGGCGTCGAGCTCTTGAGCGCGGGCGAGGGCTTCGGCTGGGAAGAACTCGGTGAGACAGTTCGTCTAGTCAAGGAGTTACTCAATGTATGAGGGTATACTAGAGCTAGTGGTGGAATCAGAGGGTGGGATCGTAGACGTACCAATTGATGCGCTATAGCTGCTCTCTGTAGGCTTCTTGTCAGCTATCATCCGTGATGAAATTCGAGAGCCGGAGTCAATGCTCACCTTGCAGAATGCTCTACAAACATCAACACTCTTCAACCTCCCCTCCGTAATCTCCTTAATTAATGCCGTAGCATCATATCTCTCAGTGATCTCCACCTCCTTCTCAGTCAGGATACCACATTCGCGGGGAACATCCAGATAATTAGTGCGATTGGTAGCCGGTTTGCGCGCCAGACGCCATTCCTTGGGTATGCGAGCTGCCTGCTCTTCTTGCTTTCGGCGCGATATCTCTTGCCATGTGTCTGGCATCTTGGGCGGTTATGTTTAGTGACATCGTGAGCATGGCAGGCGGTGATGCTTAAGGTAAATCTGGGGGAACGGACCGAGGCTCAGCAACACGCGAGATCGGCGAGATCTCCCCGCTGTTTGCCGGCTTATCCTGCAGCTCAACTAGGACACTTTCACTTCTAGTTATAACTTATGCAACCGTTCGAGGGAGTATCCGCATGGTTATACGAGTGTTCAAGCTGATCCTCATGAAGTCTGACGGTTCGAAACATGTTCCGCAGTGCTGCCAGGACGCCTGCCTTGACAACAGCGCAACAGGTGCTTGATATTAGTCTCAGTGTCACTGATGTGGGACGATTGAGTAAAACCAGGATCATTTTACTACTGGCCACATTGGCGAGGAGAGTTACACCCCCTTCGCGCATTCGATTGATAACCCACTGGTATGCAGGTGGCTTTTTGAATATTGCGGAGCCTATCTCCGGTCCTCCATACGCTAGTATGGAGAGAACGCGCTTGTTCGACCAGTCAGCTCTTTTACCGGCGGCTCGCATACCCCTGCCATAACGGAGACTAACCACCGGCTGTGAAACGGTGATGTATGGATACCCTGAACAGTGTGCTTTCCGCAGAGGGACATTGATTGTGGCTTCAGCTTGACCCGACCCCGACGTCAATGACGTTGTTCTTTGGTCATTGTCAGGGCTGTGAGCGATTCAGCTATCAATCTGCATTCTGCTAGTTGACTTGGCTGTCTCGTCGCTAGATCGCTCTTGGAGAACTTCCTGCCCTTTCTCTAGCAATCTGTATCGTCTTTTCCTCGTCTTCCTGCCTCTCTCAGAAGTTCTTCCCGTATCACTCAGAGTTGTGTATAACAGGTCTTACAAGCGCAAAAGGTGTCTGAGATGTCTCTAAACAGTCTCAGAAGGTGCATGTTGGGTGTAGTATTCTTTTACCTCTTCAAGGCTTCTCTAAGTTTGCCGCATTCGCAAGGCCCCGTAGCTGCTTCAGGCAAGTTTGACCATATTGCCGTAAACGCTTTCTGTCCACCGGCTCATGATGCGAGGCTAGCGAGTGGAATTGTGAGACCGCTCTTCGAATCAGCCGAACACGTCAGTATACACTCAAGCGCTTCTGTCTCTCAGCTCACTGGGATAAGAGATGGATAGGAGATCGTGTTATCCTTCGTTATAATAGAGGAGAGGAGGTGGTCGGGAGAGACTTCAATTATCGGGCCGGTTCTTCGAACCTCACCTATGGCGATATCATCGCCTTGGGGGGTGACTTCTATGCTAATTGGTCATACACGGGTGACTGCCCTGAGCAGATCAGCGATAAGTGGTATTCAAATAAGACAGCCAGTGTCGAACAGTTCTTGTCCGATGCCAGGGCGTTGGCTACCGACGCTGGAGGATATCTCCGATGTATTCTGTCCACTATGAGGTCGCAGGAGAACGAGGTTCAGACAGGTATACGCAACGGAGAGGATCCGGCTCAGGTAGGCAGGTCTCGTTTGGGCTAACCTTGCGCTGCTTTACTGACTGAAATAGGTTTTCGACAGGATTTCCAATAGATACCACGTGAAGTACTTTGTCTGTACTCTTGGTGGTTATCTTATGATCTCGCTATGCAATTTCGATCACTTTGTTCAGGTATCTAATTTTCTAGACCCAACAAACAGTCCTCTGGCTGATTCGCCGAAAACAAGGATGCGCGGAATGCCTACTCCGCTGGTCATCTTGCAGCCCTCTCACAGGCGGAACGGGCGCGAACTTCTGGCTCAACTTCCGATCTCAAAGAGGCTTACTTTCTGGAGGCCTTTGCTCAGCATTTTCTGACGGACCTTTTCTCCTCAGGGCACATGAGAACTCCACGACGGGTTCTGCACGAGCCATACTCCGATGTCGATCCGCCACCGGACGGTCCGGACTATCCAGACCTTGATCTCTGGCCTGCTGACGCCTGCGCTCAGATAATGCACGATGAGGACAGTGCCAATGGCCTTTGGGTTTCCAACAGTTTTGGAGATACATGGGCAGCGTATGGCGACAGGCAATTGTGGAGCGGTAAGGCGGCTGCAAACCGTCTACAGGTAGTAAAGGCTGCACAAACCGGTGTAGATGAGGTTTGGCAGGCATTTTTAACGGGAAATTTGCCCGAAGCCTCCGATTTTGCTGCCTTGAAGATGGTAAACGTTGCTTGACCTTCTGTTGCATCTTTCCTTCGCTCACTTCCTCAGACTCCCAATTTCTCAAACTTAACATATCCTGAAGATTACGTCCCACTCTTTGAGTGGAGCGCCAGGGACCCAGACATACTTCGTAGCAGAGCGCACCCAGATGAGCGCAACAACTCTGCTTTTAAGGAATATTCAATCTCTCGGCTCGGGGACCGCGAGTGGCAACGAATACTAGACACAATCCAGAACTCGAGCGTAATTCAATCCATGCGTCCCTTCACATTGTCGTTCCTGTCTTCCACCGGCGTATGGCATTTCCGTTCCCCCAATGATGATAGCCTCATCGTAAACAAATATGGTCCAGTTGACGCGGCAGAATTTGGAAAATACTGGAGTATGGAGGCACAGTACAACATCCAGATCCCCCAGGTTGCCGGATCAACTTCGTGGGCATCAGTTCAATACCTCGATCATGGATTTCATAGTCTAGTCGGTCGTCTGCGCCCGCCGAACCAAGAGCCTACAATGGCCCGTCACATCGGGGTCAGACCAGTCCAGGATGAGAAGGGCGCCCGTATCGAGCTTGCGTGGATGCAGGACGCGGATGATCAGGATGATTCCTGGACGCTGGACGATATAGTCTACGGTAGATTTAGCAACGATTCAAGCAATATCGCTATGATAAAATACTGGTCAACCGGACCACGTGGCACATCGAAGCTGGAGCTATGGGTCATCCCAGCCAGCCGGGATATCCCTCCGATTAGGATTGATCCTAACTTGCCTTGCGCACGTATGAAGTAAGCTTGCCTTCCTTGCCTCTGACCCTCGGGCATATGTGGCTGACGTCGCAGCTTCCTCCTCAGATACAAGATGCACGCTAGGGACGACCACGAGACCTTCGTGGGATTCGGTTACGACAACATCTCCTCAACTAGCACGTGGCAATTCTTCTCTTGGTCTAGCAACTATTCCAAGCGACACCTGTCTACGGTATCTGAAGCTATTGGTTTCCCGGCCCAAGCCCTACTTCCGGGTAGTCTCAATGCTTCTGACGGTGACAACCGCATCATCCGCATTTTTTACGGACAGGATCATCCGAATCCTGATTCGCTTGATATCGACATTCTCCATCCTGTCCGTTCAAGCTTTGGTAGAGTTAGTATCTCTGATCCGCCGATATCGAGATCATTTCCGGTTACCTGGGAAGCAGTTTCCGAGGAAGATTATCTCTTCTGGTTCCTAGCAGACGTCAACCAGGATGGACGCATTGATCTCGTGGCGCTCGTAAGCTGTGAAAACCAGCCCACCGTGCTCGTCTTCCCAGGATTTCGGAATGGTACATTTGGTACGCCGGTAGTTAGCGAGATCACCCTTGATCCCGACAGGGGCTCACTTATGACTGCTCCGTGGATGCGAATCATCAAGGTCTCGCAGGCTGAATATACGTACACCTCCGAGTCCAGAAACGCTGCCAGTGACCGCATGAAGGGGTTGGATCATGATAGCCAGCAGCCTTTACCGTTCTTCGATTTTCAGACTACAGACGCGGCTATCATAATGTTCTTCGACAACTACGGTGTTCTTGGCACGCGATTGCTTGCACCTGTCCGTCCTGCTGGTACCTATGTCTATGAGTTGAAGGGGCAAATTCCATCTATTGCCGGACAACCTACCCAAGCGATAAGCTGGCGTGGTCGCGAGGCGGTGGGATTCGTCTTTGAGTAGAAGTATTCTTCTAAGAGGTCTTTTTATAGGCTAGAGTGTTCTTGTCTTTTGCTTCGGATCTTACTAGCGGCGCCTGTTTCGTCAGATGCAGCAGTTGGGGAAGACTGTAGATTAATGCCATTACGATATTGCTGTTAGCCTCTGTACGTTCGACTGCGGCCAAGGGCTATTTGAAAAGTCGGTTGCCGCCTTGAAAGCTGGCCGTAGCTCTGGAGCTAGATAGGCTTAAGCTTAGTCCATAGCTCAAAGACACCTCAGGCGGTCGATTCATTGGAACTGCTGGGGATGTTTTGATTTCTATCACGTGAGACGGGTTTAGCCGTTTTGCCATTGACAATATTATGAGTCCAGTTTGATCATGAACCTGGTGGTGAAAAGGCTCGAGCAAAGATGCGGCAACGGACTTTTTGGTTGGCCTTTGGGCGTCCAGCTCGGGATCTCCCGTTCCGTTCTTGTACCTGTCTGGCACAGGCCGCTCCTCTTTTGCTTTTCCTCACCCACTCAACCGTGATAGGTCGATACTCGTAGGATTATGCAGGTAGGGATTAAAGTGCATTCGATGAAATCGTCGGACCTCCTCTCTCCAGCAGAGCCCTCACGCTTGCTTACTGCACTCTCCTCTCCCAGCGTGGCTCAAGCGAGTTCTCCACCATGATATCCCTACTATTGATTGCTCCAGTAGCCATATCAATCCCTTCAATTGCTGCTCAGGCAGCTCTTTTGTATGATCTATCTCCGAACAATTACTCTTGCAGTGGGCAAAATGCTTCCTGTGTACTGGCCACCGATCCGCTTCAGAGTCCTTTCCCTTATGCGTTCCCACCACAAGAGAGCGCGGACACAAGCGCTCTGTTTCCTATGCAGCAGTGCCACGGGTTGACTCTGGAAGAGGCGACGATCGATCAGTTGCAAGAGGCAATGGGCAACGGGCAATTGACGTCTGTACAGCTGGTTCAATGCTACTTGCGACGCGTGTTACAAGTTGATGAGTATATCAGGTAGGCCTTTAAAGACAGCTTGCTACCAGTTTTCCTTCGTAAGCAGGACGTTCATCTAATGTTACTCTTCACGACTATTAGTTCCGTTATGGAGCTTAACCCAGATTTCCTGGCCATAGCAGCAGCGCTTGATGCCGAGCGCGCCGCAGGGCGTGTCAGAGGTCCACTCCACGGCATCCCCTTCCTCGTCAAGGACAACATGGCCACCAAGGACCACATGGAGACCACAGCCGGCAGCTTGGCGCTTCTCGGCTCCGTTGTGCCACGAGATGCTCACGTAGTAAGACTCTTGCGCCAAGCGGGTGCTGTTCTGTTCGGCAAGGCAACGCTGAGCGAGTGGGCCGATATGCGCAGCAACAACTACTCGATAGGCTACTCCGCACGGGGCGGCCAGGCGAGGAGTCCGTACAACCTCACTTTAAATCCTGGTGGAAGTAGCTCCGGTAGCGCGGCTGCTGTTGCGGCGAACGTTGCTATGTTTACACTGGGTACGGAGACGGATGGAAGCGGTAAGTGAAATCGAAGCCTGAGCTGCATGAGTCGGACAAGCTTCAAGCACAAATTGATACAACGCCACCATCGAACTGTGGGGTTGCGATTGGTCGTCACAGCCTTGGATCATTCTACGGGCTGTATCCAGGCTCCAATGCAGCATAATCCATCGCTGCTTGATTGTATTCAAATCTGTGGCCTGTGGCTGCTTGCTTGCTTGCTGCCGTACTTCTCTAACATTGAACAGTCATCCAGCCCGCGGAGAGAAACGGTGTAGTTGGGATTAAACCCACTGTAGGCCTGACCTCGAGAGCTGGGTAAGCCGACTCTGCATCTACGAAGGAAGTCCGCTGACTAAACTCTCTCCATGCAGAGTTGTTCCTGAGAGCGTCCATCAGGACACTGTCGGTCCCTTCGCACGCACGGTTTGCTGACATTGCCTTGAGAGCTGAACCAAGCTGATGTCGGTAGGTACGCGATGCCACATACGTGCTAGATGCCATCTACGGTGTAGATCCGCGTGACAACTACACTCTTGCTCAAGAGGGACAAACTCCCACTGGCGGATACGTCCAGTTTCTCACAAACAGAGAAGCATTACGGGGTGCCACATTCGGCCTGCCCTGGGAAAGCTTCTGGGTTCGTGCAGATGCAGAGCAACAAGCAATCCTTCTCGATTTGATCGATTTGATACGCGAAGCTGGCGCGACGATAATCAATGGGACGGAGCTTCCAAATTATGAGCTGATGGTCAGCCCAACCGGCTGGAACTGGGATTGGGGTAGCACTCGCGGTTATCCAAATGAGTCTGAGTAGTACGTCTCTGCTTAAGAAAGATTAATTGAACACGAACTCACGGAATTGCAGCACCGTTGTCAAAGTCGACTTCTACAACAATATCCGCGACTACTTAGCGGAGCTCGACAATACCGACATCCGGTCTCTCGAGGATATAATAGCATACAACTATGCGAACGACGGTACCGAAGGCGGCCATCCCTGGCCCTTCGGCCATCCTGCTTTCTACTCCGGTCAAGACGGCCTTCTCGCATCCTTAGAGTCACGAGGCATCATGGACGAAACTTACTATCAAGCTCTCGAGTTCTGCCAGACCCAGAGTCGAGAGCTCGGCATCGATGCGGCGCTGAATTACAACGGCACTCAATTGTCTGGGCTGCTAGTTCCATCAAACGTCGGCCAGACGTTCCAGATAGCGGCACAGGCGGGTTACCCGATGATCACTGTGCCAGCGGGGGTTCATCCGAGCACTGGCATGCCGTTTGGGCTGGCGCTGATGGACACGGCATGGAGTGAGGCTAATCTGGTGAAGTGGGCGAGTGCGATTGAAGACCTGCAGCTCAGCTCTGGTACGCAGAACAAGCGGTTCTTGCCGAAGTGGCATGAATACTTGGAGAGGAACGTTCCTATCAGGTATCTCTGAAGGAACGCTTAGGAACCTTCCATCCAACATTGAGCGGCAGCCCAGCTGAGTTGCAATGATACAGCAGCTCAACTAAGACACCTCAACCTTAGAGGTACATCGGAGGAGAACAGCTCCAGCCTTGATGACTATTTCAAAATTATTCTGCATGATTAAAGTAGCTGTTAGGTAGTTATTGGTACAGTATCACATGACATGTCAGGTATTTCGTGAAGCGGAGTTCACCGGCGCTAGCGAGCTCCAGAACTTTTGCCTGCAGGTGCCGCCTGGCTGCCTTCAACCTCCAAATCCACATCCTTCCGACAGAATATCAAACCACAACCGTCAAAGCACTTCTATAACCGATCTGTAAGGCTGCTGAGCTAGCAGGACCTACACGTTCGAAGTATTTGAACAAAAGGGTTCGCGCACCTTGATCACTGCCACCACCGCCGGTGCTTCATCTGACCAACGTGAAGTGAAAACGTCTCTCACAACACAGCACTCCGTCGTAACCACTCAAATTCCAACAACATCATGTCAGGTCTAGACGTTGAAGCCCTTCTTGACTCTACCGCGAACGACAGCACCGATGCCAAGGAGTCCACCCGAGCCGCCGACCGAGATGACCGCCACAAGAGCGAGCGCAGTGAACGTCGCGAACGCGATCGCATTAGAGACAGAGACAGAGATGGCAGCCGGGATCGGGACCGCAAACGAAGAGATTGGAGCAGAGACCGCACTCGACGTGACAAAGATGCCGATGGAGATGAAGTCATGAAGAGCCCGCATGGCAGTGCCACCGGCAGCTCAAAGGGCAGAAAGCGAAGCAGAAGCAGAGACAGCGAACGCCGGAGTTCCCGCCGAGACCGGCCTCGAGAACCCATGGACCCCGATGATGCATTCCGTGCTTCTGCCGGTGACTACTATCGCGGAAGTGGCCGTCCGCGTACTAGGTCGAGATCTCCTGACGGTGATAGGTACTATCGCCCATCCGGACGCGGCCGACGTGAGCGCGATGATCGTGATGGCGACAAAGACAAAGACAGAGATGGGGACCGGGACCAGGGACGTGGCGGTCATGCGGGACGAGGCCGAGATGGCCGAAGGCGCAGCCCAAGCCCCAAGCGACAGAGGAGCAAGTCGAAGACTCCACAGCTGACAGAGGACGAGCGTGATCGTCGAACAGTTTTTGTCCAGCAGCTTGCTGCTCGTCTTCGAACTAAGGAGCTGATAGCATTCTTCGAGAAGGTCGGACCTGTCAAAGAGGCACAGATCGTGAAGGATAGGGTTAGTGGTCGGTCAAAGGGGCAAGTACTACTCAAAATCTCGTTCGCACGAGTACAGGCTGACCTTTGACAGTGTCGGTTACGTTGAGTTCAAGAACGAAGAGTCTGTCCAGCTTGCTATCCAGCTCACCGGCCAGAAGCTCCTAGGCATTCCGATCATTGCGCAACTCACTGAAGCCGAGAAGAACCGCCAAGCGCGCAACGGTGAGGGTACTACTAGCGCTGCATCAGGTGTCCCCTTCCACAGGTTGTATGTCGGCAACATCCACTTCAGCATTACCGAAAGCGACCTCCAGAACGTGTTCGAGCCTTTCGGAGAACTCGAGTTCGTTCAGTTGCAGAAGGAAGAGCAAGGACGTAGCAGGGGCTATGGTTTCGTTCAGTTAGTCGCGTCTTCATCATATACAATACTTCCAGCTAACGTGCAATACCAGATTCCGTGATCCAAATTCTGCTAAAGAGGCTCTAGAGAAGATGAACGGTTTCGATCTCGCTGGCCGTCCCATCCGTGTCGGCTTGGGCAATGACAAGTTCACCCCAGAGTCCACTGCCAACCTGCTCCAGCGCTTCCAAGGCCAAGGTCAGCCCAACTTCCAGGGATCGGCATTCTCCGGCAGTGGCGGGCGCGGTGCTCACGCAGGAGGCTCGGGCGGCAACTTCGACCGTGCGGGCGGCCGTGATAGCGACAAGGGAGCTGGCGGTGCCAGTGCCCTCGATGACACCGACGTTGCAGGCGTGAACTTCAACAACTACAGCAGAGACGCTCTTATGAGGAAGCTCGCTCGAACGGACGAGCCTGATTCCGCTGCCGACAAGGCCAAGATTGCTAGGCCTAGAGCCGAGGCGAAGCCCATGCCAGTTAACGTTAGCCAGGCAAGCAGGTGTGTCGTCCTGAGGAACATGTTCGATCCCGCCGAGTAAGTCATCATTTGCTCTTAGAAGCATACGAACACTAACATTTCATCAGGGAGGAAGGTGATGCTTGGATCAAAGAACTCGAAGATGACGTCAAGGCTGAATGCGAAGACAAGTACGGTCACGTCGTTCACATTGCTGTAGATCCGAACACCCAAGGCGACATCTATCTCAAGTTTGACCGGGTTCAAGGCGGCGAAAACGCGATCAAGGGCCTTAACGGACGGTTCTTCGGCGGTCGCCAGATCAGCGCACAGCCAGTCGTTGATGCTGTCTACAGCAGTTTGTACACGCGCACGAAGGCTCTTTAGAAAGGCTAATTCTTCTCTGCCGTGTGGACATAGGCCGGTTGCTGGTAGGTAGTGTGTTTCTATTTCTCTCATAGGGCTGGTAGGGCTTGATGTGATGGACCGCACTCATGGTTTCAGGATATGAGTGCCTTCATGCTTTCTAGCTCCGACCTTCGCTCTACGGATGTCCTTCAAGGTTCATTTTCTCTAGCTGGATGGGTTCTCGGGGCCTGTACTTAACTCCTCAGCGGGCACGATTGACTATTGGCGCTAGACCTACAGCTGTCACGTAGTACCGCGACTCTTTCGGTCCTCACCGGCGGCCTTCCGTTCCCTCGCCAGGTCACCGTCAAACGCAACATTGGCAGCCCACTATATCTCCTGCGTCTTTCAAGTAGCTCGCTCACCTTCCCAAGACTGATGTCTTCTCACAGATCCTGCAGTGTACTGTGAATCTCTGAATATGACCACAGGTTCCAACCTTTGCCCTCTCGGCGTTCGCCAGCCATCACTGGATCCTATCCGCGTTCTACCCGATTGTCACTGACAATACTCGATACTAATAAAACGTCAATTCTACGAACCAAGTCAGGCACAAATTTATTGTGCGTGATTGAAGACAGGGTCTGTTTCTTGGTTACACATCTTCAACCGTATAAGCACAAGGAGGCTGTTATGGTCGATACTTGTCGGAGAAGACGCAAATGGCGACTGACAATGTCCTACACTACATCCCCTGAAGACCTTGTAAGCACTAAGCGTGTGGCAGGTTCGATTTATAAATTTAGTCTACGAAGGAGGTAACGTTGCCTAATCGAGAAGAATCTCAAGAATCGTGGGACACCTCCTTGAAAATGATGCTCGAGAAGCATCTCGCGAGGCCAACTATGCTCCCCCGCGGCCATTAGAAGGCGTGTACGTGCCTTGGAGGCATGGACGAGCGTCCTACCGGTATTGTCATATTCAGCGCTCTCGAAGGCCGCGCCCTGCTGTCTTTATCAGGTACGCGACCACGATGGGAGTTTGATTTCGCAACCCCTCGGCTTGAGCAATCTAACAGATGTCTTCGGCCACTTGAGCATGATCTGCATTAAGCTAAGATGGGATTCATCTTTTGAATCTCAACAAGGTGACCTTGAGGTACAATCACTCAGATCGCAATCTCAGTCCGTACTTCAGAATCTGCAACACGGGGCCTGTCTACCTAGGCATTACAGACGTGGTTGATCATTCATAGGCCTTACAGGGCTGAGTATCCTGGCGCTAGCCATGAGAACGGCTAGGCAGACGTCGCGGGTGGTGTGGATGGTACGAGTAACGAACATTACTGGAACACAAGAACACACCTCGAAACTCTGTACTCTTAATACCGCAATTGAGAAATTTCACGACGCTGTGCTTACCGTATCATGCGAAATCATAAAGTTAGCTGCTCGACAGATTTGCCCTCTCTAGTTTTGATCTGATCAGAACAACAAGCCAAATGCTGAAGGGTGTCTCTTCTGTGCACCTGGGCAACGCTGTATGTGGGAGGTCAAAGCAGGCGCGGGCGAAGTTGAGCTCATCTCCCTGAGCACGTGACGTGAAGCTGCGACCCACCAGGGATTTGTTTGGGTCGAACGCCATTCGTAATGTCTGCATTTCCGACTTCACCAAATTCCTTCTCTGTGCCCACGCGCTTCCTTGTTTGCGCATCTTCAAAACTCGTACTCATACAGCTTAATCACTTCCTGTCCTGACCGCGCCCACCGTTTCTGGCCCCATCATCGATCTTCACGTGTCTGGCCCTGACTAGGTACATCTTCGCTTCATAATTTCAGCGTGGGCTGTCTTTCGTAGACTTTAACACCACCGCACCGTCTGCACACGCTCTCTAAGGCCTCATATTCCAAGGGCGACCGGAGAGCTATCCTGGAACATCTTGCACCGTATCGTAAATTCCGGACAACACCATGGACGTGAACCAGGTTCTTGAAGGGACCCTATCCCCGGGTGAGCAGCTGTCACCCCCAGCTAGGTGCCGGATGGACTTTTGCTGACTCGCGCTAGACGTGACTGTCCGCACGAATGCCGAACAACAGCTGACCCAGGCCGCCGAGGCGGATTTCGTAGGTGCCCAGTACGTCGCTGTACCGGCCATCCGCTGACCTCTCTGCTATCCAGTCCGGCTACCTCACTACACTCGCTCAAGAGCTTGCAAACGAGCAAGCGCCGTCACACATCCGTCAAGCCGCGGCTCTCGCCCTCAAGAACTCTTTCTCCGCTCGCGAATATGCCCGGTTACGACAGGTTCAACAGCGGTGGCTTACACAGATTGATGCGAACATCAAGAGCTCCGTGAAGAACCTCACACTCAAGACGCTGTCATCTCCCGATGCGAGGGCGGGGCAGGCAGCGGCGCAGTTCCTCGCATCGATCGCCGCTATCGAAATCCCTCGCCAACAATGGCCAGAGCTTATGCCTACCCTGGTGCAAAATGTTGGCGAAGGGCAGGATCATCAGAAGCAAGCTTCTTTGACGGCTATTGGCTACATCTGCGAAACCGAGGATGTCGAACTTCGGGAAAGCCTTACAGCACACTCAAACGCCATTCTTACTGCGGTGGTGCAAGGAGCTAGGAAGGAAGAGCAAAACGACGATGTGCGGAGCGCGGCTATCCAAGCACTGAGCGACTCGCTTGAGTTCGTGCGGACAAACTTTGAGAACGAAGGCGAGCGGAACTACATCATGCAAGTTATTTGCGAAGCAACACAAGCATCAGATATTCGGATACAACAGGGCGCATATGGCTGTCTGAACAGGATCATGGGCTTGTACTATGACAAGATGCGGTTCTATATGGAGAAGGCTCTGTTTGGTCTGACGATTCAGGGCATGAAGAGCGAAGAGGAGGATGTTGCCAAGCTCGCAGTCGAGTTTTGGTGTACTGTTTGCGAGGAGGAAATCTCGATAGAGGACGACAACGCTCAGGTACGTTCTTATCGCACAGACGTAATTGAGTAGGAAGCATAGCTGACACGAGGTGACGCTCAGGCCACTGCTGAGGGCTCTACCGAAACACGACCGTACTTCAACTTCGCTCGCGTTGCGACACAGGAGGTTGTACCTGTTCTGCTAGAGCTCCTTGCAAAGCAGGACGAGGATGCAGCTGACGACGAGTATAACGTCTCACGCGCGGCCTACCAATGCCTGCAGCTTTGGTCGCAGACGGTCGGCAGCACCATCGTTCCTCCTGTACTGCAATTTGTTGAGCGGCACTTGCGGTCGGAAGACTGGCATTATCGGGATGCCGCTGTATCTGCATTCGGAGCCATTATGGAGGGACCCGACGAGAAGATGCTGGATCCGCTAGTCAAGCAAGCTCTCCCCGTACTGATTCAGATGATGGACGATTCGGTTGTGCAAGTCAAAGACTCAGCAGCCTATGCTCTAGGCCGCATTTGCGAGACTTGCTCAGAGTCGATCGAGCCTTCAATGCACCTCCAGCCTCTTATCACATCGCTCTTCCAAGGCCTATCGAGCCATCCCAAGATGGCGTCCTCATGCTGCTGGGCTCTAATGAACCTTGCAGAACGCTTTGCAGGAGAGCCCGGCTGCCAGGAGAACCCTCTGTCACCGCATTTCCAGGCTTGTGTTACTCACCTGTTGCAGGTGACTGAGAGGTCAGTCGAAGATGAAGATCTGTGAGGGGTACCATGCTGACCACTTCTAGGGGCGATGCTGACAACCAGCTGCGAACTGCCGCTTACGAAGTTCTGAATGCCTTCATTACGAACGCGGCCAACGACAGCCTCCCTATCGTTGCTTCGATGTCTGACGTAGTCTTAGAGCGCTTGGAGAAGACGATTCCCCTGCAGCAGCAGGTGGTGAGTGTAGAGGACAAGCTGACTCTTGAAGAGATGCAGACGAGCTTGAGCAGCGTGGTCATGGTCAGAACTGTCGCACTGTCCGTTCCGGAAATTTGCTGACTGGTGCTAGGCCATCATCCAGCGACTCGATGTCGAAATCAAGCCTCAAGCCGACCGCATCATGCAAATCCTGCTGCAGCTCCTCAGCACAGTCGGGGCCAAGTCCAGTGTACCGGACACGGTCTTTGCAGCGATCGGTGCCCTAGCAAATGCACTGGAAGGGGACTTCCTGAAGTACATGGATGCTTTCGTTCCATACCTATACAACGCGCTCGGCAATCAGGAAGAGCCAAGCCTGTGCGCTATGGCAATTGGTCTCGTCAGCGACATCACTCGAGCCCTTGGCGAAAAGGTGCAGCCTTACTGCGATACGTTCATGAACTATCTTCTCAACAACCTACGAGTACGTGTCCCAGAAAAGTGATATCAGTTCGTGGCTAATAGTACGCAGAGCACAGTCCTTGGCAACCAATTCAAGCCAGCTATCCTACAATGCTTTGGGGATATTGCACAGGCCATCGGAGGTCACTTCGAGACATACCTTCCGATTGTTGCTCAAGTCTTACAGCAAGCCGCTGGTATCAACATCAATGAGCAAACCTCCTACGAGATGCTTGACTACGTCGTCTCGCTCCGGGAAGGTATCATGGACGCCTGGGACGGGGCCATTGTTGCTATGAAGAGCGGAGGCAAAGGTAAATCACAGTTCATATATAGTGGAATCCTGGCTAACTTTACAGCACAACTACTGGCACCCTATGTCGAGTCAATCTTCCAGCTACTACAGATTGTCTACACGGATCCCAACCGCACTGAGGCTCTGCTGCGATCTTCTATGGGTGTTGTTGGGTAAGTCTTGGTCATCCTCACGCCCTTAGGATCCCTCTTGCGCCAACGGCACATGTCGCACTTGCTGATCCCGCGTGATAGTGACCTTGCGGACGCGTTCCCCAACGGCGAATACGCGGAAGCCTTCCGTGCTGATTGGCTCACTGTAATGGCCAAAGAAGTCCGCTCGAACCGCGAATTCCAACAGCGGACTCAGGACACAGCCCGCTGGGCACGCGAGCAGATCAAGCGGCAGATTGGTACGAATGCCTTCACTCCCTTCCGGTTCTCAACACCTGAGTTCCCGTCTCCGGCATCTTCAACCAACTCCATCCGCTATATACCCAGTCAGCACTAACATATATACTTAAGGTGGATCGACGGGTCAAATGGCTTGAGCATCCTAACGAAACTAGATGTCCGCGACCCTAGGTCCCGCCGAGACACGCCGCCGGCGATGAGTGCTTTGCACGCAGGAGAGTCGTACTCTGTCAGGTCCGCTAGATGCAGCTTCTTCGAGTTTGATCGACCCAGCTACAACTCACTTCACCGAAGCCTATCGCCTCCACCGGTCGCCCGTGCGCAGCGCCACGACTCCATCGCACAGTAAGAGACTACTGTAGATCAGCCATAGTAGCGCTACCTCAACTGCTACGGGCCCCCTTCAACCCCACCCTCCCGCCGCTTCGCCTCGCTACACGCATCATCACCTCCAGCACCATCGCTCACCCCGCCACACTGCCGCCGCTGTTGAATAGAGCGTGCACCAACACGGCCCACACACCAATCACCAACACCCTGAAGAGAAGTCATGTATGCACCCAAAGTCATGTAAGGAGGACTAGAATGGTTCTTCGATACCCCTTGAAGCACGGATTAGAGTTTGTTTGAAAGCATGGGATGGAAGAGGGCCGGAGATAGATTTATTGCGAGCAAATGGCAATACTTTCGCTTGTTCGATACCCCATGCGAAGTTCTGACAATGCTGCTCTCATCTGTCTAAGCATCTACTATGACCAACGCACATGACTTCTTCCGCCAGCCCTACAATACCGCCGCCGCCGGCACTTTGGCCGGCTCCTCGTTCTTCACTACCTTCACCTCCCCCTCCTTGCCCAACAACCACGCCATCCCCCTCATCGTATCCTGCACAAACGCTCTCGAGCTCTTCAAGTGCGGGAAAAAGCCCCAGAAGCCGTGCGGCAGCCCCGGATACACATCGAGTTTAGTCTTGATCCCGCACTCCTCGCGCAGGATGCGTTCATAGAGCAGGCCTTCATCGCGCAACGGGTCCATGCCGCAGACTTGAAAGTAGGATGGCGGGAGGCCCTTGTGACCCGACGGCCAGAGCAGGGGGCTGAAGAGAGGGTGGGAGGGAGGTTGGGGGTTATATTGGTCTATCCGTTGATTAGTCAATTAGAGAGATGCGTGGCGACCTGGGTGGCGCAGGCGAACGGGTGCGGAGATGGGCGTATGGGGAAGGGGGGAACACGCACTTATCATAAACATGTAGGCTTTCTTGTTGAAGGCCGGCGCTTCGGCGTTCTGCTCGTGGCTGATGATGACGTCCTTGTACTCGTCGGGGATGGCGTCCGGGGAGATCAGGACGGGGACGCTGGGCCAGAGCCCGGTTATGAGCGGTGAGATTGACTCGTCGCGCGCGAGATGGCTGAGGATGATGGCGATGTTGCCGCCGGCGGAGGTGCCGCCGACTATGAAGCCTGCGGATGGATCGGCGGCCAGGTCGGAGGTGTGAGCGGCGACCTGGGGGAGGTGTGGGTGTTAGTAAGGGGTTAGGTATTGGGTTAATCTAGCGGCGGGAGGAAAGTAACCGCTGGATGCGATACCGGGGCGGCTGAATGGAGTAGTCTTCACATGTTTGGCTGGGCCCTCCATGCAATCACGGAGTGATCGACAGCTTACGTCTCGAAACAGTGGAGTATATGCGAAAGCTCACTTACCCACTTCAGCGCATCCCAGGAGTCCTCTACCGGTACCGGGAAGGGATGTTCAGGCGCCAGTCGGTAGTCCACACTGATGCAGACGCAGCCGAACTGCTGCACAAAATTTACGCAATCGACTTCTGTCTGTTCTCATCGAATCAGCCACAAGCGCCTTTCGACCCACTCCCCTCTCCCTCTCTTCCCCTTTCCACCGCAACTTCAACGAAGTACACACATACCATCTCCGGCATCCCCAAGCACCACCCCCCGCCATGATACAGCACGACCAGCGGACTCCCCTCCTTGGGCGGCGCCTCAGGCTGATACAAGAGCGCCCTGATGCTCGATCCATCGCGCACGGGGATGCTGAGCTCGTTCTTCTTGACGCCATCCATATTTTCCGGGACACTGATGCCGGGAACGGGGGGGAAAGCCTGGGCTAGCGCATCTCGTACGCCTTGGATGGAGGGCGCGTCGGCGAGGGAGGGGAGTGGGCCGACCTTGTCGAGGAACTGGTGGTAATTTAGTATAACGGTTGAGAGGGGCGGAGGTTATTTGGAGGGTGGGTACTTCTTTGAGCTCAGGATCCATCTTCGCGAGGTCGGACCAGTTGGTAGAGCCCATTGTGAATCAGATGGGGGTATGAGGGCCAGATAGAGATGGAGTTGTTGATTCTGAAGCTTTGGCTAGGTGGGATGAAAAGGTCAAGTTATATAACCAACGTCTACCACGAACAACTTGAGGATCGAATGGAAGGTGGGGGCCGTCCATCTTGGCATATTGCCAATGTACGGCGTCCCTACGCGCGTTCGAGGTAAATAGAGGGGATGACATGAGCGTCGGAAGGGTTTGGGGGCGGAGGAGCCACGTTGGACGGGAAAAAAGCCCCACCGCGAAATTAGTAGTCTAGGGCTTTATTAACCATAATGCTCCCTTTAAGATCGATATAGTTCTTCGTAAGTTGGGCCATATAGCCAGCTAGAGGCCTATCGTTCTGTTGTTCACTCCTAAAATTTACCCCAGCGGCCGATCGGGGAGTACCTCGTGAAATTAGCGGTGAAAGGGCGCTCGACAGCTATCGCGGTGAGGCTTATTTCCCGCCTGAGATGAGAGCTAGGGAATGAGCCGCGGCAGATGCTCTGAGCAGGAAGTCTATGAAAAGAGAGGGGTTATGCATGGCGGGCAGAGGCACGAGATTTGGGACGCTGGCAGATCGGTTTAGCTAGCTAAAGCTAGAGCAGCTGCAGCTATTCGGTGATAAGACTACCCGTAAAGCCGACGTCCAAACTTTGCGCCGAACTAACGATAAAGACTTGGAACAATGCGTGAAAAAATGGAGAGACTTTGACATGATAGAGAGGCACTGTGAGTTGAACATGGACCTGAGGGAAACGACCTAAAGCTGCGTGAGGTTATGCACGAGTTTGTTTCCGCCTGCTCTGCTGCCGTGCGGTCTAGAAATCAGCTCTGCGCTACCTCACTTACTAGATCGAGTATTGCTGGTGTTGATCGTACACACATTGCCGGATTCGTGAATCCTGATGGCTTCGTTGTCGTGATCCTATTTGTAGAACGTTGCCGGATCCGTCTCCCCACGGACAATTGGCGGAAAGCGAACATCACGGAGTATCGTGTACCCATAACCCGCTTGCAACGTATTGCTTGGTACGGGTGAATGCAGTATATCGACATGTTGTGATTTGCATATTTGACATGTCTTTGTCGATTTGGACGGTGGTAGTTAGTTGATTGTCGGCGCACGTGACGGATAATATGTCACGTCGCTAACGGCAGGGGATGAAGTACTCCGTACCGGTGCTCATAACGGCGCTCTTTATCGTCAGGAGGACTTCGAGACTTCGAAGCTCCTTGCTGTCTGGGATCAAGAGCTGCTAAGCTCCAACCTCAACCGAATAGAGCCTCCTGCGCCCATATCAAGGTACGCCTAAGGAACCCGCCAGCTGTAGGGTGTGGCATTACTCGTAGTCACGACTGCTTGCTTAAGTACCTGTACCGCTACGCGGGTCGCGTCTTCGTCACGCGAGCCAACCTCCTCACTGCCGATCAGCTTTTCCTGCAGCCCACACTGTCCAGCTTTCTCCCGTCTTCCGCAACTATCGGAGCACAATCATCACTCGCCTCTCCAGTCCCATCGCATACATTGCAACCACATCGTCCACAAGCCTGCAGACACAAGCGCCAGATCTCCACTGTCGCTGCAACAAAGCCAGCCAGCTCCCACCATGCACCGCGCAAAGCGCCAGTTCCAGCCGTCCATCACCAATTTCTTCGCCCGCTCGGACCGCGATGACTACAGCTTCGACTCATCGCTGGGCTTCGGAGAGCCTCAGTTCCTCACGCCGCACCTCCCACCGGCCGTACAAGCCTCTCTCCTAAACGTCGGCATGCGTGTCCGCAAGTCAGTCCCAGAGGGCTACAAGACGCACAAGACCCTGCCCCCGAGCAACAGTGTCCACACCGCATCACCGTACACTCTCGCCCACCAGGCACAAGTGGTGCCAGGCAAACCTGTCGAGCTCCTACCCTACTGCGGCCTGCTCAAAACCGGCGGCCTCACACCCACCCCGCGGCTGCTACCTTCCCCCATCTCCGACTTCCCGACCGAGGCCTTCACCACCGCCGTACCCACACAAGCAGCGCCCATCTTCAACATGGCCGTCTTCCCCTCCAGCAGCCAAGACTCCAACTCAGCCCTCTCGAGCACCTCAAGCATCCCGAGCAAACCGCCCCCCCTCAACACCCGCAAGCGCTCCTATTCCGATGCCGCAGCCGACGACGACGCTATCTCGCCCTTCCAGCTCGACCCCCACCATCTACCCCACCCAGCCAACCACCTCGCCGTGCAGAAGTGGCTCGACGACGAGCCCGTGTCGCCGAGGTCGATCTACCCGGTCAGTCACACGCCGATGCCGGATCTGTCGTCGCTGCGGCCATTGGCGCGGCCGAGGACGAGAAGGAAAGGGAGTGGGGGTTCGGGCGAGGCTGTGCAGGGTGGGAGCCGGGGCGGGAGCGAGGGGGTGCTGGATTTTGGGGAGGCGGAGTTCTTGCAGCCTGAGGGAGAGGTCGAGATGGGCGGCATGTGAGAGGCTAGTTTGGGTGGGTGGGGCTAGACTGAAAAGTTGCGGCATGGTGTTTTTACGGGCTTCGCATTTTGCTTGCCTTGCTTTCACTGCTTCATTTTGATTTGCTTCGCGTTCAGCGTCAGCGCTCTTTGCTTTTCTTGCACTCAGCGATGGCGTCTTTTGCTTGCACTAGGTCCTTCGCTCTGGGAGGCCAGCTCTGCGGTGCTGGTCTTCCACGTAGGCATTCTCGCTTCCCGTACTCTTTCGAGGTAGACCCACGCTGTAGGATTGACGAATCGTAATGTCTTCAACGTAACTACCTCCTGCAACTGCACTACGTGATAGGGCAGCCCTCAGCATCTCAATCTCAGAGCAGTAGAATGTCATATGCGACATATATGCATTCACTTATGTCCGGCCCAAGTGCTAATATATACACCAACATCATCCCCCCTCTAACACCAAAAAAAACCGCACCAACACGCTCCAAAGCCCCGTTCTTAACGCCTGGCCATGCAAACCAAGAAGTCACAAGAACACCTCCCCGCTCACCTTCTCCCCCTCCTCGGATCCTCCGCATCCGCCCTCCTCCAATCCCTCAACTCCTTGGTCCCCATACTCCCCAACCCCCCCTCACTCCTCCTCTCCCAACCCCCGAGCCTAATCACCAGCGCCGTGGCATTATCCCCGTCGGTCGTCACCATATCCGCAAACGCCACCACAGCCCTCGCGCCCTGCTCCGGCGTCTTGGCCTCCTTGACGATATCCACGACCTCCTGGTCGCTGAGCGGGCCCGAGATGCCATCGGAGACGAGCACCAGGAACGAGTACTCGGCGGGGGAGATCTCGATGCGGCGGATCTCGGGCTCGGCGGAGACGCCGATGCGCTTGCTGCCCATGTCCCCAAAGGCGCGCGTGTTGGCCAGCCCGGACATGCGCTCTTCGCCGAAGGAGTCGGTCACAAATGTCGCGGCGTAGCGTCGCAGCCGAGTCGCTTCGGTGGGCAGGGAGGGGTGGTGGTCGCTGGTCAGCGGGATGGCGAGGCCGTTGGACGTCTTGCACAGCAGGATGCGCGTGTCGCCGACGTGCGAGGTTATGAGTGTTGAGGGCGAGGACGGGTTCCAGAAGGGCGTGGGTGTAGGCGTCGAGATCAGCGCGATGCTGCATGTACTGCCGCCCTTGAAGCGCTTGGGGCCACCGATCGGTTTGTTTAGACGAGAGGGTTTGCCCAGGATGTCGGCGTCGTTGAGGGCGCGGTCGGCTTGGGTGGCGTCTTCGTCTGTTTTGTTTACTTGCGCGGAGACGAAGTCGAAGTCGGCTTTTAGGAAGGCGTAGGTTAGGACGGTTTCGATACCGATGCTTGAGGTGCTGGAGGTGGGCGGCTTGGAAGAGGGTTGCTTGCTTTGGGCGGTGTCTTTTTCGAGAGTGTGGCCTTGGCCGCCGGCGGAGAGGGAGAAGTACTCGGGTTTGAAGCGCTTGAAGTAGCCGCCTACGAGCTCTTTCCAGGAGTTGACGAGGTTTCGCTCCAGCTCTTCGGCTTTGGATACGCTTTCGGATTGTGCGAGCGGGGGAGCGCCAGCCGGTGGCCGCGATTTAGTGCTCCGGTCCTTTGCGCTCGGCGATGTGTCGTCTGTACCAGATTGTGGAGGTTTGACTGGCTTGATCCCATCCGAACTGTACACATTTACCGATTTAAGACTCTGCTTATCGGCCTCGACCTCCTCGACGCGTGCCGCGGGTCTCGTTTTCTCGCCCATGCTCGACCGCTCCGCGCCCTGCTGCTTGAGACTGCTCTCCAGCTCAAACTGCCTCGCGCTATCCTCCACATAATCATGCAGCTGCTCCCTGAGAAACTCACTACACTCCCCGCCTCCATGCCCATCGAACACGCCAAAGTAAAACACCTGCGGATCTCCTCCGGCACCATCGGCAGCAACAACCTCATCCTTCTGGTCCCTGCCCCGTGTCAAAGACACCGGCCTCCGCTTCGCAAACGCCGGGATCTCAATCACGCCCGCTTGGTACGCGTCCTCGTTGTACGGCCGCTGCCCCCTTGACATGGTGACCCCGAAATGATGCTTCGCGCTCTTCAATGGGATCCTGACTACAGCCATCTCCCGCGACGGCCCAGCCATGGGCGGGGGCGCCGCGGGAGCTGATTTGGTTGCGCCAGGCGTGTGCGGTGAGGCCTTGTCGCGCGGGAGCTTGTGATGCGGGCCGCCGGACCTCGTGGCATCGGGGTGCAGCGACGAGGAGGGGAGGTGGGTTATGAAGTAGTCGTGGAAGATGCGCTGGGTGTGGCCCGTGGTGAAGGCGCGGGTGATGCGAGTGTGAGGGTTGCGGAGTCGAGGTGGCCACATTGTCGAGGCTGCGGCAACCGCATGGTGCTGGAGGCGCGGTCCGAGGGCTCTGTCCTCTATGGGAGCGAGGAAGGGTGGCGTAGGAGAGCGCAGTTGATGGAGTGGTGGTTTGGGGCGTCGGGAGTGACGCCGTGATGCAGGCCTGCGGCAACACCTCGCTTCCCCTCCATCTGGTATTGCGGGTTGCCGGAGCGGCGGCTTTGTGACTTCGGGCAGTTGAAGTTAACAGGGCAGTTTACATACACAGACAAGTTCATAGTCAAAAGATTGCCGGGTTTGTTGTCAATTGCAGTAGCTTTATTTACTCTGCAGCTTTACTATGCGTAACACTCGTGCTTCATGAAATCGTTGATGGCCGCAATGCCCCATATGCAATGCTTGAAACGCCCCTGATCCCAAACGAAATGCAATCCCGCTCCATTTCTGACTGCTCCCATATTTTCTGTATTCCCTATGGTCGACTGTGAGGACCCTACTCGTCATAGAGCTCCATGCCTCCATCACCATCCTCCAATTCCGCAACCGCCTCATCCTCATCGTACATCTCACTGTCCGACGCATCGCTATTGTCATGGTTCGGCAGCACCATGACATGCCCATCCTCCAAGACCACATGCGCCGTCTCGCCATCCCTGATCGCGCCTCTCAGGATGAGCACCGCGAGGCGGTTCAGCACTTCCTTCTCAATTAGTCTCGCCAGCGGTCTTGCACCATAAGCAGGCGAGTATCCCGCGCTGCCAAGGTAGTCGCGGACCTCGTCCGTCATCTCGATCCTGACGTTCCGTCCGTTGCTCTGAAGACGTTTCTGAATCTCCGCCATGCGCACATCGACGATCTTCCTGATCTCCTTCCTCGTAAGCCGGTTGAAGATAACGATGGAGTTGATGCGGTTCAGGAACTCCGGCAGGAAGTAGCCCCGCAGCGCACTCATCACCATCTCGCGGGTCGTTGGGTCGATGCGGCCGTCCGGTGCGTTAGGGCGAGAAAGGTACTCGGCGCCAAGGTTGGATGTCATGACGACGATGCAGTTCTTTGCGTCGACGACTCTGCCTTGGCCGTCTGTGATGCGGCCGTCGTCCATGAGCTGGAGGAGGACGGTGAGGACTTCCTTCGCGGCCTTCTCTACCTCGTCGAATAGTAGAATGGAAAAGGGACGGCGGCGCAGTGCTTCGGTGAGTTGGCCGCCAGCATCGTGACCGACGTAGCCAGGCGGCGCTCCAATCATGCGAGAAAGTGAGTGGCGTTCCTGGTACTCGGACATGTCGAAGCGGATCATGGACTTCGGATCGTCGAAGAGGAACTCCGCCAGTGCCTTGGTAAGCAGTGTCTTACCGGTACCTGAAGGACCGCAGAAGAGGAAGGAAGGGGGTTGATTCGGGTTTGCAAGACCAGACCGCTGAAGACGAATGGCGTTTGAGACGGACGTGACTGCCTCCTTTTGGCCAACGACGATCTGGCTGAGATGACGCTCCATCTGCAGCAGCTTGTCCTTCTCTGTTGTCCTGAGTCTCGTGACTGGAATGCCTGTCCATCGAGCCACAATCTCATTGATCTGATCGGGCCCAACAGCATCGGTGATGAGTGCCTCGCCATCACCACCACTCTGTGCATACATTGCCGCATCCGCCCTTGTCTTCTCAGCCTCCAATTGCCGGATGCGCTCCTCGGTCTCAGGGATGGCGTAGTATTTGACGTCAGATGCTTCGCCGTACTGACCCGTTCGCTCGAGGTCCGCGAGCTTAGTCTTGAGTTGGTCGAGCTTGATCTTCGCTTCCTGAATGTCCTTCGAGCGAGCCTTCTCGCTCTCGTACTTTTCACGCATAGGCCTAAGCTCCTCTTCGACATTGGCCATCTCGGCTTTCGCCTCGCGGAGGCGATCCTTGGAAGCCTCGTCTGTTTCACGCTCGAGTGCGTGGATCTCGATCTGGAGTTGTCGTACCCTTCGCTCGAGGTTGTCCAACGCTTCAGGCTGAGACTCGCGCGCCACGCGCACGGCAGCGGCAGCCTCGTCGATGAGGTCCACTGCTGAGTCTGGGAGACGACGCTGAGTGAGATACCGGGCGGCGAGGGTGGCAGCAGATACGATGGCGCCGTCCAGGATGGTGACACCGTGATGCGTCTCGTACTTCTCCTTCAAACCGCGGAGAATTGAGATTGTCTCAGGGATGGTAGGCTCTTTGACCAGCACTTGCTGAAAGCGTCGTTCGAAAGCTTGGTCTTTCTCGATGTACTTGCGATACTCGCCCAGTGTCGTTGCTCCGATGCAGTGGAGTTGACCGCGTGCAAGCATGGGCTTGAGCAAGTTGGCAGCATCCATGCCGCCCTCACCGCTTGAACCAGCGCCCATGAGGAGATGGATTTCGTCGACGAAAAGAACGATCATCTCCTTCGATTGCTCAATCTCATTGAGTACACCCTTCATGCGCTCCTCAAACTCGCCGCGGTACTTGCTGCCGGCGACCAGAGCACCCACATCAAGGGACAGGAGCTTGCACGCTGCGAGGTTGGCCGGCACGTCTGCGTTGACGATTCGGAGGGCGAGACCTTCGACGACTGTAGTTTTACCAACACCAGGCTCACCGATCAAAACTGGGTTGTTCTTCGTTCGTCGGGAAAGAATACGGATAACCCGCCGTATCTCTTCCTCACGGCCAATGACCGGATCGATCTTGCCTTCTCTGGCCATGGATGTCATGTCAATGGTGAACTTCTTCAAGTTCTCGTTTTCAGACTCGGCATCCGCTGTCTTCGAGTCAACCCGCCTTGTGCCTCGGATCTGTTGTATGGCACTGTCGATCAAGCTCGTCTTGGGGATGTTGGCATCTGCTAACGCCCGCTGGATTGTAGAGTCCTGCACCACAGCCGAGATGAGGTGGTCTACGGCGATGAAGCTGTCTTTCTGTGTCTTTGACAGCTGTTCAGCCGCTCGCAAAACCTTTGCGAACGTAGGTGATACTGAGACATGGTCTGGAGATGGGTCCTGACTGGGTAGCCGGACCAGCTGCTTCTTCAGAGCTCGGTCCAGTAACTGTGGGTCACCGTGAGCTCGCTCAACGACTTGCTTGAAGAGGGGAGCTGATGCTTGTGCATGCGACTCGTGTGATGTGGCTTGTTGGTCTTTTGAGAGGTCTGGTGCTGGATCGAGGAGCGCGACTGCGAGATGAAGTGGTAGAATTTGTGAGTGAGCGTATTGCTTTGTGAGCTCTTGCGCCTCGCTCAGAGCTGCGGTCGCTCGGTCTGTGAAGTTCATGCCTGAAGTCATGATGGCGGTTTAAGGAGTGTCGTGGGGTCGACTGGTGTGAAATGTGTATGTATAAGTCACGCAACAGCGCGATTGTAAAATTTGGCTGGAGGGAGACAGCGGCAGCGGAGGGTTTTATGGGGAAAGAGGATGGCTGGTGCGAGTTTGTCTGGCAGCTACCAGCAGACACGAGCGCCATCCGTCAGTCGAGGCAGGATGAAGCCAGTCGTTGATGGAAATTTGTAGAAGCTTCGAGAATGCCATTTGTGATGTCACGGCCACTTCACCGCCCTGACACATGCCTGACGCCGGCTGCCCCCGCCGTTGGCCGTTTCCCCGTTCCCCACAATGCTTGTCCTGCTAAGCATCAAGCCACAGTCGATAGCTCAACACTCCCTGCCCAGGTGGTGGACGCTTTGGAACAGCCAGGTTCCGCAAGCAACAGTAGAGTAACTACCTGGAAGCTTTCGGCGGCACACATGGACGACGTCCGGACTCTTATCTCTACCCTCCATCGAAGCATCACCCTGCTCCTGCCTTTCACAGACCCCTCCAAACCGCTGGTGCAAGATGTAGCGCACACAATCGCCCTCTGCGCCATCCTCTACTACGCTCCTCACTTCCTCGAGCGATACCGCGTCTATCAGCAGCGACTCCACCATGTACATCCCCCAGTAGTAACAACGCCGGCCACACCTACCGAGACGCCCGGCATGGAAGCCATGGAGGGCCCTGGAGCACCGCAACATCAAGTACACGACCCACTACCAGCCAATCCCACAAACCAGCCTCCAGCCGCACCCCTCGAACCTCTCGACGACGACGCTCCTCCTCTCCTCGTACCCGCTGGACCCGAGCCCGATTCCGACCCCGAAGATGGCCCCGCAGCCCGCCCCATCCGCGCTCCCCGCCAAACCGTCGGCGCCAAAAAAGCCAAATCCCTCGCTCGCCGCGATCAGCGCCGCGCCTACCACGAGTTCCAGCGCTCACGCGGAGAAGCACAACGCGCTGCCGACGCTGCTGGGGCTGCGGAACGAGAGGCCGCACTTGCAGCTGAGCGGTCACGGCGCGCTGCTGTCGAGGCTGAGCTAGAGGAGAGGACAAGGCGGGAGCGGGAGGAGAAGAGGACTAGGGAGGAGGAGGAACGGAGGGAGGAGACAAGGGTCAGGGGAGAGGTTGTGAGGGTTGTAGGGGAAGGGTTGGAGAGGAGAGGATGTGTGGATTTGGGGGACGTAGCGAGGGGCGTAGGAAGAGAGAGGGGGTGGGTTGAGAAGTTGGTGAGGGTTTCGGGTTTGGTTGGGGGACGGAAGGAGGATGGGGTTGTGGCGATGGTGACGGGGAGGGGGTGGGTTGTTAGGGTTGACGAGGGGATCATGAGGGAGTCGTATAGGATCGCGCTGGAGGACGACCACCAGAGAAAACTGAAGGTCACTTTTGAAGAGTTGGGTAGCATCATCGAGGGCGTAGTAGTGGCTAGGGCCACGACTGGAAAGCGCGCAGGATGAGGACGACTACACTTGATGCGCAAGGCATCATTTGAGGCGACGACTCTACGACAACGCCGTTCGTTCCACCGGAAGGTCTCCACACAGCAGGCTCAACATCAGATCTGCCTTAAATGTGTGTCGGCCCAGCCAGCAAACGCAGATGGGAAGATAGCGAAGACCAACGGGTACCGCATGCGTATGCTCGACCCCCTTTGACTTCCGAGATGACTTTAGCAATATTCGATGCGGAAGAAGCACCAAGTGTGCCATCACAGGATATGAATGAGAGAAAGTGAGTCAGTCGGGGAGGAAGGGGCATAGAGTGTGGCGGTAGATCGAGTTGAAACCTCAGGAAACGCTTTGGCGGCAGCTGCGAAAGAATCATTAAAGAACAGATTACATTTTGTATGTAACCATACCAGCCTCTTTTCACCTGTCCCATGCCTTCTGGTCTGGAGATAGGTCTTGGCCATTCGCTGCTTCTTCCCGCCAGTAAATCTCAATTGCCTTCAGAACAATGTGCATGGAGAATACCTCCCTAGAGAGGTCTTCGAATTCAACGACGGAGCTTTTACAACAATCATAGGTCTGTAGACATAGCGCATTAGCTACTCAGCGTAAATAGGCAGATAGCAGCGTACGGCACCAAGAGTCCAAGACGCGGTAAAGCTCACCTTGTAGGCAAGAGTGCCTTTGCTGACGAAATCGCTAATACTGAAACCGAAACTCACCGTGCGCACTGTCGACTGTGATGAAGGCCAGGAAATTCGTGTGCGCTGTTGTAAGACGCTCTCGAGCGCTAAATGATCGCGGATAGCAGGCGACGCCGAGAGGGTCAGGCTATGAGCCGCATGATGCATCTGTAGGATTCGGTGGAGCAACCAATGGAACCTCGCGAGTACAGAGGTACATGCTTCCAAGTCCGATGGTGGTCAATTGTCCGCAGCAAGTTGAGTTCGTTGAGTGGCTGAACTAACCGTCGAGCATTGGGAGCTCTATCTCCAAATCACAAAGAATCCACAACCCACCATAGAATTCCAGAATCATGACTCTTAGGCGCGCTATTGATCTCGGGACTCGCGCCACAAGTACATGTCAGCTACAACATCGAGATCATCAGGAACCAAAACCTTGTCAACCTCGAGAATATAGCGTAGGAGACACAGGAACACCAAGCTCTAAACAAGTTCAAAACGGACTTACTGCCTAGGCTTTATGGCGGCTTCCAAGCTCGGTATGCTTGGAAACCGCCGTACTAACCGGGACATTGACCGCTTTTACAGAATCCACAAATCCAACATTCGGCGCCTCGGCGCCACAACGCCTACGGAAAAGGGTCGCCAACAAGTGCAAGAAGGACTGAGCTGCCTTGACATTCCTGAATGGAATACTCAACATCAGCGCCCACCGAGAGCGTTCCCGCTACGCCAAACTATGCACGTTCATCGTAACATTGCCGTCCTTCTCCGCGCTTGCTCTGGAACCCATTTCCATGCTGCTCTCGTCCTGACTTTTGTTGTTCCCACTCTTGTGCTGCGCCCACTTCTCCACAACCCATCCAACTAGCGCTGTTGCCAGTAACAGGCCCTGCAGGAGGCAGACTACCAGCATGGCGTAGAGCGCGAATTTCTATTAATGCCAGCGAAGATCAGCGGACTATCCAGCGCCACTGGTAGCGAGGGAAGACACAGTACTCACGCTCTGCTCGCAAAGACTGCCGAAGAGATGATTGCTCATTTGATCAGATACTTGAAGATTGGTGATGGCCGGCTTGCTGGAGCTGAAGCGGCATGTCCACGTCTGAATGGTATCGACGCCCGGCGCGTTATTATTCAGGACATGCACGTAGATGACGGTGCAGAGCGAGATCAGTCCAGCGGGTAGCGAGACCGCAATTCCCAGGATGGCTGCCATGGTTGGTCGGTGGGCGAGCTCGAACTATAGACAGTATGAGCTCAGTTCCAGCAGTGCTACAGGAGAGCTTGATTGGAGACTCACCCTAGGAACAAAAGATAGAGTAAGGTAAAACAGGTTAAGCATGAGGATGCTGGCAGATGTTCCTATCAAGGCCGTCGTTCCGTGTACGTTGAAGTGCGCAGGCCATAGTGGGAGCCACCAGGGATTCGTCTCACGCTCTGTCCGATAGACGTGGAAGCTATGTGCCGATACGCCAAGGGCAGCTGTGCAGAGGATGAAGGAGATGGCGGAGGAAGCCAATTGCACCAGGCGCGGCTTGGACAGATTCAGGATACCGGACATATTGAAGAAGAGAAGATTTTGGACTCAGGACGAGAGCGTGTTGGAAGGTGTTTTAGGGAATATCTGCAACGTGCAGCGGACTGAAGTAGCCAAAACTAAAAATGATACGACAGCTCTGTGAGACCTGAAATTGGCTGAACTCATAACACAGCGCGCAGCTCCAGACTTTATCTTCATCTCGAATCGACCTTACCCAGCCAAACGGTCTCTGTGCAGCACGCTGCCGCCGAATGGCGCAATCAGAGGCCAAAGCCGCCAGTGGGAATGGCCTACGCAGGCGCCAACACTCCAGTTTGAGCATGCGGCCGTTGGAAGTCTGCATCCTACGGCGCGAGACACCAGGAAGACACTGCATCTTCATCCAATCACAGAACGACTTATCACGACCTACTCGAATGAACTGCAGGTAAGCGGGACGTGAAACAGGTCTGAGGTCTGCCACCTAAAAACAGACTGTGGTTTGACTTGAACGTGTAGCGGTGTTTGTGAATAGTGGAGGTAGAGAAGGTGATTCGTTGAAGTTGAAGGGAGGTTCAGGGGTGCGGCGCTTATTGTCGATGACTAAGACGCCAAGGGACGAAACTTATGCCCCTTGCAGGCATTCAGTCTCATGTTTGCCTGAAACTCTTCGTGTACATTCGAAGTGTGCGATCAAGTTCGGATGCCACTCTGCGAGCTCTAGCCGCCAACTCTTTGGATCGAAACATACAACTGAGAATGAAGATTGCCCTAACGATATCCCAACCGCTAACTCACGCCAACAAATGCCAACGAATGGCCGATGCACAAGACCTACATAACCCGTAAAGCATGAGATATGCAGCGTTCTAAACGATATACTATTGCCACGGGCTACGACAGCTGTCCAGTCAAGCCACCACCAAAACCCCATCTTCGCCGACCAGAGTTTTGCGGTGCACTAGACTTTCCCTTCTTCGCAGCCTGCAGTGGATGTTCTTTCTCCCAGCGCTCGTCTTCTTTGTACGCTTCTATTGCGGACTCGAGATCGTAGTCTGACTGCTTCAAGTACATGAGAGCAATATCGTATCTGTACCGCGGAGCAACACTCCAATGTATCAGCCATCGCTTATTTTAGGCGTTCGCTCTGGAAAGCAGGGGCATCAACCAGTCAAAGAGAACTTACTCTGAGACTTTACACGCCACCATCCACTTCCTGATTTTGCCTTTTCTAATCTCTTCCTCCTCTCCTTCGATGGGTCGCGGGCTCAGACTAACACCACCCTTGTAGAACTCCCCGGGTATCAAGACTGTTCTTCGCGCCGCAATCAGGTTGTCCGCATACAGGTTGTTTGTCCTCCTGAGCGCGTTGGCAGGCACGCCATACCGTAGGGATAACGAGGAGATGGAATCGTGTGCTGGGTCCACGAAGTGCAGGACATCTGGCGCAGGTTCCCCGTCCTTGCCCGAGGACTTCTCCGATGGCGGTTGTAAAGGGTTGTGCGAAGAGTATGCCGGTGGAAGATCGTCCCCATCACTGGCCGCCAGTCTGGCATGAGAAGGTCTTGGGGATGGCGGTGGCGAATATGCCGGAGGATCTCGTAGGCCTTGCGGCAACGGCGATGGTACGATCGAAACTTGACAAAAGGGACAGTATGTTGCGAATCGCGGGTTGTCTGTCATGCATCGCGCGCATATTGCGCGGCCGCAGCACTCGAGACGGCGCTCATAACGCGCGGGCTTCTCAGTCTTCTCGTCATAGGAAGGTGGGATCGTGGAAAGCAACGATGCGCAGGTGCAGCAGGCTTCTGAGGACATCGTAGATAGTTTGTACAAGCGCAAGTATTAACACAGCAGTATGGAGAAATGAATACAACCAGGACAGTGCCAAGGTGTGAATGCGAATACAACACGTTCAGATGGTCATCGCATGGTCGACGTCAATTAAGATCCGTGGATCGCCAATCTTATCAGAGACCCTGACGCTTTACCGTTCTGGGCTTAGCCGGTTCTTGCGCGCACTTCGCAAAATCTCCTCCGCAACAGCTGGAAGAACACCGACAACTACATTCAACAGCCTTCGACTCTTCATCCACTCCTCGAGGTAGGTGATCATGCTCCGACGAGTGCCCTTCAGGTAGCCAGGGAAAGCAATCATCTCGCGCTGGCCGCAAGATGATACGTTTTGCCCTTTGCGACACGAGCTGAAGAACCCTCCGGTCTCGCGCCGAAGGGCACTCTTTATGCTCCGGCTTCTGGAGGCTAACCTGTATTTCTCTATCCACAGATACCTCATACCGCGTCTCGCCGTTTGAGAATCTCAGTCAACCGTCAATATGGTCCGAACCAGTGTCCTCAACGATGCGCTCAATGCCATCAACAACGCAGAGAAGTCCGGCAAGCGCCAGGTCCTCATTAGGCCCAGCTCAAAGGTCATCGTCAAGTTCCTGAGCGTCATGCAAAAACACGGTACGTTATAGCTTGTTCCTACTTCGACGACTCTCCACCTCTCCATTCGGGTTGATAACTAGGCAATGGTCTCAATACAAACCCCCCACGACTTTTGCCCTTTAAGTGCCCGAGATATCAATCTCTTTCGCAAGGATCTTACACGTTCTCTGATACTACCTGACGAACAACGTTTAATCTATTGCGACATACTGACTATCTTCGCAGGCTACATCGGAGAGTTCGAGGAAGTCGACGACCACCGCAACGGCAAGATTGTTATCCAGCTCAACGGCCGCCTCAACAAGACCGGTGTCATCAGCCCGCGATACAACGTCCAGCTCCGTGATCTCGAGAAATGGGTCGTCAAGCTCCTCCCATCGCGTCAGGTAACTAAAGCTTCCACCTGCTTTGCCCCAGGCTTCACTCTAACAAAGACTAGTTCGGCTACATCGTTTTGACCACATCGGCCGGTATCATGGACCATGAGGAGGCTCGTAGGAAACACGTCGCGGGCAAGATCCTGGGGTTCTTCTATTAGATGGGTGTTTGTACGGGTATGGGACTTTTAGCGCCGCAAAAAGTTTACAGACGAGCAATGTATAGACATCTTCAGTGACTGTCTGGTTTAGTCGGCTAGGCGAATGAGATATGTTGATGGTGCTGACCCGAATCCCCGAGGATGTTATGATCCCAAGGAAGTCACTTAGGTTGTCAACCTTGAGCCCAGAATCAGACGCCTTGCTGGCTGCGCCCGTCCTTTGTCCTGGAATCCCAGTTACATCCTAGGTATTCCTTTTTCCAACAATCCCAGTGACGCCTACGTACCATTTGTAGCAGTCTTGCCCTCATTCACTCATACTCGTCCATTGCCGTAAAATTTCCTCGAAAGGTAATCCGGCGTGTGCGGCCCGAGCCGAGGCATCTCGACAATTCCTAAACCCCATCAACCAAACTGCGCATCCGACGCAACAAAGCGACAAGCTCGCAATCGACAGCGCAATGGTGCTCGAAGTCATCTACGTCGTCCGACACGGAGTAAGCCCCTCAATCTACCTCAGTCTACGCAGCATCACTCCCAAAACACTCTCATACATTACTCCCACCGGCCCACCCTTCTACAGGAAACACAGCGCTGACACCCTCGTAGTACCGCTCCAATTGGGTCGTGAACCCCTCTACAGGCACCTACACGGCGACTGTCCGCTCGCCCACCGGCATCCCCTCCGACCCCGCCCTCGCAAGCTATGGCGTCCAGCAAGCGGAGCAGCTGGCCGAGAAGATTGTTACCCTTGACCCGCCCGTCGATGTCGTATACTCGAGCCCCTTCTACCGATGTCTGCAAACTCTGAAGCCCGCGCTCGAGCGGCTGGAGGAAGCACGGGGCAAGAGGCTGGACGTGAGGGTGGAGAACGGGCTTGGGTAGGTACGGCTCCCTCCTCGCCGGGGCCCTCTCCACCACAACAGGACACCAAGACTGACATACGCACCCACAGCGAATTCTACGGCCTCGCCCGCTTCGACCACCCCTCCCCGGCTTCACTCAAAGTCCTCCACTCGCACTTCTCGACCCTGCTCCCAGATTATAATCCCGTAATCATCCCCTCCACAAACGGCGAATCGATACCCAACCTCCACGACCGCATCGCCTACGCGCTGCACCGCATCATCTCGACCCTCGACGCCGACCCCACCCAGCCACGCGCCCTGCTCATCTGCACGCACGCCGCGAGCATGATAGCCATCGGCCGCGCACTGACAGGACGCATGCCCGATGATTTCAGCGAGGAGGATTTCCGGTGCTTCACGTGTGCTTTGTCCAGGTTCCGGCGGCGGAGGAGGCCGGACGCGGAGGAGGTGGAGGAGGATATCGAGGCGTGGGATCCACAGGTGCCGGATAAGATCCCCAGGGTGGAGTGGAGGGAGGAAAAGGGGGTCAAGGGCGGTTGGGATTGTGAGGTTAATGGGGACTGTAGCTTTCTGAGTGGAGGGGAGGAGAGGGGGTGGGCGTTTTCGGGGGATGAGGCGTTCTTGAGGGATCCGAATGCGTTCAATGATGCGGCGAATATGGGGGGGCAGGTGGTTGCGGAGGGGGATGGGGGGATGGATGCTGTGGATACGAATGAGTCTTTGAAGGGGTCAAGGTTGTAGCGTTGGTTAGAGCTCATGAGTAGGATTATACTGGACGGTTGGACATCTACTAGCACTAGACTAGACAAGGTACAGGCCTTCAGCACGTTGGTTCGAGTGGACTATGTCTTGAGATCGAATCGCTGTCCGCTTGCACAAGCCATGAATGCCCAGAACTTTGGAGCACAATGCCATGGATGCAGCATGATATTGTAGAGTCTACAGAGCCATCCGTGGAGAAACGTACGCCAGTACCGCTCACTTCCCTCTGAAGAATCCTTTCGAACTTGAAATCACATCGCTCCCTCCACTCCAACGCTCTAAGAAGCAGTGATAGCCCTCCTGGTGCGGGCACCACGCTGCCTCGAGTTCAAGCGAGCATCCTCGCGGTGCACAACCTGCGGCGACTTCTGAACTACCTCTTGACCCTCGGTCAGGATCATCTCGATGTGGCATGGGTTCGACATGTACGGGTTGATCTAGTGATGGCATTAGCTTCATACCTCTTGGATTGCGCTACTTTGTACTGGGACATACCCTGCCGTGGGCGCGGTATGTGCGTCTCCGCTGCTTGGGGGCCTGGTTGACTTGGATGTGCTTGATGATCAGGTTGCTGGTGTCGAGACCCTTGGTATCGGCATTGGCCTCAGCGTTCTTGAGAAGACCGAGCAGGAACTCGGCGGACTTGACGGGCCAGCGGGCCTTGGAGACACCGAACTGCTTGCCTGTGTTCGATGTTTATCAGCCGCTGTGCTTGAGGGACTCTTGCCGCCCTGTCTCATAATCGCTTTCCCAACGCCTCTCAAGTACCCAAGCATTCTTTTTCCCAGGTTGCAGAATTTTTCTGATGTCCGCCATCACTCACCCTGCGCGCAGCGTCCAGTGCTTCCGGCATACCGCCTCATCGGCACAGCCTCCTTGTGTGCCTGCACATTCTCGAGGTACTGGAGGGCACGCTCGAGCTTCCAGCCGTTGATCGCCTGTGCGGTTTCGCGGGTGTTCTTGAAGGAGACGCGGAGGTAGGAGCCCCGGGCGCGGGCAGACTTTGCGGAGTCGATGTGGGTTGCTGCGTAGCGGACCTGCAGTTGAGAGGCATATTAGCCTCTATCCAAAAGGCGAAGGTCGTTTCGAGTAACATGTGTGCTAGTTGCGCTGTAGGTATCTCACCATCTTGACGGTTTGTTTGGCGATGAGTCCTTCGTTATCGTCGTGATATGCAACTGACGTTCAAGGCCGTCTCCAAATTCGCGAGTGGGTTTGCCCCGGGCCGACCGTTGTTCCGGCGCCTGCCGGCGAGCTTCGCAAAAAAAGTTCGAGGGCCGAACACAGGACTAAGCTACAGACGACTACCAAAGCTTGCTGTAACTGCGCATTACCCTCCGATCACGCAGAAACACAGCGGATAATGGCATTTGCACCCAGAGGAGGTCGCGGTGGAGACCGTGGAGGATTTGGCGGCCGCGGCCGTGGCGCCCCTCGCGGACGAGGTTGGCATACACACTTCTCGCACAATGCGGTCGCTCATAGCTAACGAGCTCAAGGTGGCTTCGGCGGTGATCGCGGCGGACGAGGCGGAGCCAGAGGAGGTGGTCGGGGAGGTGGGAGAGGTGCTCCTCGAGGCCGTGGCGCACCGCGTGGAGGAAGAGGTGGAGGGCCTGGTGCTCGAGGCGGGGCCAAGGTCGTAATCGAACCACACAGGCATGCCGGTGTCTTTGTTGCGCGTGGAAAGGAAGATTTGCTCGTCACGAAGAACTTGACGCCCGGAGAGGCTGTTTATGGAGAGAAGCGCATATCCGTCCAGACCACGGCTGAGAACAACGCTGGTGCCGTCAATGGGGAGGCTGCACCTGCCACGCAGACCGAATACCGCGTCTGGAATCCTTTCAGGAGCAAGCTTGCAGCAGGTATCCTGGGCGGTATGGAGGAGATCTACATGCGGCCTGGATCGAAAGTGCTTTACCTAGGAGCGGCAAGCGGGACCAGTGTATCTCACGTCGCAGACATCGTAGGACCTACGGGTACTGTGTACGCCGTCGAGTTCAGCCATAGGTCCGGACGCGACCTCGTCAACATGGCCACACACAGGACAAACGTAAGTCGCTGACATGATAAATCACACTATCAGCCTTACAGCGCCTAACACGAAACTCAGGTGATACCTATCGTCGAAGACGCCCGACACCCCTTAAAGTACCGTATGTTGGTCGGTATGGTCGACTGCATTTTCGCAGACGTCGCGCAGCCAGATCAAGCTCGTATCGTCGGTCTTAACGCCCATCTCTTCTTGAAGCAAGGCGGCGGTGTCGTCATCTCCATCAAAGCCAACTGCATTGACAGCACGTCGCCAGCTGAGCAGGTCTTTGCGAGAGAAGTGCAGAAGCTGAGGGAGGAGAGGATCAAGCCGAAGGAGCAGCTTACGTTGGAACCGTTCGAGAGGGACCATGCTATGGTTTGTGGTGTGTACCAGCGTTCCGCTGCTTAGACGTGGATTTTGGTGCCTGAGTTAGACGTTTTCGGGATGCTCAGTAGCTGGGGATTTGGCTGTCTTGGCTGCATCACGAGAGCTTTTATACTTGTACCATGTGCTGTACGTACGGTCTGGCGCTTAGGTGTTCAGGGTCAGGCTATCTACGATTTCTTAGTCACTACCAAAAATGAGCATCGTCTACAAACATCTCTTCTTTAGAATCATGCTCGTATTGAGGCTTCCGGTTTCGAACAGCAAAACTAATACAGTCACTTAATGTCCAACAAAACAACACAGAAAACCTCCGTGCGCTAGAAATAAAACGCCCTCCCGATGCACCAGCATGATCAGTCCCAACGCCGGGTTGTTCAGTGCCCAAATGCACAATTTCTAGCCTAGACAGAGCTCAATTACGAAGTCTTGACAACCTTCGGCTGCGGCAATCCTAACTCAGTACCAAACACGCGATCCCAAAACCGACTCGTGACCCCAAACCCATTCTCATAGTCCTTGAAGTGATGCTCCAGATGATACTTCTTCAGTTCCCGCCAGTACGCCGGCAGGTTCCTGTGATGCAGGAAGTAGTGCGTCATGTCGTAGCAGACATATCCGAAGATGCCCCCGCAGTAGACGGCCTTGGCGGCGAAGAGGTTATATGCGAAGAGCGTGTGCGTAAGATACCAAAACGGCGTCGCGAGTACGAGGAACAACGTCGGCGGCATGACGAGCCGCAGCCGGTCCATCGGAAGGTAGTGGTGGATACCGTGGAGGAGGAAGTGCGCTGTCAACGCGACGCGGTTATCCGGGAGGTAGGCGTCGATGTGGAAGAGGCAGCGGTGCAGGACGTACTCGACCAGCGTCCAGATGCAGAGGCCGAGGATCCAGTATGCAATGAGCGCGGGAAAGGAGACGCCGTGGCTCGCATACCAGGTCCCGTAGGCGACGCAGGGGAGCCACACGCTGGGGACGACCCACCAGGGCGTCTTGCTGAGGGGCTCGAGGAAGTTGCCGAAGAGGGGCGCGGAGTCGCCGCCTCTGTAGTGCCGTGGCCGGTGCACTTGCTCCAGGTAGAACTCTTTGCTGAAGCCGCCGTTCCAGACTTGCATCAGCATTGGTCGGTTGAGGTCGATGAATTTGTGGGTCTTGTAGTCGGAGCTAGCGTCGGTCTCTACGGAGAGGTCTTCGGCGGATGACATGCCTGTGGAGGTGTAGATGGCTTTCGTGGCTACACCGTTGGCGGCGCCGCGAGACTTCAGGTCTGCCATGCCTTGTTTTGTCGGCGGCAGTGGAACGATGGCATCGGGGTGCTGGCTTTCCGTCACAGCGTCCATGACCTTCTCTGTTGCGACGAACCCGACCAGGTTTTCTTCAAGGACTTCATACGCGGCTTCGGAGTGCGCGTGTGATATCTCGTCTGCCATGATCTCCGTAACATCCTTCCCGCCATACTCAAGGATGAGGTCTCCGCCGCCAGGGTGGTCGTCGAGGAAGGAAGTTATATCGAACACTCGGGTGCCTAGAGTAACATAGCAGGACTTTGCTGTATTTCTCGACGCGACCTCCGCCTGGGCGATTGTGGGTAGTGTACGGCCGGGCATCGTAAGACAGGCGAGCTGGGTAGCCTGGGTGGGTTTGCGATAGGGACGTTCTGCTGAGTATCGGCGCAAAGAGGAAGGGGACGTTAGAGGAGAGGTGGGTGGGTCAACGGGTCTCGGAGTTTCGCGGACGATGTCAGGAGATGTTCACACCACTTGATGCATTCGTCGACATCATCAGAAGAGTTATTGCCAATGTTGTTGTCTGGCCAGTGGCAATCAGAAATTGTTATCAAGCTCCTTTCAGGGTTCTTGTCGCTGCCTTCAACATCCGAGCCGAAATGATTGACATGCGCTGACGTGAGCCGTTTTCGTTCCCCCGGTCGATTCCCGGACCTCACCTCTTCCTCCACAGGCTCCTTGCTGCGTTGTTCCAGGAAGATAAGTTAGCAGAAGAGCAAAACAGCCGCCACTCCGATGATATTGGAGCTCGCTCGACTGCCTCTGTACCAAGGTTGACCTCATCCTGGGTTGACAGCTACCGGAACTTGGCCGGTATAGGGGGTTAAGACGGAATTGTTAACGCGCCGTCGCTGGCGAATGACCTTAGGTCGTTATTCCAAGTCTCAGTCTGGCAATCTTCTTGGCCCATGCCGCCCTTTACATCATCTCAGCAGCATGCGTATTGTGCATTCAACTTACCGTGACACGATCCTTTGTAAGACGCTTCATGATCCGTTTTCGCCGGCTGTGCCAGGCAATCTGGGGAACCTGGAAGCACATCAACGCCTAATGGGAGTAGCACCTCCTTCGAAGTAGCTAAAATAGAGTTGTTTTACTGTCCACACAGTTGGAATACAGGAGTCTACAACTGCTTCCCAATATACTGTTGGATGCGCTGTCCCGATTCAAGGAAAATCGCACACATAGCGTCAAGCATGCACTCAAACTAGTGCGCGGCCTTTTATATTTCGAAGTTCATTTCTGCTTCTCACTAACAGTCCAGGTGGCGCAGTGGTACTCCTGCTTCATGGGCGATCACACCGGTGGTTCGGGTCAAGATGAAGTACGATATCCCCAGTTCAATTCTCATCCTGCCTCTGCTACCGACAACATCCCGGCCTAAAAAACTTACTTTGTCAATACAGTCTGCGGGGCCAAAATACCTCGCGAGGTTGAAGACATTGGGGGTTTCTCAGAGATGAGTTTTTACCGTTTTGATCGCCGGTTCAGCTTGACAGGCTACTTCTCTTTCAACCAATACACTCCCTGCTAGTTGTTGTTACACCTGTACATGTAGACTGGGGTTACGCTCGCATTAAGTGTTTTTCGATTAAGGAAGCAGTACGCGCGTCTAGGCCATCATAGCAGGACTACAGTCATTTGACATATTTCGTTCAGGATATTTGGTTGTGAGCCGATGGCGTAGGGTGCCGTAAGAAGATGTCCTAATCCCAATCGCTCTCCTGTAAAGTCCCTGCGATGCCTCCTCGCGATGTCAATGCAACCGCTAGAGACGAAGGACACTCCACTTTAACGGCAAATCATGCGAGATCATTCCAAAGTATTAGAGCGACCATTCATCTGTGCGCGCCTGCGCCATTGATGCCGCGAGATGGGCTAGGAGTGCGAAATGAACTTCACTTGGTTGCCAAGACAATCGTACGCTCGAAGTGAGTTGGCTATCTGCGTACCGTTTCTTCTTATTTCTCTGAAACACCATACTCTTTTGGATGCTATCTAGACATAGTTCATACCCTTCTTTATCGCACACTTTGGGCTACTAGCCCAGACCAAAAGCATTTCACTTCCTTTCATTTTCACCGAAAAGACCCAGCTGGCTATGAAGCCCTTTGCAGCCGTGGCCAAAGACTTTGCGTCTCCAGCGAACCCGTCCCTTCAACAAGATCTGACTCCGCAGACTTCCACATCCACCAACACACCATGGCACGCCGTCAACAACGGCAGCCAACACATCCATCCGTTGCTTGGATCCGAGGATGAGATCTTCGTTGACGATGATGGGCATCGACATGTCGAAACTGACAATGGTGCGGACGAGACGTACCTGATCAATGCCGCGAAAGATTCGTTCGCTGGCGTTCTCGATCGGGATGTAACACACGCAGAGCTTGCAGAGGGCACAACACATCACGAAGCAGAGCGAAAGCTGGCTCACATGCAAGAACTGCAAGTGAAGCGCTGGGTTGAACTACTGCGTATGAAGACGAGATCAACCACAGACCAGCCTCCGTTACAAGCAGAATCTTCGAAAGACAACAGCGGTCATTTAGCAGAACATCCCGCAATCAACGATCTCATCCGGCGAATTATATCGAAGTTGGAGGGTAAGGCTAGGTCTCTCATCACGCGTAGTGAATCTAACTAACAGATTCTAAGATGGCCACGTATTCATCTACACCGTCGCAATGACTGTTCATGGAGGCTTGCCAATCGACTGTGACCTGCCACACTGCTCCAGCGTGGAGAGGGGAGCCGACTCTGAGCGCGGCTCAGTGACAGTCGAGCCGTACATTGCGTGGAGCCAGCTGAAACTATGGAGAATTGTCGAGCTTGGAGATGGTGCTTTGCCGCTTTTCCTCCGACAGTCGCCCAAAGTATCCGAAACCTCGCCCAAGTCTACAAAAGCCGCCCTCCAGTTCTGCCTCCCCTGCCTGGAAGCGCTTTGGAACAATACTTGCTGTTCGGGTTCACTTGAGAACATCGCGACGACACGAACGAGAGACTCCAAGCCGGCTGTCGGCTGTAAATCGGCTCCTAATCAATCTTCTGATGCTTCGGTCAGCCATCCGGTTTCTAAATTTGAGAATGCCAGCTCTCACTGGTGATCTCGCTGTTCGGTTGAAATGCTAGCCAGAAAGGCCATGGGCTGACGTGTGCATATAGGCGCGTCCCAATGTCACGCCAATGCGACCACCGCTGGCAACTATCGCCAAACCCGCACCGAGTTCGCAGAAACGCTCGAGTCCATCTAAGAAGCCGCAGCGAAGCAGCAAGCGGTTACGACATGAGACCTCTGAGCCATACAACTTCACTATGGATGGCGCGGCTGATGACAGCTCAGAAGACGAGTTCTACTCTGCACGGTCGTCACCAGCACCGGAGCAAAGCGGCATCATGCGAGACGTCATCGTCGACGCAGCAAAGAAGGCTGGCATGATGGTTTCTCCCTCACAGCTGTTGGCCCATCTTGAGAGACACAACGCTGTCACATCTTCGGCAAGCCCGGGTCGTGGACCGCCGCAGTCCGAGGACCAGCCTAGAAAATCATCTCTACGGCAAGGACTCATTCGGCCGTACCTTGTACAGACACGTAAGTTCGCGCTAGGAAAAGCGGAAAAAGAATCTCCTGTCGTTGGCTCCAATGGTACCAGCCGCAAAGATTCGGCCGTCTCTGCGCCGGTCTCAATGTGCACTCTACTCACCACTGAGACCATTAACGACGTCGTGCAAGGCAAGGGCCGCGGTTTCGTCTTGCCCCCAACTCCACCAGCCGACATCAGAGCCTCATGTCTGAGCACAACTGTTCTTACCGCCTACAAAGTGAAGCCACTCAAGCCTCCTCTCTCCCTAATCTACCCGGAACATCACACCGTCGAGGCCCGCTGCCGTCGCTACCGTGAGACAAATCGCGTTGTCCACGAGCTCGAGAGTGAAGCCCGCAGCGCTGCGGAACGCCAGCGACTGATCCTGGACAAGAAGACCATCCTCGTGCGCACCACGCCCTTCGCATGGGACGGGAAATCGCTCGTTCCAACGTCGTACGAGAGAGATGCGGCAAGGAACGACGAGTGGTCTACCTTCCTGCGCATCACTCCCCGCCAGATTGGCGAGCCCACCGCAAAGTACCATATCCAGGACAAGGAGGCGCACATGAATACTGTAACTAGCAACGGTCTCGCCACCGCCGCCGCCAAGTCCCCCTACACATGGCCAAAAGCGCACAGAATCCTAGGCCGCAAGCGCACCCGCCAGCCCCCCATCTCACCGCCCCTGTGGTGCTACTGCCAGCTGCCCGACGACGGCTCCGTCATGGTCGAGTGCGGCGCCAAAGTGAAGTGCCCGGTGCAGTGGTTCCACCTGCGCTGTCTAGGTCTTACAGACAAGGAGACTCAGGAGCTGCTGCTCGGCTCCGCCGCGGCGGTGAGGGTGCACAGCAGGCGTGGGATGGACACGCGTGCGCGGGTCAAGGCCACCAGCGAGCTGCTGCTCGCCGTCAAGGACACGGATGGGGGCGTGGGTTCTATGGCGGAGCGGTACGGAAGGCTCGTGCGCAAGACAGAGGGTGGGGAGGTGGAGTTCTACTGCCCGCTCTGTGCGCCACTGGATGCGCAGGCTCCTTCAGAACCGAAAATTGATGGCCAAGTCGACATGCCGGCGGCCAAGGTCACGAAGAAAGATATCGAGGAGATGTTTGCGGAGCCTTGGGCTGCAATAGCGCAGGGGAATCCCTATGGACTGGGAACGCGGGGTGGAGCGATGGTATTGGAGCAGCACGGCAGCAAGCCTGTCATTCCTACGGCAGAGCAAGTGAAGGAGAGGATTGACGAGATGTTCAGATCGAGTGTGGAGGTTGTGTAGGCTTGTGTCGAGGTCGCGGCGAGGTCTTCTTGGTTCAGCTAATAGGTTCGACGTTAGAGTTGGCCGCGCCCGTCACTGCTCGAGAACAAGCTTTCTGGATTATGATTACGAATCAAGAAACTCCCGTGTCACGAGAGGAGGATGGGACATGTACGATTCGAAATCCAGTTCCATAACGTCATGAATGAATGCATACAAGAGTTGGTCCATCCAGCCCAAGCGCCCGCTTGCCCGCTATGTACAAGGCTCGTTCCACGACCGAGCGCTCATCAGGGTATCCAACACGAACCGCCAGCGTCGTTCCCAAACGCCCCCCTCGAATGCTGCAAAGACCGTCCCATCCCAACCGCCAGATCCAAAAGAACGTCCGAAAGAAGGCCCCACCCCCATCACCCCATACGCCCTCCCATGCCCATATTCCCCATCCCGCCCATGTTCATCCCATTCATATTAACATTCCCCATGCCCATATTCCCGTTCAAGCCCTGCATGCCCATTAGTCCGAGTTGCTGCATCTGCTGCGCGCTCAAGCCGCCCATGTTCCCGCCGCCCATCTGCATACCCTGCATGCTCTGCCCCGGCATCATTTGCTGGCCCTGCTGACCTTGCTGCTGCTGCTGCTGCTGCTGCTGTTGTTGCTGCTGAGCCTGCTGTTGCTGTTGCGCCGCCTGCTGCGCCTGCGCTTGCCGCAGCAGCTGCTGCTGCACCTGCAGCTGCTGGAGATACTGGCGTTGCTGCGGGTTATCTTGCATCGCCGCGCCTCCTTGGGCCATACGCGCCTGCTGCGCCTGCGCCTGCGCCTGCGCCTGAGCCTGTCCACCCGGCTGGCCCTGCCCGCCCTGCGGCCCCGGCAACGCCATGAGCTGCGCGACCATCGTCGACGCCTGCTGCACAGCCCTCACATCCAGCAGCCCCTGCTGGGCCAGCATCTGCGCGACCTGTGGATGCATGCCCAGGCTTCGTAGCTGGTTGGCGACCTGTGGGTTCAGCTGGCCGCCGCCGCTCTGCATCATCTTCTGCAGGTACCCCATCTGCCGCTGGCCGATCTGGTTGATGGCGACTTGGCGCTGGTTCTGCTCGAGGGAGGGCAGGAGCGGGTTGCGTAGTGTCATGACGGCCTGCTGGCCGGGCGTGCTGGGCATGGCATTTGCGAGGAGCTGCATGAGTTGCTGGCTCATGACGTTGCCCTGTTGTTGTGGTTGTTGGGGCTGCTGGGGGAGGGCTTGTGGTTGTGGCTGGGAGGGCGTCTGTTGCGCTTGTTGCTGCTGCTGCTGCTGTTGCATCTGGGACATGTTTTGCGCCATTTGCTGCATCTGCTGCGGGTTCTGCGGGCCGTTCGGGTTCTGCTGGCCCATCATGTTGGGGTTCTGTGGCCGCACTTGGCCAGGCTGAGGCGAAGAGACCTGCGAGTGCTGTTGCATCTGCTGCGCCATTTGCTGCTGCAGTCGACGTTTGTATGCCGCGTTGTTGTCTTGAGGTATACCAGGTCGCATCTGCGGGGTGCCCTGCTGCTCCGGGGTGCCTTGAGAGAGGCCCCCTTGCTGAGCGGCTTGTTGGGCTTGCTGCCGTCGCTGCTGCTCTTGCTGAGCATGTATCATGGCCGCCTGGTTGGCCTGCTCTGGAGACATCTGCTGATTCATCATGGCTCCTTGCTGGGCTTGTTGTTGAGCAAGCATCCGCCGATGTTGCATCAGGCGCATTTGATGCTGCTGCTGTTCAGGAGTCAGGTTCTGCATGCCCATCTGAGGCGTCTGCTGCATCATCGGCGTGGCTTGCATGCCGTTGACCGGGCTGCTTTGGGACATTCGAGGCTGCGGCGTCATGTGATGCGTGACGGGTATAGCATGAGGCATCGCGGGTGTTCCTTGAACCATTTGTGGCGTGTTATGATGGCTGCCACCCTGTTGACTCTGTTGTTGGCTTATCTGGCGAACCATCATAGCGGCTTGCGCGTGTGGGTTCTGAGGGACCGCGGAAGTCGGCCGGGCGGGGCTGCCCCCTTGACTCGACGAGGTTGCTCGCATTGGAACGCCGACCATCATGTTGCTGGCCATGACGGGCGATGATTGCATTGGCGTCTGCTGTCGCAGCATAGGCGAGCCTTGTTGTGCCTGCGAGACCTGTGGAAACTGAACTTGCTGCGGTGTTGGGATCATCACAGCAGACTGTGGTGCTCCCTGCGGAACTGCCGCATTCTGAAGCCGCTGCTGTTGCTGCAACATCTCTTGTCTCTTTTGCATTGCGATCCTGGCTCGTTCATGCTGCTGCTGCTGCATCTTGGCCATCTCGTCCATGTCATTCCTCTTCACCGCCTCGGCTTCAGCCTGCTGTTGCCTCTTGACTTGCGCCTGACGTGCTTCTTCCTCCTTCTTGAGCCGGTCCTGCTCTGCGTGCTGAATCTTGATATTCTCAATTGTCTTGAAACGGTCGAAGCCAGCCTGGAAGGTCGTGACTCCGCCCTGGCCCTCAACTGCTCCAGCGCCTCCCGCAGCTGCTCCGTTAGTCGATGACTTGCGCTCATCCCAATTGAGCATCCATTTCTCTTCGTAGGCATCTCGTGCCTCATCCGCTGCGAGCTCCGCCGTTGTCCGTTTGCGAGTCTTGAGCGCTGGAGGCGGGTTCTTATGAAGGTCATCGGTCAGGGAGTCGATCAGAGCTTTCTGGCCGAGTAGACTCTGGATTGGACGGAGGTCTAGTGCGGGCGCCGTGGAGTTGATGACTTGAGCCTCGAATTCGTAGCGATTGCTCTCGTCGATCATCATCTTCTGCTTCTTCTGAGGCGGAGCGCCCTTCAGCATGACCGGTGTAGGAGGTACGGAAGTAAGAGGTGTTGGAGGATGTGCGCCACTGGCAGTAGATGGCTGTCGCTTCGAGCGCGGCTCTGGCGCAGGTGTATTTGCTAGGATCGTAAGGTCGACAAGTCGAGATTGCTCTGTCGGGTGTAGAACAAACGTAGTGAGCTTGGGGCCCAACGCAGCCTTCTTTTGGGTAGAGCTTGCGGGTTGGCCTGGGGCTGGCATATTCTCCTTGTCCACGTCCGTTCCCTTTGCTGCGCCTGCAGCGGCCCCGTTCGCCGCAGCATTCTCGACCTTTGACTTTTCGGGCATCTTTGGGCTACTTGGGTACGGTGCGTAGCTAGAAGGCGTCACGAAATTGCTGTGGGTGTGAATAGAGAAGGGCTTGTCCTTATTGCCGATGGCTGAACTCGAAGTTACAGTCTGGGCTGTGTTGCCGTTAACTCGGTGGTTGAAAACTTGGACAATCAAGCAACCTGGCCGCTCGTTAGCACAGTTCAGTTCGCGCGACTCGGTGGTCGTACCGTCGTAGAAAGGCACATTCGATGCGTGCAGCTCTTCCAGCATGTCATGAGGCAGCGTCTGGTTCCTGATGTGCTCTAAGAAGATCTTCATGGGCCCTTGGTAGGTGAATGTGCCATCTTGGTTTTCGAACCGCCAGTGTGTGGAGTGGAGGTGTATGACGAGAGACGGGGGCTTGCCCTTGAATTTCTGGAGGATGTAGCTGGTGTCCTTCACTAAATTCGAATTTACGTTAGCCGGCCCATTCACACATGGGAAACTAGAGGAACCACAAGCATACGGCAAGGTATCGGCATCGACACCGTCTCCCTTGCTGCGCTGCCGGTGTCTGAAGCTCTTCCGCTTTGTCGGGCGAGATTTGGGCGCTGGGATTCGCGGCGCTGTCGCAAAGCTTGCGCTGGGCGAGCGGTCACTGCGGTCGCCATGGTGAACGAACTGAGCGGTTGAAGCGTCTCTGGAGGAGGCTGTGGGATAGCGATAGAGGGAAGAGCGCGTGCCGGAGGCTCAGGGCGCTTAAAGTGGGATGTTTACGGAGGTGGTAGGTTTGAGCGACAGCGCATCGTGAATTCCAGAATCGCTAGGATCCGAAGTTTCTAGAGCGCGTGAATTGAATGGGCGCCTTGTGAGCAGCGTTTCGGGCGGTTTAGGCAGATGCGACACTGAAGCAGGGCGTTAACTACGGGGATGGTGAGCGTGTGACTGTGGGCAAGGTTGACGTTGTTCGGCATGCTCCGGCTCACCGTGCGGCTTTCTTTGTGCCTGAGGCATGAAGCATCGCAACAAGGAGGCGCCTGAGTTTATCGCATTGAATCGTCTACGGGGTAGATGGGAAGGGAGTCGAGGCGTATATCTCTGTTGAGATATATATATATAATTTACACTTGAGTTCTGTCAATATCCAGTCTACCCATCCCAACTTTTCCATGCTTCATTTACATTAAAGTGCCGAAACCAAATCATCCTAGATCTAACCATACATAACGCCCAGCTTCGTCGACCTGAACCTGTCCCTCCGCTGCATCCCGCCACCGAAGCAGCTCGGCGAGCACCTCGGCGCATGCAGACTCCTCCTGAAGTTGGTGCCACCGACGCTCCTCCTTGCAAGCGCCGTCTGGTTCAAGCTTTCAAAGCTCGTGGCATAGGTAGCGACGGAGTGAGCAATCGCCTGAGTGTTGATCAAGAACGCCTCCATGTTCAAGTTCGTAACATTATCCCCGGCACCGTGATAGTTAACATCATAAGCGACACCAGCCTCGCCGCCGAACAGTGCCTCCTCTTCCTCGGTCTTGATACCCTCAGCACCAGTGAAGAGGCCGCCGGACGCAATGTTCACATCCAGGAAAGGACCGTAGTCGGAGCGGCCGCTGAACTCGGTCGCTGTGTGGTTCTGGCCAATGGAGTCGAAGAACTCCTCGAAGAGGCGCTCAGCTTCGGCCGAGCCCGGCGGGCCGGAGATGTTGAAGGAGCTGCCGTCGCCGTCGTAAATGCCGAGGAAGTAATTGGGGGAGGCGATCATGTCGAAGTTGAGGTAGAGCTTGATCTGCGCGAGCGAGGCGTTGGAGAGGCTGTCAACGTAGAAGGTCGAGCCGAGAAGGCCCTCTTCTTCGCCGGACCAGAAGCCGAAGCGCACGGCGTTGGTCGTGGTGTAGTTGGCGAGCTGGAGCGCGACTTCCAGAATTCCGACAACGCCGGATCCGTCGTCATTAATGCCTGGACCTTCAGCCACACTGTCGGAGTGGGCGCCGACGACGAGGGTGGCGTTCTTGTTTCCACCTTTGGTTTGCGCGAGGACGTTGTTGCTGCAAGAAAGTCAGTACACGTAAGAGGTGCAGGAGTGATAGACGTACGTTGCACGGAACTCAATCTCGGAAACAACGTCCAGCGCGCCAGTGACCTCAGTGCCAGCGGCGATCACCTCAACAAGCGCGAGGCCAGCCTCCTGGGAGATACCGACAGTTGGCACGTAGGGGCCCAGCGCGCGGGGTTGGCCGAGGGTGCCATTGAGGCCTCCTGGAATGTTGTTGTAGATAGCCGCACCAACGGCTCCTGCGTTGCCGGCAAGCGCTGATTTCTGGCCGAATTCGCATGTACCACGAGAAACGAGTGCGATGGCACCAGCCACTTCTGCTGGATAATCTGACTGTAGACCGGTAAGCTTTGGCTTCATGGCAGACTCAGCGGGGACATACGGCTGCGCAGCCCAAGTTGCTGACTGCCACGACAGGAGCTGTGACATTGCCGCTTGCCGAGTACGAGAAGAGCGAGGCATTCTGGCTCACGCCGTTGGCGAAGAAAGATGCGTTGCCGCCAAGCGGGACGAGTGTTGACCAGGGCTGCAGCTCGACGTCGTAGTAGCCAGTGGCGTTGAGCAGACCAGCGACGTACTCTACGGTGAGGTTGTGGCCTGCACCGCCCATGAGACGATTGCGGTCAGCCGGATCTGGCTGGCGGTATGCGAAGTCCTCGAGCATCCGGGAATGGGCTAGAAGGGCATCGGAGTCAATGGTCGCTCGGAGGGTCTCCTATGTGACTGTTAGCACCATACGTCTCTCGAGCTCGATATATTCGATCCTGCTAGACGCAGTACAGAGCACTTACCGAGTCCACTGGTTGCGCGCCATACTGGCGGCGTGCTGGCCTCCAGATGTAGGGATTCTTTGGGCTGCAAGAAGCCAAAGTAGCCAACGCGCCGAGGGCGACACCGTACTGGAAAGTCCTCATGGTGACAGAAGGACAGCAGAAAAGTGAAAGTAATTTCAAAGACAGACAGTCGTTCGCGGAAAAAAACTTAAGGGCAGCTCAGCTTCTTATGAATTCATGTACCCGGTTGCATGTTGAACGCGCGACGCAAGGAAGACCTGCCGATCTTACAGACACAGCCATCCAATGGGGTACAATGTAGGGTAGTCTTGCCTGCTGCCATCCACACATTAAAGACAAATCCCCGGAGAGCGGCGTACGAATAAGCGGGCCTTATGTCCACGCCTTCCACGTTGGGGGGAGCTGAAGCAATGCCCCTCACCCTTGGCTAGATGAGGTCGCCGACAGCCAGATCTTCGAAACAGGCCCGTCTGAAAAGCTGATTCGTACTCGTCAGTGGCGGACATAGCGCTTATCCGCCGGTGACGGACGCGGTTCCTTGGGGGTCCCCAGATGCATCGCGGAGGTGGATGGCCATATTCGGACGTTAAAGACAATGGGGAAGGAGCCAAGAAGGCCAAGGAGCTTCACGATAGGCGGCTCCGGCTATGCAAGATAAGAATCGTCATTCTCCGCCATTCGTTGCTTGTCACCGCCGCGTACCTGCCGCTTTGGACATGGTGTTGCAGGTGGTGGGGATGGCAGGACGGTTGGGTGGCGGGAGCAGGGTAGATGACGCACAAGGATCAGGGCGGATGTGAAGCAAAACAGTGGTGTTTGCGTTCATCTAGTTATTGCATTTCGTGTGTGTGAAGCAGCACTGCCAATGGGCTCGTTCATTGCAAGGGAGGCACCTTGAGCTACGATGTTTGATCACGCGAGCACTTGCACAAAGTTCAGGCGCGTTCCGTAGAAGATTCATGTTTATCGCATTGCTACTGGAACGAAGCAATCTGAAACCCAAAACAACTCCCCGTACATCACGCTGCCATTGCACATCTTCAAAGGCCCGAATCAAACAGCAGCTGGTGCCATGACGCCGTCTTCCCTGCCTCCGTCAGGCGCGCCCCAACCGGCCCTCCTGGTAAAAACTTTGTCTTCAAACCCATCCGTTCTGCCCTGGCGGAGCTTGTATGGGAATGGTGCATCCCTCACCAGCGGCACGTGGTTGAACCGAAAGTCCCACACGGCCGCGTACACCATGCGGTACGCCATGAAGGCCATGAGAGTTCCGAGCAGCGCGCCGGCGACGAGGTCATACCAGTGGTGAAACTTGTCGATGGTGAGCGCTCCGGCGATCAAGGTGGCGCCCAACAGCGGCAAAGCGACGGCCACCAGCTTCCAGTAGGCCGGGTGATGGTTGGAGAGGAGCTTGAGCTTCGCGTTCAGATAGAGGCTCAGGAACACGGCGCCGGCGAACGCGGCGGTCGAGTGGCCGGACGGAAACGACATCATGGCGTCGTCGATGGCCCTTTTGTCGGTCCCGCTGCAGACGCTACGGTCGTAGAAGAGCATCTTGAGGCCTTTCCCGTAATTGGCGCCGGACGTGGGGACCACGGGCTTGCACACGTCATAGAAGTGTGGACGCAGGCCGCCGATGAGATACTTGACGAAGACTTGGAACACAGCGGCGGTGAGGACTGCATAGAGGAGGCCGGTGATCTTGAAGCGTCAGCTGGCGGCTTCCATAACTTGGCGGAGGTGTACTTACTGCGTTGTTCAAATCCCAAAAGCTACGTATGCGCGCCTGCATGATGAGGAAGACCGTGATGGGCACCACGAGGGACAATACGGCCGAGAGCCACGTGGGAATGATCTCTTTGCGGAGTGGATATGCGTACTGAGGGTAGACCACCTCGCCGTTCTCGAAGTAGACGGGGAAGAGACGGTGCGCAGCGGGTCTCAGGCGCCAGATCTGCAATTCGTCAGCTACGTGCATGAAAAGCGTGGGGCCAGCCATACGACGAGAGCTAACGTTCCCAGCACCGCCATCAGGAGGAGATCTGGCCATGCGGTCTGGAACCATTGCCGGGGTGAAGGTCTGTCGTCAAGTCTCTGGGGCTTCTCGTTGACTGGGCGCGGTGTGTCATTTGCTTCCAAGTTGTTGTCTATGCGACGGCGGAAGAACAACATGATGTGTTGGAGATTGTGGATTTTGAGCAGTAGAATACCTCGTGTAAATGGTGCAGGATACTCTGAAACGATGATGTTGAAGTTGATGACAGGAGATGCGGAAAGCTGCCAATAAATAGATGAAGAGAGCTTTCTACGTATGGCAGGAGCTCGCCGGCAATACATGAGGCAGGCATAGTGCTATTCGTCATGAAATCTTCGACGAGGGAAGGCATAGCGCAGTCGTGACGGATGAAGCAGTCGCGACGGCGAGGTCTTGGAAGCGCGAGCACCAGCCGGCAGGAGCTTGCCATGTCGAACTCCTGTCAAGGACTGAGACATGTCATGGATACCATGGCTTTGCGATGAACCGTCTGTTGAGTAGATTTTGTGACGCCGTCATACTCGTATGAGTTTAAATATCTCATGAAGGAATGAGGATGAACCATTGTCAGGCGCCGGTGAACCGAAGCGTCTTGACGTGCTGTTGCACTGCAGTGAGCTGTGGTTCTGTTCGGGTTTACATAGTACAGGTGCTACAGAGATGCGGAACTCGAGCATGGCTGGCGCCACGACCATGTCGACTGCGATATCAAGCTGCAACGCGTGACCGTGTATCAAGATGCAACAACCCTGGGCCTCGGCAAACACGCCAAGACTTTGGTAAACACCCGCGGCGTCCGCAGATGCGCGAATATGCCTTTGCGCCTGGAACTACCATAGATCCTTCTTAAGTCCCATCGTCTCTGACAATGGCGCATTCAAGTCAGATGGATTCTCTCCTCACCGAGCACTTCCGCTACACGCCTCTTGTACGGCAATTGCCCTCCCCTCCCCAACTGTAAACACCACTAACAAACTCCCGCCAGACCCTAATCGACGACATAATCAACACCGTGAACGAGCTCGTCGGCCGCGCCGTCGACTCCGTGGAAGCCGGCCTCCTCTCCGCCGACCCCGCTGTCCTCGGGTTCGCCGCCCGCGCCGCCGCCGAGAATGTGATACCGGACACCGACGGCGAGGGCAACGTCGTCTACCCCGAGGCGCGGAAGGAGATCGAGGAGGGCGTGCACAAGCTAGAGACGCTGCTGGAGGCGACCGTGGACAAGAACTTCGACAAGCTGGAGATATACGTGCTGCGGAACGTCTTAACAATCCCCGAGGAGCTGGTGGGCTGGGTGCGGCTGGCGCATTACGAGGTACGACTCCACCATACATATCGTACACATGCCCTAGAGAGAAATCCCCAGGGCCACGGCAGCCACCGACTCGAGCCCCCACCGCGTCGCTGTGGCCCCGAAGGCTAACACCTCCCCGTCTCAGAACCTCCACATCCCCTCCCCCTCCGCGCCCCCAGCGCCAACCCCCGAATCCCTCCACCTCCTCCGGCGCAAGCTCCACGAGACGCAGAAACTCCACGTCGCCCTGCTGGCCGAACACCGCCGCAACGCCCAGCTCATCGCCCAACTCCGCGCCCTCCTCTCCTCCGCCCCCAACAGCAGCACAACCGCCCACCCCAAAGCCGAGCAGCCATCCTCCCCCTCACGCGTCCCCGCACCCGCCACCCCCCACCCCGGCGCCTTCGCCTTCCTGTCCACCACGCCCGCAGCGCACACGCTGGGCGTCTCGACCGCCGCCGCGATGCCGCCGCCGCCGCCGCCGCCTGAAGGCGCGTCCACACAGCCGCAAGCCCCGCTGACGACACCGACGGCGTTTGCGCTCGCACAGCTGCCCGCGCTGCGGCAGCTGCTGACGAGTCTGCGGCCCCGTCTCGCGAGCCCGGCGGCGGCTGGTGGAGACGACGAAGGGGAGGCAGCGGGGAGGCGGGCGTATATTGAGGCGCAGACGCGGCGGGTGTTGGAGAGGAGGGGCCGTGGGGGTTGAACGAGACGGCGGTTGGGTCGGGGGGTTTTGCCTGAGGTCCACGGGACGAGGCGGGCCTGGTGGAAGGGAGATGGGGGGGTGGTCGGGTGGGCTGGAGGCGGCAGCGTTGGGGATGTGCGGGGTATTGTGTTTGCGGGCGCTGAGGCGTAAGGAAGGGGTAGCTTGGAGACGGGGGGGGGGGGGGGGGGGTAGTATTGGCAGAGGCGTTTTGGCATCGGAGCGGCCGACATGCCCCCGTTCGCGATACCCCCGAGTGTCACTGGCTAGGCGCGGAAACGGTTCTAGGGGCATAGGCGTCCTCCTGTGCGGGTCGGTTATACCCTCTGTCTTTTGGGTCTTGGGCACGGTTGGTGCGTTAGCGAAACGTTGATACAATGGCTGGATAAGACGATGATCAAGCTTCTTTTCTCTGGATCTAGCTCCGGTTACTTTCGCATAACTTGGTCATCTACTGGTGAGAGGGGCTGGTAAACAGGTAGTATTGCACCAATGCTATGAGCATGTACTACAAGATCGCAGTCAAGATATAGCACAGGTTGACTTCGCTGCAGAGAAAGGCAGGGATGGTAAAGCCTGAGAGATAATGGACACGGCGCTCCTCAACTACTGACTATAGCATGAATGCGGTATCTTCCAATAACAGCATAACGATGAACGAACACACCCATCTCCTCCCAGTTGCCAACGACGCACCATCCCCCACGAAACGCGCTCCGACCCACACCCCGTCCCTACGAACCGCCTCTTTCCAGAACACAATGCTCACGTCCCGCTCAATACTTCACAACCTTAACCACTCCCCTCAACTCCTCCGGCAACTCCTCCATCCTCCGAATCCCCAAGCCCACCACATCCCCCCAGAAGACCAGCGCCCTCTCCCTCGCATACCCCAAATAATCAAACTCCTCATCCTCCCCCCCATCCTCAGGCCTCTTATCCTCGAGCTCCTCCCTCATCCTCCTACCCTCCTCATCCAGCGGATCAGTGCCGAGTTCCTCGGCGGGGCGATGCGGTTCATCGAGGCTCTGACCCGCACGACCATCCTCCTCTCTCTGCTCTGCCTCAGTAGGGGTAGTGTCGGATTCCGCATCGCTGCCAGAAGCCGGGCCGGCCAGCTCGGATGGTAGGCCTGAGATCTTGGCCTGCACGACCCCCCACGCGACCCACTGCGCCGAGTTCGCGAGCCGCCACTGCCTCGTCTCGTCGAGCAATCTCCTTACCTCCAGCTCCGTCGCTGCTTCCTCGGCTGCTTCGGCTTCCTTGTACTGCGTAGATGGGAAGCGGGAGTCGAGCATGAAGGTGCTGATGGACGAGGAGAAAGACTGTTGTTGGTACGGGCTAGATTTCTGGTGGGCGGAAGGGCTGTTGGAAGTCGATGCTGAGGAGGTGAAGGGACGGTGGCGGACGTAGGCGCGGATGAAGCGGTGTTGTTCTTCGGGGGTCGGGTAGCGCTCTGTGTGCAGGGCGTAGGGGGCCTTTTCGTCGTGGTAGTTGTAGCACCATTCCGTCTGTTGCGGGCGTCAGTCGCTATGCGCATGCTGGGTCTGTCAGAGAACGTGGAGGGTGGAACATACAAAGTGGTTTGCGAATTCAAGACCTGGAGTGTTGGCGTTGGCGTACTCGAAGTCGATGACGACGAGCTGCTTGTGCTCGTTCGTGGGCAGGAGGAGCGGAGACTCGCCAGCGGGTTCCAGGCGGAGGATGTTGCCGTATTGCGTCTGTTGGTGTCAGCACGTCGTCCATATAACCTGTCCGTGGAAATATCTCAACTCACGTCATTGTGCGCAAAGACAAGGTCCTCCTTCACCTTGTCGGCGCCGCCGTGCTTCTCATCCAGCCACTTCCGATAAAGCTCGAGCGTCTGTCTGAAGAAAGCCCACTCAGTGCCGCAGACAAAGCCTCTCTGCTTCCAGACGTCCGCTCGGCCTTCGCCGGATTTGCCATCGTAAGCCCGGACCTGCTCATCAAGCCAGGTGACGAGCTGCTCGCAGCGGTCAACCCACTTGTCCCAGTTACGCCAGACAAAGGGGCCGTCTTCGCGTTCTTGGGGCAGCAAGTCGATACCTTCGTGCAGTTCGCGCATGCGCTTAGCAATCTGCTTGGAGGTCTCTGGGTTGCGGAGATCCTTGGGCGTAAGCGTCCGAGCATGGAAGAACTCCTCGAAGCGGCCGTTCTTGAAGGTGCCGAGAAGACGGGGCCCGATCCGCTTGCGTGCAAGGCGACGTAGGATCTGGAGCTCGGCCTCTCGATCGATGAGGTGCTCCACCTGCGGTCCGTAGATGCGCAGAAGGAGTTTGCTGTGTTGCGTAAGTATGGTTCTTGCAGTGTATGTTGAGCACTTACGGTGGAGGTTTCTTAGGAGTTAACGAACGCGAGCCGTCGCCATTGGCGGGCTTTTGCGTGGGAAGGTCCTTCGGAGGTGAGACTACATAGACGGCATTTGTAAGAGCGCCACTGAGTCGTTCAACCTCGATTTCACCGCTCTTATCCATCGGCACGCGCCGCCAGCCCTTCAGCCGCAGAGTGTGCGTGAGCCGGACAATCTCGTACTTGAATGTCGCCCAAGCCTTTTTCTCCTTGCCTCGAGAGCCTGGTGTCGTTGCATCTTCATCGGACGAGGCCGCTCCGCCGCTGTAGGCCATAGTCTTTGAGTTGTCAAGCACGGCATCGCTGCTGGGCACAAGCGTGTCGCCATCCACGTAGTCCGTATCTGACGAGCCGGCTGTTGACTGACGCCTTAGCTTCCGGGCGGAGATGCGGTGATGCAACGCTGGAGATCTGCGGCTTGACGAACGGTCCTCCATACCGAGAGACAGGCTCTTCTCGAGGATGTTTTCTAGGTTCTCCAAGGCCGTCGATCCATCCGAAGCGTCAGATGGGCGTCTCTGCTCGCTAATGGAAGAGCCGTCCAGTTGTACCGAAGAGTCCGTTTTCAGTGCCGTAGGCTGGGCCCCTGACGCTGCGTGGCGGGCTTCTTTTCCTTTTGACCTCCGCTCAGCCCTCCTTTTCCTCTCGTCCTTGATCCACGACGTGATCTGGGATACGAGCCCGTCCGTGGCCAGGAGACGATGAGCATGGGCTGCGCCTTTGGTGCCATCATCCGGCACCAAAGGCGCCAGTGGGGTTTCTAGCAGGCTGTGCCGCGAGCCTGCACGATCAGGAGCTGGGCGGCCGGACAGGCGCTTACCCCCAAGGTTGACCCGATGTTGTTTCGGCGAGCTTCGATCGAGGGTGAAGGGCTCGCCGTCTGCATCAAGGTCCTTTGATTTACCTTTCATTGTAGGAGACATGCTTTCAGGTTCATCGAACAGAACAACTGCAAATTGCGAGGCATTAGCCCCGCGCCGGTAGATCGTGAAGAGTTTGAGTATATATTGAGTAGAGTGATTGCTTCTGGAAAGTAACGCGGAAGGCCAAAGAGATTGAACATGTGCGTGTTTTCAGATGGCCACAGAGCCTTCTGACCAGAGCGTAGATGTTTGCCGTGATATTTCAGAGGACTGGGAGGCACATACCACCCGCGAACTGGATAACTATTGGGCGGGCCTTCTGCGGTAACGGAAGGTACAAGAGCGGAGTATACGCTGGGGCAACATAGCACCCCGCATTGGATTGGGTTTCAAGGAAAGATTATCATCTGAGGAAGCTTGTCTCATTGAGCGAATCAGAGGAAGTTGAGACAGTCCTCGTACGCAGATATAGTGCATCGCAGAGGACAGTGATCAGAGGCTTGGACATAGCAAAAATAACCACCAACCTTTACTCGACCCCACTCTTGGAGAAGATCCATCAACCTCTCTAGCAGTCGCCGGAGACAGATTCTGACGTGCAACGGGCATGGCAGGCGGTCCGTTGGATTCAGCCATGGTTTGGCTCCCGTTCGATCCGACTGATCCCAAGCCGAAGCTAGAGTTTCGGGGAAGTTGATGATTTCCGAGAAGAGCTTCAGAGTACGCAGATTTTGGAAGCTTGGATATGCGGCCGTCGTGCAACAAAGTGAATTTTAACCAACGCGCGGAGATGAGTCCTGTAAAGAACTGCCCAGCACTCGTGCCACGTGCGGCTGCTTAATCAGTAGAAAACCGACGCGGCTCTTGTCAAGACGTGGGGGGGTGTGTTGAGGTTTGTTGAGAGGCGTACACACAACCAGAGGACGAGAAATCCTGTCTGGTGGAGGACCAGGACCAGGACCAGGACCAAGAGATTCGTAGGAGGTAGGGATGGATGAAGGTGAGACGTGTCCCGGACGTCGTGCAAGAGTGCAGAATCTTGGTGCCTGCCCTGGGAGTGCGAGTGCGTCTGCAGATTCCAGGTTGTTGGCAAGCAGCGCCCAAGTGTCAGGGATCTGTCGAGCGGCAGAGCCCGATGCAGGGACCGCCGCTGATGCCATGGCACCGTGGACGGACCGGGGTTTGCCGTCTTGACAGCCACAGCAGGGATCAAGCAACCTGTACTACGCTGCAATGAACGAATAAACAATATCGTATCAAAACACCCTCTATGCAAACAATATACGAAGCTATTAGCAACAGGCTCCAAGCCGGGGAAAGTGAACAATGCCCCACAACGCTACACGCTGCAACAGCCAATATGCTACCCAGATGCCCAAACGCCCCATTTTACCCAGTCCAGCGCGGCCTCAGCCCCGTGAGCCGCGTGTACCAGCAATCCCCGACAGCAAGATTGATGAACCACCACCGCGCCATTATCGTGCCCATTGCACAACCTTCAGCGCACACGTAACGAGTATTAGCGTGCTCGGCAGAATCCTAATCATTGTCAGCGTGTGCCTCAGTCTTTTACACCCGCTCAAGAACACATACCAGATGACATAGCTGTGGAACAACAGCCTGCTCATCGCACCCATGTACACTCCGTTGAGCTGGCAAATCTGCGCCAACTGCAACGCGCTCGGCGCGCCCGTGAGCAAGAAGCACACGATCAAGAAAATCGGATCGTCCATGATGGAGACGGGCGCGAACTTTGCTAATATCGCCAGTAGCGGGCCCATGACGATGATCGGGATCAGCATCCTGCTAAGCAACGCCGCAGTGATGAGATTGCGTTCCTCTTTGGGGTCGTTGATCTGGTGCGGGTCGTTCTTCGGCAGCGTGTTGCGCGCAAGGTTCGCGCCGAGCACAACCAGGATGAGTGGCACGGCGACGCCGCCCGATTGCTGCACAGCCCGTGTCACGGAGTTGTTGATGAAAGTCCCCCGATCGAAGAAGAGGTGTTGGAGCTGTGGGACGGAGGCCACGATGATGGCGATCAGCATTGCCCAGAGCGGGGGGTTCATCTGCGCCCAGACGCCCTTGAGGAAGCGGGCGAAAATGCCATAGACAAAGGAAAGTGTCTTTTGCAGGGGGCTTGGGAGCGCATTGAACATTTTCTGCCAGCGGGTGGAGATGCTGTGTGAGGCGGCGCGGGTAGCGCGCGCGACAGCATTTCGGGCGCGGAGACCGGCGCGCTTGGTGCGAGGCCACCAGCCCTTGGAGCCGGAGGGTATGTTTTCGTACTCCTCTGGTAGGGCGACAGGTTTGGGAAACGTCGTGATGTGGCCGTTGGTGTGATCGTTCGATTCTCGGGTGCGGCCGTGGCCGGCCATGTTACCGGGACCCTCGCCAACGATGTTGCCGTTCGTAGGAGTGGGCAACACGCCAGGCACTGACGAGGCGGATGAGCTGGAGCTTATTGACGACGCGTATTGCGGTCGTTTAGCGGGTGTGAGAGTTCCGGATCCGTAGTCGGAATGAGACGAGTCCGTCGCAGAGTGCTTGATGTTTTCTTGGCTAGGCCTCCTGCTGGATACCACGCTCGATCCCACCGAGACCCCTTCTAGCAGACCTTGTTGCTCATGCGCTTCTCCGCGCTCTAACCTGGCATTCGAAGCCGCTTCCTCCTCGGCAAATTTCTCCGGGGGAGCAAGCAGAATGTTGTAGCCGTAAGTCCAGCGCACAAGCTGTCCAAGCTGCTGGAAAATGAGCAGGTACAGAATACCTCTAGCAGCCACCTCGTCGTCGTTGTCTCCGGGTACCTTGTCCCAGTGGAGTCCGCTGATGGTCTTGGAAAGCGAGATAACGAGAGAGATGGGGAGGGAGTTGGAATTGCCGAAGATCTGTTGAAGTCAGGCTCTTGACCGAGGAGAAACTCAGGATCGATGCACTTACCGCCATGGCGATTACGAAGTACCTCTGCCTCTTCTTGAAGCGAAAGGCCCTGGATACAGCCATGGCAGTGAGCCATGATACCATCGTCTGCGCGGCGAAAATTGCGGGTATTATAGCCAACTCGCCCAGCTTGTCCGCCGTGAGCTGCGAGGCGAGCTTGGTGAAGACTGCCGGATGTCAGCAATCCATAGATGCGCAATACGATGGCGAACGCACTCAGACAAGGGGTAAACAGCTGCGTATTCAGGTTGGCCAAAAACTTCTGAGACTCGGCGTCGAACATGCCCTGCCTGGCGACTATGTACCCGGGCAAGCTGACACAGACAACCTCCATGACAGCCTCGAAGACGAGGAGGATGAGGTGAGCGAAGTCGGGCTGCGTCTGACGCCCTGCCATGGCGGCGAGCGCACTGCCGGCGGACGAGGGCAGTTGTGCAGCGGAGAAGAAGGCTGGTGTGCCGAAAGCGAAGTCATTGTCGGTGCCCGCGAGGCGGAAAGATTTCGGATGGAGGCTGAAGGGCATGACAAGGCGATGCGGCTGATTTGAGCGGCTGGGTGTGTACGGGTGGGGGGGCTTGGGAGGTTTTGTGGACGAGTACCGTTGTTGCACAGGGCGGGGGGGCAATTGCGTGCAGATGAGCAGGCGGATGGGGTCGGAGAGCACAAGAGGCTCGAAAGAAGGGTTCGGCGTGTAGTAACAGGGAGCTGTCCAGAAGGAGCAGGATGTCCAAAGTGAGGATGCTGGATATCTGATTAGGATATCTGATTAGGGAGGTATACGACATGGGTCAAAAGCATGGAACAGCCCCAGGTCTGGACGAAGAAGCGTCATTGGCGCTAAGACTGCTGTGGCTGTTGGCTGTGGCTAGAATCCTCAGCCGCCACGCATGTGATGGCAGCACGTCGAGCAAGCCGTCTAGCCAGAGCCAAAAGCGGGAGTCGTGGTCAAAAAGTCACCGAGGGAGCAGAAGTCGAGTGAAGCAATCCAGCATCTGACGTCTGAGTGATGCCCGGCTGAGGTTTGTCTGCCGTCTGTCCGCCGCCTTGCGTCCTGCTGCTTGCTGGCCCTGTCTGATGGAAGTCCTCCAACGGCGTCCTTGCCCTGCCTTGAAGAGATGCGCGGTCGGCATTCCCTGATGAAACTTTAGGAGCCCGGGCAGCACTCCGCCGATGGCCAGGAAACATGCCCGGGCGCCGATGCAGCTCCAGCGGCTCCCAAGAGTGTGCGATGCTCTCCACATTTCGATCTCCGTAACTACATACAGTGATCAATCCTCCGTCCTGAAACCGGGCTGATGGCTAAGTTGAATCATCATCATCACTGACGGGGCTGAATAAACAACCAGGTCTCCTGCCAGCTAACTCCCTCACTGCTTGCACCTCGTCGACCCTTTTGCACTATCCACCAGGGACCCTCAGTCAACGCGGTACTCCGTAAACATCTGGCCATTGCGCGCCAGCACTGACCGACAAGGACCGAGAACGAGTTGGTGCTGCTGCTGCTGTTGGTGCTGCTGCTGCCGATTCGGGCTCCCCGGTACCTTACCTACTCACCAGTTGGACCTGGACGCAGGCCTCGCAACACCTGCTGTTTCAAAATTATCCTCTCGAACGCCCATTACCTATCTCTGCTCGTTCCAAGGTCAACCCTGAGGCAGGCTCGGTTAGATTTCCCGCCTGCTTCACGTGTCGGTCGCTCCGAGCTGTGCGTAGCCGTTGTCGCGGCCGCCACGACGCCAATCTCCGTCCAAGACTTGTCGTCGTCCGCACCGCCACAACCTGTTGAATTCACGTCTTCATCCCGCACCAGGCCTGCCAAACCGCCAACAAGCCAGCGTCAACCACTGCACCCTTCGCCCCAGGAGCCGCTCGAGTTGCTGCCGTCTGCAGGCTCAGACCCTACTGCACTCTACTGCACGCTCGCTCGCTCAACAGCCTTCACGGCGCCTCTTCCGCCCTGCTCGCTCCCTGGGCAACCTCACCTTGGCCTACGCCTGTCGAGCCAATCGAACCACATCTTCCCGCCACAAGTTGCTGCCAAACTGGCGACCGATACCATGGCCTCAACGCCAGATAGCGAGTTTGACGTGAATGTCGACTCCCCTCTAGAATCTCCCCCTCCTCCAGACTCGCCCTCCGGTCATCCCACTTCGCTCCCGTCAACCTCATCGTCTACTCTCAAGCTGCCGAACGGTCTCGCTGCTCCCTCGTCACTAGAAGCACCGCGTCTCGCACCTCGCTCCCACTCCATCTCCGCTGGCATGACGCCCTCTTCCACGCCTCTGGGCACGCTCAACGCTGCCCGCCGCCCAGGACCTACATCGACGATATCGAGTAGAGGCAGTGGCTTGAACGTTAATGCGGACATCATGGCGAGGATACAGGCGGTGCATCTGGGAAGACAAGGTGCTCCGTCTCCACGGATACAGCCACCTGGACGGCAGCCAAGCGGCCCCGGCCAAATTCCCGCGTCTCCTGGAGGAGCCATGGCAGGCGGCGTTCCCGCGCACTTCAAGATGCCAACTACTGCTGGAAAACCTCAGTTACAAAACTTCCAGTCTGCACCGGCAGTGCCGAACTTACGACTTGGAGGGAACAAGCCCTCACTGGCTGAGAAGCGCGGCATGGCACTTCCAGGCGGTCTGCCAGGCGCAGCACCGAACGGGCCACCGGCACCCGCCGGCAGGAAGAGGCCCGGCCTGAAGCTCTCCCAGATCAACGGCGGAGGTGACGCGCCGGAGCCCGGTGCACCGGAGCAGCCGCCTGCGAAGCCGCAAACGATGATGGACAAGTACGCCGATTTCTTGGATCCGAAGACGGGCAGTTTGCGGTTCAAGGGCAAGGCGACGCTTAACTCGACCGGTGTCAACTTCGAGAGCGGCAAAAGCTTCAGCATATCTCTAGATGAAGTGGACACGTTGGATGAGCTGGGTAAGGGCAACTACGGGACGGTCTACAAGGTCCGGCACAGCAGGCCGAAGATACGGATGCCAGGCCAAGGTCTGGCAGGCAACAAAGCCCAGCCTGGGATGGCGCCCACCTCTCCAACACGAGCCTCGCACGAGGACTCGAGTCCCGCATCCGCCAAGTCCAGCGGCGGCACCACGGGCGCGGTAATGGCGATGAAAGAGATCCGCCTCGAGCTCGACGACGCCAAGTTCGCCGCCATCATCATGGAGCTCGACATCCTGCACCGCTGCGTGTCGCCGTACATCATCGACTTCTACGGTGCCTTCTTCCAAGAAGGCGCCGTCTACATCTGCATCGAGTTCATGGACGGCGGCTCCATTGACAAGCTATACGGCGACGGCATCCCCGAGTCCGTGCTGCGCAAGATCACGCTGGCCACGACCATGGGGCTCAAGTCCCTCAAAGACGAACACAACATCATCCACCGCGATGTCAAGCCAACCAACATCCTCATGAACACACGCGGCCAGGTCAAGATCTGTGACTTCGGCGTCAGCGGGAACCTGGTCGCTAGTATCGCCAAGACGAACATCGGGTGCCAGAGCTACATGGCACCCGAGCGCATCTCAAGTGGCGGCATTGCGCAAGCAGGCGCAAATCCGGGGGGTGGGACTTATAGCGTCCAGAGCGATATTTGGAGCTTGGGCCTTACTATTATCGAGTGCGCGATGGGGCGGTATCCGTATCCGCCGGAGACGTATAATAACATTTTCAGCCAGCTGAGCGTAAGTTACCACTTGATCCCTGCCTCACAATCCGCCTTGCCTTACCTCTTCTTGGCGTGCACGGACTTCTGTGTCTTGAACAGGAATTGGTAAGCTAACAAGAGGACAACAGGCAATCGTCGACGGCGAACCCCCCGACCTCCCCCCCGAAGGCTTCTCCGACGCCTCCCGCAACTTCGTCGCAGGCTGTCTGAACAAGATCCCGCACCTGCGGCCCACGTACGCCATGCTGCTTCAACACGCGTGGCTGGCCCCACTGCTAAAGCCCCAAACCATCGCCGAAGAGGACGAAGAGGACGAAGAGGATGCCGAGAACGGTGTTGCGGACTTGAACAAGGAGGAGGAGAAGGAGGCAGGCGTCGTGGACAAGGAGGTCGCGGACTGGGTGAAAGGGGCGATTGAGAGGCGACGGGCGGGGAAGATGGGGAAGAAGGAGAAGCCGGCGTTGCATGCCGCGCCGTTGGATGCGGTTGTGAGTCCTGGGGTCGGATGATTGAGCATAACTGAGTCAAAGCGCAAGCGTGAGCACGACGGCAGTGTAGAAGCGGGAACTTTTTTTTTTTTTTGGGAGGTCATCATAGACCTGTAGCATCTCAAAGCGGGGGCGTGAGTTGAGCTTTGGCGCAGACGAAACGGCATTTCGTACAAGAGGGGTTGAGTGGAGAGGGGGCTGAGGTGTTCCTTCCTTAGGCCGATGAAGCCGATAGATATGGCGTGCATACATCTGTATAGGCGGCTGTAGTTAGTCCGCGGATTTCCATTTTCGAGGTGTAGACCATAAATGATGTGTTATGCCTGATACGCATGAGGGGCAATACCGTGATTTTATCTTGGGTTGAGCTGTGGTCCCTTCTGGTCAAGAGAGTGGCCGGATATTGACCACTTTTAGCGGCAGGTGATTACGATCCAACATCCTATAGTAAGGTTCTGCTCGTGGTTTCCTGGGGCAATATCCTAGATGGCCACGATAGGGGCGGAATAGCAGGCGTGAGCTCGCGTCGAAACACCAAGCAAGCTACTACCCACTCGGCAAAGAGAACAGAACGAGGGTATCATCTTCACGCTATCCAAATAGATTCAATGACATCCAGTTGCCGACGGCAGCCCCTTCCCCTCCTACTTCTGCCTCTTATTCACCGAGTTCTCCCTCCCTGCGACCGAACCAGTCCCCTTGCTGCTCTCCATCTCTTTTTCGGCGCGTAACTGAGGGCTCGAAATTCACCTGAGGCCCTACGTAGAGAACACAGGTGCCTTGACAAGCACACTCCTCCCCCGTATCTGCACCGCCACACCGACCGCCATCCTGACCCTAGGCGGCGTATCCTCTTTCGGCGGGCCCGTAGCACCAGGCTGCTGCTGTTGCTGCTGCTGCTGAACCAAACTCGTCTGGCTCCCACCCGCGCCCACGCCCGCCGGCGCGCCCGCAGCAGGCCCCTTCTGTTTCCCGCCCATAAACGAGCTGAGCAGCCCCCTCGCCCCCCTGCCCTCACGCTCCTTCGCCCCACCAGCAGCAGCACCGGGGTTCGAAGCCGCCGCTCCACTTACGCCAGCAGCCGCACCCGAGCTCACCCCCTCCGCATCCAGCATACTGCTCTGCGCGCTCCCCGCCACCTTCTCCTCCCCGAGCGCGGACCCCGTGCTCTGCAGACTCGCCCTGTCGGCCTCGATGCCCTCGGCCTGGCCAATCGGGTTCGAGAGCGGCTGGATCTGCGTCGATTCGAGCTTCATGACATCGGCCAGGATACCGTGGCCGGGCGGGAAGTACTCGATATGCACATCCCTGCTCTCAAGCGGGACGTGGATCGCGACGTTGACGGCGAGCTCGGCGATCATGTGGACGCCGCCGTCGAGGTCCGGAGGAGCCGGGTCGACGAGGTGCATCTCGAGCGCTGCTTTCATCTTCTCGTGCAGGTTGGCGACGAGTTGCTGTCGGTTTTGTTGCGCTTGTGCTGCGCGAAGTTGATCTGCGAGCCCTTCGATGGTCGTTAGACGCCAGTTAACGATGCGCGCTGTAAGCTGTTCTTCCTCTTCTGCGCCGGAGAGCTGCGCACTCGCTGCGCCGGACCGCCGGATCGCGAGCTGGATCGCCTTGAGCTGGCTGCTGAGGCCCGGCTCGAGGTCCGGGTGGAAGTACTTGTCGAAGAGGTCGGAGACGAGCCAGGCGGAGATGAAGGCGCGGCCCACGGCGGTCATCTCTTGCTTGCCGACGCTAATGGCGTCTTTATTGACGGCCGGGGCTAGCCAGTGCGGGATGGTTTTCCAGGACTTGCGGATGCTGTAGGCGAGCTGGGAGATGAGGCCGTCGAGGCGGATGAAGCGGTTGCAGTATTCGTTGTCGTCGAGGGACGTGCGTGACAGGGAGAGGCGCTGGTGGGCTAGTGTATTTTGGAGGGTATGGACTTGGGACTCTTTCTCGAAGTAATACTTCTTTACTTTCTGGTACTTGTCCTCTAGAGCAAGTTCGTCAGCTAGTGAAGAGGAGTGGGCGGGAGGATGTAGAGCTTACTGAGTTCCTTGTATTCCTTTTGCAACTGCACAATATCGTCTTCAGTCATTTCACTGGCGCCTCGGCCCGGTGGTGGGGTACTGCGACTCATCTCTCCGTCCTGCTGCGGGCTGCTTCTGTAGGGTTGACTCTGAGACGTCGGAGGTACGACGTTTGCACTGAAGCTCGCCAGACCAAGCGTTGGAGGTTGCCCGTGACCTTGGCCTGGTTGTGGTTGTTCAAGGCCGTCAGAGCCTTGCCGGGATGGAGGACCGCCAATAATTCGGCCCTGTTGCCTGGCTTCAGCGTTACTGCGTCCTGCCTTTTGTTCTGTTAATGGAACGCCGGATGCTTGTTGCGACGCGGCGTCTGGGGCCGGACTCCTTGCAGAATTGGATTGTCCTTCGGTAAAACCGGATTGGAGATACTGGCTTACTGGAGAGGAAGCCGGGTATTGTTGCTGCTGGGAAGGTGGACGAAGCGATTGTAAGTACTGTGTATCTTGATGCGGCGGCGGAGGCGGTCCTTGGGGCCCTTGCTGGTGGTATTGCCCTTGATGATATGGATACTGCTGCTGCTGTGACGAAGGTCGGCCCTGAAAGCCGTCTTGCGGCTGCCCCTGCTGCGAGTCAAGCCCGGTGTGCTGGGGCTGTCTGTGAAGTTGTTGCTGCTGCTGATACTGCTCAGAAGGCTGCTGCCGTTGCTGGTATGGATGTAGCTCGTCGTCCTGCCGTAGGTATTGTTGGGGTTGCGTCGCGCCGCCTGCGCTTTGATTGGGCGCTTGCTGGCTGACAAAGGCCTGGTATTGTAGCTGGTCCTCCTGCTGTTGGATTGAGGTGTGTGGTGATTGATTCAGCTTCTGTAACGAGTGCCGTGTGCCGCCAGAATTTTGCTCTGGGCTGTGGTGTGGAGAGCTCTGGTACAAATAATCTGGATTGGTGTTGACTCGAGCAAGCGAAGGACGAGAGGATTGGTTCTGGTCGTAGCGTTCACTGTATAGAGGGTCCTTGGGAGGTGGCACAGGTGACTGTTGCTCAGCTTGTACCAAGAACGGGTCAAGTCCAGGGGCTTCGTTGTGCTCGGTTGATGGTGCCAGGTATTGTCTGGATTCTTGTTGCGAAGGCCAGCCTTGAGGATACGTCCTGTTCTGTCCTTCTCCAGTGCTGTACCTGTTCCCACTTGGAACCTCCTTTTTCTTCACGGAGACGCTTCTGCCCACACCCGTTTTGTTGTCTACTGCCGGTTGAAGTCGGTCACCACTCTCTCGGTGGGTATGCCCAATCACGTTGCCAAGTCTAGTTCGAAATGACTTCTTTTGCTCCGGTGGTTGCGGTCGTGGAGGCCCAGACGAAGAAGACGTAGTGTAGTATCTCGAGTCTAGAGGCCTGTCGTTTGACAGAGATGTCTCACCCGCATTCACGGAAGCCGCGACATTGACAGGCGGTCGGTCGAGGGATATGTTATTGGAGTACCTCTGGGTCGGAGATTGCCCGGGGAAAGACTGGGCGAATGGTCTGCTGTGCTGCTCTTCTTGCAATTGATATCGGTTGCCTACACCTTCCGGGCGGTCTACGGTACGGTCAGCCTACACACGAGGGCTATCCGCGGCTGAACCAGCAGTACTTCCGTGCATACCTAGCGAAACAGTAGAGGAGTGTTCCGTAGAGCTCCCTACGGAAGCTTGCGACCGGTTCGATTTAAGGAAGGGTAGCTTGGCTGGCATCCTAAGTCTGTTGACAAGACCGGGAGCAGCTGTCAAGAGGCGCCTCTGGAGGAGGTGGGGCTGAGAGAGCGACGAGGATCAGCAGCTCGAGGCGCTAAGGATGTCAGACGCGCGCATGGACTCGAGGCCTATATTGCAATCTCTACTTGACAGTCATGTTTCTGGAGCAAAACGGTTCGGACGTTGAGGAAAGGGCGCGTTCTGAGATTTGATAGAGGGCAGGCTCCATACTACTAATCCCAATCACAAGCAACCCAGCACGTGCATGAGCTGTATCTCAGCTTTGCGAGCGGTCAAAACGCATTAGCCCGCCGCTGGACCTCCTCCATGCACACTGTGAGCCAGCCATGATGGGAAAGCGGGTTAGAATTGTGGTGGCAGTGCAGTAGAAGCATGCAGTCGCTGCACCATGAGGCTATTGACAGGTGCTTTTATTGGAGCGCCTGCTCTCGAGCGTCCACATGAGGAACGGTATATCAGCTCGAACTTTCCGGCCACCTTGTCCCCTGCAAGATCCTTCACTAGTCGCAAGCTGGAATCACACCTTCGATCGACCCGGTCCGCGTGCAAGGATGCGAAGAGAGTGGTGTCCTTTACAGCTTCAGCTGAAGAGTGATATGTTCTATTTTGGGCAAGGGGGACAAACAAGCTTTCAGGGTCCGAGCATTCCCCGCCATCCTGAAACAGATGGCGCACGGCTCACGGCCTTGTAAGGCTTCCACGCGGATCGCAGAAATGGCCGGACTCGCAAATCACAGAGAGTTATCCAAACTCACCACGTTACAAAGATCTTTACTGTAGCCGTTTCACCTCTGGTTATGGCTTCAACACGCTTATAAGGTTATATACGTCGCCTTACGCATATCCCCCTGACTTGACTCTATTATCATATTTCGCCATGAAGCCTTCAATCGGCAGTCAACGCAGTACCCTACGGTAAATCAGTCTGTGACTCAGAGCGTACGATCCAGATCCGCCAGACGCCCGGCAATCCAAGCCACTGTTCTACAAGGGTGCGTAACCGAAGACATGAAGCCGGATCGTCTTGTCGCGTCTCAGATTGCACGATCGCAGCCCGCTGTCGGCCTGGATGCAAGTCATGTTGGTCTCCGTAACTTCCCCAACCGCCCGCTGCGAGATACGGTTACCCGGCCGAAAACCAAAAAGGCTGGGGCAAGCTCGCATCAGCACGAACAACCCAGCTCTAAGGACTACGTACCTAGGGTCTGTGATTTCATGGTTCACCTCCAGAGTGAAGTCAGAGATGCTCCGGAATCTGACAAAGTAGAACCTAAACGTCGTACCCGCGCAAGGCATCTGAGACAGTATGAGTCCAAGAGTTTTTGAAAGTAGATTGCGGGCTGCACTAACTATCTTGCCGGTGATACTTTGAATCTCTCCTGCCCTCGGCATCGGAAACTCGGCTTTACAGACGCCGTAGTGATGCGGAGCGGCGAGAGGGTTTGGGTCGTAGATTCCGAATCTGATGCCTAAATTTTTGGGGCCCTCTGGCCGTGTGCTGGGAGTGAAGATCTGCATGCTGAGGATGTCATAGTGGCCGAATATGTCTTGTTTCTCTATTGGAGCACCATCGATGTGATAGCTGAAGAAGGCCAGCCCGCCTACGATTGCAGTTATTAAGCGCATGTCGATGTAGAAAGAGGAAGAGACTTTCTCGCTCGTCCGCTGAGCGAAAGATATTGTCGACAAGATGACAGGAGAACGAAGGACGTAAGCGCCATGTAATATGGCCACTGGAGGGGCATCGCAGTCAGACAAACATGGTACGGACTTGAGGTCAGAATGACCTCTACAGCGACTCAGAGATATACAAGATCAGGACACAAACATCGGATCACACACAGCTGCTGGAATATAATCCCCATGAGAGTTGATCGGAGGCAAATCTTGCCTTACGCTTGACAGCGTGTAACGAAGGCCATCCAGATCTGGAGCTCCATATTCACAATCGGTCGCATAGCCGGCGTTCAACGCTCAGAGAATGTTGAAAGATACGGATACAAATCCCGCTTGCGTGGGGGGATCCTCTACAGACCGCAACATCTGGTCTTCATAGCCGCGCTGATTAGCACACGTACCTCCCCTCCAGCCAACGAGAGCGAGAACTGTGCCGGGTGCCTGGTGCGACCCGTTGCTCTTCCCGTCGTGGGAACACAGATGCGTGTTTATTGGCCTATGAGGGGTTTCGTACGGGCTTCATCACACAGGAGCCTTTAAGGCTGTCCTGCGCCCTTTAGCATGTGTTTCGAAGACACCATCGTAATCTCGACTGGCTAGCTGCAAGAATGTCGGTTGCATGTTGTTGGAATGTGATCGTTGTGGTTCCAATCTCGATGTTCGCAACAGTTGCCGATATCGGATAGTTAATTGCCGCCCATGCACGTGACATCCAGTCATCTGATCACGTATTGCTCATCCCGCGGTTTTCGCGACCGCGGTGACTCATCGCGTCTCCCAACCGAGTGACTCCTCATGGAAACTCAACACGTAGGTATATAGTCGTCGTCTCGCTGCAGGTAAGTGAGTTGTTTCTTTCTCATCGGTCCTCCAGTCTTTCTCAGTCTCACAGTTCTCTTTGCACCAACTCTGGAAAAACCACGATGGGCCAACGGCATAACCGAAAGCGCACGAGAAGTCGGCCTCGGAACCGCGACAGATCCCGCCAACTTCATTTTCGCGATACCTTAAGCACTTCAAATCATCCTCCATTTTCTCCGGTCTTTTTTACTCCACCGAGTGCAGTTCGGAACCTTCCAACGAACTCCTGGCAGCAGCAGTACACAGCCTGGCAAACCCGCATCCGTCAACAGCAGCAAGAGCAGGCCATGGTCGAGGCGCAGCGGCTCCGCCTCTTCGGCGGCGAGGTCGGCGAGGAAGCAAGTCTCTGTGCTCCGATGCTGCAGGTGGTCATGGATCTCTTCGATGGTATTGACTACGTGGATCCATGACTGGAATTTCGATGCGCCTTTTTCATCTCCACACCGCTTTTCAGATGCGCTCGGCATAGGCGGTGACGACTCGCTAGCGGAGGCATGCTCTGTACGCTTATGCTCTTCCGCCATCTCCACTCTTTATGCCAGGCACGCTGGCAGTCTCTGTACATACAGACTAAAGACTTCTCTCCCTTCATATCCAATCGAGCAGCCGGTTTCCGCTCCATGTACTATCATACCACCGCCTGCATGGCCTTTACTTCTTGCTTTCGATTCTCCACATCCTCGATGACCCCACCCACCACGTCAAAGGCATGGACATACCCTCGCTCAGGACTCGTAGCAGTGAACGTCTCAAGGGGCTGGCTTGGCTAGGTCAGAATTTCTTGGGACCGGATCGGTCCGCCGGAGCAAGGCCCTAGGACTTTGATGACTCGCATGTGCGGTGGATACTGGACAAAAATGGTGTTGGAACAGCTTGATGCGCGCAGGGCGGCTGGATGAGGAAGCCGCGCTGCTTGAGCGTCGCTGTCAGCTGGATGGGAAGCATGGGCATGCGGGTTTGGTGGTGGGATTATCGAGCATTCGTTTTGTTCTTCCGATTCGTTCTGGACTCAACGGCATATCCGGGGTCCTTTGTACCAAATGAAACATTTCGAACCTAACTTATGCTTGCATGTCCGTTTTTTTCGTTTCATACGTGCTCTCGCGTTTGATAGGGGTTTGCAAGTACGTGAAGCCCCCTGACCGATGAACAAGCACGCGAGTGACAGAAATCGCCGGACTCATAAACTACCGGACTCACAACCCGCTACATATGTTTATATAGCAGCATACTATAAAGGATTACGCCTATTTATGACCTCTATGAACTGACCGAAGACCTATCTGTTTCTTAGAGTCCGGCAATTTCTGTCACATAGGTAGGTGACAAGGTACCTCGGAGCTCTCGGCATGCCCCACGATTAGCGTGGCCTTGACCGCGGCTAACCCCGCAAAGCTTCAACTTTATATCACCCACCCTGCCTGAGCAGCTCCACGTCCAATACATACGCAACACACAGCTCGAACGCTCTGCAGACGAGACTAGGCCACCATAGCCTAGTTTGGCATCCACAATGCCCAAAAAACTCAAGCTTGCCGTGGCACAATCCCGCACCCTCGACACCACCGCCGAAACTCTCCGCGCCCTCGAAGACATAACACGTTCGGCCGCTCAATCGAGCATCGACCTCGTGCTATTCCCAGAAGCCTACCTTGGAGGTTACCCGCGGACATGCAGCTTCGGTGCCTCTGTTGGCGCACGTGATCCCGCCGGCCGCGAGCAATTCCTCGCTTACTTCCAATCCGCCGTAGACCTTGGCGATACGCCATTGGGGGCCGGCGATGACTGGACGGACAAGAAGCTGCCGATTGCTAAGGATGCCAAGTACAGGGGCGATGGAACACGGGAAGAGCTGGAGCGCATAGCCAGAGACACCGGCGTATTCATCGTGACCGGCCTGGTCGAGAAGGCGGGAGGAAGCCTGTACTGCGCTGTGCTATACGTGTGCCCCAAGCTCGGCATCTTGGGCAAGAGACGGAAGGTCATGCCGACAGGATCAGAACGGCTTATATGGGCTCAGGGCAGTCCAAGCACGCTTCGGGCGGTCACAACGACGATCCGTGGAGTAAAGCTGAGACTGGCTGCGGCCATCTGCTGGGAGAACTACATGCCCCTGCTCCGGTACAGCTTGTACTCTCAAAATGTTAACCTGTATCTGGCGCCGACGGCTGATGCGAGGGACACTTGGCTGCCTCTCATGCGAACCGTTGGTTGTGAAAGTAGGGCATTCGTGCTGAGTGCAAATCAATGCTTGAAGAGGAAGAACCTGCCAGCGTGGATAAGAGGCGGAGATGCGACTAAGCCGAAAGAATCGACGAAGAATGGAGAAGCCGGAGGTCAGAGTTCCCGTGGTAAGAGATGGTCCACAGCCACAATCCCAGAAGATGAGCCTGAATTCCGCTTACCAACAGCGGACGAAGCGAGTTCGAGAGCTCCATCGACAGCAGTTGTCGACGGCGACGCTGAGGATCGGGGAAGTGCTCCATCTGGTCGACGCCGAAAGTCCACTATTACAGAGACGCCAGACCGCCATGAGATCTGCTGGCCGAACCCGAAAGCAGCATCGACCAACGGCAGCACGGCTGACAAACCGGCACCATCCCACACGGGGACCCATCCGCTGAGCCAGTCAGTATCCGCGTGTGATGATTATGACAGACCGCTGCATTCATCTCCTGTGGCTCGCCGCAAGTCGATCGTCATAGAGACCCCTGAGCGTCACGACGTCTCGTGGCAAAGACCCAGATCTGCATCGAAGTCTACTGTGGAGTCCGCTGAGCAGCGGGGTTCCACCGATGCGGACGAGGACTATGTTTGTCAAGGCGGCTCATGCATCGTCTCTCCGTTGGGCGAGGTCCTCGCCGGCCCGCTCTGGGAGGTCGAAGACGGCGGGTTGCTGGTTGTGGAAGCGGACTTTGAGGACTGCGAGAGAGGTAGGCTCGATCTGGATGTTGCGGGCAGTTACTCGAGGAATGATGCGTTTAAATTGAGTGTTGAAGGGTTGGATCTCAGCCCCCCGCCTTAGTACATGGCTCATGTAAATTCAATTCAAAAATGATATTGTCTACCCAGGTACTTTTACTCTACCCACCAACGATATTCAAGTTACACCGTAAGATTAACCATTCGCACGGTCGTAAGAAATCACATCCCATTTCCAGCTTCCTCCATGCCTATATCGCAACATCGCGTCGTCTGTTGCGAATAGCCCGATGACTCGGAGTTTAGCTTTCGTTCACGATCAGATAGAACTGCGCGTCCTCACCCAGTTGATGATCCAAGGAACGAGTTCGCCCACCGCCAGACCTACTCAGAACTACTGCTAACCAAAAAGAAAAGAGTAAACCGCCCTCAAAAATGGCATCATGACCTCCAAGAGAGGTTCTAAGGCCCTCATAAGAGGCTCTATGCCGACAGACGCATAACCGTAGAGAAAGACCAAGCCCTTCTCGACCACGCATGCTACATCCACCTGGCGTGCGAAGAACCATCCGCATCCTTCGCTTCCCCATACAGACAGCATAGCCGCGATCATGGCCAGGGTTGTGATGATACGACCAAAGTATGCGAGCCAGAATAGCGGCGTCCGACGCCAGAAGAACGTGAGGAAGTGGATCGTCCAGGAGTCTTTGGAGCCTGCATCGTGGACGATACCGGATTGTAGATCGTTGCACCTTGCGCACTGCTCACCACACTGTGAGTAACAAGCGTCTTTCCCCTTGGCACGTTTCTCCTCGGTCCTAGCCTCGTGATTCCTGTGACGATATTTGAAGTCACCACAGCGAAAGGTAGGAACGATGTAGCTGGCGTGCTCTTGCTGCATATAATTTTAGCTTTGTCACATACAGCCGGTCAAGCTTGTCCTCACCCATTCATCCCAATTTGCTACCATTGACCCTGTCCACCACACGTAGAGCTTAGCTGCAACGTAGTCGGCGAGTGGTATACAGAGAGTCCAATGCAGGCAGAATCCGAGAAACAGTGGTCCGCATACAACCGATATGCCCCCGACGAGCAATCCCGCAAGTATTGAGCCGCGAGGGTCGAACGACGTCTCGCTCTCACAGGTCATAATGTACTTAATGAGAGCTTTGCAAATGGGCCAGCTCAGAGACCCGAACAGGAGCACCGGCCAGATACAGAGGCGTGGCTTCTCGGCAGGTTACGCCTTCTCGTAGTCCGGGACGTACTCATGATATGTCGGAAGTTGAGTTTTTGAGTCGAGTGAGGAGAGTTTCTTGGGGTAACCAGCCATTTTGTAGTGGGTAAAACATCAAGAGAATCTCAGAGGTAAGACTTTGAATGAACTATTGAGGGACAACGCTACTTATATCTATGCACGGCTCATTTTTGCAGAGACGGTCATCGAAGGGACCTACTGTTGGATCCAAGGTTTCAGAGGCTCCGCCTCCGAGACTTTGATGACTAGGAGGGGCACATCCAAGTATGAGGCTGCCGACTTACCCGTCTGTATGAAGGCAGCAATTGTCGTAGCCAGTGCGCAGTCTTCCATACTGAGAACAACGACGATGGACTTCGCCTGTGTCATTGAACCAAGGGACGGTCCTGCCAAGAATTTCGAAAACCATGGTCCGAGCGCACCTTCACGGAGGATTTGTTTCAGAGCGGCCACGCGACGTGTGGTATCGATTCGACTTCAATTGTCTCTGTCACCATTGACTACGGACCTAGCAACGCCGTGAAGTCTTCTTCCAGTTACATACAGGAACTTCAGGAATCTCCGGAAGATTGGACAGCCATCCGCACGGAACACCTATACCCGTTCAAGTGAACGTCTAAGGGCCAGCCGAAATGTTCGTCGCCGCATTGAAAGCTCCTCATAGTCCTGGAGGTGGACAGCCAAAAGGACACTTCACAGACTGAAAGCGCCTCAGATGATCGTTACACTGAAAAGCTGAACTGCTAGACATCTTTTACTCTCTATTGCATGAAATTGGTCCAGTTGCTCTATAACTGACAAGACGATGAATCTAGCTTAATGATGAACCCGATTGAAAAGCCACCAGCCGAGAAGTGGCAACAATCTTTTCGGGTGGCCCTTGGTCGAACCGACAGCGGAATCTGTTATCGATCAAGCAAGAAGGCTAAGCTTTTTACGAAGTGATCAAGCTACATTCTCACCAGGCTCTGTTTGAAGTTGTCACTTCAGCTTAATCAAGTCGACAGAAGCAGTTGTCGTAGTTGTCGATACCCATCATATAAATCTAGTACGTGTTTGGTACGCCGCTACTCTGCTATGTGCAACTATGAACTGCTCTGCCTACTAAGTTCAATTAAGTACCACTAAGGTATTCAAACTAAGGTTGCGGGTCTTTTTGTCAATAATGAAGCAATCTATGAACGGACTGTAGCCTTTAGGAGCCCCCTAAGCCGATGGGGTAGTTATTCATCGTTTACTGCGCCTTCCCAGGGTACCACGGTTCACAAACGAACGGCTTAAAGCTAAGCCTCCTGAGCTAAGTATATAATCTATCATAGACATCTCCACAAGCTACTCATCTTTCACCCCGCAAGATGTCCAAAGCCACCGAGATGCCTCCTTTCGTCCGTCCAAACGCTCATCGCGTGCAAGACCATGAGCATTCCGAGGTACCTAATCCGACCCAAAAGGCACGCCTTTGCATCTGGCCGCTGCTTCTGTATGGGCTTTCATGTGTGCCCCTCTATGTACCGCTTGTCCATTACATTATAACATGGCCACATCGCAAATTGCCGTACGTCCATGGCGAGACGCCCTTTGCCAACCTCCTATTGACTTATACGTCATTTTTTCTCGGACCTTACGGCCTACCTCCTCTGCTGCATCTTTTTATCTGCATTCCTATCGCCGACTATCTTTCAGCAAAGTTGTACTTGTTGGGAACCGAGTCAACAGTAACAGATTGGGTAAGCAGAACACTGGTTTAAGTTGATGATACGTAGTTGATGCTAATAGACTGTGCAGCAAGAGTGCGCCAGTCATATCATTCCGAGCTTTCGGCCGGGCTTTCGTCATCAAGTTCCCAAGGATAAGCGGGTCGATTGGCGGCAGAAGCAGGACAACCAAGCTCCTAACCTCTTCTTGAGCTTGCTTGGTTCCCTTAAATCCATGCTCTGGCAGACGCCGCTATACTGCATCAACTTCTTTCTGGGCTGGCTCAGTTCCCTTCTGTGGCGGACACCGCTGTACTGGATTGCATTTTCCTCCCGTACACTCCTAACCATGTCCATGGCTGCGGCTGTTCTGAAGGTCGTGGAAAGCGAGTGGTACTCGGGGTGGTTCACGCTTCTGGAGACATGGATCGCTTAGGCGCTTGGGCTGTCAGTGAGTAGACCGCAGGCCATAAGTTTCTTGTTCCCTGACAGATACTAGCCCAGATAGGTCTTGGCCTCGATGGAACGCGCGAGCTCCGACTATTTCTCTCATGCCATTTACAACAAAGACTGCGGGATGTCAACCATTCTCACGAATCTGAACAATGCTGGAGAAGAGACATTGTATGTGTGCATACGCCTATGCTTGACACATCGAATGAGAAGCTTGAATTGAAGGGTACCAGGTTTATGACGGCGGCAACATGTGAAGAAAACATTTTCATACTTCAAAGTTTTCACAGTACGACAATTTTCAAAAGGTTTCTTCGAGATCGCGGCAGAAGGCTCTACAGATACCGAAGGTTTTGTATTCTAGACTACTGTGACAGGGGAAATATATGATAGGCGGAAAGCCGTATAGATCGTTCAACTTGCTACAACTCGAACTCAATGCAGAGTCTGCCTTTCTTAATATCGCATGCCTAGGAGACTGGGTAATATATTCGTCAAGAGCACAAGTCATCTTCCAAATACCAGCAAGTACAGTCGAAAGACCCCAATATACCGTAAGTCGAAGCCATAGATTAAGCAACACCAGGGACGAGGTCGAAGTCACTTTCAAAGCGTTATCCGCCATTCTGCGTACAATCGGGCGGCATAATACACCACCATGTTTCACTGACAGAAAACTTCACGTACTTGACGGTGAAACTGCTTGATGGTTTAGTTTTACCACTGAGCAGGCGAAGGGGTATGTAAGGAAATACTCCCTCGAACTGCTTTCCCGTCCCAAACCCTCCACCACTCATCCAAAGTCTCGCATCTCACAAAACATGACTCCCAACATCCCAGCCTCCATCCGTGCGCTCGGTATCGAGACCTGCAGCCGCCCGCTAAGCCTCTTCCACGAACTCCGCTGTGGCCACATAGTCTGGACACCTTCGCCTTCGACCTGCGCAAGTAATTGCACCGACGGTTCCGAGATTGCGCAGCTCAACGCCTCCCGCTGGCGAGCCTGGGAAGAGGGCGGCCACGAACCACCGACGCTGATCTTCGACTTCGCGTGCCCGATCTGCGTTTACTGGGCGGTGAAGCGCGCCTTCCGCGACGGCAGGCGCGAAGCCGAGGCCGCAGAAGCGGAGGTGTACCGCGAGAAGGTCGAGTTCGGCCGGTTTTTTTATTGTCGTCAGCTTTTCGAGATCTATGAAGCGGGCTTGAGGAATGAGGAGAAGAGTAGTATTGTTGAGAGGGCCAGAAAGGTTGAGAAGCACGAGTGGAATCGCCAGTTCAGTGATAAGCGGAAGTGCCGGGCGGTTCTGACGAGTGATATGCCTGCGGAGGTCAGGGCCGGGTTTCTGGATTGTCAGGATGATTTTCGACACGCTTTCGAGTTGGACGAAGAAGGAAGAGTTTACAACGTCGAGACGCTGGCTGATGCGTTGGGAGACATGAGAGTCTCGGAGTCAGTCTTGGGAGACTTGACGCAAAGACTGATAGGACTGGGCGTGGCTGACTCTGGCACTGGCGGGAATGCGCATTGACGGCGGCTTGGAGCGCTGTTCTGATTATGGTTAACCTGGCGTTGATGGGTTAGTGTTGCTTTGCTTTGGCTTTCATAGCTAGTACAGAAAGAAACATCATACATATCACCTGATTATAGAATATTGCGTCCGTGATTGAACAGAGTTACCATCCCACAGTATCAGAGACAGCACGCTGCTTTTTCATAGGAACTGAGACAGATGCCCAATAATCTGACACTGTAATGCCCGAGTCACCTGAGATATCCTACATGCGGAATTAGTGCCTGTGATGGTCCAGCTTCGCAATGATCCCAAAACCATATCGGATATGTTACTTACCATGTTAATCCAGTGAGTCTCAAGATACTACAACCAGAATGAACCTATAAGAAAAACTCAGGCATCCCTGCGCATTGTATAATTTAGTGACATCGGAGCGCTTCCCATGCCTGTGTCGCCCTCTTTGTCTCAGACGCAAGACCCAGCACGTGAATCCGATTGTCTTTGCCCGCTTCCCCACCGAGCAAAGCACTCACTCAAGACACCATCAGCCGACAAACAAAGGACCACATGGCGCCTCTCCACCAGCAAAACCGTCTAGTGATGGCTTGGTTGGCTGCACATGACAAGAACGAGGACAACCCTTCAACAACCATCCACAGTATTTTCATCGGAGGAACAACAGCTGGCGCAGGATAGCTGGCGCAGGACAGCTGGCATCCATTGTACACGTCAGAATACTCTGATACTTCGAAACACTCACGAAGAACATCACAACACCATCGCTGCGAATCCTGCAACGACGCCCGGACAAGGACCACATCAACAGCCGACGCCATGACCACACAGCCATCCCAACCCCCACCGCCATCTGCGCAAAAGCCGTGTAACAGACCGCACTGCCTATCATGCTCCGATCACCTGTACGACCCGCAACGGCTGGACTGGCCCAAGGGTATATCCTTCGTTTACCGGAGTGATGAGTTTCCTTTGCCGGATTGCGGCGTGCGAAGTGGCGGGTTTGGGTTTCAGTCCCGGAGCGTGGCGAGCAGCACGATAGCTCGAGGACGAAGCAGTGGCGAGAGTCTAAGAAGAACGGCGAAGAAGAGCGTGAGGGAGAAGACAGGAGCGAAGAATGGAGCGGCAGTGGCAGCGGAGAGAGTCAGTAAGAAGACCGAGCGCGCTAGCAATGTCCGTACTTCGAGAGTGAGGAGAAATCCAGCAAAGCAAGATAGAAGGGACAAGAAACGACAAGTCCGATTACGGCTAGTGTCCAAAGATTCCGAGCGCCAGGGAGACACGGCGACCATTTCGGCGGCTGCAATATACGAAGAAGTTACGGCGGAAGCGGAGAAAACTCGGTGGAGGATCTCAGAGTCACTGCGGGAGGATTATCTCAGGATATCCGAAGTACGGAGGAGGACTCTGGATGAGAAGAGAAAGTTTTATCTTGTGTTCTCTAGAAGGAAAGCAGCAGCAAAGTAGCGCCGGGGTATTGAAGGATATCGAGATCCCAATACTGTGCATACCAAGTGTTTCCGCGCCGTGCACTGCGCGCTATGCCACTCCCATAGCCCGTCTGGGGTAACTCCAAACCTCTCAACGACTCCGTCTGTGTTCTTCTCCTACGCTGCGTAGTAATGATAGACCTGCTCAAACCTCCAGGACGTCATCCCCAAAGATAGCCATGCGCTCTACGATTTCCACCTCCTCACCCAAATCAGTCAGCTTGTTGAGACTGATAGGTACCGCAACCTCAGAGGAAACGCCATCAACAGTCAATCTGCCGCGGGTGAAACAAGCGACTGTTCGGTTTGGCGCTGTAACCGCACTCCCCGTTCGACCTGCCTGTGTGAAACAAGCCCCAGAAGATAACGGCGTAGCAAGTCCCACTGGTGAAGGTAGCCGGAAGGCAATCGTACGCAGATTTGACCGTCGCGGAAGGCGGGATTGACGGCAGAGCTCGGTACTGAGCTGGAAGATTGAGGTCGCCATCATCCCGCATATGTACGCTTGCATGTCTACAGTTGGAGCTGCTGCGAGGCCGGAGGCGTCATGGATATCTGAAGGGCTTGTTGGTATCACGAGTGTTGCGGGATTGATCTTCGCCAGGATTGGGCCCTGAAAGCTCGTCAACATGACAGCACGATACGCGGATCTCAACTAACAGGGCTCTCCGATAACTAAAAAACATGCGGAAATGAAGCCTGCAAGGCTCAAGGTCCGCCAGGTGGAGATAACTCACGAGATAGATTCCATCTTCACGTGTGAACTTTGCGTTCAGAAAAGGCTGCAGAGAAAGGCCGAGCTGTGTGATGTTCGCGAAGCGAGGAAGATATTTGCGTAGAACATCAATGTTGTAGTGTGCTGACGAGGGCTGACTCTCTCCGGCTTGGGAGTTTGAGCAATCTAGGTGGAGGGTCTTGAGGGTTATGCCGTGGCGGGCAATGTGAGCTAATGTCGGCAGCTCGTTCTGTCTCGGAATCTGTAGCCAGAGATGCTCAAGAGAAATTGGGGTGTTTCGGAGGAAATGGTCCACTGCTGGGACAGTATCGTTGGCTTCGATAGCATCAGCATCAACGACTATCACGAGGCTCTCCAAATGCGCAGGTTCGTCTAGGCGAGTGATCAGCAGAGTTCAGGTTACGTTTAAGCATATAGCCTTGACGTACTGATAAGCGTAGGATGATTGATTAGGCTACGCAAGAAACGACCCGTTCCAAGGCAGCGAACCAGTTCCAACTTCCGCAGGGCCTTGTGATCCAGCAAGGGGATCCAGCTCTTGTCACAAAGCGACAAATCGACATTCCACAGAGTCAACTGTGTGAGGTTGAGTGTTGCGTTCTTGATGGGCATAAGATGAGCGAATAGCAGTGTAGTGATTTGATCTACGCCCGGTCCTGAAGTGTTATTCCGCGGAGGGCTTGGTTCAGGAGCGAGCGTGCGGAAGTCGAGATGCAAAGCTGAGATGCGACGGTTCTTGAAAAGGATATAGATGTGCTGAAGGCCTTCATAGCTGTTCGGCGTAATTCGGACGTGGTTGACGTGCTCTACGGCTTTGATGGCGTTGCTTGCGGCTTTTGGGCCATGTGACCAGGTTCCATGATAGAACTCGACGTTCCTGAGATTATTCTGAGCGGACCAGAGCACTATGGAACTGCCGTGCGGGAAGTTGAGCTCGGATGGCCAGCTGGTAGAGCGCAAGAATTAGCCATCGTACGTAACGTTTTGATGTAAGCAAGGAGTGACTTGCCTGAACCATGTCAGCTGGTGGTCAGGCAGAGCCCTGATAAACATTTGACCGACATTGTGGACACCTGGCGAGAGCTTCGCTGACGATTTGCGGACGTAGAATTCCAGACTCTTGATGTACTTCAGTCCTCGATTGCGCTCATCAAGCATGGCGTAGAGGTATATCTGAGAGTGAGGGTAGTCGTCCAGCGGTATACGCAACCTCTCGTATAGCGGAGGGACCAGGAGAGTGTAGAGCCTGCGGTTGACCTGAGATAGCGCGCTTTGGTGACATTTCAGACGTAGCTGCGCCTGCGGTTAGCAGTGCGCGGTTCCAATTTAGAGCTTGCGGCGTGCTGGGAAACTGACGAGGTCGAAAATCCTCAGTGTTATCGGTCCGTAGAGGCTCCCGAACGATGCTCGCTGGCGATGTACCGCGATGGCTGAGGCATGTGGTTGAGATGAGTGGCGCGACAATGAGCTAGACAAGGTTGACTCTTTGCGCGATGGCTCTGGAGTAAGCACCAAGACTTCCGTCGTGTGGTTCGCCGTGTGCGGATGTGGAGTAGTCTGTGGTGCAGCCGGCAAGATATCGTGGGATGGTTCTGGTGTGAGCACGAGCCAGTTAGAAACAGAGGCCATCGTGTTCATGTGTCGAGAGTAAGAATTGATAGGGGAGTGCAATTGTTCGTGAGGATGGAAAGCGATGTCAAGCTAGGTGGTCAGATCAAGATTGTCTTTAGGAGGGAATGGAGCGAGATGCTGGAATGGCGCGAAGAGACAATGGATTGTGCCGAGCACAAAGAGCGCGCGATGTGTGAATGAGAGCACCAGAAGCGCGTGACCCGTGGCGAATGAATCACAGTGTGAAAGCGACCGGGGATCGATAAGGCGACTCGATGAAGGGACTTGAAATCACGAGTTGAAATGGCCTCTACAATGGTGGCCGGGTATCATGGGAGCTCTATCTCAACCGAAACCAACAAAGGAGCAACATTACCCATGATCTACGTGAAGCACTTGTCCCACTTCCCCCCGTTCCTTGCAAACTCCAAGCTGCTTACAAACGCATCAAGCGTGCATCTGCCCAGCCTGTCCGCACCGCACTGCTTAAGCGGCTGCACTCGGTCATTAACTATAACCCGAACCAGCTCCTTCTTCTCGCCTTCACACTCCATCTTCTCCACATACATCCTCGCCGCAAAGGGCACCGTCCACGCGGCGCTGTACCCACCGTTCGTCTTTGCTGAATCTAAATGATCAAATGCGAGCGGCTTGGTGTCGTTGTAGAGACCCATGGCACTGAAGATGGTTGTCATACCATTATCGTGACCAAAGTCCGCAAAAAGTACATGGCCTTTCCCAACCGGGAAGGTCTTCGTGTCATCATCTAAGGTGTGATTGACGGATGTAACATCCTCGACTGGCGACGCAGTCATCCTGGCGATCAGTTCGTTGACCCAGCCAACGCCCTGGGTCGGTCCCAGAGTGGCTCCGTGACTGAAGGCGTAGTACGTATTGACCGATTTGAAGTAGGAGTACTGCTGCCATTCCTGCTCACTGAAAAGATAGCAGAAAGGGGAGATCGCACCCGTCGGCGAAGCGACAGTCTCGAATGGACAAAGGTCCATCAACAGTACTATGTCACTTAGTCTCAGGTTAACACTGTCAAGGCCTGGGAGGTCACGATGCAATCGCGTCCAGATAGGCGGTATGAACACAGAAGCCCAGGTCTCTCGAGCTTCATCGCTTATGCTCCTGTTTCGACGCTCGTATGCATCGCAGAGATTGTGGCTTAGGGTAACGTTGGGCCCCTGATTCTTGTCGAGAACGACAGGACTGTACGGATAGTCTCCCTTTCGACTGGCGTCTTTATCATGGCGCATCATCTCGTGGTATCCTTGTGTGAAGTTTTCGGCAGACACTATGACCCGGTGTGAGACTGTGGTGCGTATGAACAGTGGATTCTGCCCGGCAAGGGCCCCATAGCGATTGTAGAATTTCGCTCCGGAGTTGAACATCTGCTGTTGCCCAAAGACGGAGAGCTGCTCGGCGCCCAGACTGTACTCGTAGTTCTTTAGGAAGGAGTACTTCCCCTTGAAGCTTGTGACGCTTCTCTGAATATTGTCCACCAAGACTTTGTAGAGGGCCGTCTTGTAGGTTGTAGGGTCGCGCGCTCCATGACGGGAGAGGACTTGGGCGAATGTAACGCGGCAGCCGTGCGGTATCTCGTCGGAGATGTCCGAGGGGACGCTGAAGTACGACGAGTACTGGCCCCAATGGTGCGTAACGTTCGGCCTGCATTGGTAGCCGTTTTCTAAACTGTCGCAGGTGTTGCGCCCTGGAGCCGCATGGCTCGAGCTAGAACGTTAATTGGAGAAGTTCGTGCGGAAAAGGCTCTGAGCTTACCGCGACAATACCGTTAACAGCAGAATGAAGACCGAAGAGGCAACCACGACCATGATTGTCGATCGTCTGACTCTTCTCCCTACAGATACTGGGAGCTCGTTTTGGGGCGGCCATGAGGACTCCCTGGGAAATGTCTTATATGTAGGAGGCTGAGTATGCCCACGACTCTGGGGGCTAGGAAAGTGAGAGCCCAACGCCATGGCTCTGGATGCGGTACCAGTGGTTGCCGGTTGCAAAGGGCCGTTGCTAGAGGGCTACCGACTACGGCTCTCTCAACCGAAGGGGAGATTGCCCAACATGGTCAGCACAGCAAAAGAGGCAGAGCTAGCGACAGTAGGATACCCCATGCTGTAGGCTATCATGTGGTGTGGGAGAGCGAAGAACCATGTTTCGCTGTGGACCCTGGTGACGCCAAGCCAGCACGTGGCAGGCAGAGCCGCTCGGGTTGCTTCCGAGGAACGTTTGGCGAAAGCTTGATTCTACGACAGAGCAACCTAACTACTCATTCGAGTCATACTCTTCCACATGGTTTAGATATACATAAGATCTTATACAAGATAGTTGGTACTCCTGTCCTTATTCACAATGTAAGAACCGGCAGCTAGTAGGAAGAAGCCCTGGATACCACCAGTGGGCCCAGAGTCAGTTGCTGCCATCACCCACCAAAATACGTCGAGAGTGTAGAGAGAGGATATCTAGTCCAAGGACTTCGAACCGGTTCTCTGTCACGAATCCCCAGCTCTCTCCGTCGAGAGGGACCGGATAAGTCAGCCTTAGAAGGATGCAGGCAATGCTCCATGATTCAATTCGAACACGTGATCGCAAGCACAAGCATCCTTCGATTCAAAAGCTGAGAGAGGACAGATTCAATGGACTGGAAGCTAAAATCATAGTTGGAACTTGCATATTCTGAAACCCCTTTATTCCTGCCTTGAAGCCTTGGCGGCGCAAGGCGTCGCGCTTCTACCGCAACGGTGTCGTTACCGGATCAAGCATGAACCACAATAACGCAGCGACCTCTTCAACAGTGCTCCGGACAGCACGAATGCGAAGCCATCGTTGCCGCAACACCAAACCGTGACTGTCCGTCGCTGTCTTTCTTTCCACACTCTCAGAGGCGGACGTATAGGTCCTAGCTTCACCGCATCAGTACGCCACACGCGTGCGCATATCCTATTGAATTGTCAGCACACGTCCCAGAACCAACCTCTCAATCACGCAGACTCACCGCAATCTTCCTCTCCACCTCCCTAACACTCCGATCCAACTCCCCCGCAATCCTCTCCTTCGCATCCCGTCCCAACCTCGCATACCTCTCGCAAAGATCGCCATCAATAACCCCCTTAACAGGAACATAATAGCTCCTATAGATCAAATGATCCCTGCCCGCCAGCGGCGCATCCTCCGCCCTCAGATGCCCCTCCAGACTCTGGAAGAAATCCACATCCTCGCGACTCACAAACGGCACCAGAATCCCCAGCGTGCCCATAAGCCCGCCCCACAGCAGCACCTCGCGGCCACCAGGCACCAGCGCCGTCTTATGCAGCGCGGTCGGTATGTCCTGCGTGAAGAAATGCACCATGAGCTCGAGCCTGTTGCTCGTGCCCTGCAGATACCCCCTCTCATGCACGAGATGGGCGCCGCCGCCCTCCTCGTCCGCCGCCTCCGAGGCCTTGGCGGGGCACCGCAGCGCCCACAGATTGCCGAACTTGTCGCCGCCGGCCGTGGTCTCGTAGTCGAGCATCGTGGTCGCGGTCGTGTAGCGCGCGATGGTGTCGTCGGCGAAGGGGATGAGCGTGTTTTCGGCGAATTTGTAGACCACATAGGTTACGGACTCGCGCACATCTGCGACGATGATGCGGGACCCTTGGGTTTGTAGGTCGACAATTAGATTTGGCACGACGGAGAGGCATTGCGACTTGCGGAGCAGCTGTTTCATGCCGAGGTCGTAGATCTTAAGATCTGCGCCTACGCCTGCAAGGAGGCGGCCCTGGAAGGGGAGGAGGGCGAGCGGGGGCGCATCGGTCTTGGTCTTGTGGATGAACTCAATAGAGCGCCCGTTGTTGTGGAAGCGGTAGACGTGGATGAAGCCGCAGGTGAAGCTGCGTGGGGATGTGACCATGTCCTTTCCTGTGCCGACGACGAGGAAGGTCTCGTTGTCTTGGGAGGCGAAGCTTGCAATGCACATGCTTACTGCTGCCTCATTCACGGCTGCTTGGCTCACAACTGCTTGGTTCACAGATGCTCCGTTTACGGCTGCTTGCTTCGCAGCTTCTTCGATCTCTTCCAGCTCTAGGGTCTCGAGCACGGATTTGGTGGTTACGGGGTCAACAACTTGGATGCAGGATGCCCAATGGCCTTTGCCGCGCGGGTAGCCGAAGTCTTCTGGCGGCAGTACGGCAGCGTCGCCGTTCACGAGGGCGGGGTCTGCGAGGAGGCGCCGGCGTGTTGAGGGGGCGAGGACATTCGCGTCAGATGAGATAACGTAGAAGAGCGGATGATCAGGGTGTCGAACGAAGTGTCGGGGGGTGTAGCAGAGGGGAATGGTCTCCTGGAGGAGGTTGTTGGATAGCTTCTCTACGTTAAAGATCCTACCAGCCACGCTTATTAGTAGTTGTCGAAGCGATAGCTGGAAACGAGAAGGTGATGTGGGTTGAGCTGTTTCAGTAGGAACAATTGGAGCTATTTTTATCCTCACAGATGATAGGATTCTTGATTACAGGTGTTCATCATTTGAGCTTCGAAGGGAACGGAGAGAAGTGAACTGTAGACGTACCGTAAATTCTGAGCCTGGATTCCAACCATGCCTTCAGTGCACTGTTCACTGCTGAAGCTCCATCCCCACTCAAGTGGCACGTAGTCGAGTGGCGTTAGCATGAAGGACTTTGTTTGCGGCTCCGAGTAGCCAAGCCATGACCGAGAACTCAGCGCAAGCACAGCAGGTTGACCTTGAACAGACACACGGAAGAGCTTGACAGGACGCGGTCCGAGAAAGCGTGTGCGGGTGTCCGAGAGCTCGCCAGTCACCTCGTCCAATACCGTGCGTAGGTAGACGCCAGAATAGAGACCAATGTGGAGATATAGAGTAGAGCCACCGGACGAGGAGTCGGCCATAGGCATGATGTTCAGTGAAGAAGGAGCGGCAGTCAGGGCTTGCACAGACTTATTCTCCAGAGTAGAGTCAGGGTCAAGGCTGAGGATGCGCACAGTGGAGTCGTCACATCCTACTGCAAGGAACGCACTTCGCACGCGGCCTGCAGGCACCTCACCCAGACTCAAGCAGGTCACTGTACCACTCATCTCGCGCTTCTCGTCATACTCAGCAAGTGAGCCGTCAACATCCATCTCGAAGTAGACGATCTCGCCTGAGCTGAGTGCGACTGCGACCTGGCGCTCGTTGGTCGTAGCGGCAACTATTGATCGATGCTGCGGAGCAGGCCACTCGTTGATTCGGCCTCCTGGTCGGATGTGCCTAATGCCCTTCGGATGAACTTGGACCAGCGCGTCCTCGCCAAGAAGCTGTACTGCTAACGTTGGGGCAGAGGATAAGAATCCAGTGTCGGTCACTTCTTCCACGGTCTCGCCGATGCTCAATACAAGCGTACCGTTGGCGAATGAAAGGACGATGTACGCATCGTACTGGTCTTCCCTGTTTCGCTTCGTCGTCCACACGGCGGATGGCATGCTGGGCAGTTCCGATTCAACGATCTCGGACACAGATAGGCCATGTTTCAGTGTCTTGAAGTTGCTTCGTGCACCAGACCCACAGATGGAGTAGATTTGAGGGGCATCCTCGTCGGTCAGGTTGGCGACTTTACAGCTCATCATCGGGTTCATCGAGTCTATGCTCTGTACCAGGGCGACATTTTCGGCAGATCGCGGATGGAAGTAAGCCGGCTCGTAAGGTTCTGTCGGATCCGCCGGGAAGTTGTCGCTGTCAAAGACCTCCTCGTTGTCGTCGTCGCCGAGTTTCTCAAACTGGTAGAAGTGGTGAGAGCCGGCCTCAGCTGCAACGAAAAGGAAGCCGCTCTTCAAGATGCAAAGGCTCGACGCAAGAGGGACTGTATCGAAGTACTTGATCTTCAGTCTCGCAACTTCGCCGGTCGGCTGACCGTTATCGTCCTCAACCATGTCGATCGTGACTTTGAAAAGGTCGCCATCTTCAGACTGCAGCAAGAAGAAGAAAGTCCCTCTCATCTTGTGCATGACGCCAGCCGTGATGTAACGCTTGCGCTCTGGATCTTCGGTGGCACCTTTCCGTCGAGGTATGGGCACTCGGAAAGCCTCTTGATTTGCGTGTCGGTATGTAATGCTCTCTTCACCACAAACGAGAACGCCGCTAGGTCCATCCGTGCCTCCCGGCACTTGGAAGAGCATATTCGCTGTGCGGTCCACAGTGTCCGTCCACTTTCGAACAACATGATTCAGACCAAGGTCGAGCTCGTAGAAGACTAGTTGCTTATCCGCATTCTCATATGCTCGGCCTGTGGGATCTTGGTCTGAGTCACCGTAGTCCAGTTCGAGTGCAGCGAAGATTGGATTCTCATAGCCAACATCCAAGGCGATCATCGCAAAGACCAGCGTCTGGTTCTTGTGCGCCTCCAAAGGCGAAGAGATGGTGAGTTCTGCCTGCGCATTCCGGTTGAGAACGTAGACGAGCTTGTTCTTCTCCACCGAAGCGATCATGCATGCTCGGCCTTTGGGATCGGCGGCAAGATGCTGGCCGGGTATAACTCGTCGTACGCCAGATTTGCCGAATGTCTCGAGATGAACGCGGTTAAATCGGTTTTGCGCCGGGACGTACTCGATTATGGTGATTCGTCCGGAGTCGGAGCCGATGATGATATAATCTGTAGACCCTCAGCGCATGTTACCAAAAGTAACTGTGTGCTCGAGCGCCGCATACAGGTCACGGGGCGCGGTAGGCGGGTGGTCGTGCTGCTCGGCGTGCTTCGAGAATCACTATATGCTCAAACGAGGGGTATATAGATTACATACCTTTATTGCTGCCGGCGAGCCTGAACGCAGCTAGTGACCGGATGATTCCAAACACATCATGGGAGAGCAAGGTCGTCAGATTGCCATGAGTTGCGTCGGGTCGCTGGAGGGTCAGCCGCGAGCCAGACGCTGTGACTATCTGCTGCTCTTTGGTGCCAGCGAACTGGCCTAAGATAGCCTGGGTGACAGCTGTGGGAGGCTGGATGGTGAGAGAGTACATGAACATAGAGGACGTGGTCGCCATGATGGGTGGGCTGCTCGTTGCTGTCGGCCACAGGGCCTCGAGCGCGTCGTCGGCAGAGTTGTATAAAGTGTCACGAGAGCTCGTTCGAGCTGATGAGTGATTCTGTCGTGAAGAGAGTATATTGAGTGAGCAGATGAGCAGGCAAGCGGTGGAGGTGGATTAGACGGAGAGGTAGTGGTGTGTTTGATAGAGGTGGTGTTGGCGGGAAGAGAGCTGTGGTGAAGCTCAAATTTTGGCGCTCGCCTCTGATTGGCTGAACGTCAGCAGTGCAGCAATGTCATCAGATGCTGGCGGCGTCCACCAGAGCTTCAAATATCGACAACAACCTGGATAATGCGCTCTCGATACACCTGCCAGCAGTGTCTGGCTACTCTCGGAGCGACTCTGAGGCCCAGGCCGCAGTTGGTCCAGCAGTGGCCCGCCGCTGGTCGAAGATGGCTCAGCAGTAAACCCCCGACGCCGGTAGCGGCAGCGACTCAGGCCGTGAACAGCAGAAGGAGGCTGTCGTCGCTCGAGGCACAGCGTCAGACAGCGCCGGAAGAACCCCTACAATATCCCTCGCCAGCCGGACTCGAGTACACGCCCGCGCCGCAGACTAACAACCGCGTCCTCCTCCAGCCCGACAACCTCTTCCACCCTTTCTCCAAGTCTCCCTCGCCCGACATCCGCCGAAGAGCAGCCTTCATCAAGCAGCACGCACTATGTCCACACCCCTCCCACCAGCAGACCCGCCAGCCCACCCAGCCCGATGACCGAGAAGCCCTGAAACCCGCGACAGGCGGCCTTCCACCCACCCACGTCCGCTTCGAATGCCTGGACTGCGGCATACCCACATACTGCAGCGAAGAGCACTGGGCAGACGACTACGAATCGCATCTTGAGATATGCGAAACTCTCCGCCAGATCAATGAAGACGACCACGATCTGCGCTCCGGCCGCTTCTTTCCCGAGTTCGAGTACCCCGGCCCGCAGATGGAGGAGGCGCTTGTGAACATGACAAACTGGGATACGTTCTTGTACAGCAGGGAGTTCAGGGCGATTGATGACGACCGAAGCCTTCGCCAGGCGACCCGGCTGCTGACATACCCCGTTACCATCGGTAGTATACTGCATGAGCTCTCGCCGTACAACATCAAGCGGGGCGGTCGACTGACAGTCGAGGGCCTCAAGAGCTTAAGCGGTAAGTTTCTAGCATAACTTTGCCTTTCGTCCGGCCACTCGCGCTAATGAGAGTGCAATCAAGCTCTCCGATACACACTCCATCCCCCCCGCACAGGCGCCGGCCCCGACATCAAAGGTCTCCGTCCAACCCCACCTCCCGTCCGGCTTTTCATCCTCGGCGCCCGCGCTGAATCCTCCCTGCCACGCGAAGTCTGGATCCAGCTCTCGCACCTCTTCCCGCGCGTCTCGCTGCACCTCATCTTCATCGGCCCTGAATCAATGGCAAACCGCGATGCCGAATTCCCTTTGCCACCCCGCACGCCCAGCAACCCCTTCGGCGCCATCGTCGAAGACCGCATCAGCAACCAACTCAAGATCAGCACCTTCGTTGAGTACTACCACACGCTGCACCAGGCGGGGGTCTTCTACCCCTACGATCCGTACTTTGACGCGTTTATGCTGTTTCACCCCGGCCTGGGGCACCCCGCCAGCGCGCACGAGTGGGCGGAGACGCTGCCGTTGTTGCTCGAGACCAAGGTACCGATCTTAGCGACGGGGTATACGGAGTGGGATATGCAGCGGGATCTGAGCTGGGTGAAGGAGAGGATGGGTGGGGAGGTGGACGTGTTGCTCGAGCCTGGGGAGAATAGGTTTAGGAGCCTCCGGTGGGATTTGAATGATTTGGATCCCCAGGATGTGAGTTGTGGGAATTGGGGGGTGTGGGGGTTTAGGGGGAAGAGGTATGAGGCAACGAGGAGGGATGAGGAATAATGGAGCTTTTGCGGGAGAGTGCAGCTACATGCGGGGGCAGAAGAGGGGTTTGAGCTGCGTGTGTATGTTGTATGTATAGACTTGACCCGGCTCAACAGTCTGCCCGTGTCACCGTAGGGTCCACAATGCATGGATTGTAACTGTATGGCATTCAACGCTTCCCTGCCTTGTCCACAGCGCTCGGAGCTCACTGACCTACCTAGTCAGACGCTTCTCTAGTGATGTGTATCGGAATCGACGTTTTGTTTCTACGATACAGCTTAAGGAAGCAGATGATGTTGAGTCATTCTTAAGATCCGAACTTGCTTCTAGAGCTCCCGCTTCAACTCTCCATTAGCCTTGATTGCCTTTTGAATGTCCTTTTCCACAGCTTAAGCTCGTTCGGAGACCCGGGCGTTCTCCCCTTTCGACGTTCTAGCCTTCTCATGTTGGTGTGGTGCGTCGTTCGCTATACGCAGCTTCTTTGAGACCTGAATGTTCTTCGCCTCCAATGGGTCCGTGTTGCCTAAGTAGCTTCAGATTCTTTGCCGGTGTTGTTTGTTGAGTTACTCAGTTTCTTTCAACCTTGCCTCTATATGTATCTACATGCAAGAGCAGCATAAGTTCTATGCGATTCAGAATGGCCGGGTAGTCATGACGTTGTCGAAGGGCGTTATCGTAGCAAGTCGCCAAAACCTCGAGTGATGCCACGTGGTGAATCCGTATATTTGCAAATTCAACGGCGCGTTGTTCACGAACACACGATTCACGAGACACAACTATTCACGAGCGTACCAAAGAATCTTTTCATTTCGGTTTCATTGAATTTTCCCACAAGCGCAAAATGCTCACGTGCTGTTAGGATGTCGAGATGCACCGCCAATCGCGCACGCCCTCCGTCACAATATATTCCGCACTAACACCAACGAAGATCTCCCCATCCTCCCACCGGGGGTGCCTACTCTTCCACCGCCCTCCCCTTCCCCTTTCCCTTGCTCTCGCATTTCTTCTCCTCGCCCTCCCTCTTCATCTCCTTCTCCTTCCCCAACCCCAACAACCTCGCAACCCTCTTCCCCACCGACCTCGCAAGATACACCCCCTCCGCCTCGCCACACCCCGGGATCTTCCCCTGCGGGGCCCAGTCCTTCTTCCCCTTTCCCCATCCGAGCTCGTCGCACCCGTGCTCTCGCTCTCTCTCGGGCTGACCTCCAGCGAGCTCCCCGCCCCTGCCCCTGAAGAGCCTCTCGGACTCACAGAGGCGGAGGAGACGGAGGCATAGGTATCCGAAGCGCGCTTGATGGCCCCCGTGCCGATTGCTTTGGGGACCGGCTCGATGGCGTCGACGATCACGCCACGGCCGGCGAGGGTGGTTGTCATGCCGCGCGCGCGGATGGTAGGTGGGAGGGCCGTGGGGACGGTGGGTGCCATTTTTGTTGGGTTTGGTAAGGAGAGAGGGATATGGTATTGATGATGACTTTCTGCGGTGATGATGGCGGATTGGAGGTTGGGTTGGATGGTTGGTGGAGAAGGAAGAACTGAGAGGAAGAGGAAGAAAGGAAATTCTATGTAGGCCACGATGGGTTGGGGGTAAAAGGAACCATGGATTTGGTGTCGCTATAGAACGGTAGCGGAGGAAGAGAAACATGGGTCAATCTGGCCACGTTGAGTTTTGGAAATAGACTTATTGTGGAAAATGGGTAATGGACACGGCCATTGGAGGCCTTGTTACTGTTATGGCTGAGTTTCCACACGTCGACTGTAGCGGTCACTTGTGAACGGGGCGGACACTTCGCCTCCACGCAGTCACTAGTGAGGAAGCTTCGCTGTCAGTGAGCACATCTGGGTTCTAGAAAGGGTATCATCACTACATGATCTGCTCAACAAGCACACTAAGCACTCAATCACCTATTCCCCCTCCTCCCACCCTTCTTTTGCCTATCAATATGCCCTCTCAGCGCCTTCCTTGTATCCACCAAACTCCTCTTGCCCTTACTCTTCGCCTTGCCCAGCGTCATCAAGAAATTCTTCTTCCTCGCCTTCTCCTTGTTCGTAGTGCTCTTGCCTTCCGCCTCCTTCTTCGACTTCCGTATCGCGGTCGTGGAGTGGTGCTTTTCGTCGCGATCACCTTTCGCCATGGCTATCTTTTCGGCTTTGGAGGTCTTCTTCGCGAGCGCTGCAGCGGACTCGATTTGCTCGGAGGTTACGGCATCGTCGGCGTGACGTGCTATTTCTGCGGCTTTGCGGCGTTTGTTGGCGGGCAGGAGATTGTTGATGCCTTGCGCCATACGAAGCTCGTTCAGCTTGGCCAGATCGGCGGGTGTCAGGATGCGGGTCGTCGCAAGGGTGGAGATCCGTTGTGCTTCGACGGCTGCCTTTTCTTGCGTGCTCTCGCGCTGCTCGCCATTACCGGCGGAAGGCGTGCCATCTACTTTCGCTTTCTTCGTCGGTCGCTCGTCGTCATCGCTGTCGCTGATCTCGATGTCTTCTCCGTCACTTTCGACGTTGATCCAGCCACCGGAATCGTCGCTGTCGCTATCCGACTCGACATCCCAATCCTTGTCATCTTCCTCGTCGACCTCCTCGTCCGTCGCTGCATCAGGCGGCAAGCCCTGCTCAACCCGTTTCTTGCGTCGTTCTTCCGCCTTCCATTTCTCAAGCAGCTCCAGCCCCTCAATCCCGCCCGCCTCTTCCTCGCCGAACCTCTGGGCCTTCTGCTCGCCACTCCTCAATCCCATAGCAGCGTCCTTGCCGCGGTCCCGCTTCTTTAGCATCTCTGCGCCGACTTCTCGGTACAGCGACAGCAGTCCTTTCGCTGCCATCATGACACCCTTGTCTTTGCTCTTGCGATACATGACCAGGTCTTGCAGAAGTGTCTCGTTCATCGCCAGAGGCTGCCGCACGCAGATCTCGCGAATGGCATTTAGGCCTGCCGCACAGACTTCTGCTGCCACGGCCTCTGTCACGAACTCATCTGAGATCTTGCGAACAAGCGGCTCAAGGTCTTCTGGCGGAACGAGGTTGTGGGTCGATTGTGCGAGGCAGGCGAGAAAGGAGGTTACGGATGGTTGGCGGCGGGTGAGATACTTGGTGAAGTAGGAATAGAGGCTTGTGATGGTGAGTTTATGGAGGCCAACAAGGCGGGAGACGAGGTTGAGGACGAGAAGCTTTTGCTCGAGGTTGAGCTTCGATTTCGAATTTTGGAGATGCTTGGAGAATAGTATTTCGGCAAAGCCTTGTGGGTCGTGTAGCAGGTGTAAAGCAGAGAAGTTGAGGGGATGCGGCACGTTCTTCTTTCGCTCCTTTCTCTTGACGGTCGCTGCTGCCTTCTTCAGGTCCTTCTCCTTCTTGCGGGTCTTCTTATTGATGCCCGCTTGGTGCCGTAGCGATCTCATATCGATGGTGTCCTCCTCGTCACTGCTCTCCTCGGCGGCTTCTTCGCGCTCCTTGTCACCACCAAGGAAGAACCGCACGCCACTCGTTATGACCTTCTCATTGTCTCCCAAGCTAGCCTCCTTCATGATCTCAACCGCTCGGGAGTCGGTCCATATCTGCCTCTTCCACAACTCTCGAGTAATCTTGACCGCCCATATGCCCTTTGAAGAACTCCGGTCGGAGGTGAGAAGATTATAAAGCTCTTTTTGGACATCACGGTTGAGGCGATGATTTGTGGTCTTCGCATTGGAGGAGCGGAGGTCGGAAAGGATCTTGGTGAAGAGGAGCGCGCGAAGGGACTTGCTGGGTGTAGATACTAGGATGGGGAAGAGAGTACCAAGTAGACTAAAGGCGGAGTCAGCAAGCCAACACACACTACCCTAGTCTCCCAACTACGTACAGTGAAGAATCTATGATGTCCTTATTCCGCAGAAGTACCAAGCTGCCCACGATCTTCTCGCGCAACTCCGGCTCAAGTTCTGCATGGTGCTGCGATATGATCTTGATAAGGTCGTTCGGAAATTCGGCAGTAACCTTAGGATAGCAGTCCGCTACATGCGATATGAAGTCTATCTGGTCCCGAAACGACACCAGACCACTCTCATCTGACTGTGCGGGGTTCTGCAGAAACAGTTCGCGGAAGCTCTCATAGACTCTGTACTGGTTTCCGAAGTCGTCCGCATACGAGCTGTGGAGTCATTAGCTCGGCCCCCAATGTATGTTTCCATGCGTAGACGTACGGCGGGTCTCTTCGGATTTTGTACTGCAGATTGGGTCTGCAGGCGCATTAGCTACTGAACGGGATAGCAAGGGTCTACGAACTCACAAATCTGCATCCACCTTTTCCAGGGCTCCAACTTTGCGCTTGACCATCGTGATGGTAGTAGAGTGTTCTTCTGGTGGCGAATGATGCTTCAATGTTCGCACTTAAGTACTGCTTGCTAATGATTTTCGAGCCGCGCCAAGATTTCGCGAATTCTGCCAGCAGCGGAGGCGGTGAGAGAGAGACCACCCTGTCCCAGCCTCAACGCCGCTCCGCGATACACTACGGAGAATCTTCAGACATTGGATTCCCTGGTAAGCTGGACAGCTGAACTCGTCAGGCTTGCTTAGAGCTGGCCTGTTGGTGTGTCATTTGCGGATTTTGGTGCCCAATCTACTTGATCGGTAAAGTCATATGCGCACTTTTAAAGTGTCGTTTCATCCGTGAGTGTAGCAGAGACCAGATACAGACGAAAAGATCTCGAGCACTCCTCTCGCTGAAAACATTGTCGGTATCAATGGAGCTATCTAATGAGGATCGCTCCTCAACGGCTATCGGATTGAACTTTTGCTAGCCGTCCGCTCACAATCGCCACGTCAGCCGCAACAGTCTTGGGACATGGTTCAGAGCGTCCGAGGCAAGAAATCGAACACGTCCCAGCACTTTGCCTCTACCTCAGCTCAGGCACCGCTCCCCAGTCGGGCAAACCCACCCTCTTCTTCTTCTTCTTTATGCCACTTGACTTGGCCTCGTCGACTTGCATCTTACTTAATCCGTTCGTCGCCTTCTTGATCGTGTTCTTTCCTTCGATCATGCTTTTATCCCTGGCATAAATCTGTAGTGCCCGCAAATGCGTATCCTTCCCGTTCTGGTGATTCTCCATGATTTTAACCTGCAACAAGAAGGCTCTCAGCACCGGCATCCTTCGTCCTTCGCGTCTCTGCTGCCTCTCCTCCTCATCGACCATGATGTCGTCAGCATCTTCATCGTCGGAGTCCGACACATCGATCGCGGCGCCCACGCCTTCAAAATCCACGTCAATCCATCCTCTAGGCTCTTCGAACCTCATCTCTGCCCATTGCACCAGATCGTTCCCGCCAGATCCAGCCAGGAAAGCAATGCGCGTCGGCGTGTAACTCTCGTCTTGCTCGAAGTCCAGAAACAGCCTCAATCCGACAATCTCGACGAGTTTGAAGAAGTGAATATTTAGATAATGCGGCTGGGGACCGTCGGACTGCCAGAAGAGGGCTGTGCTGGGCGACCGGAGAGAGGCGACACCGCAACCTGGCTTGCTGGATGAGACTGTCCAGGAAGCAAGGGAGGAGATCTCTTTGGTATAGGGAGGCGGTGGAGGCGGCGCAGAGATGTCATGGATGCCGTCAACTTCTGGTTTTATGCACTATCAGTAGATGTCACAGATACAAGATAGGGATGTTAGCAAAGTTACGCCCGATAATTATGTGTCTGGCGATGTGAACAGTGGTGCGTGATTATGGCAATGAACATGGCAGATAGGGAGTCACCTGACGCCTAATGCCTGGACTCCACACACCGTAGGGGTGCAGTCGACCCTTTAGGTTTCAAAACACCCGATGAAGATTTACGGTCAGGCAGCCTGGCAGGCACAACAGTGGCTCCCGCTGCAGAAGATCCACAATGAGGGCGAGAGCGTTGCCATGACACGCATGGTCGCTGGCCGCGATAGCCCAGCCTTCGTAACTTAAGGTTGAGCTAGATTGGAATGGCTTGGGGAACCGTGGATAGATAGCGCGCTTTGAGAGATTGGCAGCCCCGCGTCTTTGCGTGAAACATTCGGTTGTCCTGATGAAAAGTTCCACGTCTTGAGACAAAAGCGAGAACAATGCTCAAACAAATGCTTGATCGAGTTATAGCAGCTCTAGGTCACCCAAGAAGGGAAACCTAGATGCGCATAGGACTCCTGCGGTGGTAAGCTCTGTGCCATAGACAGACTCATGAATCTGTGTTCCTGCCTCCGTGGATGTTCCTTTGTGCGGACGCCCAGGGATCGGAAGCATGACGCACGTTGCAAAGCGCTTGCGTATTCGGTCCCGAGTGCATCAGCCAGTCAAACGATAATGCAACAGATGCACTCGGCAACGGGCAGTCTGCATGACCTCGAAAATATTCAGGGGCTCGTAGAGCTTGGAAGTGAAATGATGATAGAGATGCTGGCAAAACGTAACGAGACATATTACTCATATGAGAAACGCAGAACTTGAAACATTCACCGACCTGATGGAAGTCCCTCTTCCTCTCCAATCTCAACGTTTTCCATAAGATGGCCGTCAGTGACCTCATCGTTGCTGACTTCCTCAGTGTCTGACTGAGGTTCGACAAAGTGCTGAGCTGGCGGTTGAGCGCGACGTCGCGTGCCCCGGGGCATCCTACGGGCGCGCCGATTCCGTTTCACGTTACAGGTACGGTACCTAGGTAGTAGGCTGGCCTAAGGGACTTGGTGATGAGGCTTTACCGACTGTCCCAATCCGATTTTGTGAAACTGGACGGGCGCAGCCACGACGCTAGCAGGTTATGGCGTGCCGCGTCGAAGCTTTCCTAGACAAGGGACGAAACACACTGTCCAGAAGTATGCCCGGTGGTTGGGGGGCGGGAACCCCGAAAGCTGACAGCGAGAGCGACTGGGATTGGCTTATTTGATGCGTAGTTGTGGAAAGTGGCTTGGAGATTCGGGCATTGTTCAGTATCGATAGTCACCTCGCTTGCGGTTGCCGGGCAGATCCCAGTTAGTGGTAGTCGGTACCAAGCCAGTCTTAATCAGGTAAGTTACCGTGCCGCGCCTGGACCGCAGTCCAAAGATTTCCTCGTCACCTCAACCCCAGCTCAAGAAATGGCTTAGGCACCCTTGCAAGCGGACCGGAACGAAGGACCATGGAAGCTTCAAACGACTGACGGGATCACTCAAGACACGCCCACTCAAGAGACTCCCCTCCCTATCTCCTGACTCACGTGCGAAGAAAAGACGGAAATCAGCAGAAGGAATCCGTTGGACATGGTTGAAGGAGCAGGTTGCTTGTTGAACAAGCTATTGAGGCGTCGTCAGGAACATGTCCCTCGCCCCGCTTAGAGCGTCAAGGCGGCAGAAAAGAAGTATCTAGTGTACTCTCGTTACCCGAAGAGATACCTGGATGGTTAGATCTACCGGGGAACTGCTGCCGGGAAACCACAACCTGGGATGTGGTGCCCTAGCGCCCAGCCTTAGCGTGGAGCGAATGACTTTCGATCTGGATCCATGACAAGGCTCCCTTGACGAACAAACCGCTGTGACTGCACCTGCACGATCGGAGCTCGTGCGAAGAAGGTTCAACGGCAGCAGGATCTGTTGTGCGAGGCCGGCCAGAGCCTCCCGATACAGGGTCAAGGACCGCATCAGCCTTTCACGTTACCATGCTGCAAGCGAAGACCGGGGATCAAGATAAGCTCATCTCAGTTACGGGAGGTGCCTGCTTGGACATGACAAAACTTCGAAGGATCGGGACGATCCACGCAGGCATTGTTCAAGATTTTCAATCAGGGTCGGCCTGCATTCCAAATAACATCCCGCAATTGGTCGAATTTACTATCTGCGGCATGGATCCTCCAACCGCCTCGCTCGTCTGGGGAAGAGCAGAACATGGGCCGAACGTGAAAGCACGGCGCCACGACGCCTCCGACGCAGGGCTGTGGCTGGCTTTGCCTGCGCTTTGAGCGTTTGATGATCATCAAACCTTCCGTGGCTCAGGTTTCCGGTTGCTGATTGCCGGGGGTTGCGTTAGATGCCGCCAATAGCTTCATGGCTCGATCGCCAGCATGGGTGGTTGCGCTGCGAAGCGCAGCTGAGCACATAAGCCCCGAAGTTAAACTTTCGTATCGGGTGAATGACTGATGGCTCTCCCACCGCTCGACAGGAGCGAACTGCGGCCCAACGTGGGTTCTAGCCCCTCAAGGACGTTCTGGAAAACCGATGGTCCCCCCGGATTCGCGCAATCAACTGCCATTCACTCTACTATTCTAAAGCGCTATCAATCCGCTACAGCTACGCGCTGTCTGCCATCTCGCGGTGTTCACTCCTTGAGACTGTTCCTCTGTCAAAGTGTCTTTCCGAGTCGTTCGTGGTACTTCACATTACGACCCTCAGGACATTCAAGTGGAGTGATCGATTCTACACACCACAACACAAGGCGCATGCCTCGATAGTTACGGCTCTATCGATCGCTCGCTGCGACATTCTTCCACAACATGGCGGGCGGCCATCATCATTCGGACGCGCAAGTACAATCGCAGAGCCACGTTCTGGCCGGAGTCGCCATCGCCTTCCTCATTCTCGCATGGATAGCTGTCAGTATGCGCCTGTGGGTCCGAGGCCGCATGATACACTCTATCGGCTGGGATGACTACACGATGATCCTTGCTACGGTGGGTTGCGCTCTTGAAGCATGCTAGGACATGACTGCTGATATTCAGAAGGTTACGTTTACAGGCTATTGTGTTGCTTTGAGTGTATTTGCCAACTTGGGCGGTGGGAGCGACGAGATCCATGAGTCTAACGATTTTAACCGCGCGCGAATAGCTTTCCGTGTAAGTAATACACACTGCAGTTGATCGTGTGCCGATTTAACTCACATCTATCAGTGGGTGCTTGTATGGGAAGCCTTCTACATCGTTACAATAGCGATAATCAAGATATCGCTGGGCATCTTCTTCATGCGCCTCGTTATCAAGAGGTGGCAGAAAATCCTCATCTGGACTGTTCTTGTTATCAGCACCGTCTGGGGCATCGTGTCCTTCTGCTTCACTATCTTCCACTGCGGCAACCCCAGATATTATCTGGAGAAGATAATCACTCAACAATGTGCTAGCCCTGAAGCACAACATGCCATGGCATACACATATGCGGCTATGACCTGCGCCACCGACTGGGCTCTCGCGGTGCTCCCGATCTTTTTAGTGTATGACGCAAAGCTAGATCTACGGTCGAAAATTTCGGCCTGGTTCCTCTTATCACTCGGATTCATGTAAGCAGAGACCCCGAAAAGAAATTGTGGCATTCTGAGATTACTGACATCGTGCGTAGTGGAAGCATCTGCTCTGTTGTTCGCTTCATGCATCTCGACGGCCTTCTCGACATTGAAGATTTCTTCTGTACGTCGTGTGTCGCCTCCTACATACCGCTCTGCTCTAACACCAACCCACAGGGAGCTCGACTAACATTGCTATCTGGTCTTGCATCGAACCTGGCGTATGCATCATCGCTGGCTCACTTGCTACTCTCCGACCCCTGTTCAAGAAATTCTTCAATCAGATGCGCACTATTAGCAACCCTGATGGCAACTCTTCCTCGAAACGCAGATCACAACTAAACAAGATCACCAAATACTCGTCGGCCTCGAGTAACAGCCAGAACCGTCACAGTCTCCGGCCCTGGGATCCTTACAGGAACACCGCAACGATCACAACATGTAGAGGCGGCCCGGATGCGGAAAACAATAAAAGTCTAGGAATCAGCCAAAACACAGGGAGCACTATCAACTTGTTCACTATGAGCGAAGAGCGTGAAGTACCATGGGCGCTAACACCAAATGATAGCGACCTTGGCATCGCTAAAATGGTGGAGCTGGAGGTGAGGGTACAGGACAGCTACGAGATGAGTGACGTGGAAATCGATCGGAGAAGCTCACACACGCTGGGAGACGAGGAAAGGGAGAACGTGCGGCTATCGATGCAGCCACCAAGAAGACCATTGAGTGATGGGGAAGTTTGAAAAACAGTCACTGTTTCATCATCTCACATCTTTTACTTCTGGCGTTTTGAGGATACGAAGTATGGCGTTGTATGGGGTCTCTGTCATGCGGATGCATGCACGAATGACGACAAAACTTTGCTTGCGGTATACGTGGGAACTGGCATCTCGGTAGTAATGTTGACGGATTCAGACTGTCCTTTGACGATACCCTTAGACGTAGTAATAAATTTTTGACAAGCACTGCCGGTATCTTAGTTGTTATCTGTGCTTTGTATATACTTCTAGCGCGAGATACACTAGAGTCATCTTTCACCTTCAACTTGATGCATGGCTCCCGTTTGCGTGAGCACCCTCGCGTCAGAACCGGAGTCGTCCCCGGAAGACGGAGGAACGCCTTTCCGAAGCTTCGACGTTCCAGGACAGCTTCGCCTTCCCCTTCGGGCGAGCCGGCTTCTGTTTTAGACCGGACTGCCGCTTAAAAGATGGACAACTTCCAGTGCTTCCAAAAGCCGACGGAAGTCGTGACCAAGTACGGCTGGCCCGACTGACATGTCCAGAGCGTCCAGCTGAACCATTGTACCATCGTGTAATCGGGATGGCGGCTGTATAAGCAGCCACCAGAGGATCGCCGAACACCGCCTCTGACTACTCCGCAATCCTATGAATACCTACTATCCGGGCCCTACATACCTTTTCCTATCTGTATCTTCGCTTCACAGGCAGTATGGCGGACGTAGTGGCAAGCAGCAACACCAATGGCATACAACATCCGGGCAGACCGACAGCCTTTTCTGAGACCCAGTATGGCTTGATGACCGACGACTCAGACATTGGAACACCCTCAGACGAGAGCTCCACCGAACAGCAGGAGGAGTTTCCTACAGACGATGCCCAATCGCTTGTGGGATTCAGTATTGGCCGTGCACAGACACGCCTTACCTCGCCAAAGACACCGGCCGCGGAGAAGGCTGCCGTACTGGATGATCTGGATGGCGGAGAACTATTTACTGACGGGTGGCCAGTACCGGTGGATGGAACACCAGAAGAGCGAGGTCAGCAGATTGTGACCGTTCCTATTGAATACCATGGGGAGCAGTTGTGCACTACGGAGACTTACACGGAGTCATTTCCCACCTATTTAGACGCGCCAGAGTCTCCCGTATACCGGATGCCGTCGCCTTGGGCACCTGGTATCAAACCGTTCCAAAAGACGGAAGGAGCAAGAGCGTCATTTCGAGAAGCACTCAACGCACACAGACGAAAAGCATCGTCTAGCTTCGCCATGCCTGAAGCGCTGAAGAAGTACATCCCATCATTACCACGAAATGCGCATATATTAGGATATCCCATTCCGGGGTTTTCGAGCGCACCTGACGACAATGACGAATCGGAGAACGCGATAGATCCCAGACCATACAGGCCTAGCACGGCAACCACATGGCTAGACAGATGGGAAGAGACTCCTTTTTGCCGCAATCGATCACACAGCAATACCAGTGCCTCCCAGAGGTATGCTACAATGCAGGAAACCCGGGGTGCCCCCCTCATCTCAACAGCGCTTCAGCGGACTATATCTGGTGCACGGGACGACTACTCACTTCCCCTGAGCTCCGGTCCAGTCAGCCGGCAGCAGTCGAAACATCCTGGGCTGCGGCGGTCAGCATCTGACCAGGCTCTTGACTTACACCGCTCGCTCTCCCGCGTATCATCACTTGGCGATGACAGCCGCTTCGAGAATGTGCAGGGTCAGGTGAATAGCCGCCTGAAAGCAATCAAAGATAGTTGGCAAGACTCAAACTTCAAATTGCCAAGTTTGCCTACGATGTCTAACCGCGGCTTTGGATCATATAGGGCCGATTTGATCAGAGCTAGAGACGGCATGTCATCTTCGAGAGATATTCTTTCCCGTACATGGCCCGTGGAATCCAGGCGAGACCCGTCTTCAACAGGTGGCAACGCGAATGGGACCTCAAAGCAGCCTACAGTAACTGCAGGTATGAGTGGCGCCAGCGCTGCAAGTCATCCTTTCTTCACCCAGGCCTTGAATGCAGTTACGGGCGATTTGGTTGTTCTAGGTGGCTATCGAGGATCTGTACTGCGATCCGCAGAGCCACCACACCGACAGCTCTGGGCACCAATCAAGATTGGAGTGAACCTTCGCAAGGTCGATCTTGAAGTTGGTTTGGATCCAAAAGACGAGGAGACGATGGAAGAACGGGTGATACCGGGCGGCATGCTCACGCACATCGGACCGGTTGACATGTCACGTCGACTCTTGAAACGCCTTAGAGCATCGGAAAATGCAAAGAACAAAACGCTTCGCGTGCATAACTACGGCTACGACTGGAGGCTGAGTCCCCATCTGCTCAGCCGTAAGCTGATACAGTTTGTTGAAAGGCTGGCCTGCAACGCACCAGGCACGCCACCAGACAAGAGAGGCGCGACAATAATCGCTCATAGTCTCGGTGGCTTAATCACTCGACACGCTGTAAACCAGCGCCCTGAGCTTTTCGCCGGTATTGTATATGCCGGCGTGCCTCGCAGTTGTGTCAACATCCTAGGCCCTCTGCGCAACGGGGATGACGTCTTATTGAGCTCGCGAGTTCTAACCGCTCAGGTGAATTTCACAATCCGTACCAGCTTCGCGCTCTTGCCGCTGGATGGAAAGTGCTTCATCGACAAGAACACCAAAGAGGAGTACCCTGTCGACTTCTTTGACCCACAGACTTGGATAGACTACTGTCTCTCGCCATGTGTCGCAAGGCCTCTACCGCCCTTGAATGCACCTCAGCCTGGCTTCGTCAGCGGTATACTCGGCAGCGTTACCAGCTCAATGGCCAGCGTCCTACCCAGCTTCCCCGTCACGCGCAAAGGCTCCATCTCGTCGCGAACATCCAATGGACAGCCTAGCTCCGTCAAAGAAAAGCTAACCTCAGCCGCCAAAACCACTGCCGCAGAAGCCGAGAGCGGCAGTGCCGGCTCCTACATGGCCCCCCAGATGGGCGGCAACGTTTCCTCCGACCCGGCAGAATACGGCGCGGATCCTAACGCCTCGGTCTCTACAGCCGTGACCATACCACGGGAAGCCGCTATCGCTTACCTCACGCGCACATTGGCAGAGGTGAAGGCTTTCAAAGAGGAAACGGCGTTCATATCCGGTCATGCGGAGAAGAACCTCTACCCGCCTGTCGCGGTCATATACGGCAAGTCGACGCCTACGGTCTACGGCGCAAAGGTCGCGGGACGCGAAGGCATCAAGAGGGCGGATGCGTACGAGGAGCTCGCCTTTGCAAGCGGTGACGGTGTCGTTCTAGCGAAATCGGCCATGGCGCCGGAAGGTTATCAAGTCATGCGCGGCGGGATTGTTGCTAGTGAGCGGGGTCACGTTACGCTGCTTGGTGACCTGGAAGCTGTCGGGAGATGCCTGAATGCTGTGATCGCTGGCAGGAAAGCTGGGATTGGGGTCAGTGCGAAAGAAGATTCGTAGTCCTAAAAGGGTAATTTTGACCTTTCCGTTGAACGCCGCAAGGATTGCCCATCCTCGGAATTGAACCCCGTCGTGGGCAAAAACGAGCTGCCCGTTCAGCGCAAAGTCCAGCTTCGTCGCAAATGAAACGAAGTGCTTCCTGGGGTTTGCGGTGGGCGGCCTGAGCTCGGTGGCTCCACACATCTCTCCTCATGATGATGGTGCATTGTTCGCTTAGCAGCATATCCCTACCAGAACCTGTCATGATTGACTGATGCCAGCAGCAGTCACGACTGAATACTGAGTATGTTCGTATGGCTCATCCTTGACATGGAGTCGTTTGTACAGTCGCTGTCGGACGGATGTGAGCACTCATACATTCATCCCTAGAACAGCTGGTTGAACGATCTTTATCAACCCAACGAGGGTATTTACCAACTCTAGCGGATCCTATCCTGTCAGGGGACCGCAGCGGTACCACTTACATCGCCTCTGTTATGAATGCAAGTAGGACTGGTCAATCTCTCCAGATTACAGCCCCGTCGCCAGACGCCATGCTGTCCCGTAGTGCCGCGCAGCAGCATCTGACAAGCCCAAGACCCTTTCCTGAACGAAACACCCAGATGATCACCAGCCCCTTCCACGACCTCGTCCACGCCCAAAGCCGCCACCATAACCAACGTCAGGCAACCGCTCGCCCCTCCTCCACTCCCCCGGCGGTACGTATCCCCCACCCCTGCCCGGGCCCCCCTCGAATCTGCCCATACCTCCACCCATCGCCCTGCCTCTCCCACCATACCCACCATTTCCACCAAAACCATTCAGATCCCTCGGCGGCGGTCCCCTGGGCGGCGGCCCTAAGTCCCTGCTCCCTCTAAACGCCGGACCCGGCGCCGGACCCGTCGCTACATCCCCATTTGCCAGCGGTGGAAACACCGCGCACGAAATGTAATCTCCAATCACCAGCCTCGCATCCTGCAGCGTCTTTTCCGCATCCCCCTCCAACCTCTCCAGCTCCGCCTGACTGAGTCCCTTCCTCTTTTCCGACCCCTCTCCCTCATCCCTATCCCTCTCAACCGCATCCGAGCTCTCAACCCCCGGGCCCCCGGCCCCAACAACGACGCTCCCGAGCTCTTTGGACAGATACCGTCCCGCACCTGGTGGGCCCCCGCCGCGCGCGGTGTAGTCGCGGGTGTCGGGGTAGACGAGGCGGTAGGAGAGACGCGTGCCGATTGCGGGGCTTGGGAGCAGAGACGGGAGAGCGGTGAGTAGGAGGTGGGTTAGTTCGCGGAGGGTGCAGGAGGGCCAGGTGTAGATCTGGAGGTGGGGCGGTGGGGGGGAGGCGGAGGAGGGGGAGAATTCTTCGAGGCTAGGAGATGGATTAGCAAAGGTTTGCGAGGTGGATAGTGGAAGGGTGGGCTTGCCGGTGGAATGTGCCGGTTCGGTAGTAGAGCTTTAGGAGGAAGGGGGTTGTTGTTTGGCGGTCTATCTTTTGCGCCGGAGGCTGTGGTGCCATTGTGGGTTGATGGGGGGGCTGCAGAATTCTGTGTACTATCGACGCATGTATTCGGTCGAGAAACGGTATATTCGCGAGGCGATTTAGCACTTCAGAGAGATGCGGTTGCTTGAGAGTGAGTCCAAAGTTTACGTGCAGCTCGAAGTCGACAAAGCTATTGGCCGGGGTTTCTCCGGCTTCCGCTATCTACCTCAAGCCTACACTGATGTTCCCTTCCATTCAATACTCTTATATAAAAGTCCGCAGGCTCGCAAGCGGGTGAAGCTTCCAGCAATACCGCCACCATGGATTTCGCCTCCCTGATGTCCGCTCAGATTAATAAGAGCAAATCCCAGACCACTACCGACTCATCTAAAAAGTATCTTAAGCGCTCTGAGGTAGAAGCGCAACGTCAGGCCGATTACCTCGCTGAGCAGCAAGCCATCGAAGAAGCGCGCCTCGCCAAGCTAGAGAGAAAGCGCAAGTATGAGGAAGATGAAGCTGAGCGCAACCGCGAGCGAGAAGAGAAGCGGCAGAGGTTAGCCGAGCAGTCGCGCAAGCGGCGGGAGGAGGAGGAGGAGGAGGCCGAGCGGAAACGGAGGAAGAAGTTGGGACTGCCGGAGCTGCCGCCCAAGAAGAAGGACGGGGAGAAGGAGGACACGCCCCTGCCGGAGGGCGAAGATGATATTCCGGATGAGGAGCTGGTTACCAAGTTACGGGAGCTGGATGAACCTGCACGCCTTTTCGGAGAGAGCCACCGACAGCGGCTTCGACGGTACAATCGGCTGACGGGACGTTCGGTATCTGGAACACCGGCGCCTGTTTTGAGCGACGGACCGATACCAACTGTCCTCCAGCTGGTCCCTGAGGCAGAGATGAAAGTGCCACCGAAGCCTCCAAAAGATGCCGCAGGGCGAAAGTTTCTGTTCCGGCAGCTAGCTTCTTATTTCACAATGGTACTGCGAGAATGGGAGGTAGCATTAGCACAGCGGCCCGTGGAAGTCAAGACGAGCTTTCAAGGCAAAGCGGCGTACAACGCCATGGTGCAAGCACGGGAGAACATGCGGCCGCTCTTCAAGAAGCTTGAAAAGGGAGAGCTAGAAGAAAGCATCTTGGAGCCCGTGGTCGAGATCGTCAAAGCAGCGCAAGAGAGGAGATACGTCGATGCGAACGACGGGTATCTCAGATTGAGTATCGGCAAAGCGGCGTGGCCTATCGGAGTCACCATGGTTGGTATTCACGAGCGCTCGGCAAGAGAAAAGCTCCACGAAAGTGACAAAGGATCGGCGCATATCATGAGCGACGAGGTGACGCGAAAGTTTCTCCAGAGTATCAAGAGGTGCTTGAGCTTTGCGCAGACACGGTGGCCACCGGATGATCAGTTGCAATTGATGGGTTGAGATGAAGGTCACGCTTCGTTTAAAGTCTTGATGTTTAACATTGCATGCATCGGCTCCCGACAACTCACCACATATTTAAGGAGGTAAAGGGTCAAAATCTACATACAAGCAAGAGTTGCACATGAGGTTTCCTCTTGACAATCTCGAAAGGCTACACGCACTGTGTAAAGTACTGCGATTTCAAGAGGGGAGAGATGGAAGAGGAAATCCATATCTTAGCAAGCGCTTACAAGCAGAGCATGTGCTATTAGTCGATGCAATGTCTCATGCCAAGTTTCGTGGCTGTCAGCAGACCCCGTGATCTTCATATCCTCGTTCAGCCTTGCGAGGCTGAAGGGCCCACCTCCAGCTATATAGGCAAGGCGTTCCACCGGTGCCCAAGCTGCACAGGAGCCTCGTTTCCATGATTCCGGTCCGTATTTCTATCGGCAATGGCCGATCCACTTAGTGTCGTAGCGTCCATAGTCGGCATAGCCGGCGCCGGAATCCAGCTCTCAACAACGCTATATACCTACGCCGAGACAGCCTTCTACGCCGACAAGAGTCTCCAAGACATTGCCCGAGATGTCTCGCTCACATCTTCCGTTTTGGGACAGCTGGGTGAGCTGATCAAACAAGACAAGCAGGCCAAACTCTGCTCGGAGAATGCGCTCAAGACGGCGGACGAAGCTGTCACGGGCTGCAGGGCCGTATTCACCGAAATTGATACCGCACTGCAGAAGTCGCTAAAGAAAACTGGAGATGGAAAGGCTGCGGTCTCGAAGCTTCAGAGGCTTAAATGGCCCCTGGTAGAGCCTAAGATGAAGCTCTTGCAGGGCAACCTAGATCGACTCAAAAGCACTCTACTGCTAATGTTAAACGTGCTGGCATACGCCAAGAAGCTCAAGGAGGAGTAAGTTCGTTGCTATGAAGAGATGATGAGGTGGTGTCTACCGTTATACTGACATGCTCAAGGAATCCACTGGCGGAAGAGCAACGGGTCTGTATTCAACGACTCATCCAAGTGAATCAGGAGTCCACGGCAAAATTCGAACAGTTAGAGAAGCTTCTTAGCCAGCAATCACTGGCAAAGGCAACTCCGTCACCCGGTGTACAAACTGCTGTGCTTGCGCCACCTACACCGCCCCCATCGAACAGTTCACCCGTTTCATCACTCGAAAGGACACAGTGTCTGTGCGGCAAACCTTTCCAAGCAGGCACTTTGCATTTCACAGAACGTGACATCATGAACTGTCTCTTCTGGGTCAATACTGTGCGCAAGGCGATCCACAATGTCCAGAGCCCTTCTCCAGGCGATACATTGCCGACCGAGGAGCAAATCTGCTCTAAGTTCCTGGAAGCCTGTCGGATGGGGCATGACGTTTTGCGCCTGTTCGTTGAAAGTGAGAATGCTCAAAGTACCGGAGCAACGAACATCAATAATACAGAGCCGCCTCAGCAAAAGGTAGACCTGCACGAGATGGGCCACTGGCTGGGCCAGCTGCACGAGTTTGGATACGAGTGCGGCGTCGACGGTATCAAGCCAGCTGCGCCCACACAGCTTGCAAAGTGTATCGAAGAACGCAGCGCGGGTAGCAACGCCTCAGCACGGAGCGACACCGCGGTTACAACTCATCTCAATGAGACTAGATCTGGAAAAGCACCGAAATTCTTGGTCAGGGCTCTCTGTGAATACAAAGGTGGCCATGGGGACCTGCAATTCCAGTTTGACGATATTATCACCATCCTTGAGTGTCCGCCAGGCGTGAGCTGGTACCAAGGCTCTTTGAGAGGCACAGAAGGCAGAGTACCATCACATCTCGTTCAAGCGCTCCACAACGAACATCTCGTCCAGGCGACATACGACTTCAAGTATGCGAAAGACGGATGGCTTTGTCCCCGAAAAGGCGACATCATTCGTGTGCTCGGGGGTCAAGGAGGAGTGTGGAAAGGCTCGCTGAGAGGCCAGGTCGGGCTCTTCTCAGCAAATGCCACGGTGAAGATAAACGCACCGGCACCGCCCACTTCAAAGCCTCCGCATACGGTACTTGCTATACCAGGCCCAAGTATGGAGAGACCAAAGGCGAAGGGTCGTTCAAGTGGAAGCTCTGGAGATTTGCCGATCAAGTTTTCTTCCCAGTACAGTGATTTGCGCAGGTGTCCACCTAGTAAAACCACTGTTAGCCAGCCGAGTGTAAAGACAAGCGGGGATACGGGCTCCTCCAAGCCAAGTATTGACTTGTTGTCAGATGAGCGTAGGCAACGACTCAATTCCCCGGAGAGCCGCATGAAAACGGCACAACAGCTTGCGCGAGGATGGGCACTCGGGGACCGGGAGCCTACTCCTGCAGTCAATTTATCAAGATCGAGCAAGCCTAAGCCTGCGCAAATTCGCGAGTCTCATTCTGAGCAAGAGGGAGATACAGCCGGTGCTGACCCCGTCGATTTGCTCTTGCGAGACTGGACAACACTTTATCAGACGTAGCACTTGTTCCATTCATGACAAATGTCAGGTTTAAGGAGTGTATCACAGGCATTCGACGCAGGCTTCGTGATTCCTCAGCAGGGGCAGTAAACTTTCTTACTTCCACACCGGCGCGTGCGAGCACAATCTAGAAAGAGCTAGTCCTTGTTGAAGTCGATAACGATCCGGCCGGCAACTTCTCCTCTCCGCAGCTGCTGCACTGACTCGGGCATCTGGCTCATGCCCCTTACTTCGGCAATCTGCTTCAACAGCCCACGTTGTGCGTACTCGAGTGCCATTGCCGTGTCTTTCATGGTTCCTACCAGCGTCCCGATCACGTGCAGGTTCTTGAAGGCGAACTGCGATGGATCTGCTCCAATGGTTGTCGTGCCGGCGGGTGCTATGAAACCTCCAGTCAGCCAAGCCCATGGCAGGGGTAAGGATGTGAGGAGAATACTTACGCAACCCAACACACATCACCTTGCCGCTGACCCGATCACCAATATAGCTTATGGCGTCCTTGTAAGCCTGCGGTGCGGTAACAATGACACCATGGGCGCCGACGCCACCAGCAATCTTTTTGATCTCCTCCGCTACGTTCTCCACTTGCTTGAAATCAACAAACTCTTCGGCGCCCATGTCAAGAGCTAGCTTCTTCTTAGCATCTCCCGTGTCGATCACGATGGGCCTCATGCCCATAGCCTTGGCGAGCTGGACGCCCTGAATACCGACACCGCCGCCTCCGCCTGCGAGAAGTCAGCGATATACCGGCAGAAGGTGAAAATACTGTGCCTACCTGGGAAGACGACCCATTGGCCGGTCTTCAGCCCGGAGTCGACCAACGAGCGATGCATAGTCGAGGCGCTGCACATGATCGGAGCGGCGACGTAATCCGACACGCCCTCCGGGATCGGGCTGGTGTATTTCGCCGGCGAAGTGATGTACTGCTGGTACGTTCCTGCCATCACGCATCAGCACCCACTCTCTCCTTCCCTTCGCTCAGTCACTACGGAGGAACCAACCAGTAGCAGCCAATCCCGTATACACCCCCTTCGGGCAATAATTCTCTCGCCCGTCCCAGCACAGCTCGCAGTTCCCGCACACGTCCCACAGCGGCTTGACACCGCCCCTGTCACCGACCTTCCAGCCCTTGACGTTCTCGCCAACCTTAACGACTACGCCGGCGCCCTCGTGGCCCGCACACTTGATGCCGAAGGTTGACATCGGAGGGACGGCCCAGTCGTTGACCATGAAGTGGATGTCGGACATGCAGAGGCCGGTGGCATTGAGCTTGAGGAGCAGTTCATCGGGGCCTGTGAGGGGTGTTAGTCTTGTGATCTCAAACGGGGCGGGATCTTAAGGGGTTGAGGGGGGTATGGAGGCTGGGTAGGAGACAGAGGCTGAGGGAAGGTGGCTTTCTGGGGAAAGGGAATATTACCAGGCTCAGGCACAGGCACGTTCTGGATCTCCACGCGGAAGTCCGGGCCCTCGTTCACGACGACACCGGCTTTGCATTCCTTGGGTATTTCGACATTATCGCCGGTGTTGGCGGCTTCGCTGGCCATGGTTCAGATGGGATGTGGTTTCTGGGTACAGTAGGTAGTATGGAGGGTGTCGATGGAAAGGTTAGGTTACTTTGAACAATGTCCCGAGGGTCTCTTTAAGACCTTCCGGAGGGGTCACGATCAGTTAAGCAGGTAGCGGGGTCAAGCATCGTTCGGAGGCGGATTCATTCCGCGGTATGCCCGCAAGTTGCTCAAGCGATGGACCGCGGCATAAATTGCATGAATGATTGAATCGCCATCTGTACAACATGCTGTATATTGAGTACTATTGGCCAGAACGGTATCTTGACGTGCCCAGTCCGGGATTGGCGTTTGAGGAAGCTGGGTCGATGTGGGAAACGCGGGGAAGGGGCCGGCCCCCAGATTGATCGCCTCAAGGCCCGCAGCCGATGTGGAACGGTTTGGGTGCTGCCGATTGGGTGCCACGTCGGGCAGGGAAGAACTTGCACCGCAAAATCACTCCTCGCACCATAAAATCACTCCTCACCGCCTTCTTCACCACCATTAAAGCAGTCCCTTATAAGCTGTTAAGGTTCAAAAAGCTCTAAGATGATCTCTATACCCTATCGCACGTTTAAGCACTTTTTTAGAATTATGCTATACCAACAAATAGTGATTATATACTGAAGTTGACATTTGCGGTGCAAGTTCTTCCTTGCTCGACGTGTGGGTGCGGACTGATGCGAACTACCGGGTGTGGCCTGTGGTAAATCGGTACATTGGAAGCTGTGTACGACATAGTTTACCTTAGCAATAGATGTCGATATTTAAGGCCAAGCGTTTGCGACTACAAACTACTTGGTCTCTTATGATTCTAAGTCGATTGGAGCTATGCGCGAAGTAATGACGCAATTCAATAGAGTGCAAATATCTCGAGGCATATTAAAATCAGCCGACTGCTGACCTCTAGCCGTCCCTCTGCGCTACGAGCTATTCTCGTTCAATGTCGGATACTGCTTTCAATCCAGCCTCCAAACTGCTGTGCACGCCGTAACTAAGCTCATCGTGAGCTTCCAACCGAACGCGGCACAGCATTTTTCAGATGACCCTCAGGCCGCAAGCTGTATCTCGATTCGCCCATGTAGATGCGGCAGCCCAGAACGCTTGGTGATGGGGTGACCAAGAGATCGTTCCTGAATGATCAGACTTGGAAGAGGTACTCATTGTTGAACCTGGCGGATTACCCGCTTAGAAAATACGATTCTCGCATTGCTATTCGCAGCTTTTCGCGTATCGCATGCTTGTCCTGCTCACTGACTCGAGTTGAACAGGCAGGGTAGTAGCGATGTCATCTATTTGCAGTAACTCGCAATAGTCTCAACATTCCTCCCTTGTGCTTCCCGGTGATTGGGGAATGACCCCTTTTCAGAGTCACAGATGCGGGAGCTTGAACAACGAAAACACATTGACTCAGCAACCAGTCATACTACCAGCGTGGGAGTATCGGGGTGACATACTGAAGGAAATCTCTAAAGTTGTTTCCTCGTCGAAGAGCCTCGCTTATATACCACATGCGAATGGAACCAACGCTGATGAATATACAAACACCTGACGCCTGCAATGCCACGCTGATACGAAGACTACCAAACCCGTCCTAAGGCCGCAGCTCCTCAACTAGTCCGTTCCGGCATTCGCAAACTCCGCTTGGTAGGCCTGCAGCATCCTGGTCAACATCTGCAAGTCCCCAACTTAGGTCGCTCGAAGCCACAGAGAACGCTTTAGGAGCCGTGACTAACCTCTGTAAAATCGCCTGCCAACCGCTTTTCATCAAGTCTAGACGGCCCGCTGCTTGGTATGTTCCAGTTGTTCACGCCCCACCACCATCTCCTCATTCGTGCACCAACGCTGTGACCTTTCAGCTTGGTTTCCCGGTTCCAGAAGCGCCAGCCGGAGAGGATGAGGGTCCATAGTATGCCTTGGGTGAGGGGCAGGAAGACCTGTTGTAGGAAGCTCGTCAGTCCTCCACAAGGCAGTAAAGGCGAACTGGGGAGGCCAGTAGGCACCAGAACGCCATCGCCCCAATTGCCACACATACTTGATCCCTAATCGTAATATATGCCACGCCCTGCCAGCTCTCTGCCTTCTCAATGCTCTTCAGATAGCTCTGCTCGAAGCGCAGATCGGGTAATGGAGGCAGTGTCTTCCGCCGCGGCCGCGGATGCAAGGCTGACAAAGGTATCTCGTCTTCGGCAACGTCGGAAGCTGCGGGTGAGGAGCCAAGCGTGACGGGCTCTTTCTGGCTTGCGGCGGTGGAGGGATTCAGGTCATAGTGAGGATCTGGATGCTTCTGGATGGAGGCGGATTGGATCGTTGACGCGATGTCTGCAACTGGGGCGGACATGTTTGGAGAGATGGAGAGCTGGATGGGCAGATATACGGGCTACAGCTGCAGGATCAAGCTTGTACAGCTTATGCACAGGCGCGGTGACGATGATGTCTGAATGAAGCTGTTCGGCGGATAGTATATCCGCGATAGATTAAGCTTATCCCCGCTAGCGGATGCGGCTGAAGGGCTCGATATTCAGGGAACTGCGGGCGTCAGTCCGCATCCACAGATACAACATCACAACCGCCAAGATGGGGAACGCAAGCTCGCAGATGCTGGAGGACATTGTTCAGGGGTCGAATTGTGAGAGGCCTTCCTCAACTCCGTTTTTCATAACCATTTGCAGTTCAATTGCGATCCCAAATGCAGGATAGCTGACGATGAACAGTTGACCGCGACGAAGTTGACCGCCTGCGCAAGCGGTTCATGAAGCTGGACAAAGTACGAACTCTCCCAAGCGCCCAAGCAACTCGTTGGCTACGCCCGGATCTTCTGCATGAGCCTCAAAAGCCCTTCTAACAAGCTTTCTCTAGGACAACTCTGGTACAATCGAGCGTGACGAGTTCCTCTCCCTCCCCCAAGTCTCCTCCAACCCGCTGGCTACGCGCATGATCGCGATCTTCGACGAAGATGGCGGTGGCGACGTCGACTTCCAGGAGTTCGTGTCCGGCCTCAGCGCGTTCAGCTCCAAGGGCAACAAGGAGGAGAAGCTACGCTTCGCATTCAAGGTGTATGACATTGACCGGGACGGGTACATTAGCAATGGGGAGCTGTTCATTGTGCTGAAGATGATGGTGGGGAGTAATTTAAAGGACCAGCAGTTGCAGCAGGTGGGTTGAAGAATGAAATTCGCGGTTTGGAGCCGCCGGGTGTGAAAGTTGGGGTTTGCTGACGGTTGGTTCGGCGTACAGATAGTGGATAAGACGATCATGGAGGCGGATCTGGATCGCGATGGCAAGATCAGCTTCGATGAGTTCAAGAAGATGGTGGAGAACACGGATGTGTCAATGAGCATGACACTAGGTAAGCTTTCTCCTGCTGTTCGCTCAGTTCAACAAGCAGTGCGATATGGAAAGAACATAACTGACCCAAGCAGACCAGTTTTAAGATTGGATATAGGTTGGGCATGCACTGATAGCAAGGAGTTTGGCGGTGTTTGGAATCGGGCATGTCGGCGGCAGCCCATTACTGGCATAGGGATCTGCAGGTATTGCTTCGATACACTTATATGAAGTCTACACAGTTTCTATGATGCTGCATACAGCAGCTGCTCTTCAAATACGGCTGGTGCAGACATTGTGGCATGATTCGAATACGGACCCGCTTTCCTGCTGCATTAATGATCTTCACTTCATCATGTCTACTCACGTATGGATAGCTCACGTCATCATCACTGAGAGAAGTAAATGTAGCAAGGCTCGATATATCGAGTAGGCACCTGTGTTACTCGCCCGTGGTGTACAATACGCTAAGTGCGTCTTGACGCCTTGTCATATCCTTGGTCTTGTTGCTTACGCTGGAGTAAGCGAAGATCTTTCCAGGAACTACATCCAAAGCATTGTCGTCTGACATCTGAGCGCTCGCAGAAAACCCAAGAACAACTCAATCCAAACTTTCCAACGAGCCCAGATCAGTCCCGCTGTCACTGCCAGCTTAATCGTAGCGGGCACTGTCCCGCCGGGGGCCTTCTTCATCGGGATGTGGAGTCTTTTGCTGCTGACCCTCTGTATCCTCCTCCCGCTTGGCGTCTTCCACTCCCTCTTGCTTGGCATCTTTCACCTCCTCTTCTACATCTTTCGCACCTTCTTCTCCGTCCTTCGGCTCTTCTTCTGCATCTTTCACTCCCTCTTCCACATTCTCATCTGCTTCCGCACCTTCACCAGCATCATGGCTCTCACTCGCCACCTCAGCCGGCGCCACCTGACTTTCCGCATGTGTTTCACGCCAGCACGATCCGCCTACCCTTGTATGTTCATGATACCTGCACCAAGCCTCCGGAGGACCTGCCCATGCCGCCGCAGCACCCTGCGGCAATCCCGCAAGCTCCCTAACACGCCTCGCAAGCTGGAGGGCAAATGCAGACGGGAGCTGATCCGCCTTCTGTTCCGCCTCATCCAGGCCTCCCGGCGCGGCCGCAACAAGGTCGACGAAGAGCAGCCGGCCGGCAAACTCTCGGGCCGGGCTGTTGTACAGCGCGGTGATGTCCGCGAAGTCCAGCTCGTATTGTTCCGCTGTCGTGATCAGCTCGATGAAACGGTCCATGACGCGATCGCTGAAGTGCGGGTCGCCGAGGCGACAGGCGGATTTGTACAGCTCGAGCACAGAGGCGGGGGTGTACGGATAGGCTTTCTGAATTGGCGGCCCGCGGGCTCTCATTAGAGGCGCGTGGGTTGGTAGCTCGCCGATATCGAGGAAGCCGATGTAGATCCGGAAGTGGAGGACTGGGACATCGCAGAGATCGACAACGCGGAGGTTGACATCGTCGCGGGGTGCGATGGTGAGGACTTGGTTGATGGATGTGGAGCGGGCAAATAGGTTAACGGCCCAGACCATTTCTTCTTTCTTCTCGCCGACGAGGAAGGATGCATGTGCGCTATTATCTGGGTATCTGGATAGCGAGAAGTCAGCGGTTGCGCGAATTGCAGCGGCAGGACAAAGGCTCCCGGAGCTCAGATCATAATGGGAGATCCACGTACCTAATGGTATAATGCATCTTAGAATGCTGATCAGTGATGTTACCAAACGTATCCTCAGTAGCAGCTGTTGTCTGGTCAAACAATCGAATGAGGCCCTCATAGTCGTGGTTCGTTTCTCCCTCTCCTTCCACCAGTACGCCGTCGTCAACCCTGTCGCGCTTTCTCTTCCGCGGAACACGGATAGATCCCCCACGAGAACCTACACCGCGCTTGCCGCGCCCACCACCACGTCCTCCGCGGCTTCCTCCTCCGGTTTTGCCATCGCGCTTCGCGCCGACTTGATTGCGGGCCTTTCTAGGCGCCATAGCGAGGAGGTAATGTCACGTGCGGGTTGCGGTCTGTGTTATTAAGTGTAGGCAGGCAGAAGTGATGCGAGAGTGTTGTAGATGTAGATCTAGTGTAGGTTTGCTGTAGATAGTGAGTGCGGTAGGTGAAACGAGGTTTTTGGATAGTGGGTTGTCGGGGTTTGGATAACCACGGTTGTACGAGTGGAGATCAAGGTACCAAGCGAGTGGACATCAAGCGACGAAGTAAGTGAGCGAGTGACTTGGAGTCGAGAGTGTGGGTGAGAACTGTTGGAGTGGGGATGCGGAGGTGCAGCTCTCGTAGGAGAACCTGGAGAAGCTGTGAAGGTGAGGTAAGTAGTGCATGAAGGCTGTAGTGAAGGGTGCCTAAACGTGGCCGCATGAAAAAGATGGTGTGCTGGTGAAGGACTGAACCGTGGGAGAGAGCTGTAGACAGCTTTCAGACTGACAGGTTGGTAATGGTGAAGGTAAGGCCGAGGTGTGTTTCTGGAAGAGAATCGTGACAAGACCTCATATTGACCCCCTTCGTCGCATGCAGATGTGGGTTGGCCGCTCCGATTGATCACATCCCACGCACAAACCAGCCTTGAATATAGTAGCATATGGAACTAAGTGGATTGATTGGTGAAGAAAGGAGAGTGAATGTGAACACAAGCAGCATCGACATGAATCCTCGACTCTGCATCCAAATCCCCTCTTAAATGACTGTAGAGTTCGCCGTCAGATATTACTACCTTCGCCATGAAGGGTGCCAGAAAATGCTGAGTATGAGACAGTGTCACATCCACGACTCGCATAGAGCTGTAGACATTGCAGTGAAAGCCAGACCCAGAGACCCCAGTGTATGGACGAGTGTTGTGAAGCAGCGGGAGTCTACGAGACAGCATGCTTTGTGGACCCCGCGCGTCGTATCGAGCGCTGCCGTGTGATGCCGAAAGGTCCTGTGGCCGATTAACGGCGGGCCTAGCCAAAGTGCAAACTTGATTATATGTATTGTTTTGGCAAAGTGCAGTTCTTAACGGCAAAACCGGCCTTGTGATCAGGTCGTCGGAACTTCACCTCTTCTGGGGCAAGAAGGGGGCTCTTCTAATCCCGCACTTTCCTTTGTTCGAAACCTGTCCAAGTCAATCTCCTATTTCCGCAATCCAAACAAAAACAAGCTTCGGCGAGTTTCCTTGGAGCGACCGCAAAGCGGTCGTTAGGTTTTTGTCGTTTGGTCTTTCTAAGTCTATTTCTTGTTGTTTTCTATCTAAATGGTTCACGATCGTCTTCTTCTTCCTTCAACCGAACCAGATGTGGTTTTTCTGATAAACCTGCTGGGGAGTGATTATTCGAAGGGCCGATAGGTTCTTGCTGCTTTGCGGTTCCAGGATGTCTCAAGTCTTCGCCTTGACACTCGTCAGTTTCCTGCTCCAGGGGGCTCGAGAGTCGCATAACACAAAACGTCTACCGCATCCGGGTCAACCTTCACGAAAACAGAAAGTACAACATAGTGAGAGCTACGCCATTCACAACCTCGTATGCTGGGGCCAACCCCTTTGCCGCGGTTGAAGGCGGTGAAAGCATGTACGGACCTTTGCCAATACTCTTCTGCTGGATGATTGCTTGTGGCTACAAGTTCTCGTCCTTCTAGCTGTTATCGTTGAGAACTCGGCCCTTCGGCTGAGGTGCTAGAACATCCTGTTTGTTGCTATAAGTCTGCTTACTACTAGTCTCCTCACGGTTGAGCCTTCACCGCGGGTCGGGCTCCATCAAGCAGGCTGCTACCTCCATTAAAGAGCTAGCTGCCGCCAAGTGATGGTAAGCTCAAGATTTGCTGGCATGCTGTCTACGTCGATCGACTTCATCGCATTGATAGAGGATGCGCGTCAGCAGCACGGAAGCTGCGGCCGGTTGGCGATGCCGTGGGAGTAAGTGTTAACTCGCTAATAGAGAGTTGCAATAAGTAGCGTAGACAAGCTACCTCTAGAATGGTCGTTGGTTTCGCGCCCGTAAGTTAACATCTTTCGATAGTTGTGAGGAAGTCGACCATGTCCCCCGGAGCAAAGATCACGCGAGAGCCTGGACTGTCACGCGGCTGACACAAATCGCCCGACTCAGAGCTTAAGAACATCACGAATTCCTCACGTTTACCAGCACGTCTACGATCACTAATCCACCACTGATCGTACCTGCAACACGTTCTAGATTTTACTGTTGCCTCTATACACCTAGTTCTTACAGTTGGCGATATTTCTATATTTTGTAGAGCTTTATTTCGATAGTAAACGTTGTGTCTAATCTCGTGAGTCGGCGCATTTGTGTCAATAGGGTGACTGTGCAGATCCCCCCTGTCACCAGGCGCAACCGGCCAATATTTAAGATTTTACGAACACACTCCTATCTGAATCATTGATGTATCTCGAAGATGTCATGACTGACCGAATTCCTCATTTATTCCGTCTGTAAAAGAAGGTGCAAGTAGACGAGAATAGCGAGCGGCACTACCTAGGTGACAACAATGACACATACTCTGATAGCCCTGGCTTTAAATATGAGCGCCCTCGACAACCTCCTCTCAGACGCTGTCTCACTCTTTACAGCGGTGACTTCGGTCCTCAGTAGGCTGTTCGAACTATGCCTTGCTTCTTGCTATTGGCGAAGCCGCATCATCGGGGGGCCTGCGAGGCTCCGCCCCAAACTGGATGGGGCAATGCAGAAGGCTGAGATACTTACACCAGCGCCATCGACAAAATTACTAGATCGTTTGAAGTCTCTCACACCGTTGTTGAACTGTTCAGTATGTCCAGCATGTTCGAGGCGTCCGTTTCCGATACTTTGAGTCCTGTATATTCCAAACACTCTCTACGCCCTAGAGAGATCCGTCTTGTCAAACTTCTTTCGGGTCATTGGTCCGATGAGATATGCTGCGAGCTACACTACCTCTACTTAGACAAATCAGTGCCGTACAAGGCTCTGTCCTACGCTTGGGGTTCCCCGAGGCTCGCTCGAGCGATCACGCTTGATGGACAAAAGCACCGCATAACTGTTAACCTCGATTCTGCCCTTCGCCGAGCCAGACAACTCTACCCAGAGACCCTTCTGTGGGTAGATGCGATCTGCATCGATCAAACAAATGACTCGGAGAGATCTCATCAAGTGGCCATTATGCGCGACATCTACGAGAGCGCTGAAGTGGTTTTAATATATCTTGGAGACGGGATAGACCACACCGTTCGGAATGTATATCCAGGTCACCAGGAGTTTTCGTCCTCGGCACCGACGTACTGGTACAACGATCAACGTGACATCGGCAAACTCAAAGATTTCGAGGAGCGTTGTGTCACAAGGGACGCACTTTCCATACCCACCCACAGTGGCTTACCAGGAAACCGGTTGTACGATGCGTTCTGCCTTATTCGTTCACTAGCCCAAGGCTACCATCTCTGGAAGATGCCGCTGTTTGATTGGAGGAGAAGATCAAGTGTCAACGCTGCTTGGGAGCAGGGACTTTATGAGGCCTTCAGGTTACTGACAACTTGCGCGTGGTGGAACAGAATGTGGGTTGTTCAAGAGATCGTCGTTTCTCGGAACGCCACAGTCCTGTTTGGCTCAATCGTTGCGCCTTGGGACATGTTCGTTGCCGCTACGATGGGATACATCCGCCATCTTTCCTTCTGCTGTGTCTGGGTCTTTTACGTGACTCCAAAAGACTACACTAAAGTGGCCTCACACTTCTGTCAACTAACCGCCAGCATTCATGGCATGCAGCCGCGCGTCGAAAGGGGCATGGCTCTCGGTTGTACCAGAAGCCTTTTGCAACTTCTTAGAAGATTTAGAGCTCGAGAAGCTACCGACGCCAGAGATAAAGTCTACGCACTCCTCGGCCTCGTTTCACGCCAATCTGGTTCGAGCTCTGTGGAGCCTGATTACAGGCTCACCACGGAGGAAGTCTTTGAGCAAACAGCTTTGAACATAATCCTCGGAACGCGGTCGTTGTCTGTACTAGAAGGCGACCTGGGTACTAAGACTCGTCAGGACTTGCCGTCATGGGTTCCCGATTGGAGCACACCAGTAGGCAACGAACGTCGGCTTCGCTGCCTCGACTTGTATAACGCTAGCTACGGAAGCTCAATCAAACGAAGTCTCTCTATGCAAGGAACCATCGAAGTTCAAAGCCTGAACACACCCACTCCACGAGTGGCTGCGGTCGGTGCGGTCATGCTACCTGTAGAAGAACCCGAAATGACCGTCCTTCGAGATTGGGTTTCACTAGCAGAAGATTACAGGGGGATTTTTGACAATACGATATCACTCAGAGACAGATTTTTTAAGACTCTTTGTGCCGACTTGGTCTACCAAAGGACCAGACCTGGCCGTGACGAGGCAAACGAAACCGATAGCTTCAATCGGCTGGAAGACGCGGAGATCATGAAAGTAGATTCATGGTTCCAGCTTATGCACCTTGAATCACTCCGGAAGGATCATGGAAACTCCCCTGAGAGACGTGCAAACGTAACATGCAGCGGATTATACGAACCATTGTTTGATACGATCAGCAAGGATGCATCAGTATTCGTCAACGAGGCTAGCAATATAAGAGTTGCCGTACGAACAGCAACAGCGGAGCGAAGGTTCTTTGTTGCTACGAATGGAACAATGGGGCTTGGACCGGCTAAGATGCGCGAGGGTGACGAGATTCATATACTTCAGGGCGGCCGAACTCCCTTCGTCCTTCGACCAGTCAGTGGTCGTTGGGTGACCTTCTTGGACGGAGGCATGCAAGAACTTTCCCATCAAACAGAGTACCGGCGCCAAGTATTGTCCTCGGAGATGTGGGTTGATGCTTGCCATGAATTGATCGGAGACTGCTACGTGGATCACCTCATGGATGGCGATGCCGTCAAAGATTGGACAGCCGATGACTGGGAGACGAAGCCTAACAAAGTGTACCTTGTCTGATGGTGTGAGCAAATGGGATCCTTGTTGTTTGCCGGAGTTCAGGAGTTGACATGTAGTAAAATTGGGGGCGATTGTGATGGAAAGCAATATTTGTGTGTGCAGCATCCTGAGTAAGACGAAGAGGGTAGTCTGGTACTTGTGTGGATGCACAGGCGGTAGTAACTAGGCCGAGGAACATTCCCTTGTTTCAGCGCTACGACCGTCCCTCACCAGGGGCCCGATAGTATAACATACCAAACCGCTCGGTGTAGACTATTCCATATTTACTCCCATTCAACTATCAACTCATTACTCGGCTCACTCTCTTCGTCCACCACCCTCCTCGCGGATTCCGCGCCCCACACAGGAAGCTCCTCGATACCTTTGTCCCGCATATTCTTCGGTATATATTTCGGATCCAGCAGACCAAGCTGCATCAGCACAGACGCCTGATCCCAGTACACATTCTCGCTGTAGAGCTTTCCTCCGCGTACGGCTACAACGCTAACGACAGCCACCTCGACCTGCTTGTCTGTCGCTGGTATGCCGGGAAGCATCCAGTACATCTCCTGGGTGTGCTTGAACGATATGTGGATCTCGTCAACCACACGGTCTACACCTATCGTGCGGGATAGCAGACGCATGACCATAGACGGCGGATTGGACTTGGCGAAGAACTCCTTGTAGAAGCGCACGAGCTCCTTCTTACCGACGCCGCCTGTCATTGTGGGAACGTAGTTCACGAAGGGTTTGTGGGCCATTTTCTGGACCGTCTCGTCCGGCTTATCAGATTTGTCTACAGGGTTCAGGTCAGTAGCAATTTCCACCCCGGCTTCAACAGAAACGCGGAACCTACTTTCGGTATGCTGTTCTTTTATGACCTCAATGTTTACCTCCGCGATGAAGCCTTTCCGTATCGTCGCCAAGCTCCTACTCCACGCAACCCGCTCGGCAACCTTGTCGTACTCATCCAGATCGCTCTCCGCAAATCCTGACTCCACGCCCTCGTACGTGTACGCAGGATAGCCGAGCTTCATAAAGCCGCCGGTGCCGATGCCAGGACCGACCTTTCGTCGGTATGTCTTCTTCTTGCCCTGTATTCCCAGGACCTCCGGGTTTCGACGCACGCCAACCACGCCGCCAGCTAGATGCACGAGCACGCGGAAGGAGTTTGGGAAGGAGTTCTTCGGGTCGGGGATCGTGGATGGGTAGTAGGCAACAAGCGCGCAGAGCCGTGGCGTGTGTTTCTGTTGAAAGACGTCCAGACATATTCCTGCTGCATCACCGAACGCTGCAAGGAGCCCACAGCTGTATCAGTGTCTGATATCGTGCAGCGCTGTTCCCAGACTGGACGCCTCAATGTGTCGTGTAGCAGGTGTGATATACCTACTATAGCAAATGACTCTCCAATCGACAGACTATCTCCAAGCCGTTTCAGCGTGTTCGTATACGCTTTCCCGCCGTCTCCAAAAGGTATGTACTGGACATTGTAGCCCTCGTCTCGCCATGCTTGTATGATGACCTCGTCGAAGTCGTCCGTCTCGGCCGTTATGTAGAGCGGTGGTGGGCCGGTCTTGAAGCCTTGGCTGGTGCTGAGGAAGCCATTGCCGTTTTGGAATACTTGTAAAGCCATTGCTTCAGAGAAGGCAGGAGCTAAGGAGCTCAATTGACTCTATATTCTATATGAGGCCCTCACCAAAGCCGAAACCCGGTTTCCTGTCAGACTTGCGGCCCATGGTTCGGGAAAGGGACGCGCCAAAGCGCATACGTCATCGCGGTTGGATCGCGTCCCCCCTCCAAGCACTGCGAACTGTTCTGAGGGCAATTCATGTGAGGACGGCGTCCTTAACTCTACCGAGCTGTTGCTCTATACGCGTCTATGAGCATCGATGGCCAGTCTACGCTAACACGTCTGCTAACCTCTGTGTTAGCCCTCCGCCAAAGGTACCAGTTTGCAAGACCGCTCACAAGCTCGCGCCGTACACCAAACAACATGGACCGAGATGTCAGCCCTCCGCCTTCAAAGCGTCGAAAACCGTCGCCTTCAATACCCGATACAGAGACCATGAACCTCGCGAAACATCTTTCATCGCGCAGTACCACCGACAACATCCGCATCTTCGCCTGGAACATCAACGGCATCTCCCCCTTCGTCCAATCCGCAAAGCCCATAACATCCTTCTTCCCACGCACCAGCGTCTCCACCGCCCCTCCAAAACGCTCTAACGGTACCCAAGCCCCTCGAGTCCCCTCTATTATCCCCACCGCCTCCCTCCGCGCCTTCCTCCGCCGCCACAACTGGCCCCACGCCCTCCTCCTCCAAGAAGTAAAAATCAGCCCCAAAGACGAGCGCACCAAGCGTGCCGTACAGGCTGCGATCAACGCTTCCGCCGACGAAGATGGAGGGCCGAGCTACACAGCGCACTTCACGCTCCCGCGCGACCCGCACAACGCGAAAGGTTTCGGCGGGAAGCTCTACGGCGTCGCCTCCCTCCTGCGCGATGACTTCTGCCGCCACAGAGGCGTGAGAGTCAGGGACGTGGACTGGGACCTCGAAGGCCGGCTCCACGTCATTGAGACAAAAGACCAGCTCGCTATCTTCAACATCTATGCTGTCAATGGGACAGACAGCGCTTATCGGAGTCCCGAGACGGGCGCGGTGGTGGGCACGCGCCATGATCGCAAGCTCGCCTTTCACGCGCTGCTGCTCGAGGAGTGTAGAAGGATGGAGCTGGAGGGGTGGAGGGTGGTGCTTGCGGGGGATTTCAACGTTGCGCGTGCGAGGATCGATGGGTGGCCGAATCTGAGGGAGTGGCCGCGACAGCACTGCGTCAATCGTGCGGACTTCAATGCCAAGTTTTTTGAGGACGAGGTGGGGTTACGAGCGGTGGATGTGTGGCGCGAGCTGAAGGGGGATGAGAAGGCGTATACGTATTATCCTAGAGGAGTGGCATGGGGCAGCAGTTGCGATAGAGTGGACTATGCTATAGTGAGTAGGAAGTTGGTGGAGGAGGGCGGACTGGTTGACACTGGGATCCTGAATAGCCCAGCCGAGAGAGGACCGAGCGATCACGTACCGCTTTGGGTGGAGGTGAGAGTGCCGAGGGAAGAGGACGATCGTGAGAACCGCAGTGGTGCTAATCGAGAGTATGAGTCAACTCGGTAGAGACAAGACAGATGCTTGAATAAACCGCAGACCACCTTGTTCTAATGCTACAGGATATCTATTACATCGCAGCTCCGCAATACGAAGCAACAACGCCGAAAGCTGCCATGCTGGATAGTCACATTTATTCACAACCCATTCGAAGGCAGGATTAGAGCACGAGAAGCGCAGCAACACCAGCATAGCTCAATCCCACCACGCCCCTCTTCGCGGCGTCCACCATTCCTCCAGGTGCGGCATTGACGGTCTGCTGAGCTGGAACGAAGCGCGAAGTGGTTGCAGACGTCGAATCCGTAGTCGCGGTACTCACGCCAGCTGCCACGGACGACGAAGTCACGAGAGACGAAGCGACCGACGAGGGCGCCGACGAGCTCACCGACGAGCCAGGAGCGGAGGATTGACCTGGCGACACATTCTGGGGCGCCGCCTTGGCGAGCTCTTTGTGCTTTTCCAGAGTCCGGTCGCCCGTTGCCGGACTTTGCAACACAGTCAGCAACACAACGTAACGTATGGAATCGGCAAGACCTACGCGTTGATGACGCCCACCATGCCTCCCTGACAGTGTCTTCCCCGCGAGCAGTAAAACCACTTGGGCTTGGTATCGGCGATGTAGACGTCGAAGATCAGCTGCTCGGACCCGCCGTTCGGCCCAGTGTAGTTCGTCGGCATGAAACCGGAGAAAAAGGCATCTGTCGCGTTCGGCATTACGTTGCGGATAGGCACGCATGGCTGGTCGAAGGTGGATTGTACGACGGAGTGGCTCTGTCGCGAGGAGATGTTAGCGCTGGACGGCCCGGTCAAGGGTAAGTGGACGTACCGCTGGCCGGAACTGGAATTGCACGACGTCGCCGATCTTTGCTTTTATGTTGTCGGGTGAGAATACCAGGGCGCCATCGGCTGTTCCTACTTGGACGGCGTGGTAGGTTTGGTATGCGGATGCGGCTGCCGATGTTGCTGACGCTGGTGCTTTTGCCGACTCGCCTGGATGGGTCGTTGCGACGGCATATCCGGCGAGGAACACGCAGGCTGTGGTAAGGACTCTTGGATACATGTTGCGCGGACGAATGTGGAGCTGATAGACAGAAACGGGCGGGAATGAGTGTGATATATTAAGCGTCTAGCGCTACGTGCTGGATCAACCAGATATGAATATAGAGTTGTCAAGAAAGAGCGCCGAAGAACCAAAGGGAGCGAAGTATGCACAGAAAGGAGAAGGATTTTACGGAGACAGAACAAACAGCAATGTGGTCAAAACAAGACGGGCCTATTCGTCTTCTTAAAGCATTGAATGATTAAGAAAGGCATCACAAGCCCCGTTGCGGACCGCTTCTTTGAGGCAGTGCTGTGACATCCGAGTATAGCAGCAAATATTACCTGCAACGGAAGAGATACCCTCCGTGCTTCAGCCACGCTCGTTTGGGGCTTGATACTGTTGCTGTCGGAGACTTGATAAACGCATATTGTTAATGCGCGTTAGCCATCTGATTTGACCCCAAGTAAAGATGGTAGTAGGTATGTGCCTTCGTATTCCATCATGCTTTTGTCGTGAGCTGCTTCTGACCGGCTTCTAAATACGAAAAGATGACGAACGAGCTTTTCGTTGAAATCTACTAATCGTTGTCGCTGGTGATGCGCAACTAATGATGCCTTGGTGTTGAAGCGCTGCGTGGAACCGAAGTCGTATCGTGTCGCAGATCTCGCCTCCGCGTTTGAGCCTGCAACAACAACATGCTCGAGCAGCCGCCGGCGCTTCTAGGAGACCAAGAATGATTTTAGTCCGACCACGATCCGAGTTACTCATGGCGCTGGTACAAAAATGTCTCACGCCCTAAGCTCGTAATCCTAGACCGAGCTTGACCATGTATCGACTCTTCGACCCGATCCCAACGTAGACCAGCAAAGATTCGGGGCATGACTGCAACGCATTGAAAGTCCGTTGCCTGGTCCTCATTGCTGTGTTCCAGATGCTGGACACTGCGACGGCATCTGCGCGTGCGCACTCTTGTCTTCAACGCCTGTCCAACCTTCCGTGTGCTTACACCCCCACAAACACTGCCGCCAAAGTCCCATCTCAGAAGTCCAGTAACAGCTGCGGTGCTGTCTTCTCCAAGTCCTCGACCTACGCCCTCCCATCAGCTAAAGTCCAGCAAGTGCTCCTCTCACCACCCCAAACCAACTCACCTGCAGAAACCCATCCCCAATCCCCCCACCCCCGTCCCCATCCACCTCCTCCCTCTCAAACGCTGCCCTCGCCAGCGCCTCCCTGACAAACGTTTCCATGTACTTGCCCACGACCGCCATAGCCTCCTTCCCGATCTTAATGTCCTTGTCCTCAAAGCCCTCGTGCAGCAGCCGTGTCAGCAACCGCGGCGGAATCGCGGGCGCGGCGTCGTCTTGGGATGCTGGTGGTGGAGCTGTGGCGGCTGAGGTGCGTGTGTTGGAGTGGGTGGTAGTATCTTCTTCAACATCGTCATCGGACATGTCGAGGTCGTCATCTTGCTCCTCTTCGGCTTCGTCGTCTTCGGAGGAGATTATGGTGGTGGATGCGGGTCGGAAGCCGGACTTCGAGGCGGGCACCTTCTTTGTCAGACGGCCTGCGCCGGTTGTCGAATTGGCTGATTTGCTTCGTGCAGCGTTGGTCGCTTTTGTGGCTGCTGTGTCTTGATCCCTGACCTGAGTGGGCGGTTTGAAAGCGGGGCCTCTGCGGCGGGGCGGGTTTGAGGAGGTAGAGGTTGTGCGTGATGGAGGCATGTTTGTTGTGATAGCTGATCCTCGTTGGCCTTCTCGTGTATCGAATGCGAATGATGTGTAAAAAGGTATTGATGCTGCTTGCATTCGAGCTCACAGCGGGCTGGGCGCGACGCGTAAGTTCCGCAACGCGACTTCACGTGCCCTTCTTGGGGTGGGTAGGCAGTCTTTGGATTTATCAATTCATCGCCCCTCTCTTATATAATGCGCTGAAAACATTCCAGGCGACAAACGCATGATCTACGATGCATAGCTAGCATTAATTACTTCGGGGAGGCTTCAGTGGCCTGCCGTACTAGAACGAGCCTAGAGTATAAGGCCTCACCTCGAAGTTACAGGCGTACTATCGCTCTATTCTACTCCGCCTCCCAATTGCACGGGACGAAAGTGCTTCTTCGAGCCCATCGTACCAAGACCCACCACCAACACTCATAAACGCTAATCCCTACCCCTTCATCCTCAACCCCCTCGCCTCCTCCTCCCTCCTCAGCTCCACCTGGCTCAAGAAACTCTGCCTCGCCCCATACGCCTCCTTGCTCTTCCCATACACGTCCAGCTCGTCCGCAAGGCCCTCCTGATCAACATGCTGCACCCAGTCCATGCGCGACTTGTCGACCGTGTTGAGCTTCTCCGGTGCCTTTGCTAGCTTCGTCTTCGCGGGAGCGGTCGGCATCGCAAAGACGGTGCCCTTGCTGTTGCCGGCCGGTTGAAGGCCTTGGTTCCGTTGACGCCAGGTGAGCTGCGCGGAAGCGGGGAGGCCTTTGATCTCGCCGGAGGGGTTGGGATCGAAGCGGGAGGGGCGCCGGAGGGGCCGACGGAGGAGGGGGTTGGCTGATGCGTCGGCTGGTTTGTCGACGTCGCTTGGGGCGTTTGTGCCTTTTTGTGATGCTAGATATAACCTCGCTTCTTCCGATGACTTGGGCACGCGCTTCTCTTCCGTGTGGGTCTCGCCGGCGAAGGTGTAGGTGCGAGTTATTGTGATCGTTTCCTCTTCGCGTGGATCAACATCTGCACTCGATGTGGCGGGGACAGACGATCCCGTCTTAGGGCGTTCTTCTTTGCCGACCTCCTTCTCTGCATCAACCCTCGACTCCGGCGGCCGCCCTACAGGCGCAGCAAGCATCTGCGCCCATAGCGCATCAACATCCACAGTCGCACCACCAACAGTCGCGAGCTGTTTCTTCTCCTGTACCCTAAAGCCTCCATCAGCTCCCCGAATTCCTTCCCAAGATAAGAGAGAGCTTACCTACTCCGCCCGTCTCTGCGCCCTCGTCTTGATCAACCCGCCTTCGCCTCCCGAGTCATCCTCCTTGTGCGCACGATATTCCTTGACGGCTTCTTCATCGCCGGAGTCGAGCCCAGCGTCGATAGTGACGGTCTTCCGCTTGCGCTTGGTGCCGCGCGCTTTGGTTGTGGATGCTTCATCTTCGGTGGAGGATGCGGACTCGGCGTCTGAAGGGGCTTCGGCGGTGGGACTGAAGTCTTCGTCGGAGGCGGAGTTGTAGTCTTCGCGGTCGTCTGTTGCTAGATGTGGGTCGTGCTCAGCCATCTCGGTGTAGTGCTGTGATATAAATATACTTAAGTTTAGGTAGCTACGCAAAATACGTCCAAGATTCGGGATGGCCAAAGCTTTTGCACGTGCAGACGTGACCATGGAAAACTAGGTAGGGTAAGCGACGGCCTCCACTTCCGCAACTCCACAGTGCGTCATCAGCAAAGGTTACGAGGGGTAGCTTGCTGTAGTGTTGAACAGTTCACAGTAACAGTATCTGTTCATGGCATTCATTGAGCTCGTCGCCAGCACTTGGCATATAGTGTACATTCCCTCGACATCTCACACCCATAGCACGCTCGTCGTCTGTTCAATCTCCCTTACTTCCTGATGCTGTTCGACTCGCCGGACCCAAGGTGCTCCTGCACCGAGCCGCCGATGGAGCCAGACTCTGTGAAGTGCTTGCCGATGGCGCCCTCCTTGTCGAGCGGTCCGCCGATGGCCTGGGCCATGCCACCGATCATGCCCTCCGCTGCAAGTGACTCGAGTCAGCTAGTGTCCGAAGCTACCATGCGGTATGTGGGGTGGGGTGAGAGCGAGGCATGGAAGGGCTCGGGGAGTAAGATGCACGTACTGGTGAACTGCTTGCCAACAGCACCTTCAGAACTGAAGGCTGAGCCGCCGCCCGTGGTTTTCTCGCCGATGGGTTCCTGCCTCGTTTTTAGTGACCATATACTTAGACGTATTACGAAGAATTCAGGCTACGCACTGCTCTAGGCTTAGCGTCTTCGTGGATGCTATCAGTCAGATCCATGTTCGGGTTGGCCCTGCGAGTAGTTCGTGAGCTATGTTTTCAGGCTCGGTGCGGAGCAGAGAGCTCCTTACGACGAGGCGCCCTCGGTGTAGGCCTTGTGTGAATCGTCTCCGTCCATGTCGGGGATGTTGTGGCTCTGGCGAGTGTGAGGCTTGGTGAAAAGGTTTGAGTAGCTTGACATGATGGGCCTAGGTCTTTCTAGTAAGCAGCGCTAGCTTCTGTGTGATGGTGTGGAAATCGTTACGTAGGAGGGGTAACGGTCGCGGATAGTTGATGTCATGGTTAGGCAGTCTTGTGATCTTGAGCCGCATCGAGGTACCTGCATGGTGCGCTTCACAGAGGTTGATAACACAGCGCTTACAGCTGGAATAGTAAACAGATGGGCGGATCTAAGTAGGTAGCTAAGAGCGCTGAGCAGGAAGACCTAGCTTGTCGAGCGCCGGTTGTCAAGCACATGTGGAACAGTTGAAGCGTGGGGGACGAAGAAGTAACCTTGATTGGCTTAACAGCGTTACACAATTCACGTAGTTGATGGCTTGTTTCGAGCATCTGAGCACATCCAATGTCCACGCAAACACAGATATATATAATACATGCGAGAAGGAAACTGCTGTGATAGGAGGATCAAGACGGCATAACAGCTTCAGAATCGTGGCTAAAAGCCATTGTTCCTTGCTGGAAAGCCACTTAACAGGCTCTCGATCTCTAAAAGCAAGCCAGCATCCGGTCAGGTGCTTGTCTAGACTAACGTGCTGCTGATCCACCCCTCGAGGCCCCTAGGGCAAATCATGGATCGATTGATGAGAAAAGACTCGACGGCGTCCGGCTCCGTTGTATGAACCATCAATTTGTGCTTGGCTGACGGAGCTGAATGGCGTAGATGCCCCAGCTGGGTTGGTTGGGCGTAGTTTTTACATGACCGAGCAGGTGCCTGGCTGCTTGCCACGGCCCTTGAGAAATCTACCGGAAAGTAATTCGCCCATATTGATTGGTGTTGTGGTGAGATTGAACGAATAAGCTCAAATGAGTGCGGTGTGAAGTGACTGTGTAATTCGGTGATGGGCGGCTGAGCTGCTCGCGGCCCCTTATATGTGATGGACTTCGGGTATGATGAGCCTCACGGAGCGAGCGTGGGAGGAGGCCCTTTCACCCGTCATCTCGCGAACAATGGAGAGAGCTTGTTCTGTCGCAGTCGTGTTCGAGAAATTCTGATAGTTGGCGTGGTTGGCTGCTGGCTTAGTATTGTTGATGCTTGATATTGTACCTCTCACGACAAAGACTCGGTTTCGTACCGAAACTCCTAACGACAATGCCTCTGTGGCTCGAGGAGCAAACAACTAGACTAGCTGCGGTGCAAAAGAAATGACTCGATAATATGCGAGAGACCACATGCGAGATTATGGAGTTGTAAGACTGCCGGTGGCGGAATATACTCGGATACGAGAATTCATGCCGCGAAGCCAACGTGACAACCCTCAGCTCACCCAGCTCAAGCAGATCTCACTGGAGATACGTGCCACAAGCGCCCTTAAGCATTGGACTTATTGTGATCCTGCGAGAGTACCGAGTACACGAAAGGAGTACATGTGCTCCGCATCTCTGACAGTGATACCATGACTCAAACCTGGAGGTTCGGAGGTCTAGGCGGGAGATGTACGAAACCAACTGAGAGCTCATAATGCACGAGGTGAACAAAGACTCGACCAAGGATGAAGGGGTGCTAAGTTCAACTTGCTGTCACGAAAGTTGCTCGTAGACTACAATGGCCGGTCCGCCGTTGGATATGGGTAGAGTACCCCTCAACGACAGCTGGTAGCTGGCCTCAGATGGTAACACCAACCGGCGAGTCCGTTTTGTGGAGATCTGGTCATGCAGTTAGTCGCGACCGTTTAGATGACAGCGGCAGTAGCGCTGACACTCCCTGAGCGTACCCCCTTAGGTCTACCCATTCCCGTCTGAAGGGTAGATTGTCTGGGCGCATGGATATCTATCCTACCAATGCTGTGGGTATCGAAGAGACGCTGGAGGCTCAAGGGTTCTGATTAGATTCGACGCCTATCAGTAGGTAAACATGAGGCCGTAAAATTGCTGTGACGTACGCCTTTCGCGCTGGCGTTGGCGTTGGCGTTGGTGAATCCTTCGCAGACGTCAAAGGTTCTCAGGCTACCGTCCAACCGCCAGCCGCCAGTCTGTTCGAGGTTGGTGTTGCAACATCGCACCCGTCGCCATCTGGAGTCTTTGCAGATCACTGGTGGTAGGCCTTCCCCAATCCGCACTCGAGGCACCATCGCCCGCACGAAAGGGGAATTCGGCCCGACGCCCCCTGCAGCGCTCAGCCGCTCGAGGCGTCGAGCCAAGGTCGATAAGCAACATGGCCTGCATCACCTTCTGCCGCCAGCCGCGACATTTCCCACTCAAATCATCTGTTCGCTAAGTACCTAGGCAAGGCCGGACGCCTCAACCGCTGCTCTTTGCCAGAGATGGTCACGAAAGGCCACCCGTCACAATGGCCCGATGCGCCTGCCTGGTGCAGCGCATGCTTCTATCTGCTCAGTTTTCCCACGTTGCATGCCTACCGCTTTGTCTCTCTGTCTCTGTTTCTCACTCGCATTCCAGACCTGCTGCCTGCGACTGCTGCAGATACCCTTCACCTCCGTCCCGGTGTTCGCTCCGTCACCCGCAAAGCATCTTCAGCCCCCAACACCTCCACACGCCGTGATCCATTTGTGCGCCGTCAGCTGAAGGAGAGCTCACACCGGTTATTGTTAGGGAATGCCAGCATAGTTACCGCGTAGCACCCACCGTTCCACCTCCACTCACCCCCCGATCCTCACTCTCAACCCGATCACCACCATGTCAGATCAACGGGCATCCACTTCGACGAACTCCGCCAATGCCTTTCCTCAACCATCCGGTGCTCCGCTGACAGTGCCCGAGCACAACGATGGTCAGCTATCTCCTGCGAAGTCTGCCTTCTCGTACGAGTCCCAGCCAAAGTCGCCAATGCCGAGTGGCATGGAATTCAGCCGCAAAGACATAACCAGGGAGATCGAGCGTGGAGCCCCCGGAGATAGAAAGGGAACTGCTGTTGGCCAACAGAACTCGAAGCGGAGGACGCAATACTACGAGGAACAGTTTGCGTACAAGGACGACACGAGTACGGCACGAGAGAGGGCGAGGAAGACATCTCCTATAACCGTAGAGTTGAAGACGAACGTTATAGTACGCTCAGTGAACCTCTGACCATAAAGTTGCCCCACTAACGCCGCCCTCAGGTCAATGACGAGCAGACCCTAGTGAACGAACTTTCATGGCACCTCTCGAACCGCTACCAAAGACCTCCCTCCCTCATCATGATCTTCGTGCAACATTCCGCTCTCCTCTGTCTAGGCGGCACGTTCGACCCCGCATATCTCCTTACCATCAGCGCACTCCCAGTACAAGTCCAGTCCGTAACCAACAAGCGCAACGCCGCCATGATCCAATCTTTCATGTCCGACCTCCTCAATGTCACCTCCGATCGAGGCGTAATCCGCTTCGAAGCCATACCTGAGGAGAACCTTGCCATCAACGGCAAGACGATTCTCGGCGAGGTCGAGCGGCTGGAGAAGCAGCAGGCAGAAGAGAACAACGGCCCCCTGAAGCGCGCCTTGACAAAGAGCTCGCGGAAGTCCATCATCAGCAGAAAAGACAGCCCCCAACTCTCGCGTAAAAGCTCCCTCAAGCCAGAGCGCGACCGCACGCTCTCGCCGCCGCTGAGTCCCCGCCCGGACGTCATTCCTGAGAGCACAGCAGCTGCGAAGGACGGCGGCTTTACGCATCGCAAGGGCTACCTGCTGGAGCTTTCTCCCGGCGATGCAAAGGTCAACGGCCCACCGCCAGCACCGTCGAGCCACGGCCTCAAGGGGAAGAAATCTTCGCCGGGCGTGCTGCAGAATTACTCGCATCTCACCCCGCCGCCTATACCGCAGGATGCACCGGCGCCGAAGATGTCGAAGCGGAAGAGCTTCGTGAGTATATTCAAGAAATTCTAAACACGGGACTTGAGGTGTGGGCTCCCCATGGGCGAAAATGGCTTTTCCCGGCTATAGGGGACTGGTTTTTGGGCTGCGGTGCTTTTGGCTTTGCGTCGCCTTGCGGGAAAGGAGTACACTTCTCGGCGATCTCATAGCATTTGCGAGGCTGGGTCTCGGAAGACGACAGGGGACCAGGAATTAAGCTTGGCTAGAGGGACCTGCTGGATACCATGGCGCTTGCTAGGTGGGCCTACCTGGTGTATACGGGGACGTGGCTACGTCTTGCATATGTTTCTTGAGGCTTGGCTGCGGCGCTTTAAGGCGCCTGACACATAGGGGCGTACGATGTCTGGGATAGCGGGCTTTGCTGGTGTTACTGGGGAGGACCGGACTCTGACGAGGACAGCAACGGGTGCGATTTGCTAGCGATTTGCTCTCTCGTTAAAGAACACGATGGCGTGAGCTTCGCCTTCGAAGGATGATGCGTTGCCGTCTTGTCGCAGTAATGATACAACCAAACCCTAAACCTTGACGTGACCTTCTTCACGTTGAGCAGAAATATCACGAGTACGTTGTTGGATTGGAGCTGGACACCTAGATTCCAGATTCACGCCCCAGGACTCCCAAAGTAACTGATGCATGAAAGCCTTTCCACTGTCGCAAGACCCCAACGCTCTCTAACAAACGCGGAACCACAATCTGGTATACTCGCTACACCATGACACCAACTCCGGCTCGATCGCACCACCACAACAGACCCGTAATACATCATCACGTCACCGACACAACCCCAACCTAATCCAAACAATCCCCCTTACACCATCCCCAGCTACAAAGCAAATAACAAGCCGCTCACGACCTGATCCCCACCCCCTCCTCCCCCTGGCCCTCCGCTTCCCTCGCCAACTCCCTCCCCGCCTCCACATCCATATCCACGCCCGCCGCCGCAACCGCACTCGCCGCGCTCGCCAGCCGCGCCACCACATCAGCCGACGGCAGCTCGCGATACCGCGCCACCGCTCCCGCTCCCGCCCCCGCCCCCGGCACCGGCACCATCTGCGCAACGGGCGGCGGCGCGTAGGAAACCGCAGGGCCAGGCGTGAGAGGTTGCTGCAGCCATCTGGCACGCTGCTCGTCGCGCAGCTCGGGCGGCGTGCCGACGCTCGGCGCGCTGTGCGCGTCGCCTTCGCCCTCGCCCTCGCCTTCTGCGCCGGCGTTGCGCACGTCGTGCTCGGCATCGCTGTCCCTGCCCCCGGCCCCGGCCCCGACGCCGCTGATGCCGTACGAGCCGGCGCTGTAGCGGGGCCTGCCTGCCATTCCCGACAGCGCGGCGACAGAGGAAGACGGGCTCGGGAGTTCGACGGCCACGGCCCCGGCCCCGGCTCCGCTACCAGTCGGGTAAGCCCTCAGCTCCACATCCCTGACCTCCTTCCAAGAGCACTTTGCGTGTTTCTTCGTACAGCCCATACACGCCGTCAGGTTCTTCAGACAGTCCATGTGCAGCCGTCTGCAGCGGTCGCAGGGCGGAAGCACACGATCGCCCTTCTGGATTCCCTCCATGCGAGCCACCATGGCCGCTTTGTACGGGCCCCCATCGTCTTTCTCATGGGCCGGCGAGGGCCGCGAATGGGAGTGCGAGTGCGTGAGGTGCGGCGGCGCCTGGTGCGATGGTTTAGGCCGAGGCGCGAAGGGCGCGCTTGCCGGGTTGTACAGGCTGGGGAGGCCGGAGTTGTGGGCTGGGTCGGGCGAGGCGGCGTGCAGGAGGGAGGCGTAGTCGGCGTCCGTGTAGGCTGGTGCTGATTTGGAGGCTTTCGCGGTGCTGGAGGAGGCGATTCCCGGTGTCGTGGCCGCGCTCTGGGATGCAGGGAGGGCTGTGTTGGACATGCGGCGGAGCTCGCCGCCGTTGGGAGGCAGCGTGGGGATGCTGCTTGCAGACGCGGCACGCCTGTCGGCGAGGGTGTGGAATTTGGAGAGGAGCTCTGAGCGCGTGGCTGATGAGGCGCCGCTGTTGCCGTTGTGAGGAGAGTGCTGAGTATGCTCAGAGGTCACGGCACCGTTTTGGTCGGAGGGCGCGCGCGAGTTGACGGCAACGAAGCCGGGTGAGTGTGTCGGCTGTATAGCGGACGCTGGAGCCCCAAGACCGTTCATCAGGGCAATGTTGGAGGGACTGGAGGCGCGGATGGCGACTGGGCTGTCGCTTGCGCGTCGATCGAGGATGGCTTGTTTGCGGCCCTTGAGACGGTGGTTCAGCTGGCGAGTGCGTGCCGCAACTGCGCAGATATACAGTCAGCAACAGATCCATTATTAGGAACATCGTAGACACGAGGTAGACGTACCCTGATCAGCCAGGTGACAGATCTGCTGCAAGTTCTTCTCGAGAATCTCCAGTGTGCCCAGCTCCTTCTCCTCATCTTCGACAATCGGCTGCGGCGGGATCATCTTCTGGGGTATACCGCTGTTGATCAAGACGAAATCTTCCTCGGTAATCTGCACGCGACACTGCTTTGTATAGAACTGGCACACCCGCGCGCCTTCGCTCATCTGCGCCAAGGTGAATTGCTCGGGCTTGTTCCGCGCAAACTCCACAACATCCAGCCATGTTACAGTCGTGCCCTCCTTTCCGTGAGTCTTGAGTACCTTTGGAGGACCGTCGAAGAGTCGTTCGAAGCGCTTGATGAGAATTGGGCCGAGCGGACGGGCGCCGAGGTTGCACGCCATGCTCTCATGGCGATCGAGGACGCCTTGGTACTCGCCGAGGAGGGCGATGATGGAAGGGAGCGTATCATCGCTGCTAACTAGCGGTAGGTCTTCCTGATACTGTCGCGCGAGATAGTTTATCTGGAGGTGATTGTTCGGCTTTGCGGCTTTGGGCGGAGGGGCCGAGGCGGGATGTGTGGTGGGATCGCCGGATAGGCTGCGGCGCTTCCTCTTGAGGTCGGTCGCTGAGGAAGACGTTGGCGTGTTTGAATTGCGTGCGCTGTGCTCAAAGGGCACAGTGGAGTGCGCGGTGGACTCCATGGCGGCGAGCGAAGCTATGCGACGCCGGAAATTGCTGGGGAAATGCAACTTATGGGGGAGAGGCGGAGTGGGGAACGGGAGGACCGGGATGCAACTCGGAGTAAAAGGCCTGGAAGGGTCGACGGAGCGGAAGTAGACGCGGGCGAGGCTTCCCAAGCGCTGGCCGGCACACAGCGGTTAGCACGAGGTCGCTGTAAGGTCTGGGCAAGCACGGCAAAGTAACGGCTCCCTTAAGAGCGGTTTGCTGGAAGAGCGTGCAGCTTGACACCAGAGATGGAGCAACTCATAGTGATGGGAGTGGGTGGAAAGCGGAAGCCGCGGCGGTGCACCGGCCAACGCCTCCAAAAGAGGCCTGGTGCTCGGGCGTTCTGCCAAGGTATCGACCACCTTTCTCAAATGCCTCTAAACAGTAGCGGAGGGCTATACAAGCGCTTCGTACACTGATAGTTCCCATGTGCTCTATGTATCTTTCGAGATCAAATATAGAAAGTGATGACCGTCTAAAATCCTCCCGTCCCACTTGTCCAGCCAAGACTACAAGGGAACGTTGGTCCGCGGCAGGCTGTTTGGTAACTTTCCAGCGGCAGGGTACCTTAAGCGCCTGAGTGACGGAAAAAACGGTGGACTCCAAGTTTACACAGTCGTGGGCTGATGCAACGACCCGTTGGATTGAAGCTTCAAGAAACGCAACACTACAGCTAAATCAAAGACATACATGAAGTGAACCACTTACGAGCTTATGAAGGTGTTGCAGGCAAGGTGAATACTACAAACGCTGCGGTCAAGATTGGGAGGCCGCAGGTGACGAGTTTTGATGATTTTTGTCCTCCAGATGCCGAGATCAAGCTGACGCTATCTTATCTAATCTGATCTGGATTCTGCCCTCCTCCACCGCCCACCCACAGCTCTCCAAAACACCATCATCCAGCCGTTTAAACAACCACAAGCAACCGCACCCGTCCGACGCATCCAAACCCCATGTCGGAGCGCGGCCAATTTCGCGGCGGCCGAGGCGGAGGTCGAGGAGATCGAGGAGGCGGTGCGCGCGGAGGGCGTGGCGGCGCAGCGGCATCACAACAGCCGGAACGGCCGAAGAAAGAGAATATCCTGGATCTGGCCAAATATGTGGACAAGCAGATTACTGTCAAGTTCAATGGGGGGAGAGAAGGTGGGTTGATGTTCAGTTCCGAGGAGAAGGGAAGGGAGGGAGGGGCATGGGCAGAGAGGGCTGAGGGAAAGGAGGGAGTTGAAGTGAAGAAAGCTGGCTGACGCTTTTGTTCTGGGGCTGTAGTGGTGGGAACGCTGAAGGGGTACGATCAGCTCATGAACCTGGTGTTGGACGATGTGAACGAGGTGATGAGGGGTAAGCGATTCCGTGGCAGTCGGGTCCTAGGACCACCGAGCAAAGCGGCCTAACATCCAAGCAGACGACGAAGGCAACGAATCCTCCCGCTCGCTCGGCCTCATTGTCGCTCGTGGAACCCTACTCGTCCTGATATCGCCGCTTGATGGGAGTGAAGAGATTGCGAACCCGTTCGTGCAGCAGGAGGATGATTGAAGGAATGGGAGGTGGAGCAGCGAAGTTATTGAGAAGAGCCAGGGTACGGTGGAGATCAGCTGAGCAGGAGGTCATGAGGAGTGGCAGCACTGCTTTCTGCAGCGGAGCAGACGTTTGTTTAGCAGACGAGACGTTACGCCTGCACAGATCATCGGGCCGGAGAGAGCGGCTGGCTGGAGTATCCCAGCACACAAATCTCGCAAAAGGGGATTAGCCGAAGGGCTGAAGAGAGAAACTTTCTCAACCGCTCATCAAAATATCAGAAGCCAAGAATATGAAGCTAGATGTACATAATGACCATCCTCCGATATCCTTTTCAGCAATGCCGCACCAGGCAACCAGTCAACCAACAACCTTCGCTGATAGGGGCAATCGCAGTATCAATATCAACTCCGCTCAACATCAACAACACCGATAAACTTAGTAAGGAGCATTGTCCTTCCTAGTATTGTCATAGTCCGCTCCAGTGCGCCCGGTCAGCGTGCTGCTCCCGGTCGGCGCACCGCTGGCGACTGACGGGCCCCGGCTATCGCCATTGTAGCCCTCGATAACCGGGTTGCCATCCGTACCGCCGTAGCCTGAACCGTATTTGCCCACATTCATAGGCAGGCCGGTGATGGGTTCGATGACAATGCCGTTGTCAGTACCTGCTGCGGTTCCACCACAGCGCTTGTTAGTGGAATATACGATGATACAATATCGCGAAGCTTACCGTTCGCCGGAAAGCCGACTAGAATCGCCGATCGGCCCGTCAGTGCCAGCGTGCTGACGAAGGGGTACTGTACTGCTAGCTCGTGCAGCGTCAGTGTCGGTGGTACCGCCGGCATAGCCTGGAGGTGGGTCCTTGTGCAGCCTGTTCCTGTCATGATCATGGGCATGCGGATCCGCAACGCTCTTCACGTTGGCAGTCGGGTCACCGGCACCTTCGCGATGATATCCCGGCAGGTTCCCCTCACGATCATGGTGTGACGGATCCGCACCGCCTCTGACGTTGGTAGTTGGGTCATAGGGATCCTCACGCTGATGTTGTGGCAGAGCGGCCGCACCACCAGCCGCTGCCAGGTTCCTGTCATGATCGTGGGCGTGCGGATCTGCGACGCTCCTAACGTTGGTCGTCGGATCACCCGCCATCTCGCGCTGATACCGTTGCGCGGCGGGATCAGCTGCCGTGGTCTGGTCTTCATCCTTGTTGCGGCGGAAGAGACCGAGGAGACCATGGTGCTTCTCCTTATCTGTAGAGTCTTTTCCGTCGTCATGCTTGTGCGCAGCCTTCCTCGCCTCTTTCTCGTGTTTCTCCTCTTCCTTCTCGAGCTTCGCAACCTCCTTTTCATGGTGTCGCTGCTCCTTCGCCAGCTCCTTCTGGTGAACTTGCTCCGCCTTGATTCTCTCCGCCTCAGCTTTCTCAGCGTCCCGCTTGGAGTACTCAGCTCCGCCAGCCGCACCTGCAGCACCGATAGAGGCGGTCCGTGGGTCCTGATAAGTGTTGTAGCCGGCTTGCCCAGCAGTCCGCTGGTTGTCATAGCTAGAGCGCGGACTGGGCTCACTGCCTCTACTTGCTGCATAAGCGCCTGCGCCTAAGCCGGCAGCACCAGCTCCACCGGCAAGGGCAGCATCACGTCCATGGTGACTGGTAGTAGCTTGAGATGCACGAGGTGTGGCATCGACGCGTGGATCGATCGCGGTAGAGCTATAGGGGTTGCGACCGTGAGAACCCGTCATGGGCGAACCGTGCTCATGGTGTGGGCGATCTCTGCTAGTTCCATATGCTGCTGCACCAGCCGCTCCGGCACCTCCGGCCAGAGCTGCGTCCCGACTAGTACGGCGATCGCTTTGTCCCGTAGCCGATGGAGTGGAGTCGATGCGGGGATCTATTCTATTCATCATCTCAGACCGGTGGGGCTCAGTGATCCTGGGAGTCGAAGTCTGTGCCGTAGTTTCAGCTCGTGCGCCAGAGCCACGGTGCTGTAAACCTGTGCCCCCAGTCATCGAGCTATCATAGTCGGTGCCGGTAGTACCGGCACCCATAACGCGGGAACCATCTCGATCAGAATCAACGCGCGGATCTGCCCGATTGGCCAAGCTCGAGGAGTGCGAGCCAGAGGTGTCATGGCCGGTCGTGCTACGGCTGGTGGTGTCGTAGCTGGAAGAAGTGGTGTCCTCATGAGACTTGCCTCCTCCGGTAAGCATTTCCTTTGCCTTACTAATGAATCCGGTAGTGCCGCCGTAGCCAGCGCCTGTAGTAGCACCGCCCGCGAGGCGGGACCCGTCACGGTCCGAATCAAAGGAGTGAGGACCGGAAGTCGTACTGCCATAGCCCGCGCCGGTGGAAGTGGCACCCATACCGCGGGAGTTGTCACGATCGGAGTCCACCCGTGGGTCGGCCCTGTTAGCTAAGTCGGAAGAATGGGTAGTGCTGCCGTAACCGGTGCTGGTGCCCATTGTGGACGCACCAGCAAGTCCAGAATCGCGGCCGTAGCCTTGCTGGTCAGTAGCCGTGCTGCGGGCTCCAATTATTTCAGTGGCCACGCTGGAGAGTGGCTGCGGTTCACCGGTGATAGGGGTGGCGGCAATGCGCGGATCAAGTCTGTTCGCTGTATCCGTCACATGGGGTCCTCGGGTGAAATGAGGCGCCGGCTCTGGTGGCTGCATCCGCTCGCCGCGGTACTGGTGGCCGATACCCCCATGGCTGTGGTCCAGAGCCATGGCCTTATATTCTTTCACCAGCTCGGGTTCGCCTGCCGTTGTTCCGCCGATCCCGGAGCCTGTGGTATGTCCAGTCGAAGATCCTCCAGACAAGGGGAATTCTCTCCCTGTGCCGGCCGTTCTGTACGTACGTTAGTAACGAAGCGTAGATGCATCAAGGCGGGCATACCCATGAGTTCGATCCGAGTATCCTTGACCAGACATAGCGCCAGATGCAGGGGCGTCAGGTAGCGGCTTGTTCATGTCCCCTGCGTGTGGGTCAGCGAGTCCCTGTGAAGGGTTGTAGCCCAAGACTCCAGATTTGATGCTCGCTGTGCTCGCATTCTCGGCTGGCGGTCCCGGTCGTAGATATGTACCTGACGAATAACCAGTACCCGCTGCACCGTGTTCGCCGTGTCGAAGGCCGTCGTTGCCGTGAGCGCCAAGCGGCTCAGTATTGTGGGTAGGGTCGGCGCGAGCCATTGTCGACGTCATGGGGATAGCCGTGCTGGCATGCCTTGACTGCGCTGTCTTATCATGAGCGCCAAGCGGCTCAGTGTTGTGGGTAGGGTCAGCGCGAGCCATTGTCGAAGTCATGGGAATAGCCGTGCTGGTATGCCTTGACTGCGCTGTCCTATCGTGAGCCCGCATTCATTGTTGCAACTGAGCCCACTAGCGGTGCTCCGGTAATGTGGCGCGCAGCACTGCCACAAGTTGCACAACGACTGCCCTTACCAGTCTCGTTTCCAGTATTGCGATTTGGATCGTTCGCGGACTCTTGACCGCCGTACAGCACATCATCGTCCTGGCGATGTCCCGGCGAGCTAAAGAGGAAGTTAGTAAAGCGTTGTTATTAGGAGCGCCGCAGAAGTAGACTTACAGGATGTTCTTTAGCTTCTCCATGACTGACTGCTACGTTTGGGTATCTTGAGGTTGATTGAAAGTTCGAGGATTGAAATCGAAGAAAGTTATTGAAAGCACGGCTGAGATGTAGGGAGGACGATCGACCACCAAAAGTCTTTATGTTTACCGTACAACCCAGCCAGCTGAGCTAGCTGAGAAACCAGTGAAGTCATCGGACATTGTGGCGTCGTTGGTGCACCAGAAATGCTTGATTCGAGATCAAGCACGCTGCAATGGTTCGCTAGCGGGCAATTGCATGGCCAATTCGAGAGGATGGTGCGGCCCAGCAAGTCAGGAGTCGCACAGGCATCGCACTTCGTCTTCCCTTGTTGGGAAGACCGCGATGGATTTTATTCGCAATGGACAAGTTAAAGAGCCGGAGAGCCCGTTCAGAGAGGCCTGCCTGCTGGGGTTTAATTCTTTCTATCCCTCTTCCGGCCAGCACCTGCTGGCTTGCGCAGGGAGCTTCGCTGGGAGAGGGATCGAGGGATGATGACAGCATCTGGATCGACCCGCGTAACCCCACCACGGGGCTGGTCGCGCATGACCCAGCACCAGCCGCATCGGAGAAGAAGGCGCACCGAGGCATGTTGCAAGATACGAGTAGCTGCGGCACGTCGGGCAGGGAAGAACTTTCACTGCGAAAATCACCAATATCACCTTCTTCACCACTGTTAATGCAGTCCGTTATAAGCTACTAAGGTTTAAAATGCTCTAAGATACTCTCTATACCCTATTACACGTTTAAGTACTTTTTCAGAATTATGCTTTACTAGTAAATAGTAATTATATACTAAAGTTGATATATGCGATGCAAGTTCTTTTCTATCCGATATATGAGCTAAGATACGATTAATAAGCGTGTTAGATCTATGCTAAATCGCTTGCAACTCGTAATCGCAATAGAGGGTAGAATGACACCGAATTAGATAGAGAATTGGCTTCCAAAAAGCTTCAATTTTTGGTAGTAAATGGAGTGGTTGATGGAAACGTGATATTGGTGATTTTCGCAGTGAAAGTTCTTCCCTGCCCGACGTGCTGCGGGTATGAACATCCAGTTGCCAGGTCCTGGCTACAAGGAGCTACCTAGCTGGAACCTCCCTGCTAGACGACAACGAGGTCTTCCTATATACGTTCACAACCAGCTTATACCACTATTCACCGCCTACCTGAACTAGAGGTCCGTGAGTAGAGCATTAGTACTCAAGGACGGGCGCTAACGCTACAGATCTCTCTGGAGGTTCGTCAAAGCCGACAGAAGCCTGATACTCTGGGCGCCAACACGTGATATCAAATATAGCTAGGAAAGGCGGAAATCGAACACCCATAGCGACATTAGCCTTGCATTGAGAGCGTAAACTGGCGTGTCTCTCACTCCAGGCAAACAAGACCGGAACAGTCTATGACTAGAGTTCGCATATTGTTTCTGTGATCGCAACGGCAACTCAGAGCTGTTGCTTCGATGAAAGCATTGCGAGACCACTTAATTTTAGCATCGACAGTGAGGGAGGCTGTGCAGGACTAGCGGTGGAGAGGAAATTGTTCCTCCGTAAGTAGTGAAGCATTTCCCCAGAGCATCTGGAGGGCGAGGCACTCGAACATTTGAGTATAAGAATTTATTCGAAGGGCCGGAATTCTGATATGGAGACCTACCTCATGCTCGGAGTTACTATGACCGTGCTGAAATGTACGCAGGACTGCCGCGCAGAGGTGACAGGTTTGGGAGCCTTGGAAGCAACCACCGACAGCCCCGCGGTTGGTAAAACCCCTGTATCCGGGGAAGGAAACCATGACGATGCCGGCCTCAAGTCACGGTGCCAGACACCCGCCTTGACATTGGCCCTCTGATGAAAGACTCCGACTCCGCATGCCACGCATTGAAGGGACATCTTTCTACTCCAGACGAGAAGGGTTTCTGTCTCTCTATTCCAACTGTTGAACTGCCTACCCTGTTCATGGGGGAGCCAACCGTGCGCTGGACCCGCAGTGGCTGACCTTCCGCAGAGGCCGGTAACTCCGGACAACTCTACATACGACTTTTACCGTACGTTGCCGCATGAATATCCGCACTACCTTCACCAGCCATGCCTTTCCGCGAGCGTATGAAGAAGGCCTTCAAGCGGTCGCCCTCGAACAGCGAAACGTCCTCTCTGAGCAAGACAGACTCAGGCAATCCCAACGTTTACCAACCGGGCGAAAAGATACCACAACCCAAGTATCGGCGTCCAGTCCAGAAGGAACACAAAGAGAAGCTGGAGAATTTCTCTTTCTCTAATGCATGGAGGAAGTCAAGCCAACAAAGCGGCGATTACAGTCCGATGGGTAGCAGGGCGCCAAGCAGGAGGGGTAGTTTAGCAAGCATATTCGGTGTAGGCGGTCGGAAGAGCTTCCAGTCCAGGAGGGGAGAAAGTACAGTCGAGGAAGGCGAAGGCGATGATACGGATGTAAAGAATGGTGAGCATGTTCGCTGTGTTTCCCCCGTCCCGTAGCCGGGTGCGCCAGAAGATCACTGCTAACTGGACACTTATTGCAGTGGGTCTGTCCAACCCCAATAACCATGAAGGAGCCAACGCAGGCGCATCAGGTGCTCCCATGTCCTTGAATCAGATCACCAACCAACCATCCGGCTCAAGGCCTCAGAGTTCTAATGCAAATGGCGGTCGCACTTCTCCATACCAGCAGCCTTTCACCCAGGAGGACCTGACGCTAGCGCTGAAGAGGTCACGTCTCGATGCGCCGACGTAGCGTCTTTCGTCGTTGGACAAGAAAGGCCAGGCTGCATCGCGTAAGCACAGCGTATTTCCTGGGGAAAGCTGTGCGCCAAGAGCCGAGGTCGTCTGGCGCAGTCTGTGTCGATGGTTCACATCGGATGTGTATATACCGCCCCATGCACTTCTTAAGTTCCTTGTGGTGGTATTTTGGTGGGCTGCATAGTTGGCAAAGCTGGCTCGGAGTTTGTATTCATTGGCGTTGGAAACTGGGTCAGTCCTTGAGAACCTGTATTTAGCAGTATCGCGTTGAACCACTAAAAGCCCAGACTTAATCCGTGACAGGAGCAAAATCAATTAGGTTGTCGGCCTGCTATGCTGATCCCACTTTCATCACGGATCACGTGCCCTGAAGCTCACTCGGTTTTTCTTCGGAACTGCGAATCTTGAGCAAGGTGAGATCGCCTCCATTACCTAGGCTATCATTAACCCGGACATGCGAAGACTCTCACAGCGTCAGATTCATGAGCGAGATGGTACTTTGAGAAGATTATGATTTATGGCTGACCTACTGGGTGTCCGACAACGATCTATTACTCGGCCAGCAGCCGACTGGTACAAATACAACAACAGACCTCCAACACCGAAGAAAGCACATGAAGCCACTACCTAGATACTACACATAACTCAACAAGAATAAGAACAGGGTATCCGAAATGTTTTACCTTTGCACCGCAGTCTCAGAAGCGCTCCTTACGCCGCAGCTCGTCCTTGTTGTCCTTGATCTTAACCCAATACCAATGCTCCGCCCAATACTCCTCCCATATCATGGATTTGCCATCTTTCCTCTCCTTCTCTTCTAGTCCCTTCATCCAATTCACTAGTCGTTCGATCAGCTTCTCAGCATCCTCCGGCGTCTTCTTTTCTTCGATAATGTCGAAAAGCTCCTGTGGATTGTCGAACCGGGTGTTACGCCCGGCTGTACTTCTCCTCAAGTGCGTTTTGTAATGGTCATTACAATTATCATTCCGCCCAAACTTCCTATTTCCGTCTCCTTGGCATTTCTTAGGATTTCTGCTATTGCAGTTCGGTCCCAGTACGCACTCAAAGCGCCTCTGGTCTGAGTGCGTGTCCTTGTGGCGCTTTAAGTGCTCTGGCCTATTGAAGGCCTTTCTGCATATGTGATTGCCAATCATCTCGTCGCAGAAGTGTTTCTTTTGTGTCGCCTCGCGACTGGCATATTTGCCGTCGTTGCGTACGACCCATTCTCCATCGATTGCGACGCGAACCTCCCCACCACCTACCCGGCGGGTGCAGAATGGGAGATCCTCGGTTTTTGTTTTCCGTCGGCTGACTCCCGCCCTCCGTCGTTCCTTCTTCAGGCCCTTCCCGCCAGTCCTTGTGGTGTACACCGATCGGGCCACTTTCCTGCCACTCCAAACAGCACGGGTCGAGCTATCATCCTCCGAATGATCGTGGTCATGCACCGGTTTGATATCAAGACAGCTCGGCTCAGCTCCAGCGTAAGGATCGATTGGGCAAGGACTTGATGGCGGGTATTGCTCGAACGCACTAAAGCCACTATCGGCAACATCAACCTGGATGTTGGCGAAGCCATCCGTTTCGAGATCCACCGACGTATCCGATGGAACTACAGTCGAAGTATGCATCCTGGCGTCCAGGGTTGGCATCATCCATTGATGGCTCGCTGCAGGTGTCATGGTGTATGAAGCGTTGGTGCTGTCAAGCATTGATTGGTCTTCGGGTGGGTATTGTATGTGGACGAACGAGCCCGTAGACGAGGAAATGTGCTCTCCTTCCCAGGAGGTTGATGAGTTGAAGGATTCCAGCGCCGAACGCACCGGCTCGCCGCTTGCACGGGGATCAAGCATCGATTGCAGAGCCAAGGAAAAGTCGCCCGAAGCTGGCATGGTACAGTCGCATACAGGACCAGTTAATGAGAGAGAGCTCTCGAGTTCAGGCCGTTGGACCATTTCCCATCCATGGGTACGATAGTCGAGCAGACCACTATCCGTGCTGGGTGCAATATTACGAAGCGGAAGCAGGGATTCCTTGACACAACCCCTCGGGAATGGCAGTCCATGGTGCGGTGAGAGGTCCTCGAAGTTCAGGCCGGACGTTGCGTAAAAGAAGCTCTCCGATAGTGCATCTACACCGTTCTGCGGCGTTGAGGGCATCTGATGCGGCGAGTAGGCATCGGATACACTTGAGAAGCTCTGGGCGTACGACAGCGCAGATTGAGAAGAGACGATCGAGTCTCGGCGGCCTTCATACGGTGTCGACAAGGGCGTCAGAAAGCCTGATCCGGAGTAGCTTGCCGTGGAAGTGTGGCAGTGGTCCGTCGTATCCATGGGTGCGTACTCCATGATGCCTTCGTTGACAAACTGCCAGCGGTGCGCTCTCGTCAAGTGCTCTGAGTGGCCTTGTCAGTTGTGATAGATCTTAATGTGGTACCGCTACGGTCGTCTTCGGGTAGATGCTGAGCCTGGCCCAGGATGCTGGAGAGAATATGGTAAGGACGGAAGAGGGCTGTACGAATCTATGGATGCTGACTGTAGAAGATAAACATTCAGGAATGACAGTAAGACGTTCTTCATGATACAGAAAAAGGGGTCCAGCATGTGCTTTTGAAGTCGAATCGGCTTCGGCACCACCGGCAGTATCTTTGGTATCCGAAGTGGCAAAGAGATTGAGAACGTACTACACTCACCATTGTGAAACATGACATAGGTCAACGGCGCGTTCGCGAACGCGGTCGACTCAAGACAGGGCGTTGGAATGGTGGGGAGACTCGCGAAAGAGTGTCGATACCTTCTGCTCCTGGAGACAGCAATGGAGGGCGTCTACGACAGTTGTACGCGAACCCCTCAAGAGCTGTTGCAAGAGCTGTTGCGATGGAAAGCCACGGAGCCTGAGAATAGGGCAAGACCACACGAACGGAGTCCAGAGTGTGGTCTGAATTCCTCGAAGCCTGCAAGGGGCCGCTCGATCTACTAAGGGTTCAGGAACAAGAACATTAACTTTCTCAGGATTGGGTGAGCCGGGAAAAGGACAAGAGTAAAGACCTTGCAGCAAGTCAAGATTTGAAGATGCAGGTGAGGAATAGAGCCTCTTATGGTCTCGGAATTATGAACGGCAACCGTACAAACTCACAGGCTGGATGGACCCACGGATTTGGATGAGGCATGGGGTGTCTACCTTGAGAATCGATGGTGGTCTGCCATTGTAACGTCAACCCCACAGCTGGGTCTTTTCAAGAATGGTACCTTAGGACCCTACAAACAGCGCCATGCCTGTCAGCCACTCCCATCTAGGCCTCTCCCAGGCCTTGATGGCGATGGCTGCGGCCGAAAGAAGTCGTTGGAATCTCCTAACAGTGGTCTCGGTCCGCCAACCAGGTTGGACGAGATCAGTGTCTGCAATCATCCGCCGTTTGGACCTGCGTGTACGCAGGTCCTGTGCAGTATGACTCGCGTCAGACCGGCACTGTACCCCACAAGGCCCTAGATGTAGACCCACTTCCAAGCGGGATACTGTTGAGACACCGAAGAGACAACGGATCATGAGAGCAAATCCGTTTACTAGATCCGGCGTCTCTTCGACAGTTGTTTCCTTCCGTCGCCATGCACGCCGACGCACCTGCAGTAACTGGCACGCCATTCAACAACAGAATGGGGTCCTATGTGGTTGCACACGACCTTCAACGGTGCCAAGAATGCGCTTACAGATGCCACCTACCTCGACGCAGGCGTTGCACTCATCCAATTATTCTCCGATATAATGTGGAGGTGCGTGATCGGACGGCCTCCAGATCCATTACCACCTGGTTAGCCTGTCGTGGAAATACGCGGGTGCTTCGCCATCACCGGAATGGATTGCAAGAGGAAAGTTATCTTCTGACTGGTAGAGGTCGCGGTACTCCTGGTCATACTCACGTTTTTGGACTTAGGGACAGCGCAATGACTGAGGCATATATCGTGCATACGACAAATTTCTCTTACCATGGTTCGATTGCACATCTACAATAACCAGCATTTGTGAGCAATCACATGAGGCCAGCTGTAACTAATGTTAGAAGATCAGTTGCGATCTGCTGAGCTTGGTAGCAACCGGTGCTGTTACACCGCAGGCTGCGGGGCGGCACGCATAGCCTCCGAGTTTCGCATCGGCCAAAGCTTCAGCAACGGCTTCAGCAATCTGTTCTCCGTGGGTTCGGCCGTAGGATCGCAGTGTCTCTTGACGGTTTGCGCGTTTCAAGTTCCAATAGCGTCCGTCGCATCTTGGAGCTTGTCGAAACGCATCTCAGCGTCGCAGAAAGACATCGCCTGGCTTTACCCAACTCTCACAATCCTGTCAGTTTGAGACAGAAGGTCGCGCCTAGGAGGCTATCAAAAGTAAGCCCGACTAAATCCGGGTTCAGCAACTGGCACTGCTGCAAGCTTCCGCCTCTAGGCGAGCCCTTACACGATACGGAGTATCGGACACGCCTTGATCAGATGTAGGGAACGGCATCTCAGCCATGCCTTGTCAACGGCTAGCCGCGTTATGTCAGCGGATATACGCAGAAAGGCTGAATGTACTATGAAAAGCTAGAAAGTACAAACTCTCGAACACATTCACCAGCCGATTGGAGTCAACACTCAATCTCAAGGGTCTCTTGATCGGCGCTCGACGCGCCAGACGCGGCAATTGCGCCTGGCGTCTCCTGAGTGCGCCTCTTTCGGTACTGTGCGACAAAAGTAGCAAGGCTGACCTAGTTGCTGCATCGGATATGCAAGACATGAGAATCTCCGCTACCTCAAGGCGCAGGTAAGACGACGCAGGCACAACGACTTAGCCCGGTTCAGAGGGTCCCCTTTCGATCCCTTCCGCATGGTGCCCAGCCAGATCTGAAGGAGCATTAGGATTAAGCCGCCGGAACCGCTCCGAATCTCGGTCGATCTTTGAGACAAGTCCAAGATATCTCGGCGTCGCGGCCGCCTATCCGAAGAATGCAAATTTCCCGCGTCCACCATTCGAGTGGCTCCGGCCTTCTTTGCCGATAACTCTGCCGGCCTCGATCGGATTCTTTGTGATTCTCTCTGAGGCATTGGCATGGAATCTGCACCATGGATCGAGAGCCGACGTCCGGGGACAGACGGATGCCTACGTAAGGTTTACCGGACTAAACTTCCGAGCAACCCCTGGGAGGCTGTGGTAATGCTTTTGCACACCAAGCCAACCGATCCCGTGTTCGAAGGCGAAGCATCTAGCAATTCAGGGGACTGCTCGGAAACGTGATCCGCTTGTGCTCTCCAAGAAGTATTGCAAGCCTGTTAGCTCGTTCTCAATAGCCAAAGCGTTGAACGGCGACCGAGTAGTTTCATAATTGTATTATGTCCAGACACGTTTCCATTTCTATCAACGGCACAATGAGACGAGGGATATCATCGCACAACCAACCAATCGCCATGCTTAGAACGCTGAGATGAAGATAGATGCAACTCACTCCATAAGCACCGATGCCGAACCTGCCGGAACCCTCGTACACCACTTTCCACGCTATCAGTGCTCAATGACACCATTCAGTCCTCGCTCATCTCCATCGGACCGTCAGAAACTCTCCCAAGAACGTCGATCGCCGTTACGCCCTGTGTCACAACACTATCAACACCCTCTGGTGCCGCTGGGGCTGGTGATTGGCCGCCTTCAAGCAGGGGCGAATCTGGTACAGCTGGCTGTTCTGTTGGGACGCCTTCGACGTGGGGCTTAACCGTATCTGGCTTGCCCGCTGATATTTCTGGAGCTGTTGTCGGTTCTGATAGCACGGGGGTTACTACTGACGTCGAAACTGATAGTCTCGGTACAGGGGCGGAAGTATCCAATTGGGATGCTGAGTGCTGCTCTGCTACAAGAGACGAGTTAATGACTGGCAGTGAATAGCACGTGGCTACAGCTTCGTGAGCTGGCGCTATTGTGTCGACGATCGTTACAGTCACCACCTCTGTCGCGGTTGTCGTAAGGACGACAGACACTGGCGAGCATTGGGTCTCGTTTTCCACCAGCAGAAACGGCCAGTGAACATCCGTGTCTTGATGTACCTCCGATCTCTGCCCTACGCAAAAGAAGATAATCACAACACTCATGAGGAGCATTACCATGTTGCGACGGTCGCGAGCTAAGAGGTAGAGATAATTCCGCAATAGTATCGAGAGTGGAATGTCCTGCGCTCGTAGCGGTGCTGGTGCCGCGTAGTCGTGCTGAGCTTTTCCCGAAACATACGTGTCGCGTTGCTCACGAACCGGCAAAGGCAGGTCCATCTGCTTCACACTCTCTTCCACCTTCTTACTCAAAGTCTCCAACTCCGCAGCCGCGACTCTTGCACTCTCCTCCTCTTCCATGAGTAGTCTCCTCTTTTGCTCTTCCTCCTGCTCCAACTGCGCGATCGCAATTTTTTCCTCGTCACGTCTCCGCTCTAGCTCTCTTCTCAGTCCCTCCGGAATCCAAGGCGAGATTTCCACATCCACTCTCTCCATCTCGCTCCAAGCCGCTGCCCAAGCACCCGTGCGCATCAGTCCATTAGCTGCGTAGACCCTCATGTCCCAGCGCTGTCTACCCATTCCGACAGGCTGACCCGGGCTGGCGATGGCGCGGTGGCAGTCCTCGCATACTGTCGCATCGGCCTCATCATCATCGTCCCTTTCACGACCCAAGTCTGCAGTTCCGGCATCATCAACAACTGTGCTACTGCTTCCAATATCATCCTCCATCTCCCCCTCCTCCCCGTCGCCCGGAGCACAAAAATGCCCACACTTGCTAATCCTTGGCGCTCTGAGCTCTAAGCTCTCCAGCAGTCTCTCTTCCAGCAGCTCATATTCTTCCCCCGGATGCGACACCAATATCCCGCGTTGCATGAGCGTGGGATCCGCTAGCTTCGCCTCCAGCAGCCGGAAATTCCGCTGCAGCCACTTTGGCAGCACGGCAGCCATGAGGGCGGGCGGGAATGGTGACGGAACGGGCAGCAGCGTGATGTGCAGCAGCACCAGCGGATACTGCTTCTTCGTGTCCTCCTCTTCTGGAAGCGGAGGCGGTGGGCGGGGCGAGGTTTTAGGGGGCTTTGCCCCGCTGCGACTGCTTCGTGCGCTCTGCAGCGTATCAGACCGCTGTGTTCGCGATGGCGTGAGGAGGCCATATCTTCCTTTTGTGCCAGCGCCTCCGGACCGCGGGCTAGGGTACCCCTCGAAAGGCGGCGGCGAGGACATGTGGAGCGCGCGGACGGAGCTGGTGTTGCGGAACTGTGGACGCTGTTTGAGAGGTGTATAGGCTCTGTCACCCCGCGTGAGATGTGAGAGCTCGGAGGGCATGGATGAGATTATGGATGTTGCATTGGTGCGGTTTGTCAGGGCTGAGATGCGCCGTCGTGTGGGCTCGATATCTGAGAAGAGGTCTGCAGGATCTTGGAACTCGACGCTTGCGATGGGATTGTCTTCTTGAAATAGGTCGCTGCTGTCGGCGTCGAAGGAGGTGTCGTTAGCGGCATCGGAGTAGATTTCGAAGGGCGAGCTGCCGGTGCGGGACATGTTGGGTGCACGTTCGCACAACCAGGGCAAGAGAAAGCGAAACTTCGACGGGGATACTGTCAACGAAATGAAGGTGAGTGCAATACGGACATCGTAGTCCGCGTGCGCATTGATCTGTGATCGCGATGCACTGTCAAGATCGGTGTTGTCACCGGCGCCGATAAAGTGGTCGACCGAGCAACAATCTTTCCTCTGTCACGTGCTCATGACTTTCCAATGATGCACACTCAAGGTTGAGTTAGATTCGTGATTATAACAAGAGTATAATAACAAAGTCTGACTGGTTCCATACGGTAAAGACAAATAGAAGTTCTAGCGATTCAGCTTTCTAGTGAATCGGTCAACTACTGTCTCTTTAGTCTACAAACTTTACCTAAGTTATCCACCTTAAGATCCCTAAGTGGCTTCCAAAGCGGCAACATACTTTTTGGGTGATCTTTGCTCCTTGTTGAGCATTTACTCGAAATTCACTGAGTTGCAGGCTACTATATCCCAACATCACAGCGTGTGTCACAACAACATATATAAAACAAAACTTGTTGCAAGAGCGTCATTCTAAGTTGGTCTACAGTGCATCAACTAACTCTTAGGTATCTACTTTCTACTGCTTCGTAAAGTCCTCCGTCGGCGCATCACCCTCCGCCTTGCCAGTGCCATATTTCCTCACGTGCTCCTTACCCGCATTCTTATCCGCCTCAAACTCCTTGACCTCCGGCTGGCTCATATACTTGGCCACGTTATCCGCCTGGAACTTCTTGAACGTGAAGCCGAGACCCTCATGCGAGTAGTCCTTGTCGTTCGCCTGGTCCTTGTGGTACTTGACCTGGATGAAGTCCGAGTCGGCGGTATCTGGATCAAGCGACAGCGAGACCAGGCCCGTGATGGTTGCGGTTTTGGGGATGATGCGGAAAGTCCAGGACTGTGAAGCACTGTTGGCGACCTGCTCTCAGAGGCCACTGGCGGCTTCTACTAACCTGCTTGTTCTTAAACTGAATAAAGTCCCTCTCGTTCTTGATAACCTGATACCCCTCGTTCACGCTCGCCTTGAACAGCTTGGGCAGCGCGAACCACTGCCCAGCCATCTTGTACCGGTCATTCGCGTACACGAATTGGTCGTCGTAGACGCAGTTGGGCGTGTAGCGCTTCACCCGCTCGACTGTCGGCTGGCAGCTGTAGAGGGCGATGATGTCGTCAACGAGCGCTTGCCGATTTTTCTCGAGTGGCAGCGACTTGGAGGGGTCGGGGGTGTAGTCTTCGCTCGTGGCTGTCTGGCGCGGCTCGAAGTTCTCGCCGGGTACGGAGGACATGATTGCTATTCAGCCTTGGTGCGGGGTGTGTAGTTGGCGGGGTAAGTCGCCGTGTAAAGGTCTTCTGTGGAGTACGGAGTGACTATGTTAAGAAAAATTCAAAGGTACTGGAAGTGAGTATGTGGAGCGATATTGGCTAAGCGTGGGCTCCCTCCTGGATCTGGCTTGCGGTCCAGCTATATCTAGTATCAATATGCCTTCTTGATTGACATTCCAAAGAGCTTGTAGAGCGATCACGCCTGCTGAGCAGGATCTATGATTTCATCATAGCGCTGATGGAGTAGGAGGAGCGATCGCGGAAGCGGATCGCTTGCGGGACGCATCTTGTTTGGGGATCAGGGAGATGACGACATAAGAGATCTCGGCGTTAAAGAAAACGCCGAACACACGCTTGGATGGATAAGTCAGATGTGTTGGAAGAAACCATTAGCTGTCAGACAGAAACCCAGAATCAGAGGCTCGAAACGCTATGCAGTGTATAGCAGAAATGACAGAGCCCGTACCTGGTTGGGATTGGGCCAAGGGAAGCCCGAGCTGGAGCATAAGGTGTGCCTTTCCTGAGGGCACGTGACGACAAGGCGTGGTAGTGATCCACAACTTTTTTGGGAGCCTGTGTCCACGATCTGAGAAAGTATTACCACACCCTCTCGACCGCACATCACAGTCCCTACCCATTCGGTGAAGACCTCACTTGGTCAACATACTCACAACAGCATCTACAGCCCGAGCGGGCGCTCGGTTCTTTCGGATATCTTCTTGCGCCGGGTTTAGACCATCAACCCGCATGAGCATGGCGACAGTGACTACTATGCCGGGAGCATCAGGCTCTCCCAGCGCTGAGCATGCCGCAACGGCTCCGGATCAGTATGGAGGCTCGGCCCGGCAGAAACTCTTCGGCCGCGCCTTCTACGAGAGCATAGGAAGCCCGAAGCTGATCCTCGCCCCAATGGTCGAGCAGTCTGAGTTTGTGCGGCACTCATATGTTGCTCCATCCCCTTACTGCAGCTAATGAATCACTAGGCATGGCGTATGCTCACCCGCTCCTTCATGTCTCCGTCGACCTCCAAAAACCTCCTAGCCTACACTCCGATGTTCCACTCGCGCATGTTCACTGACACGCCCAAGTATCGTGAATCGCACTTTCAGCCCCTGAAGACCACCCTCCCCTCCCCGCCGGACACCTACCACGCCTCGCAGTACACTGACGCGGATATGTATCTCGACGGTAACCCTGCAATCGACCGGCCACTGTTCGTGCAGTTCTGCTCGAACTCGCCAGAAGATCTTCTCCAAGCCGCCCACCACGTAGCCCCCTTCTGCGACGCCGTTGACCTGAACCTCGGTTGTCCACAGGGTATAGCACGGCGCGGCCACTACGGCGCCTTTCTGCAGGAAGACTGGGACTTGGTCTACAAACTCATCGACCGGCTGCACACCGAGCTCGCCGTCCCTGTGACCGCAAAGATGCGCATACTGGAGACGCGCGAGAAGACGCTCGAGTATGCGAAGACAATCCTCTCTGCCGGCGCCAGCATCATCACTGTGCACGGCCGGCAGCGCGACCAGAAGGGGCATGCCACGGGCTTAGCTGATTGGAGCGTCATCAAGTACCTCCGCGACAATCTGCCGCCGGATACTGTGGTTTTCGCGAACGGAAACATTCTCACGTACGGCGATATCGAGCAGTGCCTCCAGGCGACGGGCGCAGACGGCGTGATGAGTGCGGAAGGGAATCTGTATGATCCATCTATCTTCGCGGAGCCACCGCCAGTGGGAAGCGAAGGGAGGGAGTATTGGCGTGGAAGAGACGGGAAAGGAGGATACCGGATGGACGCCGTAATGCGCAGATACATGGACATCATCCACCGCTACATCTTGGGACAAGCCCCGCCCGCGCGTCCGCCGCTCTTCTTACCCTCCGACGCCATTTCCACTGAGCACGACAGCACCTCGGCGCCAGCAGCAACGAACGCACCGCCATGTCAGCCGAAGAGCCACACACGACCCGAAGACTCAGACCAACTCGAAGGCCCACCCTCGAAGAAGCAGAAACAAAAGAACTCCAAACCCCAAGGCAAGCAAGAAAAAGTCACCTCTCCGAACCTCACAGCAATGCAGCCCCACCTCTTCCACCTCCTGCGCCCCCTCGTCTCCAAGCACATCCCCGTCCGCGACGCCCTTGCGCGGTGCCGCGCCGGCGACCTCCCCGCCTTCGAGCACGTGCTTTCGCTGGTCGAAGACGCCGTGAAGCAGGGCCTGCTTGCTTACGAGGCAGATGCTGCGGCCTTCGAGACTGCGCCGCCGGAGGAGGCAGCGGCAGATGAGAAGCTCGACGAGAGTTCTGTAAGGACGGTGGCGAGGGTTAAGCGCCCCTGGTGGGTCTGCCAGCCGTACGTGCGGCCGTTGCCGAAGGAGGCGTTGGCGAAGGGCGCGCTGAGTTTGACGAAGAAGCAGAAGAAGAGGATGGAGGATGAGCAGGCTAGGGAAGAGGCAGAAGCTAAAGCTGTTGGGCTGACGCCGGGTGGCAAAGTTGAGGCTGAGGTAGAGGCGAGGGGGCAAACGGTGGAGATTCCGAAGGAAGGGCTAGTGTGTGGATGAAAGAGGCGGTGCGAGTGCATGCAAGGTCTTGAGATGTCCTTGGAGAGACCGAACGAGGATTGCGGGTCGGCCAATGGTCCGTTGGTGACTGGAGATGGTGTCCGGGAGCCAGATACTGATGCCGCTTCGTACGGCTTAGCGGTCAAGATGGTATATGGAAGGATCTGTGAGCGAGATGCACGCATCTCCTAAGATCAAGGAGAAGAAGGACAGGCATTGTGCTGTTCTCTGCTGGTGGTGGGCGGCAGTCGTTGCAATATGCGGGGAGTGAAGCACTGGCTTTGTCGCCCTCCGCTGGCATGATGGCTTGATGTCCTGACGCTGAGGGAGTATTGCTCGCGGCCACCCATCTGATACGCTGAGCAGGGTAGTACCATGTACGTTATAGGTAGATAAGACTGAGGAAGCGGAAAAATCATGCTAAGCATAGAGCACTATTAACGCATAGACTGGGGGAGTGAGTTGAGTAGCATGCGATGATTCGTTAATTGCTTTTTGATTTGGCTACATACAAGAACTCAGCAACATACTGCTAAAAAAGATCCTCCACATCATCCATGTCGTTTTCTATATATACAACGAGCAGCATTGTACCGCATGCTCAAGGTATGTACGAAACTAGACATTACAGTGGATACCTCCCACAACCTTCCATTTTCCCTTCGGACCATCAATCAGAAAGTTGGCGTGAAATGTGATACGAAGAACCATCCTAACCCGTCTAAAGGAGCGTCAACCCCGCCGATGCATATCGGCCCGAGTCATCAGTTTTCGTGTATTCGTCAAAGAAATCTGTCTCAAGGGATATACAAGAAGCGCTCCTCAGCTCAGCTCAACTCACGCCTAAAAGAAAGCGAAGAGCGCAACCGCGCCGGCCAAGAACGCGGCAGCGGGCTTGTTGTTGGCAGCCGCGCCGGTGAACTCAGGCGGAACAGGAATGGAGGTCGTGGGGGTGACGGCCGAGACCGGTGTGCTGGGCCGGGGGGTGACGGACTGAAGCGAAGAAAGGGTAAGTGGCGGCGCGGACGTCGGAACAGGAGCTGGAGAACTGGCTGAAGGCACGTGCGTCTCGGTAGTCGGCACAGGTGCGACGGGAGAGCTGGCAGGTGGAGTAACGTGAGTCTCGGTAGTTGGTACGGGTGCGACCGGCGAGCTTGGTGACGGGACTGGGACGTGTGTCTCGACTGGAGGCACTACCGGAGAGGTGGCTGGCGGAGGAACATGCGTTTCAGTGGTCGGGACCGGGACGTGCGTCTCGACTGGGGGAGGAACGTGTGTCTCCGTAGTTGGGACCGGCGCGACTGGGGAACTCGGCGATGGAACCGGGACGTGCGTCTCGGTTGTTGGCACTGCTGGAGTGGTTGGCACTGCTGGAGTGGTCGGAACTGCTGGAGTGGTCGGAACTGGAGGAACAACAACCGAAGAGGTCTCGACGATGGGAGAGGCGGTGGTCTTGACGGTGGTGTAAACCGTGCTGCCCTGTGGGCACTCGGGGCAAGACTGCGTGAGAACAAGCGTCGTGTAGACGGTTGACGTGGGAGTGACGGTGAGCACGCTGGTCTCGTGAACAGGCGAGGTCGTCGGGCAGACGGTGGTAGTGGTCAGTGTCAGCGTCTCGGTGAGCGTGACTGGCTTCGTGTAGGTCGTTGAGGAGGAGACATAGGTCGTAGTGACAACGGGGCAGGTCGTGGTCACGTACGTGGTCGTCTGGGTGACGTAGTACGTGGTCTCCTTGGTTGAAGTAACTGGGACAATCTCGCTCTTCGTAACTGTGGGAGTCTCGGTCGTGTACACGCTCGTGGTCTCCGTGACGGATTTCTGTACTCAGATCAGCGCGAATCCCGAAGTCAATCAGAGATACTGAAGCTCACCGTAACGGATTTGATCGTGGTGGAAGTGGTATCGATCTTGGAAGTAGGAGGAGAAGGCTTGCTTGACGCGGGGGATGATGATGGCACAACAGGAGATACTGGCGAAGAGGACGGAGGAGTCGGCTTAGAGGTCTCGGGAGAAGACGACGGCGCGGTAGGAGAGACCGGCGAAGAAGACGGAGGAGCAGGCTTGCTCGATTCCGGGGAAGAGGATGGCACGACAGGTGAAACCGGCGACGAGGATGGGGGAGCAGGCTTGGAGGATGTCTCGGGAGTCGGGCTAGGCGATGGAGTAGCGGGAACAGAGGTCTTTGGGCAGCCATGGGCGCAAGACGTGATCACGATAGTTGATGTTGTGAGAGTAGTGATAACAGAGTGCTGGCGCAGCGTCAGCTATGATCCAATGTTTTCAGCGCAAGACAGCACCATACCTCATACGACTTGGTGACTGGACATATAGTCGTCGTCGTGTATGTCACCATGGCCGCAGTCTCGGGACCTTTGGAGGGATAGCCAGGCACGGAGTAGCTGCCGTTTGTTGGCTTGCCTTGATACTCGTGCTCATGAGGCGTGTCATGATACTGTCCGGCAAGGGCTCCGCCAAACAAGGCAAGAAGGGTCAACGTGCTCTTGATCATATTGAAGATGTTTGAGTGGTACTCTGTTGTGACAATGGCTGAGCGAGAGCAGGTCTTATAAACGAGAGATACAGAAGAACCGTAACGAGCGAGTCACTTCTGATAGAGGCTGGAGCGTAAAGCAAGAGGTTGGCCTACTTGATTGCAGATACGGATCGAAGGAGGGGGCTCCCAGGTCCCCTTAAGAAAGGTGGCCATCACCAACCCCACGGCCAGCGTTGCTTGTGTTACGCTTTGTCAAGATCTGTCGAGCTGCATGCGCCAATACGAGCCCTGCGCTCCCTGACGTTTTTCCTCTCATGCAAATGAGGATCTCCATCTTTTCGGTGGGGTCTCGTAGGCTAGGGCTACCAAAACTGACATGCTTGACGGAACGGATGCAGTGCGCAAGGACAGGGGTCAGAAAGCTAAAGCAGAGCTAGAGAGATTTTGTCCAATCACGGATGGTTCTTGGCTGCCCGCACATGGGGCTAAAGCAGGTACATGGATCTAGCGGCTGGTAGCGTAGCAACGCCCGCCCCCTCACACCACCCGCCGCGAGAAAATGCCTGAGGAAGGAAAGACAATACTTACTACCCTGCAGCGCAGGGCGCAGGAAGAAAACGGCATGATTTGGGTGGCAGCAGCACAGCAGCGAGGTTTCGCCCGCGGAAAACCGAAGCGAAGAGTTACACCTACCGTTGGAATTTCTTTCCGGTTACCGCCATGCGGCACACGTGCGCTTTCCCCAGACTCCCGTGCGTTGTTCGTACGTTTCCGTCGCCGTTGAACGGCAGCCAGCCTTGCGAAGGATCACCGGCTGGTGCGGTGCCACCTGTCACTGGGCTGTCTTTGTTTGTCTGCTGGAAAGCTCGATAGCACTAATCGACGATGCGGTTACTCGAGCATCGAGCGTGCCCAAGCAAGACGAAGGAAGCCGCCAGCACAGGAACGAGTCAGCTCAGGACGCCAGTCCTGCTCTGAGGCAGCTCTCGTTGGCATCGGCGATCTGCGGGTGCGTTGAGTTCGAGCATGAGTGGCTTCAAATGCCTCTCGGTCCAGCCGAGTTGCGCCATTTGATGGAGAACTATGCCGCTGGCTGCCGACCGTCTAGTATGGCTCGAACTGTGAGCATTCGTTGGTCCAGCATCAGAGTGCATGCATTGAGGCGTTATTGAGAGTGCTGCAGGTCAAGCAGAAGATGGCTGGTTGGCTGGGCGAAGGGCGAGAGAGGTGGTGGGCAGTCGGCTGGAAGCCGGTGCTTTTGGCCTGGTTACCGGGATGCAGCTATTCCGCGCCGTTCTCAACGTCCCCGCCACGACTGGCAAACCGCAGCCGTTTCTCCCCCTCCATCGTCGTCCTGCAAAGCGGCGATCGCACTTTGGGGAGCCCACTTGTTGACAAGGACCATCGATGGAGCTTTCCGAGGCACGCGAACGTTCCTTTTGTTCCTGCATCCGCCTTTCCTCAACGGACCGACACCAGCCTTTCCCACGAATCAACAAAAGCTTGGTGCTGGACCATCACTGTGCGGTGTTCCTGAGAAACGCTACCAGGAGAGCGGGCTCGGTGAGTTCGCCGCAGCTGCGCTTTACATTAGTGCCGCATGTGGGAAAACTTGTCGGCTCTTGCTCATTCTTATTCGTTCGTATCGACGTCGAGGTGGATCCACGGCAGACTGCTCGAACAGAACTGAAAAAGAAGGGGAAAGGAACAGCAGCTGGGGCTTTGGGTTGAAACAATGGCCTAAGCCGATTACTGCATCGTTCCTCAACGGGTCAGTCCCTGCCAGCGCAGTCAATCGTGACCGGTAGAGAAAGGCAGCCTTTTGCTGGAGCTCAGGTGACCCTTCGACCCATGTGTCGGCGAGTGCTCTGCATATTTTGGAAGGCTGTTGCTTGGTTGCCTGAAGAAAGCATTCGAACAAGTGTTCCGAGACTGCTTGAACAGCGATCTCAAGAGAGAGTTGCCTGATATAAACGTATGAAACTTCGCAGAACTGGACACGCATATCAGCTTTGACTCGGTTCTATGTTCGCGAAGTTCTTCATATCGACTGTCTTGCTGTATATCGCTGAATTGCTTCTTGCAGTCACGCCACCTGCTCCCCAATATATCGAAGCATTGAAGTTCAGCTGTCAAGCCCGATCTCTAGCACCTACGCTTGAGCGACAGTCTTTCTTTCAGTCGTCTTCTTCCTCTGATTCGCTATCCCAACCCTCTTCGTACTCTTCACAGATATTCCGTAGCCCATTGCAGAGCGCCTCACGCTCGTCGAGACTCACCAGCCGGCGTACCACTTGCTCGATGTTCCGGATGCGATCTGCCACCGAAGTCGAAGTGGATAGCGCCGACCGTACCGCGACTTTTCCTGAGCTTGTAGCATTACTCACTCTGAAAATGCGTGGAAAGCTGTCGAGAATGGGAAAGAGCAGGGGTGTGTGGTATCTACGTATCGATTAGCTCCATGCATCCGTAACCTTCAAGCGTGTGCTGGCTGTAAGAAGGCCATCCGCTATCGAGTGTCCTGCTGATATACTCTTAAGAGTTTGGTGTACCGCAACAACCGCCGCCGAAAGACTCTCTTGGAAGCCCTAGAAACACGTGATCAGGGAATGATTGAAGTTGTGCTGACCTGTGTATTTTCGGTCCTTCATCGAACCTGTTCCTCAAAGCGCCCTTGTCTGCATTAACCTCTTCCTCTGTCTTCCACAGCCCTCGCGACGTCTCAGCGCCTCCGAACACATGTGTCTTTCTCCCAAGCCTCCTCTGAGTCGTCTTAGGAAAGTCGCTGGCAGAAAGATCCATATCGAACTCAGCCAGTTGCGGCGGTTCGTCGCCTGTGCCCTGCGCGTCCGTGATCCTGACCTTTGTACGACTATCATTCATCTGCGGAACCCTGGAGTCTAGGGTCTCCTTCAGCGCATCTTCATCGGCAACGCTGAACTCGAACTTGGCAATCCTTCGATTACCGTCGCTGTTGAAAGCTGCTTCCATGTCCTGTAATGTCCCGCGTTGTCCGCCACTCGTTCTGAGGCGCGACGGCAGTGTCATGCTTTCTATCGCTGCGGCCTGCAAGCCAGACGTATCCCACCTGGACGTCTCGTCCAGGTTCAGATACGCCGGCGCGCTGATCGGCTTGCTCGAGACCGGGACGTAGACAGACGCCTGTGTGGACAGCTCGTAGAGAGACTTCGCAATATTGACAAGCTTTTGTAACTGCTTCTCCTGAAGTACCGGTTAGCGTCACCGTGCACACAGAGCGTTCCAGTGACACAAAGATCAAACCAACCCTCGCACCCCTGACCCCATCCTCCATCCCCCAAACCCACACACTCTTCCTCCCATACTCATCCTCCATGCGCTCCACCCACCTCGCCGCAAAACCACCCCACGCATCATCCGCGCCCGCAAAAATTTGGAATCCCTGCAGCTGGTCACACTCCTCGACCCAGGGTCTCAGATCCCGATCTAGTAAGTCATGCTCGCGGTCCAGGTTCTCGAAAAGCTCGGTGCCGAGATCCCAGTTCTCGAACGGGAGTAGCCGGTCCCCAAGCGAGAGGTCGGGCAGCTGGATCAAAGAGCGCGGGTGATGGTAGATGCGGGCGTAGTCGGACCAGTAGCGCACTGTTTGGGAGGTTAAGGGTGGTGGGGAGAGGCCGGCGTCGAGGTGTTGTTGGTAGGGGGAGGGAGGGATCTGCGGGGCGGTTTGGGTGGTTGTGGGGCCGGACCTGGATGAGGGATGTTAGGCTAGATGACTGGGATGAAGACGGTGAATGTTGTGGAGCCTTAAGCACCCTCTTCGAGATGATATCTGAATAATCGCTTGATATGCTTGATATACTTGATACTAATTCCGTGACTTCCCTAGCTCTTTCATGGCGTGATAGACTTACCACAGGCTCCCCGCAGCGGCATCATCTTGGGCTTCGTACAGCGCATTGATTTTTCTCAGAGATCCGAAGGCACCTTTCAAATCGTAGATGAGTGCCCGCGGCGTAAAGGTGTCCGAGCCATCTGGGGCGATTCCTGGTCGGAAGGAAATGTCATGGTCGACGGGTGATTCTTCTTGGCCTCCGTATGTGAAGTAGGATTCCTTGCGAAAGGATTAGCATGGGCTCGGGAGTATATCGAGAACGCAGGATTACTTGAGCGTTCCAGTAGTGTGTGCCTATGTAGTTGCTTTGCTGGCCGAACTGCAGCGTTACGATCTCGTGCATTGCAGGCTGGGATAGATATCGATGGATGCGTGTACAAAGTAGATCCGGGACTGCGCGATGGATGTAGAGAATTACTGTCAGGAACAGATTCACACTTTAGATTGGGACAAAATCTATGAGCTAGAGCTGTATCTCGTCATGCTTTGCGCGGTGCTGGGTTGATCGTAAGTAAAACACGGCCCTGCTGCCATCACCTAACGGAATTCTCGTAGTAACATCGTCTGTGCCAGACTTCGAGATTCTCTGCGCTTGCATTCCCCTTTCAGTTCCAGGTGAACAAGTTCATAAGCAGGCGCTCTCTAGTGGTTCTTAAGGCTGGTGCCGTTTGGCGTCGTGACAATCACGTGATCATGTACCATTCGAACCGCAAAGATTTACTTCACAAATCTGGCGACTACGTTTATGGGCGTTAGGCCAACGTGTTCAATGCAAGTACTATCTCCTCCCGCTAGACTTCTTGCCGGCCCCAGGCTTGCCCTTCGCAGCCGCTTTCCCCTTGGCTTTCTCCTTAACCTTGCCCTTTCCCCTGTCCGCTGCTCCCTTCTTCCACACCTTTCCTTCGCCCCTCTCATCCCTCACATCCATCTTCTTTTTCTCCTTGTTACTAAGCTTCTTTTTCTCCTTCTTCAAGCCCGGCACCCCATCCGGCCCATTCAATTCCCTCTTCCCCGCATCCTTCGCCCTTTTCTTCTCCTTCTCACTCTCAAACCACGTGCGCTTCGGCCTGCTCATAATCTCACTCTCATGCATCACCAGATTCTCCCCCCTCTTAACTTCTCGCTCAACCTGATTCAGCACTCTCTCCTCCTTCTCCTCTTTGAGCACCTCCTCCACCTCATTCTCAAGCCCCTTCAACTTCTCCGCCCACGCATCCGCATCCTCAGGCGCCACACTCCGACTCACGATCTTCGCGCCCTGCGACCTCGCAGCCCTCACCGCCGCCTTGACGACCTTCCTATCCGGCTCCGCAGCAATGGTGCAAGCGCGGCCCTCGCGGCCCGCACGCGCCGTACGGCCCACACGATGCAGGTAGATCTCATGGCTCTGCGGCGCCTCATAGTTCAGCACAGTCTCGACGCCCTTGATATCAAGGCCACGTGACGCCAAATCCGTAGCCAGCAGGTAGGCCACACTGCCACTGCGGAACGCCTCGACGCTCGCGATACGCTGCTCCTGCGTCATGCTGCCGTGCAGCTCCGCGGCTTTGAGGCCGCACAGCCCGAAGATGACGCGCACGCGGTGGGCCTCGCGCTTCTGGCGGAAGAAGATGATGACGCGGGAGGTGTAGATAGACGTGCAGAGGTGCAGGAGGTAGGCGAGGCGCTTGTCTTCCTTGCCGGGGCGGAGGCGGACGAACTCCTGCACGAGGCCGGAGACGGTTTGGCGTTTTGCGTCGACGAGGAGGCGAACAGGCCTGTTGAGGCCGACACGGATGAGCTTGTCGACGGAGGAGGTCATGGTGGCGGAGAAGAGCATTGTTTGGCGGGACTTGGGGATGGTGGAAAGAATTTCGTTTAGTTCGTCTGCGAAGCCGTCTTCGAGCATGCGGTCGGCTTCGTCGAGGACGAGGATCTCAATCGTGTCGATAGTGAAGCTGGGAGAGTTGCGCATGTGGTCGATGAAGCGGCCAGGGGTCGCGATCACAACGTCAGGCCGCTTCTTGAGGACTTGCTCTTGTTCTCGCAGACTGAATCCGCCGACGATCTGCGCGAAGGTGATGTCGGTGAAGCTGGCGAGCTTCTTGGCGACGTTGAAGCATTGGACTGCTAGTTCACGCGTGGGCATGAGGATCGCGACGCGGGTTGTAGGTATTTTACGGGGGAAGTGGAGAAGACGCTCTAGGATTGGGATGAGGAAGGCTGCCGTCTTGCCTGAGCCGGTCACAGCACCGCCGACTACGTCTTTGCCTGCTTGTGCGATGGGTATAGTCTTGACCTGGATAGGTGTAGGCTCGTTGAATCCGACAGCTGTAAGGCCTCGTAGGATTGGCTTAGACAGTGACATGTTGAGAAATGATCCCGATGTCTTGGCCGAGGGCGGCTTTTCGCCATCGAGATTCTCTTCTGGCGCGAAGAATGCGGCGCGCCGCTCGACTTCCGCTGGGTCTTCCCTGTCGTCGTCCGATGAAGTCTCTGATGCCAGATCGTCTGGGTGCGGCACTGGCGCAGCTACCGACTCGTCGTCCGACTCACTATCTTCTTGATCTTCTTCTGCCGATCCTGCCTCGGAACCGGCCTCTACTGACTCTTCCTCGTCTTCGGCCTCGTCCACTGCACCCATGCCGAACGCATCATCAGCTAGCAGCTCGTCATCATCGAACCCTGCGAACTCCCCCTCGTCGTCTTCCTCCACGTCTGCCGCGTCTTCATTCCGACCATCAGCATCGCCGTCGTCTTGCCCACCCCCGTTTTCTTTTCTCCGCCGCCTTGCGATGATCTCGTCGATATCCACCCCCTTCTTGTCCCCGTTCCTCGCTTCATCTTGCTTCGCTTTGCCCAAACCCCAGCCATCGAAGTCCTCTAGCACGCCAGTATCCTCTCCAACCTGGAACTCGAAATCCGAGGCGATTGCGCCATCATCCTCCCCCCCGGCAGCCCAGGTGCGGTCTTCATCTTCCACAGATGCGCTGTCTTCAACCGGCGCATCTCTGTCGCCCTTCCCTGACTTCTTCTGCTTCTTGCTCTTCCCCTTTTTGTTTACCCCGTTTACAGCTTCATCAGTAGCCCCGTCCCGTTTGCGTTTTTTTGAATTAACGTCCTTCCCTGCCCTATGTGGCGGTGATTCGGGGCCGTCCTGGTCTAAATCTGGGACACCAGCTTCGTCGTCGGAGATGGTGAGTACGAAGTCATCGTCCATGACTCTTTGGACTGTGCTTGTGTCGTAACGGTGGAGAGGTCTGCCACTGATCTCGCGCCGCCGTATCAATATTTGCGTGGCACAAAAAAGTTCGAGCTGGGGTCTTAGCTAGGCTACTTTGGGACGAGCGGTGAGGGGCTCATCGTTGCCAAAATAGCGTGCACTCGGAAGAGAGTCAACACCACGAACCCCTCAATAACTATCCTTAGAACCGATGCCAGCCTAGTTGCAAGGGCTCCTAGATGGCGAAGATAGGATAGCAAGCTTCTAGCCGCCTATCTAGAGCCTCAAGGTCAGTGTTTTACCTAGCGGGTGATTGCGTTTAGTGCTGCAGACTTTTACTGAGTCCACGCTATTTCGAGTGGTTAAGGCGTTAGATTTCGCGGACGCAGTCGTTCTACGCAGATGGCGAGTTGCCGCATTGGGAATCCTGCATATGGAGCGCCTGCAAGCCTCTTAATAGCGAATGTCCCATTGTCCAAGGTAGCAAACCGTACCTGAGACTTGTGCATTCTCTTTCCTCTGTGGCTCGCCTCTAGATTCACAAAGTCGAGGCCCTCGAGTTGGTTCACTTTTAAGTAAAATTTCGTCACACTTTCACTGCTCAAAGGAACACTTCACATACCGCAAAGCTCGACAGTAATTTCTGCCTCGCAGACACATACACTCATTCTCCATAATCCCATCATATTGCTCAAGGACCTATCAAAACAGGCCGTAGGCGCAAGCTGACATATCCATGTACACCTCCACCGTACACCCATTTCCCAAAGCAGGATACTCTTGCCGCCGAAAAGTCCTAGGTCTTGGCACCGCATTACCAAGATTACGCTTGATGGCTTTACAATCGCTGCGATCATCAACGAATAGTTGAATAATGGCGTTGCATCGATAGATTGATTCAGTGAGAGTCTATATCGCTGGCTTAGCCTTTAAAATGATTCCGCCACCGTTTTGTCTACATAGATGCGGCCGGTGGCTTGATTGGCTACACCAAAGACTTTTCGGCGGCAAGAGTAAGAAGATCCAAGAAGGAAACCCTCCACCTTCCACCAGAAAGATGGACCAAAATCCCAGCCTGCCCCTCCCACATTCCCCCTTACCAACTCTACCCAACAGCAAACCCCCTCCCCGCACACTCCCCGCTCGGCAGCTCAAGCGGATACTCCCCATCTCCCTCCACGACCTCCGGCCCAGGCTCCGGATATTTGACCTCCGCGCTCGTGGCCGGGGTATCGCAGCCATTGCCAGGCCCGCCGACGACTATGCCGCCGCCGAGCGCTGCGATGAGCATTTTTGGCCGGGCCGAGAAGGCTACGTTGGCAGTGCCTGTTGACTTGGGGCTGCTTGAGCCGCTTGGGCTACTAGAGCTGGGAGTTTCGTGGTTGTCGTGGCGAGCATGCTGATGCGAGCGCTTGTGGCGCACCAGCGCGCGGGCGGATGCGGGGCGCGGACAGGTGCAGGCGCAATTTGTGGCGGAGTAGGTGGAGGCGTCGGAGGCTTCTGGGACGGGGGAGGGGCAGCTGCAGCTGCAGCCCTCTAGATCAACAGCGGATTCCTGCGGCGGAGTGGGCGAGGATGTAGAAGTGGGAGGCGGTGATGGTACTGAGTCGCCTACTCCTCCGCTGGATGAGCCACCCTCGATGGAAACGACGGCGCAGTTCATGTAGAACTCCTGCTCACGGTTTATCCATGTCCATGCGAAGACGGCCTCGCCGCTCGGCAAGTCAGCGGGGACAGTGAAGTCGAAGTCCTGGGCGCCGGCGCGGTGGGGACAGTTGCCCTCGTACGATGTCGCGACGCGGAAGGTCTTCCCGGCGTCGGTTGAGAAGCCGACCTGGCAGGAGCCGCCATAGTGAGTCCCTTTGTTCGGCGTAATGTCAGTCACGGCGTCTTCTCAAAAGGACCCAAAAGCCAGATAGAATGAAGAGAGCGAAAGATCGAGAGCCTAAAGAGCCGCAACGGATCAACATACCAGTACCAGTGAGGTTAAAACTCTGCGTACTGCCAGCTTGCCAGCTCGCTACTGATGCACCAGCCGGAGTACCAAGAAGATCAAGGTAGCCGCGGCAGGGCTCAGGGTCCTTGCGACCGCAGCAGTTGTAGGGGAAGGTAAGATACTGATCGCCCTCCCCCTGAGTGTGTGGATTGTTGGGGGCGTTGAGGCTGGGTGGGTAGTCAAGCCGCATGTGTGCCTGCACCATGGCGGCTGATAGAAGGAGGATCGAGGGAACGAAGAACATGGTGGATATAGTGAATGTACCGTCAAGTGCAAAGGGTTCTACGGATGAGCTTGTTATGTCGTGTGGTTGAGCTACCGATTGTAGTAACCGTGGTGAGACCCGGATGCTGCGGACGATCTGAATGGTCGTGAAGTCGCTGAACGAACGTGGTTTACTGCCGGGAAAGACTGTGTTATAGAAAAGCGCGCGACTGAGCAATGAAGCAGCAGAAGAGTCAACCAAAAGAAGCTGTGAACAAGGACGAAAAATGCTTGTATGACGGCTGTACGACTCTCCGCTTGAGTGAATGTGTGTCACCAGGACAATCGTGAAGGCAAGGGAAGTGTACTAATCAGAAGCAGTACCCTCAATACTGATCGGGCGCCACGTACAGCAACCTTGGGAATCCAGCCCTTTAAACACAGGTGGATCGTCACCGCAGGCTCTCCATTGACATTTATCATGACACTAGGAAATGTTTTGCAGGGCGCGTACGCAGGCAGCGCGACCAAAGAGAGCGCCAAGGCCACATCGGCTGCGCGCTTCGTGTTTCACCACCAGAAGCTTTAACTGAAACACACCATTTAAACCAGCCTGACAAGGAAAAGGACCACGAATGTTTCCTACCAAGTGTCCAATATGGGCTAACTGATCGTAGACTTTGAGCCATTAGGAAACAAACTCCGGATATGTTACATGGAAGAAGCTCTGCTCAAGAGAAACGTTCAAGAGCTCGAAAGTAGACCACCTCAAACTGGGAGATGAGGAAACTTCCTAAGGCTACTTTCGTAGCGTACAATAGAAGTGTCCAAGCACAATCTAGTTCCGGGCCTCTAGTATGACTCCTAATCCCTGCGGTGCTTGCTGAGGCAGCCCAGTTGTGACCCTGAGGGTACCCGCAACAAGTACGTAGACAGACGCGTCCCTGCGGACGACAACATCGCTTCGCATAGCTTGTGTATTACGGCTTAGGTGAGAACTCCCATAGCAGACATGTCTGCGGCTGTGCGAGCGAAAGGGGTTTGCAGACGTGGGAGTTGTTGGAGTCGCGGCGATGTCGGGGATGAGGCCAGATGTCACTTTGGCTGATCCCGGACCACCATGACATGCAATTCAAAAATTGTCGACAGCTGTCCACCACAACGAAGCACTCTTTTTGATGCGAGAATTCTGGCCAGGTATGCTGCTTCGACAGGTAGAATACAGATCTGGTCCTTAATCTAGCTGGTTTCCTCCTTTCAATCCACTTTCACACTTTTCCGAATAAAAGCTCACCCCCACAAGCTTCATCAAGCTCCAAATCCTCAACCTACAACCTCCTAAAATCTTCTACACACGCGATGGCACCCCCAGGCCGCCGACGCACCCTCCCTCTCCTTCCAATGCTCACCCTCCTCATCCTCCTCCTGACCAGCACCGCCTCCGCCGCCTCCGCAGTCCTAGGCATCGACCTAGGAACCTCGTACCTCAAAGCCGCGCTCGTAAAGCCTGGAATCCCGCTCGAAATCGTGCTCAGCAAAGACTCAAAGCGCAAAGAAGCCGCAGCCGTCGCGTTCAAGCCGACCTCTCGCTCCGCACCAGCTTCAGGAAGTTTCCCGGAGCGGGTGTATGGCGGCGACGCACTGGCGCTCGTGGCACGGTTTCCGGGAGATGTGTACCCGAACCTGAAACCGCTTTTGGGGGCACTCGCTGCGGGGGCAGAGTCGGCGGAGGTGGTGGGCGAGTATGGACTGCGACATCCGGCGCTTGCGCTCGAAGGCGTGGAGGGGAGGGGCACGGTGGGGTTCAAGAGCCAGAGTTTTGGTGCTGGGGAACCGCCGTTCTCGGTGGAGGAGCTGCTGGCGATGGAGCTGAAGAATGTGCGCGAGAATGCGCAGGCGATGGCGGGGAAGAGCTACCAGATCAGCAATGTGGTGATCACAGTTCCGGCATTCTGGACGGCAGATGAGAGGCGCACGGTGCAGATTGCGGCGAATTTGGCAGGCTTGAATGTCATGGGGCTTGTTTCGGATGGGCTGGCTGTGGGGATACACTATGCGACTAGCAGGACCTTCCCGAGTATCAGCGAGGGCGGGAAGCCGGAGTATCACTTGGTGTTTGATATGGGCGCAGGCTCGACGACTGCTACCGTGTTGAGATTCCAGGGCAGGACCGTTAAAGATGTTGGGAAATACAACAAGACGATTCAGGAGGTCACGGTGCTTGGGACAGGGTGGGACCGGACGCTGGGCGGCGACTCGCTGAATGGACTGGTCATGGATCACATGGTCGAGCAGTTCGTGGCGAGTTCTGGCGCACAGAGTGCCGGCGTTACAGCTGAGGCTGTCAACACACACGGCAGGACCGCTGCGAAGCTATGGAAGGAGGCGGAGAGGATAAGACAGGTGCTCAGCGCCAACCAGGACACCAGCTCCTCCTTCGAAGGCCTATACGACGATGTCGACTTCCGATACAAGCTGTCCAGGACGGCTTTCGAGGAGATGGCTGCAGACTTCGCAGGAAGAGTAGAGGTGCCAATCAAGCAAGCTCTGGACGCAGCGAAGCTTACCGTTGATGATCTTACGTCCTTGATACTGCATGGTGGTGCCATCCGGACTCCATTTGTGCAGAGGAAGCTCGAAGCCATGGCCGGGGATGCCTCGAAACTGCGCAGCAATGTCAACGCCGATGAAGCAGCCGTGTTTGGCGCTGCGTTCAAAGGCGCAAGTCTTAGCCCTAGCTTTAGGGTGAAGGAAATCCGCGACACCGATGCGGCAAACTATGCCGTCACCATGCAGTGGAAGGAGAACTCGAAGGACCGCAGCCAGAAGCTATTTACGCCCACTTCGCAAGTTGGGGCTGTCAAGCAGGTCCCATCCAAGATGACTGCCGACTTTGAGTTCAAGCTATCACAACAGATCCCGTCTGGTGGCGATGCTTCAGCTTACAATGAAAAGGCCGTCTTGTCTGTAAAGACGACTAACCTTACGAAGAGCATCGCCAGTCTCACTGATGATCACGGATGCGCCAAAGATGATATCAAGGCCGCATTTTCGATCCAACTTAGTCCTGTAGATGGTCTGCCCGAAGTCACAAAGGCTACCGTAAGCTGCGAAGTCTCAGAGGTTGAGAAGAAAGGCGGTGTCGTCGATGATGTCAAGGGCTTCTTCGGCTTCGGCTCGAAAAAGGACGGACAGGACGCCTTGAAGGATGATGAACCGCCTGCTCCAGAAGCTGCCGACCCCGAACCCTCGGCAACTTCATCTGCCTCTTCTTCTACCGCGGAGCCACAGCCATCAGGCTCCGCCATCAAGAAAGATGAGAAACCTGCAACGCCGAAAAAGAAGACCGTCACCATAGATGTTGGTATCACGCAGACTCCAGAGGGTATAGAAGGCTTGAGCCAGAGTGAGCTCAAGCGGATAAAAGACAGGTACGAAAAGCACCGAATCCCATATCTGAAGCGTGCTAACCACCATCCAGACTGGCCGCATTTGACAAGTCAGATGCGAACCGCCGGCTTCGAGAAGAAGCACTAAACACCTTAGAAGCATACACCTACCGTGCACGTGACATGATAACCGGCGAAGGCTTCATCGCAGCGTCCGCGCAGGAAGTGCGTGACAAGATTCAGCAGCAGCTAAGTGACGTCAGCGAGTGGCTGTACGGCGAAGGAGCAAGTGCTCCACAGGAAACGCTCAAGAAGAGACTCGATGACTTGAAAGCTCTGATTGAGCCGGTGCAGAAGCGCATGGATGAGGCCCGTAAACGTCCAGAGCAAATCAAGCTGCTCAGGGAAGCACTCGACCAGACCAACACCATGCTCGGCATGGTCAAAGGCTCGATGGAGAAAGCGGCTGAGATGGCGAAGTCCGCGGCAGAGGAGGCTTCGAAGTCTGCAACCTCAGTCACCTCTTCAATAGCAGAGGCAGTAACTGGCAGCAGCGACCCGCTTGCGGAGCTGGAGGAGGAGACGGATGCTCCTAGCAGTACCACGTCGGCAGGAGAGCCTTCATCCACCCCGCACGTGTTCGAGTATACGCAGGATGATCTATCCGCATTGGAAAAAGCTTACACTTCCATCAACGACTGGCTCACGACTAAGCTCGAGGCGCAAAGCAAGCTCTCCGAGACCGAGGATCCGGCCATACTGTCCACAGACCTGGAGGCAAAGGCCAAACAGCTCAACGACGTCGTCATGGACCTACTGCAAAGGAAACTCAAGGCACCACCAAAGCCTAAGAAGTCGAAGGCGTCGAAACCCAAGACGAAGAAGAGCTCCGCCACTAAGAAGGCCGACAAAGCAGCCAAGGAGACGGAAAGGGCTGAGGGGGAGCCGATCACGGTCAAGCTGGGGGAGGATGGGTCGATCCCGGATGTGGAGGATATCCTGAGGCAGGTCAAGGAGGAAGAGGCGGCGAAGAAGGAGCATGACGAGCTGTAATGGTGTTCATATAGACATGCATGGCGATGGAGTTAGACAATCAATCACAGTTACCTAGTATCCACATGGTATCGAAGCTTGAAGCTCTTGGACCCCTTCTGCCCAGGTGATATTGCGAACCGCGCCAAGTCGCGAAAAACTGCCCTAACAACCCTCGAAGTGCTTCACAATTCAGCACACACACCCGCAAACCACCACAGCCACTGGCTCCGAGTCCGCCCTTCCACCAAGCCGTCAATTCGCCTTGTAAATCAATCACCATGTCCGATAGAGAAGATCAAGATGCGCAGCCACGCAAGCGCATGCGCCTAAGCACTCCGGACACCGGCGAACAGGCTGCGGTTACAGTGTCGACACCAGCAGAGCCAGCGGACAGATCACCCAAAACAACAGCGACATATGCGCAAGAGTCACAGCTCGAGAAAGAGATAAGGGCAGGGATTACAGCCTACGTCAACCCGCACGCACCCGGCTTCACCGGTATCCTCAAGCAGAGGTAGGTCATATACCTTTGCGATAAATACACCAAACTGGTTATAGCAGCCGAAAGAACACAGAGCTGACAGATGCCACACCAGGTATACGGACTTCTTGGTCAATGAGATACTACCATCTGGACAGGTATTGCACCTCGAGAGCCTCGATGTACCGCAACAGACGCAAAATACAGACAGGAGGAAGGCTGCTGAGACTGAGTCGACAGGGCCTGTAGAGCAGCCGACGAAGCCTGGTACGGACAGTGAAGCAGTGAGTGAGAACGGCAACGGAGATGCGCAACCTATTGGTGCCGAAGGACCGGAGAAGAACGGGGCAGAGCAATCGCCAGAGGTAAGCCGTCCTGGTATGACCCGCCAGCATCAGTATTATGCTGACTCAAACCCCCCAGATCACCCTTGAGGACACGCAGCTTCTGCACTCGCTTTTTGGAGAGACGACCACCACCGCCATCACTGCGCTCTACCGTCAAGTCCTAGGCAAGCCAGGCCGAAAGCCCCGAGACCTCCCCTCCGTGAAATCCGATGCCTTCGCCGACAAGGAACAACGCACCTCCGCTCACCAAACCATACGTCGCATCTTTTGCTCACGCCTCGAGACCACCACAGAAAACGATGGTACCTTTGTCATCTCCGCCGCGCCGCCGCGCGACAGAGGCCGGCGCGGCGGCGGGCGCAACCAGCCTGGTACCCGCGGCAAAGGAAAGCTAGGCTGGGACGAGCTCGGCGGTGAATACCTCCATTTTACGCTGTACAAGGAGAACAAGGACACGATGGAGGTGATATACTACATTGCCAGCCAGCTCAAGTACGCGACCAAGCATTTCGGCTTCGCGGGGACAAAAGACCGACGCGCCGTGACAGTTCAGCGGGTGAGCGTGCACCGCGCACGTGCAGAGGAGCTGGCACGCATAGCGAAGAACCTGCGGGCCGGGTCAAAGATTGGGGATTATAAGTACGAGCCACGAGGCCTTGAGCTGGGAGACCTGGCGGGCAACGAATTCGTCATCACGCTGCGGGACTGTCGCGTCCCTGGCGACGAGGCAGCTGCAACCCGAGAGCACGCGTGGAATGTTCTCAACAACGCGGTTGCGAGCTTCAAGACCGGAGGCTACATTAACTACTACGGCCTTCAGCGCTTCGGCTCCTTCGCCACATCCACCGACGCAATCGGCGTCAAGCTCCTACAATCCGACCTCAAAAGCGCCATCGATCTTATCCTGGACTACAGCCCGGCCGCCCTAGCCGCCGCGCAGGATACCTCTTCCGAAGAGCTGATATCGCACGACGACAAAGCTCGCGCAGAGGCGCTGCACATCTGGCGCACGACCTCGGACGCCTCTGCGGCGCTAGCAATACTTCCAAGGAAGTTCGCGGCTGAGAGCAACATCATCAAGCACCTCGGCTTTAAGGATAGGAAAGGCCAGCTGATCCGCAGGACGGACTATCAGGGTGCGCTGCAGGCTGTGCCCCGCAACCTGCGCCTTATGTACGTGCATGCGTACCAGTCGCTCGTGTGGAACAACGTTGCGGGCCGCCGATGGGAGCGTTTCGGCCAGGAAGTCGTGGAGGGCGATCTAGTGCTTGTGCACGAGCACAGGGACAAGGAGGAAGGCCACGGGGAGGAGGAGGAGGTCGATCAGGCGGGCGAGGTTATTATCAGGCCTGCGGTGCATGATCAGGCTGGCAGCCGGCACGATGAATTCGCGCGGGCAAGGCCCCTGTCGAAGCAGGACGCGGAGAGCGGGAAATACACAGTCTTTGACGTCGTGCTCCCCCTGCCGGGTTGGGATGTCGAGTACCCCCCAAACGAGATCGGGGGGTTCTATAAGGAGTTCATGGCGAGCGAGAGAGGTGGAAGGCTGGATCCGAACGACATGCGCAGGAAATGGAAGGATGTGAGTCTGAGCGGCGGGTATAGGAAACTGCTGGGTCGGCCGGGCAAGGTTGAGTTCGAGGTCAAAGAATATGAGAAGGAGGAGGAGCAGATGGTCGAGACGGATTGGGAGAGGCTGGTTAAGAGGAAAGAGAGTGAGGTGTTCCACAGTAACGAGATTAGTAAGGCGGCGGAGCAGATTATGGAGGTCGATACGGAGGGTGAAGGGAAGCCCAGGGAGAAGAAGATCGCGGTCGTTCTGAAGATGCAGCTTGCTTCGAGCCAGTACGCTACTATGGCGCTGAGGGAGCTGATGAAGGCTGGGAATGTGCAGACCTACAAGCCGGATTTTGGGAGCGGGAGATGAAGGTCGGGGCTGGTGTACGCTTGACAATCTGGGGATGCATATGGATCGGATTGGGAGACTAGCGTCTCAGCAAGATCCTCGCCCCGTTGCGTATACTTGTACGAGCTGAGCTTTCATGCGAGACCTTGGTAACAGTTTGGAGAATGCATGTCAAACGTTCTTGAAAGGCCCACCAACACCCTTTGTTCCCTGAAAGCGAAACAGAGCAGCCCTGATAGAACTGACAGTAATCTCAAGCCATAAAATTAACCTGTCTGACTGGGGGTTGTTAGTGCCATGGTGTTGTAATCACATGGCATGCGTCGTGACCAACCAGCTGAGTTTGAGGTTGGAACACTTCGCGCGTATAGTAGTTCACTGTGTCTCAGTGCTAAATATATAAGAGTGTAAACTGCTAAAGTACTATCCAGAGTGCCGGAGCGCCAGCAAGGTAAGTGTTTATCATCACGTGACGGAAACATATACCATTTGCAACCTTCCGGTCACATACTGCAGTGAATGCTTTGCAAATCAGCTCCCTAGACCATCAACAGCTCACGTCGAGAAATGCAGACCGATATTCCTCCACTGTTGAAGGGCTAGCATGTCATGTAGGCGGCTGTATGCTTAGACGACCTTAATCTTCCTGTCCACCAACGTTCAGCCTTGCGACTGCTCAGCCTCGTCTAGTCCTGAACTGACGGGACTTTCTGCCTTGACACTCATGTAGATTGTCGGTTAAAGTCGTCTGCTTTCTTCTCCTCCGCTCTTCGAACCGCACACGCACCCGGCTTCCATGTATTTCATTTATAACTCTCATACGCAACGTTGGTGCTTCTAGTGCAGCTCAAGCTGCTTTTGTACCCCAGCCTCCCACTCACTCGGATTTCAGATCATTTTCTTCGGTAGTTGTCTACGGTGCGTCGAGCGCGAGGATGGCAGAGTCGACAGCGGCGACTTCCGACGCAACGAGCAACCTCTGCTGGTTCTGTTCTCGTCTCAATCTTTCGAAAAACAAATTCATGCCCAACGGCTACCAGCAATCAGGACAGGATTATCATAAATTTGACCCGGTGGCCCTTAGGCCAATGGGAGTTGGTTACCTCGACACGATCTACAGCCGCCGGAGCTCGTGCGCTTTTTGCAGGCTTGTATACAAAGCCACCCACAGCGATGACGGCAGCGGGATCGGGCATGATGGCCTTGATAAACATGGTGTAAGGATTTTCTGTTGGATGGATTGGCAACTGGACGGCAGGAATGAGACCTCAGTGGCCATTACCCGCAGGCTACGCTTGCATAACAAAACGGGCATGTTCACCGATGCTCATGTTGTCCTCGTTTCTGATCATGCGAGCACCCGGGACATCACTGATCAACCTACTTTCTTGGGAAGGCTGGTAAAGCCAACAAGCGCGGATGCTGCCCGTATGCGACAGTGGGTCTCGCTCTGCAAGGATCACCACGGAGTCGCATGTCAAAGTCTCAACGATGTTGGTGCTTCGAAAGCCTCGTCCGATTCTGTGCGCCTGATAGACTGCTATCAGATGTGTCTTATCACATCCCAGAAAGAAACCCGCTATGTGACGCTGAGCTACATTTGGGGTGGTTCGGCTGTCGGGTTAAGACTCACCCGCTCTATGTACCCTGAAATGTGCCAACCTGCAGCATTCAATCGCTTGTTCTCACAGCTGCCCTGTACAATTCAAGATGCTATACGACTGGTACCAATTCTTGGGGAACGGTACCTGTGGGTAGACAGTCTATGCATCATCCAAGATAGTCGAGACGACTGGAAACGAATCGCTCCCACTATGGACACCATTTATGGCAACTCTGTGGTCACTATCTGCGCCGCATCTGGCTCGACTGCAATGGCCGGGCTACCGGGAGCATTGCCTCAGTCACGTACTCTCGTTCAACAAACTGAACGCTGTGGAGCATTGAACCTTATGGTAGTCAGGCCGGTGGAAAGCCATATCCGCGACTCAAATTGGAGTTCGCGAGCTTGGACATTCCAAGAAAGGCTCATGTCCCAGCGGTCTTTGATTTTCGTGGATGGCCGTGTGTTTTTCCAATGCCGGAAAGCCACATGGTCCGAAGAGCTAGATTGCGAGGCACAATATCCTACTTGGAACTTGGACATGATCGGCTCGCCTCTAGCGCTTTTCAGGGAAAATCCACTGCGGCGTTATATTAACTGTGTGGAGCTGTACAGCGGCAGACAGCTGACCTATTACAACGACAGACTGGTGGCGTTTGATGGAATAGGGGCTCTTCTACGTGAACCGTTGGCAGCAACGCTTCATTACGGGCTGCCGGATTCCTATTTTGATTGGGCTCTCTTGTGGGAACTGAAGTCGCCGGGACAATTTGTCGGGTTTGATCATATTGGGAGCATTTTTCCAAGTTGGTCTTGGTCCGGTTGGGACAGCGGTGTCGAATGGAGGCTTTCTTCAATATCCGGCGTCCTTCTTCACATGCACCAGTGGCTTGTCGAGCACACATGGATCGTTTGGTACAAAGGCACTCCAGGGTCTCATCAACTGGTCTGGAAACGTTCGTCGCAAGCACGGCCACCACGACGCTGGGACGGTTACAGCTGTATTTCCGGTAAAACAGATCCATACGGACGCAGCCTTGCCTCCGCGACGAACACCCCCAATCAAAAAACCGTACCGCAAGCAATTCCTAGAGAAGGCTGCCTGCACTTCTGGACTTACACAGCCTTCTTCAGTCTCTCTGGTATGAGCATGTCCGATGCTGCCTTCAAGCCCTCCTTAGATCCGGGCCTGCACCGCTTCGGTATTCTTGATTCCAAAGGCGACTGGTGTGGGACTGTTGTCCTTGACAAGACCTGGTTCAACGCAAGAGGCGGAATCTATGAGTTCGCTGCCATCTCAGATGCCAAAGATTTCGCGTTGGAGGAATACGATAGCTGGACGTATTACATTCCTGAAGAGCGCGAACAAGCTGAGTGGTATCTCTATTACGCGCTGATGATCCAGTGGAGATCTGGTGTCTACGTGAGGCTGGGACTGGCGAAGATATACAAGACGGCATTCGAGTCGGGTTCTCTCAAGCCGGGAATGCAATGGAAAGAGTTGACGTTGGGGTAAGGTAAGAGGGAACAACCTCTTACTCTACGCTATTTGAAAATCATAGCGCACATGAAGACAGTATTCGGTTACAATCTCCGAGCGAGGACAAACCAGTTCCAACTCTGAAAGGATGAAATCAATATCTCAAATGGCCTGACATGTCTCGGGGATCAAACTGTAAACCAATTCTCCAGCTCCGCCTAGGAAGTCTCAGCATGAACCACTGCCCAAGTAGAACAATGTAACCCCAAACCATCCAATCATCTCAATATCCAACAACTTCTCCGCAAATGTCAATAACTGATCCTCAGACCAGAGTCCTCGCAGCAGGTGGACAGCGATTACAACACGGTCAGGGGCTCTCACAATCACTTCACAACCTTTGCGTGCCTTAGAGGGAGAGGGAGCGTGCAAATCTTCGATCATCGAGGTCTCCCATAACTTGACCATCCAATGCCACCTCTATCTCAAGCATTTGATCAATGCGATGTTAGTTGCAGCGGGTGGGGCAGATTGGTAGCATCTGATCCTGCTCCGAACACAAACAACGCGGCAGGATGTCAAGCTACAATCTCAGCCTTGACCGGGAGCCCCCTATACTCTGTGGAGATATTGCCCGACTGCAAATCAAAAGATGAGCCTAACAGAGCAATTGTGGGAGACAGACAAGCAAGCTCAATACGGAGAGTAGAGAGATGGATCAGGGGACACGTCCCATTCTTACATACAATACGCACCTATACACTCAGGGATATCAAGTCCCGCCCCAATAGAAAAAATTGTTAAGAGTGATTACCCAAGTTAAGACCCGTGAAACATCAACAGGCGACCAAAACTCCCGCAGCACCGCAAGGGACGAAGAGCACTTCCCTCACCTCCTCCCCTCAACCCCCAGCACATTACCCCCCCGTCCCCTCAAACTCCGATCCACCCTCTCCCGCACGCCCTTGAGACTCGCCTCCGTCTTCCACTCCTTGCTCGTACTGCCACTATAACTACTCCTCAGCATCTTCTCCTCCTTCCGCTCCTCCTCTGCCTCCTCCTTGAAAGCCCGTTTCGCAAACTCCTCGCCCTCAACCTCCACCACCATCTCCCTGCTCGCCAGCGCCTGCCTCCTCGCCTTTCCTTCCGGCACGTTCCGTATCGTCGCATCCCTCATGTCCTGCGAGAGCCGCGGCGCCGCCTCCGAGCCCGCGACATAGATGCCATCGTCCTCAGCATCCTGCGCGTTCGCTTTCGGCTGGAAGGTCGGAGTGGGCCTATCCTTGTTCGCGCGATTCTGCACCGTGCGCCGGGTGCGTTCGTATCTTGCCGAGACATCACCACCCGTCCACATCGTCCCAAGCGCGCGGTCCCAAAACGTGAAGAACGGCTGGGAGAAGTTCGTCTTGATGCCCCAGCTCTGGTGATGGATGTCATGATAGCCGGCATTGTTCGACGTAATCAGCTGTAGCGGGTCAAACGGCAGCGCGTATCCGCAATGATCATCCACCGTCTTGATGGTTGACAGCGTGAAGAACCACATGGACTGGCGGACCGTCATGCCGGCGGCGAGGTACGCGAGCCCTGTACCCAGCGTGTCGAGGAGGAAACCCTCGATCGGGTGGTTGTAGAGGGCGCCGTAGGCGTACGGGACGTAGAGGCGGTGGTGCCGTGAGTGGAAGGCCGTGTACATCCATTTGTTCATGTGCATGGCCCGGTGCCAGAAGTATTGCCATGTGTCGACGATGAGCACGCCGAGGAGGAATTGGAGCGCGGGGACGCCAATGTGGTAGATTGCTCGCGCGAGTTGAACCTCCCAGCCTGCGAATGCGGGCACGAGCGTCTGTGTCCCCTCAATCGTCGCTGTTTGTACAAGCCCCGGATACTGTCCACCCGCCAATGCTCCCGCGGCCATCGGATACGCGCTCCCAATTTTCTTCGCCAGCGCTTGCGCGTCGAGCCCCACCGCGCCCAACAAACCGGGCACCGCCCTCTGCGCGATGCGTATTCTTTGCGCCCACACCGCGATATCGTAGTCCTCGCTCCCCGTCATCGTCACCGGGTCCAGCATCCCCAACACAACCCCGAACGCAGTCTGTATAACCTGCTGTACGAGCACATCGCGCAGGACGTCGCGCCGGCTGACATGGTTGCGCTTTGTAAGCTCCTCGGGCGTGTGTAGGCGGTAGGGCGAGAAGAGGTCGTAGGTGTCGATTATGTGGAAGAAGAGGCTGACGGCCCAGTAGGCGATTATGGGGAGGAGGAGCGTCAGATATTTGTCTTCGAGCCAGGGGACGAGCGGCGGAAGCGGGCGGAGCGTGTAAGACGGGAGAGGAGGGAGGGTAGGGGCGAAGGTGGTGTTGTCCATCAGGATGGTATATAAGCTGTGTGTACTCTAAGGAAGGACTGGGGGTGAATTGAGCGACCTGACGGTGGTGGTGGTGGTGGTGGTGGTGGTGGTGGTGGTAGAAGATTAAGGCAGGCGTCGAGGGAACAAAGTAAGATGAGCATCGGAAGAGCAGCGCGTCACCTCGCAGGCCAAATTTGCCTCACGGAACCGGCCGCTTAGGCGCCTTCTAGCGTCTTTTCTCGACCCCCCCACCCCCACCAACCACCACCACCAGCGCACAGGAAAAAACCGAACACCACGCCAAAGCCTTTACCGTGCTACATCACTCACTCTTTTGGCCTCAAAACAGCTTCTCCCTGTCTTCCGTCACCCTTGGCAATACTCTCGAACAGCTAGACAAGATGATCATCTACAAGGTACGCCAGCTCTCAGCCCACAATCTTCCTCCCTTCCCGCGCCCCACCGCAGCCTACCCTCACACTTCCCCAATCCCCCCCCCCACCATCCAGCCCTCTCCTCTCCAATCCTCCAAGCCGCGCGCATCTCCAACTAACCGCCTTGCGCAGGACATCATAACCGGCGACGAGATCATCTCGGACAGCTACAACCTCAAGGAGATCGACGGCGCCGTGTACGAAGCTGACTGCAAGAAAATCACCATCGGCAACGATAACATCGACATCGGGGCCAATCCCTCGGCCGAGGAGGCGGACGAGGCGCTCGAGGAGGGCGCCCAGCAGGTCATCGACGTCGTGCACAGCTTCCGGCTCAACGAGACCAGCTTCGACAAGAAGAACTATCTATCGCACTTGAAGAGTACGTCTGCCTGTACCCTTACGCTCCCCTCCCCGGGGCGGGCCTTGTCTTTCAAACCACGGTGGACGGCAGCCTCGCTCCTCAGTGGCCCTTCTTGAGAAAGCATACACGAGAATCCCACTGCTAACATATATCCCCCCTTAGCCTACATGAAGAAAGTAAAAGAGGCAATGAAGGAGAAGGGCGCCTCAGACGACGAGATCAAGGACTTCGAAAAGGGCGCCTCGGGCTACGCCAAGAAGATCGTCGCCAACTTTAAGGACTACGAGTTCCTGATCGGCGAGAGCATGGATCCGGACGGCATGGTCGTGCTGCTCAACTACCGCGAGGACGGCGTCACGCCCTTTGTTACCGTCTGGAAGCATGGCTTGACCGAGATGAAGGTTTAGAGCGGGGATTCGGGGGGTTGGCGGAGGAGAAGTAGCGGGGGAGGGGGAGAGAATCTAGGCGGCGGGGAGGAGAGGGAGCGCGCATATGGAGGGCGTGGTAGGATGGGTGGATTCCTTTTTTTTGGCGGGCTAGATACGAATCAAATGGATTGCATGACCTTTAGTTTCTCATGACTTGATGCAAACTCGCTGCCTGCGATGAGTGGTGCCATCTGGCTGATTGCGTGTCAATTAGATGTGGACCGGACTGAGCACAAAGCCCTTTATCAACTCCACATATACAAGGCCCTCAGAACGAGATGAAAACCCCTCTGATGTTCCCAAATCTGTTCCATGCTGCCCCCGCCTAGAAGCCCCTTTCACGCACGCATTCCCGAACCAAATCACAGTACTCCGACTAAGCCGACCAATCGATGCAAAAATGACTGAGCGCAGTGACCATCAACGCTTTGGAAAGAACGACAGTGCAGATGGAGCGGATACGGGGAGGTGAAGGTGTGTGTCCCGTTTTCTCTTCCCTTTGCAAACCAACCAGAAGTGGAATACTGAAAGCCCCGAAACACGATTAACAAGGTTGCCGCGCGTAAATGCTGATGATTCCCTTTCCCGACAAAAACCCATCGCTGAGAAAACAGATGACATAATCAAAAAACAGAACCCCGTGATGTTTGAGTTTGACGCCGGATTGCGCCGCAAGTTGCAGTTCCAAACACGAAGCAGAGGGAGGGCGCAGTAGTGGTAGGGCGGAGGCGTAGAGGCATTAGAAGAAGTGCGTGTGTGGCTTCGATAGCTCGTGAACTTCCATCTCCTGCACTGGATGTTAGCCGCCATGGTCTAATCGAGGTGGTTTGAAGGAAGGGGTACGCACCATCTTGAAGGAGTTGAGCTCCTCCTTGATCTGCTGAGCCAGCATGGGCGTCAACCGGTTGCAGGTGGCAATGTCTCCTCGCCTATCGTACTCAGTGGCAGACCAGGCGTCATGAAACTGGATCCTGGGGCTGAAGCTAATGTTGCGGGGGCCGCCATGGGGAGTGTTCGGCAGCGACCTCGAACTCGTGGTAGCGAAACGCTGCGCGCCCACGAAGTAGTCTTGAGTGAGAGGCGCCGGCTGGTCATCAACAGGTGTAGCGGGCGAGCTCGAGTTGGGTGTGTCGGTGATCTGCATTGTTGGGAGACTGTTGTCGGCCGGCCGCACAACAGGCGATGAACTACCGGAGCTGGTTGCGGATCCTGCTTCTGTTAGCTTCCGGTCCGTCAATTGATAAGAGTGGAGATGCGTACGCTTCAGTATGCCCTTCTTAACCGCTGCTAGTACCTCTGCGCGTTCCCTTTCTCCACCAACAATGCTCTTTCGTGACCACGTATCCGAGGGAGGGCCAGTCGACAAGCCCGGAACCTCTCGGCTAGCCACACTGTTGGCGTCCAAAGAGTTCCTCTCGAGCCTGGGGAAACCAGTCCCTCCGCCCGCTTGATCATGGGGATCGATGTTGACGTTGACCTTCTCCCTTTCAGCTTCCACTGTGACTATGGACACCTCGGCTGCGCTTGGTCGCGTCACGGGACCATCGGCAGCAGGAACACCAATGACCGATTTGGGTCTGAACAGGCCTTTCAGCGACCGTGATGACTTCTTCATACCCTGGCCCATCTTGCGCAGCATTATAGAAGCGGAAGAAGCAGTGGATTGTATGGATAAGTTGTCGGTTGATCCACCAAAATAGTTACCTTGGCCCGAGTATATCCCAGCACCGATGCCGCCAGCCTCCTGCTTGGCCGCAATAGCTTCCTGCTCGGCTTCGCGCTCATGTTGATACTTCTCCTTCCTGAGCCTTGCGCGTTCTGCTGAGAAGCTGTTCTCGGCTGACGCCTTCCGAAGCTCGGCGGCGCTGCCAAAGGAAAACGCTCTCCTTAACCTCGACTTCATGCCTTCTTTCGTGTCCTTGTCGTTCACTGCTGCAAGATGCTGTGCTGCTGGACTTGGCGCGATTTCCGAGGTTGCCTCAGTTCTAAGCCGTGAGAGTATCGGCTGAGCACGTTCGGGTTCCGTGCCTACCACTGGTCTAGAAAGGGGCGAGGGCGCAACCGGACGTTTGCTGGCCTCGGAAGAGCCGCGCGCTGGAATGTTGACAATTTTCAGCTCCGGTTTGCCAGCAGCCATGGCTTGCTGCGTGATACTGCCACTGGAGCTTTGGCGAGAAGATGCGGGTCTTGCTGCAGCAGTGGAAGGTCTGGCGTCTCCACTGCTTGTGTGGGGATGGTGAGAGACCGGTCTGTTTGCAGGCGTAGACGGTTTATTTGCTTGCATGTTTTGCCCACTCGGTGAAGGCGAACGCCAAGCAGTCCCGGAACTTGTGTTCGTGGTCACTGCACCACTACTAGCATCCCCGGACTCGATGCCAGTCATGCTGCGTCTTCGGTATCTCTTCGCCTGTTCGGACGCCCGAGACGCTTGCGTTTCATCCGCGCTGCCTGTCCTCTGATGTGAGGGACGGTTTGCAGTATTGATCGGCACAGCACCTTGGTATAGATGAGCTACGGTGGCCATCCCTGAGCCAGAAGGCACAGCAGAACGACCACTCTGAAACTGCTCATGCTGCTGTAGCGTAGGAGAGCTGTCAGAACGGCGCGGAACTCGCCGGTAGCGGTCAGGCGATGGCTTCGAAGGCAGATCAAATGTCGAGAGCGATAGATCCGGCACAGACGTCGAAAGGCTGACTGTTGAGAGTGGTCGGTTCTCCGCTCCGGCATAGGATCTCTGGTGCGATGAGAGCACGGAATCGTCTTTGGAAACAACATTGCGGCCTAACGACTTGTTGGAAGAGGACGAAGATGAGTTCGTCGAATTCGACGAAGACGACGGCTGACCCGGCCTATGAGAGAGCGTTGGGCCATTTTGCTGCGCGTAGGGATGCGCAGGAGCAGACGTAGTCCGATTGTCCTGCCGTAAGTGAGGCGTAGTCTGGAAGGCATAGGTTGCGACTGGAGCTGCAGCCGTCGGGCGATAGCTTCCCATCGCTCCGCTCTGTGTGTTATAGATATGGCTTCGAGACATCTGCGACGCTCGTGAGGACTGGTGATGGCCCTGTGGCGAGGAACTGGTTTGGAAAGGGTCTGGAGATGTGTGCAGCATCGTGATCGTGCTGGTCTGTGGGATGATTGGGGTGAGTACTTCAGCCATTGGATCGTCTAGCGGGGTGCTGCTGCCGTTGCGTCGAAACTGGCTTGTGCTGGCCCGGTGTGGTGACAGAGAAGCCGTGAATGGAGGCGGATGAACGAAAGCCTAAGCGCGCAACAACAGCGTCAGCAACGTCTCAGGAAAAGTCCGACCGATCCCTTAACACATAGCTGTGTTGATGCAACAGAACTTGTAGATTTCCTGACCGAGGCTGAAGGGATGTGCGTGACGAGGTTTCAGGCAGGGCTGGCTCAATCCGGAGCAGAGAACGTACCCCTTTCGCTTGGCCGCCGCGATCTGCGTGAAAAGTATTATCGAGGAGCAATAAACAGCCGGCAAAAAGCTATTAAAACGGATGTAGAGTGCAACAAAGCCGATTGCCTGTCGTTAAAAACAGCAGACTGGACCGAAACGAAGTGCTGGCGGTAGTAAACGGGAGAGCGACTTCAAGCGTTCGAGCCGTTGGCGGCGGGATGAGCGAGCACGAATGGGTCCAGCCGGAGCGGACGATGGTTCAGGCTTGTCAAGACCGCATTGAGGCCACTGAAGCAGGTAGAGGACCTTCGTAGGGGTCTCTCCTTGGCGGAGGAGATTCGTCTGGCAGATGGAGGAGTTTGGAGGAGGACGGCACGACGCCGGTGCAGTGCCTTAGTAGCGAGTGACTGCCGCAAGACAGCTCAGACAGTCAGCCAAACGCCAAACGAGGGTGTGGATACAATTGAAGGGAAGGATAGGTGATGGAGAGAGGCGGACGGGGGTAGCGGTGGTGAGGGATGGGGGATGATTGCGAGGGCATGCTGGAAAACGCGGCACCAGGAGACAAAGCACGGACCACTGCTCGTCGTTTCTTCCAAAATGACAGGGCTTGGGGCAAGATCTCTGCAGCATGGGCCCATGTTTGTACAGATCCGACCCTCGCTGGCTTGGGTGAGCTGCAGAGGCTTTAGAGAGCAGCAGAGAGACCAGACGGCCGTTTTCTTATGAGGCCGACCGTCAATTCGGCTTTGCAGTCAGCAGAATTTGCTATCTCTGCATCTCTGCATCTCTGCTGTGTCGCGGCGCTGGAACCGCATCCCCTGGCACCACCACCATCCCGTGACCCAGAGTCTGAAAGAGTCCCCCAAGGTTCCCCCTCCCCGATCATGCAGCAGCAGTCTTGATCCATCTTCGCACAGCGTCCTGCGACCGAATCTATCCGCGCAGAGGCGTTGCTTACGTTACATGCCAGTCCACGCACGCCCCGTTGGTGTCGACAGCAACGCATTCCTCGACGGTTGACAAGACACTCATCGCGTTTCAAGTGGTTCAAGGATTTGCGGCGAGCATGTGTGGGACGCTAAACGCGAGCGAACCGCGAATCACGCCAGTTTGCCTCGACCGATACGAGGGGCGCCTGCATCAAGTAGACGTCCACCAGCCAGCTCTACAGCATAACGCTCTAGAGGAGGTACTCGAGACCTACGGCCAACGTCGCCTGCAGCGGCCATCCACGAACCTGCATGTCGCTCCGTACTCGAAGTCATGGAGAGGCAGTCCTGTAGTCAACGACAGGCGGTCAAGGCTCGACACAACCACATCTACCCCGCCGTTGGCCGGTTGTGCTACAGTTAAGGGTGGAGAATTAACGCCAGGTGTGTTGGGAGCTTCAAGTGCATTGGACGGCGCTACCCGCAGGAGGCTGGGACGAACTGTGACATTGCGGAGAACCAGAGTCCACAGCCGCAGAGTGCGAGAGGGCAATATTTTGATTGGAGATGCTCACCCTCTTCTAAGCAGGTGGAAGAAGTTCGAGGTCGCTCGAACACATGTGTTGGGCCCAAGAAGACACGCCAAGGGACGAAGACGCGTTTCCCTCTTGCCCCTCTCGGACTGGCGTGAACGCCATTGTAAGCCATGGACGACGAGATGTGTTCAAAGGAGGGGACTCTTGTACGCGTGTTCAGCTGAACCGCGCACCAAACAGAGGCGGCCAGACTTTGGACGGGCGATGAAGGTACAATGACAGTAAGTATCAAGCACCCAACACGCCTCGCCATCTTTTGCCTCGACCATTCTTCTTCCCGTTCCGCACGTCAAATTTAGAAGTCGCCGAAGACCCTGGCGCAGCCACAGAGATGGCTTTAGCTGCTTTGACAAGCCCTTCTGTCGATCATCGGAGATCTGTGACTGGGGGCAACTCATCGTGGCGCCGGGGATTACCAGTCGATATCTCATCAAGAACCGCATGCTGAGATTGCGGTTGTCGCTAGAAAATGCTCTACGGACGTTGGCACTGATAGACGGGGATCCGTTGTCTTGATCGCATTGCGAGTTGCACTCCAACAGAAATCTTCGAACGGCTGTTTCCCGAGCACAAAGTCTCGCGGTCCTCGCGTCGCTTTCCGTGCGCTTTGCAACTGTGGAACCATGTGCGGCCGCTCCTCCGGCTGTTGCATGAAACTGCGGCTTCGGAACAAGCCGCTCCCGGCAAAGAACTTCCTCAAGATGCGACTTCCCGTGCACGGCGTCCACGAGTGCAGAAACCGGGAACCTTGCGGTCTCGACAAGACCCCCTATCCCGGAAATGAGGGAGCATCGATCTTCCGGGGGTGCCAAGCATGATTTGCAGGGCGCTTTTTGCGGCTGGCTTGTTTCCCAGCACGGTAGAGGCGACGCGGCGTTGCCCTAGTGGAGTACCGTAAGTAAATGCTTAACAGGAAGAGAGACTAACCCTAGCTGCTCTATCTGAAGAACTATGGTACCACGGGACTTGTTGTAACCACAGGACAGTCAATGACAAGTAACGCTGGTGGAGCATCGGCACGGGAAAGCGGATCAGGACCAAGATGTTCGCAGACGCTTGTGTTTCATCATGCTACTACCGATGATGGCATGCCTTAGTGACGTGGTTTCAAATTGACAATGCTCAGATGACACTTTTTGAACCAGCTCGATATTAGAGTACGATGCTAAGCAAAGCACGCGTCTCAATGTTCAGGACTTCAAGTAGGAGCGGTCTGGACTATCGCTAACAATTCATATAAGCCTGCGACCTCGAGAGAAGACCAACCGTTTAGGATTGTCACATGCCTGCGAATAGCAAAATTTTGTTAAAGGGCTGCTTGCAGCGAACGGCGGATCATTGCCGCGGCACTTCGGCCTCATGCTGCCTCCAGCGCGTTGAGATGTCACGGGCAGTCGCTTCACTGGCAATGCGAACACATCGAAAGGATCCCCGGCGTATGTTGTGCAGTACTTTGATGCCATACTTCGTGGACGTGGAGACAGGAGAACGGATCTTCCAGCCACGGCGTCCTTGTGCAGCACTGCAACCGCGGATGCTCTGCATGCTAGCGATGGAAGACGCTCACCGAGGACAAGCATCGTAACTTTGCAGCAGCTGTATGTGCCAGTAGCTAGTACTTGTCAGCTACCATCCAGCCACCCAACACTCTACTGCAGCCGCCGGTACCGCGCTGTCGCGCTCATTATTGAGCGCTACTATAATTCCGCAGACCTGGCGTTGGTGTCGCCGGGGATACAAGTGCATCGTTGCTAGCCTCAACTTTTTCAGAGCACCATTGGATCCAGTGCTGAATTGCCCTATCCGATGGAATCAGGAATTTCTTTCCTTGCGTTTTGCGTCACGGATCCGTAAATAGAGCTGAGCGTTGCGTGGACCGCCATGTCAAAGCATAACCTAGACAATTCAGTCATCCCCAACTCTACATAAGTAGTCATCTCAGGCACCGACTATGTTGGGGCCTTGAATCTCGGGGTTTTCGAGGCCATCATCCATCTTTTGGAAAGGAAACCCCTGTTCAGTCACTGGCCATGATTGCCGGAATCATTTTCGCTGTCTCAGTGCTTGCTTCTCAACCGCAGGACTACTGTGTGGAGAAGCACTTTTCCCGGGAACAACACTGTCGTTCGCGCGTATCATGCTCATCTGCCTTAACGCTAGAAAATCGAGGTGCATCAAGGTCTCGAGTGCCGTACAGAGCCTGGGCGCAAGACGTAGCCATCTTCCAAGAATCTAATGTAGCCCACGGAGCCCGATCTTCAGTGAAAACTCTGTTGCAGCTCTAAACTACCGCGTTTAATCCAAACAGCACATTTTCAAAAGTACTGCAGGTCTTGCAGCATTGCTGCCCATTCCTTCCGACAACAATCACTTCAACGGCAGCCCATTGCATTTTTGCTTTGCGCGCATACTTTTCTCCGCGCGTTCTCACTGTTTTGGTTGGCATGAGCTCTCAAGAGGCGCTCGTCCAAGGCAAGACTACTACGACGGCGGATCGGTTCTCTACGACGGCGCAAGAGGCATATCTACTCGTGCTGGTCGCCTAGGACAATCCATGAAGTTCCGCATTATCATGCTTTTGTTGTCGACTTGGAAGGAAACCACCATTCTTTCCACAGAACCACTCGCGGAGCCCTCGTCGCTCACTTGGTCCCGGTCCGCTTCTCGCGACGCTGACTATTCATCACAAGCAACATCCTCGTCAAGATACTCTAGTCGCCTCTGGTTCAGGCATCTATTCCAAGCTGTAGCGCATGTCGGACCGTAATGCGGGCCGTTTCGCTCGAGATCACCGAGATGCTGGCTTTGGCGTCGACGCGGTATCCACTGGCTATCGCTCTACAGACGAATAGGACTTCAAACCGCTACCAACATGCATGTGGCTTTAGTCATGCCGCATGAGCTGCATCATGGAGTTTCTTAGCTTTGGTGGCATACAAAAACATTCTCTAGTGCTTGATTGGTATCCTCCGGAGCCCAAAAAATTGGCGGGCCGGACATATCGGTCAAGATTTTAGCAGGACATCCGCTCTAACGATAGAGTAGAACTTGAAATGTTTAGCGGAAATCCCAGGATCACCTTTTCAGCTTTCAACTGTCTATCTTCAACTAGTTCAGTAGTTACGGTACGGAGTCTATTTGTCACCGGTCTCTCATTGAACTGCGCTCCGAGAGTGAACTCACGCTGGCGAAAGTTTGGCATCAAAACCATTGCGCAAAATCTTTTACACGCTCGAGGATTTCTAGCTCACGGAACAAGATTAACGACAGCCCCTTTAACCGCGTCAAGCCTTTCTGGTCGCACTCAAGCGGATGGCCGCGTAATTCAGGCTCGGCAGATGTTGATGTTACTCCGCCAGCCCGTGCGTATCTTAATTCGCCTGCCAGTGCTTTGGGGGAAAGGCATACACTCTACTCAAAATTCCCTGCTATATTCTGGAGCTTCTTATGTTCCGTCCGCTTATGCAGGCTTTATGAGACGACGCGTTCATTGTGCCGGTTCTAGAATCATGCCCAATGGGTTCGGCGGAAGTCAGGGATCTCAGGGGCGTCAAAGTGTTCGCCTAGCTGCTCAGTACATCCAGTTTGGTATGGTTTTACGGATGGTAAGGCTAGGTCAAATGTTCCACTACACAACTACTACGACGTAGCTGCCGTAATTACTTTCCCTGTCTGTGTAAAATAATTCAGCGATATCTTTACTATCTATTCAATCCGTACAAGGGAATAGCCCGTCTTTGAGTGGTCGTTTTCTCGTGGTTCAGCATCTGAGAGGGCTAGTGAGTACATTGGAGTTTCTGTCTCTCATTTCTTAACGCAGCCTCTTTGTCTCATACTATGCTTAGTATAATGTACCGCGTATCTGCTGTTGTGTTTGCATTGCTGTCTTTGTCTCCTCTTCAACAATGCCTTTGTACACTTCCGTCGTCTCATTTATATTCCTCTTCGGCCACATTCGATTGCAGCAGATTTCGCTCTCGCGCCGCCGTCCACGAGAACCTTCTACAATTGCAGGTCAGTTGTTTTAAAGGAACTCAAACGTCGAACTTCCAACATCTTTCGAACTTCGCAAGACTACAGTCACTTCGACAAGATGGCGGCGACACGGGCTCTGTATCTAAACATGGCTTCTCCATCCAAGAAGGGAAAGTCTCGATCTTCTCAGGATCACATGTCCTATCGCGATCTCTCCGAGTCCGACATCATGCTGCTTACAGGCACCCTGTCCCACGCACCGCCACCATTCCTACATCATTCAAGCCCGCAAGTAGCCAGCTACAGGCGTGCAACCAAGAAGGAATTGGAGCGCCTACCTGCCCGACTGGAGAACGCAAAGTACTTCACGTTCCGTGGACGGTTCAAGTATGCCTATCACTACGCGCGCGGAGACTCCGGCGTGCTGTGCGAACTGCATGGCCCGCTCAACTACTATGTTGCACGGTCTCTTTTCCACTTTGTCCGCCGAGAGATTGATGACCAGATTCCAGCATTCATCTCCGACCTTCGCGAAGCCGGCGTCTTGACGAAAGAGCAGATCGCCGTCTTTTCTGTGTTTGACACTGTGTCAGGAATGTGGCGCAGCAACTTCACGAATAGCTTCGCAGCTATGAGAGGCGACGGCGGTCTCGCCATGTCCAAGTGGCGGAGGCAGGAAGACCACTGCTACGCTTGCATGCTAGCTCGCTTGGGTGCAGATGAGCAACTGGTCTTCGCACTGGCTGCTGGTATTCTGGGACGACACCGCGGTAAGGGCATCTACATTGCCAACAGCAAGCGTCTGCTGTGGATCGAGTCCTGGCTGTCGGGATTCAAGGATCGTGAGAGGATGATGGACGAGAGTTGGGCGCTGGGAAAGCAGCTCAAGGCTCTTGCGACACAGGTAAGGCGCAGCAAACTGGCGGTTAGAAAGGTAGGAGATGCCCAGAACGAGCCTAAGATACGTTCTTTCAGACAATTGGCTGAGCGCGACATGCAGCGCAGTACGGCAACACCTTCGACGGACCGCACTTTGGTCAATGACGAAGATTCTGCTTCACACCGGCAGCATACCGAATCTAGCAATAGTTGTTCGGGAGAAGAGCTACAGAGGGCCCCCTCAACGGAGTCCACATACTCACAGTCCGAGGACGACGACGAAGGATATGACGACCAGATCATCGAGTCGTACAAGCACAGGACTATCTACACTCCTATGGCTTCCAGTACGGCCCTTCCGAGCGCGATCCCTCCTACGAGCGGGGCAGCAATGGATGCTTACGCCACATGGATCGAAAACGAGGCTTACAGCCCCTCGCCGCCTCGCACGCACCAGACCTCAGAGTGCGTGACCGAGCGCGACGATTCCACCGCTCCGCTCCTCCGCTCCAGCACGGTGCGTGCATCCAGCCAGGCCACGGAAACTCCAAAGCCAAGGAGAAGAGGTGCGCAAACCCAAGCCTTCTCCTACATCAACGCGATCTCCACTGACCCCAGCTGCTCTGCCTCGGCACAAGGCCCCTTCACTGACCCCTTCGCTGACACTGTCTCACAGCATGATCCAAGGCTCTCGACTGCTTCAACTGGCACTCTTATCCTTGACGGACCAGATGAAAATGGGCGGTACACGTCGAAGCGTAGTGTGAGACATGACTCCGAGCAGGTGAGTGAGCGCAGCGAGAGCGAGGCCAGGTGGAAAGATTTCAGGAAGGCGTTGAGGGTCGATGATGAGGATGAGAATGGTAAGTCTGGAGGGGGAGATAGGAGGGAGAGTTCAGGAACGACGTGGTCGCAGTTTGTGACTCCGCGCCGGCCTGATGGGTTCTTCTAGGAAGTGGAAGTCTGGGTCAAAGGGGAATGAGGTGGTATGACGAGCGAGGGGATTAGTGTATCCGCTTGTAGTGGGCACACGTTTAGTTCTTCGGCGCTGGTTGTCGGTTTGTATTAGTTCAGGGTTGCAGAAAATACAAACCGATTAAAAAGGGGTGGAAACAGAAGAGCTATTTGAGTGATGTGTGTGACATTTCGACAATTGATGCTTCTCCCATATAACGAAAGAACAATAATATTTGAAAGCATTCTGTTGCCTCACAAGGAAGAATCGTCGAGGAACGAGATGGAAGATTGGCGGAGTTTGGCTTGCCGAATCGACGGAGTTGGCGATCTCCCGCACACTCCTGAAGCCAAAACGGAAATCCTTAAATGCAAACGAACCTGGAAGAACACATCATGAAGCAAAGGATCGCAAGCGAATACAAACCCAGCATCACGGTCCTAGTCCATCGTCACCATCACCCCGACACGTCGCCATCCACCCTACAATTTGCCGGGTCAGCTGAACCAGCAGTCCATCATCACTATCATACTCTGAAACACTGTCATAGACCAGGATTACGAAGGAAGATTGTGTGGTGGAAATGATAGCGCGAATGGCTCCCTGACGATACCATGCATGTTCTCCACGAAAGTGCTGACAGTCCATATCGTTGAGCTTTAGTGGTCAAGAATTCCATACGAGAAGTTCACGTGGACTTGAAGCTCCGGAACCACGATGCTATACGATCCTGCGCATCCTCCGCCGAAGAGATATTGTCTGGAGCCACATTAGACCTCAGGGTCCTGTCACGGTTTCCCTAGAATAGTACTCTACATCATTAGGCTCTGAAAAAGGCTGGATGAGTAAGGCAAGGCAGGCAAAGTTTCATTATCAAGGGTAATATGAAGACCCCAGTAGTCATAGCATAATCCGAGACAGGCACGTCGGTAGGTCTGTGAGCTTCGCCTTGAGCTCGTGATGTATCTTGTGGCTCCTCTACCCCATGATACACCAACCATGTATCTGGCGCGCCGTGTACAGTTATCAGGGCATCAGCACCATGATGTTTCTCAAGCAAGACTTTAAACGCTTAGGAAATGGATCATTCATTCTTGCATATCGAGCTCGATAACCATAGGTGTTCGAACAAGGACGATATCACGCCTTCGGAGAAATACGATTGAGCTTCTGGGTTGCGGACACCAATTGGGTTGAATACCTCCTTGACGCTCAGGTTAGATCCACCATCCAAAACCGTAAAACAGTTGTGGTCATGGTGATCAGCGAGAAGTCTACGAGCTTCGAAAACGCAAAAGCTGCCATCGACCTGACAGCGGTTCTTAGATATCGGGTGTTGCACACCGTTCGGTTTTCAGTTGGTGAACGTATGGTACGCTTCTTGCAAAGACCAAACCAGTGGATCATATCAGACGCCTCTGGTAGGTATGGAAGAATCATTCTAGGAGCACGATGTTGGTAGATACACTTTGTTCTCTTAGGCTAAGAGCTAAACCAAAACTTGACACTCCCAGACGAGCGTTGAGATGAGACCGTTCCTCCGCATCCCACCTCAATGAGGAAAGACTCGTCTGAGCAACAACCCTATCACCGCCAGCAGTGAACTGACCTGCCGCCTGCACTATTCACCTTATTACGAAAGCCGCCGCGGATACATTGCCCCAGGTGGCATGGCCCTCGCAAGAATCTCGAAAAAGCCAAACAATTCCTCCGGAAACAGATCTTGCTCGTCCTGGGGATTCTCAATCGTGGAGTTGTCAGTGCCAGCACTGTTACTCTGACCTCCAGAAGAGTAGTCTTCCACTTTTAGTACGAACACCCCAGCTTGTCCGCCGCTCGCCGCGTGCGGTGTATGCTGGGAAAATCCAGGAGACCGATAAATGTAGCGGACGGTATTACTGCAGAAAGCCGGACCGGGGCAGGTACTCTCAATGATGCTGATAAGCTCCACCTCCCGGCACGTATGATCGTTGGATGGGGCTTGTGGGCAGAACCGAGGCGGTTGAAGCTCGCGGACGTTGCAATGGGTATGGCGGATTTGAATGAGCTGACACATCTTCCGATCGGGGATGTTTGTTCTGATGAGGTATTCTGGAAGCTTTTGATTGAGACTTGCTCGTGGGAGGCGTTCAATGAAGACTGTTGGATGGAGTCTGTTTGATCTCTGGGTTTTCTGTGGCAGGCATTTTAAGGATTTTATATCAACACGATATGAGGGTCAAGTCTGGAGTGGCGGACTGGAAACAAGACAAGTCCTTTGTGAGGCAAGACACGCTGAGCAAGATCGATGGTATGTGCATGAGACGGCTTTGAGATTGATGGAGCTGCCCGCTACAGTTACAGAGTACAAAGATAACCATCCAAGCTTCTCGAACAACCCGAAGAGTACCCAATTTTCACTGTAAGGTTCCAGTATCAGTTTTGTCTCAGAGCTCATTCCTTGCGCGCCGTCTGGTTATTCGTGGCCGCTCCCAAATGTGTAAATAGGCCATGAGTTGCTCGAGCGATGGCATAGGATTCCTGTTTCGCCTGAACCAACAGGGTGTGCAGAAGTACGCATACGGAACATCCTCCCATTCAAGGGCTGGACAACCATAGATAGCGGGAGGCACATCGTGGATGCTAATCAACCACGGCGGTGACCCGTCACAGAAGGTGATGAGGACGTCCTGCCGCTGCCTGCAACAGAGCTGGGGCACTAGATAATAGAGATAGCACATGGTGAAGCGGAGAGTAAGGGTTCGCACTAATGCTAGCTTCTCTGATGAAGTAAGAGTGTAAGATGCCCTGGGGTTTGGGGGCTTTGAGTACCTCTAGCCGCATGCTGTTACCGTTACTCTGCGCTGACGACACGCTCCATCTACGACTAGTAATCAGTGTGTTGGAGAGCAACTCGTGGTGCTGGTTCCGTTGGTAACGCCAGCTGTAGTTAGTCCTGCTGACCTTCCGATTGCCTCCACTTAGTAACGGCTGTCGACCGCTAACAGATTGTTTTGCAATGGTGACATGACGAAGGACAGCTGAGGACAGACCGAAGCACATACTTCCACTTGATGGGTTCGTAGCGGAGCGCCTCAGACTGTGTTCCCGGAGAACTACAAAGACTTTGCTCTCATACGGAAGGTCCACAGTGACAGGCACAACCTTATCTCACCTTCGTTCCGCGTAGTTCTTCTGTCCCCAAGCTCTTTGCATACTCTGGTCTCTAGAACACCAGACAGCGCAACTACGATTCAACTCTGTGACTGATGTGCTTGTTTTGAGAACGTAGCTACGCACTTCCAAAGATGTCTACAATAGACAGACCTCTTAGAGTCACAAACAGATGTTTCACGTATCAGATGTCTTGGGAGCGTTGGACTGGTATCAAAGAGGGCGACGGTGCGGTGGAGCTAGGCTCGAGCAGGCTTAGTGAGTGCCAAGATTTCAGGGTCCTGAGACTCGACAATGGAATCGTGTCTTTTATGCCCTTGGCCCTTCTAGAACGGGAAACATTTCGAGACTTCCTCGTCGCCGCCGTACGCATGAAGATGTTCTTGAGCTGCTCCTACCTGTACATACGCCGCTGAGAGCACGCGACTATTACAACCACTACCTACGCACACGTCCCGCTCTGAGAAACAGCTACCCAAGCGCTAGCGTCCCCCCACAATGTCGCAAGACTACAATTACGACGAACAGGGACAGTTCTTCCCCTACTTCGTCCTCACCATCGTTGGCCTCATCACACTACCCACCACATACTCCGCCTTCAGGAAGGGCCAGGACCTCGAAAACACAGCGACCCGGATAAAATCCGACTTCCAACCCGAACATGCGGATCTTATTGAAGGACAAAGGAAGAAGCAGAGGAGGAGGGAGCGCAAGCTGAAGCGCATGGTAGTTGCGGCGGCAGGATGGGCGCTCATGGCGGGTATGGTGTACCTGATCATCGTGACGGCGAGGACGGTGCCGAAAATATGGGATCCTTACGATGTGCTTGGGGCTTCAAGGGTAAGTCTAGCTCTTGGGCGACACATTCGCTGTCTGGATCGCTGACAATCCCCGTGCTAGTCCTGGGACGAGAGAAAGATCAAATCGCATTACCGGAAGCTTTCCCTTACGCACCATCCAGACAAACGTCAGCCCGACCCCGCCAAGAATGAGACTGTCGACCTCATCAACGATGAGTGGGTGGAGATGACCAAGGCGTTCAAGACTCTGACGGACGAGGAGGTCAGAAACAATTACATCCAATATGGCCACCCAGACGGCAAGCAGAGCTTCAGTATTGGCATTGCGCTGCCGAAATTTATCATCAGCGAAGGCAACGGCAAATACGTCCTGATGCTCTATGGCGCTCTACTGGGTGTGATTCTGCCATACTTTGTGGGCAAGTGGTGGTATGGCTCTCAGAAAGTTACAAAAGAGAAAATCCTCGTTGCAAGTGCTGGAAACCTGTTCAGGGAGTACGAAAACGAAATGACTGAGGGTGACCTGATCAATGCGATAAGCAGCGGCGAGGAGTTCAAGCATATTCTTCATGGTAAGTCAGATGCAGGATTAGCTAGGATCGAACAACGCATCCTAGCGGATGGAGAGGCATCGCCACTTGCGGGAGGGTTGGGAGTTAAAGACCGTGCCAAGTTACAAGAGCTGGATGAGGGTGTACGCAGGAAAGCTCTTGGACTATTATGGGCATACCTAGGTCGGGTTGAGTTGGACGATCAGGCACTCAACGACGGTGAGTCTATTTCTATTCCTTAGAAGTTACAGCGCTGATAAACACGTAGAAAAATATGAGGTCGCACCAACAGCACTCGCACTGACTGATGCGTTTACGTCCATGTCGTTGGCCTACGGCAATACGAAACCGCTGCTGGCGGCCTACCACACCTCACAGAACCTCATCCAAGCCGTGCCTCCGAGAGCCTCCCCATTACTGCAACTCCCACGCTTTACACCCGCAGTAGTCCGGGCTGTAGAAGGCGAAACCGCAAGGACGCATCTAACAGTGCAAGATTTCATGCGCATCCCGGCCGATCAGCGCAAGAAACGCGCCGTTGGCCCGGGGCTTCTAACGGAAAAGGAATACAATGCTGCTATCCAGATCGCATCGCAACTACCTGCGCTCAAGGTCGAGAAAGCGTTCTTCAAAGTTGTAGGCGAGCGCTTCGTCACGCCAAGCAGTTTGGTCCAGTTCGTTGTCAAAGCGCGAATCATTCCTCCCGGGGCCAACCACATCCCAGAAGTCAACGAGAAGGATCTTGAAGACGTCGATGCCAAAGAAGGCGATCTTGATGCCCTGCACGGCCGCAAGAAGAACGACCCGGAGGACGCTGAAAACCGCATACAGCCTCCCCTCGCGCACGCACCCTTCTTCGCACGAGACCACTCACCGCGATGGCACGTATTCCTTGCTGACAGCAAGCAAGGCAAGATTGCCGTCCCTCCCTTCACCTTCTCGACATTCGATAAGCCGCTCTTTGACGAGCGCGGCAACCCGACATTCAACGTGCAGACGCTGAAGATGCAGTTTGGTGCTCCGCCGCATGCGGGTCGCTACACTTTTGTCATGCACCTGATCTGCGATAGCTATATTGGCATGGATACGAAGATGGAAGTCACACTGGTCGTGGAAGAGGCGTCGAAGGCGGAGGAGATGGTGGAGGAAGAGGAGATTAGCGAGCCGGAAGAAGGTAAGTCGCTATCCGATGCCGTTCATTGTGGCGCATTCACTAATCGAGCTACAGGTACTGTAATGGGGCAGATGAACGCGCTGAAAAAGGATGCTAGTGCTAAGCAGCGTCCACGCCGCGTCGCGGACGAGTCTAGCGGGAGCGATACTGAGGGTGATGAGGAGACAGAAAGCGAGACGGATACCGATACCGATACTGATGACGAGTGATTCATGCCGGAAAAGATGTTATTCGAGGGCATTGCGGGCGTCTAGCGAGGGTGTAGTGGCCGGTCACGTACATCCCTTAACCATGAACCATTATTGATACTACGTCATTTGCTTTAACACCCTTGATATGCTTCTCTCCGCTGATGCGAACAGCTTGTGCGGAATATATCAGCCGCGCTTCCATTCCTTCCTTCTCGATGGATCTTAATCCAGCCCTGGAAAGAGAATATTCGCGGGCACGCCCTCAAGTCGCTGCAAAGCCAGGGACCGGAGACTCATGTCTCAGGTATCAGGCTGCGAAGCGCTGATATCACCTGACTGTACTGAACAGACCCGCACGACTACCGCCCTTCCAGTTCACGCCTCAAAGGGCAGCACCTTCTTATGCAAAGTAATCGTCAATCAGTTATCAAGCGTGAGCTAAGGTCGAACTAGTATAAAAATAGAAAATTACGAAGATGTAACCAGACATGCGAGAGCAAGGGTGGCCCGTTAGTGCGTTACATAACGGGATGTGCAGTGAGCCGTGCCATTCGACGATCATGCAGCCTGAAATCTGCCGCATCAAGCTTAACACCCCTGCTAGACCCGATTCAAGCTTGTGTCAGACCGTTAGTGGAGCTGTCCCTGCTTGAGATACCGTTGTCCCTGCGCACCCTGATAAAGACTCCCTTGGGGAGCATCGTGATACGGGATAGATTAATACGGGTGTGACCTCCAATATGACTCGTTTCAGCGCTTTTCCAGTCTCCTACATCTCTTCAACATCATGTCATTTATTCGAGAACCGGTCTGAGTACCGCTGTTGTTCAGTGCGGTGACGCTCCTAGATATGCTACTGGCCTTAAGCAAGGGTGAGTGCATCCCTCGCATGAGTGAATCTCTCACCAGCAGACAGCCTCCTTGACTCTTCTGAATACTTGGTTGGTGCAAGATGAAGTTCATAACGACCATCGCCAGCCATGATCCTAAGCTAACATGATTTCTCCCCAGTACGAGAAAGTCCTCAGCCCAACATACCGCCCAGCAATACTCCCAAAAACGTCTCCGTTAACACGACGCCAGACCCGCGCTCTCCTCTTTGCCTTCCTCGTGCTCGTCTGCCTCATTCTCGGCCCTCGGATCTATCCTACACATGATTTTCGATTGCCTTCTGTACCCTTACGGGTACCAGGCAGAGCCCTCATCAAAGATGGACCGCGCATCGCGAAGGCGACCATGCTCTACGGCCAGCCGAACGAGCTGTACGAGCTCGCGCTCAAAACCCACGAGCGGCATAGCAAGCAGCACGGCTATGAGATGCACGTTCTGCGGCGCGGCATCACTGGGGGATACTGGAACAAGCTGGCCTTCCTCCTGAAACTGGTGATCCAAGAGCTGGAGAAGCCGGAATCCGAGCGGACAGACTGGATAATGTGCGTTCCGCAGCCCCCAAACCCTCAGCGCCCCAACACAGCAGACCGGGCTTTGCTGATCAGAAACACCTGAACAGGTATACCGACGCCTCAACCCTCCTCCTAAACCACCTCCTCCCTCTGCACATCTTCCTTCCACCCTCCTCTCCCGAGTTCGCTCACATCCACTTTCTCAGCTCCCGCTCCCCCACCGGCACCCTCAACGCCGACGTCTTCTTCCTCCACATCGACCCCTGGACCGTCAAATTTCTGATCCGCGCTATGGCGGTCCCGATGATCGACCAGCAGGTCCAGCTCGGACACGCCATGGACGCAACCGCGATGGCGCTGGTGCTGAACGAAACCGAGTTCCGGGGCGCAGCGATGTACCAGCCGGCAGGGTGGTACCATGGCGTGCAGACGCGGGAGGGGTTCTCAGGGCATGCGGGAGATCTGCTGGTTTCGCTGCCGGCGGAGCTGATGGGGGAGCGGTGGCGGTTCCTGAGGGAGTGGGTGGAGAGGTTGGGGAGGGAGGGGGGGCGGTATGGTGTCTCGCTGAGGGAAACGAATTATCCGGCTCTGATTGCGACGTTTTGGGAGCGGGTGAGGAGGGCGAGGGGGGTGCTGCGTGATGCGGAGGAGTTTGCGGAGAGGGAGAGGGGAGACGTGAACGAGGAGTTGAAAAGGGCGATCGGTCGGCTTAAGGATGCCATTGTGTGGATGCCGGAAAGCGAGGATGTGCTTGGTGAGGCGGAGGAGGCGTGTCGGCGAGGGATGAAGGCCCCGCCGACGATGAGGTGATATGGTGCGGCATAGGGAAGAAGGAAACGGTCGACGTATTTGTAGCTGTACCAAAGCGAGCATTGCCGTGGCGTTTCGGGAAGATACCTCGGGGCTGGTGAAGCTTAAAATTGTTGGATTGTTAGTGTCAATGGGCCAACTTGGCTTTGCCCTGTCGCTTGATCTGTTGATCATCGAATTTGGAGTCGCTTCTCGTACGTTTCCGCTTGCCTGCGGACAATGCCACGATGATCGCTGGCGAGGAGCGTGGTGGTTCCTGAGCTCGCTACACTGCCATACAGCTCTTCTGATGTTACTCGAGAGGGCACTGCATCCAGTCAGATGCCAGTCCCGGGTCGCAGCATTGTCCTGTCTAAAGTGGTGCATGCAACTTACTGAGACCCGGAGGCGTGACTGACCCGGATGATGCCGCTTTCGTTCTTGATAATCCTGCAATCGCGTCCGGAAAGTGGAGCTAAACAGGGCGTTGCTGTAGATACGTGGTACAGAGCACTGAACAGGTAGGCAATAACTAGCTAGAGAAGATATGAATCCATCAAGGATAGGAAACAAGGCAAACCGGATACAACTAGACAATCCAGGCCAGCTCTTCTTTCATTGTTCCAGTCCAAGGCCCTTTCATAATTGCACAGACCCCTAAACGACTGTACGTTGAAACAAGAGGGCCCGGAGACGTACTGTCAGATGTCTCACAAGGGTCAAGCCACTTCAACAACAGGCCATAGTAGTATAGCACTTCACTGGAGCGGTAGGTATCCCCTTCGTAAAGGCAGAGACAATGCACGCGATCGCCGTTGTAATCAACATCCTCATCGAAAGCAGCGAATCCGAGTAGGTCTCCATCTTCACCGCGGATGTCCCTCGGCCGGTAAAACATCGGAAAGTAGAGATCTCCTTTCTCATCGCGAATATAGTCCAACCACCCCTCAAGCGGCGGCGATGTCTCAGAGAAATCTGAAGATTCAGATGTCGCAGTCTGATCATCAAAATCATCAAAATCATCAAAGATCCGACCGTTCGTTGCAAGGCCCGTTAGCACGAGTCGCCGACCTTCGTCAGCAGTGTCGACGTAAGCTCCAATGCGCCTTGCACAGCGGCCTGGACTTGGTTTTAGAGGCACTATGTAACCTCTTGTAGATGCCCAGGACCAAGAGGGAAACGCAGCCAAAGCTTGGATCCTCTCGAGGTAAGCGTAGCTTCTTGTCCACAAAAGAGCTTCGGGCAGTTCCCCTGTCCAAATTCCCATAATATAATCGTCCTCTCTAGATTTCTTGAACTCGTTAGCAAGCCCCTGGATGGCTGCTAATTTGTCTGTCTCATTGGTGAGTTGGCCGGCTGAGTATTGACTGACGGTCCACATCCATCCCCGATCCGTCGCCAGGTCGTGCACATGTCCGTCGTTCCCGCATCCCTTGCCCGGGTAGGTGCTGCAGCTCCACATTATGTTGCCTTCCAGGAAATGTACGATTCTTCGGGCAAGGTACCATTCCTGAACAGCCCAACCTCGTTTTGCCAACGGAGAGCGTTCTGTGTAACATAAAGACCAATGGGGTGCTTTGTAGATATTAAAGGATCCAACCACAACGTCGTCACGATAGAATGGCAGGGTAACTACTGAGGGCGAGGCCTGGCGCTTCGAAAAGCATCCTTCGGTCGGATCTCGGGCGCCAGACGCTGCGATAACAAGTCGGGCGTTCTGGTAGTATTGACCTACATGCTGGCACTCTCTCTTCCAGTCGCCTTGGTCGCCTTGGTCACCTTGGATGATACACAGGGCATCGATCCAAAGGTACCTAATTCTAAGGCTGCGTGTCACTTTGATCGCATCGCGATACGTTTTTGGGAGATCTGATATCCAAATGCCGCTTAGATGTTGTCGTAAATTATTTTGTGTTGTACGAAGTGGTCTTTTGCTTTCGGGGCCCCAACAATAGCTTAGTATGTTGTAGGGTTTACGATACCCAGAACCCTCGATTAGACGGATCTTCTGAGAAGAGAGGTTCTCTCCTAGATCGAGAATCCGACTTGGAAGCGTTGGCTCATGCTCTAGGGAGTTGCCACTAATTGTCTCTTTGCATGCTTGGTGGCTCGAAAGACAGTGCTCGAGACGACTGCGAATCCAAAACAGTGATTCTGGCGATCCTTGATGCGTGGGAATTCTTTCCATGAAACGACCAGATCTTGCGGCCTCGCTTCCTGTAACCCAACAGTCAGAGATTGCTCTTCACGGTCTCACATCGGGCCATCAACCTGGACTCGTGTTACAAGGTAGGATGTGGAGTCATGAAGGCTGCTAGTCTAGGGAACAACGTAGATGCTTGTGGATGGTACTCTCATACACCCGAGCATTACATTCCTTCGGTAACTAGCAGCCAAGTCCTAGCCAGGCACATGGTGGGCAGGACCGGCTAGATAGATTGAAACCGTTGCACGTACCTGGCGTCGCATAGAGTAGGAGAGTTCTCCCGGATGGATCCGTTTCCGTTTCCCACCAGAGTCTGTGCAGACTTATATCGTCTGACGTCCAATTCCCTCCAAACACGTGGATTTTAGCGGGAATATCTTGGGGCACTTCCATGATCTTCTCCAAAGCGTCAGACTCGTCAGACTCGTTAGACTCTTCAGACTCCCCTTCTGCATCATAGGAGTTCCGACCGTCCAAGAAGAGCCAGCAGAGCGGACACGTTTTCGCAGATGCGGACGGATCTGAGGCATTCGTAAGATGCTCAAAGTCGGAGCGGATATGCCAGGGACAGTTACGGCTCCATATACGATAATACTCCGAACGATGCTTTGTTGATAATTCTTTCGCGAAGTTGATGCAATTGCTGCAGAGAGACATAACGTGAAACCAGTAGCAGTGCTGTAGCAGGAGGTAATCCTCAAAGTGGCATTCGAAGACGTGAAGGACGAGATCACCGAGCGAAAGAACGGTCTCCGCCCAGTCTCATAGCCTTCCTCCTACGTTTCGGAGGTTACTGAAGAAACCTGGGAAATGTTCTGATGTCCAAAGTTCGAAGGCCGGGATTAGCGGGTTGGAGCTTGTGTATTCCTAACGTTGCTGCTGGCTGAGAGTAGGAGGGGATATAGGAATCGAAGATAGTCAGGTGGTTGAATGCGTTTCTGCTTAACTGTGATCATACGAAGTCTAGGAGACGGCTGACCGACAACGCCAAAGCAATGTTATCAGGCTGAGGAGAAGGAGTGAGGTCCGATGGCGTACTTCTACACAGCCCTCCTGCATGACAACCTTGGAAGGGCTTGACCGGCGGAACGAGAGTCCGGCTGTTGTACTACAACTGCAGTGTCAACACCAACACAACTCAATATACCTTGTTAGCCCTGGTCTAAGGCACCACTGCTGCATAGCCTCAGTTCACGAGTACCAATCAATGACGCTATCGGGAGCCCGTCCTTCGCACCGCCGCCTTGCTGTACGGAGGGCGATGGGACACCCGATGTCGGAAAGGATGGCAGTGCATGGACTTGAGCCCAGGTAGGGGGCTGTACAACAGCCTCACGGTGGGTAGCGTTGTTTTCGCCTCCGCCTGCTTGGCGTCTATGGTCCCAGATGGCGCATTTTTCTTACCGTCTCATTATTCACGTTGACTCTTTTCTTGTTTACGAGCCTTTGTGAGTACCTGTATTTCGGTCGCCGTCTGTACACCGTGGGCCTTCTGATCAAAACATGGCGGCCGAGTTCACAACCATAGCTACAGCTATCCAGCTCGCTGATATCAGCCGTAGACTGGTGAAAGAAGTATACAGCTTCACGGCAGCTCTTAAAGACACCAAGAGCGAGCTCATGAGGTTTCATGATCGTGTCATCAATTTGGAACAACGTACTACCATTGTAGCTAAGATTTATCAATCTCTAAAGAACTGACTAGGACCTCCCTTGGATCGGACACCGTCCAGTCATGACCGATGGCTCACTAGACTGAAGAGCGTCCTCAACGAATGTTGAATTTCAAATATTGGATACTGCAAAGGCAATAGTGCGTTCGCACTTTTGCTTTTCAACAAAAAGAGACCAGTAAGTGGTGTTTGATCTTGGAACAGCGTGCGACCGCTATTGCTACTCTTCTCTCAGTCATCGGAAGGTAGGCTTCACCACCCCAAGTCCATCGACCATCATATCCGTTAGCGCTAGCCCACGGCTGCCTATGCACAATGATGTCGAATCTTACACGCGTATGGGGCATGTAGTTCAGACCTTGAATAATCCAACTGCAAAGACCATCTTACCTGATCATCTACTTCCACTCGGTCAGCATTTATCCAGAGAAGCAACACTTGCAGAGCAGCGGTACAATTCGCTTCAAGACAGGCTTGCTCAGGTTGGGACCAACGCCAACCTACTCGCCGATGGTACCCAGGGACTACACAATAGTCTCACACGAGCCGCCACGGCCATTAAAGGCAGGATCTCTCCACTCGAGTCCCGCGTCGCTGCTCTCGGAAGCAATATGCTAGCCACGTAGATCAGCAACGCCCTTCCGGAACCGGATATGGCCTCTGTAGACGCGATGGCGTATCTGGGAGCCTTGGCCACGGTGCATCCTCTCCTTCGCAACTGGGTATGCACCTTAGTATCTGGGGTCCAGGTTGACAGCTTACTAGAAGCCGCATGTTGGCTCTTAGAAGAGTTTGAGAGGCTCTTCGCCGACGTCTGTGCCGCTGCTGCAGAAGCTCTGAGGCAGTCCGCGACGGCGCGGCTGGGTACACAGTACTAGAGAGCGCGGGATAGGCGCTCACGGTTACCGGTGTCCTTGAAAATCCTCGCAAACTGTCTTGCTCGTCGACCTCAAACCAATGTGATGCAGGAGTTTTGTTATGGACATTGCATAGGGGAATGAATGAACAAAGAAGATTGATATAACAACAAGAAAATCGCCGCATGCTTCAGGATCGAGGGCGGCTACTGAAGCCGTAGTAAAAAGCTTCCCTTACTTTGACCATATGGTATCGCTAAAAACCGGACTCAACGCCATGATGCACGCTAATCTCTCATGAATTGTATCCAACTTTTGAGATACGGAGATGTTGATCAATCCCCTTCGTGAATGACCGCCATGTCCAGCACTTCCGCTCTTGCTCTCCCTTTGGTTTGTGTTCCGATAAACTCCGTAAGCGTCTTGAAAGCGCCAGGCTCCACGAAGCCAACGACTTCCCACTCCTCGCCAAGCACATCCTGTGTCTCGACCTGCTCCACATAGCTCAGTATTCTGTCCTTTACAGTACCCTTCGCTTGGTCCTCGCCATCTTCAGCTGCGCTGCTCTTCGGTGCGGCCTTGACTGCCTGCTTGAGTACGCCTGTCGGACACGTGATGCGTAGCCGCATCCGCGCTCTCGACACCGGTATCGGTTGATGTGCAATCAGCGCCTTCATAGCGTCTAGCGCTTGCGATTTCGCTGACTTGTTCGTGACTACACCAGTCCACCTCGGTAGCTCCCGCATTTTTCCGCCTTCGGCTTCGCCATTTGTCGGAGTCGCTGTTCCACTGGCACTCGGCGTCCCATGCGCATTCGCTCCTTGCGAGCTCAGCTGGTCAAGCGCCTTCTCGATCATGCCTGCTGTGTACACTCTCTTGCTCGTAGGGTCCACTAGCTTCCCAGCCACAATATCAACCACTTCATTGTGGATCTGTTCCAACTGTGCTTCCCGCTCCTTCTCGCCAACCTGGATGTCGCCCTTCTTCAGAATCTCGAGTATGATGTCATCGCGTGAGGTGTCTTTGCCGAATGATTTTGCGAGGTCTTCCTTGGACGCGACCTGGCCTTTGCTGACGTTGAGGAAGACGTTGGGGATCTGGAGCACGTTGTCGAGATCCTTCTCGGTGCCGGAGCGCCATTCGAGGACTTTGTTCTTGTAACAGGCGACCTCGAAGCGCTTTTTGCCTGGGAGAAGAGCTTCAGCGTGCGGTTCAGCAATAGGCGCGCCCCGTGACATACCCTTTTTCATGCGCACAAGCGATACATTGGTGAGCCTTATTTGGTTTGACGGCTGGTTGATATTCTGAGGCATTTTGGATATCTGCGCACCCGCTGTAGTGTTGTGGTAAGTTTACTGTGACTGTACCCAGACTTTCTCCAGTCAGGGCAGAGCAGATCTCAATGCCATGTCATGCGCTGCGCTAGCTAAACGCCGATAAGCCGATAGGGTCACGTGGGGGCTACGTATGCGGAGAAGAGCTGCCGCGCTACCGTATCTCGCTGTCCAGCCACCACGCCGCCAGGGTCCGATCGTCCAGGCACATGCACCATCCGTCCTCCCATCTGACTCTCCATCCTCAACTCCGTTGCCTCCTCCCACCCTTCATATCATCTATCGTAACATCGCTGTTTCCAGCCCTGGAACCATTATCCTAAGGATCTCCTTGTAAAGCTTCAAGCTTATCAGGCTTCCCGCAAGGTACTTCCCAACCATCGGTTTCTGGGCAGCTAGCTGCCTCACAGAGCACTCGAGCTTACGCAACTGCACAGGAAGCATCTATCCCATCAGCACCATCATCATGAAGGTTGCTGCGTCAGCACTGCTGGTCGGTGCAGCTTCTGCTGCTATCGCACCCCAGCAGGTCTTCAAGTTCCCGAAGGAGGCCTCGTCGAATGACTGGTCGAAGCCGCTCCAGAACCTCGAGGAGTCCCTGAAGTCTCTCACGGGAGAGGCTCGCCAGCTCTGGGATGAGGTCGCTATGATGTTCCCCGAGTCCTTCGAGAAGGCCAACTTCTTCTCCTCCCCGAAGCCCCATACCCGAAAGGCCGACAGCGAGTGGGACCACATCATGAAGGGAGCTGACATTCAGAGCGTCTGGGTCGAGAACTCCAAGGGTGAGAAGGAGCGTGAGATTGACGGCAAGCTCGAAAGCTACAATCTGCGGACGAAGAAGGTCGATCCTAGCTCGCTTGGCGTCGATAAGGTCAAGCAGTACAGCGGATATCTGGACGATGAGGAGAACGACAAGCATCTGTTCTACTGTAAGTCCTAGTCTTTACCGCTTTAGTTGCCCACCAGCTGACCCGGCTTCCAGGGTTCTTTGAGTCGAGGAACGACCCCAAGAACGACCCGGTAGTGCTCTGGCTCAACGGTGGGCCAGGCTGCTCTTCATTGACTGGCCTGTTTATGGAGCTCGGTCCATCTTCCGTCAACAAGAAGATCGAGTTGGTTCACAACCCCTCTTCATGGAACGCAAATGCGTCGGTCATCTTCCTTGACCAGCCCGTCAACGTCGGCTTCTCCTACAGTGGCGGCTCCGTCAGCAACACGATTGCCGCGGGCAAGGACGTCTACGCTCTACTCACCCTCTTCTTCAAGCAGTTCCCGGAGTATGCGCACCAGGACTTCCACATCTCCGGCGAATCGTACGCTGGCCACTACATTCCTGTCTTCGCCTCCGAGATCCTCGCGCACAAGAAGAGGAACATCAATCTCAAGTCCGTCCTCATCGGCAATGGTCTCACCGATGGCCTGACCCAGTACCAATACTACAAGCCAATGGCCTGCGGTGAAGGTGGCTGGCCCGCTGTCCTCGACGCTGGCACTTGCCAGAGCATGGAGAACGCCTACCCGCGCTGCGCCAACCTCATCCAGAACTGCTACAAATCGGAAAGTGCCTGGTCTTGCGTTCCGGCTTCCATCTACTGCAACAATGCCCTTCTCGGACCCTATCAGAAGACCGGCCAGAATGTGTACGATATCCGTGGCAAGTGCGAGGACTCAAGCAATCTCTGCTACTCTGAGCTCGGCTGGATCAGCGAGTATCTCAACAAGAGGGACGTGCAGAAGGCTCTCGGTGCCGAGGTCTCAAACTACGAGAGCTGCAACTTCGACATCAACCGCAACTTCCTGTTCCAGGGTGATTGGATGAAGCCGTTCCATCGTCTTGTGCCGGGCATCCTTAAGGAAATTCCTGTCCTCATCTATGCTGTAAGCCTCATCATTCCACTTTGATGCGACACATTACTAATGATTGTTTACCAGGGCGACGCCGACTTTATCTGCAACTGGCTCGGCAACCAAGCCTGGGCTGAGGCTCTTGAGTGGCCCGGCCAGAAGGCTTATAACAAGGTCCCAATGAGCGACCTCTTGCTCAGCGATGACGGCACTAAGATTGGTGCTGTCAAGTCGAGCGGCAATTTCACCTTCATGAGGCTCCATAGTGCTGGCCATATGGTCCCGTATGACCAGCCTGTGGCTAGCTTGGATATGCTGAATAGGTGGCTGGCGGGCGAGTGGATCGAGTAGAGAGTGCGATTTGGTAAGGCGCAGGGTGGGTGTGAGGCGTATCTGTTGGGTATCAAATTGTAGAAACGGCGTGGTGAAATAGGAATTGCGTCGTGATGGGATGTACCATCACGACGTAACAGCATTATCAGTGTCGTCCACGACCACCCTGAGGTCTAGCTGCTGCGCTCTTTGTCGCGTGAGTAACCTTGGTATATGTTTGGAAACCGCGTGCCCCTTGTTGGTCGTTCCTTCTTCCTATTCACAAACTGAGCGTCCGTCGAGTCTCCCCTTCAGCGCGGAATAACGCAACCTCTGCAGTGACTCCCGTCTTCCCGGATCTTCCTAACGGGAACAAAACGTTCATGGGTACCACCTCAAGCCAGCGGCTCAACGAGTTACACCAGCCTGCTTGAGACCGGAATAGACAACCTACCTGGGTAAGTAATGTGACATGGTAACAATGGGAATGGGAGAGCCGCGTGCCGGTTCGCACTCACATCTCAACTGACCCTCCATCAACATCGAGCACCCTGCATCTCGGAACTGTACCGCCCGTTATGGAGCTTGCCCATTGGACAATCCTTCAACGGCGGTGCGCCTATCGCAGCTGCTGTTGCTCGTATCAGACCGGGGTAACAAGATGGAGCTCCATGCGGCCCATGAGGGGCTCGATGCAGATGCTTGAAATGTGCCGCCCTTGATGCTCGCATGGCTGGGTATCGGCAAGTGAGTTGGGGTACATAGAATCGACGACCTCCTCACATTTCTTTGGGTCTCTTCCGTTTCCTGCCCTCAGAGTCGTTTATTGCAAGAGGTGGCATACCCAATTCGCATCGCAATGTCGGAATCAGGGCCTTCGCAACGGCGACCTTCCGTCAATGCTGCGGAGGGCCTTGCCAGCGACGAGGATGCTGCCGTGCTGGGTATGCTGTTCTAGCCAGCGTTCACTTTAACTACGGGCACTGATGGCACTACAGCAAAGCTTGGTTACAAGCAGGAGTTACGCCGCAACTTCACCATGATCGAAGTCTTCGGTACGGACACCATCCGCGTATGCCATAGCCATTCGTCTGATCAACATGCTCTATCACGCAGGCATCGCGTTCTCAATCATGGGCCTCCTACCCTCAATCGCCAGCACACTGGCCTACAGCATCCCGGCCGGACCTGTAGGCATGGTCTGGGTACGCTGACACGAGCCCCTATACCATTGACCTAGCAGCTCAGTAACGGTGCTCCAGGGCTGGTTCGCAGCAAGCGCCTTCATCTTCGTCGTCGGCCTCGCAATGGCCGACCTAGGCTCCGCAATGCCTACATCCGGGGGCCTATACTGGTGGACGCACTTCTTCGCATCACCAAAGACACGTAACCCGCTCAGCTTCCTCGTCGGGTACAGCAACACGCTCGGCCTCGTCGGCGGGCTCTGCTCGATCGACTACGGCTTCTCGCTGATGTTCCTGTCTGTGATCGTCATCGCGAGAGACGGCGAGTGGGAGCCTAGCAATGGGGTTATCTACGCAGTCTTTCTGGGTTGTGTACTGTGCCATGGAGTGCTGGCGAGCTGTCTGAGCAAGATCATGGGGAAACTGCAGACGGTGTTTGTGGTCATGAACTTTGTGCTCATCTTCGCGACCATCATCGCTTTGCCGATTGGCAGGGGATCCCAGAGGAACAGCGCGGCTTTCATATTTACCGAGACAGCGAATCTGACGGCGTGGCCGTCGGGCTGGAGTATGAGCACCCCTTATCACCATGTTTACGCTCCTGCAGTAGGCAGCAAGTTTTCACACTGACACCCTCATAGCTTTCATGCTCGCCTGGCTCTCCCCCATCTGGACGATCGGCGCCTTCGACAGCTGCGTCCACATGTCCGAAGAAGCCGCCAACGCGACCAAAGCCGTGCCCTACGGGATCCTCATGTCGATCGGGTCCTGCTGGCTCTTCGGCTTCATCCTCGTAATCGTCATCGCCGCCTGCATGACCCCGGACTACACCTCAATCATGGGCTCCGTCTACGGCCAACCCATGGCGCAGATCTACTACGACGCGCTCGGTAAGCGCGGCACGCTGGGGATGATGAGCCTGCTGTTCATCGTGCAGTTCCTCATGGGGCTCAGCATCACTGTCGCGGCCTCGCGCCAGAGCTGGGCGTTTTCGAGGGACGGCGCGCTGCCGTTTAGTGGCTTCTTTAGGCGCATTAGTAAGAGGTTTGGGTATATACCCCTGCGCGCGATCTGGGGCTGTGTCTTCCTCGCCGCGGTGTTAGGGCTACTCTCTCTCATCGACCCAGCCGCAGCACAGGCGCTCTTCTCCCTCGCCGTGGCTGGGAACAACGTCGCGTGGGCCACGCCCATCCTGTGTCGTGTCGTGTGGGGCCAGCACAAGTTCAAGCCCGGGCCGTTCTACACAGGCCGCTTCAGCGTGCCGATTGCATGGCTGGCCGTCGCGTTTTTGGCGTTTGGGATCGTGCTGTGCATGTTTCCTGTAGGCGGACCGAACCCGGATGCCCAGACGATGAACTATACGGTTGTTATCAATAGCGCGGTGTGGGGCGGCGCGCTGTTGTATTATTTTGTGGATGCGAGGAAGTGGTTCCAGGGGCCGAAGATTACGCTTGCGGAGGGGGATCTGACGGAGCATCAGGAGGAGATACTGAAGGAGGAGGGACTTGATGTAAAGATTGATGGGATTGCGCCGATTGTGAGCAGGGACGAAGAAAATAATGCAGATGGGAAGAAAGTCAAGTCGGGGCACTTCAATCCTCAATAATGGACAGGCAACCGATATTTAGCGGAACGCAACATTAATGAACAGACTTGACGGTGAGCCACTGATCGTATCGAGTTCCTTCTACGTCTCTAATCCTCGCACTGACAAAGCCGATGTATGCATGCCAGCAGCGCATAGCCTAGATAACGCCAATGCGCCATGTACCATGCAAATTCCCTGGTATGCTCGGAAAAACTGAACGCCTGCTAGATGTATGCTTTTCCGTGTCTGCCAGAATCAGCATCAAACCTGCCTCTCTGGCGAGCCTTCTGACGCCTCCCTCTGCCTCTTTTCTTCCTCCTCTCTTTTCTTCTGCAGCAGGTACTGACAAAACTTACTATTCGCTCTGATCTTATCCCCATACTTGATAAACACAAACGGAATGACACACATCGCGAGGCTCAGAAACCCCAGCAAACTACACGCCCACGGCACGCCGAGGCTTCTATACATAGGCCTCGCCGCAAATGGCAGTACCGCGCCGAACACGCTCCGGCTCGTGCTCGCGGCCGCCATGGCGCTCGCCGCAAAAATCTCGTACGCATCGACGATGTAGTTCAGCAGCGCCATGAAGATGAGTAAAAAGCCCACTCCGAAGGTGATGCCCGACAGCACGGGCACGATCCAGTGAATGCCCTCCTTCGCCGTCCAGCCCGCCCAGAAGAGGCTCACGACGATGAACGGGCCCGCGAGACACGCGAGCGGTAGGCGGCGCGACTCTTCGGAGCGGGACCACGGCGCGTCGCGGTTGTGAGCGCGCGTGAGGATGGAGTCCCACAGCAGGTATATGCAGCAGGCTATAATAGCACCGACGCCGATGGGCAGAAAGGCGAGGCCTTGCTCGCCGGCGTTGAAGCCGTAGATGCCGCCGTAGATGATGGGGAAGGATTGGAAGAAGATGTAGAAGATTGCGTAGGCGAGGGAGAGGTAGAGGCAGGAGAAGAGGACGATTGCTGAAGCGGGAGTTAGTGTTGGTTATGGTGTGGGAGTGGAGGGGGGAAGACTGTACGTTCGAAGAAGAACATGCGAACCGGCCGCGTCAAGACGACCGTTATGGTGTGTCGAATGTTTCTCTCTTCCAGCTCGATCGGTGCGAAGACGTTGGGATCGCCGAGTTGCTTTCGTGCTTTTTTTGCGCGCTTCTTCAGAATGATCGGCGCGTAGGTCTCGGGCATGAAGGCTAGAGGTAGCCATGTCGCCCCGGCGATGATCAAGCCGACCCAGAAGGCCCAGCGCCAGGTGATGACCGAGACAAAACCCGATATCGCTGGACCAATGATAGGACCCCAGGTAGTCGCAGCCATGAAGATAGACATTGCGCGGCCTCTTGTAGTTGGATCATCGTATACATCGGCGCAGATGCTGTGTTGCTTTAGCCTCACACTGCTCATACAGTGATATTGACGGTACTCACCCGCCGACCACCGCTATTGGACACGAAGCGAAGACTCCAGCCAGTAGCCGAAAGATGATGAGGCCAACCCAAGTAGGAGCCAATGCACAGGCCAGAGTAAATATAGTGAACCCGAAGAAGGCGTAAAACATGACGCCTCTCCTGCCATAAGATTCACTCAACGGTCCCCACACTAGCGGGCCCACGGTGTAGCCGACCAGGAATATGGATGTGGGCAGGACCAGCTGCGCTTGATCAGAAACGTGGAAGTATGCCGACAAAGGTTCGGTGGCTCCGGCGGCAATAGAGCTGCCAATCGTACTGTTGATGACGGTAAAGATAGCTACGATTACTGTGTACGACTTTCTCCACTATGCAGTTGATCAGCAGGAGCATCCGAGTCCCCAATCAAAGTCCGTACCTGGGTCCAGTTGTGCGGATTGTCTAAGTCGCCTTCTCCGAAGGACACAATCGTCTTTGATATTGAGGTGTTGGAGCTTGCGGTTGGCGATGCCTCTTTGCTCCCATCCTCCTTTTCCAGCTTCGGTTGTTCATCTTCATCCCGGTGGTCGGTTTCGACGATGGGTTTAGGCGATGCATCATGACCTGAAGTCGTGCGCTGTTAGCAGGAACACTGGCAGTACCTACGGTAAGGCTTACTGTTCTGCGGAGATAGGTTTATGCCATGCGGTCCCGTCGCGTCAGGCCCTACGCTGTTACGCAAAGCTTCGCCATCGTGAGAGTTTGTCTTCTCGGTATCCATGACTCGCGTGACAAGTGGCGCAAACGAACGACAGCATAGGACTCTATGCCCAGGACTTCGAAGTGATGAAATTGGGAGAAAGAAACGATGTCGAAGCGCGCAGCACAGCTTCTACGACTCATCTAGCTCAACTTACCTTCCTATCTACTCATCGTTTGCACATTGGTAACAATCGGGTATGACGGCACAGAGCCGCTATGATGCCGTGGAGGGGCTTGGTGTCCAAGATGCCCCTGGACCTTGGTAAAAGTTAACCGCAAGATCCTGGAAGATTGAGGTTGGTGTGATTGGCCATCCCAGGTACTAGGAGAGTTTCCCTGTCAGGCACCTCTCACCGCCAACAATCCGAAGAGAACGGTGGGAACGGATGGTGGAACGTTTCGACTGAAGATGAGCGGCCACTGAAGCAATGTCGAAATGTGATTTTACTGAACTCTGACATAATATTAAGTTTCCAGATTGATACTGCGCCCAAATCTTGCATATAGAGCCACCTTGAGTTCCTGCATCTCTTCCCTGATGCCGCCGAGCTTCTCTTCGACGGCCGAGACGTCGTGCTCGATCCTCTCCGTGGAAGCGGAGAGTAGTTCCTGCACCTCCGGCAGCGGAAGGGAGACGAACGAATCACCTATCCGGTATCTGTGATATGTGATATCAAAGTCAGCTCTAGGGGTTGACAGAAGATATCTGGGAATGTCTGGTGACGTACGGGACTTTGTCATCTTCGTCGGCCAGTTCGAGCTCGTTAGAGACTTCTTCGAGGTCTTCCTTGTCCTTCTGCGCAGACAGAGACAGATTAGCATCTGATGAAATGGATATAAATTGCGGGATGGAATGATCCAACATACCTGCTTCGTCTTCAACTCCTCCTCAAGCAACATCTCCCGCTGGTGCAGTCTGCTAAAGCGGTTGATCTTGTCTTGATCCTCCCGCCTGACCTCGATCTCCTCGCCGCCAGTGGACGCCTCATCCTCTTTCGTGAGCTGAGTCTGATGGTCAGTGGGCAAGCACAAGTCTTGGGCTATGATAGAAAGGGTTCGCACCATGCGTCGCTGCATGTTGGTCGAGTGCAGTGGTGTGAGATGGATGCAGAAAAGCCTGTTGATGCTTGGTTGTGTAACAGAGATGCGCTACGTGAAGACTTCAACACCGGATGATTTATTGATGCCTCCCGTATCTTGGACACAGTTTCGACCGTAGAAGCTTCATGGCTCCATATCAAGTCTTGCGAGACGTGCAGTCACGTGCACATCACAAGATGTTTCTTGTTGTCGGTGCGATGTTTATAAACTACCTAGGTAGGCATTACGAAACTTAATGCACTCAATGTACTTAAGATGCCTAATGTAAAGAAGTGGAAAAGCAACGCCTGAGACTTTTCGGCGGCCAGCCGTCTGCCACGCTCGTTCCAGAGTGCTTTCACTTCCCAGTCAGAAAAATTGCGCCACAGGTACAGGGTCCAACCTAGCCCTTCGAAGTCCAACGGAACCGCATCCAGCTTCTTCAAAGCTATCAGAGGCCAGACAACTGCCAGCTCTAGCAGCAGCAAGGCAGCGGTCACTTCGCCAACTAACCCTAAGATGTTGAGGCCGATGCCGATGCCGATCCGCTGTGGTTCAATATCTGGCTGCTCTGATTGCCTCCACCAATCCGGGAGTTCTTCCTGACGAATGTGCTTCACTTTTCCGAGCATTCCCATCATTTCGAAGAACGGATGACTTCTGCGATCGGGCATAGCGTCCGTATAATCCGAAAGTCGGAGTGTCCACTGCGCTAGCGCACGCGAGATCCGGGCCCATCGACTATCGATATTGCTGCTGAGAGCCTCCTCGCCAAACAGCTGGCTGAAAAGAGCCTCCTCGGTAAACAGCTGATTGAAACGATGATGGAACGCATGAAAGCTGATTCGGTGCCTAGTGGGCATCGCTTCCCACGCAAATCGGAACTCGAAGCTCAAAATTTTTGGAAAGCGGATGGCTTTGCCCACAATGCTCGCCCAGAAAGGAGTTGCAGATCCCAGCCTCTCCCATTCCTCGATACCGTACCCATCGAAGAAGATGACCATGCGAACGCGCATCCTTGTGTGGACGTTCATGGTCTTGATGAGAGCCTCGAAGTGGCTGCGGTATGCTTCACGGCAGCAAAACTCTGAGATCGTAAAAGCCCTGTCGTCCCCGACCGGTGCCGTCATAGAGTCGTAGATAATCACGTCTCGAATCTCGCGCAACCTTGTTGGACCGATTGCCGTGAAGAAAGAAGATGCTTCGCATAGGCCATTGTGTCCCTCGGGGTCGTCCTTATCGATGTGAACATGCACCGCGTTCTTACGAAGCGGTGTGAGATGGGCTTCGTGGTAGATTTGCTTGCAGGTGCGGAGTATCCCGGTGCCGATAGGTGCGCGAGCTTTCAGCGGCCAGTAGTTAGGAGCATACGAAGGACACGGCGGAGATATGTATTCCAGTCCTGCAGGATCTGATAGACCGTATTCGTATATGATGTCTCTGAGTTCGCGAGGAAGTTCAAGGAGCCTGCAACGGCCGCCTACCGCCGAAAGCTTTGCTGAATAACGGCTTGGTCTTCCGCTCATTGTTTTGATTCTGGCGGTTAGATGGCCGCTCGTCAGATGTCAGAGTTGAAGGAGTCTGCTCAAGTGAGATAGACTTGTCATCGTGCCAGCACGGTTGGTGTTGTGAGGATATCGACGTCTAGGCAGCGGCCGGCGCGATTGCGAATAGGAAAATGCGAATTAGCGGTGAGGCGACACGTCGAGGTCGATGCGTTCCAGCGCACCGACGACTTTATGAGCTGGCATACGGTTGAATGAGGGTAACGTGGCCCGACAAGATCTGGTCGATGGAGTTGTGGCACGTAGGTGGAGTGGCCGGGTCGCGAGCCACGGTTGCCCAGGTGGATTTGACTGCCGAACCACTTCATCGTAGGACAACGGAAGTTTGAGAACGAACCACTGGAAAGAACTCCGAAGATCCTCACCCCATCATTATCGTGCGATTTCGGGTCTTTCTCCCCACAAGTGGCGCCTCCCGTCCTCTAGCGTGCCGAGCCGCCGTCAGAGCGGTGGGCGAGTGAAACAACGGTGATAGAATGACGTCAAAAAATTCGAGTATGATATCTCTTATCGCCTGTGTTTCAGGAACAGCTCAGCGCTCAATTCACTGCTTAGATCTCGGGCCCGTTTTCTCAATGGGACTAACCGTGGCTAAGTCTGCTGGTAGAATATCTTTTGTCGTTCTTAGTGTATGTGGTAAAAAGCTCTCATCTCACTTCACTCTCTCGACTACTGGCCCGAGTTCCTCCACCTGTTCGATCAAGTCCGCACTAGTCTTCAGGTTGTGCGCGCTGTTCAAGGCTCTCGCAATCGTGGTTTCATGGCGCTCTCGCACCAGCCGCCGGAGCGCGTTCACGAGAAAACCCGAGAAGATGTCTATTGACCACGAATCCGGAAGCATACTCAGGACCTGCAAACACATCAGCCGCGAGTAGTAAGCCGTGGGTTCGAACATACATCGGCAACGTCAAACCATCCACCAAACCTCTCCAGCAATTCCCCGGTCCGCTCTATGCGATCACTCATGTCCTCAATGCGGAGAAACTCATGCAGAAGATAGCCGAACAGCTTGGCTTGCTCTTCCCTAGGAGGAACGGCATCATGAGGCATGAAGCCTGAGATGGGGCGGAAGATACTCGATCCGCCAAGCAAGCAGTAGCTTATTGCAGTGTCATAGTCACCCAGGCCGTGTGTAAGTAGGCGAATAGCATCCTCATGTTTACCTTGGCGCCCATTGAGGATGATCATCTCCGGTACAAGCTCCTGTTCGTGAGGCTCAAGGCGGGTGAGGATAGCGCCGACGTCGTACGATGAAGCTAGGTCCTGCGAGCTACCTAAGAGTTGGAGCAGCCGAAGTCGGCTGTGCCACCACTCCGTGTCCATGGCGTTGTCAGTGATGAATTGGCGGTAGGTGGGTTTCGGCGGCCGAAGCGCACGGTACGTTTCGTATGTCTGCAGTAGGATCGATCTGGATTCTTGCGAGCTTTCCAGCTCGGAGACCACGATGTCGAGGTAGAAAGCAATAAGCTCGTTGGCGTATTGGGTTTGCTGGTGCCATTAGCGATGCGATCACATCTGCACATGACGGAGAGTCGTACCTTTTTGCCAAACACAAGGTGCTCTAAGTACTCCTTCACAGCGGCAGGGGCCTTTGCCTTCAGGATGGCAACCGCGTGAGCAGGCTGGAACTTTACCCTGCTGTTGTCATCGGCGAACACCTGCACTCCAAGCTTGGGGTTGCGGTCTGCCAACCAAGTGCCATAATCCTCAACCAGAGCGGGATCCCTAATCCGGATGAGGTATTTTCGAACCTCCTGCTCACCGTCGGTAAGCTCGCCACCGTCATCGCGCTCGCCTTCAATGATACGTTTCCAAGTAGCAAGTACCATTGCCGACATTTTCTTGCTTTGGTACAACCGGCTGAGAACGTACAGCCGATGGAATTGCTCCAGCAAAGCAATCGCTCGCTCGAAGCACTCCACGCCATTGTCAACTACCCCGTTAAGTTCTGAGCGGATCGAGCCGCCATTTGCTAGACCTCTGGGACTTTGACCGTCAAGCAAAAGCAGTAGATGTATGATAGCAGCGTCGACCGTATAGAAGACTTCCTTCTCATCCGCAATACTAGGCATCCCCTTCTTCCGCCGCCAAACGTAGAGAAAGCGCTTGACGAGCTGCATGATGTTGTCACCGAATGGACCCACGGGATTGGCTGAGACTAGGAGGGCGCTCTGTCGCGAGAGGAACGCCTCGAGAACTGTCTTGAGCCCACTTTGAACCCATACGCCGAGTTTGCTTTGAATGACCTCGCCACTGAGTACTGGCAGGAGAGCGAGCACTATGCGGGGATCTATCTCGCTTTGCACCAAAGCTTCCTCAGCGACGGCCTTTTCATGCTCGAAGACGATGATGCCTGATGAGGTCCGAAGGATGAGATCCATGAGTAGCAGGAGCGATGCCTTTTGTCTGATGTATCGTAATCCCAAAAAGTCGAGCGCCGTGCGTGGCTCGTGACCGCGAATCTCGTTGAGCAGACTCTCCACCTGTGGGCGATTAATCTCGAAAGCTCGCACGTCGGTTCCTGTGGTACCCGTGATAGTTGAATCGAGTTTGGCATCCAGTTTAATAGTCAAGGGATTTCGTACAAGCCAGTAAATCTGATCACCTGCCCACATGACAACAGAGCTTTTAAGCTTGCATAGACGGCCGGTGAGTTCTGTCTCCTCTCTCTCGCGCGCTGTAATAGCTGCGGTGTCGAGTTGAGCTTGGGTTGATGCCGGTTTAGATGTATCGGCTACCGAGGTTGTCCGCTCAATTGAAGAATCTCCTGGCGACAGATTCAACCGCTTCAACGATAGCTTCGAACTTATCAGTGGTAAAATGACCTCTTGTTCAGCAATCACCCTCCTGATCCCTAGTGAATGGCGGGTTTCTTGCACGGGGTTTTGCTCATCTGTTTCGCCAAGCATCAAGCTGAGATCTAGCCGTTCCTTACTGGAAGCGCCCTCGTCTGGATCAAGGTCCCACCGCTGTACTTCTACACTATATTGCTTGCGGTCGCCATTACTCTGGCTCAATACTGCCAGCACATACCCTTCCTCGGGGATCTCCGAGCCTGAACCGGGTGGCAATGACATATCAACGCCACGCCCATCAACTACTAGAGCCTCAGGATAGCAACTGAACTCGATGGTTCCGCGTGCGGGGTCGCCCTCGAGATTTACAAACATGCCAACTCCTGGCTCTGATGGAGTAGTGCCGGTTGTGAGAAGAAATTCAGTGGGCGTGGGTGACGCGACGTGCGGCTTCAGAGGGACAGTGCTTCTAGTAATTTGCTGTTTTATGGGCTCCGGCGGTAAAAGCTTGTCTGGCGTGCCGGGTCGCGGTGCTGGGCTGCCCCCTCTTGATGGTCGTCTTTCGGATGATGCTGCAGAAGCTGGAGACTGTATCCTTCGCAAGATGTCTGGTGCATCAAAACCAAACCTGTTCGCACCGGGCCGCCTTGGACTCTCCTGGCGTTGTTGCTCTCCTGCTCCGTGAGCGAAGATACCAAGGCTGGTGCTCCTGCCATGGCCACGATCATCGCGTGGCGATGTGATCTGAGTGCTCGCCGTAGATCCGCTGCGGGATGCTCTCTGTGATTGTGAAGATGGGGCATCCTCCGGTTCCCCAGCGGGTATACCTGCGGCTTGCTCGTCCACAGATGATATTGGGAAGAGTGGTATCTTCTGCTGCTGAACGACATCTACTAAGGCGTATGAATGGCCGTCTGCAACGCACGTAACATCTTGTCTGCGCACAGCATCCTGGCAGCCCCCAAACTCGATAGCTCGGACGCCTCGGGGCTCCTCATGGTCTCTTATCCTGACAAGCCTTATGCGCTTGGCGAGTCCAAGCATAATGACCACGCCATCTTCGCCCGATTCTTCTGCATGCTCAAGGTTTGCATCCACGCCTCCAACCCATCCACATGTGAGCGGCTTGACGTTCGGGAATGCGGGGCTAAGCTCCGGTAAGGAGTAAAAACTCAAGGTGTTGTTGCAGAGAACGCATGCTTTGTTGACCTGGGGAAGGAGCAGGATCTTCTGAACGCCGACTGACGAGGACTGCGAAGAAGCGGGCTGCAACCTGGAGGCGAGTATGCACGTCGGTGCTCCTAATGGATCTTGCGGTTCCGCAGGAAGCAAGACGAAATGGAGGATTTCGGCGGCTGAGGTACCGATATAGAGGTTCTCGTCTGGCAGAACTAATCAGCAGATTCCTCAATACAGGAGGGCTTGATTCGGAGCTCACTCCAGACTTCAACGTATGTAATCTGAACATCCTCTGCTGGCTCGTCCGCGGACAAGGGTACGTCTCTGATGAGCTGCCGTAGAACGTAGGGTCCTGCGTGCGTGGAGCGGCTGTGCAGCTCCGGCGGGCTTTGAGGACCTGTGGCAGCACTCATAGCGACCGTTCAGTCGTGAAGCCATTGTAGGCGGCTGGTGTTGGTGAGAGGTGCCATGATGGTTTGGCTGTGAAGCTCCGATGTTCTTCAGCGAATCTCGGCACGCTTCCGCGCGTCCCTTCCACATGTCACTCTGCACGCTCAGTATATTGAGCCTATACACAGCGATCTTGCGGAAAGATGTGATAGGGTTCAAATGCGGTTTATCACTGAACCTCTGAGATACCGAGCGACAACTACTCCGCGCTAGATTTCACATTCCCCCCGACCATGGATGCGATTGCAACGCCTGGGAGCAGGGGCTCTCAAGATGTAGACAGGACACAGGATGCGGTCCCTCAAGATGCGGGAGATGCAACGGCTGGTGGGAACAAGTTTCAGAAAGCTGTTGCAGCCTGGAGAAGTAATCTCGGTCAATACTGCATACATACAAGCCCTTGCTAACCCGCTGAGTATAGACATTGACTTGACTTCTCTCATACCATCGCTCGACAACGCAGCCTCCGAGCTGATCTCCCACCAGCGCGATGCGCTCACACAACGCAAGGACCTGGCTCAAAAGACCAAGGACTTCCGGAAGCTCGACGACGCAGGCAAGCTTGCGGAGATCAAAGGGCTACTCAAAGGTACGCGCATGTCACACAGCAGCATATGTCCACGCTAACGCCAGATAGCATACCAAACGTTCATTGACCTCCTCACCAACCAGTCCAAGTCCGTATCCGCCGCTTTCTTCCAGGCATACACCCCGCTGTCCGAAGCACCAGATCCATACCCACTGCTCGAAGCCTCCATCGACTCCCTCGTGACTACCGAAGAGACCCTTCCCAAACTTACTGAGGAGAATCAGCACCTGCAGAAGAGTGTGTCGAAGCTCACCGCGCAGCTTGAGGAAACGGAACAGCGGCTAGCGCAAGAGCGAAGCAGCAGACAAGCGCTCGAGGAAACCAGGGAGACCAAGATCAAAGAGATTGAGTCTTCCTGGTCGGCTGTGCTAACCGAGAAGCAAGATAATTGGGAGGCCAAGGAGCGTAGCTTGGAAGAGAAGATAGAGAACCAGGATCGGCTGCTGAAGGAGATCAAAGCGAGCTATGAGGTCTCGCAGCGCTTGGGACAAGGCGAGGAGGGAGACGCTGAAGCCGGACGAGGGAGCGCCACTGCTGCGGAGCTCGAGATTGTGAGCTCTGAGCTGGACAGGGCAAACCAGCGACTCGCAGATGTGGAAGCACGTAATGAACAGTTACGGCTGGAACTGGCACAGTCTGCATCGCATGCGCGGAGTTCGCAGCCTGCGGCGGTAGAGGATGATCCGGCTTTCTTACGGTTGCAGTCCGAGAATTCTTCCCTGCTGCGAAAGGTCGATGCTGCTCGCTTTGAGAAGGATTCGGAGAAGAGGAAGTGGGATAGTCAGGTTCGCAGCCTGGAAAGGGACCTTGCTACTTACAAAAGCGATAGAGATGCGCTTCGGGAGAAAATGCAGAAGTGGGCAGATTACGACAGTATCAAGCAGGAGCTTGACGTTTTGAAGGTAGGCCCGCTTTACGTACCACACACGGGGCAAATATCTAACGAAGGCTGTTAGTCAATTGAGTTTGGAACCGGCGAAGATGATGAAGATGGCGAGGAAAACTCCGCAGAGTCAGATCTTCCCGAACAGAACGGCGCGGCTGTCAAGAACAAAGGCGAGGCGCTCGAACAGCTACTATTGGCTAGGAACAAGAAGTTGTCTAACGAGCTCACTGTGCTGCGGGTATCGCATCAAGACCTGCAGAGTCGCCTAGAAACGCTGCAGGAGGATCTCTCGAACACGAACATGGAGCTAGAGAAGTCAAGAAACCTGACTGCGACGCTTGAGAACGACCTCGAGAGGGTGCAACAGGAAGCTTCGAACGCGTTTCCTTCGTCGGCCATGTCTGTCGCTGGGACATATACGTCGAGGTATCCTCAATCATCATATGCAAGCCGCAAAGGCAGGGCGTCACCAACGTCATCCATTATCTCAGGATTTGACGGACGATACAGCTCGTCGCCATCGCTGGAGAACTTACGCGGCGGCGAACCTGCCGGCGGCGGTTCCGGAATCCTCCCAATGATTACGGCGCAGCGAGATCGATTCAAGAAGAAGATGACGGAGCTTGAGGCGGAGCTTCAGAAGCAGTACCAGACAGTTTCTTCGCTGAGATCAGAGATTGCGTCTTTGCAGAAGGACAACCTCGATCTATACGAGAAGACAAGATACGTCTCGACATACAACAGGAACGTGCCAAACACCTCATCTTCTGCCTCCGCATACTCCAGCAATCCGAACCCCTCAGCGATCCAAGTCTCCTCAGACAGCTCGTCGGGTCTGACGATGGACCGTTACCGCTCAGCATACGAGCAAAACATATCGCCCTTCGCCGCTTTCAGAGGCCGAGAGTCAGCTCGAGCCTTCAAGCGCATGAGCCTCCCCGAGCGAATGGTTCTGCGTGTTACGAAGTTCGTCCTGGCGACCCGGACGAGTCGCAATGTCTTCGCGGCATATCTATTAGCGCTGCATGTCTTGGTATTCCTTATGCTCTATTGGATGGGTGCCAGTGATATTGAACGGAGCTCCAGCAAACTTGGCAGCAGTGCGGCGGTGGGCGCGGCAGCGGCTGCTGGAGGGCCCTTAGCGGAACATGGTGAGGGTTGGCACCAGGAAGGCTTTCAAGAGGGTGGGTGAGAGAGCTGGTTGCCGCCGCGCTGTAGAGCATTAAACCACCAGTCCCGGTTTGAGGCGAAAGCGCCGGTCTTCGAAACTTGTTTTGCACTGATATATTGAACTCTGACGACAAGCCCTGCGCGCGCGAACTACACGCTCTTGCACCACCTGCTCATGATCAACATTATTTCCCAGGATGGCCACCGCAGGGCTGATAGAGCAACTCTTTGCCTGGCGGCAGCGCGCAACCAATCAACTTCTCAGAGGAGTCAGCACCAAACGTTTTGTTGTAGCTGCTGTACCTCCCTCAGCTGGTTGCTCCTCAATCGTACGACCAGTACTCTCTACGCGAAGCCCAATCCCCCCATCGCCGCAACCCGCAACAGAGACCAGCCCAAAGCAAGTAGCACCTGCCCTACACGTAATACTCGACTGGCCACGCAGACATCCCTAGCTCCCGCATTGCGTCTTCAACGTCCAGCCCTTGCCAGCTGGTCAAGCGTCCAGCTAAGTTAGCCCGTCACCCAACCACCCGTTCTCAACTCTCAGAGCATGAAACCACCAAGCATGGCGTGCATGAATGTCCAAACAGCCCACCAGTAATACCGACCCGGCCTGTCGCCTCCCGTAAGCGCCCCAGGACCCGCTCTGCCTGTGTCCGCGGAGTCTGGTGGCCGGGCGGCTACGCGCAACGTTTTGGAGGCCCGGGGGGGGGGCTCGCTGGTTGCGGCAGGTGCACTATCAGCCTAATTTGCTCAGCTTTCTGATGGGCTATTTCTGGATGCAGGAGAATTAGCGGTGTTTGCGCTGGCCGGGATCCTGGGTGGTGGCCTTTTGAGGCTCTGGGCGGCGGTTATGCGAGTTGCGGCAGCGTTTCCGCTTCTGGACGAAACGAAGCGTTTCTGAACAACCGGACGGATTGCGGTGGTGGTGCTGCTGTACGGCCACGTTGGCTCGAGAGCGGGGCATGAAACGCACGCAGCGCAGGAGACAATGGCAGAGAGGGGAACTGAGATCCGCTCCTTCGTAGTGTTTCGAAACTTCGCGGATGACAGTAGCAAAACGTTTCAAGCCTCAAGCAATCCGCAGAAACAACTAAACTGGAAAACAACCCCAAACTGAACGCCTTAAATCTCCATCCAAACGCCCGACGCCATCTCCGCGCTCCGCCCAAGGAAACGCAGAAACCCAGGATACCCAACTGACCTGAGCGTTGCTGGGATGTTTCTGGTTCCCGCAGAGCCAAGTCGTCCAAGGCCCATGCGGCGGCAGCAACCCCCCTGCCCGCGCCGAAGCCATCGAAGCCAATGAGGCCGCGTACATCCCGGCCGCGTATTTTTGGAGCCAGATCTCTACGCGCGCTGCTAGCTACTCGTGCGATGCATTACATGGCAGACATGTCGTACGCTGATCTCTTCCGGAGGGCATATAACCATGGGAGGCCGTGGGTCTGAAGGATTGTGTTTTGACTTTTCTGTTAAACAACGCAGTTTGTTCTCTCGACGTGTTTTTGAAATAGAGAGTACTGGGTTGCTTAAGGGCTTTGAGACTTCTGTCTTCCCCGTGTGTTCGAACGCTCGCTTCTATACATCTTCATACCTGCCGAATACACATCTCCAAGATGCATCCCTCGATAGCAGCCACCCTGCTGGTAGCACTCAACCCGCTCCCCCTCCTCGCCTTCCCCACCCTCTCCTCCCGAGGCGTCGAGAAACGACCCAGCGCTGTCAGCGCGAAACTAGCTTGGGATGCACTGCTGGGGAAGCGTGGGCCAGCCACAGCCAGCGTCGCGCTCGACGGACCACCCTGCGATATGAGCCTGGCGAAGATGCCATCAGGTAGCTGCACCCTCCTCCAGCGATGCAGCCAGCCCCATCTAACATCCGCCACAGCACCCTCACCGCTCCCACCCCCGTCAGCAGGCCTCACCCTCTCCCACGTAGTCGTCGGCCGCGGAACCCAGAACTACACCTGCGCCTCCGCCTCCGACGCCCCGAAAGCTGCCGGCGCCCTCGCCTCCCTCTACGACGCCTCCTGCATCGCGGCTTCCTACCCGTCCCTTTTGGCCGCCATGCCGCCCGTCGCGCTCGACAACTCCCTCCCTAAACCCGTCTCCACCGCCAAAGCCTCCAAGAACGGCCTCACCCCCGCCCTGGCCGGCACGCACTACTTCACGAACCTGACAACCCCCTTCTTCGACATGGACACGGCGCTGCACGCGTACGGGCGGGGCGGGTTCGCCAAGGTGGCGGGGACGCCGGCGCCGGAGGGGGCGCCGGTTGGCCCGAAGGGGCGCGGGAATGGGAGCGTGCCATGGTTGAAGTTGGGAAGCGTGAGTGCGGATGAGGGATGGCAGGAGGTTTATAGGGTTAATACGGCGGGAGGCCAGCCGCCGAGCAGTTGCGAGGGGATGCCGAAGACGTTTACGGTGGAGTATGCGGCGGAGTATTGGATGTGGAAGAGGGCGTGACGATAGATTGAGCAGTCTGGAAGACGTTTGATAGGAAAGGGTCTCTTCGTTCTTGGTGACGGGCGTTTGTCGCCGCTTCTTTGTCTTTCTGGGTCGCCGACGCGCTGGACGGCGTTGGTGGTGGTTGGGGGTCCTGGCGTTCGAGAGAAGGGTTGATACCATTGAGCGCTTTGCTTCTTACACTCGCTGTAGACTCTCGCTGGTGGACCGGCGATCGAGGATAGGGGATAACGATAATAACATCCAAGCTTCGTCTCATGTCCCTGTTTGTTCGTACTATTGAGTCTTTGTGCTTCAGAAATTATCGGTCTCTACATCCCTTCTCTTCTCCCTATGTCTCGCGCTCCTCTTCCTCGCGACGCCCGAGCCGCTTTCTTCGTGCTTGGCTGATCCATGCAGCACCACTTTCTTCGGCCAGTTCCTTGCAATATCGATACTCGCCCGCGGCGCCCATAGCTCCAAGAACACAAAGAGCAGGTAGTCGACAATGACGCACAGACAAAACAGCTTGCCGGCCCAGATGCCGCACCCATAATACCTCTTGAGCCGATCAATCAGCGCAAAGCTCTGCACGCCCGCCCTGCCTCTCGTCGCGCTCCACCCCGCGCCAGACCTGAATCCGACATAAAACTCCTCTTCGCTCAGTACTCCACTGATGCCATCATACACCCTCTCGGTCCGCTCCGCTACATCCGTCCAGCTGTACATCAGCTTGACCTGCTCGTGGAACTTCTCCGTCCTGATCTTGTTCGCGCGCAGAAGCGCAATCGCCTTCCCGGTCGCCGCGACCAGATCGTCCTCTTCCGGCTTCGCGAACGTTGTCATATGCGCCGGGAGCACCTCGGGTATGCCGCCGACGCGCGTACACACAACGTAGAGCCCACAGCTCGCGGCCTCGACGATGACGGTGCCGAAGGCTTCGGTAAGGGACGGGTGCAGGTAGATGTGCCCGCGCACCATGACATCGCGCACCTCCTCGTGCCGTACGGGGCCGAGCAGCTCGACGCGGTCTTGCAGCACGTTGCGCTCGATCATCTGCTCCAGGTCTATGGCTTTAGGCCCTGTCCCCGCGATGATGAAACGCACTTTCGGGTGGGAGGCTAGGATGCGTGGGATTGCGGCGATGAGGAGATCGGTGCCTTTGTTGTAGAAGAGGCGCGAGATTACGACGATGGTGATGGTGGAGTTGGGGCCGAGGTGGTGGGGTGCCGGCACTGGGGTGTGGGTGCTGCTTGGGGAGGTAAGGCCGTCGGAGGGGGTTGTGGTGGGCAGAGAGAGCGGGCGGAAGTTTTCGGCCACGACGGCGTTGGGGATCACGGAGACCATGAGAGGGTCGAGGGAGGCGCGGAGGACGGTATTCTCTTTGCTGTGGAGGCGTTAATGGTAGGAGAGGGTAAGAGGTAGAAGGGTAACTTACCAAGTGTGACTGACGCAGATGACATGATCTACATCGCTCAAGGTGAACTTGAGGAGCTTATTTGTCAGGATGCTCGCCGCGTCCGCAAAGCCAAAGAGCGAGTGGTCGGTAAAGACGGTGCGTAGTCCCATCGTCCGCGCATGAAGTATGGCTTCGTGGCACAGGCTGCTGAGACTAGCGTGGCCATGCACAATCTCTATTTGCTCCCTGATGACAATGTTTCTGAAGATGGGAAAGAAGGAGAAGACGGTAGGGAACGTGGTTTCGCGGTATACGACGAAGAAAGGAACGTGGTAGACCTTCAGGCCATTTGTGAGATAGCGGACACCGGTGCGGCCTTGGTAGGCATGGGTGACGATTATGACCTTGTGGCCGCGGTCGATGAGCTTGGTGGACAGCTGGTAGATGTGGCTTTCGACTCCTCCGGGCTGTGGGAAGAAGAAGTCGCTGATCATGGCAATGTTGTACGGCATCGTGACGAGCCAGCTCCGTCTGGCTGTCTACTCCCGATATAAGAGCGCAGATGCATTGTGCACAATGCCCTGTGCTTTCGATGGTCGTTCTATTCAGGGCCTGCGATTGAGCATGGGCGCCTCATGGTTGTGTCGCAGTGATGGCCGTCAAGATGCGGCACATTTCAGAGGCTTGGCGGATGCGGCGCCGCAGGCGGCGAGGGCGTTTGTCCGTCAGAATAGTTTTCTTGGTGTTGAGCTTTGCGCAGCTCTTCAACATCGCCGCTGCGAGATGGCTGGCCCACTATATGCACGATATATTCCGGAAAAGGTGGCAGCGAAGGCGACAACTACTGCGCCGCCCGCTGAAGCTCCTCGAGCTCAACAACCTGCACCAAGCGCACGACCTGCCACGAAAGAGAAGAGGGAACGAGAGCGGCCAAAGAAGCGCAAGAGGGACAAAAACGACGAGTCCGAAGAGGAGGAAGCCCCCAAAAAGCACAAGTCGGTCCTGTCAAAGTTTGAGAAGTCCAAAAGAGTAGCAGATGCAGTCCGCGAAGAGCCAGAGCAAGCTGCAGAAACGATTGAAGAGGAGCAGCCGGAACTCCACGGTACGGTCTCGGCAAGCCTCTGTAGTATTCGGCTGTCCATCTAATATCTACAGACCTCGTCCCTCTCCCCCAGCCCGACCCAGTCCCCGAGCCCGACTACAAGCCCACCTTCTCTGCCCTGCCACCATGGCTCGCCTACCCCATTACCGTAACCTCCCGCGCCACGACTCCCTTCAGCACACTGCCAATCGACGCAAAGCTCGTCTCGCACCTCAGCCAGAAAGGCTACACCGATGCCTTCGCCGTCCAGTCCGCCGTCCTGCCTCTCCTTCTCCCAGGACCTAAACACCATGTCGGAGATATCTGCGTCTCGGCTGCTACAGGCTCAGGGAAGACTCTAGCGTATGTGCTGCCCATGGTGGAAAGCATGCGGCAACGCGTCGTCACGAAGTTGCAAGGCTTGGTGGTGGTGCCGACGAGGGAGCTGGTGGCGCAGGCAAGGGAGATTGCTGAGCTTTGCGCTGTGGGCACAGGGCTTAAGATCGGGACGGCGGTGGGAAACCACTCGTTTGTTTCGGAGCAGGAGATGTTGGTCAAGAAGGGCAGGAGGTACGACCCCGAGAAGTACAAGACCCTGCAGGCAAGGGCGAAAGAGCGCATCTTATATGGCGTAGCGGAGCAGGACACGTATCTTGATGATGCTGTCGACATGCTTCCAGGACATGTACCGGAATACGAGTCGAAGGTTGACATACTGATCTGTACGCCTGGTAGACTGGTCGAACATATTCAGTCAACTACGGGATTCAGCCTGGATGACGTGCGGTGGCTTGTTATTGACGAGGCTGATCGGTTGCTCGACCAGAGCTTTCAAGAATGGGTAGGGGTCATTATGGCAGCATTGCAGGCAGAGAAGCCATACGAGAAGATGAGCGCGCGCGATCAGGTCTTGTCGAAGATGTGGTATCCGCCGGAGCGGCGGGCCGTTCGCAAAGTCATCTTGAGCGCAACCATGACTAGAGACCTGAGCAAGCTTGATACGTTGAAACTCCGACGACCGAAGCTGGTGGTTGTAGAAGATGCAGGTGAATCACTGGGCCAAGAGGCAAACCCGCAAGATGGTCCAGCGGCTACATCTGGAGCAACGTTCGAGCTGCCGCCGACGCTGAAAGAGTGGGCTATACCAGTAGGAGATGGAGCTGATAAACCTCTGTACCTGCTACGACTCTTACAGACGCGTATACTGCACGAGAAAGTACCAAAGGCCCGAGTGAGACCCGATACTTCAATCGTATCTGGGTCCGAAGATGACGATGAAGACTCCTCATCTGTATCCACCAAATCGTCATCCGACGTATCAGACACGTCCGCCTCGCCCTCCTCCGCAGCATCGTCATCTTCCGACTCGGAGGCCAACTCATCAACCTCCGAGTCAGAGACCGACTCCAGTTCTCCGGCCAGACCCCTCAAAGCCTCTACATCGCAAGCCGCACACCCCACCAACGCCGGCGTCCTAATCTTCACCTCAACCACCGAATCCGCAACCCGCCTCTCCCGCCTCCTCGCCTATCTGCACCCGCCCTACACTCCCCAAGTCGCCCTTCTCACAAAGTCCTCCGCCACCTCTGCCGGCCGTAAGACCCTACAACGCTTCCGCGCTGGCCACCTGCGGATCCTAATTGCGACCGACCGTGCCTCACGCGGCCTCGACATCCCCGAGCTCGCCCACATCGTCAATTATGACATCCCGCGCAGCGTCACGAGCTACGTGCATCGCGTGGGACGGACGGCGAGGGCGGGCAGGGCGGGAGAGGCGTGGACGCTGTTCACGGACGTGGAGGGAAGGTGGTTCTGGAATGCAATTGCTAGGGGAGAGGAGATTAAGAGGGGTGGGAGGAAGGTGGAACGGGTGAAGATCGTGCCGGATGAGAGGAGGGAGGAGTATGAGGAGGCGTTGGGGAGGCTGAAGGGTGATGTGGAGGGGGCGGGAAGGTAATATGCGGTGTCTGGAGGGCCTTCTGATGCGCTTGTTCGAGAGCTTGTTGCCCACCATCAAACTTTGATGTGAACTGCTATCTTCGTGTCTAACTTAGGCCGTAGGCCGCATTGTGACGAGCGACAGCGACAAATAAACTGGGCTCTTCGTCCATTCTTCGCAGCATCCCGGACGAGGGTTCGTGAGGCTTGCTCGGCTTGCGTGGCAGCGTCAGTGGCAGTGTCTGTACCGTACTGTGTCCGGCCGTAGACGCCATGGCGACCCTCCTGCAAGGTTAGTAGACCTCGAGGGGCTTTTGTCTTCTCCTCGATTCTGGTGGCGATCATCTGCCCGCTGCCATCGCCACGACCTGGCAGTTCTGTTTGAGTGGCACAAGCGACTTGTTGCCCTAATATCATGCCTTCCCCTTCTTCTTGTCCTTCTTCTTGCCTTCTATTCCGGGAGCACTCGCACCGGCCTGGCCGCCCTGCAGTTCTGCCATCATATCCTTGAACATGTCGTCGCTCACCCCTCCACCGCTGAGCGCAGGCGAATGCAGCGGTAATATCCTGTTCATTTTCCAGCCGCGGGGAACAGCAGGTGCCGGTAGTGGCAGCTTGGGCGGCGGCATACCCGCGATGCGCAGCCGCATCGGCGTGTCTTCTTTTGTCGGGTGCGCTTTAAGGTACTCGGAGACCATGTTGTAGAGGTGATGTTCTGGCGGAGCGCAGTCAGCTTTCAGAGCTCTCGACTCTTCTTGCTCAGTCAGACAAACTATTCTTAACGTTCCGCGCCCTAACCTGCCCATGCTCCTTCAACAATATCCTCACCCTCCCCGGATTCGCCCAATCCTTCGGATGCATCTTCCCCGGCTCAAACACAATACTGAGCCCCAGCCCCTGGCACGCGTCCACAATCTCCCGCGCCAACGGGTTCGGCACAGCCTGCGCCTTCCCTACCCGCCGGCCCTCCGCCCGCGATCTGCTGCTGTCGAAATAGATGGGGTACAGGCACTGCCAATGTTTCGTCTTCTCGCGCTGCTCGTCCTGCGACTGGCTGATATGGACTTGGGGCTGGAGTTCGGCTTGAGAGCCTGAGGGCATGGAGGAGGTGGTGGAGGGGATGTTAGCGGAGCTTATGAGGGAGTTGGCGAATTGGGTTGGGTCGAAGTCCGAGGGGTCCATGTCGGAGGGGTCGCTGTCGCTGTCGCTGTCGCTGAGCTCTTCTATGCGCGCGTGGTAGGCCATTTTGGCTTGTTCGTCCAAGGCTCCGTATACTGCGCTAAGCTGTTGATATGGGGTGTCAATGGCTTCCAAGTTGCTGTCCTGCAGCCCGCATACAGCGACCCGGTGGTGGCATGGACTGAGACCCGCCGGAAGAACTGACCTCCGATACTCCGGACGTGATTGGGTCACGTGAAAGCACCTAAAGCGTCCTCTGTTCATGTTCCCTATCCGCCAGCGTCTGAGCAAGGCGAGTAACGACTCGATCCAAGGCTTACAACTGGTACATAGCAGTCTACACCACAACAACAGAGCATTTGTCAAAGTCATGCACATGGAGATCTCATGCTCACATGTTGCCATTCCTGTGTTCTGCTACTCCTTCCGTTCTGACAGCTTGCCAACATTGGTGATAAGAGAGCTACTTCAGGTTCACCCACTCAAAGTCATCTAGTAAAACATCACAGCTGTCCATGAAAGACTTCAGCGGCACTCCAGATTCCTTCCATCTCTTAAACCATATCCCCGACCAGTCAAGTCTGCAATGGAGCCCATTGGGATCTCTCCTGTAATAAATTTTACCAATGGATCTCAAAGCCATCATCGACGGCATCAGCAACAACACGTGATAGCACTAGAACAGTACTTTGACACCCTTCCCATTTATGTCATCCACTATACCACGCCTAGATCACTCTTACCGCCGAATGGTACTCGAAGCAAGAAGTTTTACTGAACTCACAGATAACGAGGCTTCAGCATAACCTTCACCAAGTGTTTCTGGGATTCTAGGATTGCGCACCATAAGAAACCCGGATGAGTATACCTGCGGCGTCGAAGCTTATCTATCCGGTCGGAACGCGAAAGCAGACTACATGAACGTATCATCCCAACGAGGATTAGTACATTCACCCAGCTCGTCCACTTAATAGCTGCTCCAACATGGCGTACAACGTGCTCGGGCAGGTCGTAAGGAACAGCCTAATGTCAACCCCCACTTCTGGCTATTAGCGAAATTCGAGGAGAAAGTGACCGCCGGTTTATTTTATTATACAAAGGGTCTAATAAGCTGCCCATTCAGCTCGTATAGGCGAAAACACTACCAGGATGCGCGACCTTCCGGGCTTCCTCTAGTCCCTATCTCCGCCGAATTGAACCAGTGTGGTCCTTTAACCATGGATCATAACCAATTTTGGCAATTTAATGTGAGCGAGAGACGCCAGGAAGACGCAAAATTGAAATTCCTTTCGGCGGCGATTCTCGCATCTGTACAAACCCACGCACAAACCACAATTATCTGGAGATGGATGAGCCGATGGAATCAGGCTCATCAGGAATAAAACCGTGAAGAAACGGCAGCCTTTCTCAGAGGATTGTGTCAAGCGGACGTAAAACACCTATTCTCACAGCATGAAACTAGCCTTGCTCTGAACGCATTGAACACGAAAGCCTCCTCCTGCCATTTGGAACTACCGAACCTGCCATAAGCTTGGAACCCACCGGTCTGAGCCACAGGGTATACCGGTGATGTGAGAGCTTCCAATCCCGGCCTGAATGGCGGTTTCCCCCTCCACCGTCCATATTAAGAGCGGCTCTCTTGTTGTTTACGAACGAAGTAACATCGCTTAAGACAGAAGTCACCTCCTCGCTAGTCGCTTCCCCTAGAACTCGGCCGTCGGCAGCAGTGACCGAAGCGCAAGCCGCATGTCTTCGACGCTCACGTCCTGCACGCCGCAGCTATTCGCTCAAGGGACTCGAAGCATCCTGGTGACCGGCCTTCCGATAGCTTCTTGGCCTGTTGTCTCTTTATTCCTGAATCTCAACGCGAGAAAATTGCTGGGATCACCTTGAGGAGTCTCGCGCCGTCTCCATAATCATCAAGGGCATTGGGATAGAGCTTCAAATGGGGGGAGTTGTCACGGGTTTGGATCGATGCGCTGCGGACGCACGATCGATCCAATCGACTCGCGCCTGCAGATTGGCAGGCGCCGGTCGGATCGAGTGTTTAGAGCCTCGATCCGAGCCAGATAGAATCAACAACTTTCTACCACACAATCAAGCTCGTGCACATTGCGTGACTCCTTGACAAGTGGTAGCTGAAAGTGGTTACCACGAGACGCAACGGGTGCTGGCTCATCGCAGTGCTGAAGGCCACCATTGTTTACCATTGTTTACCATAGGTAGCAATCAATATCATTTTTTAGAGTTACACATATACAGTAGTAAAATATACTAGTTTCCTCCCTTCTCAAACTAAGATGATCTTTACACGTTGATGACGGGTGAAGCAGTAAAATATTGACGTTGTAAGGTGACAGTAGTCAGCGTGTGTAGCAGCTGGGATTACTGCAATACAACCCTGATAGAAGTCCTTTCCCGCTGCCACACCCGGGCCGTGTAGAGCTCCCGCAGCCTGATGGTGGCCCTGCCCAGCCGCTGGTCCGGCGTCGGGTAGCGCTCCTGTGCACTGGTGACGGGTGCTTTCTAGCTGCACACATCACAAAGCCTGCTTCGCGAGCTTCAACCTCAGCCACGGAATCTCCACTCCCGCCACTGAGCCCGCCTCGTCTCGAACAAAGCGTATCTTGTCAGCCGGTTGGCCTCCATAATACACAGCGTCCGTCCCGTACCACTCACCGCAGTTGCCCGCAAAGATCGATTCGGTCACGGGCGTGGCGGGCGAGGCGGGCGACCAGACGCTCATGCGCCATGTGTCCGGAATGAAAGCTTGGGTCGGGAAGAGTCGGTAAACAGGGGTGGTAGCGTTGGTGGACTGTCGGCGCACGAACTGATGGAACTGATGGATGGGTGCGCCGACTATGCCAGCAGATTCCATGGGCGCCGATGGGTTGAGCAGGATACCAAGAATGTCCAGACTTCCATATTCCCAGCGCACAAGTTCCAGGCCAAGACCGTCGTCGGCAACTTTGAGCTCGAAGACGGCGGTGCTGTTCCCGACTGCTGCGGAGTAGGTCCCGGCGTATGTGTCGTTTGCATACTGTACCCGTTTGGCCTCGACCGCTCGGGCAAACGCTAGCACAAGCTCGTCTTCGAAGACCCGAACTGTGCCGCTGGGGCCTCCTGTAGCGAGAACCGAGAGCCCGAACCCGTACTCTGGGACAATGGCCAGCTCGGATTCGTAGACAATGAGGGAGCCGCTCTTGATATGGACGGTGAAAGGGAAACCGCCATTAAGGCCAGGAATGGAAGGCCGGACGTCTTCCCATGGCAGGCCCACAAATCCGACGTTTGAGGCAGTGTACGAGTGCGGCTTGAACCACTCGCGGAGAATCTGTCCGGGCAGGCCAAGACTGGTCTCATTGAACGAAGCCAGGTCATTCAGAACCAGCCTTGCGAATCGCGCCAGGTCGGATGCAGACGAGTACATGGCGCCAGCAGGGGCAGCCCAGCCAAAGTCTTCATTCCAGGATTGGTTTGCTAGATCAGTAGGGATCACGCCGAGGGAATCGTCCGGCTTAAGCAGGCTTGTACGCGGCATGTTAAGGCGGTGAGCTACATCGTGGGCGATGAGGTCGGAGTAGTTCTTGCCCGTCTTCAGTTCTACGATCTGCCCCAACACGTCGTAGGCCATATTGGAGTATGATGGGAACGAGCTGGGTGGATAGACGAGCTCCCGCTGCGACAAAGCGTCGATGTAGTCTGTCATCGTCAGGTCTGTGATATACTGTTCATCAGCATGAAGTCGTTGCATACCTTCAGCAGTGCATGTGCGCCCGCCAGGTTGTGCATTCATTAAACAGGGCGGCTTTTCGCTGTCGGGCAGAGGTATGGTCTCTCTGAGCAATTCAACTACCTGGGCGGTAGCTGCATCCAGTAGGTACCAATCAAGTGGTATTACACTGACGTCGTTGTTGGGGTCTTTATTACACGTTTTGGTCAGCCAGATGCAGAAAGAATTTCCATCACGTGGGGCGGGAAAACAGCCTCATCGCGGACAGCTATCTCACGCTCGTTCACCGTCAACTTCACAAAGTCAGCCACGATCAGCCGCTGCAGTAAATTTTAGGGGTGAACAATAGAAAAACGTACCTTGAGTTGGCTATCCAGACGGTCTCATGGAGCGTTATATTGATCGTAAAGGGAGCTTTGTTATTGATGCACCCTTGGTTTTGTACGTTCGCGGTGAGGCTTTCTTCCCGCCCGACGTGCCACTGTTGAAGGTTCGATAAAGATGCAACACTCACAGTCTCTAGTCAGTCCGCTCGTCTGTCCTGCGAGGCTCCTCAGGGTGATCCCAGCAACCTCATCGCGTTGGAATTCGGGGATCCACTTCCCCACCGTGTCGTCAAGGTCAAGGTGATTGACAAGAGCCTCGTACACGGCAAAAACTTTACTGATACTCGCTATACGGTAGATACTGTCGCTGGTGACGTTGCTTCCTTCGGGGCCGAAGTTGTAAGTGAACCACGGCGTCTCATCTTGGCCTGTGACAACGACAGACACCGAGATGTTTGCAAAGCTGGGACTCAAATCAATAACACGGCCCAGTCTGATATCAGTCTCGGCTGTGAGATTGGCTACGATGGACGAGAAGTCTGCAGCAGAGAGTGGAGGGATGGGGAGATGAGGCTCGACTGGGAGAGGGCAGGATGCGTAAGCAAGGCACGGGAGGAGAAGAAGGGCGTAAAGCAATGTAGAAGCCGTGTAGGGCTGCATTGTGAGGACACCACGATAATCTGATGATTAAATAGTGCGCAGAGATCTTTCTGGCGAGAAGGTCCACTGCATGGCAGACAAAGAGCTGAGACAGGAGGTTAAATACTACACAGAGGCATGGGTGCATGGGACAAGTTTGTACATGTATGCAACGCAGCCGCGTCAGTCGTAAGGCTCATCGCCAGGCTCACGAGGCTCATCGTATTCACGGTGAGCTCGTGCGAGCTCGTCGTGTCTTACTGGAAGATAGAAATAGAAGCGGAAAGAGGCTTTGGTGGTGATGAGTACCAAGAAATGTGGACGTAGAGATGAGAAGAGAGTCGTACGCGCGTAGGCGTTCGGGCCCCAATGCGGGGTGAGTTACTTACCACAATAGGCAACCTTTACGACCTGCATGCGGTGCACCAACCTTACACCATGTTTCCACAGCCGGTGGTTAGTGTCCGTTATTATAGGGCAGGCACGCTGTTGGTACATAATCTGACGAGCTCCAGAAGCGCGTTATCGAGATTCTAGCTAATGAAAGGGCTCGGATACGGATCAAAACGCATGACAAGCTACCTGCAGATGAGCAGGGTATCCATCGGATGTGGAAGGATGATGTAAATCTGGGGATTACAAGGGATGCCGCGCAGCAACTGCAGATGACTCCCGGCGCGCCCAGTTTCCGCACGCGTCCACGGGTACCTGTGGTCCGAAATCCGGTGTGAGGGGCTGGCTGCTCTCTTACTCTATGGGCATGATAAGATCTGCCGAGTCCCCTGCTCTCAAGCGGTTCATTGTCCACTTGGTCAATGACTGATGTAGGTGGGCGGTTGAGAGGCGGAGTGTGAAGGACGTTGAAATCCTGCTTTTCCATCACGATTTTCTGGGTAGGTCCTGCTCGGGGACCGCCCATCTCTGCTGCTGGCTTGATAGAGGCGTTGGTTAGCCATGTGCTACAGCGAGGGGCCTGAGTAGACGCTGCCAACGGCTTTGGAGGTGATTGATCAAGCCGCGTAGGAATTATGGGGAAACGCTTTGGAGATGTTTATGTGTAGCGGGTGGCCGGTGGAGAACATCTACAAACAGGACACAACGGGGATTTGAAGCAGGACAGCGACGTCATTCGTAAGGTGCGGGGTGTCTGAGGGCACGAAGCCTTCGAGGCTCTCACTCCTTCTCGAGAAGGACAAAGTGGATGACTTGCGCTAGATAACGACGCATCCGTACGGTCCGTTGACCGGGATGCTTCGGCATGCCGAAGTGCCAGCCACCGTCGCTCGGCTCGCAGAGAACTGTGTCCGGTTCCAAACGGACGGTGCTCGGATTTGTCTCAGACCCACCGATACCACCTCGAGAGTCACACCGATGATACGCTCGACGGACGTGATTGGATGGATGAAGAGAAGGAACTTGAATTGAGGGTGTGCGGTGATACCCTTTGATCGACTGTAATTGTAAGAGGTAGGGTATTCGGCCCTTTGCTGGTATTTGAACGAGCTTCTGCTCGGTACGACCGCCAAAGTGTATTTTCTTGTAAATAGCATTGTTATTCTAGCTCATCTCCCAGATAATAGCCCTTCATTCTGTGATACACGCAGACCGTCCTTGTTCATCGAGCCATTTTCCTTTTCGCAACGCTTGCAAGACGCATTGACGGACCATGGCACCAGCTATGCTTATGAACGATGGCAACGGCGTCTACGATAACAAAGCAGACGGCAACACCCCGTTCAAGAGCGCCGTTCTGCACAGGAGCCTCCACGTCGAGCCTTACAAGGTAGTTGCATCCAAAGGCAACTATCTACATCTCGCCAACGGCCAGAAGATCTTCGACGCTACGACTGGGGCAGCAGTTGCATGCTTGGGACATGGCAATGAGCGGGTGAAAGCGGCAGTCGCACGCCAGATGGATGAGATCTGTTATTGCCATTCTATGTTCTTCAATACCTCCGCCATGGAAGGTTTGGCGGATGAACTGATAGCGGGAACGGAAGGAAAGCTGGCCAGGGCTTTCCTTGTAAGCTCAGGTTAGTGCCGTAAGCAGCTAGGAGACCTAAACTTATTTTCTGAAAGGATCGGAGGCCATGGAAAGTGCGATGAAACTCGCTAGGCAGTACTTTCTTGAGTGTTCGCCCCCACAGCCGGACAGGACGAGGTTCATCGCCAGGAAAGAATCATATCACGGTACTACCTTGGGTTCTCTTTCCATGAGTGGACATGTTTCCCGTAGGAAGCTGTTCGAACCGATGCTCCTTGATAACATCTCACGAGTCTCCGCGTGCAACCCTTACCATGGCATGCGGAAGGGTGAGTCGACTGAGGACTTTGTCGCCAGGCTCGCGCAGGAACTGGATAACGAGTTTCAAAGGGTCGGACCGGGCACTGTATGTGCGTTCGTTGCGGAACCGACTGTTGGTGCAGTAAGTTAGAGTCTTCAGCTACTTATGCAGTTCAAGTCGAGCGCCCAAAGTCGTGCCCTGGGATATGGCTCGTCTGGGAGTGCTATGAGAGCGTAGCAGATGCTAACACACCACGTTCAGGCGCTCGGCTGTGTCCCGGCAGTACCAGGCTACTTCCCCGCTATGAAGGCAGTGTGTGACAAGTACGGCGCACTTCTGATACTTGACGAGATCATGAGCGGTATGGGCCGTACCGGAACTCTCCATGCCTGGCAGCAGGAAGGGGTTGTACCGGACATCCAAACGATCGGCAAAGGCCTTGGTGGAGGCTTCATGCCCATCGCGGGAATGCTGATCGGCCATCGAGTGGTTGATGCGTTCAAAAAGGGAACAGGAGCTTTCTCACATGGTCAGACGTATCAGGGCCATCCGCTCGCGTGTGCGGCCGCGTTGGAGGTGCAGAAGATCATTCGAGAAGAGAAGCTAGTGGATAACGTGAAAGAAATGGGACTGCTCTTGGAAGGATTTTTGAAGCAAAAGCTGGCAGATCACCCAAATGTTGGCGACATTCGGGGTCGAGGCCTGTTCTGGGGGGTAGGTGCTTCCCTTTGTGAACGCTTTGCCATGAATCTGCTGATGATGCCGCTAGATCGAGTTTGTACGTGACAAAGTTGCCAAGAAGCCTTTCGATCCGAAGGATGGCATTGCTATGGGCATCCATGATCAGGGTGAGCAGTGCCGCTTTGACTTGATCTACGGCCCGCTGATGCAACTTTAGGGATGAAACCAGGCTACGATATCTACCTTTATCCCGGCTCTGGTACCGTCGACGGCAAGGTCGGCGATCACATACTGATGGCACCGGCGTACAATGTGACCAGGGCAGATATTGAGCTTCTCGCCAACACGACGACTCGGACGGTGGTTGATTTCTTTGCCAGGCGATAGAATTCCTTTCGTCTTAAGCTGTGAACGGCGCATTCTGGTGTGTGTGTCTCGATGTGATCTCTTGAAACGCATACGCAGTGCGCGACTTGAATCGTTGGTCGCGTTGAGGGCCTGCAGTAAGTCACGTGATAGGGAGGTTTTTGGGCGGAACAAACGTCTTTTCAACCTCAACGTGCGACGTAAGTGGTCCTGTATGAAGAGCGGCGTGCCGGGGCAATTTCTAATTGTACGACGTCGGTTCAGTGCAGGCTGTCTGAAAGAAAGTTGGCTGCGAGTGTTTCACCACAAAATCCTGTGACCGTGACCACGTAACGGGATGTGCGTGCGGTATGCATTGAAGCACCCGAGTTGCACCTCACGTCTGTTCAGGTCTCTCGTCGGTCATTTCGAGTCGTCCTTGGGCTGAGGGAATGCTGTGCTAGAGATCTTGCTCCCTGACGGTGCAGCTGGAGTGCCGGTCGCGGAGAGTTTCAAGAATGACGGGTTCGGTACGGCATGCCTTCGATTGGTGATTATCGTCGCCTCAACACCCACCTGCCAACAGGAACCGATTGCCCGAGCGTCAAGGCAGCTGACAATCCGTGATCCTCGCAAACAAAGATCAATCCAAAGCCTTTCAACTCTTGATGTGACTTGGGTGCGAGCAGCAGAGAAGGGCCGATCTTGCCGGCTCAACACGCCTGAAGGGCTTTTGATAGACTGCGTGCTGCCCTGAAGGCTGATACTGGATAAACTGCCCGCGTAATCCAAAACATCCAGCGACCCTTGCGAGCTGGGACCGACCGAATCCACTCAAGATAATTCGCGCTAAGCCGGAGACCGGACTGCCACACACCTTGCGCAAGCCAGCGGTCCGCCTCTTCTGACTTCACTACAGCCTCGACACTGAATGATCTCCGGCGGTTGGCATGCCCACTGCTCTGTCCTGCTCTTCTGCTTCAGCGGAGCCTCTTGAGAATTGCATCTTGCTCTTGTGCCCACGCATATGGGTTAATGAACCTCCATACCAAACCCTGCCGTCATTCTCCGCCGTTCTCCACATCCTCGCACGGTCGGAGCGACACGGACGATAGACGGTCCTTCTTTCACACATCTGCTCTGCCAGAGTATCCGCAGGTCGATTCACGTTCGGATTGACGCAGAGAATTCCACCGGTGTGGGGTTGTTGGCTTCTGCAAGTTCAACTCAGGCAACACCTCCGATTAAGGCGGACACGATAGCGTATCTCACCAAATCGCGCTTTTCAGCACCCCACGATGTCGACCCCTTCGACCGCGACCGCTACGCTGCCTCCGCACCATCAGTACTACTCTCATCATCAGAACTATCAGCCCGTGGTCGGTGGATACGGGCAACTGGTGAACGGGTCATCACGGTTGGGGAATCCACACAATTACGCGAATAACTACGCAGCCAGCAATTCCTCCTCCGACCTACGACGCACAGTGGCCGTCAATTCGCACCAAAGCGAACAAATGCCTCCAAAGGACGTTTCTCAAACTTCAGATACGCAGCAGTCGGCAAAGCGAGACCGAGCGCCGACAAACTGGAATAAGTTTTATGAGCACGGCGTCCCGAAAGAGATCATCGTCATCGACGAGTCTCCCGAGCCCGCGCAGACCATCAAGGAACCAGAACCCCAGTCGACGATGCCGACCACGAATGGCAGCACTAGACATGCCGACAAGAAGCGGAAGACTGCGGCGTCTGCAGCCTACGATCCCGTCTACCACCAGCAGACCTCGTACTCGACGACACAAACTCCATACTACGACTCGCCCTCCTACTCCACCGAGCGTACAGCCTCCGCAGTCAACGGCACAGCAGCTACATCTCTAGGGTCACAGGCTTCTAATGGTGCGTACGCGCCACCGCTTGAGGAGGGTGTCGTGGGGCAGAAGAGAAAGCGAACCAGAAAGGCGACGCTGGATGAAGAGAAGGAGGCGAAGAGGCGCGAACTGGAGAAGCAAAGTGATCCGTATCAGGCCTACATCCCACCACCGAATCCTCCAATCAAGGCCCGCGAAGTCTACGTCCAAGTCGTAGCAGACGTGAGTTTGCCAGCTTCACCCGTCAAAGTTATAACACTCACAAGCCGCAGAAGTCGTACATGAAAAATGAGAAAGTCGACGACGACGACGGTCACTACGTCGTCGTTCCGGAAGCCGATCTCACCGACAGATGTAAGTCGCATTCTACAAGGCTGCTAGCCTATCTCCCGACAACGATTACTGACATCCATCCAGATCAGATTTTGAAGCTGCTAGGGCAAGGCACATTTGGCAAAGTTGTCGAGGCATTTGACCGTAAGAAAGGCTCGAGATGCGCCATCAAGGTTATACGATCCGTGCAGAAATATCGGGACGCGTCTCGCATCGAGCTTCGAGTGCTTTCGACTTTAGCATCCAACGACAGATCAAACCGAAACAAATGCATACATCTCAGAGACTGCTTCGACTTCCGTAATCACATCTGTATCGTCACCGACCTGTACGGCCAGAGCGTTTTCGATTTCCTGAAGTCCAACCAATTCGTGCCGTTTCCAAGCACGCACATTCAGACATTTGCGAGGCAGCTCTTCACTAGTGTGGCCTGTAAGACAATCCCTATGCACAGCACGAACCTAATCAGCCGCTGACTGTTTTAGTCCTGCACGATCTCAGCCTCATCCACACAGACCTGAAGCCCGAGAACATTCTTCTTGTCAACAATGCGTACCAAACATTCACTTACAACCGGACCATACCATCGTCTTCGACCACCACAAGCAGATCAGCCAAGCACCGAAAGGTGTTGTTGGATCCAGAGATACGGCTGATCGATTTTGGGTCCGCTACTTTTCAGGACGAATATCATTCTTCGGTCGTTTCCACGAGGCATTACCGGGCACCGGAAATCATTCTCAACCTTGGTTGGAGTTATCCGTGCGACATCTGGAGCATAGGATGCATTCTGGTTGAGTTCTTCACAGGAGACGCACTGTTTCAGACACATGACAATCTCGAACATCTCGCCATGATGGAGCCGGTATGTGGTGGCAAGTTGGACAAGGAACTCATTCGAAGGGTGCATAAGCCTGAGAAAGGGCAGAACCGGAACCCGGCAACTGCGTATGTTCCTACTATGCTTGTAGACATGGATATATCTAACAAGCTGTTCAGGTACTTTAGAAGCAGTGGGAGAACGCTCGATTATCCGAATGCAGAAACGCAGAAAGCATCGAAGAAATATGTCAAGGCCATGAAGAAGCTTCACGTACGCCTGAATTCACAGATAGCTCCCGTTTACAGCAGTGCTAACATGAGTTGCAGGAAATAATACCAAGCCACACCGAGTTCAACCGCCAATTCCTCGACCTCCTGAAGAGGATCTTCGTGTATGATCCCGACAAACGGATTACCGCCAAGCAAGCTCTTAAGCATCCCTGGTTCAGGGAACTGTTGAAGGATGACGGCACCGAAGCCACCAAGATCCGACTCGACAAGGAGAAGAAAGAGAAGGAGAGATCGGAAGCAAAAGCATCAGCTCGCTCGAATGGCTACCGATAACGGCATCGGGCAAGTCTTTTGCCCTTGACATGGAATTATGTTCCACCTGCGATCGGATCACACTACACCTTCTCTCATCTTCTTCCACTTCTGTGGTCCTCTGCAGACACTGTATATCGGGCGGAACTTCGATTACCGGGTTCAAGTCGACGAGCAAACGATGATATGGCATGTTGGGTGGCGAGTCCATGGATTCGGCGTCGTGTGCGTTGGATGAGTCTTTCTTTCTTTCCAGCATCTGGAGGAGCTATGCATTCTCTACTGGCAGATTCCACAGTGCAGAAGTTGGGTTCCAGCGTTATTTGTACGATGCATAGAGGTGTTTTGGCGGCGCGTGGCATAGCTTAGCACACCTGATAGTGCATCAGCAATGTGCGATTCAGTCGTCATCTGGGGGTAGGGTATAGGCAATTCGACGACATGTAAATGATCAAGTGTGATATCTCGAATTGTGTAAAGTTTTCATTGAGTTGTATGTGGCCTGCCACTTCAGTTCACGATGCATTGATAGCATGAGGGGAAATGGATGTAAGCGTCAACTTTGGACGGCCCATTAAAGAACATATGGAGTAACTTGTGGTATCCATGCCGCTTACGCTAACCTTGCTCTTCCTTAGAACTTGTTTCAAACACGGTTTGAACGGCTTAGACGCGCCTACATGAATTGCGACGTTCTACGGAGGAGAGGCTGTTACCCGTTTGGGAAGCATGAAGACGCGGAAGTGTTCCCGCGGTCTTACTCGCGCCAAGCTGTTTACTACAAACAAACCGCAATGTAGCATGAAGGCCGCATCAAGCACTGAGATGGAGGTGTCAGACCGATACAACTGTATGAGGAGTAGTGTAGCCAAGCTATATCGCCCTCATTGCTGACGCACTGTAGCATCCCATCTCTGCGTTCCGTCCCCAGACGGAGCCCACATTGCCGGTATCAATGGCAGCCGACTTCATATCCGCGCAACAGGCAACCTCGAAGTAGTCCGCAGCATCCAGACCCCTCCAGATCACGATCCAAAGAGTCAAACCATACGCTGGGCTCCACCTTCTTCGCGAGAAACTATCTCAGATCGCTTCCTCCTTGCCGATGCGACCAACGTTCGTGCATACGACATCCGCGACACCAAATGGTGCGCACACATGAACAATGGCAGTGGTGGCGCAGGCAAGATTGTGAATGCAGAGTTCGGAACGACGGAGAACGAAGTGCTGCTCTTCTCGGACTTCTGTGCTAGGATGACAGTCTGGTCACTGATCACGGGCCGCAGCGTCGAGATCAAAGATCCCAAATTCCCCTCGACGAAAGGTTTTGGACTCAGGCCTGAGAACGGTGTGCTGGCACTCTTGAGCAGACCAGGTCCGCAGGATGTACTCACGCTGCACGCGCCAAACAGCCATGCTGTGATCAAGACGGTGCAACTCCCGACGGCAGATGCGCAGGGCTTGAAGTGGAGTCCGGACGGATGGTGGCTTGCTGTCTGGGACGCGCCAAGTGTCGGGTTCAAAGTACACATTTTCACGGCAGACGGTCATCTATATCGTGAGTGGAACGGAGAGGCAGTGGACGGTATCGTTGGCTTGGGTGTGAAGAGCCTGGAATGGAGTCCAAGAAGAGACTTCCTGGCCATTGGAGGGTTTGATAGGAGGGTCACTCTCCTGAGCACGCGCACGGTATATAGTGTCCTTTCTGGGCGTTGCGTGGCTTTACTGACCGCGGCAGTTCTCCGCTGCAGTGTTTCTCGATCATACGCCAACCATCCAGCTCGCTGTGGGTGACGTCTGGCAGGAGCAAGTCTCTGCCATATCAGAGCGAAGATACACCATCGCGCCGCAACCGGTATCTCCGCCGAAGGCGCCATCCCCCTCTAATGATGCGAGTCCAAAAAGCGGCATCTCCATCATAGCGTTCAATGCGGAAGGCACTTTCGTGGCCACAAGGGACGACTCCACACCGACCACCGTTTGGCTTTGGGACTTGACACGCCTCGCGCCCCAGACCGTCCTGATCCAACATTCTCCTGTCAAGCACCTCTCTTGGCACCCGACGAAATCCCACCTGCTACTAATTCAGTGCACGCACGATGACGCGACCGTTTACGTATGGGACTCGCTCAAAGCTGCGCCAGAGGCCCTGAGTATACCCTTTGACAGACCAGTTAATCGACTCGAAGCCCGCTGGTTGAGCACACTCTGCGATAAGAAACCGTGCATCGTCCTTGGAGATGCTACTGGCTATGTACTCGCGTGGCCTGAAGGCAGGGACGCCATCCTCAGGTTCGAGCATCCGGGTACGCCGGGCGTGGGTGACGAGAGCGAGGACTCGTTATATGAGATCCTTACTGGGAAAAAGTCGGTGCCGGACGGTAGTGACACTATTGCTCTGGCCGATGATGCCTGGGATGAAGATGAGAGCTTGTCCCTGGATGATACATTTCATGGCCGTGGAAACACAGGATCTAAAGAGAGGCATGACTTGTCAACCACTTCGTCACTGGCGGAATGTTTCTGATGAGCTGGTCTGGCTTTCTCCGTCGACTCTCCTGGATACACCTAGTGCTCAGGCGGCAGATAATGGCTCGAACCATACGACTGCTGCGTCAACATGACGCTCCTGTCGCAAGCAGCTCTACTGCTCGTCCGCATGGACTTTAGCAAACAGCAATATGTGCCCCTCTCGAAGTACCCGCAAAGCCGCCACGACTGCCGCATGCCGCAAACGCAGGCAGTTATTATTACTAGCAATTGATGCTGGTGACGAGTAATTGTCATCCAGACAGTTTATCCTCCACCGTTGACACCATCGCCCACTTCGAGAAGGCTAAGAACCCGAGTCTCCGCGGCAACATGATCCTTAGAAACCTTCTACGCGGTGGCGGGAGGTTAAGACAACACTTCGCATGAACTCCAGAAGACGACATCGAGGGTGCTAGCCATGCCTCGGATTCTTTTCACCAAGGATAACCCGTTCGGCGCCCCAGGGTGATTTAGGAGGCGACTTTTGCAAATTTGACCATGTCAGGATTACTGTTGTTACAGGAATCGGAAGGCGAGAGTTTTGCATTTGAACGAGCTGAATCACGTTACTCTTGGAAGTCTTGGCACTCCCAAGTGGCATACAAGAAGAGACTGAGCTTCGTCTGGCAGACAGATATGGTCAAGGGCTCACTACGGTCGGCTTGCAACAGTCATGGAGAACAGCTACGGTGGCAATTAGTGGTCTGCAAATTCTACGGGGTCGGCTTTTTGAGCCGTCACAGAGCGAGGAACTTAAAGGCCGCGCAACTGCGTTTATCAGCGTCCGAACGTTCAGTATCAACTCCGAAGGGACTTACTCTTCTTGTCGAGAGCTTCAGCGATTAGCCATGGCGTTTGTCGACTTCTTCCTCTCCGCGCCGTTCCTGACCATTTTGGCCTCCCTAACCTGGTCGTCGGCGTTCGCTGCCGGTCGTGAAGACTAGCGGTCGTGTTCATTTCGTTCCGTACGGCACGAAACATCTACCATCAGCCATAACATCTTTAGAATTCAGTAGCCGGAAGATCGTTGTATATCTTTGACATTCACAAGTAAGGTCGTCTCTGCATATATACGGTGTGTGATGTTGGGAGCGTTCTGACCAGAACCACCTTCCCCTTGGAGTTTCTTCTTAAGTTTCGTGCCAGTTGCTCCCAGCTTCCGGACCAATGCATCATAGAGGTTGGCGTCTACCAAGCCGCGTTTGACCCGCTCCTCGGAGCGCCGCCGCGACGGCTGCCTATCCTCCACCATCCCCCTTTCCAACGCCTTACTCAACTCCCCTGATCAGCCAGGTATTCCTTGATCGTCTCCACCACAACCTGATGGTCCTGCTCCTGCTTCAACCCGCTCACAACAACAACCCCCACAACCCCCTCCACTCCCTTGACCCTAACCGGCACCCCGCCCCCATGAATAGCATAACTCCCCGCACTCTCCCCCAGCCCATACTTCGCCCCAAACGCGGCCTCATCCCCGCCCATCTTACAATGCATCCACCACGTGCTCCTTCCCCAGCGGAGCACAGTCTTTCGCTTCCGCGCCACCCAGCTGTCGTTGTCGGGCGCCGTCCCGCCAGGGTGCGTCACGCTGTGGAAGAGCAGCTGGTTGCTGTTGGCGAGGGAGATCGAGATTACGGTTGCGGTTGGGAAGGCGAGGAGGTGGGTGCGGAGACGGCAGCCAAGGTCCCAGGCGGTGGTTGCGGTGAAGGTGGAGAATGTGAGGGAGGACTCGACGGCTTCGATTTCGGCGAGGGAGCGAGGTGGTTCGGGGAGGGAGGGGGGTTGTGGGGTGGTCGACATTCCTTTATGGTTTGAGGCGCAGGAAACCTGATGTTGAAACAGAAGAGTGTCCAAGTATTCTGTACGTGAGAAGAGCACCGCTAAAACATGAGCAACACGCTCATAAACTGCAATTATTGTGGTCTATTAGAAGCCGGTAATTGATTGTATCAGGGGAATTTGATGCTGTCTGACGCTCAACAGCCCCGCCAAGGTGTTTTCGCGCTCCGACTGCCCCACCATGCGTTTTAGAGTTCCCACCTCACCACATAAAAGGGTGACATGGATAGAACAACGTCGCAACAAAAAAGGCAAAAGAATTAACTCGCTAGTGGTGTATGTAGTTGTGCCAACTACTGGAAGCTCCGTCGCCAATCCAGTCCTAGTCTTTTCGCCGCCAGGCGACTGTCGCGAAGCGACCGCGACCGCTCCGTTGGGAGCGCAGCGAGGCCGTCATATCGTCCTTAGCTGTGGGAGCGCAGCGACCTTGAATACCTCACAGCATCATGCGCAGTGAGGCCGGGGGGTTTAGGGGATCCCCCCCAAATGAACCGCGCAACCACTCTATACAACCACAGCAGCTCACAGCGGAGCGAATCCGGGGATTGGGAGGGAGGATCCCCCACGATAAACATTGATCAAAATACCTACCTTGAAGCCTGCGCCTGACCCTCTTTTCTCCCTTCTCTTCTCCCGTCTCCATTCTCTCTTCTTTACCATCTGCCCCACAACCTTCCCCAGGACCGTCCTTACGACCATGGGCCATCCGAAAGGTTGGCTGCCGCTTCTCGGCTGGTGGTTTTTTCAGTGAGAGTCATCATCAACTGGACTCATGATCTTATCAATTATAGACCAGCGAGACCGATAGCATGCGATGGAAAGCATAAGACACTCGGTAATGCAGGCCGTCTAGTGCATCGGTCACCTGAGGTGCTTTTGGTCTATAGACTGCACTTGCGCGCTGTCCAACTTTTCCGTCCGGCAACGGCCTTTTCGGGTGTGCCCTTGGACCTTCATTACGACCTTCGTCGTGTCATCCCCTATGACCTCTCCTTCGCCTCCGACATCTCTCGACCGTAACACACTGATGAGAATCACAACAGGCCCAGCACGCTCAAAGCACTCGGTCAGTCCCATCGAGCACAGCAGCTAGAGTTGGATTGGCGATGGAAACTCCGAGCCCTGGTGGCCCTCAGCAAGACTCCTGGAGCATCCGCTCATGTTCCAACCGCTGAACCCAATGCGGCCAGCTCTCGACTCTACGTGCGAGGAGCTCGATGTCAGACCTCCATGCATGACGGAGCAAGAACAGCCTGGGGGCCAAACCCATCTCCATGCGACCGCGGAACAACGGAGCGGAAAGAATGTTACTTGGCGACACCATCCTTTGATCCTGCAAGCTTGAGTCGCAGCAGGCGCCAGCTCTCAGGATTCTCCCGAGTTCATCGCGAACGAGGACTTTACTCCCTCCAGACCAACCAAGACCCACGGATGGTTGTCCGCCTCCGACCCGCGCACGCTTAGTACGTCTGAGGTTGTCCTTCACCACAACTAGCAAGAAAAAGCGCGCAGGCTGGATACGATCGAGCACCTGTTGACCAAGTTGGTGGCGTAGGTGTCCCTCCCTCCGCTACTGCGGGATGATCCCAAGGTCAAGGGCGTCGGTCGTCTGGGAGGATTTGGAAGCGGTAGGTCACAATCGGCGGCTCCTTGTCGGAGTCCGAATCGCTAGATCTGGACTGGCTCTTACCCCCTCCAAGGTTGCTTTGGATGACCGAAAAGCCGGTAATTAGGTGTCAAGCGCATTCTAACCTTGTCCAGTACACGCGGTAAAGCAGCAGACACCGTGATTGCTGCCGAGGCCGACCCAACCATGGCCAACATCGTCACACAGCTCCTTGACGAGCAGTTCAGTGGCCTCTTCCAAGACCTGTTGAAGATCTACCAGGGCTTCGACGGGAAGCTTATGAGTCGGAAGGGAAGGGTCGCGAAGGAGTCCGCCATGAACTTCAAGGACGGGGTCATCGGGAGCCTTGGAGACGATCACCCAGTTGCTTTGTTGATGAAGGACTTGGACGAGGGGGGGCACAGAAGAGTTTTTCGTGAAGCTCGTTAGAGCAACCAAAAAAGGTAAGAGCCACCGTCAAGGCGTTCCGTCCTTATCCCTCCGCCTCCAGCACCAGGATTTCGTCCTCCACCACCCTGTCGATTCATCCATGTTCCGTGTTCCAGACGCCGAGCTCTCAAGAAGCGTCACACCCTCGCCGCCTCAAGCGTCTACCCATGCTGACCTTCATGTAGATGCTCGTGCCTTAAAGAAGCGTGGACGGCCCGCGGACGATGACGGTGAAGAGGATGACAACGATGGCGATGAGATCATGGGTGAAGATGAGATCGTGGGCGGCGATGAAGAAGAGGCTGTTGCTCCCGCCACTGGTGATCCCGTCACTGGTGCTCACGCTAAGGCACGTGGTGGTCGTAATGGTCCTGGTAGTCGTAGTGGTCATCCTTCCAAGAAGGCTCGCGTTGACGGCTGTCCACGTTCACGTCGAGCTTATACGAGAGATGGCCTTGATTGCACCAGTATCTCAAACAATCAAAAGCGATTTCTTGCGGCAGATGCACAGTGGACGAATATGCCATAGCTCCTGGTCCCGCTCACTGGGTCACCATACTTGGAGTGAATAAAGTCCTCCATGCACCATCATTTCCGTCTCTTCGATCCGAGTCGCTGTGCTTGAAACCGCCTGCGGGCTTGGGATTCTTCTCGTATGAACGCTTACTGGACTCTTGGATGGTGATTTGAGGCGCCGTGAGTCTTCTTCTGGAAGAAGCCTAGAATGTTCTTCTGGCCTTTGTCGGACTGCGACATAAATGTAGTCTTCCCGGTGTCTGGCTTAGGCGTAGCGATTTCGTTGCCGTTGATACCCCGAGTCACTGCTTCTCGCTGTGAGTGATATCCACCCTTCAATCCGCCTTCAAGTCCTTGATGTCACCAGTGTCGATGGCCAACACAAGGGATGACGCATCAAAGGGCGAGTGGTACGGCCAAAGAAGCGCGGACTAGCATCTGCACTCTGAAGAGACACGTGGAAGATACGGAGGCTCCGACGATACAGGACAGCCTGCTCGCGGACCAAGTTCTAGGTTGGAGGTAGGCTGAGGAAGGAAGGAGACAGACTTGAGAACTGACCCCAATCACCAACCACTCTAACGTGCCTCTCGGACGCACTCACCAGGACGGGGCGGCCATGCTAATCGGCATCGAGGACCACCGCAAAGGGATGTACGACTGGTTGCGTCAATACTACTATCCATGAGCTATTCACAACAATACCATTCATCGAGCCTGGATCGTCAGACCCAGATTGGGCATCCCTATCAACGCTCCTGGTATCGGCCACCGTGGATTTAAGCCTGCTTGGGACCATGTATTCCGTCGAGTCCGGGTCTTCTTCCTCCGTCGGCATTCTCGGACCTCTACGCATTCCCCTTCGCCAAACCATCCGCACCCGTCAACTAGCGCGCCGGCTCGAGCTGGCACAAAAAGATGCTGATGTACTATCCCGTCGTGCAGAAGGAGCTGAAGCGGCGGATCGTGCGGAAGTGGTGTGAGGAGAAGAGCATGTGTTGTCTTAGGAAGGAGAGGCTGACGGATGAGGTTGGCAACGTACTAGAGCCCTGCGGGACGTTTTGCGGTGTTGTATTGGCGGAGCATGTCAACGCCTCCGTAATCTAACGGCTTCCTGTTGAGCAGTCCTACTGCTTTGTGCAGATACTTGCATACGAGCCTGGTAACCTCGACAACCCTTCCCGACGCTTGTTCGACAAGTTAAAGGGAACATTGTTGATGCCAAGTAGAGGAGGCAAAGCCGCTCTTCACAAAATGTGATCTATAATTCAAACTTAGAAGTCCATCGTCTATTGTAGCCTGTATAGCTCAGTGGTAGAGCGCGGCACTTGTAATGCCGAGGTCCGTGGTTCGATCCCGTGTGCAGGCAAAGTTTTTTTGTCTTTTACCGGATCCAGCTCGTGTAGGGCTCATAGCTTGATAAAAACGAACACTTTATAGCTTGGAACGAATCTAGGACGCCAATGAGAGGATCTTTGTATGACGGTCACGTGATATACCATGTGATACAAGCGCGACGCGTTACCGCTGCGGCAAGCTGGCTGTGGGCAGCGAATAAGAAATGTTCATTCGACGAAAAAGTAAACATGGACATCGTGAGAGAGTCGGCTTGGCGCGAGAAGCTCCTGGGGAAGCAGACGCACATTTCGTGGCCGCCATCCGAAACTTCATAACTCTAAGACGGTCGATCAATGAGCGAGAGGGTATAGGACCATTCAGTAACTAAACCACTGTCCACAGCCAGGCTGATGCAGCGGTAACGTGTCGCGGTTGTATCACGTGATAAAACGGCATACGAAGATTGGGATTAGATATTTCAGACACAAGCATTGGAGGGCCGTTTATTTGAGGGCCTGAGAAAAGGACACTGCATACAGGAATACTCCTGAGAGAGCCCTACTAGAGTGCGTCCTCCCTCTAGAGATCTTGCCGCAATTGATGCCGACAACGAGGAAGATAATAATCAATTCCTGGAGAATCAAGCCTGGCCGCGCACAAGGATAACCTAACCAATATGTCTGCCTCTGCACTCCAGCCCTCGGCGGCACCAAGCAGCCTGAAAACCAAACTCTGGATGCACCTTAATACTGCTATCATGCAAAGAACTGTCGAGCCGACTTTGACAATGGTAGCTCGGTTCTATCTTAAGATGTCTTACAATGACAGGCCTGTCAACGTGAGCCTGTCACGAGTCTCGCTGTCCATAGGTTCACGACCTTTGCCTTCTTGACTCGTTAGTGCCGACACCACTAAAAGTTTCTTAATATGCCGAGCATTCTTAGTGGCATGAATTTGGACTGCAACTCGCAGCCTCAGTCGCATTGGCGCAGCTACAAATCGTCACGGTGCTATACTCGGCAACACTTGCAGGAAAATATATTAATACGGCACCGTCGCTTTGAGTATATGGACACGAAAACACAACGTTCTTATTCAGCATTAAGCATAAGACGGAACAGGAAGCATCGCCGGAGTAGGGCTTCTTCAAGGAGGGTTATATCCGTCACCCCTTTCAAACTAGAAGTAATACAAAGTAATCAACAGTATAAGTATCACCCTTCGTGCTGGATCTGGCGGTGCTCGGATTCGTAGCTTATCAGTCGAACCAAACCGTCAAAGCAATACTGTGGAAAGAAACTCACTCAACCATCATGCTTTTCTCTACCTCATTCTCCCTCTCCTCATTCCTCATCTCTACCTCTCTTCTCCAAGCACATCCAACCTTCGCCACCCCAATCGACTCTTCCCTCACTCCCCGCGCCGCTGCACAATCCTGCTCCGGCGACTTCTCCGGCAAAGCCTACGGCGTCCTCGCCTGCGCCGACGTCACCTTCCTAGATTCCAACAGCGTCAACGTCGTCCTCACCGTGCGGGACACCCGCGGCGATTCTAACGACGTCTACGGCTGGTACCATGTGTACGGCGCGGACGGTCGGACCCAAGTCCTGCCCCGGATTGGCAAGCTGAGGAACGACATTGGTGTCGGCAATACTATTTCGCATACCTTGAGGTTCGATTATCCGGGTGGGTATAGGATTGTGGGGGTTAGGGCTTTCGCGTGTGTGGATGATGCTGGTGGGGATACTTGTGCTCCTGGTGGGAGGACTGTCGCGCCGTAAGGAGTTTCAAGATGGGCAAAGGTAGGGGGTCAGTAGGGGCGTATTTCATGTTGGTCAGACGGCCGTGCTTGGATATCTCACGATGAAGGTCCAAGAGCAATGTCAGTGGAGTTTTTCATAGCAGCTATGTCCAGAGGTCAACCGGAATGCTCGTTGCTGCATTGAGAGCTACTCATAGCCGTGGAGATGGGTAGCGCTCGAGCTCAGTCCATAGCTCGAATACACCTCAGGCCATCCGTGCATCAAAGCGCTGAACTGCTGAACATCATTTGGTGTCTATCGCATAGAACTGATCCAGTTGCTCTACATTGACAAGATCATGAGTCCAGTCTGATCGTGAATTTAGTACTGAACAAGCTGGAGCAAAGATGTGGCAACTACCTCTTCGGATGGCCTTTGGTCGCTGCCACGGCCGGCTTAGCGCAGCGGTAAAGCGTCGCACCTCAGGTATGCGAAGATCTGGGTTGTTGAAGCGACTGAGCTGAAGCCGTAAATATGTCAAAGCCAAGACGCTGCCTCCAATTCCGTACAAATGTGGCATCAAAGGTGACACTGAACTTCATGACGGCATTCATCTCATGAGCTCGACTACTAGCATTACACTACATCTTGTTAAATACCTGAATCCCAGTAGCCCCCTGCCTCATACTCCCATGCACCTCGTCATCTAAGCTCTCGCTTCCATCCTCAGTACTCGCCTCCTCCTTCAGCCTCTCAAGCACCAAGCTCGCTTCCGCCTCCGCACCATGCAGGATATCAAAGCTCTCCTCGCTTGTGCTCGACTTCGGACTTGCCTTGGCCGCCTGCTCACCCACCCAGTCCACACCGCCGCCCTGGGCAGCTCTGCGCATAACCTCCCTCTCCTCGAGCGGGAACAGCGGCTGCGATTCCGGCAACAAATTCTTCCTATGCCACTCGCCCACAAACATGCCTTCAGGGTCGACCTCATTCCGTACACGTAAGTACGCTTCCAGATCGTCGCCATACATCTCCGCGATCTCGGGCTGCGACACGAAAGAGAAGTTCTTAGCCCAGTGCGGCCGCCCCCCCAGCTCCTTCATCAGCCACTCAAACGCCTCGTAGTATCGGTCCTTGCACGGCGGATCGCGATTATACGGCCTATACAGCGTCGCATTGAGGTACAACGTCGGGCCGTCCTTGGGCGTGTTATCCATAAACGGCCGCGGCTCCGTCGCGCTAGTGTCACTGACCCGCACCTCGATGGGCGCGTGCACCCAAAGCCCCTTCGATGAGAACGGAATCCGTGAGCCCGCCTCGTCGCCGTTTATCCATGCAGAGAGCCGCGTCAGGGCCTCCGGGCCGTGGTGAAGGGGAATGGCCCACTCGTTGACGAACTGGGAGTAGAGGCAGTTCATCAGCAGTCCCGTGCGCTGCTCCTCGACGGCCGTGGTGGTGGTGCCGTACGAGAAGCCGTATTGCATGCCGAAGACGAACCACTCGATCGCGGGCAGGATGCGCGGGACGTAGTTGGCGAGCCACAGCAGGATGTGGTAGGTATGGAAGCCGATGGAGCCGCCGTAGAAGCTTTCCTGCGGCGGACGGCAGGATTTGTGCGTTTTGTGCGCCTGCCAGATTATGGCGCGTTTCATGTAGGGGAGCCACCAGACGCGCGTGAATTCGCGGGTCGTCCAGAGGTCCTTGCCCCATTTGTCGAGAACATAGGAGAGAGGTTTGAGGGTCTGCTCCCATTCGATGTTGCAGGCGGGTACCATTTCGTACTCGACTTCGACGATTATGCCGAGGGCGCCGAGACTCACGAGAGCGGCGCGGAAGAGGTCCGGTTGCTGGGTCGGGGAGCAGCGGACTGCGCTGCCGTTCGCGAGGACAATGCGCAAGGAGCGGACTGACTGCGATAGCAGACCGTGCCTGGTAGAGGAGCCGTGTGTTGCGGTAGCCATGGCGCCGACAATGGACTGCTGGTCTATACTGCCCAGATTCGGCATCGTAAGGCCGTAGTCTTTTGCGCGTAGATTCAGCTCGTGTAGCCGTATGCCGCCTTCCACCGTCATGGTCTTCCTCTCCCTGTCCACATTCAGAACCCTATTGTATTTGTCCAGATTCACCATCCACGCCGAGGTGCAGGTCAGGTCGCTGGGCGAGTGACCACAGCCCACGACCACCACCCGTCGTCGACATCGCCGCGCTAGTGTGACAATCTTCTGTATCTCTTCCAGCGACTCCGGTCGGATGTATAGTTCGGGCCTCGCGTGGAAGGTCTTGGCCCAGGTATGGTGAAGGTGCGCGCGAGTGGCTCTGAAGGGTACGGCGGGATCGAGCTTCTCGAGCTCGGTTTCCACGCGGTTCGGCATGCTGATGTTGAGCTGAGACCAGGACTGATCGCGGTGCAGGCCACCGGGCCTGTAGTTATGGGAGAAACCCCCATGATGGGTGGCGCTCATGGTGGTTTGCGGGTAGCCTTAAGTGGCTATCCCGAAGTTGAGAGTACGTCAAGCAAATGGCGGCGAGATCGCGAACGGGATTGCCGCGGGGTCGTGGCGTGTGCATGACACGAGCGGTGCAGTTGCCGATAGCGGTCACGTGCATCCAGCCTTACACTTTGTGTTTAATCTTATACCGGAGCTTGTTTGACCCAGAGCCTAAACAACTTCTTACAGTTCTCAATCTTCAGGACGGAGTCAGCCTGCCGTCGGCTTCGGTGCCACGAATATCGATTGCTGTCATACGAAGATGAGGCCGGCTTCCTCAACGGATAGGCGGTTCGCAATAAGACGCTCAAAAGATTGCCCACAAGAATGCCCAAATCGACAGCTGCAGTGGGACATATTCAATGTGTACGCGCCACAGCTCATAGTAGCACAAAACTTGTTCAAACTTCTGGTTCGAGCAAGCGGAGATCGCTGTTATGAGCGGCAAGGTTCTGATAGACACAGAAGGATACCCAAGACTTGACGACTCTAACCAGCCCTTCCTTTATTTGATCTCATCGCTCTTCACCACAGTTCCAAACATATCAGCCAGCTCCAACATAACCATCCTCGTAACGTCCTCGCCGCTCGCGCCCGGGATGTCACGATCCCCGATGGCATCCTCGGCCAGCACGACATCATACCCCAGTTGATGCGCCTCCCTCGCCGTCGTGCTAACACACACATGCGCCATATACCCACACAGCACGATCTTGCCCGGCGCCTCGTCCGGCAAGCTCTTCAGCTCATCCCTAAGGCTCGTCTCCGCGAAGCTGCCGGGATACTTCTTCACAATAACCTTCTCATTACCCTGCGGCTCGAGCTCATCAAACTCCTTCTCGAGCTCCGTGCCGGGCGTGAAGACGGGGGCACCTTCCGGAACAGAGTGCAGGATGTGCACGATCTTGCCGTCGGCTTGGCGGTACTTGTCGAGCAGGGACCGGATGGCGGCGCGCGAGGAATCGAGGTTTGAGACGGCGAGCTTGCCTTTGGCGTATTCGTTCTGGGCGTCGATGATTACGAGGACGGAGTCTTTGGGCGAGGCGCTGGATTTGGGGATCCCTAGGATGTCGTGACGGAAGGAGGTTGCGGAGGCCATGTTCGCGGTTGGTTCAGTGGAGGACTGGAGGTGTGTTGGTTGGACGGTTGTAGGTTGTGTACAGATGCGGAAGCAGCACCGGGGCAGCTGGTTCTTTTAAGGTCAGGGCTGACAAACGCTGTTCACGGACGGGAGGATGCGCGGTCGATTGATGGCGTCAGTTTCCAAGATCAGACGAGTTACTATGGGATTTTTTTGCTGAATGAATGCATGCGCGGTGAAGTTGATTTTCAGGTCAGCTTTTGAGATCTGAGGTTTTTTGCTAGAAGCTGGAGAACAGAAGAGGATTGTTTGATCAAGGATGTCTCTCGGATGAAGGGTGAGATCCGGCTGTTCGCGGGCTTGGAGGGGTCAATACTCTTTTTGGACGCAGATCTGACCCCGCCATCTTGCAGCGGCGCGGGGCAAGATCTGCCAGATTGCTGCAAGGGCGATGAGGCGCCGAGGCGTCGAAGCTACCGAGTGGAACTTAAGGTTCAGGTACCTTGATTTAACCTGCAACCTTCGTAATCGGTAGGGAGATGTGTAGAAGTTCGTGCCCCAACCCACAGCTGCGAAATCGCGTGGCGGAAGACGCAGACGGGTTGCACCTAAGGCCTATTGTTAATTGAGCTGGATGCCCGTTTAGCAGTAAGAGAAAGTCCTCCCCATCCCGTTGCATAGAATTTATATAGCGAGGCTCGGAGAACGCTTTCGAGTTTCAAATTATGTCAAACATTCATGAATAGCTTCACCCAATCTTTCTAAGCGGTTAACATCTATAATATTTATATCGATATATACCAAACCATGAGCTACGTGATAACTAACATTCAAATAATCTCGACTTCTTGAATGCTTGAGCCACCGAAACATTTCTCTCGATCCTGCGTTCGCATGACGAAAATGCCCAACCGTTCATAAACCGAGTTAGTTTTTGCAACAGGCTTCAACACTAGCCCGAGATCATCACGACCATCGTCCTGTCGTCTATCTGTCCTAATCAGCAACAGTAACACCGGCGCTTTAACCTTGATCGATTCGTCGTCATCGAGAAAGACAGTTGCAAATATGTTCTCTGTTCCCAAGTAGCGGAGTATATCGGCCGTCCTATTGATCGTCGTGCTGAATCCCGTTGCACAGTATATCGGCTTGGCTGCAAAGACCCAGCTTGGATATCCCTCAGGAGCCAAGTCGCTTTGCCGAGACCAGGAATCATAAGACTCCTCGCTTCGCATGCGACGGAACTTTGAAGGCTGAACTAGTCGACCTTGTCTTATGGGGGCTCGAATTCTGATACTGCCACCACTCACTTGACCGAACGGGTCTTTCCCTCTCAGATCTGTTGCAGCTCCAAGTACTTCTGCCAGATATGACTCGTGAGAACCTTTGTTCCTTACGAAATAGTTCGTTTGAATTTGGTGAGCGGCCCAACTCCAGGATGGGGCGCGGTAAGATGGCTTTGGTCGAGAGATATAACTTTCGCGCCCCCATAGTAATCCTCCAAGAAGGTTGCTTCTCCACAGCCCGGCCAGATATGTGTCTTGATTTATGCATTGGAATTCATGGGCAAGACCTGACAAGGCAGGCAGCTTATCTTTCTCTTCGGTCAAGTGGCGTCGCGAGTATTCGTGAATTACGTTTTCCCAGATTAGATAGCTCGTTGGTTTGGACAGTAGAGCTGAGATTCGACAGTCCGATAGATTGTCGGAATTCAGAACAGACCGACAAGCGAATGACAGACGATCGTGGCGATAGATCAGTCGTCGCGGTGATAATAAATGTTCCTGCAATGTCCACCCACGAGATTTGAGTGGCGCCTCCTCTTCCCTGCCGTGCAAGGTTCGACCTCTGAGAAAGCCACACGCGGTGCTGTCTGCCGCTTCGGCCACGATAGTGATCCAGGAATTCTTATAAACATCTTGCATCTTGGCAGCCTCGGATTCCCAGTCTTTTGTAGAACCTTGGATGATGCACAACGCGTCAATCCAAACGTAGCGACAATTCAGCTTCCGACTAGCCAAAATCGCGTCCCGGACTGTGGGTGGACAGTCAGACAAAGGGATTCCGGACTTTCTTTCTTGTATGTTATCAAAAGTCGTTATTAGCGGCTGGCTCTTACCCCAGCAGTAGCTCAGTGCTATGTAGGTTCCACGACTATGTCCAGTTTCGATGAGTCTCGGTTCCTGGGATCCATCACACGGCCCGACATCGACCACCCTCGTCGGTAGCATTCCGCTTGAAACAGCATCGCAGTCCTTGTGTAGGTTGATGCACTCATTAATCCACCCCTGGGCTGTTGTCAGGCAGTCCTCCCAGTCCACGGCTTCTGGATCTAGTGGACCGTAAGCGCTCCAGTGCACACCTGGCTCTGCACCCCTCCGAAACCCCCTAGAATATTGCCGATTGGCTTTGAAATAAGCATCCATCAGCTCATGACGAGGTCCAAGCTCAGCCTCAGCGACACGCAAGTCTGGTGCTTTGAACTTCGAGGAGTGCAAGTTGACGCCATTCAAAGAAACTTCTCGTTTGAGACGATAGTCTTCGAATGCCTTAAAAGCAGTGTCGGCATTAACATACTCGTGATACCTGGTCGCGGTATCAGAGACGTCTTCTGTAGGTAAAACTGGCATACTACACGGAAGCAGGCGCGAGCATTAGCAAGTGCTTGAATGGAACTGTATGCTTGCTTTGAAGATAGGGGGCGATTATATAGCAGCTTACATACTGTACTTTATGAGTCCGAGCCCGATCAGTGGAAATCAACAACACCTAAGAGCACGTAGAAATCGAGTGTTGTTTTGGTCAAATATGTAAAGAGCCAAAGAGAGGTCCTCAGCGTTGCATATATGGGTGCACCGCCCAGGCGGAGTCGAGCCCGCTCAGCCTCAGCTCAGGTCTGCTCAGCCCCAGCTCAGGTCTGCTCAGCCCCAGCTCAGGTCTGCTCAGTCCCATCTCAGATTGAGGCGGCCAATGTCCCGGTTTCAATGACGCGAATAGGACTCGGAACTGATTAGCACCTGATTTGATATTACTGTAGTGGGCTGAAGCCGCTCGCATGTGTCCCACCCAGTGCCTCCTAACAACAGGCAGAATCTAAAAAGCCTTGTAGACAGGAACAGCAAGACTCAGACTGGCTGCCCATGTTGCGCTGCCGAGAGAATCGCACAAGACCGACGCACAGACAAGTCCAACAATCAAATAACTCCAAACGATCCATTATGCAGCCTACCCTCAGCCCGTATGTTGCTCAGACCACATCTCAGCCACCGCACTTGAATCAGACAGTTCAGCTCTAACAGGCTCTACGTTCTTGTTGCTGCAATAGCAGCAGACAGACCCACAATCCGCAAGCTCTTCCCTCTCCTTGGCTTACCTGCCATCAGCGCGCTCGTCGGCATGAGCCTGTCTTCCCAGCGTCTAAATACTGCTTTCATGTCTCGAGGCACGCCTTCCATGACCACGGTGCTCACGGGCACGAACGGCCGATCCTCAAGCGATGCGGCGAGGATGCCGTACTCCTGAGCGAAGAGCAGCGCGGTGCTGAAGGCATGGGACTGACTACGAGACAGCGCCCCGACGATGCTAGCAGAGGCTCGTAAGTCGCTGGAACATACACACATCAGGCGCAAAGGTAGGGCAACTCACATGTAAATCTCAAAGAAGGCATCAAGCACATAAACATGCTCAGCCTCGAGGTCGCTCTGACAAAACGGCGCAATCTCCACGACCTTCGACTGCGGCGCGCCCGGCGTGGATGGCGTTCTAGGCGTCTGCGGGCGATCATTTGTTGGCGAGAGAATACTTTGCCACGAGGGCCGCCTCACGATGGAGGCGAAGAAGTTGCTCACCTGGAACCCGCTTTGCTGCTGATGCTGCTCTATCCGGAACAGCCGCGTGTTGTACTTCTCGCTCTTGGCCTTGAGCCGCCAGTGCTCGGCTGACCGGGGGATGCTTTTCGAGCCGTTGTCGAGTGCCGGGAAGAGGTCGAAGAACGCGGCGGGTTCGTGGCCTTCGTCGATCTCTTCAACTTCGCTGGTGCCGCCGAGATCCATGCATATGAGGCGGGCGCAACCGAGCTCCTCGGCGCCACATCCGACGCCTTTCCAGAGGTAGTGCTTGCCTGTCTGCGAGGAGATTATGTATGGAAATCCAGAGCAGAAGTTTGGTAACGATAGGGCGACCTCATCGAATGCGATGTGGCCCATATGGCGTCTTCCGCAGAGCATGTATTTCTGTGGTCTGTCCGATCGCGAGCCGGTTCGAGTGATCACTATACCACCCAACGCTTGGAAGAAACTCGATGGCTCCTTCCCTTGCCGGATGATTATCAGCTTGCCGTTGTTCTCCTTGGCGACTCTTCTGCAAAAGAGCTGAGCGTCTTCCAGTGTCGATTCGGCGACTGCTGAGCCAGCCCATAGATACACTTCAGTGGTTTTAATGCCGCTAGATGATCCAAACACGTGCGTGCATAGATACATTGTACTGTCAAATAGGATGTGCTCTTCTTGTGCTGGCACCGGTATCAGCTTCCCGTCGCCAGCGACTTCCTGTATATGCTTCCGAAGCGTCTTGATCTTGTCAGCTTGCCCCATGGACGAGTTGAGTATGGCTTGGGCATCGACATCCAGACCACCTGTTGTTACCGGCCTGTCGTCAAAGAAATCAGCGAAGAGTTGACCAGCCTCCGATGTGTGCGGTATAGGAGATGTCACTTGTGGCGGCGACTTTAGAGAAGCACTGGATTCCCTCGAGGTGATGGAAGCAGGCTTCTTGCCGGGTTTTGGAGGTATGCCAGCGCTTAATGGAGGAGATAGCGGATAGTTGATGGTCGGTTTTGGCTCACTTATGGCCGGGCCTTTCTCCAACTGGGACGTGGCGGGCGCGAAGAACCCACCTAGACCCAGACCTACGGGTTCGGTCTTGACTTTAGACTCATGACGAACCTCACCGCTCTCGCCCTGAACTTGGTCATCTCGCTTCGTCGGTAGCTTGATGGGAGACTTCGTGCGGGTCGAGGGCGGCGAAGGGGATGCTGATTGCAGGCCCCATAAAGTAGCGGCATTGCGTACGGACACCTTCGGTTCCTCTGGGCTAGGCGCTGGCGATGCAGGTCTCTCCACGGCTGGAATCGAGTCGCTTTCGCTTGGTCTTCGGATTTTCGAGATGAGTGGCCGTTCGGAAGGGGCAGTGGATTTAGGTGGCATCGGGCGCGAGAAAAAGAGGGGTTCGGGCTTTGTAGCGCCTAAGTCAGCTTGTATAAGCTCAGGCGCTTTCGGTGGCGTCACTGTGAGAGTGACAGCTTGTACGGATGGAGGCTCTTCCACACGTTCTTGTGGTGGCTTGATCTTTTCGACGAGCAAAGGCGACTTCTGAGGTGTTATTGGCTTCGGCTTGGCTATCTCTCGCGCTGGTGTTGAAACGGCTGCCGCTGCTGGTGCAGGCCGTGAATTGGTGGATTGCTTGGACAAGGCCGGAGTAGAGCTTGCTAGGATATCTTTTGCCTTCACTAGCGGAACAGCTTTGACGGAGAGGGTTGCAGAAGGATCTGATCTATCGGCTTTGGTCGCCGGAGCACGCCTCTTGGGCCCCTTTGCCCTGCCCTTGGTCATGTGCGTCAATTCCTTTGAAACAGTGCTGTCCTCTCCTATCGGGCTGCTGGCTTTTTCGGCAGTTGCGCCGCCTGGTTCCATTGGCGTATGTCCTGACGTGCTAGCACCGGCCAATGGCGATGGTCCGCGTGCTAGCACTCCTGCTAATGCAGGATTGAAACGAGCGGCAAGCGTACTCGAGCTTGCTGCTGCCTTGACCTGAGGCTGCTCAGATACCTGTGACTGCTGTGCGGGTGGCGCCGGCTTCAAAGTTTCTTTCAAGCTTGTCGATCGTGCGATAGCTTCAGGGGTCTTATTCGGCGTCGGAGGTGGAAATTTTGACGTGCTGTCTGTTCGGCCAAGGTTCTTGAGCTTTGCCAACGCTTCCGGTGGGGTCGTTGTAGAGACATCTCCGTTCGTCTTCTTGGCTTCTATGGGACCCGCATCGGCAGCCTTCGTCTTCATGAATTCTTTCTGTTTGACTAAGCTGTCTTTGAGTTCGTCTCTGCGCTCTGACTTTTGAGGTCCAATGCTCTGCGCCAGCCCTGATTTTCCACGGAGTATGTTACCCTTTAACTCGTCTGGTGCAACGTATTTCTCAGTTTGGGCTCGCTTCAGCTTTCCAAACACGTTCTGAAACTCGAGCTCTTCCTTCTTCTGGGACTCAGCAGGGCCCTGCCGCGGTTTCAACGTGGACCGGAAGTCTCGCTTGGGAGGTGTTTCGGGTTTAGGTTTGGGAGGTTGGGCTTGTGAAACGGGCTTAGCTGTCCGGGGAGTTGTCGACAAGGGCTCAGATTCTTGGGCCGGCTCAGGTTTTTGCGTTGGCGCAGGGGATGGTGCTCTGACTTTCGCGGTCGCTTCAGAGAGTCCGGAATCGCCTTTTAATGCTGGATCACTTGTCTTTCTGTCTGCGTGTTTGGTCGCAAGCGCTGTTGGCTTGCTTTTGGTTGGCGGAGATTGGACTTTCCCCTCCTTCTGAGAGGCCCCGTTGTTGATCGGATGTTCCTTCTCAGGACCAGTCCGGCGTACACTAGATGATGACCTGGTAGGAGTAGCTGTATCGGACTGCTGTTTCGTGCCCTGTGAGCTATCCTTGATGCCACCAACGCGCGATAGATCCACGCTATTTCGTTGTTGTTTGAGTTTGTTGATCTCAGCCATCCACACTGGCTGTTGTGGCGGCGCTTTCGGGGGCTTCGGCGAATCAGGCCGGTTCAGCGCGTTCTCCAGCCAGCTGGACTTTGTAGGGCTAAAACGCTTTGAAGGGCTGGGGGGTGAAGTCTCGAATGGACCGGATGCTTCGCCAGGGGTACTCGTGTAAGCTGCGGTAACCGAATGTCCGCGCATGTGGTGAGGGCGAGCTGGCTTGACGAAGCCTTCCTTGTCAAGCCGGTCATCCATCCCCTCCGCACTTTGCGTGACTGCTAAGCTGCTGAGGTTGCTGTGGCTTGAGCTGGGTCGAGAGGTGGGTTCCCAAGAGTTGCCACGAGTCAAGCCAATCGGAGTAGAACCAAGCTTGGGCATGCTCATGGATCCAGTGAGGCCACCAAAACTTCGATTGCTGGTGGTCGAGCTTTGCCGGCTAAGGCCGGGCGGCTGCGCACTCCATCTCTTGTTGACACTGTCTGACCTCTTGAGTATTGCGCTTTGCACAAACCCTCCTGCTCCCTTGGTAGGTGACGCAGGACGGTCCATACGTTCAGGCGATATCCGTCCCTGGGAGGGCGACATTGCGAGCGTTCGCCCAACGCTCGCCCTATCTCCACCATCCGTTGACGCTTGATCTGAGCCAGGCGGGCTGAATTTCTGCGATTCGAGGGTGGGAAGCGGCGACCTGCCTTCAATCCTGCTGTAATCCGACATAGATATATCGGCTGAGGATCTGTTGTCCCAGTTTGCGCTCCCTCTGACCGAACTGACTCTGGATGGCGATTCAGAACGTGCGGTGTCCGGTGGCGGACTCGAAACGCCTTCTGGGTTTGATATCGGCTCTCGCGACATCCCAGGAAGCTGCCTCTTGCTTGACGTTGAGCCAGTGTCTGATGCAGTCTCTTCTTGGTTGCGCCTGTACGCTGCCGAACCAATGCCTCTGTCCGCCGTTTGTCTGAACCAAGAGGGGTCTCTTGCGCCGAGAGATTGGGCGATCTTATCCCGTGAGACGTTCTCATCGTCCGATGTCGCCGTGGTGTCGGGCGTTGGACGGGGCGATCGAGCAGCATTGTTCTCCGCAGCCATAACTGAGAGCGGCCTCCGTCCACCTGAAGAGGTTGGCCGTCGCTGCCATGAGAGTGTGCCGGTTCGTGTGGGTACAGTAGCAGCGCTGGGCGACGCGGGTCTGGTTGGCTCCGCAGGTGTAGTCATTGCGGCGCCCGAATCGTCCTTGTGTGGTTGTTTGTCCGAGACGGGCTCCGACGACTGAGACATGGCCGGACCAGTGTCTTCGCTTTTGGTGGGTGTCGCAGCTGCGGAGGAGAGAGACTTGGGCGTAGATAAGGGAGAGGCCAGAGACTTTGCACGCTCTGATGGTGAACGGTCAGTAGGTACCCAACAAAAGCTCTGAGGTACTTCTCGAGCACCAGCCTTACGGGGGGCATAGTACGTACCTGCTCTCCTTAACAGCCGCTCGCTGCGCCCTTGTAGAATGTCGCTCTCAAGCTGGGCCAGTCGGGCAGCATCTTCTTGGTCCCGTTGCTCGCCCAATTGACGGATGCGCTGTAGGAAAACCGAAGGGTCCAAATCATCATCTGCAGTAGCCATGTTTGCAAACAAATGAAAAAAGGAGACGCGTCGGGCGCCGTACAACCTCCACAGCGGGGTTTCTTGGATGCAGGACCCTGGAGAGACTCAAATCAAAAACACTGCTATCTTTCGGCTATCCTAACTGCGTTTGCGCCGTGGTAATTGCTCAGCGCTTGTAGCATTCTCTATGCGGAAGCTGCAGTGGATGACGGTCTCTACAATGCCACAATCGGATTACATCAATCTGCCACATGAACTCTTTTTCGACTGTAAACAAGGTCTCCAGCCTTTATCACCCATCGCGTACCGCCAGTGTTGTACCCATAAGTCGCGTCTTGGGCCGCTATCCCCCTTGAGTGGTGATGGCTTGACCCCCTTGCAGTAGTCCATCATCAGCGCCCAATGGCTCTGCTGAATCTTAAAATAGAAACAGCCTGTCCTTTGCGTCCTGAACAACCCACTGAAGGCCCTCCTGAAGATTCTGTCCTGTTATAGCACTGCACGCCATGATGGTCCATCTGTGTGTGCGGATAGAGTCGAGTTGAAGCGCCTGTGTCGACGTAAATCAAAGCTGGCTAGAGATCCTGGATCAAGGTCTTACCTCTCGAACGTCGTCATCGCTCATCGCGCTGGGAACATCACTCTTGTTCTTGAATACCAGTAGACTTGCACCCGTAAGACGCTGCGCTGCTAATCAATTGGAGGCCTGCAAGGGACGTGTGCTACTTGCCTCCTCGAGCAGCAAACCCATCAGCTCCTTCCGGCAGTCATCGATCCGCTCGCGGTCGGTCGCGTCAACCACCCATATGAGAGTATCGGTCTTCTCGAAGTAGTTCTTCCAGTACGTTCGGAGCGTCTTTTGACCCCCTACATCCCCTGCAACGCGGCAGTCAGCAGCATGCATTGAGCTCAAATGGGGCAAGGGGACAGGATACAGATGTTAAGTTTGTATCTTGAGGCGTCAGTAACCGGACAAGCTGACCACAGACATGACCACTTACCCTTCGTACTCTATAGTTTTGATGATGAAGCCCAGGGTCGGACTGACGCTGTTGACGTCTTCGTTCATAATCTTCTTGACTATCGTGGTTTTCCCGGCGTTGTCAAGCCCTCTTCAGTAGCTTCAGCAAGAGCGTCGAGCGGAGCCGTAGGAGGCGCGAGAACTAACAACATCAGGATCCGCATCTCCTTGTCCTTCAAGCGGGCTTTTCTCAGTATTGACAACATTTTGCCCTTTGGCCAGTCGTTGGCTCGTCTCAGTTTCCCAAAAAATACTCAAAGTAACAGTTTGTTGGTGATCGCTTGATCTCGGAGGACCCGCCGGGAGAGACATCTTCACTCCGACGCACAGCCACAACACTCCAGACAACAACGCACAACCAGTTGCTGCAATGGATACAAGGCTGTGTAAATACGTGTCGATCAAGATGCTGATGCGCTCAAACCCATGTTTGCTCTCATCGTAGGGTCAACGTGCCAAGAGGCGCAACCGAGGGTATGGATTCGCTCACCCCCGGGTAGCGGTATCGATACAGAGCGGACTTACCTAGAGTTTGGGTCTACCCCATAAGAATTCATTCCGCCGAGTCACCGGGGAGAGGCATAGGTATATAATGTCCTCGTAGTCCAACTCCGAGCGAGTGCTCATCTCCTCAGAGAACGTTCGGCTGCCTGAAACGAGAGTGAAGTGACAATAGCCCGGCCGCTATTGTCGACTGACATCAAGACTGGCTATTGTTGCGATACTGGGTGACCACTTGAACGTGGCTATTCTTTGACCTCTTCTTATTCCTCGATATCATCATCCAGGTCATCACTAGACGACACACTCCTCTTGATTCAATCCATCAACGGTCCTTTGAGCCTGCGCCAGCTGCAAGCGCCGAAGGGGCTCTCTTATATCGACCCCTTCCTCTAAGCCTTTCTCTTGAGCATCTAGCGGGTGCGCGGAACAACGATGCCGGTGAACAAGCACTCCCCATCTGCAGTCCAGTCGAGTGATGCACCTTATCTAAATCGCTGGGGAAAGCCTTCATGGTCGCGCCCTCGCGTGCCAAGCTCTGCAGTCGAAGGCCCCGTTCGTCAGAAGTTGCCGACCACTCCGGCTCGTGCTTCGTCCGACATCTCAGGCTTCTCAGGTGCCGTTTCACTTCACCCGCACAATCAACCATCTCAAGTCGAAGTCAACGACGCTGCACCAAAGAAGAAGCGAGCCAGCCGTCAAGACAGCGAGAAGATCAACAAGCTCTGGAACCCTCGTCAACCAACCCTCATTCAAGTTCAGCGTGAAGTTCCTCGAGCTACTTCTAACACTACAGCTGAGAGCAGTGAGGCCAACGAGGCCAAAGTTCTCGACACTCTGACCGCCTTCCTCAACCAACCTCAACAGGAGACTATTGTCAACCCAATCGCCAATCGCCGATCACGCAATATGATCTCAAAGGCACCCGGCGCGACGGAGTACGTCCCGCCACACTTGCGACGTTCGAAGCGCACGCCAGGCGGTGTGAGCCTTGATGCTAGCCCTTCCGCCAAGGATCCACAGCCTGAGGCTATCGCTAAGCCGTCGGAGGAATCACCACCAGCTGCGTCCAGACGGGCACCGCCGTAAGTGCCCTCATTCACTCATATGAACCGACTTCTGACCGATGGTTGCACTAGGCATGCCCCTATAAATGACCTTCCGCACGATCCTGCAATCGCTCAGGCGTCGGGTCCAATCCTTACTCACGCACAATCCTCTTCTCAAGAGGCAATGCAAGCCAACCCGAAGGACCCTAACGGCGTGGGTACTGGTCTTGCGACGCCAGCTCCTTCTTCTCTCGAAATACCCAAGCGGGACCACAGCAAGCATGCGTCGCCCAAGCATGGCCAGACAACTGGCAGGCGTCTTCCTACCGCTGACCAGAGCCTTGGAACTAACGAGCGCGCCGCACCGCAGCAGCAACGTAAAGCTTCACGTCCTCCACGCGAGACCCGCAACCCCCGCTGGCCAAGTAACAAGGAGACACGGGCACCCAAGGATGGGCCAAAACAGTGGTTGAGCACCTCTGATAACGGAGGTTGGTCGGTCCACGAGGACCCTGGCAACGATCCGGACTACGATGTGAAGCAACTCATGGACTGGACTGGCCAGTGGATGAACGCGCCTGGTGACTGGGAGGGCCGTGGCAAGTACGACGATCCCAACTTTAAGACCCGACTTGTGGGCTGGATCGAGAAGCACGCGGATATACCCCAGCATCCTATAGACATTTGCGACGACCATCACAAGGATTTCACCGCAATCCAGAACGGCGAGATGGTGAATCGAGACTGGGTCCCTGTCACGATCGGTGATGACGTCGCCAATGTCTGGTGGTCTAAGCATCTCCGGACGGGCGCCGAGTGGCTTGAAGATCTTCATGACAAGCCCTTTTGGGAGAAGTACATCTCTTCCACGTCCTGCCTCCTAGCCCCTCTTGCAGTCCCTGATGCCGAACTCGATCCTTCGGACGCCGAGTATGCCCGCGCCCTTCAAGACGCAGGTAGTGATGCCAAAACCATGGATGCAATCAAGAAAGCGGCCTCTCAAGAGAAGCGAAGAAAACTCACCGAGAAGCAAGAGCGCCAGGCTAAGCTAGAGTCTAAGAAGGCAGCGGCGGCTGCAACAGTATTTGAACCGTCGCAGAGGCCTAAGGTGAACATCTACCTTCGTTTGGCACTCCCAGCGGATGGAGGTCAGATTGCTGAGATCTACAATTGGCACGTGGAGAACACTATCAATGTTCCCGAGCGTAGTCCACGCACGCGCAACATGATGCTCGATCGTATAGCGAGCTCAGTCGAGTTTAAGCTCCCAGTTCTTGTCGCCGTTGAAAAGGCTCAGCGAACCAAGGCTAATCGCGGTCTCCCTTATGTCCAAGAGAAGATCGTTGGATACGCCATTGCAGACGACTACCACGACATAGACGAGATGATGCGCTACACCGCGACGGCCGAGGTGTACGTTCACCACGAGTACTTCCAGAAGGGCGTTGGTCGATGCCTCCTGGATCGGCTTATGCACCTATTGGATCCGGTCTACCATAGCCGCGGCGCATATGAATTCCTTGGCGATGGCGGTCCTGAGACCTTGGCCGGCGGTCGGCGCGTGATTGAGAATGTCATTGCCTACGTCAATCATGAGACAGCCAACCATGAGAGAATCAAATGGATTGAGCGTTGGCTGAAGCAGTGGGACTTCGTGAAGGTGGGAGATCTTCCTGGTATCGGCATCAAGCAAGGGAAGAGGTATGTTCTAGTATTCAAACCAGAGGGAGGTATGCTAAGACAACTACAGGGTCAGCCAGGCAATCTTTCATGTCAAGACCGGCAGCATTCTTAATCCCGCGAACGCCCTCTGAGTGGCAGTTGATAGTCGAGGATGCGCTTTCTGCGCGATCGCTCCTCTTAATTCCCTGAGACGACTTTCTTCATGATCTCTTCAGTATGCGATTGATTTATGGGACATCTGGCATACCCCTTTCCCCAAAAGCTGGCGTTGATTTATCTCCTTGAACTCTCTTTTCTCAGACTCACGGCTACAGGCCTTCCTGTGTCTGCATTCGGGACGGCACACATACTGTCGCTCGGGCTGCCGAGCACTCGGATGGCTCGTCCTCAAATCTCAAACCGTGCATTCTAGCGGTGGATGGCAGCAGCTCCTTACTTGGCGCAGAACTAGTAAATTGATTTTCTACATCCATCGATACTTGCGTGCTGTGTTCTCCTTTCCGACTTTCCCAATCATGATATGTTGAGCTCAATTGCAGATTCTTTCTACCACCCGCCGGTAACGGCCTTCAGCGTCGCCCCCAATCATTCTGTCACATGTCCTCAGAGCCGCTCCCATAAGTTCACTCACGACAATGCATTAGAGATGAGCCAAAGCCAAGCCCTCCGCTCAGTAAGTCTAACTACGCCAAGAATATGTCTCTACATCTGAAGTCCATCCTGTGAACCACTGCTTCAGGATAGATGGTGAAGGACCAGTGACAGGCGCAGGCACGCGCTCTAGAAAACGCAACTTCTGGAGCCATTGTCGCTCCGCACGAATGAAGCGCCATCACCATACTTCAAGCACCTCTCAATCAAGCATCCCTATGCGCCCCAGCGCCAGCAATCCCCTCAAAAACAAAGTTCTCATCCCATGAGATAAAAAAGACTGTATCAATTCTCCCTCACCCGCCCAGCTTCTCTCTTCCTTCCTCAGCCTTCCTTAGCCCCACACCGGCGCCACAACCTCCACAGCCCTCTCCACAACCGCCCTTACCCTGTCCCGCAGCACACCCCAACTACACTCAACCTCCAGCGTCTCGAGCCACACCTTAGCGACGTGCTTGTCGACTCTGATCTCCACGCCCGGCACGGGGATGCCCAGCGCATGCAGGCGCTTCAGTTCCGCTTGTTCGGCCTTGGACAGTTGATCCTCTGATGGCGGAGCGGGTGATCCGTCGCCGGTTTGATCGTCCTGATCGGCATCAGTCAGTATATAGATGATAGAAGACAGGGGTGGCGAGAACTTGCAGTATCGCCCTTCTCGCCCTTGACCTTCTCCTCCGGCTGCGGCGAGCGGCCCTCCGCCTGCAGACTTTGCGCCGAAGGCGAGGACTCGGGCGTTGGGAGCACGGTGACCGGAAGCTTCGGGTGCGTGATGGGCGTTATGCCGGGCCCGAACTGCGCCTCGAGGAACATGCAGAGGCGCGCGAAGCGCGTCTCGGGGGACTGGGCGGCGTGGGGGTTGCGTTTTCGCTTTTCCGGCAGCGGCGGTGGGGTGTGGCTGTGGTTGTGGGAGTGTTGGCGAGAGGATTCTGTACATCAGGAGCAAGGGTCAGCTGGGGGGTTCCTGTATGTGGGTGAGGTAGGGGAGAGGGAAGAAGAAAAGGGGGGACGCACGCTTCACGGCTGCGGGACTGCTCTCGACGGTGAAGAGGACGGCTAGGACGGCGTCGGCGATGCCATCGTTTATCATGTTTCCTTCCCACTCGACCTCGACTTCGCCGCGGCCGCGGATGCGGACGGTCACGCAGTCCATGATCGTGAAGGCTGTTGTGGTTCTGTCGATCTCTTCATCTGCGTCTTCGGCCTTGTGGCTGTGGCCGTTCGTCTCGGCTTTGCCGTCCACGGCTTTGTCTTTCAGGGAAGCCTCTTTTAGCGCGCCGAATGTGCCTTCCAGCGCCCAGCGGATGAGGTCTACACCGGCCGCGCTCAACGTCAGTCGCTGTCGGCACGTGATCGTCGTTATGGTCAGACCGGCATATTCCCTGAGATCCTCGGGCGCCATCAGCGACATCTTGAAATCGTTCTGGACAAGCACGCCGGTGATGAGTCGTTTCTCCAGTTGTTCGTCGCTCTCTGCTCCCTGCTGCTGGCCATCCTTGCTACGGTGCGGTAGCGGCGGCGGTATCTGGGCGAGCTTGCCGACTACCTTCGCAATCTTATCCGCTTTGAAGGGGATGCGGAGTTCTTCGCAGTTGGCTGGGCTGAAGATTTTGGTGGGACGAGCTTTGTCAGCGTTGAGGGAGAGGAGCTTGGACTTGAGGCGCATCATGTTGTGCTTTTCTCCGTGGACGAGGATCTGCGCGCATATCAGCCGTGTTGCCTCCGCGGAGAACGCCGGTTGTAGATATTGATAGATTGGTAGGAAAGGGGACGCGGCAATGACTTACCACAACAGGCGCCTGCACCTCCTCAATAAACTCTCTATTCTCCGTCCCATCCACATGCGCCGCAAAGCTGAACTCCTGCACACTACACCTCCTGGGAATCACCGCATGCTCCTTCTCTCCTCCCCTCCTCATCCCTTGTTGACCCCTCGTCATGATCGCCGTAATCGTATCCGGCTCCTGCACAATCAACTTCGCCATCGTGCCCTCGACGCTGTATCCCGTGATAATGACCCCGTTCTTCGGGTCCGGCGCCCAGCGCTCCAGCAGCTCGCGCGAGACGCCGTTCTGCATCATGCCCGGGCTGGCCAGCATGACACACGAGCCGACATCGTCGAAGCGCTCAAGGCTCTTCAGGCTGCGCACATAGCGGAAGTCCCAGGGGCCTGCATTCGTTGCACCAGATCCCGCCGCCTCGGCCTCCGCCATGCGCTCCCGAAATAGCCGCCGGATATTGTCGTTCATGGCGCTGATGTAGGTCTGGTAGACGACCATGCATTTGCGCGCGAGGTTGCTGGCGTAGTAGATCGGGATCTTGCGGTACTCGGGGTGCTTGTGCCAGTACTCCTCCAGGATCAGGAGGAGCTCCTGTGCTCGGCCCAGCGCGAAGACGGGGAGCAGGGCTCGTCCACCACGGTTTAGGATAGAGGTGACGGCCTTCGTGAAGGCGGTTTCACGCTCGGGCCGTGGTACGTGTGAGGCGATGCCGTAGGTGGACTCGGTGATGAGGACGTCAATTTTCACGTTCCGCGGCACTTCGGCGGAGACCAAATGTCGGTCTTCTTCCCGCGAGTAGTCGCCTGTGAAGAGGATCTTGAGTCCGGCGATCTCGATGAGGAACATGGCGGCGCCGAGGACGTGTCCAGCTGGGTAAGGCGTTATGCGAATGGAAGAAATGGTGTGTGTTGTGTGGTAGTCGATGGCTTCGATCATGGGGAAGGTAGACAGATGGTCCGATTCGGTATAGAGGGGTTGAGTGGTATTGAGGGATTCGGAGGACGAGGAGATATTACTAGAAGAAAGGTCAGGGGTTGTGGTCGATAATCAAGGTCTGGGAAAACATACCCGACGCGGACGGAGTCTTGGACGAGCCATTTGTAGATAGCTTTTGTAGGGTGTGTCATGAACACTCGACCTTTGAAGTTGGTCTTCGCGAGGACATAAGGGAGGGAGGCGGCGTGGTCGATGTGGAAACTGGAGGAGGGCATATTAGCATGCCGCTGCTGTAGAGTTACAGATCGGACATATATGAATGGATTTGGGCATTCTATGTACGTGGCCGCACTGGAGCTTGCAAGAAGGCCGCTGGGGAGGAGCACAGTCACCGCGGCATCAGACGGTAAATGCAGAGGCAATAATTCCATTGATCTCTCGTATACATTGGGGTCGCGGTGTACAACAGCGCTCGAACATCTGGGCAGGATTTGAATTATCCCTCTTGTAGCGTCTCTGAAGCAAACAAGCTTGCGTCTCCAGCGCCCAGTCCACACACAATGATAGCTCGCGAGACTCCTCTCGTGTACCAATCCACGTCGCGTGGTCATGTCAACCGCTGGGAAGGGTTTGTAGCAGAGCTTTTGAGAGATGCGACTCACTGGCTGATGAGGAGCACATCAACGGTGCTGAGATCGAACTCATCGTAGAATGGCAGAGCGGCCAGACCGTCGTAGGCAGGGTGCATTCCAGCATCGAGCTGTTTCGTGTATTAGCATAGTCACAGCAGATTAGAGCCATGGATGCTGCATACCATGACGGTCTTGCCTCTGTACTGGATAACATGGCATGATCGTCCGACCTCGTTCCCACCTCCCAGGCACAGAAACATAAGCTCGTCAGCCGGGTCTACGGGCTCCTCGTCCACAGCGCCCATGGCTGCTAGTTTCCGTTTCGCCGCCATGCTAAGGGCGATTAACTATGGTGCTCCAAGCTTGACGCGCCGTTCACGAGGTGTTGGTATAATGGTCGACTGCGCTATCCGCAGGAAGGGGTTGAGGACTGATGCGCCCTGTTTACTACCACGGTAGTTGTAGATAGCTCTGTCGCGACCTTGTACAGCTGGCACGCCTAAGTGAAACCATCACCAGCACAGCTTGTTCGATATGCGCTTTGCAGGTTGATCAACTGGTGAAGTTGCTGTGAAGGGAAGGAATGGCCGCAGCTGCTGTAGCCATGAGCTCGCAGGGCGAACATTTCTCCGGACGTTGAGCCTCTGCTGTGACTTCCTGAGCCAGTTCCCCGTACATTCACGCATCAACGCCGCATTCCCCACCAAATCACCGCGAAGCAACCGCCTGGACAGTATATGCGCCTCTGGACGAAACTCGGCACAGGCAGAATCCGAGGACCGCGTACACGTCGATGAGCAGCATCAGGAATCGCAGCAGCAGCGCTTGTGGGATCGTACACGGAGAGAAGCAGGCCGGCTAGGCGGACGAACAGGACGAGGAGAAGAAGAATCCGCAGATAGACCTCACGTTCACCACCGTCCATCATGGCGACCCCGACATATCCTCCGCCGCCGCCGCCGCAGCAGCAGCAGACTTTCTCCCCGTACCAGTCCGCACCCAGGGTACCTTCCCCGAACGTGCACACCCCCGGTGGTCTCGCACTCCCTCCGAATAAGCGGCCTCGTCTCGACACGAATCCTTCTTCACCGTACGCAACCTCGCCCGGCTCGCCTTACCTCACAGTGCCAACTCCCGGTCCCCCGACTCCAGCTTACGCAACCCCACAGCCTTTCAACCAACCACAGCCTTTGAACGACAACATGGCCTCACGCCCGCCTGGCTCTATGGGCCCCCCGCAACGTCCCGAGAAGCAGGAAAGGAACACGGATGTGGAGAATCTTTCAGACGCCGTAACAGCTTCAGGCATTGATCTGAGAGAGGAGGAGAACTATCTCGCCGAAACGTACCGAAACACGCACCAGAATACCTCCTTCTCCGCGTCCTTCAACTCGCACTCGTCATCTACGTTGACTCCGAATAACAGCTTCAACAACTGGTCACCAGGCGCGTACGGCGCGCACCCAGCATTCCAAGGCACCGGTCCCCTCAGTCAGCCAGCCGTCGCGCAGAGGACGATAGAGGAAGAGCTTGATGAGAAGCACCGCAGAGCCGCGCGAGCTGTAGCCGAAAGCAGGCAGCAACATCTCAACGACCCTTTCCTGCACTCCAACACCGTCCGCTACCGCCTCAACCGCCACGCCTACCAGAACGGCGTCACTCTCAATATTGAAGGACTGTTTGACAAGATCCCAGAGCGGCCACAGAATGTGTCCACTACCGTTCGTACAGGTGCGGATGATACCGGGATAGTGTCGATGAAGTCTAGCTTCCTCACGGAAAGCGCCTCTTTCGCAGATATCCTCAGCTTGCTCTCCCTGGCGACGAATGAGCGGCTGCGTGGGATCCTCGAGGACGCGCAACAGCTCGCGCGAAGTCGCCAAACCAGCTCCAACGGCATCGTACCCCCAGATTTCTCCTCCTTGGCCACTGCCAACGGCACCGTCGAACCCACAACCGCCGCGCCCACCTCTGTCACCAAGACATCCTGGGACGCGCCCGACAGCGCCGTCAGCCCCATGACTATCCCGTCGAAGCGTATGTATCTACCTACCAGTCCCACCCCACTACCAAAGCTGACATCCGCCCTCTCCAGGCCCCCTCTCCGACACTCAAACCCAGCACCCCCGTCTCCCAACCCTCCCAACGCCCCCACCCGAACCTACGATCCGCATCACCTCGCCCCTCGCCCCCGCCCTCGCCGCCCTCACCACCCGCGCCCGCAAACACGAAGAAGCGCGCCTCCGCGCCCGCGCAAAGCGCCTGCGCGCCTCGGACGCCTCCGCCGACCCAGCAGCAGATACCCCGCCCGCGGCGCTCATCGCGCCGGAGCAGAAACTCTCGAAGAAGGAGCGCGACCGCATCGCGAAGGCGGGACAGACCGAGGACGTGCTGCATCGCAACGCCAACACAACCGCGAGCATGGCGTTGGGCGGGTTTGGGAAGAAGTATAGTTGGATGAGCGGCGGTGCCGCGGGTGGGGCAGGGGCGTCGAGGTCAGGAACGGCGACGCCGGCGAGGCTGAGTACAAATGTGGGCGGTGCGGCGGGGCTGGGGGGGCCGGTTGGGGGGGCGGGGCCTGCGGTTGCTGCTGCGGCGCCGGTGGATAAGGATCTTAGGGCTAGGGAGAACAGGATGGGGGTGTTGAGGGAGGACGGGGAGGCGGGGAGGGGTCTCCAGTGGAGGGACGTTGTTGCTGCGCTGGAGGCGGATGGGAGGTGGAAGAAGAGTATGTCCAGGGTGTTGAGCCTGGGGGAGGAGGAGATGAAGAGGGTTGCTACCATGGCGAGAGGGCCGGGTCCAGGTCCAGGTCCGAGCTCTGGTCCGAGATACTAGGTTGGTTTGTACAGTGGTTGCGAAGGGCTTGCGCTAATGGCGGCGGGCACGGGTCAGGGTGGCATAAGGCTGGGCACTCCCATCGGAACCGACATGCTCCAAATTCGACAGCGGGACAAGGTTCAGGGTGATGGCTTCGTAAAGGAGCAATCGTTCGTATTCTCAATCAGCTACAATAGCTACTTGGAGCAAACCTACAACAGGCTCCACCAAGCATATCTACACCATCCTGGTATCTCAAAGTTCTATAAGCACCCAGCCCACCCCCCTCAAATCCCCCGATTGAACTCTACCATCCCCCCCTCGCCCCCCTTATCCCAGAACTCCTCCTCCAGCTTCTTCGCACTGATAGCCTGTCGCTGCGGAAACACACCCAGCGCGAGCGGCAGCGCAAATATGCTCGTCGCCAAGATCAGACCCAGGTTAACCGGCAGCACCATCCTGGGCCGCTGGCGCAACCACTCCGTGCGCTGCAGCCGCACGAGGATGAGCGGCGGGAGCACCATGATAGGCGTAGCATTCATGACGCGAGAGAGCGCCGTCTCCGAGACAGCGAGGCGGGCAGCGATTTTGGACTTCCCGAGGCTGGGCGGGGCGCTGGGAGGCGTATTTGCTTCGATTCCGCTGTCGCCGCTGTCGCTGATGCGCTCGTCGGAGCCTTCCGCTTCCGCTCTTCCTTCTGTGGCCGCCTTCCCAGCGTCGCTGCCACGAGACGCTGCAGCGGGAAACACATCAATCCCCCTCCTCATCTCCTCCCCGCGCATCAGAAACACGTTCAGCGCGCCCGCGCTCGCGACCGCCGCGAACGGCACCAGCCGGCCCAGCGTCGTGCGCGCGGCGGGACTGAGTCGCTTGAGCCGCGGCACTAGCGCGTTCAGGCCCAGCGCGACGGAGCACGATGCGCCGACTGCGAGCAGGTAGGATTGAATTAGCGTCGAGGTGCTGAGGGGGGAGGACTTGTTGGCGTTGGCGCTGTTGATGCAGACGTTGAGGGATTGGTTCGTTATTTGCCAGCCGAGTGTGCCGAGGGTCTGGTTAGGGGGTTAGCGAGACTTGTGGCGGGTTGGAGGGTAGGTAGGTGAGGGGGAGGGCGCACTCCGAGACCGGGGGTTAGCATGCCGGCTGTTACGACGAGGTTGCAGAGGACGAAGCTGGACATGCGGAAGGGGAGGAAGACGGGTTCGCCGGTGTCTGCGAGGGGCTCTTGTCAGCGCTGCTGTCCACGTTGTGCTTGATCTTGCTCAGATATGGCGTCTGGCGCGGAGCGTACCGGGATGCAGCGTAGAGTCGATAATCTTCTTCGCCTTCCATAACTCAGGCGTTATGTCCTTAATCTTGCCCTGCTTGTAGCTTGAAACGAGCTGTTTTGCATGTTCAAGGGCGGCTTGAGATGTGAAAAGTGTTCTGGCGCAGTCGTACGGTCAGCAGGTGTTCCTTTAAGTCTTCGAGGTTTCGAACAGTTGGATTTGGCGCAAACGATATAATAGTGTAGTGGACTCACCACACCTGTCATTGAAGACAGACGCTGGATGGAGCTCGGTATGCTGGCCGTTCTCTTCTCACCTCGGGTCTGAAAGATCTGCTGAATGCCGCACGCGGCCCCAGTATGTGCTGAGATTGTACTGTGACGCGGGCAGCTCGCGGTTGCCCGGGAGGGAAGAGGTCATCGTGTCGTGTGGAGATGCGCTCGGAGGCAATTGAGTTCCGTAAGGTTGGAATTGGTCTCCACGAAGACGGAGAGCTGCCGCTGGATGGCTTCACGGCTGAGGCTGGTCGGTTTGTACTGAATATCTGTTTACCTAGGTAGAGGGAGTTTATGGCGGTAAGGTTTAGCGGGATGGCAGTCGGGGTCCAAGCGGCTCCGATGTCGCATGACGCACTGCCGTTTCTGAAAGCTCCTCTTCACAGACGAGTAGTTGCAGATACGGCGAACAATTCAACTGTGTATTGGTAGCTCTGTACTATGCACGCATATATGCCACTAAATCGTGCGCTACTGCTATGTGCAAGGTGCAACCGCTTCCACCAGCTAAGACGAAGAGGTGTATAGCAACAAGAAGATGGTCTACACGCGCGAAAGAAGATATATCGACATCTAATCCCCCCCGTATATTCATTTCTTCTTCTTCCCCTTCTGCGGTGGCGGCGGCGCCGATGTCCCTAGAATCGCATCAAATGTCTTCGACGCATCTGTACTGCTTGCAGGCCTGAGCTTCGGACTGGGCGCAATGGGCGCAACGCCCGCCGGCAAAGGCAGATGCTCCAGACCCAGCATCATGACACTCTCCCTCTTGCTTCGTGTCGGCGAAGCTGGCCTTGACCCCTCTTCCTGGAACACACCCGGCGGTGGGAGCGCATTATGCAACGTCTCTGCCGCCGCCGCCGCCAGCAGGGGATCGGCAGCGCTCCATTTCTCCGCCATCTCCCAGCAGTGGGAGCGGCGATAGATGCCCTCTACGCCGTGCTCAACGACGTCGGAGGGCAGGCTCACGACGCCGCTACTGCCCGCTATGCCGTACCAGCTGCGCTGGACGCCTGTATCTTCACGCGCCCACGGGAGACTGGAACGAGGTGGCTCGCACAGAAAGTACTCGACACCTTTCGTCCACTTGATGCCTGGCGCGTCGACCACAACGTAAGGCAGGGCTTGGAGCACCGCGTACATGAAGATCCACTGCCCGCAGCGGTTGTCAATGAGCTGCTCGATGGTGGCGCCATGACCGTCTTTGCGCTCGAGCATTAGGAATGCGTCGATAAAGGGCGTCGAGATTTCACTGTCCGGATTGTAGGAATCGCCGAGTATGTTCTGGACTTGGTCGTCTTTGAGCTTCTTCTGGCGCGCTCTGGCGTCCGGCTTCACGTCCCTGCCGTACGGGTCTTTCTTGGTGGATGGAAGAGTCGGCAGTACTGGTATGTCGAACGGGATGGGCGGCAGCACTGGCGGAGAGCTGCGGTCGTATTCGCTTAGCACCCTGCGAAGGGCTCGGGCTACTACGTCCTCGGTGTCGTCGGCACCGTCATCTGCGGAAGCCGCATCGACCGTCCGGGTGGTCAAGGACGTGCGGTCAACAAGCAGGTCGTAGAGATGAGCGAAGTCGTGATACAGATCTTTGAGCACTAGGCGATTCAGGCCGCTAGTCTCAAGATCGTTTTTCTTTGAGCTCGCCTTTGGTGGCCAGGACCCGTACTTGTGCTTGTAATAACCCATGAGCCATTTTCTGGTCGACATGAAGGATGCTGCAGCGAAAGTCAGCAGCTGTCACATCTTCCGACTCTATAAAGGACTAGCCTACCTTTCCACGCACTGAAGCGAACCATCTTGCGCTCGTCCGCCGTCTTGCTGTTCATGATACCCGCAAATATAGCAGGAAAGTCAAAATCCTCCAACCGGCTATTAATATTCTTCAGGCGAATGTACAGATCCATTGAAGCCCTCTCCATACGGTTTCGGGTAATGGGGCTGATGAGTTGGAATTTCGGGCTGTTCAGGTTCGTGAGCTCCTCGTATTTACCCACTCCATGTACAAAGGCCTCGTTGTACAACACGGTCGACCGCATGCGCTCGCCAAGCACTATACCTTCGATGGTCTTCTCGCGACTGCCTCTGACATCCGCCAACTGCAGCTCGTCGACGTAATTATCGAAGCTGATAGATGCCACTTCGCCAAAGGTCGAGCGGTCTAGGTTTGTAAAACCGTAGGCATTAAGATGTTCTGAGATGTTCATGAAAATGGAAAAGACACTGGAGCGCTTCTCCGTCGCTACCAGTGATTGTCCAACAAGAAAAGCGAAAAGATTGCGTATTGAAATTAGGGTATCAACATCTTCCGGCGTGGCTCTTGGTTCCGCACCGCGGTCCGATGGCAAAGCCCCGTCAGTGCTCAGCTTCAATGGGAGGTACAGGTGAGTCTCGGCTGGGCCTGGTTCCAACCCGTCACTCATTGGTCGGGAGCCTTTCGAGTCGCCGAGGCTTTCCGTATCTGCCATACTCACCGGCGACCTAGGAGGCGTAGGAATGGCAACAGACAGGTTGTCCATCATATGATCTAGCGGTTGTTGCTTCCAAACGCTAGACTGTGGCGCAGGTTGACTATAGACGCTGCCATACGCTAATCTCGTCATTACGGGCGAAGCGTTGATGTGTGAGCGGTCGATGCAGAAGGAGGGTCCCTTGCCCGATGTCCGGGGGAAGAGATAAACGAACGTGTCACCATGCTCGTCCCAGAGTTCTGGCACCTGGTACGACCGGATTAGCTCCTCGACTTCTCGGTTGCGCGAATACTATTCTGACCTTCTCTGCACCTAACAACAACGACAGGTTGTACGGCAGCTTCGTCTCGTGTCCGATCACCCAGGCTAAGGGGGCGTGTTCCTGAGGACCATGCTTGTCCCGCGAGCCTCCGCCAAACCAGCTTCGACGCTTTGGCTTTGCTTGACTCTGGTTGTTGTATGATACGGGCGGCCCCATGTTCCTGCTATCGTGTCGCGGAAGGTCAAGCGTAGGGGTCAGAGGTCTACTTGGTGGCCGGCTGCCAGGCCGCGATCGAACAGGCGACTCGTCCCGATAGAAGGCATCGTTATTTGGCGGAGGGAGAGCGGCGCCGGTCTGCGCCGGATCGACGGGATTGATTTGCCCACGTCTTGGTGATGGAGAGGGATATGCGACGGGCGAGAGCAGCTGACCGGAGGGCACTCGCTCGTGGGCAGCTTTGCTCAATCGCTTCGGACTCGTCCTCCTACTGGGAGAGAGCGATAGGCGCGCGGACCTTCGAGACGAGGAGGACTCAGATTTCCCATCATCTAGACTGAATGCCGGCTCGGAGCCAGAACTAGAGAGCGAGAAGAGCGACGAGAGGCGGTTGGAGGATCGGTCTCTCTTCGAAGGGTCCATGGCCGGGAAGCGATTGCGGGCAGGACGGGGAGCTGCAGTCAAGCAGTCGTCTTGTCTGATCCAAGCGGCCGAACTGGTCGCACGGGGAGATGGAGAAAATTGTTGTTGTTGGCCGACAGGCACCAAGACGGTTTAGCAGGCCCGGGATCTGGCTAGGTACCGAGTTACGCAACGAGAGAACAGGTTCGCGGACCGGCCGCCGCCGCGTGGGGTTTAGGCTGAGCGTTCTTACGGCGCAGTGGCTTGAGGCGTTTGCAGGTTTTCTTGCGCACGGCAGAGAGCGCGTGGGCGATGCGGAGCCTGGATTCGCTCAACATCGCGACCGGCTGCGTGCGGGCTGGAGGCTCTCTCCAAAGACTGTGACATCATGCCTCCGCCGACCTGCACAACACAGCAGACGGGAAAGCAGAACGCGCGTGGCAGGTGGCAGGTGGCAGACGCCGTTGCCGAGTGTTTTGGCAGCCGTGGCAGCGACCCCTCTGTTTTGGTGCTCAAGCTATCGATAAGCCCAACAGCAAACCCGGAACGTGTGTCTCTGAAGCGTTGTCGAATCTTCCCAGCAGTATTCAGGTTGTGCGTTGTGTTCTCATGTGTCTGTGTAGACGCCTGTCATACTTCCCTCGAGCACGCCGTGCCTGACAAGGCTGCAATTGAACGCCGGGTGTCGCCCTTCACCATGGCGCGACACCGAGAAGAGAGCCGCCTCCAATGACGTGACGAGTACCCAAATAGTCATTTACTCCACCTCGGCAGCCTGCAGCGCCGTTGCGGAAGGCAACAGAAGGAGCGACTGTGTTGTAAGCTGTCAAACCCAAACTGCCGAACAAGTTGCGATTTGAATACCTAGAATAGACAAACGGTTGGTTCATCTTCTGCAGGGTCGCGGGAGAGTCGTACGCCCCGGATATCTACTCGTATTACACACAGATGACGACGCCCGAGGATCTCGAGATGAGATCTCACCCAAAGTCGCTCATCAACCTCCTCAGAGGCTGGCCGAACCCGTCGCTCCTGCCAGTGAACCTGCTTCAGACCGCTACGAAGAAAGTCCTTGCAGACAGAACGATTGCCGACCCTGGGCTACTGTACGGACCTGATACTGGCGACCCGCGTCTCAGAGAATGCGTTGCGAAATGGCTCACAAAATTCTACAAGCCGGCTCAGCCGATCTCACACGAGAGGATCACCATCACAGGAGGAGCGTCGCAGAACCTGGGCTGCGTGTTGCAAGTCTACTCTGACCCGGGCTACACTCGCAATGTCTGGATGATTGCGCCTGCGTACATGCTGGCATTCCGCATCTTTCAGGACTCTGGCTTCCATGAAAAGCTGCGGGCTGTACCAGAAGACGAGGAAGGGGTGGACATCCAGTACTTGCAGCGGCAGATGAGGAAGAGCGAGGAAAGAGCAAAGTCAGAGGGTAACACCGCGCCGGTATGTTGTGATTTGATTCTCTCTATCATAAATGCCACAACCGTTTGACTTGTCCGTGGCCGGTTCGCTGTCCGCTCTCGAGCAGCTTGCAACTATGTCTGCGAACGAAGCCTTCAGACGTATATGAAAACATTACTGACCTTAACCAGAAGTTCAAACCGTCGAGGCCGTACGGCAAGATCTACCGTCACATCATCTATGCAGTTCCAGCCTTCTCAAACCCGTCTTCCAGGACGATGTCTCTTCAACGACGTGAGCAGCTCGTCCGGATAGCGAGACAGTTCGATGCTCTCATCATCACCGACGACGTGTACGACTTCTTGCAGTGGCCAGCAGGTACGACGACTGACCAGTCCTCGCTGGAGAGCGCGACTCTACCACGCATTGTCGATATTGACCGGACTCTTGAGGGAGGAGCAGAGAGAGAGGGAGCGGACGGCTTTGGCAACGTCGCCAGCAATGGCAGCTTCAGCAAGATCGCGGGGCCAGGTCTGCGAACAGGTTGGGTCGAAGGGACAGAGAAATTTGCCTACGGAGTCTCGCAGACGTAAGTGCATCACACATGGCCCTCTCGCTCGTAAGCTTTGCTCATGTGGTTAAACTAGGGGCACTACGGCATCAGGCGGCGCCCCATCTCAGTTGACCTCCACGTACGTGGCCGAGCTTCTAGAATCTGGAGAGCTGCAGAAGTACATCTTCGAGACGCTACAGCCTGCCTACGCCGAGCGTTTTCGCACCATGCTCAAGGCCATCGAGGAACACCTCCTTCCGCTTGGAGTGTCACTTCCGCAGTCAGACAGGCAGGTGGTTGGCGGCTACTTCATGTGGCTCTCACTGCCGCCGCCGTTGCAGAGTAAGGCGGTAGCGCAACGTGCTAAGGCTGAGGAGAACCTCATCGTTGCCCAAGGTGAGCTTTTTGAGGTTCCCGGCGACTCTGAGAGCGCTAGCTTTCCCCATGATCTCCGCCTGTGCTTCGCGTGGGAGAGTCTGGAGAACATTCGAGAAGGCATCGCGCGCCTGGCCCGTGTCGTTAGCCAGATGCAGCGGAAGGGCGCGGGCGGGGAGACCATGGCACCTGCGACGGAGAACGGCCACAAATAGGCAGGTGGAATGCTTGGTAGCAGCACTGGTCAAAGTGCAAGCGTTTAGTTCTGAGCATCGTGTGAAGCGCACTAGGATGTGTCCTTCAATCACAAAACGGGCAGCCGAGCAGAAACGCAGATTAAGGCAGAATAGATTGCCTCCATGCATGAGATCTCTTGTGCATGCGGGCTGCTGCATGGCCTCCCCACAACGCCGGTGTGGGGTCAGATGCACCCCAGACGCGCCAGCGCCATGTACGACGTGTTGCATCTATCGCCTGACAGGGCTGTGTCTGTGAGACTTTGTCCAAACGTCAGGTTCGGAATGGATTTTTTTTTTTGGAAGAACGCAGCGAAAGCCGCGCACCTGAGCGAACAGCACACGCGCGACCGTACTTCGGGGAATGTTCTGGCCGCGCCGGTGGTGCACTTGTGAGCACTCCCGTAAACCGATGCCTGGAGTGTGTCTTTGATGTTTCCATTGTAATTTGGGGAGTAGTGTATCCAAGTACCTCCCTAAGTACCTACCTGCTCTATTTTGACTAGATCTGCAGCAGGGCGAGCCGCAGATGCGGACGCAGGAACGCGGCCCGCTCGTGGGCTTCGAAGCGGCGAAGAGCGCGCCAGAAGCCCTTCGGCAGCAGAGCAAATCCCCTCGGCACTCACACAACACACTGACCGACCGCTGCGGCTCAATTAAAAGCGCGTCGGGCAACGGGCCAGTCATGTGTCTCGTGCCAGCTCTGCAGATGGCGCACTCACTCACGAAACTCCGGCCGTTGCACATCCCCTTGCCGGCCGGCGCTTCGAGGCCACTCGACCACTCGCGCCGGCTGTGGCGTCTCGACCTGGAAACAATCCTAAGCCTCTTCACAGTGCACGCGACCCCTGCCATACACACGACTCTGTCACTTCATCAGACCTGCTGCCCTAGCGTTTCACCAGCCTCGACAGCACACAGCATCACTTGCCGCAGAGATGAGGGATACCAGCTGCTTGTTTGGGGACTCGCCGCGACAAGGCTGCTGAGCCACTGATCCAACATTCCTTGCACGCCTGGCCTCTGATGCCTTGGCGCAGCGCCCTACCGCGCAAGAGCAATATCCTCGATAGATTGCACAGGCAAGATGACTTTGATCATGGGGCTAAAGGTGAAGGGTCGAGAGATCCACATCCAGAAGGTAGCACCCGCACGAATAAGAGGGCGAGGGTCGATAATGACAGGGGTGACTTGATCGAGGATGATGGAATTGCTATAAATTCGGGGCAGTGGGAGCAAAGGGAGGTTCCAGGCAGGGCATCTGGTCTCCACATTTTTGAAACCAGGGACTCGTTTGGAAACAGGCTGGGACTTTGTTCTATTGTGAGTCTGGCATTTTTCTGCACGGTCTCTCCGCAGTATATATCTATGAAGATCTCCCCGTTTCTGTCAATGTAGCTCCATCGCTTTCGTGCTTTGTCCTTCGGCTCTTCAGGTTGCCGTTGTGACTGTCTTGTTTTCTGTTTCATTGTTTCACTGTTGCCATTGTCAACTCATTCACTCATTGACTGTTGATCACGTCTACAACATTCCTTAACAAGCATCCATCACTTGCACCATCTTTCGCGCTCCAACCTCTCTCTTCATATCTTTCGAAGAAGAAACTCAGCATTCATTAAGCGCACATTCCCGTCTACGGCTGGTCCACTGACGCTCAACGCGACTACCATAGTCAACACACTCTCTATCTATCAACAGAAGCAGGATCTTCATCATGGTTGCTTTCGGCACTTGCGCGCTCTTAGCGCTGCAGCTTCTTATCGCTTCTCCATTCTCAACTGCTGCTCCGTTGGCGCAGTCTAACAACAAGAACAAGCCACCTCCAAGCTACAACACCACTCAGCCACCCACTGACCTCAACTCCACTGATCCTTCCTACGGCACCTTCGCAGCCTCCAACTACTGGGTTGCGAACATCAGGCGCCAGGGCAAGGCTGCCTTTCACGGCGATGTCAATTACAAAGTCTACCGCAACGTCAAGGACTATGGCGCCATTGGTGACGGAAACGCCGACGACACTGCGGCCATCAACCGGGCTATCTCTGACGGCAACCGCTGCGGTTTAGGCTGCGATTCCAGCACTGACGACCCTGCTTTCGTCTACTTCCCGCCCGGCACGTACAAGGTCAGCAGGCCCATCATTCAGTACTACTACACTGGACTCATCGGTGATGCGCTCCAACTCCCGGTTCTCAAAGCCGCTCCCAACTTCGAGGGCATGGCTGTCGTCGACGCCGATCCTTACACGAACACCGGTGCCAACTGGTACACGAACCAGAACAACTTCTTCCGCCAGATCCGCAACTTCGTCATCGACACTACTGCTATGCCTCAGGACCGTGGTGCTGGTATCCACTGGCAAGTGGCGCAGGCTACCTCGCTCCAGAACATCCGCTTCGAGATGGTCCGAGGTGGCGGCGCCGCCAACAAGCAGCTCGGTATCTTCATGGACAACGGCTCCGGTGGGTTCATGACAGACCTTACCTTCAACGGTGGCAACTACGGCGCCTTCCTCGGCAGCCAGCAGTTCACCACCCGTAACATGGTCTTCAACGGTTGCAATACTGCGATCTTCATGAACTGGAACTGGGCCTGGACTCTTAAGTCTATCTCGATCAACAACTGCAAGGTCGGCATCGACATGGCCAACGGCGGCTTCAACCAGACCGTCGGCTCTGTCCTCGTCCAGGACAGCAAGATCAGCAACACCCCGATCGGTATCCTCACCAGCTTCAACGCCGGCAGCCTGCCAAACACTGGCGGTACCCTCATCGTCGACAACGTCGAGTTCCAGAACTGCCCTGATGCTATCCGTCACCCCGATGGCACACGAGTCTTGGCTGGCAACACCGTCGTGCAGGCTTGGGGCCAGGGTCGCCGATACGTGGGAGCCGGCGGCGAGCGCATCCAGCGCGCCATCACTCCACCAGTCAAGCCTGCCGCGCTCATGGGAGCCGGCGGCAAGATCTTCGAGCGAAGCAAGCCCCAGTATGAGAACGTTCCTGTCGCCAACTTTGTCAGCATCAAGGACAAGGGCGCCAGGGGTGACGGTAACACCGACGACACCGACGCCATCCAGAGGGCCATGAACGGGCTTGGACCTGATCAGATTCTCTACTTCGACCACGGTGCCTATGTCATCACAAGGACCATTGTTCTGCCCCCCAGGATTAAGATCACCGGCGAGTTCTGGCCGCTCATCATGGCCAGCGGCCCATTCTTCGCTGACCAGAACGCGCTCAAGCCCGTCTGGCAGGTTGGCAAAGCCGGCGAACAGGGTGCTGTTGAGATCAGCGATCTCATCTTCCAGACCAAGGGCCCAGCACCCGGCGCGATCCTCATGCAATGGAACCTCGCTGGTGCCGCCGGCGCCAACGGCCTCTGGGACGTCCACTTCCGCGTAGCAGGCACAGCCGGCACGCAGCTCCAAGCCGACAAGTGCACGAAGAACCCAGGTGCGCCGCACGGCGCCAACCCGGCCTGCATGGGCGCCGGCATGCTCTTCCACATTGCTCGCACCGGCTCCGTCTACGTGGAGAACTGCTGGTTCTGGGTGGCGGACCACGAGCTCGACCAGGCGCCATACAACCAGATCGACATCTACAACGGCCGCGGCGTGCTCATCGAGTCCCAGGGCCCCGTCTGGATGTACGGCACCGCGTCCGAACACAACGTGCTCTACAACTATCAGCTCAACAACGCCAAGAACGTCTACATGGCGCTCATCCAGACCGAGACGCCGTACTACCAGGGCAACCCTGACGCGACTACGCCGTACACTCCCCAGACCGCCATCAAGGACCCGGACTTCCGCGCCGTCAACGGTGCTGGTGTGAAGAAGGCCTGGGGTCTCCGTGTCATCGACTCGAGCGACTTCTTGCTCTATGGCGGCGGCTTGTACAGCTTCTTCGAGAACTACAACCAGGACTGCTTGAGGACTGAGAGCTGCCAGGCCAACATGGTCTCCATCGAGGGCTCGGCTAACAACGTCCACCTCTTCGGCCTCAGCACCAAGGCGTCTGTCAACATGGTGACGAGGAACGGTGTCGGACAGGTCTTCGATCGCGACAACAGGAGCAACTTCTGCGGTACGATCATGAGGTGGTTGCAGTGAGCGCGGCCTCTGGGCTGGTCGGTTGGTGGGTGGGCGGGTCTGAGGTGGTGGTGTGTACATACGCGTGGTGGTTTCTGCAAGCCTTCTTCTTCATTCCTTCGAGCTGGATCTCCATCCTTTGGAACCGTTCTACTTCTTGATCGCTCTTTTGATATCTACTGCGCGTTACGTGGCGCGCGCGTTTGGTCAGATCTTTCACGACATGGGCATGGGTCATATGCATATCATGGGGACGTTTTGTGCATAGAGAGTTTGGTGTTGCTACAGGGCGGCTTTTTGGGGGGGTTCGCTAGAAGAGAAACAGTTTCTTCTCTGCATCGAGTGTTTTTGGTGACTGAAGTGTTCGTTGTGAAGTACCGGCCTGGACTGCAGTGTCATAACACCGGGGTGACCGGCACTTGTAATCAAGTGCTTGTGAGAATGTGACAGACTCCTACTGGCAGCACCATGTCAAGATTTGATTAGGCTCTCGGATGGGTAAACACTAGAAGTCGATAATCTGAGTACGTTGTGCGCATTGAATATGGAGTCGTAACCGGGAAGGTTCAAGATTTCGTCCATTGATTACCCAAGTCACCTACAGCACGGTGCCACCTCCGGTTGCTGATGTGCACTAGTCCCTGGGCGGGTTTCCGACATTCTTATTTGCTGGGAAGGCTTCCCGATCGAATCAGCTGCCACACCAGACAGCAACAAGGTTGCTGACTAGCAACCGGAGGTGGCACGGTGCTGTATTTATGCTAGGTACGTACAAAGCCAATATCGGATGTAATCCATCACCCAAACACGAGGAGTCCTTGAGGCATTGACGCTATGAGCCCGAGATAACCGTTTCCCGGCAGCCTGGCTGTCCGGGGCCGGTGCTTACTCCGGGCGGAGATGGATCCGCGGGGATCCTCGGCGGCACAAGCTGGAACGTCATCCTCCATCCTCTCTTGCACTCGCACCGCAGCCAGAGTCTCGATGGGTTACTACTACCGATTGGGACCAACGAGCGACAATCCTCCGTGCTAGAAAATCGTGGTATTCTCCTCATGCCTGCTCATCATGCGGAGGCCTGCTCCTCACCACGGGGCTGTGACCGTGGTCCGAAGCTCCATGGACTTAAGCAATGGCTGGCGGTACCAGCAGCGACAGCCGTTGTCGCTGCGAGGTGCCGCCATCGCCACCGCTGACGGTGCCCGCCATTGTCGTCGTCGAAATGCCTGTTTTGTACTCATCGCTGCAGCTCATCGGTTTGGAGGAATACCACGACCGCCTGGTGGAGAACGGCTTCAACAGCTGGGAGGCTGTATGCGACATCAGCGAAAGCGACCTCGCACAGCTGGGCTTCAAGCTCGGTCACCGACGCCGTCTTCAGCGGGCCATCGCAGGTCATACGGTGCCTTCCAACCCACAATCGCTGGACGGGTGTTTTGAAGATGGCAACAAGTTGGAGCAGTCTGCGGAATCAGACGTGGAAAGAGGACACAGCCCAAGGGTCAAGAGAAAATACCAGCGCCGTCCGAAACCTGACCCAGGCGCACCGCTGCGGCCGAAATCTGGCTATGTCGTGTTCTCGGAGCACCTGCGGGAGAACCCCGCTGTCAGCGCCCTCAGCTTCGTAGAGATCGCAAAACTGGCGGGAGAAGCCTGGCGAGCTCTGTCTGCAGGAGGAAGACAGCATTGGGAGAACCAGTCGGCAACCGCCGTGGATGCCTACAGGATGCAGCTCGACGACTATCAAGCCTCGCCTAGCTATCGCCAGTATCAGAATTATGTCCTCGACTTTAAGAAGTGGCATTCCGGCAAAGACGGGCGGGCGCGGAGACCTTTGTGGCCGCCTGGCACAGCTTCGCCGCCACGGAGGGGCCCAATCTCAGCAGCCTTAGCCATAGCTTCGAGTAGCCGTAGTAGTACGCTTGTCTCTGACAACCGGAGTATTAGCGGCGCCTCCCCTGCGGGCAATGGCACTTGGCAGGCCGTTCAGCTAGCGATGCAAAGGTTCTCCAACAGCCCCGTACGCCATACTGAATTATACACCCGCCTGTATGCTAAGCTACCCAACCGCTACCCGCCTAGAGAAGTGGTGTATGCTGGGATTACCGCTTTCTTCTCAGCGACCAGCCTCTTCTGGCTCTGGAGCAAGGAGGAAGGCGCGTTCCTCTTTGAGCAAGTCTATAGCAACAACGCGCCCCCAAACGTGGTGACCGTCGCCGAAGTTTTCGCCATGGCTGCCACCGGGGCCAAACTAGCTACCGATCCGCTCCCTCAGCACGTCGTGCAGACCTGCTATGCCTTGGCCACAAGAGATCTGGATGAATGTGTAGTACAGGAGCCGCTGCGGGCCATGCGAATTATATTTTGTCTAGCTCTCTTCTCCATCTGCGACAAGTCCATGTACGCGCGCTTGGGCGTTGCCGCGGCACTTCAGATCGCGCGCTGGAAGCTCCTTCCCCATACAGTGACGTGCCGCGCCCAGGATGATTGGGCCAAAGTTTACCGGAGTCTAGTATTTGTCGAGTGCTGGCTGTCGTCCAGTTTAGGTTGCCCCTCTGACCTGACGACGGAAGAGATGGAATACGGCCGTGCGGGTAAAGCCGAGAATGCATCATCAATAGATGAGCTAACTTATGCGCAAGCCATCAAGATTGAGGTTCTGGCAACGAGGATTGCGCGAGGGGCGAAGCGTAGCTCCAGTGACGCTCCGTTTACCGTTGACTCTGCAACCGAAACCGTGGCTGTAGGTATGGCTCGCCTGGAAGCATGGCATCAGGACCTTCCCCCTGTGATGCGCCTCGCCCACCTCACGCTCGACGGATCCTCGGTGCTTACCAAGTCTCAGAGAACGCGCTTGTTCATGGTGCACATGACCTACCTTGATTCCATCATCCTCCTGCATCGTCAGTCGATAGTCTCTGCCGCTAGACGCCGTCTGCAGGCTACTCAGGTGGCCGAGACGTACAATGAGCAGAACCGGACACACGAGGATGACCTCATGTCGGCTGCACGGCACCTCGCGCGCTTCGTGACTCTAATGGAGGACGGGGATTGTGTCCCAAGGCGGTGCTGGCATGTGATGTGTGTCTTCTCTCCTATTCCGTGCTCCTTTCACATCCACCGACTGCCCGTTCACTGGGCACCGTTAACAACGCTGATCGTGGATTAGCTACAAAACCTTCTCCGCTTGCACAGTCTTCCTCTTCAACGTCGCCCAAAAGCTCCTCTATAACGCCGTCGACGACGTGGAAGCCGACCTCGCCTTCGCTCGAAACTGCATCGCGACGCTCGAGCGGTGCGGCATGGCGGAGCGCATCGCGTGCCAGTACCTCCTTGTGCTCAAGCCCGCATACGACACGCTTAGCGCCATGTTCGAGGCATCGCGGTCTCCGTATGTGAACCCTAAGAGCGGCATGCTCACGCCTCTGGCGCCGTCGGCCGTGGCGCCGCGCGATTTGTATAGGGGCGGGTTGGATGGCGCGTATCCGATATTTTTGTCGCCACTGCCGCTGCCGCTACCGGTGCCGATGGCTGTAAAGGTTGGGCCGGATAGCATCTGCGAGGAGGTCTTGCCGATTGCTGAGGCGCTGTCGATGCTGCTGGAGGATCCGTTCGGCAGCAATGAGAAGAACGGGATGCAAGAACAGCAGGCGCTGGAACCGCAAGTTTATGCTGTTGCTGACGGGGCCTGTGGCGCGGCAATCTGGTGGGAGGGGATCAAGGCGGGTGTGTGAGTCACGAAAACTCGCAATGACGGCCTTGCGAAGCGTGGGGCATGGGAGGGGTTTGTCGCTGCCGTGTGAACGACGAGAGAAGGACTGGTGCCTTTGCAGTGAGGACGCCGTGACAAGGGGGATCCGGGGCGAACCGTCTGCCCATTTGAGGCAGAGCTGCCTCACGGGGCTCAAGAAAGTCGTGTCTGCTGTCGAATTCAGATTCATCAACCGTCGTACCCAGTTTGCCGACTGCGAATTACACAAACAACGGTCGCCGGTAGGGTTTGTTGGAGTTCGAGCAGGACGGCTGGGACGGTTAGCTGGGCGAGATTTGAGGGAGGGTTGGGTAGTCGTGTCCAGCCTCGAGCACAATCCTCAGTCTCAGTCCTGTGGCATCAGGGTCGCACATCTGATGATGGGGAAATCACTGTGCATGGGGATGTAGGTTGGGAGGGACATGCGATACAGTAGCGCAGACTATATCAAAAACTATACCAAGCTGCCTAGAGATGTCTGAATTGCACTAAAGCTATTGGTCGTGTCTAACGGTAGGACAACATTTCTGGGCTACAGCATCCTATCGTTGATCTGAATCGACTATACCCCCAACCCGAATAACTACCGTTGCTCGGGGTAGGGTTCAGTTCACGGCGGAAAAACGGCTTCTGTCTCCCGCCAGCTTCGAGACGGAAAAACTTTAGACGACGGGACGTTAAGGCGGTCTTGTCTCCGGCTTTAACGATGCGAGCAGGGTGAGCGGCCTTGGCAAGCCTGCAGGGCCGACAGACCAACGCTGCGAGGCATTCCTCAGGGCTTCCAAAGGGCATGCCGAATTGACTGGTTGCGCGTTACCAATGTCTCGCGGATCAAACGGTTATCGATGTTATTCTACGATAGCTTGGTCGACAAAACGAAGGCTTGAAAGCTGGCCCTGCTCTCCGTGTCCGTTTTCCCGAGAACAGCGACCGCGGTTGTCCCGAAAAATTCCGACTCCCGACCCGGTCAAAATTTTTGGGGACGGTAGCTCAGCTACTTCTGGCGCGTTGCTTCAAATAACTCCTCACAAAGAACTTATTTCTCATTCACAACCATCACCTCTCCACTCCATCTGTCCAGTAACTCCACTCCACCACCTCTATCAATTCCTCAGACTACAACACGATGGCAGCTGCAGCACCACCAACATCTACCGGCTCCCTGAAGCTGGATGCCCTGAAGCAAAACGCCGAAGCGCAGGACCCGAGGAAACTCAGCGGCCTTGCGCTCTACTCTAGATTCGCCTTCGCTGGCGCTGTCTGCTGCTCGGTGACCCACGGTGCCCTCACACCCGTTGATGTGTAAGCTCCCCAGCAGTCTGCTCGTTGTGGTCTGCCGTCTCTGTCTGCGCATCCCCCTGCACCCGAGAGCCAAAGCTAACACAAACTCCCGCACAGCGTCAAGACACGGATACAGCTCGACCCAGTCACCTACAACCGGGGCCTGATCGGCGGATTCCGACAAGTCATCGCCAAGGAGGGCGCCGGCGCCATCTGGACAGGTTTCGGCCCTACGGCCGCAGGCTACTTCCTCCAGGGCGCGTTCAAGTTCGGAGGCTACGAGTTCTTCAAGCAGCGCTGCATCAATGTCCTCGGCTACGAGACCGCTTCCAACAACCGCACCGCTGTCTACCTCGCCTCGTCTGCCGCCGCCGAGTTCTTCGCTGATATCGCGCTCTGCCCGCTCGAGGCTACGCGTATCCGTCTCGTGTCGGAGCCGACGTTCGCGAATGGCTTGGTTGGCGGGTTCGGCAAGATTCTGAGGACGGAAGGTGTGGGTGCTTTCTACTCTGGCTTCGGTCCTATCCTGTTCAAGCAGTAAGTACCTATTGCAGTTTAGGTCAATTTAGACAGCTCGCTAAACGCTCAAAGGGTCCCGTACACCATGGCCAAGTTCGTCGTCTTCGAGAAGGTCTCCGAGCTGGTCTTCAAGAATTTCGACAAGAACAGCATGTCCAGCGGCGCACAGACAGGTGTCAACCTCGGCTCCGGTCTCATCGCTGGTTTCGCCGCCGCCATCGTCTCCCAGCCGGCCGACACCATGCTCAGCAAGATCAACAAGACCAAGGGTGCTCCGGGTGAGGGCACTACTAGCCGACTGATCAAGATCGCGAAGGAGCTTGGCCTCCGCGGCAGCTACGCTGGTATCGGCGCTCGTCTCTTCATGGTTGGTACCTTGACTGCTGGGCAGTTCGCCATTTACGGTAAGTTTTTTCTTGTTTCAACACCACTATTAGCACCTACTGACTGCTTTCCAGGCGACATAAAGAGAGCCCTAGGTGCGTCGGGCGGCGTAGAAATTGCGAAGTAGATGATGCCAGAGATGTTTTCTGGTGAAAAAAACGATGGAGATGGGTTGAGATATCTTTGTGGCGCGACGGGAGAAGCGCCAAGATATTTCCGCATTTTCAGGGTCTCTGCATTCAGGGTCTCTGATCGTCAACAAGGGTCCTGCGTATTGTTACATTTCCTACGTTGGGTTAGCTTCCGGCATTTGGGGGCTGCGAGCCTTCGCGGAATAGAGGCGACAGAGCGATTCTAGACTTAGCAGGACTCTGTACGATTGACAGTGGGCCTGAATAGACGGCACAGTCGGTAGACAACAAGTTTAATAAACGTAACGCTAGAGCGATTGAGGACCAATGCTGAGCCAATCGAATAGTCGATTTCGTGGTACCGTGACCGCACGTCGACAGGCGGCCGCTCAGATAGCTCCTCGGTGAATTGAAAGCAAGGTCAGCGGAACAGTGATTATGCGACGAGTCGGACGCCCTCAGCATGGCGCAAATGTTCATTATGTTTTCTAGCCCAATCGTACATTGTAGATTTCATTCGGTGTAGACACTGGAATCGGTGCTGATGCAGCTATATAGCTGCTCGGCATACTGGTGACCCTGTACGCGGCAAGCCGATGGTGCTACGAATAGGACCCCCTCAACATGGCGCAAGTATTCACCGTAGTTTGTAGTGCGACAATAGATTGTAGTAAACTTTACAGCATCGTTCTAAGATCCACGATGATGCTCAGATATAGCGGTCCCGCCAAGACTGGAGATGACACGTTCAAACTGTAAGTAGTCGAGAGACTTATTACGGCTGTGATCACCTTCGTCGCTCTCTTCTAAACGATGTCTTAAGTACAGCAGACACTCTGCACTACCATTGAAGAGGGAGAGATGGTTCTGTCAGGCTGTGACCATCCGGTCGGCACTCCGTTCCAGGGCTCTGGCTGCACATCCCGCTGTCGTGGCTGTGTTCCCGCACCGCCAACATGGCATTCTAAAAATTGCATTGACCTCGCTTCCGCAGTCGGATCAATCGCATTGCATTATTGCAGGGCTGACAAACTTAGTTGTTGGCCGTATCTTGGATCCGGGCTGCCCCGCCGCTTTCAACACATTTACAACCTACGTCGACGGCGCCTCGAAGGCCAGCCCTGGCAGCACTAACGACACCAAGGTTCTTGTGCTTATCTAGTCCAGCAGACGGGGTGACGCACCCGCGTCGGCCGGACTATTGGCGGCCAGCCAAGGCACAACGGCAACATGAAAAGAACCAAGCGGCCCGCACAACAGAGTGAATTAGTGGGGCACACAAGGAACGCAACGTGCCCGCCGGAGGTAAACCCGCGCGCTACTACTGCAGTCCTACGTGGGTGCTACACGTGCCGGTGAGAAAATCTTTGGTTCAGTCTCAACCATTTAACTATCACTGTTTATATCACTTCCGAGTCCGCTGCTTCTCTTTCAGAATAAACGTCTAGGTCGGCACACTGTACGGCACTGTATCAACTCGAGCAGTACATCCCGTTAAGCATTAAGCAAACATGGGCGACATAGGTAGGCCCCCGCCATCATTCACGCGGCGTGCTTCTCTGACACCCCACCCACAGGCAGCGACGCCTCTCAAATAGACAGAGGCAACCAAGGTACGATCCCATTCTCACAAGGGTTGATGTTTTCGAAATCTGTCTGACGTTCCCCCAAAGGAAACAACAAGCCGACTCCCGAAAACCAAACCCTCTTGCAAGGCTTCGAATGGAACGTCCCAGACGACTTCAAGCAATGGACGCGCCTCCACGACGCGCTCCCCGTGCTCCAATCCATCGGTGTCACGAACCTCTGGCTGCCGCCCGGCTGCAAGGCCAGCAGCCCTAAAGGCAACGGCTATGACATCTACGACCTCTACGACCTCGGCGAGTTCGACCAGAAAGGCGGGAAGCCGACGAAGTTCGGCTCCAAGGAGGACTTGGACAAACTGGCAAGCCGAGCGCAAGAGCTGGGCGTCGGCCTGTACTGGGACGCGGTACTGAACCACAAGGCAGCGGCCGACAGCATCGAGAAGTGCATGGTCGTCGACGTGGACGAGCAGGACCGGGCCAAGGAGATCGGCGAGCCGCACGAGATCGAGGCGTGGCTGGGCTTCGAGTTCAAGGGGCGCGGCGACAAGTACAGCAAGCAGAAGTACCACTGGTACCACTTCTCCGGCACGGACTGGGACCAGAAGACGGAAAAGAAAGCCATCTACAAGATCCTGGGCGACAACAAGGGCTGGAGCCGGAGTGTGGGCAAGGAGGACGGCAACGCGGATTACCTCATGTTCGCGGATGTGGACTACTCCCACCCTGAAGTCGAGGAAGATGTCAAGCAGTGGGGCGCGTGGATCACGAAGGAGGTGAAGCTCAAGGGCTTCCGACTAGACGCCGTGCAGCACATTTCCGGGCGCTACATGTGCGAATGGGCCAAATATATCTGGGAGCAATGCGGCAAGGACGTCTTCTTCGTCGGCGAGTTCTGGGTCGGGGACGCCGATGAGCTAAACAAGTGGATCAAGGAGACCGAGGGCATCTTCTCCCTCTACGACGCCCCGCTTCTGAACAACTTCTCCAGCCTCTCCCAGACCGAGGCCGGAGATCTGCGCCAAGTCTTCGACGGCTCGCTCGTCAAGGTCAATCCCGACAAGGCTGTGGTAAGCATCTCCATCTCCAGACTTTCCTCTCCTATGTCTCTGACCAACCCACCCTTCCACACCCCCGCAAAAACCCCCCCAACTAACACCCCCCACCCAGACCGTCGTGATGAACCACGACACCCAACCGGGCCAAACCGTCGAGACGCCCGTGGAAGCCTTCTTCAAGCCGCTCGCCTACGCGCTCATCCTGCTGCGGCAAGAAGGCTACCCCTGCGCCTTCTACGGCGACCTCTACGGCCTGCGTGCCAACCCCGACGACGACGACGTAAAACCCCAGCCCCCCGCCTGCAGCGGCAAGCTCGCCGACCTGCTGCGCGCCCGCAAGCTCTTCGCGTACGGCGAGCAGGACGACTATTTCGACGCCGAGAACTGCGTTGGGTGGGTCAGGCGCGGGACGTGGGATCGGCCGGGGTGCGCGGTCGTGATGAGCAATGCGGCGGAGAACGAGAAGAGGATGTTTGTGGGCGAGGATCGCGCTGGTGAGGTGTGGGTTGATGTGTTGGGGTGGGCGGAGGGAGAGGTCGAGATTGATGGGGAGGGGTTTGGCATGTTTACGTGCCCGGGGGTGAGCGTGGCTGTGTGGGTACACAAAGAGGTGGAAGGCAGAGAGAAATTCCCTGTCAACTTTGACGCGGATATCTATGGGGAGGGGGAGTAGTGAGTCTGTGGGGATGGGTTGGAGAGATGGAGGTGACGTCGATACGGCTGGATATATCAAGATTTGGAAGAGTGGGTTCGTTTACTAGAAGGCGTAAGGTATGTTGATAACCCTTTAGGATAGATAGACTGATACAGGCGCTACGCGCACTTTCGAATTCAAACCACTGCACGATTTTGCACCGACCTCATCTGATATTCGCAGCTTGGTTCAAGACAGTTTTGAAGCTACCGGGTACCAGCGTAGCAGAGTACATGAATCATCATGTGACTGCTTATATCCCAAATCCTGGGTAACTTCTTCCTCAAGCTCCCAGCTTGCAAGAGCATACCGCAGGACACCAGTGACTGAAGACAAAGGGAAATCGTAAAGCGATAGGCAGCAGCAGCAGTGATGCTTGTACAGAAAGCGTACAGGGTATAATGGGGTATCTAGATGAACAAAGGAAACTCGCCTCGCAGCATGAGTACAATATGCGTTATGAAGTGAGTAAGACAAGACCGAAAATAGTAAGTACACAGCGAAGTTTCAAATCATGGCGTTGCACCGATCGGTGAACGCCTTGACAAAGGGGAAGGCGACACCGGATATCCGAAAGGAAGAAGACCTCCGTTGTCTAACGCCGGAGAACCAGCGCATGACCAGTATATTTTGACCGGCCCTACTTCTCTGCGCAAAGCGAACGCCGATGCCTCGACGCCATATGGAAAACAGTAGTCCTCTCCGTTCTTAAAATCTATTCCAAAGCGCCGGGTTATCCAAGATCTCCCTATGCTCCTGTAGAAGCCGATGACCCTGAGTCCAAAAGTGGCTGCTGATGCGGCGGTGGTTATGTCGAGCAATATTGAACTTGAAGAAGCGTCTCGGAAAGAAAAGAATAGCTGGAGACAGAAAGGAGGTAGGGCGTATCCGATGTATGGGACAGAATATGCAAGTGTGTTGGGACAGATATACAGCCGTGAAGAGAGACCGAAAGGAGCGAAGGCGGAAGAGGTGGCCGTCATGCGGCAGAAATGATACCTGAAGAGGCTTCGTCCAGTTGACAATGCTGAATGGAACGGGTCCAGGTCACAGAACCGGCAGTTGACCCACATCGATCAGTCTCTTGTCGGCTCGGTGGGAGATGGAATTTCGCTTGTGCTCGGCTCGTGATCCGGCAGGTCGTTATGGTCTTCGAGAGCCGAAAAACTATTGGGCACCGGCCCATGCACAGAGTCCGAGAGCGCGCCATTAGCACGAACGGCAGTTGTAGGGGTACGGTTTGAATCGATGCTGTCAGGACCTGTGGGTGTACGCCCACCGTCGATCAAGCCGCCATTTGTCTGATTTGTGGGAGCTGCTGGTGGAAGGTTCTGCGTCACAAGAGACAGTCCAAGTGGCGATGGCGAGGCTGTTGCTACTGCTGGCACGCCTGGAAGTGGATCGGCGCTGTACGCCGTCGTTGCTTGACTCGAAAACGTGGCGCCGCTCTCGCGGTTGGGGTCTCGAAGTCTCAGACTGGAGTTTCTCTCGCTACCGTCAGTCATGGGCAATTCACCGTAAAAGTATCGCGAACGCTGGCTTCTCGGATCGACAAAGCGGTCACCAATCCCCCGAGTATCGTGAGGAAAATCTGCTAGATCCTGGGGAACATGCCTTGCTCCTGAGTCGCTGTTATTTTCATCAGGTGTAGAAGAGGTTGGCAGCCCTTGAGACTGCTCAGAGGTTTGAGATGCGTCTCGTCGCATGCAATGGCAGTTTGGGCTGCATTCGCATCGTGACACCGTACTGCGCTCAGCCGGGGTCTGCTGCGCCAGCGGAGCCCGTTCAAAATCGGTAGGGAGAGTGCTGGCCCCGGGTGAAAGCGGATAAGTGTAAGGATCAGCGTCTCGTTGGGACGGGTTGCCGAACGATGGTGCTGTAGGAGATGGACGTGCACTTAGACGCGCTGGTAGGTCTGTCCGCGGAGCTTCAGGCGCAAGTTGCGAGACCGCTTGCAGCGGCGGTGATGGAGAACGGGAAGTTCGAACGCTAGGTGGCAGCGTAATCGGGATCTCGACGGCCAGTGTTGTAGTTAGAGCAGCCCGGGGATTAGCAATGGTAGAATTGACAGCCGCTGTTCGATGTGCGTGTAAGATGCGACCGACATGGCTATTGGTTATACTCGAACGCAGTCGACGTCCAGCTACGATCACGCTGTTGTTTCTCAGCCACCGCCTTAGTCGCCCTCGTGCTGGTGGCGGGAGGACTTGGCCGCCATGCTCTGCAATCTCTTCCGGCCGAGCTGAAGTTACATAAACGTTCGGACTGACAGTCTCCGGACCTAGAGGGACGACATCGACTTCCACATCGGCAGCAGGTCTAGTCGACGACGCGGTTCTTGATCGAGATTCGAGAGACGGTGGATTCCTTCGAGACGTCGACGGTGTGCGACTAATCGGATCCTCCGGGACGGCGAGTAGCACCGGCGACGCTGCCACAGCAGCTATCAGGGTCCCGGTTGCAGAGACGTCATTGGTACATATACGTATGGATGCTCCAGGAGAGATAGCACCCTCTATGTTCATCCTGCGAACGGTTTCAAGATCCGAAGACATGAGTGACAAGCGGGTAGCGTTGCCGCCAAAGCCATACATCTTAGCTGAGCAGCGGACGCATTTCAATCCACTGAAGACGCCGGGTGCACGAGGAATCTTCACGACGGCCTTGTCGTAGTGGTGGCCACAACAAGGGCATCTTCCGTGAAAGGTGGTCTCCAATACTTCCGGCGCAACAGAGGAACGTTTGCTGCTTAAGGACATAGTCGACGTGAGAGCTGGGATGTTGGAAAGACAAGCCGGTGCAGAGTTTCTTCGTACCATGTTTGCTAACTTGTGTCTCTTTGCTCGAAGTAAAATACGACTCTCACACAGTCGGAAGATGATGGCCACCGAGCTTGTCGATTGGCCAGCGAAGCTGCAGGGACTAGGATATTCCGGTTCTGATTCGACGATGTGAGCAAGTATTCGTAGGACTTTTTGTCGATGGACCTACGCCCAGGTCCTACGTTCTTCCAGTGGAGAGCGTGTCGAATCAGTTTGAGCCCTGGTAGGACAGACGGCTAAGGCGGCCTTCGAGAAGCATCCTGAGCTGCATCCGAGGGTACGGCTGTGGGGGAAGCTCCAATGTGTGGCTCAGCGGCGGAAGTTATTGGACAAAGGCTTGATGTCGTCGGTTTGCATTCCTAGAAACCCACGAGAAATGCTGCCATATTGGCGTGCAGAATGGTAGAACCGCAATGACAGGACGAAAGAACGGAAGACGGACAGGTTCTCAGTGGTATGGGATACCGTGGCTTCTTATCGGCCAACTGATCCCCCTGTTCGAGCAGGTGTCGTCACTCTTGGGCGAAGAAGCGGTGACTTGAACGGCGTCTGGTCCCAGGCACCATACCAAGAGAAACCGAGGCGCAGTCACCTGGGAGGTCGGTCAATTGGTTTGCCTAGTTACAACAGCCGCATTTCATCTTGCCGACCCATGCGATGAATGGCTGACGATGCCCGACAAAACCAGGATTACCCGTACGCCGCAAGGCCCGTAGTTCATACAGATGGGTGCCTGACCGATCCAAGCCGCGCTGGGGGAAGACGGCGACAGCAAGACGATGGAGTCAGAAGACGAGGCTGGAAATCCGCGACTGCAGCCCGGGTTCTCACGGCTCAGGCAAAGAGCGGGAGCGGCTGAGGTACTGAGATACACACGAAACCCATTGAACGACGCAAAATATCAAGCAATTGAGTGCATACGAGATTGCTGTCAGTCTTCTTGGAAACAATGGAACAATTGAAAGACTAGTATCGAGTAAAAGGAAGAACAGGCAAACGATACTGCTTGCTCCGCAGAAATGTCGCTGAGCCCCTGGAGGCAGTGCAATCAACTAGGTTGTGTACCTACTCAACATGTAGTTTGAGTTCTTACAGACATGGCGCAGCACACGCTCAGCCATGCATGAATGCTACTGACCTTTGAGGCATATTTTGAACGCGATTGACGCGCAGTTTGCGTCTCTTGTACACAAGCAGGCCTTAGGATACGTCCTCGATGTATGGTTGAGGTCCGGTTGACACAGCCGCATTACGGATGCGTCTACTCCGTGGCTCCCATGCACCAGAGTAGCAATCAAGTGCAAGTGCGTTATTCGAAGGTGCAATCTTCGAGGGTGATTTATCGCGTAGTCATCTGATAGAGTTCTCCATTGCTTCGAAGAACAACCTGAGAAACCTAAGGGTTTTGAAGGAGGTGCTCGCCGAAATCGGCGGCAGCGAAATCCGAGCTCGGACGAACTTTTGACAACATGAGGGCACCAAGTTGCGGGACAATCCAAGCTTCACAACATAACTATCTTTTCGAACCGCCACAATGTCCACGTTCAAGATTGTCGTGTTCGCTGGTAAGCCTGATGTTTCATACTTCTGCCTGCGAAACCTGTACTAAGTTCTGCCTCCCAGGCGACCATTGCGGTCCAGAAGTCAGCCGCTCAACCCTCCCCACCGCCTGTCAGGAGCTCACGCCGTAACACACAGGTCACTGCCGAGGCAGTCAAGGTACCAGCGCATCTCTCGACACCATCGTCTGGGTCATCACTCATTGGGCTTCACGTAGATCTTGAGGACGATTCAAGAAGAGAAACCAGACGTGCAATTCGAGTTCCAGGACCACCTGCTCGGAGGGGTAAGTCGCCGCGACCTCACACAGCTTCTCGACAACAATTCTATACTAAATATACCGCGGCACAGTGCTCCATCGACGCCACGGGTTCACCTCTCACGGACGAAGCCCTTGAGGCCGCCAAAAACGCCGATGCCGTAGTCCTAGGAGCAATTGGCGGCCCTGTAAGCCAACCCCCCTCCCCTCTTTCCTTTCAAGCCACCAGCTCTCCCGGCTCCTCCGCAACCGCCGCCAACCCCCCCAAACCCAACGTTCTAACCCGCATCCCACAGAAATGGGGCACCGGCGCCGTCCGCCCTGAACAAGGCATCCTCAAGCTGCGCAAAGAAATGGGCACCTTCGGCAACCTGCGCCCCTGCTTCTTCGCCTCCGACTCCCTCATCGACGCCTCCCCGCTCAAACCCTCCGTCTGCGCCGGCACAAACTTCAACATCATCCGCGAGCTCACGGGCGGGATCTACTTCGGGGAGCGCAAAGAGGACGACGGATCGGGCTCAGCCTTCGACACCGAGGTCTACTCGCGGCACGAGATCGAGCGCGTAACACGCCTAGCCGCACGACTGGCGCTGCAGGAGAACCCGCCGCTGCCGGTGTGGAGTTTGGACAAGGCGAACGTGATGGCGACGAGTCGGCTGTGGCGCAAGACGGTGACGGAGGTCATGGAGAAGGAGTTTCCGCAGCTGAAGCTGGGCCATCATCTTATTGACTCCGCGGCGATGCTGATGGTCAAGAATCCGCGGGCTTTGAACGGGATAATTGTCACGAGCAACCTGTTTGGCGACATCATCAGCGACGAGGCGAGTGTGATCCCCGGGAGCCTAGGGCTGTTGCCGAGTGCGAGTTTGAGCGGCATTCCGGACGGGAAGACGAGAGTGAATGGGATTTATGAACCCATCCATGGTAAGAATTCTGTCGGCCTTGTATTCAGCCAAGCGAGTTCGTGCCAGCAACTGACGCTTCGTACAGGCTCCGCGCCAGACATCTCGGGCAAAGGCATCGTCAACCCCGTCGCGGCGATCCTGTCCATGAGCATGCTGCTCAAGTACTCGCTCTGCATGCCGGACTTGGCCAAGGCCGTCGACGACGCGGTGAAGATTGTCATCGACAAGGGGATCCGGACGGCGGACATCGGCGGCACCAATAGCACCGTTGATGTGGGCGACGCGGTGGCAAGCGAGCTGGCGCAGATTTTGAGGGGTCAGAAGTCGGTGGATGGTTAAGATATATGTGAATCAGGCTACAGAACGACCAATCTGAAGGGCATCTCGGGTTTGCAAATTCAGCTCTGCCTCTCTGTTGTAGAGTTACGGAGCGAAACGAAGATCCGTTAACGCTTTCCAGAATACTGATAAAGTCCAAATACTGTGAATTGTGTAAGAGCCCGGAGCGAAAGGCGCAGTGAGCCGCTCGTATCTACAGATGATCCTATGGAACACACTCCGAGATAGAGAGCTAGCCAGGAAGCTAGAGCAAGCAAAGCTGCGAAGTGTGGTATCAAATCGCTGGAAACTGTGTCGTAAAGGCTCCGTAAGACGTCACGAGACCGCGGCCAAAACCAACCCCAGAGTCAATCCACATGGCAGCTTGGGAGCGTCGGTGTGGGCAGACTGCCGACGCATTAATCCTTCCTCCACCACCGAGCACATCTACTGAACGCCGTAGTCTTCGCACTCTGGCTTCCAAAGAATCGTGTAGCGGGTCACAGTTTACTTCGCATTTGGGTGGCCAGCCCCATCAGGCTTCTTCATCATGCTCGCATACGACAAACCCATCTCGCGAGGATCATCGGTGCTGAGACCCTCCGGTTCTTGGTTCTCCTTGTCTTTGTTGCCCCTGCCCTGCTCATCGCTGGTAACAGAGTCCTGCTGTGAGTCCTGGCTATCGCCGGTCGAAGGGCGTGCTCCTTGATCGTCTTCGCCGTCTCGGCCCTTACCAGGGGAACTGCGATAGACGGACCAGGATCCTGATAGCTCTGGCGAGTCCTTGGGGCGAGGCGAGTCTTGTGACTCCTGTTTGTCTTCCGTGTCTGCCCCCTCGGTGTCTTGCGTTGACTCCTGAGCGGCTTCGTCCGCCTTCTCGTCCGCCTTATCTTTAGCCTCTTGCGTCTTCTTTGAAGCAGAGTCCTTCGCTTCCTGACCCTTCTCCTCAGCCGTCTCCTTCGCCTCTCCAGCTTTCTGCTTAGCGTCTTCCTTCACCTGCCCTGCTTTCTGCTCAGCGTCCTCCTTCGCTTCAGAACCCTTTTGCTTGACGTTCTGTTTTGTGTCTTGCGCCTTCTCCTTGACATCTCCGGCAGCTTTCTGAGCCTCTTCCTTCACTTGCGGCGCCTTCTCCTGTGCCGCTTTCACCGTGTCGTCCACCTTCTCTTTCGCTGTTCCTGCGGCCTCCTTCGCCTTATCCCTGACCTCTGGATACTTCTCTTGTGCTGCCTCCATCGTCTCATTGGCTTTGTCCTTGGCCTTCCCAGCGGCCTCACTGGCCCTTTCCTTTACCTCTGGCGCTTTTTCTCTTGCTGCCTCCGCCGCTTCGTCAAGCTTGTTCTTGGCCGCTCCTGCAGCATCGCCGGCCTTGTCTCTAGCCACTCCCGCAGCTTCGCCCGCCTTATCTCTAACAGTCTCCGCACTCTTCTGCAACTGCTCCTTCGCCTGCGGTGCTCTCTCGCGCACAGCTCCCGCCGCCTGCCCAGCGACCTCTTGCACCCTCTCCGCCGCCTGCCCTCCAACTTCCCTCGCCTTCTCATATCCCTTCCCCGCATAGCCTTTTGCCTTCTCCGCCGCGGCCTCGCCGTTCTTCAAAGCCTGCTGGCTCCTCCTCTTCACCGCCTCCTTCGCATCTTTCACGCTCGGACTCTTCTCCTCGAACACGTGGAGCTTCTCCTTGACGGCCCCGCTCACCCGTCGCGCCTTGGCTTCGCCATTGGCTTTGGTCTCCTTGGCTTTTTCGGTGAGTTTCTCGATCGAGATCTGCGTTGTGTCAGTATGACCTTCGACGAACGGGGTTTTGTACAGTCAATGGAGTCCGGCTTCGACGTCGTCATGAGAACACACTGACCTGGTCCTCTATGCTCTCGCCCAATGTTTCAATCTCGCGGTCGACGCCGTGGGCCGCATCCCTAGCGGATTTGGATAGGCGGCGACGAAGGGTTGGATGCTTGGCTGAGGCCGAGCCGCGACGGGTGTAGGAGCGGATGAAGAAGCGAACGAAGAGGACGCTGTAGATGCGTTAGCTATATGACTTCTTCTCCTGATTCGAAGCCAGAACACTCACGTAAGCGGAAGCAAGTAGATGAGGTTCAGCCAGATCGCGAAAGCCTGGCCAGAAGTGTTGATGCAGTCGACGCGCTGGTACTCGTTGCGATACCTGGTGTCGTGTCTCTCAGTGTCAATGTATCGTTCAGCATCGGCTCCAAAGACCTGTCCCTGGCTGTTGCGGACGTTCTCTGCCAAGCCTTCTTCGCCGGCTGCGCGAAGGGCGATCTTCTTCAGGAGTCCCGCGACACCCGCCGATGCTGTAGCATGCGCGACGTCGCTGACAGCGGAGGAGGCAGCAGACGCGATCGACGTAACCAGTTCTCGCACCTTGGTCACGACGGTATACGGCGTGGAGATAGGGACGGTGTACGAGACGAACAGATGGCTAGCGGCGAACAGAGTACCGATGACGAATTGCGCGATTTGCATAGTGGTAAGTGCGCGCTTAATCCTCTGGGGAACGCGGACGCCGAGGGCGGACAGCGTGTAGTAGGTGTACTGTAGTGTCACAGTCAGTGCCACTGACGCTGGCAGAAGGAACAATCGAACTCACCATTAAAGCATGGATTCCAGAATTGATGCACACAAACATCCAGATTGGCGGAGACATGTAGCGGATACCGGCCCACATGCACAACATAGCTCCAGCGTGATGGTACGTCTGCAGCGTGGAGCTGCGCTTGCCCTTCGCGATGATAATGGCGGTATCCAGAACCTCGTAGAACTTGGAGAGGTAGAAGAACCAGCCCCAGAACGCGAGACCCTCGTTCCAAAGCCTGCCAACGTCGGTAGGATCAGGAGTGCCGAGCTGGCCGAGATGGATGAGCTTGTTCTTGATTCCCCACGAGTTGGATCTCGGATCGTAGTCTGCCGCGTCACCAAGCCCTCGCGGCCCATGCATCTTGCAGAGAGAGTCGACTACGTCTACTATGCTGTGCGCGTCGTGTCGGCCGGGGAGGGTGTGTTTCATGGCCCGGATCATGGCGATAAACGTGACCGCAGAGTACAAGGCGAGGAAGACATTGTGGAGGATGACGAACGCGTAGAACGGACGCGTCTTGCTGATGGCCCATGGCTTGTTGCCGCGCCTGCGATTGTACGCGTTGAGGAGGGTCACTGTTGTCGCGTAGACGGTCGCTATCGTGAGAGGGACGTAAGGTGAGAGCAGGTCATTGTAGAGCTTCTCGTTGATTGGGAATGGGCTCTTGAAGGTGGCTTCGTCGGATGGCGGCGGTAGAGCTGGAGGATACGATGCTGGCGGAAACTTGAAGAGAGACCAATCGGGCCAGCTGACGTGAAGCGACGAGCCCGACATGTTGTGTGGAAGTGTAGATAGAAAGCTACCTGCTCGTCCAACGTTGGTTGCGACACGCGACTTGATGTTGTGGTGACAGACGGCAGCGGCGGGCACAGCTGTCAAGCTTTAAGAGCTACAGGAGTGACGTGAGTGTGTACCTGGCGGTTGATCCTCGCTCTGCAGCGCATGGGAGCACCGTAGCTTTGTACCAAGCTTCAACGGACAGAGGCTGTTTGAGATGATGAAAGGCTGTAGGGATGCGGCGTGCAGCAGGATTTTGTCCCGTGTGTCTCTGAGCTGTGCGAAGCCGCTTCCAGGAACTGGAACCAATCGGCCAAGCTGCCCTTCACCTCAACAATTTTTTGCACTCACGCACTCGCGTACTCACGATGACGCTGGAGACGCTATGGCCTCGCGCCTGGACATGCCGAGGCACACGATCGAGAAAATGAGTGGCAGTCCAAACCAGCAACACACCACGCCCGCGCTTGGCCTTTCATCCATCGCCAGATAGATCCTGCAGATTCGCGAATAGCAACTCATACACCAGATTCTTATGTGGCCATTTTACGAGGTCTTAAACCCTCTCACGTAACCTACCGCAGTGGGTATGGGGGTTTTGGGAGGTGATCTGCCACATGTTTTTGACATCGTGCGCGATGCACGGACAAAGCTCCGAACTCTGATGCTTGGCCCGTCAGGGCTGCCTTGAGCATCGTCTGTGCTGTTCTAGATCTGCATGGTTTCGTTGAGTGGTCTAGAGACTCGGAGATACTCCAAAAAAGCGTCAAAGTCCTTCTCCTTCCCTCCAGTAACCGTACATAGGTAGTCACGCAAGGCGCTATAGGGGTTCGTTCGTCAGGTAGGAAGTCGGTCTGCGGCTGCATCGAGGGCCAAGAGGGCAGCAACCAGACAACCAGCAAGCACATCGCGCCGTAGAATGCAGACAGCCCATACTCCATGCACCGCCCCTTCTCTACGCCTCCAATGCTGTTCAGACCAGAAATGCTCCCTACGCCGGTGTGTCCCTGATGCCCTGACCCGTTACAGCGCCATGAGGCACACCCGGCGCCGCGGCTCCTCCGTTTGCCTCCCAGTTATCCAGCAACCTCCCGACTTCGCGGAAGCTCACTGGCTTCGTCATGTACAGATCCATTCCGCTAGTGAATGCCTCGCTCTGATCTCTGCTGCTCGCTAGCCCGGTAAGAGCGACGATTAGACATGGCGCTGGTGTCTGCATGGCTGGCAGCGCAGCGCGGTATTGCGCCTCGATTTCCCTGATCTCCCTGGTCGCCTCAAACCCTATGTGGCGTTAGTGGATCTTACGATCAGGCCGGAGGCGAAACGTACCATTCATCAAGGGCATCGATACGTCCATGAAGCAGACGTGTGGCGGCGCAGGAGGATCGGAGGCGATGAGAGTTCGGAAGACATCGACTGCTTGGAGGCCGTCTTCGGCGGTGTAGATGTCCGAGTAGCGTCGCTTTTTCATGAATGTGTGAAGAAGTTTGAGGTTGACCTTGTTGTCGTCAACCAGTAACAAGCGCGGGGATCGATGCGAAGGTGCTTGAGGTGTCGCGGTCGCGGGAGCTGGAAGTGCGCCAGTGGCAATGTCGGCACCTGCGAGAGTCATCGGCGCCGCATGTGAAGGTTCGTGAGTCCTGATCTCGGATGCGGTTGGGGATAGCGTTCGCCGGAAGTTGAGTGGCGGGCGGTGACCTGGTACCTCAAGATCAGCAGGCTTAATGACCGGAGAAATGATTCCTTCGGCGCCGAGCTGTTCCTTGATAGGGAAGGGAAACTCTTCTTTCTGCTCCGTACTGTCACTATGCTCTGAAACAATAGGTGGCTCTATTGCCATCTGAGCGTTGCTGCTCTCTTCGCTGGCAATGACTGAACCTTGCTGGATGATCGGTATGTCAGATGACGCCCCATCAGAGGCTTTCAAAGTGACCTTCTGCACGGCCTGAACGACTTCATCGACCAAAGGATCCGCAGGCATCTGGTTTGAACAGTTAGCGTACAGGAAGACAGTCAATCCTGTACATATTTCCGTAAAAAGCCACCGCCTTCTATAAGTAGGAGCAAGACTGTCGTGAAGCGCTACAAGACGTATAATCGCAAGTGGAAAGGTGAAAACAGGTGCTCACATTTGCTGCACGGCTTTGTGTAATGGCTTCCTCGGCAACGGTCTCTGGCTTCTGAGCTCCGCTGCTGGCTTGACTGTCTTGGTTCTCTCGTTTCTCATTAAGACGGCGCAAAGCTCGAGCGAGCTTGATCGGCCCAACGGGTTTGCTCACGTAGTCGACGTTAACAGCTCCAGCGCTGGTCTTGGTGATATGTCTTGATGCATTCGTGCTGAGTACAAGAACCGAAAGACCACTATTAGCATCCAAGGCGCTTGGCTTGGCTGACAGCAATGCCGGGACGTCGGCCTCGTCAACGACCACTACGTCAGCAAGCGACGATGGCGATCCCTCTTCCACTACCGAGAAGTCCAGCCAGCCCGATAGATAAGTTTTTAGGCACTTCTGGAGCGATTTTGCGGCTTCCAGTTGTGCAGGATTATCGTCTGAATGCTGTTGAGAGAAGATAGTGACTGTTCGACCGTGCGCGTTCTCTTTCACGAGCGAAACGCTGTCATCCCTTGCCCTTTCAATGGTGCTGCCGGCAGACGACGGTGTCGATGCCGAGCCAGCACTGCTTGAGGTTGGGGTGCTCTTCGCCATGGGAAGTGTCACCACCACCTCTGTACCTACTCCAAGTGCGGACTGGATGTTGATCTCGCCATTCAACATGGTGACGATCGATCGAACCAGAGACAGTCCAAGACCGGTACCGGGGTTGATTGAAGACTCTTGAGAGAACGGCGTGAACAAATTCGTCCTCATGTACTGGGGCGAGATGCCTTGCCCAGAATCGGTGATGGTCAGCCTGACCTGAGTCGTGACACCATCGCGTTGTTGTTTGCCCGTAGTCTGCTGGGTGTCGAGTTCTTCTGCCTCTAGTTTCACAATCTGTGCGAAGTCAGCTTCGGGAGCTAACAAAAGTGACATATCTGACAAGGAGTCGCGAGCGGTACGGTGTTCCAGTCCCTTTGATGAAAAGAACACCACTGTCAACTTGTGTGATTGATGGCTGAGTGCAAAGCTGGAACACGCTAGACGGTTGATAGTTCAAGAGATCCATGGCGATAGGTATACAGAAGCGTTGATGCTGAAGTATAGCCTAGACTACCAGCGCCCTCAAGATAGCGAGCCAAGAGAGGGGTAGCTTGAGGTCAGTTAGACGGCCGCTGTGTGATTGCAACACCGTACCGTTGGCAACTCTTGGTCAGATACAATGCTTGAGGAAAGGTTCTACTAACGATGAATCCAGCTTTAGTGTATTTCAGAGCGTTCCCAAAAAGGTTCATAACGATCCTCCGGAAGGCTCCAGGCTGCGTGACAAACGTCCAAGCACCCGGCGAGATATCTAGGATTATTTCCACGTTCGATCTTGTCGGCCTTCCGTGACCTGCTGTGCTTGGAGCCAGATCTGCTACGTCTGCGCTTGTAAAGTCTTTGAAAACTTGGCCAGTTGCAATGCCTTCGACAACTTCCTCCGTGATGGTAGCCAAGTCGACGTTGCCGTAGATGTTCAGGAGCGGTTGCATGGATGAGTTTGTCCCTGCTGACATAGCGGCCAGCTCTCGCCGTGACTTTCTAGCTTTTCGCTCATTGCGTTCGAACGCGTTGATCTTGCTGTAGTCCAGTACCATGTTGATTGTGTCCAACAACGTCCTGGCACAACTGTCCGCCGTGTCGACCAAAGACCTCTGAAACGAGTTGCACTCCGTATCAGCAAGGAACTCGCAAGAGGCAAGAATACCATGTAGTGGTGACCGTAGTTCATGAGAGATGGAGCCGATAAAATCACTCTTCTGTTGGTCGGCTGCAAGTGTGGCGATGCGGGCAATCTCGGTCATGACGCAGTTGCAGAATGCGATGCAGTGAAGGAAATCCGGGTTGTGGGTAATCGTACGGAAATCAGAAGTGTTGTAGGCGAAGAACGCTGACCAGCGAAGAGATGCGGAGTCCCACAGAGGTAGAAATATAATTTGACGAGCACCGGGAAAGTGCTTAAGCAAAAGCTGCACTTCCGTTTGAGAAGGTGACTTTCTCTTGGGCTTGGATACATCAAATTCGTAAGCATAGTCTTCTCCTGACGATGGCGAGGTCACCTCGTCCACCTCTAAGGCGAAGAGCTTTCCCCGCGGGTAACGCCTGATAAGCTTCGCGACGTCTGCAGCAGCTAGAGGAGCAAACTCTGCAGCATCGTCGCCTTGGAGGCCGTCAGAAGTAGACGTCGCTATTGACTGCGCAAGGATATCTGCTGACGGTCGTGCCCGAGATCCTGCTTGCGGCGCTCGTTTTCGGAGGTTTCCCGAAGTGCTGGTAGACTTCATCCGGATGCTATCCAGAGAGCCTCTGCGCTGAAAGATACTTTTGTCGTTTTCTTCGTCGCTTGTGTGAAAGGATGCGCCGGTTTGGTCTCGCGGGTCTAGATAGGGGAGGGCGGTCGAGTCCATAAAAACTACACCGCCTCCGGCATCGAGGAACAGGGAGTCTCGCAGCAGATCAGCAGCTCGCTTGAAAGTGTCTAAATGCGCATGGTCGTCGATCCTTGCAATACCGCTATCTTCTGCCTCAGAGTCATGCACCGACGATTCTTCGGCCTCATTCCTGGCAGATCCTGTCGCACCGGTTGCGCCGTTCGTGCCGAGCTTGCTCGTGGCGGGGCTGCCAGATCCTGCGTTCGCAACACTCGAAGCTGCTTGAAGGGGCTGTTTTTGGGACTCTGAGCCAGCTGTTGAGCGACGAGAGCGTTTCCGTATCTGGTGTTCCGGATCCACGAACGCAGCCAGACACATGTTCATGTGATGGCTGCGCTTTCTGTCCTCGCGTTCTCGCATAGTCTCCAGATGAGTCATAATGTTATCAGCCATCGTACTCAGAACTGCAGAGGCTTGTCAGTCCCAGTAGAAGGATGCCCAGTGCACACTACCGCTTACAGTTCAATTTGCTTTCGCTGAGCGGCTCCCCAGCTTTGTCATCAATAGCAAAAAGGGATCCAATATTAACTCCTCTTCTGGTACGTATTGGTACTCCAACATAGTATTTGAAGCGCGGTCCACCGCAGACGAAGGGCAGCTTGTTGAAACGCTCATCCTTAGTACAATCTAGCACCTCGAAGTAGGCGGGTCCTCCGTCAGGCTCGGGCGTCATCTGGATAGTATACTCGCAGAGTCGGCCGGCTTTGGGTACGCATATACACTGTAGTACTACGAAGTCAGCATAGGAGAAATAACTACAGCGGAGCTTGATGAAACGGAATCCGCACGGGGCGCAGTGCACGATCTGTGGTGAAACCAGCCAGTTCTGCTTGTGAGTGTCCTGAGAGGGTAGACTCTCTTACTCCTGCCCATATTGCGTCTAGTGGTTCATCCGACTTTGTAGTATCATCTAGGGAGAGGGTCTTGGAGGCCTCGGCGGCAAAATATCTAAGCCTTGTTTAGTATTTGTGTAGTAAGAGGACCTGGCGCCGCCGCGTACTGCATTTCTCGATCGCACAAGCTGATTAGGGCTCTCTGAACATTGAGCCGTAGAGCGACGAGTTGCGCATGAGCCGTAAGGACCGTATCCGGTGAGGAAGACTGGGTTGCGGCACCGAAGGTCCTTGGTTGAAAGTACTTGTACAGTTCTCTGGCGCGTTTGTCGTCCACAGCTGCGGTTGGCGCTCCATTTTTCTTAGATTCAATCCCCGCTGCCATTGTGCTTTCGTTGAGGTGTTGTCTGCTGCGCGAGCATATGAAGGGCGGCGCTAGCCAAATTTCGTAGGTAGAGTACGTTTAGAAAGAAATGTAAAGAGTGACGCCAACCAAAAATTAAGAATGACGGGTGTTGCACCTTGGCGCGCGTGCGAAGAGTTTATCGTCGTGGTCGGCATGGTGGGACCGCGGCGTTCGTGAGTGCCTCTGGGAAGGCCCAAACACGCAGGGCAGAAGCCAAGGCTGGGTTGAGTATGTAAGCCAAATTCTAGATCGACCGGCCAAGCTTCCCATTCCCCGAGTTAGAAGTTTCCAAAGCCGCGGCTCACCGTTGCGGCCAAGGTGGAGTTGCAATTATGTAGGGTATGAGGAAGCACCTAGCTCTCTTTATTGAAACATCTCGATGTTGATTTCTTGTTTAAATATCACTAATCGTACCGAGCTGGGCTAGTGGCCTCAGTAATTACAGCTGTGATGGCTGAATGTCAACCACGGCATGACGGTGATTTCAGCTCCAAGCTGCCTCCCGGAGTAACACCGATTGCGCCACTACTGTTAAACATGCGGCTCTGATCCATGCCATCGATGCCATCCCAGCCAACCAAAACGCCTCGGATTACCCTGCTACGCCTCCTCAAGATCTGATCGGAGGGAGAGAGACCGTTACACCGTTCTTGTCCAACAATGCCAACCCGAGGGAACTCCATCAGCGCCTCAGCGACGGTGGTAGGCGATATCAGAACCCAGCGAATGGCATCTAGCAATCTCTTAGAAACCGCGCACTCCAAAGCTTCTCTGACGGTTGACTCCTCGCCTCATTTGCGCTCGCAGCTCTGGCACTCGGCATACAGCGTCGCGCAGAATTCGCGGATAGCCTGCTTCTTGCCGCTATCTTTGGTAATGAGGTGATCCGCAGGACACCTCCACTCCCACTGTCCCTCTTTATCCCTCACGAGTCGATTTTCGCCAGGGCTCCACGAGTCAAGATGGAAGGAGATGCCTTGAAACCGGGGCTCTTCCATATCTTTGAATAACTGAGTGGTGTGGTACCAAACCCACAGAGGATTCCAAAGGGGGTCACCGATGGCCTGAACTTGAAGCCTGAGATCTCTGATGCTCTCCATCTCCTTGAGGTTCCTAGCAACCTTATCGCGCAGTGCCGAGTCTGTTGGCGCAATACGAGGGTCTCTCCCGCCTAGCATCCTCGATGTAGCGACGATATGCAAGTTGCATTTTTGGATCGACTGCATCGTGCTCGGTGAGAGGGGCCAGAGTCTGTCATACTTATCACTCCTGTTGTCGATGGGGAGATTGAAAGTAGCTTGTCTGCACAGAACCGTCATGAACTCGTCGTAAAGCTGACGGTTGACGAGCATGATGCTATTTCGTGTGGGGACTCTGGAGGCCTGCGGTATCGCCAGCGTCTTTGGCCGCAAGATCTTGCGAAGTAGCACCCGGAAGTGGTCGTACACGCGTTGATAAGCTGCTCTACGACCTGTGGCGAGGGTGTAGTTGATGAAGCCGCGGCGTGCGTAGATGTCCCTCCTTCGTGTAGGTCCATACCCTTCGTCGACGAGATACTCGTAGACAGACTCTCGGAGCTCGGCCGGCAGTTGCAGGAAGGGAAATGGTTCTGTCATCCCTGCATTCTTTCTGATCTTTAATCGAGTGGGAATTATGTGCAGGAGTAAGACGATTACGCCCGCTATGGCGGTCGTGGATAGCAGCAGATGCCACATCCCGTGACGTCAAGATTATTCCGGGGCTCAGAGTGAAAAGTGAAGGCGATTTAGTTAGATTCGTTACAGCGTCTTCGAAGTGGCGATTAATGTGATCAGGCAAACAGTGACTGCTAGTAATATGAACAGTGCAACGACAGCCAGGAAGCTAAAAACTACAAAAGAGCAGAGGAATGAGCTGCGTTATACAAGGTGTACCATCGACAGTTGATGTAGTGTTGCCTAGCAGGCCACGCGTTGCAACGCGATAGATATGTCTCAGCTAAAGTAGGCGGAGCCAGTGGCGGTGCAGCCTCTTGTGCTAAAACCTCAGTACTCTGGTCAATACGAGAAGAACACGAGAACAAGCTGAGTGGCCCAGGAACTACCCCTGCGTCTGTCGGTTTCATGGACGAGTGCTGGCCGGAATCTGAAGTCCGCCAGCGTTTGCACCGGCTCAGTACGAGCTGAGATCGGTGCGAGTTGATAGAGTTGCCTGAATTGATCACGTGACGTTTCAGGTTACCTCGGGAGTTTAGCGTTTTGGGCGAACCTCACCCCACTGCCTGCATATCAACTCTCCTGTTAGTTATGGCTCACGATACGAAGGACGGGGTTTGTATTGAGAAAGCGGATGCTTGGCGGCGTGCGATCACGAGGCTTTGAGACACAGTATTTCGGCGCTTATGAGAAGAGAATCGAGCCTCTAGAAGCCTCTATGGTCAACTGAAGCTTTGAGTCTCCATCAGATTATTCACTTGATGGTTCATTGCTGCTAATACGAAGGGTGACCAAGCGTCGACTTCCTCAATATGAACGCTGTCCTTCGTATACTCAGTCTCGAAGTCGAGGGAAGCTCCCGACGTGCTGTCGAACCGGAACCGGAGCATTGTCTTATACTACGCATACACGGCTATGACAGCATACTAGCAATACCTCCTAAGATGCATTCTGCCTACTACGACAGGAGATCATGACGAAGAACTGTCCAGAAGCAGGCACTTGAGTTTTGCGTCTCAGGCGGTCGTCACTTCAGCCATGTTGGAAATGACAACAATCGGGATGTCTAACAACACGACGCTCATAGTCCGCCAAGCAAGTGGAAGAGGTGGGCAGCCGTTGGACTAGCACATTCTTTTCGTAACTGCACGCAGAACGGACTGGAGGCAAAAACCAATGAATCCCTTGCCATCAAAGCTAGGTACCGTAGGATTCTGAAAATCTGATGCATCAATCTCGCTCTCAACCTGATCTAGGCTTCTAAGGAATGCTTCGAGTATCAGAGTCGAGACATGGACATCCTCATGGCCTTTAAAGCTCCATCGTGTTCAACTTGTTTCGCTCTCACAGTAATCCTCTGAGCCTTTTGAGGACTCCTGCCGAGGTTGGACGTCCTTGTCGGCCTTGCGCGTGATTTCCAAGACTCCCTCCAAATTTCTTCTGAGCCCTCTTCCTCACAAGTTCCAGATACGCTTCGATAGTACCAGGAGCGTCTGACAAACCGACACCGTCGCCTCGTACTTGGACCGCGACGGCTTCCTTCGCGTAGCTCTCGATCTTGAAACGCTGAGCCAAAGCCTTATGCCGCCTCTTGTCCCAATGAAAAGTCTGCGGATTTGATTCCTTGTGCTCAGCGACTCGACGCTGCTCTTCCACAATCTTGCTTATTCGGGCGAAAGACTCCTGCAACACACTAGAGTCGACTGACCACGAAAGAGTCTCGACTTGGCCGTCAAAGGACCCATCAACAGGCTCCGCCGGAAGATAAGGACTGAAGACGCGCTCCGATCTCTTGGAGTAGGGCGGTGCCTCATCATCTGGCGTCGTCTCCTTCGACTCCTGAAGGGTGGATCTGATCAGTGAAGCCGAGTGCGCCAAAGCCCCGGATCCAGGGCTGGTAATCGGACTGTCCTCTCTTGCCGTTACACGTCTCGTAAATACTCGCGGAAACTCCGTGGTCGGGCTCAGCAACACAGGCTTCGGATCCCACCCTGGCATAATGAACGTGGGCGCACGACCTGATGGTACCAACTTTGAAGGTGTGCGCCTTGGGGTTGGTTTCGCCGCCAGAGAATTTTGTGGGACCTGAGACTGCACAAACAATTTCAGCTCGTCCCGATTCAGGCCTCTTATCCGCTTGTACTCCATGTAGTCATCAACTTCGTCCGCCAAGGGACGTCGCAAGACGTCTTCCATTGATGCCTGGCCGGGCTCTCTTTCAAGAGTCACCTCCCAAATGACGGATGAGCTAACGTCTTCAGTAGGCTTGGGGGGTCTGATCGTCCATCCTACAACCTTGTATCTGTTTCTAGTTAGCGAACCCAACTTACGTTCTCTTCGCTTGTATTTGTCCGGTGCTAAGTGCCACTGTACTTACTGTCCATCGTATCGGATGCCGGTCCTGGGAGCCCACAAGGACGACAGTGTGTGCGACCTCAACACGCGCACCGGGCTTCGCGAATTCGAATGGGCAGAAGTGAGTCGAAATCTACCTGGATCGTCGGACTTGCACCTGTAGGTGAAAGTGTAGGGCAAAATACCGTCAATCTCGTCGGATCCCTTCAGGACTATCGCATACGCTCCATTCTTGTCCGCGCAAATGCCGCTGTCGGCGCTCTTTATATCAACGATACCGTCGTGGAAGGCGAACAAGCCGTTCAGCCACCATCTACAACTGCGATCAGCTCAGGCCCTAGATCATCCCGAGGCTGACTCACCGTCCTGGCTCGAACCCCAGATTGCCAGACCGCAAAGCCCGGCTGTCATTTACGGCTCCTTCGGGATGGCTCTTCCATCTCTTGAGCAGCGCCTGTAGACAGAATTAGCGCAGACCCTCGTACACGGACGGGGCTCTCACATCTCTCGTCAAGTCACCTGGCTGGCATATACCCCAGAGCCTTCCACCCGGCTCAAACAGGTACGGACCAAGGTTCTTGAGCGGGCCAAATGCCTTCGTCCACACGTAGACAATCTTATCGCACTCGTCTACAAGCCTTCTCGGCCACCGGGTCGCCTTGCCGCACACTTCCATGACCGCATGGTGGATGCGGGAATGTTTCAGCGTCGCAACTGTAATCGGATAGCTGCCGAGACTGATGAAGAGCTCGTGCAACGTTAGGACTTCATCCGGATGCAGGATGTCGGCGCCTTCCCGCGCGATGAGCGGATCAAGGATGTCGCGGATGCGGGAGGCTTGCTGTTTGAGAGATTCGGCGGTGAGATTGACCGGGTCGGTTGTGATGGTGAGGGTGCGGGAGTAAGACATGGTTGATGGAGATCTCAAGAGCTGATGCTATGAACGCAGTGCTGATATTGTAAGACAAAGAAGCAGCTAGTGGTATAGTATGTTCTCTGACAGACCAAGGATATTCTGAGAAGATCGGGTGTTGTTGGGTAAAGGTGCAGGCGCAATCCGTCCGAACTGTACCAGGATGGAAGGAGAAGGAGCATCTTCGATCCGCGATCGCTCGCCACAGGCTCCGTGAATGAAGAATTATTCAGCTCAAGAAGGGATGCTACATGCAGGCCGACCGGTGTATCATGTACGCGAATCTTGTACAGGATGGTTAGTAAGCCTGTTGAGAAGCAGCCTGTGTGCGCGCTTGCGTCTCATTTTCTGATAGCATTGGATGGCAGGAGCTACCCAGGTACGGTTCCCAGAAGAAGATGCGAGCACATGCGATAAGATCGGCACAGCAAATACGCAACTAGTACCTCCCATTAGGTGTCGTTGCTGCAGAGTGTACTCAAGCATGCATAAGTCGCCCTCTCGAGCTAGCCCTCAGGCAGCCGAGTTATCCACAAAAAACCGTGTTTTCTTCCGCCAGGGATCAGGTTGAGCAACGCAACGGCTGCAGATTTACTGGGTGTACTCACGTTCCTTAGTCGTAGCTCACTACCTGTCTTCCCAAACTCAGCTCATTCACCATATATTCCTGTTTCTTAAGCCTACATCTGCTTCCTCGTACTCTAAGCGAGCTGCATCCACATCATATCACAACTCCGTCTTGGCATATCGCCTTTTTGACTATCGTTACTTCTCTACTGCTCGTGAAACTGCAAAATAGGCAAACGTCACGACGAGATAACCTGAGCAAGCAACTGTCTCTGGCCTCGAGCATGCCGAAAAGGCTGGTGGGTCAAAAGCCAAATCTTTCTCCTACCGATCAGCTGAATGACTCGAGCCAAACGTTCCGCTGTGATTTCGCTCGCCGTCTTCATCATTGAGAAAGCTTGCGTCAAGCAAATCTCCCTAAAACATGGCTTTAGTATCAAGCTTCTGCCTAGCTCCTGTTACCATTGTATAGAACTCTAACTACAAAACGCGTACATACGAAAAATAACACGACACGAGCTGGAAGACGATGCGGAGTTGCACGCAGGACCCAATGGAAATGTTCAGCATTCAACGGTGCTCTCGCAAAAAAGATCGTATTGATGTGAGTACCCCTGTACAAAACTTCCATCTTGTTCATTGAAGTTGTAGTTCCTTCCCGCAAAAAATACAGAGCGTTAATTAATTGAACCCGCATTACTCCAGTGAGCTGCGCGGAGGAGTTGGCAGGCCGCGGTGTCGATCTTCCATCAGTCATTAATCTCCTATCCCTCTGGATCCTTCGATGTACTTCTCCGTCCAAGTCTGTGAAGAACTATCTTCCACCAACTCCTTCCGCTGTGGTGTTAGTGGTGTTCCTTTCGGCCGCTTCGGTCATAGCCGCTCCGTGACCTATCCTCAAAACGCTGATGCCATGAGCTTTCTCACGAAAACCCATGACTTCGGACGAGAACAGCTGAGAAAAGGCATGTATGAAAATTTCAAACTTGACACCCATAGCGCGGCGCCTTACACACACCAGTGTAGCAGATCTATGGACGAGTAATCCTCCACCACTTACCCCGTTCCCATCTGAACGAACTTCTCCGTAAAGGATACTCTCGCGAAAACTCAGTAGTCCCGAGCCCTGACTACACAGACTTTCACATCTAGCTCGATCAACATAGCCCATGTACTTCTCGGCGGCCGCGGTCCACTGAAGAGAGCTTCCAAGCAGACCTCGGGCTTTACCGAGTAACGCAGAGAAGCGTTGCCAGACATGCATCTCACAAACACATTCCAGAGTTCTTCAAACGTGAGGTTCTTCGTTTGCGAACCCTGCCGCCTCCGGAGGTCATTCCAAAGACGGAAACTTCACTGTGGTCACTTCCTGAACTCTTTAACTACTTCGCCACACAAGCCGTGGATCTTCGGTCAACATCGTAGCATAACGCAACGGTACAGCGGCATCTTGTCAGCTCGGCGTCTGCCATCACCTTTCAGCTTTTCACTCGATAACGACCAGCTATGACGGAGCCGACAAAGGCACGCTCACCTGAGAGGATGGAACAGGTGACTAGATCCCTCGCTTCAGTGATGGTACGCATGCTGACGTCAGGACTCAGGAGGCCGCTCAACCGTCCGCGAACAAGTGGATTGCGGGGGTTGCGACGAGGTACATGGCCGGTTACATGGAAGAAATCGAGAAGCGGATCGAACTCGAGAAGCGTGTCTGCAAACTCGAGAAGCGTGTGAAGAGGATCAAGGAGTTGAAAGAAGAGATCGAGGGGTTGAAGGAAGCGATCGAGGAGAGGAAGATGCTGCTGAAGCAGGAGGAGGAGAAGGGGTTGGACATCTTGTTTGGTGAAGGCGGAGGAGGAAGGATTGGACATCTTGGTTGCTGAAGGCGGAGGACAAGGCCACCCACTTGGCTTTCACCTCCACTCGCTCTTTGATTAGTTACCGTGGCCGCTACATCGTCTGGGCTTGCTGGATAGCCAGGCGTGCCTGACATTCAGCTATCGCCTAGCGGCCCCAATTCTGGCGCTTCGGATTGTGTTGTAGGAGGCGGACTGGCCGAAAAGAGGCGTGCGCTTCACTAGCTCATCTGCCTACGTAGTCCAGGAACGAGGAATTTGAGGAGCGTAAGCTGTGATCTCTCACGTCCGTCATTTGAAAGAAAATGCGGTGATGTAGAGAGAGTGTCACTCCAAACCCGGGGAACAAAAACTCAGACACCAATGCACATCAAGAATAACACTGCACAAGCTCTCTATTCGTCTATACTGCCCGCAACAGCTAGCGGTTGTCTTCAACCAGCCATATCTATCAAACCTTAACTCATCCCTTGGCCAGCAGCGTTGTAGCCATCCCACATCAGCTCATGACGAACGTAGCCAAGGCGCACGAGCGCCTCAGTCCTCCATAACAGAAATGTCACAGCAGCGATCTAGCCATTGTGACAAAACATAAAAACTACAGATCCCCGGAAAGCCCTGGTCTAGCTTAGCTCAGCGCCTCTACGCCTCCCAGCCATGAGAAGCAACTCCGAAGTTGATAGGGGAAGAAAGAGAAGTCTAACAAGCAATAACGGTCTATGATATCCGAGAGCGCCTTCCGATCCGCCAAGAGGGCGGGGGCGCTCTATCGAAAGCCGACAAGGGAAGGAACCGCTGAAGCGCAGGAGCAGAAAACGGACAGTCTAGCCAGTAACGCTGAAGGGTGACGAGTGGGAATATCCCAGCGATTAACGCCGGACATGCAAATAGAGCCACCTACGGCGCTCAAGCCAGCGACGGGAGATGGAATGATAGGGTGATGCTGGCAATACGCCGGCTCCTCCAACCCCGACTCGTCCTAGGAGAAGCCCATGGGCCCGACGGAGAGCCAAAACGGGACCTGCAAGCCGCAAATCGAAGCTCTCGTCGTGTAGCGAAGCGGTCATCGCTGAGCAAGGACAGGTTGTCGCGTGAGCAAAGCAAGCTCGAGTCGGCAAGAGCGCGCTCAAAAAGTGCTCCAGTTCCAGTCTTTGGGCACACTGCCGACGTAGCTAGTGACTCTCTGCCCCAGACCCTGTCCCTGGCCCTGGCCGGGCACATCCAACAGTCCCACCACGCTCTTGTTCTTGGTCGCCCCCGCGACGCCCGCAGCATCGCCGCCCTGCGAACTCTCGCTGTTGGTGCGGCTGGCCCGTGTGGTGTCCCAGTGCTTGTAGAGGCCGAAGCATGCGTCGCAGGCGCGGTAGAAAGACGCGTCGGGGTGAAAGAGCGCGTGCTGGTTCAGCTGGACGCTGTGAGAGCTGTGCTGGCTGCAGAATATGAAGCCGCAGCGCCGGCAGTGGTGTCGTCGGTCGAGGAAGGAGAAGGGTTTTTGGCAGACGGGTGCGGTGCAGACGGGAGCGGAGGCGTCGGACTGGAGGTAGAATCGTTAGCAGAGGAGCGACATCGAGGGTCTAAACTATGTCATGATATGATTAAAAACGTCGTGGAGTTGCGAAATAAGCCTGCTGCGCGAGTTTCCGAGCCGGTGGGGACGGTGCAAGACAGGACTGGCGGCGCATGCATGCATCTGTGAGATTGCGACATTTCGTGCAAGGGACGAGCGCGTGTGCGCCGAGACATTGCGCACCAACCCCCATGTGGCCCTTAAGATGACCTTGTGCAACTTCTGAGGACGACAACTCTCCCATGAGATGGAATGAATTGCTTCATTCACTGTTCTCGTCCTTTTTGGCAAGCGAAGCCTCGCACGCCCGGCATGGAGCGACGCACGCGACCACCCCCTCAGAGCTGCCACGACCACAAGATTGCTCTCGTAGTCTGGAACTTCGCGGCTGCTAGTCCCGAAGACATGCGCGTGTCGTGAGGGGGTTGAGGCCTTGAGCCGGCCAAGATTTGGACGAAATGCTGACAAAAGTCTGTAGCAGAAGAGAACTCTCGCTCAGATACGTACCTGCCAGTGGTTTCTCGTCGGAGGGCCCTCGATCGGACCCCACGACTCTCTGTTCCACTCCTCGGTCCTGATCCTCGAGACATCCGCGTCGAAGCTCCAACCAGTGTCCCTCCGACTGAGACCGCCTGGGCTAGCCAACCCACTCGACGACCCGGTCTTCGGTGGCGACGAGCGGACCGGCTTCTCTGTTGGTCTGAGGACAGCCGGGACATAAAGAGGCGACTTCGGCGGCCGCAGCTGTCGCGTGTGTATAGGGAGGTGTGAAGGAGGAGGGATGGTGCGTGGAGAAGTCGGAGAGAGGTCTGCAGGCGATGCTGGACCTGAGTTGAGAGGTGTCGGATACTGGGCCGCTGCCTGGTAGTGTTGCTGAAAGGTCGGTGGTGAGACGACAGACGGCGCTGTCGCGAAACCGGCAGCCATCGTGAAAGAGCGCTTTGAGGCTGATATGGGAGTACTTGTACTCGAGTACAGGGTGGAAGCGGGGTATAGAGAGGAACGCCGTGAGTCGTGAGTTTCGTCCAGTCGTGCTAGAAGCGCTTCGTACGCCGTGAGAGGCAGTGGTAGGCACGAAGTGTCGCTAGGAGGGCGTCGCGGTGAAGGATGCGGGCGCCGATTGGAGAAAGAGTCCTCTTTGAAGTCCACAGAGGCTCACCGACGGCCGGGCGAGGTCTGCGATAGTGGTCGTGTGCCTGCAGTAGTAAGGCGGTGGAAGGCTGCGGCTTGGATCGGGCTGGCTTTCACATGCGATAAGGAGGACTTGCGGGACGGTTGTTCCTCGACGAGACTCGCAGCAACGATAACGCGCTCTTGGTTGAGGTATGTACAGCTGTCTATAACACAAGTGAACGGCAGAGAGTCTCAGCTCAAGGAGATAACAGCGGACATGGCCAACCTGGCCGCGCGAGCCCTTGTTGAGAGAGGCGTTTCGAAGCAATGGGTAGGTGCTCCGTAAGGTAATGATATGCCTAGCCGACCGCTCGGCCAGGGACCTGACCGGGGTCTGCGCGCATCTCTTAGCGCGAACCGCCGCTTCAAAGGGCTCTGGTTTCGCGACAGACAACACAGCGTGCATTGTCCGTGTTCGCCTGGCACGTTGCTTGAGGTGCACCACCGCAGAGGCCGACAGTATCGTAAGGCACTCTTGTCCTCCAGCGGTCAGGTGTCGGCACAAGTGGTACTGGACCGGCTCCCAGCTCAAAAGTGCACCGCATGCACCTCGAGTTCCTCGCTTCAGCTTTCCCCCATTGCGTCTGGCGCTGACTAACAGCCCGTTGCGCAGAGATAAGCACGAGCGCGCCGATTGGTTCACGCCGAGCGAGCTGCACGCGATTCAGGACTTGCCCCAAAGAGCCGTAGTTAACCGTTCTGGCGGCGCGCTGGGACCGCAGGCTGAAAGCCGCGATCCGACGAGCAGCCTCACAAGCAACAGGAGAGTGATAAGGCGATGACATTCATTCGATCGTCTGCTGACGCCGATCAAACTCGTCGCCGTCTCAGATGGAGCACTGCTTTGCGAGATGGCGGGGTCGAACACTGCTGTGCTTCGACCAGAGGGATCCGGAGGGGAAATGTGGTCGAGTAACAACGCCTACTCGCTTGATATTCACATCGTCATACCACGATCATCGCCTCTTCGCAAGAGGAAGATGATGATCAAGAGATGAGGATGTGAGATTCACCATGTTGGACCAACCCCGGAACCCCGACGTCACAACCTCCTAACTTGCCATGGGCTGCGCAGCACGAACAGTAGGCAGATGAGCAGCTGGTGAGAGGGGCTTTCTTGCCCCCTCTCCACGCTGGAACAAGAAGAGTTACACGAGAAGACATGGTGTCGCGGAAGACGCACTTGGTGAACACTGTGATTGTGATGGAAGACCTAGATGAGGAATGCGTCCAGCTCTTGCAAAAAGCGGCTACCATCAGGATAAGATGAATACACGCTGAGTACGGCGACTGCATCCTGGCCCGCCCTGCCCTCTCGACGAACACGCACATATCGCCGACGCATTTGAGACGTGTCCATCTCACAAATGGCGAATCTCATAGGGCTTACCAGACGACAACGTGTCGTACGGGTGCGCACCAAGGAAAGGAATATATACGTCTAGACGACTTCGAATCTCGGTAGGTCTATTCTTAGTAGAATCAAGCCGCTAGTATATCCTGTCTCTAAATTCGAGGCCGCAGTTGCTGTAGAAGGGGAGGCTGAGGAACATTACGAAAGGTTTGTTGAGGGAGCTACCGCCATAGAGACTCTACTCCCGCGTATGGGAGACAAGCCGAGAAATCAAAATAGCATATTGTCTTGCTCCTCAGCCATCCTCTTCTGATAGATCCGTGATGCTCTGCTGGATCGTCGTCGCTTGAGGTATTCGGAATCTACTGTGGTGTCTCGCCAAATTTACATTGCTTCCTTGTAATAGTTGTAAATCGTCTCCATCACGACTGTTCCTTGCCACGTCCAGGACGTTATCGCCGGATATGGAGGGACAAGTTCATCTTTGGTCACTGCCTTTTTTTCACTTGACAAACACAACAAACATTAGCTACAAGCATTGCTTATGCTGCGAGGATTCGGTTGCAGCTAGAGGTGGTTTTCTTTCCAAACCCCAACCTTATCCAGAACACGTGGATGTCACGTGGGCGCCATCAGGATCCCGCTCCACACTCGTCACCGTGCAGCGGCTCGGCCCAGATGTTCCGGCCAACGGGTTTCCAACCCTGGAAACAGCCCTGCGTGCACACTTAAAATGGCACCATTTGATGCACTGCAGCTCCACGCTGTCACTAACTTTTCTGGGTCCCAGAAGACAAATCACGCAACTCCTTGCATGCGTCGTCGCTAACATCACGTTTTCCTCCTTGTCCTGCAGGATCTGCAAAGCGCAAACTTCCTTAACATCTCCGGACCCCGCCTCAGAGAGAATAAAACTTTTACTACTCAACAAAAGCCTCACCGAGACCAAAACACCGTAAACAACCACGGCCATTCAAGCACGCACTGATCTTAGGAGACCCATTCGCCCACCACCACAATGTCCTCCACAGAATTCATGTCCTTCCTCCCACCACCCGGGCCCTCCATCTCGAACTACGACCGCCACTCCCCCTCAACCTCGCAATCCGCCTCCGTCCCAGCCACCTTCAAAGAAGCAATGTCGATCCGCGAAGCCGTCTTCGTAGAAGAGCAACACGTCCCCCTCGAAAACGAGCTCGATTACGACGACCCGCGCGCCTTCCACTGGGTCGTCTACGCTTCGGTCGGCACCTCCTCATCCTCCCCCTCCGGCTCGCGGCCCTCGACGCGCAGCCGCAAAGACTCCACAAGCGCCGAGGACAGGAAGCAAGAGGAGCGGCGACGCAGCAGCGCGACGGCGAGCAGAGTAGCCGTCGGGACGATCCGGCTGGTGCCGCCGCCCCACGCGCCGCATCCGAGTCCGGGGACGGCGCACAAGATCGACAACAAAGAGGTCCCGCTGTCCTCGTCGCCCGAGCAGTCAGAGTCCAGACACCAGCTGCCAACGCCGCTCCACGACAACCGCGAACCCTTCGTCAAGCTCGGCCGCCTCGCAACGCTGCGGCCGTACCGCGGGCTCGGCCTCGCGCGGCTGCTGGTCAACGCCGCGCTCGACTGGGCGGCCAAGCATCCGGACGAGGTGGTACCGCCGCCGGACCCGACGGCTGTCGAGCAGGCCAAGGTCGAGGGGAAGCTGGCCGAGGAGGCGGATGGGCGGTGGAGGGGCCTTGTGCTCGTGCATGCGCAGACGGGCGTTGTGGGGTGGTGGGAGGGGATGGGGTTTCGAAGGGATGAGGGGATGGGGACGTGGGTTGAGGAGGGGATCGAGCATGTGGGGATGTGGAAGAGGGTTGCTGTCAAGGGGATGTAGGGAGCGTTAGAGGTGTGGCCGGAAGCTCTGCAAGGCTGGTCGAGTTGGTCGAAGTCGAGGCGAGGGCGAGTAGGGACATAGTGAGATATCGGAGCTTGGGAATGGCGAAGGTGGGGAAGCGGACTGATTGATCGGTGGACATATACCCCGGGCGTTTTGGATCCAGCGCGCTTCCATGGCAGACTGCGACGCAAAGGTAAAAGTGCTTTTGAGTATGTAGACGGGCGCTGCATACAAAAGCGATTCATCGCAACTGACAGACCTTCACCCAGAAAGCTTCAGATTTGCGAGTTATGCTTTGTACTGATCCGATGCGCTCACATCACCTTCAACGTACCCGCGCACTGCCTTGACTGAGGCGAGTAATATTCGTCCGTCGCTGGACGGAGGCAAGTAAAGTAGCGGGGAAGGGATCGCGTCCAGAGATATATCGAAGTTCCATGCTAGGAAGAGCTTTAATGTTTTCTTTTAGGTTGGTCTCGGGGGAGGATGAAAGTCAGCAGTCAGCTCATTCGGTGTCTAGACCTTGCACGACCTGGATCCCTACATGACTGTCAATCGGCGTTCCTAATATGGTGTCCCGGATTTCTCTCTTTGGATAGCCTCTCCTTTCATGAGCTTATGAATATAGCTCTCCCCAATAAGAACATATCCGTTCCCCACTTCATGGGGCACTGATGGCACCCGCCCGCCTCGAACGATAGCAATACTATCCCTACACAAGACAACACCGGAACAAGACCAAAAAGCCGCTCTCGGTCATACAAAGCACTCGGCCTTTGGCATGGCTAGCCATAGCCCTCACATACTCTGTAGTCGCATCCGATTCTTCGATCCCCGGTAAGGCGACCGGTTCATTCTCGCTAGGCCCACATCTATTCATCACCAGGACGACTCAACCGAAGCCCAGCCTAAAGCCTTCGTCCGCTTCAGGACAATCATCCTGGCCTACATTGGCAATCATCGTCCTCCACAGGGCAGCGACAGGATCAGGGTATTTGCTTGATTCCATAACGCGATTGTACTGCTCACGGAGCCATGGACCGCCTAGTCCCGGCTGAGTACACCATCATGAGGCCAAAAACTTACTTCTTCCACCGTAACGTGGGAGATGCAGTCAACTGTAATGCCAGAAATGGTAAGTTTGTTGCCCCTCCTCGTCAATTTCAAGAGAGCGCTGCATACATCGGGAAGCCCTGTTCGCGGCCTTCCAGCCGAGGGGGGAAGACGGTGGTTTCTAGTGTCCAATTAGGCACCCATTACGGTAAGTTCAGCTTCCTTTCCCTGGAAATGCAGGAGCACAGCGTGAGCGGGTTAGGAGCTGTGCGCAGGAGACGTGTTACAGTATCCGCGTAGACTTCCTCCACCGGCTTGCTGTAGTCTGGCGTGATACCCAAATCTTTCAGCTGCTGAGGATGGCTGGGTAATCGATGCAAAACGGCGGGTGCAGGTTGACTCCGGCGTTGTACATATCTTGACCAGGAATGCCTGGCTCTAGACAATACCTTTCAATGCTTCCTGAGGGCGGGTCTATGTTCGCGTGGTTTCGAGCCAGAGCCCAGTTGAACGTTTGCTGGGCTAGAGAGATCGCAACTTCGGTGTCGCCATTTCCCTTGCCGATGTACGTGATAACCCGTTGCGCATTTCGGTAAACTGTTGGCATATGCGGGACCTGGTAACTTTTCTCTCGACGACGTCGCTCTGATTGATGCAGATAGCGTCAGCCCGGATTATTCGGTGGTTGCCGTCAGCAGCGCTCCTTCGCAAATCCCGCAAGGCATTGAAGAGTGAAGCCGTAATGCTAATGCGACTGTGCCGACCGATGGCCACATAGTGTGTCTTTTAGCTACTCTCCCAGTCGTATAAGAGCGCCTCGCACTGAGGAGGATTCTGATCGCTGACGTGTCGTATATCGAATTGAATGCTGCTTTGATTGCCAGGTATAAGATATAGCAGACGCATGTGATCCTTCTCCAGTCGTGTATATTGGTAAGATTGCAGGCTGGGTTCCATCGGGAGCTGAACTGTTTTATGGTAGAGCGTGCGAAAGAGGCCCGCTACTATCCACTTGATAGTGAAGTCGTCTCGATCGAGGCGGGTAGACGCAAACCAATTGAATTGATTATACTGTACGACGTGGTACGAGGATTGTAGGTAGGTAGGTAGGTGGAATTCTTACGCCTTGTAGGGCGTCAATGCACCCAGGGAGACCCGTTAAACTACAAAGATAATCTAAGATCGTTACCAAGTGTCACGAGCGAAAGCTTGGATGGCAAAATCTGATGAGTTGGCTATCTTACAAGACGAGGCATGAGACCGAGCGCGGATTTTCGGGATAGCCCTTTAGCACAACAGTGAGTGTGCCGCGTTCAGAGGGCGGCAAGTTGAGGTTCTCTGCTATGATCAGGAAGCATGCCATCCCTCTCGCTTGATCTTCGAAAGACTTGAGCCCAGCGCCCATCAGCTTACTTAGAGCAGGGTTTCTATGCACCTGGGCACTTTGCCCAAACATGCGATACTATTAGAGCTGAACCTCGATGCTCCTCCCGCTGTCCAGGGTTACGGTTAAAGTGCTTACTACCACGCGATTGCAATTCCGCCTTCGGTCAACCCGGATGATACAACTTGGTGCAGGTGGCTTTCGCTCGCTTGTTTTGATTTAAAGGGTCAGCCCTGTACGGTTCACCAGCCCTCCCTGATTCTCGCTGCGAAGCGCACCACTCAGGCATTGTGCTGACTCAAAGTAATTATGCTGTTGGCTCTGTGCGGCTGGGAGTGCTGGCAGCCCTTACAAGGCTGACCCTTGTTTGAATCTGCATGGACGAACAACTTTCGCTTCTCTCAAGCACTCGTATCTCTTTTCTTTCTGCAGCATCTAGATCAGCATCGAACATCGCCACGTGCAAACGGCTCACATCACTCCAAAGGCCCCCTTTGAAAGCTGCAGATCAGCTGAAATAGCCGTTCCTTGTCAGGACAAAACGACCCGTAGCGCAAGCCACCAGGATGCGGGGCCGCGTTCCTGTCTGGCAATTCTCGCGTGCGATGGAGCTCTGGGTGCGCCACATCTCAGATTCATGTTGGGAACCTGGAACACCTACCCGTGTGTTTATGAACACTTCGTGAGTTTGCGCCACCAAAGTGTATCACATCGAGTGGCGTCCTGGCTTCGTTTGATGGGCAAGCCAAGGAGCGAACAATCAATTGAACGGGGAGCTAACATGGGCAAGCCTGGGCTAAGTTTGATACGAGGACTCGGGAGGGGAGACGCGGTGCTTGCCCCGCGATATTCGAACCCATGTGAAGATAGAGTACGAACCTGGCGCAGCGGTGAGGGTGACAAATGGCCCATGCTCCTTGATCAAGACTCAAGATACCGCTGTCGGATTAAGCCAACGGTGAACCTCATCAACGGGACTCTGAGCTTCGACGCGGGCGTTGGTCCATGTGCCGCTACAGCTCGACTTGGGAGTCTGACCGCAGGTACTGCTGGTTCCCGCGAATCTGGACCATGGGACGTGGTGGTTCAGACCATGATCAGGGCGCACGATACGGCTGAGACGCGAGCTGAGCAAACAACACGGCTGCCGTGCTCGCAATCAAGGTTTCTGCAATGCGATCAAGACCGCTTATCGAAGATCCCCAGTTTGCTGGCGTTGTGCATCTGCATCTCCTGCGTATGGCAGCGAACTCCTCGCTTTTGCCCCTGAGTTGACGGCGTCCGGGACGGGTGACGATCCAGGGCGATCCCTACGATATCCTCTCGGGGCCTCCGCTTCGCTCCCGCTGGGCAATTTGGTGCAGCTGTGGGTGAACGGGGCTGACCCCAGACTGGATTGCGTTTGCTCGGCTCGGTTGCACTCCGCGCACTCCGCGAGTGGAAGGTCCATCTTGTTCGGGACGGTCTGTGCCAAAAGAGCAAACTTCATCCCGAGGTCGTTATCTGGTACCTACAAGGCAGACGGGTTTTGCCGCGGAGCCGGTCGACAGCATGGACACGCGACCGTTCGCTGTCAGAGCGGATGGCGTTAGAGGGTCCGGAGGTACATACGCAGTGCAGGTTTGAGCGGCGATTCGCCGACGAGAGTGTGTGAATCGCGCAGCCAGGTGTTCGACGCGACACCGTCTGGTGGGCAGTCAATCTGAGGACACCACGATACCTACTAGGAAGACCGCTGGGAGACGGCTCCGAAGTTCTGGTCCCTGAGCTCTTCCTGAGGCAGCTTCAGGTTAGCGTGAGCTCTTTAGCGCAGCTTTATCGCCCGTAGCGCCAGTTTCATTTCAGTGCTTCCGCAGATCCATGGGTGCTAGCCCCTTAGCGAGCGCCCGCATGGAGCTGCAAGGTGCAGGGTGCAAGGTGCAAGCATGCTGGACGGGCACCCTTGGCCCGATGTCGTTAGGATGACGTGCGGCGCGCTGTCGATCCCTGTTCCTGGTCGCTCTCGAACAACCAGTCCGCGACTCACGACTCCACGGCCGCCATGCTCCAGCTGGGTCCGCGGCCGCGCCAGGAGCAAGTCCTCTAAAGGTCGTTGAGCTCTGGGGACTAGGGCTTTGCGCCACAACGTAACAGCTCGACTGCAAAACCATGTAGATGTTGCACATTAAGCTAGAACCTCCAATGGCGCCGACGCTCGCCTTGCACGAAGCAGAAGGGGGTCATGGAGCTCTGCATGTGGCCGTTGTTGGCGGCTCGGCGAACTGCAGCCAGCTAGTCGTGCAAGGCCAACATCTTCCACTTGTCTCTCGCTGCTTCTCAGTCAAACGGCTCACAAGCAAGGGACAAAGCAGTTCGTGATATGCAGAGCTGCCGTTGATCGTTTCGGTTGAAGCCGGTGCAGCGCCCGCGGCCACGTTTGACAGTGCATGCAGCAGCAGGAGACGCTCGTGAGATCACCTCCCAAGGATCATTCTTGAACTCCGCATTTTCCCACGAGCGCGACCTGCGACCTGCAAGCCATCGGCCGTTTGGAACCGCTCTTCACCCGTCAAACTTCAGTTCAAGTGCAGTCAACGTCCTTCGCCGCTCCGCTCTTAATCTTTCCTGCCACTCGACGATATCAACTGCTTCCACTCCTTCGCTTCCCGTCACTCCCGCATCACAGCGTTTCGCCTCACTCATCTGTCCGCGAGTTGGGTTGGCGTCCTAGCCTCCCTCAGCAGCAATCAGCAGAGAGCATCACTGGCGTGGCCTCTCAGACGCTTCGTTCCACGAGACGTGTGCATGGCAGCCAGCGTTCACTGAGTGCGTCCTACGAAGATATCCGACGAAGTGCCAAGGTTTTCGCAGCAGATAGCGGTGCCACGCTAGCGCTCACTGCTTGTCATCTAAACGCGCTCCTCCAGTCACTGCACACTGCACGCGACCCGTCAAGATCCAATTCCCGCCATGTCGAACCTCCTCGTAGAACGCGAGCTCGATTTCGGCAAGCCGAACCTCGACGGCGTTGGGATCTTCTACATCACCTTCGCCATAGTGTGGACGCTCATCGTTTCCATCGGTCTCTGGCTGCTCTGGCGCAACCGTCGCAATGCGGCCATTCGCATTCGCAGCTTCACCCTCACGGCAGCGGCTGTGTTCGCGCTTCACGTCTACTTTCTCTGCGTCATCACCGTCTACCCGGAGAATGGACTGTTCAAATGTGGGAGCGAGTTCTGGGTTATGAGCATCTGGCTTCCCTTCGGCATCGGACTGTTCCAAGGTGGGTGCTGGGATACTTCTTCACGCCTACGAGAACCTCACTAACCGTTGATCAGCTGCCAACATGCGTCTACTCGCGTACTACGAGGCTCAAGAATGCTTGATGCTCGCAGAGGCTCACAATCGCGGCAAGAAGCGTCACCAACATACGCAGAGGAACACGTATGAGATCTGGAAGTCCTTCGACAAGCTGCAGAGGACCTACGCCTTGATTGGCTTGGGGCTGCTTGTTACGGTTCGTGGTTTTTTTTCTCACCTTTCACTTCTCTATCTATCCGCGAGGAACGAGCCAGTGCAGCGGAGGGCATTGTATCCGAGCGAACCATGCCTCTGTACCGTGTTAGGATGCTAAGCATCCCGATCAAGTCTCGAAACTCCATATAGTGTGCCGTATAACAAGACATTCTGTTGCTTACACTCACTCCAGGTAATCAGCACGTTCATCATGTTCTTCGGCTCTCGTCGCTTTCACCGTTCATACGGATTCTTCGGTACTCATGTACCGGCAGCAGCATGCCGGCGCGGCTATGAGTGGTAAGTTGCATGTGGCCGTCCATCCATCGGATACTGCGACTAACCAGCCTTGACAGGCTACCGGGCATCATCTGGCAGCTACTCTACTCGACAGTCTTCGGTCCATATATCTTGCTCAAAACGAGGCACATCCACGACACGCATTATTGGGCCTGGCAAACCCGAATTGCAGTCATCTCCGGGTATGTCACCCATCATTGACGCGTCAACTTACACCTGTACTGACCAACCCCTATAGAGCTCCAGCTACTCCCCTTTGGGTCGCGTTCACGTACAGTGATGGTCCATTTGTTAAACAGTTTACTCGATGGATACCGGCTGCTGGATGGTAAGTCATATTCCAGGCGTGCTACCTTAAAACACCATGCCTGAGGCACTCTTCCCCTAGGAAGAATACAGATCCTAACAATAACCTTAATCAGGTTCATCCCATGCCTTCTAGTGATGCAGTCGTCGCTCATCTTCTTTCCCCTCCTGGACGCTCGCAAAGGACAGAAGTACAATCGCCGTATGTCCGACCGTTACAGCACTGAAACCCGCAAACTCACGATGCCGGATAACCACAAGAACCGTGATCTGTACAGCATGGCGGCGCTCGAAGTGCAGATTGCCAAGAACATCGAGCCACTGCTTCGATGGAGTGCCCGAAAGGAGTTCACCGCCGAAAACATCGTCTTCCTTAAGACTGTCCGCGACTTCAAGCGGAAGTGGCAGATGGCGACCAAGAAGGGCCCCCTCGACAACGAACAGTCCCAGGAGCAGTATGCGGAAGCCGCACTCATCTATTTCACCCTGGTTCATCCATCCACAGCCATGTTCAATATCAACATCGACTCGCGCACCTACAATGAGCTTACTGCGTACTTTGCCGATGTGCAGTATGAGCCGCTTCTAGAAGCCTCAAGCCCGAAATCCGAGAACGTCGTCACCCCGTGGTCAGATGGACTTTTCTCTACGCAGTCGGACGAGCACAACCTGCTCAACGATGTCGACCGGAAGTATCCGATGCCGGTCACGGAGATCACGCTTTCGGAGATGGGGACTTCGGCCGCGAGCACCGCGGGGACGGCAGACACATCTGCCTTGAAAATACCGATCGGCTTCTCGGTGGACGTATTCGACAGGGCCTATGAGTCTGTCAAATATCTCGTGTTTACAAACACGTGGACTAGGTACGTACCACAGAAACAATCGGGCTTACGAAGGAAACACTCGCTTACTGTCTCATAGATTCATCGATGCCGCCGACGCTTCCAGCGTAGCTGACTCAGAGGCAAGCGGCTACACTTCCTCCAGCAGCGGTCCGAAGAGCCATTTCAGCCTGGGAAACTAGGTGAGATCGACGAATAGCAGAGACTGCTGTTGTCTGGCCCAAAATCTCTGTTTATTGCATTCTGGCGTCAAAAGCAAATACCCGGTTCGACGCGTTTCGACGGACGGAGCTACGGTTTCGCCTGGGAAAATCTGCTGCATCTGCTTTGTGTTTTCTCTCTCTCTCTGTAATATCAGCTCGACGATCTTTCTGCCTAACGGAGACAAACGTTCTGACTATTCTCTGCGCTGCGAGTAATTGAAAGGACTACGCTCATATGTATTGATTGCGGCTTCACACGCGCTGGACATGATTGAAATCTGATCGCCCAACTTCGGGGCCTTCGGGACAGGAAATCCTCGCTCTCTTCATTCGCTCGATGGCGGGCACAGATAGGTACGGAGTGCATGGCACGTAATACTGGCATTCGCCTGCTGTAGCAGGACAATTACTGGATAGTTTGCTAAGGGCTTATGTAGCATCAATGGCCGAATCACAGGGGAACAGGTAAACCCTGTTCACCAGTTCTTGCTGTGCCGTGAGTTAAGGAAAGAAGATGCTTCATTGCCGAGCTTCCCTCTAAATGTCCTTCAGAACTTTGGACTAGCAGGCCGAATAGTACCTCTTCAGTGGCAACGTCCAAGAGTGTAGAGCTTTTGAAAAGAACGGAGGTAGGTGGTGACACTTCTCGTCTAGCACTCAATGGAACATTAGCGACGAAGCGTCACCCATGAAGAGCAACAACGTCCAGCCAAACCCCAGCGCCGCCGCCGCAAGCGATGCATACTCCGGTGCAGGCCCAAGAGTCCAAGTCCACCCCGGCACCTCTCACACATTTGCACTAGCTACTTCCTCCCGCCCCTCACACTTCCATCTCATCCCGCCCGTCCCCCTTCCTGCGTCCCTCCTCCCTTCGTTTCCTGCTCCTCTCCACCGCCTCCTTGACCCACTCCTCATAAGCGCCCTCGCCCTCCTTCAGCTTTGCCCTCACAACCCCCTTCACAAGCTCGCCCACAAACCCGACGAAGTTATGCCGCCGCAGCGCATTCTCCCACGCCCATTCCACCCTCTTACTCTCCTCCCTCCTCAGCCCCTCCTCGTCCCCGACTTCCCTAGCCCGGGCCCTCAGGTCGCGGCACACAGCCAGCAGATTAAACCGTATCTCCCCCGGCGGGTATCGCTCGATCCTTCTCTGCAGCACCGGTATCACCTTGTCAGGGAACTCGTCCCCGGCGCACGGGCCGTGCGAGATGGGCGCCGCTTGCAGCCCGTCGAGCTCGTAGAGGACGTTGTTGATGGCCGTATAGGCGATGAAGTGGTAGACGTCGTCGTCGGCGGTCGCGGTGCGGGATTCGTCGGAGATGAAGGGCGAGGAGCGCGCGAAGGAGTTGTGGGTTTCGCGGATGAGGTCCGAGTTGGAGAGGGCTTCGCCGCGGAGCTGCGCGGATTCAGTCACTATCAGCGGATGTTTGGGGCATGGAGGTGGGGCTGGCTGGAATTAGGGGGGGAGGGGGGGACATACATCTGCGGGAAAGGCGGTAGTGAACTCTTTGAAGTCGCGCAGGGGGGAGCCGATGTCGATCTCGCCGTCCTTGTTCAGGAGCACGGAGAGCAGGGCCTGTGTCCCGCAGGCGTTCTGAATGGTTTGGGCAGCGAAGAAGATGTTCTCGGCGGCGGAGTGGTCGAAAGTGCCGTCTTTGGGGACGGAGCTGGGGGGCTCGCCGGTGGGGTATTTGAAGAGAAATATGACGCCGTAGACGGGGCTGCCGGAAAGGTTAAGATTAGCAGATTTCGAGAAATTTGCTCCAAGTGACCGGTGGTCAGAATGCGGGTACCTTAGCTGGCGTAGTAAGTCCGCGTCCAGAGAGATGAGCTCTTCGAATTGCACATCCTTGGCTCCAAGCTTCTCGAGCAGCTCTGTGAAGACGCCCTAGGTTGCCCACAAGTTAGGGTCATCACCGATAGACATGGAGGATGTAAAGGACGGCGGCGCACAAACCGCGTCCGACTCGATGGTATTCCAGCCTCCTGACATGTTTGTTGATTGAATATCGGATGCTCAATTGAAGTCGACGAATGAAGTGATGCGGTAACTGCCGCTGAAGCTATTTTCTGCCGGAGAGCCTCAGACCGGCGGTGAGGTTTAGCGGCAGAACTACCGTCCCCACCGCTCTGGGGAAACCGGCAATCTCACCGATCCGGCAAGCCAAACACGTGACGGCTGCCAATCTTCCATGTCGCGGCCAATATTCCATGAACTCCAAAGATCACTGATATACAATTTCATTAACCACCATGGGTAGCATTAAACTGAAGGCTTTAGATGGCCGTTTAGAAGCTGGCTGTCTTACTCCATCTATACACGTATTTGTGTAAGCGATCTGGTGTCGATTTCTACCACTTATAAATTGGGTTTTAACAAGTCTCTTAATTTTGGTTGCTTAGATTACAAAGGTTCTCCTCCTAATGCGACTTCCTTTTTACACTTCTCTTAGATGATAGCTAGAGTAAGATGACCGGCATTGTTCGTTCCTGCTCTGCTAGCTTGTCAGAATTATGCTAATCCAAAGCCTACAACACTCGGCCGCCCACGGATTGAAACGCTGCTTCTAACATGTCCGCCTTACCTTCTGGCTGTCATCACAACCTTCCTCAACTCCTAGCACGCAGACCGTACGGGAGAGCGCTACTTCCATATCGTTCTACTCTTCGTCGGCGTCGCCGTGTTCATCATTGCAGTGGCCACGACTTCAATAGCAGCCCGCTACGTTTCGATGATGCTGATGGTTCCGGGCGTCTACACCGGCTATGTTGTCGCCCTGGGCTGGATTTCCAACACGCTCCCTCGGCCGCCGGCCAAGCGCGCGGCGGCCCTGGCTCTTATCAACGCCGCGAGCGATGCCTCGCAGATTTAGATGTCGTGCATGTATCAGAATCGAATGGGGCCGCGATATGGTGAGCTCAAATTCCTCTCCAGCTCTGAAAGCGAATAGAGACGATCCCAATATGGGAACCTTTCTCTCGATGACGGATCCAGGAACCGAAAGGAAGCTGGCAAGCCCAACAGCCATCGCTATGGTCGTCAACTGTCTCACGGCATTCACCGCAATCCTCATGGCCACGGCACTCCGCTTCGTCCTCCGGCGGCTGAACGAAGGGCTCGACCGTGGCGAGCACGTCGAGGGCGCGATCAACTCGGCGATTGACGAAGCGGAAAAGAAGGGCTTCAGGTTCCTGACCTAGCGAGGGTTAGCTATTTGCGGGGAATGGGGAGCGTACCGCTCGTGGGAGAGGAGAGTTCGGCTGAGGGGTTCGAGCGTCCACAGTGAATGTAGCTGGATGCAAGGTTTGGCGCTGTGGCCTTTGCGGTTCCGGCTCAATGCTTTGGTTGTGGTTGCACGTGAGCGTCGACACGTCTGCTACTTGCATAGAGTTCCACAGGACGGATGATCATAGAGCTACACTGTCGCTTCTTCCAACAATCAGCGTTGGCGCCTACGGCACTATGAACTGTCTCAGCTGAGTACCCCAAAAGCTGAGAATAGCCACAGATACACCCAGAGATGATTGATCCCGGGTGGCCGACGCACTGTCACTACGGTACCAATTCCCAGTAACCAGTTTCATTGTTGAAGCCTACGCAAAGAACTAGCCGGGCATCACGCTGTGACCCGAGACCATGGTTCAAAGGGATTCACGTGTGCTGTCATCCCCTAGACGGGACCGATGTCACGGTACAAGGCCCACCCGAAAGGTCCGTTGCCGCATCTACGCTCTAGCTTGTTCAATACCAGATCCGCCATTGAGCTGGACTCATGATCATGTCAACTGTGGAATAGCGAGACCGATTGTATGCGATTTAAATCGTGAGTTGTCCAACGTTATAGCACTTTAGTGCATTGATCACTTGGGATGTCTCTAATCGTCGCACTGCGCTTGCGTGCTGTCCATCCTCAATGCGGCAGCGTACTTTTCGGATGGCCTTGGTACCTGCCGCTAATCGCTTTGATGTGGTTGGCTTGGCAGAGCCTCGACGGGCCAAGCACCTCAACCACGGCGTGCAACTCTTCGATATCACGGGAACGCCGACCGCGACCTCTCACCTTTCACCCGATTATCCATCGTTGCATCTACTTTTACCGTCTTGTCAATTGTGAAGCCGGCATTGGACATGTGAAAGTGACTACGAGGGCGGCTACCGCGGATACCGAGAGGGGCTAGAAACGAACTCACAGCCAGCCGGGGACGGGTATTGCCTTTGAGCATTGTCGCGTAGGTCTCGGAGGTGGCAGGATGCATAGAGACAGTCGTCTGTCCCTCGAATTGTTGCGAGAAGCTTCTTAGTGAATGCCATGAACGTTTTGCAGCGTAGTTTCCATATCTCACTAAGCTCGCTGTACCTCCACCTCAATTCCTTTATCGGAGTGCCATACTAAGCCCCAAGTCTCGGTATCGTCAACACAGCGTTCTCTCTCTGAACTTCCTGACATCTTCCCGCAAAACCCGATCCAAGTCGCGCTTGTCTGCAAAACCACGGCTCGAACATGGAACGGTCCCACCAACCCAGCTTCACAGGTTCGACATGACTGGGCGCGGGTCGTGCTCGTCCGTACCTTGGGACGGTGTACGCCGAGTCACTGTCCACTGCCCTGACAGCTGCCAATGTCAGCCAGATCGGTCTCTCGCGGCGCTTCGGAGTAGCCGTGTTCTCTGCAGTCGAGAGGCATTGACCTGTAAGTCAGCTGGACACACGCCTTCTCGTGATGGAGATATAAGACTGTTGAGTCCCCTCAGGTGAGGACTATATTCTCCAGCAGTCTCCAGCAGTCTCCAGCAGAGTCTTCAAGTGTTATCATCAGTTCAACCTCCTTCATTCGTCTACCACTCCATTGAATCATCACCGAAGATGCGTGCCACTATCTTCCTATCTACGCTGGCTGTTGTCTACGCGGCTCCTGCCCCTCAGATGATCAACATTGGTGCAGTCGAAGCTCAGAAAGTCACCACCGTTGTCCCTCCGGCTGCTGCCGCAACCGACGCCGTCGTCTACAATGCAGCAAGCGCTGCTTCGAAAGCCGCTGAAGAGATCACTGCCAACGGCCTATCGAAGCGCACCGATTGCGGAGTCCATGATCTATGCTGTGTCCAGCCCGACGGGTGAGTTTGCCGCCCAACAACCCCTTTTACATGTGCTTATATTCAACACAGCTTTGGCCTGGTGGCTTCTCCGGATACTGTAGATGCTTTCTTGGCCTCTCCGGTGTACTCCGATATCGCTGGTGATGCCCCGGCACCTCAAGGGTACAGCCGGCCATTTTCAAACCTCCAGGCCTCGACTTCGGCGCCTGGCTACCTTGGTCTCTACACGCTCTCGTCGTATGATACCATCAAATGTCAGCAGCTTTGCGATGCTGAATCCGCTTGCTACGGCTTCAATATTTACATGGAGCGCGACCCCAGTGTTAATCCAGCCGCCGATCTCTGCCCGAACCCACCGAGCATTACCAACTTCAAGTGCACGCTGTGGGGTGCTTCGCTCACCGCTGAGACTGCCACCAACCGGGGCCAGTGGCGCGAGCAGTTCCAGGTCGTCATCGCAGGCTCAAACGGTGAGTAGCCATCTCTGAACTTGACATCTAAACACCTCCGAGTTACAGCCCCAATACTAATGGGTTCGCAGGCTACAACAAGCTCGCCACTCCTCCTGCACAAGACGGCTTCAAAGGACCCACTCGCCTTGGCGGCGCGATCCAGGCACCGCTGAACAGCGCCGGCCAAGACACCTACATCGGCATGCACTTCTTTCCCGGCGTCTACGACCCCAGCCAATGCGCCGCTGCCTGCAAAGCCACGACCGAGTACAACCGCCGCCATGCCACTAACGGCGACTTCAAGTCCTGCGTAAGTGCTTCACCTTTCGTTCTCCGTCATGCATCCCGATCACTGACAACCACTGTAGGCTTTCTTCAATTCTTACGTCTTGAGCGAGAACAACGTCGCTCAGGGCACGTACTGCTCTTTCTATACGCAGGTGTGGGACGCGAGATACGCTACCAACTACGGTCAGCATCGCGGCGACTCTTACTACAGCGTCAGCCAGAGCTATGCGTACACTGCGGAGACCAGGGTGGTCAGTCAGCTTCCTTAGATAGTCGGACCTCAACGGATTCAGCTTGTCGATGACCATGGATATGTGTGGTGTTTGATTTCGGTGTTGATATCTTGTTGTGCGTATCTATAGTTGATAGGAGATGTGATTGTTAGTCTTCTCTTTGTGCCTGCAGTTTCCATGCGCTGATTCTCGCCGCAAATTTGTCACCGTTATTGTCAGTCTCAGTCAAAGCATCTCATCCCGTGACTCAATAATTTTACTAAGAAGTGAACGTCCGGCTCGCAAGACCAATCTTCTGCCCAACTTTAGCACACTCATTAGGCCTACATCACTTGATCCACAGACGCAACAAGAAGCTTACCGCTATTCACACAGCCCGAGTGCTCGTCACCAGTCGCAATGGCTCTACCGCAGGCGAAAAGGAAGAAGGATGCGGATGAAGCATGCATGCTGCATGGACAGAGTGAGGCCATATAGTCCAAGTTGTCACATCAGCGCTGACACGTCTGCTTGCTAGTCAAGGACATGGAACGCCAAAAGACCGCACTGAAGGCCGAGTCAGAGGAATTCGACCGCAAGATTGATGAAGTCCGCGCCGAGACGCGCAGCATTGAGGCGCGCACGACGGGGATGAAGTACACCCGTAGCGTGCCTATGATCGATCTAGATGTGCTTGATGCCATTCGCGCAGAGGATCTAGCGGCAGCATTTGTGTGCCTATTCTTGCTGCGGTCTCTGAACGATTGCTGACTTTATTCAGAGTGAACTGAAGAAGATCCTGGAGCAATTTCTCAACAAGTTGCAGAGCGTTGTTGAGAACAATATGGTTGGTCGCTACAAGCAGCTCCTCGAGATACTCAAGGAAGCGTCCCAGGACAACAAGAAAGATCTGATTGCAAAGGCTACGAAGAGCACGTTCTTGACCATCTCGGAGATGCTGAACGCCTGGCTCAAGAGGAACTCACCGCCGTTCACGTCCCGAAAATGTTTGTACATGGGATGATCAAGCTCGCCGCCACGGCCCACGATGACAACAAAAGCGATGGAGGCCAGGCCAGCGATGGGGGAGGTCGGGCAAGCGATGGGGTTTCCGGCAGCTAGATCCTCCGCTCACGCAGTTGCAATCATCCCGTCGCTTCGATACACAGCATCGCCAATCGGCCAAGCTCGAAATGGCCCGCCGAATCCATCACTGGCATACAACCCACCCTGTCTTGGACTCAGCGCCTCTGGAGGGGTCGCGTAAGCTTCTGGTAGGCTTTAACATAGTCCCCCCTCCCATCGAACGGATTCTACACAACCAGACCATGCTCGAATTGCCTTCGTCCGCAGCTCAAGATGATATATTCAACCTCTTTGAACCGTTAGTAGGCAGCAGATGAAGGGATGGCCACAGCTTTCGCGAAGCGAGGGTGAAGACTATGCCATGCTGTTTGCCGATTATGAGGGCTGGGAGGAGGGATACAGAGTGTGACAAGCCCGCGGCGCATAACACTTCCACAGATGGGCTTGCACGTGGTATGAGGGACTCTATCCCGGGGATGCGAGGGTGCGAGGGTCGTCTGCTGTGTAGTCGGGTATGCTGCACCAGGGCTGATCGACACTGTATCTCCTACTCGTTCCCTGCTTCCTTCATCTCGGCCTCCCATTTTAGTTTATGTGGCTGCAGTCGCGACAGCACGGGACGAAGCTATGGACAGGGTCCACAAGCGTCCCAAAATAGTCACAACGGTGCTTTTATTACGGTTGAATATCTTTGAACTGCTATTTTGAGACTCAAGTTGCGTGCTGTGCAGCCTACAGATACGTAGGTCTCAGTTCTCCACTAGAAAGCTGCTACGGTACAAGCCAGGGCCTGTTCACCAACCTCCGCCTTGCCCCGTCTTTCCATCCGCTAAGCGATCTCGCGACACGAAACGACCGCCAATGCGGTACACAGAGCGAATGACCTTCTATGGCTGGAGAAGGCAAGAACGTACAGCGCCGATATTTCTGAAACGCAGCGCTGAAGCGCCAGCGAGGGTATCCTTTTGACGAAAGGAGATCTATTGAGAAGAGAAAACAGGAGTTGTGAGTTGTTTCGGTGAGATCGCAATGTCGTGATTGGGAGAATGTCACTGTCGGTATTCGCCGCGGTAAACCACTCCTACCTTTTATCCACCTGCCGGCCATCGCGCCTACGCGGCATCATCCCTGCCCTTCCCCTTCCCTTTCACGTCGGCAGGCGGCTGCTCAAGCCGAAACTGCTGCTGCTGTTGCTGCTGCTCCCTGGACAATGCATCGATTCAGCCTCTTCACTCACGTCCATACTGTTGTTGGACTTTGGACGAACCCGCCTGGATAGCCGAACGCTGATCCCCACCCGTACATGCTCTCCGGCTCGTGCATGAAGCCGCCGAGAAGCGGCGTAGCCGGCGACCCCACGGGGGTAGTGCTGAAAGTGCTCACGACTGGGAAGCCATAGCCATCGATGCTTGAGCGGGGGACTTCGAGGAACGGGGACCCCGCGCTGGACAAGGAGCCGCGGTGCGCGAAGCCCATGGGCGAGGGCGCGAAGGCGGGGCTGAGGCTGGGCCGACCGTAGTTGTTGTAGTCGGCGATTTGGTCTTCAAGATCTAAACCGAGGATGTCTAGGCCACGTGGGCTCTGCTGGGCAAGGTGTAGCTGTTCGGCTTGCTGACGAGTCCAGTCTCTTCGGCTCTGGAAGTTGCTCGCGACCTGGCGTGGAAAGTCCGCCATCGAGAAAGCGGCAGGGAAAGCTTGGCTGTAGTTCTGCGAGACCTGCAGCGCGGTTATGATTCGAAGGATCTCTTCTAGAGGAGGCAGAGCCATGTCCGCGCAGAACGGCGCACCGATGTCCGGGAACATCGGTTCCAATGCAAGGGCTACGGCGTAGAAATGGGCTAGAACAACAAGGACGTTGACATCGCCTTTCCGTGCCGATAGTAGCGTGACGGGTACCCAAAACAGCCACTTTCGCAGCGCGTACATCTGGCTGAACTGCTCGTCGGCCGTCTGTGGAGGACTGGAGCTTCGAAGACGGTCTACGTAGTTCACTAGTTGGTCAATCCACTTGCTCTCTTGGTCGTAATTTGCCAAGTACGGGCGCATCCGTTGGAGCGAGCTGTTGATAGGCTGTAACATCGACAAATGCTCGTGCCGAGTCTCTTGCGTCACTAGGGTTCCGGCAGCATTCGAGAACGACGGAGCTGTATTCACCGCGTAGTCGCCAAGGTAATCGGCGAAGAGGGATTCGTGTCTCCATGATTGCATGGCATACGAGACCTTGTCTATGTTAGCTAAGACATCAAGGGATCGCAAGAGCAACCCACTGTTTTTATTCCTGACATTAAGGAAGCCCATCCTTTCCTGTAGAATAATTAGTAAACGATGTGTTAACGGGTACTCAGCATGGTTGCTTACCAATCCGTCGCCTGCCATGACAGCAGTAGTGACGATGCAACCACAGCGTCCGAGTTCGCTCTTGAGAAGTTGCCGATAGCCTCATGCAGGCCTTTAAGTGCAACGCTGCCATAGTGGAAAGCAAGATTCCGCGTCTCTGGCGAAGTGGATATCCATGCAAGATGAGATGCAGAGAACGCAAGGATAGAATGCTTCACGAACGGATGCGACGCTGCTAAGCTGAGGAATCTGCGAGGATGTCAGCGTTCCATCGGCGCACCCGGCTACGAGAATGCAACGATCGGTGCTTGGGAAGCTGCTTACTTTGGCAGATACTCTGGCCAGACCGTCAGCTTCGATGTCCCTCTGCGGAACATCTCATTCGCAATGGAAGAAAGATGATGGATCAGTCGAAGCTCGGTCTTTGAGTACGTTTGCCATTGCGGTTGAGGAAATACAGAGAGCTCGGTGAAAGGGAAGTTTCCCGTCTGTCTCCATAGCTCAACGGTGCTTTCGATCTCTGGAGTCCACAGCAGGTTTGGCTGGCGAGGACTGCTTGATCTCTCCGGCGAAGCACTATGCGGACTGTCTTGATAGTCGCAGCGCACTTGGTGCTTAGTGCAGTTTCGACTGCGATCAAGTTAGCCCCGACCATCGATCATAGATTAACTTTAAGGCGCTAGACTCGAGGGATTAATGTTTACCATTGCGGAAACGATTCATCACAGCGGATATGCCTCCTCTTGCACGTCTTACATCCCTTACGTGACTTCGTGTGGCTCCGGCGTGAAGGACCACCGCCAGGACCGGCCATAGATAGTCGTGGCAGAAATCCTTGGAAGATTTGGAATACTGAGATATCTGGGTTGAACGCGGACCCAGAGGCGGCACAGCAGGCTTTGTGTCAAGCTTTCGCAGAAGACAGCCTTGGTGTTAATAAGCTCCCGAGGGGCTGTGTAGGCAGATCGAAGATCCGAGCGTCGAAATGTAGGAGACGCCAAGGTTCAGTGTTCACAGAATGAGGCTGAGTCAAATGATATGCGGTCGAAAAGGAGGTACAGATATATAACAAGCTCCGCTGATGGATGGACCACCGGTAGGGCCGATGTTACTGCTGTATGTCATGCAGCGGCTTCTCGAAGCTCCAACGGTGTGCAGAGCGTTGCAGCGGTAAGGTGAGGCAAGCTTTGGTTAGAGTTACTTGAACAAGTCTGCTGCGTCAGCGTGGTGTGAGTGTGTTTAAAGGATTCGGAAGTCCCTGACGAGCTGCTGTCCACAACCGAGATTGTTTCTGATGCGAAGTGACCACGGCGGCATGCTGGTCATGATCGAACCCTGCAGTATCGAGGTCTACAAATAGATACAGCTACCAACGCATTGCCTAGCTTGGTCGCGGGGAAGTTAAACGGGAGTCCTAACATGATAGGCACGCCCTGTAGCAGTAGAACTCGTATGACATAGCCTCCGTGCAGCTATCCCGCCAACGGTCAAGCTCTTCCCAAGCCCATGGTCGACAGTCAGGGAAGCCATGCGGAGGCTGCAGCAGATGGGCTTACCCTCGTCCTGCTTGACTAAGTCATTCGACTTCTTAGTATTAGTTGGCTCCTCTCCCGCTCATCGAGATCGAGTGAGCCGAGCCCTTCTCTAGCCGGACAATTTTCCCCCTCATTAATAGTCCTTGCGCCCTGCACTGCGTTAGCAGCTCGAAGCTGAGCTGTCTGTGGCCTGCACATGCGAGCATGCGCGAGGCCGACGCCACGTCTCGCGCTGTTACAAGGGCACACCCTTAATTCGTCGTTGGAGCACACAGCTGAACTGAACCTGGTGACCGGCCGTCTTGGAAACCGGGCCGCCGACAAGCTATGGCCGACTTCGGCATAATCGGGAAGCTTGAGTGAGACAGCTCTGTCAAGGCATGGTGATTGCCCTTTGAGGGAAGTGCTTTTCGCAGCGGAGAGCCAGCTTTGGAGCGGGTTCCGCCGAAGGTGTCATGTCTATGGTTGCGGACGGTGCTGCACAAGCTTCGCTAAATGTGATGGCGCCCTAAAAATAGAGTTCGAGCTGCAGCCCGCCTACCAGGCTGCTTTTTTTCTCTCGAGTCACCGGACGAGACGATAAACACCAGCATGGAGCGCGTAGTCAGGCTGATCGCTGTCCATCGCGATCCGCTCCACATCTGGTCAACCTATGCGGTAGCTGACTGAGCGACGTCACAACCACGGCGGCTGAGAAGGAAACATTGATGCTCAGGATGCTTGCCAGCCCATTGCAGATAAGCAATACCCCACTCCGCTTAGGGGACTGCCTTCCGGCGCACGTACCTGCGTTTGCTCTATTCTTACCTGCAGACGAAGAGGACGGTTGGCCAAGGCGTTACAGTACATAACGGTCGCTCCGGTAGCAGCTGGCAAAGCGTAGTGCCTGTGCGGTGGTAAAGGTAGTAGCATCGTACCTCAGCGAGTCCCGAGATTGCATGTTTTGAGTTGAGATTTCCTTGTGGACAGCCGTTGTGCCGACGCGTTTGAGCTCTTCGAGATGGCCTCCAGCTCGAGCGCAAAAGTAACCGCCAGTAAGGCTGACCATGGTGCTCGGTACACCGGCCGGATCAACATGGAAAATTGCCTAGACAGTCGATGGTGCCGTCGGCGGGTAGCACTGCATATTTCTTGGGTTCTCCTTACTCGTGGAGAAATCACCCGGCATGCTCTTTGGACTGAAAAGCGAAAAGCGACGTCGCATCACCATGCATGAGCCTCTCCGCCACCAATGGGAGACCGGGACTTCGTGATTATTCCTGTATGACGAAAAGAGAAGCATCCGGAGGACGCGGTCTCAGCAGCGCGTTATTCAGGTAAGCATTCACCGAGACATCGGTGCTTGGTAGATAGCAACCACAGTTTTCATAGACAGACTTGACAGACCAGCAACGGGGAGACAACACCAGAACACACTCAAGTCCAGTATCTTCATCCTATTTTCGTCCTGACGGGGATGGTGACGTGCGTTAGCGAACCACCGCAGCAACCACTGGAGACTCCAAGGGTTATCCAGAAGGAACGTCGCCAGTCTCTTCATCCAGAAATTGTGCCCGTCCCCGCAACGTTCGCTCTGGATGGCCCTTGCTTGCAACGAGTCGAGTCATGAGCCTGTCGTGGGAGAGCATTGAAGTCAAAACAGCATCAAGGGCGCGCGTGATGCTAAAAACACCATACGGCCGAAACACCCAAAACGGTTCCCAGGGGACTGGTAAAGCCTCGGCCGGATTAGAGGCCCGATGGCTTGCACGCTCGCTCACTGAAACCTGAGGCAGATTCGAGGAATAGCGCGTTGCTGGTTGCGTGTGAGAGAGATCGGGCTAGGGGAGACGGCTGCGGTGCGGAACGGGTGGTCTAACGGTCTAGCGAAGTGATAGCGGTGATATTAATAGGTATATATTGTTTATCCTCGCGGCTTCGAGTCGAGTGCCAATTGCTGGAACTCTCTCCGCTCGACGATCGACAAAAAGGAAATGAACGCGCTGGTTGCGATAAATTAAGAAGTCCAATGAGACCTTGGTCTCCGTGGGACATATCTACCTACAGCTATCTACAGCTATTCTAACGGCGACAGGCGTAACATCCTGCAGCCACCAACTCAAGTCTGGGACCCACAGTGATGCAGCCGTGTCACAGAAAACGGCCCCCACCCTCGTCGCCTCGCCCATGGATGAAAACGCTAGATAGAACGCCTCAGATGTCTCTATATGATGCCCCGCCCGCTTTAGAATTACCCCTGGAACACTGCTCATTGAATTTCCAGAACCTCCCATGCCTAGACCCCGCCATGTCTTTTCGTGACATCATGCCGTGTGGATCGATATGCTACGCCGAACGCTCGTGACAAGAAGCAAGCAAGAACTATTTACGGGTTGTAGATTTGCCGCAGGGCTTCCTCCTTGTCCGGCGGCAGGTGGTGCAGGAAGGCGTCGAACTGAGGTATCATGCTTTTGTACACGGCCAAGACCTATCGGGTGGTTAGCGTTGCGAGATTAACGCATGAGGTGTGCGTCTGTGGAGAAACACGAACCTGTTGGAAACACTCAACCGGCGAGTCCTGGTTGGGACTCTGTAGGAAGCCTTTCGGAGCACTTGCAATTTCCAGAAAGAACTCGAGCAGGCACTGCTCCATTGCTGGCGGATTGCAGAGAACGATCTTGGTGAAGCCCGTAAGCGCTTGGCCCTTTTCATCTGTCCACTGGACAGGCCTGATCGCTCGTACGAAGGGCGGCCCGAAGGTTGCGAGATGTGGCGCCAAAGCTTGCGCGTTACCCACTCCCAGCCTACCGAGCGCAATGGCGGAGTTCTCGTTCAGCGACTCCGGAATCTTGTCATCGAAGAGGATGGCCACCAGTCGCTGCAGAAGACGGTCAACGTAAGGCGCCGTGCCCTCTCCTTGCCTCATGGCGATCTCTCCAACGGACCAGCAAGCGTTGTTAACCACGGAGTAGCCATTTTCGCCCTCGTCAACTCGCAAAACCAACTGCGTCAGGTCGAGTTGAGCGATGAGGATTTCCAGCAGTGAAGGGAGGTAGGGCTGCAGTTGCTGGAACACATAAATGGCGCAGTCGCCGAGCAGAGCGTACGCTGACTGCCGGACGTCGTTGCTCTCGTCCTTCATACAATACCCAAGAAGCTCGAAGAGATTGGGCTGGGAGGCGGCGACCAGTTCAGCAGCCCGTCGCTCATCCAGAGCTTGGATGATTGCGCTGAGAAGGTCGAGGTTAGTGACAAGGAAGTCTTTGTCCGGTACGTCAAAGGCCAGATCGGTTGAGGCGAGCCAGTAATCCTGCAGGTTTTGGTGGATGATGCCGATACACCTCATGAAGATGGGCGCTGCGAAGGGGGCAAAGGCGTCGCCCAGGGCGCTTGCGACATACGACAAGCACTCCAGTAACGGGAACATCTCTCTCGACTGATCAGAGACTTTCTGCCAGCGTTGTATTAGCGCCGGCATTAGCAAGTTGACCAGTTCAGGTTTTGCTAGCTTGGAGCCTACGTGCTCCGCTAAGGTCTGGACGCAGTCGTACAGTATGAACATGTTGCGATCCTTATACCGGGCAAAGCATTCGACGAACTGGCGCACAATAACCGAACAATACGGGACAAGCTCTTCCTTGGCCTTCTCCTCCAGGTTCGCAAAGGCGGAGGCAGCCGCTTCTTGGACCCGCTTGTTGCTGTCGAGCATCCGTCGGAGGATGCCATCCATCATCGGCTCGAAGTATAGCAGCTTGCCATCCTTGTCAAGATGAGAAGCCCAAGCTGAATAGCGACCGAGGGACCAACATGTGATCTGTCGCACAACAGGCTCCTTGTCCTGCAACAGCGAGATCAGATAGCGCGTGAGGTCGGGCAGATGTGGTTGCACGGCATCCATACAGCCATCCGCAACAGCGCCGAGCGCAAGTACTGCCGCTTCGCGGTTGGGCCATTCCGGGTGGCTAAGGTTATCTTTAAGGTAAGGTAGAAGAATCTCAAACACAGGGTCGTGGAAGACGGACGCGAGAACGTCGAGAGCCGCAGCAGAGCACTTGCGAAGGTTCCACTGCTCTTCCGGATCGGGACCGTTGTCATCATCGTCGTACTCGTCGATTTCACCTTCGCTAAGCTCATCGTCATCGTACACAGTGGTTGAAGGTTTCGATGATCCGTTGGTGCTGGCAGCGGGTGCTTCCCCATTATTCGCTGTGGCGAGTCGTGCGCCTTTCGAAGTAGCGAAAGTGGGTTTGATGTCTTGCTCTCGGTCTTCTTGCTCTGCATCCTCATCGCCTCCTTCTAACCGCAGCACGTCGTCCTCGCCGTACACCATGCTCTCCAACAACACCGGGACGATTTTCGGAAGATACGGCCCAAGGCAGCTGCGCAGGTTCTCATCCTCCCCTACACACAGCCAGAACTCCGCGGCATCAAGCGGTAGCTCAGGGTCGTCAGAGCTTCTTTGCTGGATAATCATGAAGTCTACCAGTCCGTCCATATGCGGGATGATCATTTGCGGACTTATGTCGGCAATGTGGATGAACGACCTGCAGACATGTTTTCGAACGTCGTCGCTCGGGTCGCTTGTTAGCTGGATGAGTTGGAGTAGTAGATTATCCAGATTCGCTAACACCGCCTGAGGCTTGTCCGGAACGAAAACATTGATGCTCGCCAAGGCCAGAGCTCGTGCTTTTGCTGAGGGGCTAGTGGTGAACTCTAACAGCTTTGGAAATATGAAGTTTAGTGGCCGCTGCCCTTGATAGTCCTTGTCCAGTGCGCGTTTGTTGTCCTCGCATATCTTGAACAAGGCGCCCATTGCACCCTCTTGCGCCTGAGTCGACACCTTGCCGCTCTCATTGCCGACTAATGCGATGAGCTCGGAGAGGATCTGTGGCCAGCCCATAAGACCCCCCTGTTTCACTACCTCCGTGATGATGTTCCCTGCGTAGTTCCGGATCTGGGGGTTCGGGTCTTCGAGGCCCATTAACACAGTCGACCGTATGTATGTCTTGCTCGACTCAGGCATCGTCTTGTATGATGTCTTTATGTCGTTTTTAAGCATAATTGCCGCCGCACTCCGCGCCATATGGTATGAATCCGGTGTCATATTCAGTGCTGCTGGCGCCTGTGCGCTCGAGAACAGGTACGCTAGGTAATTGTTGATGTCCGGCGACGCCTTCGCTTGCTTGAGCATGAGCTCCGCGTTTTTCTGTGCTCTTTTGTCATGCCCGCTCAACGAATCTCTGAGAAAGAGGGCCAGTTGCCTCAGCGGCTCCTCTTGCGGCTGCCAATCCATTATGAAAGAGTGTGGGCGTGGGTATCGCGATGCTTTCGAGTGCGGCCCTTAGGCTTCGTATGCCGGGATGTATAGGCGGTACGGAGATTGTGTGAAACTGGATTGACGGAGTCTGCGCGATGCTATAGGTGTACAGTGTTAACAGAGATTTTCAGAGTTTGAATGTTTAAGGGTACGCTGCCTCGCAGAGACGGGTTCCATCCGCAAAAATCTCCGTACCTTGTCAAGCCATGTGTGCCACCATGTCCACAGCGCGACTGTGCGAGTATAGCTCTGTGATTCTAGTGTAGCCAAACGGTCCTGATGGCGGGATGGAGGCTGCAATGACGCCGGAGCCGCTTATGCGCAGGCGACGGCGTGGTTGGTGGTAGATCTCCGCTCTCTGCAGAACGAGACGGGCGTCCCGACGTTGTGTAACAGGTGCCGTACAGAGAAAAAGTCAACGTGTGCGAGGAATGTAGCTGGGAGGGTATGGGCGGCGGTGGGTGGTCGTCGTCTGGAACAAAGACGCTGCTCGCTCCGTCCCTCTCAAAAAAGTGCAAGCGGGGCGAAACCGAGCTTTCTCTCCGACACCTGCCCACACCTGCCCACACCTGCCATCATCAAGGTCAACGCCCTTTTGACGCACCTCCTCCGCTGCAACGTCACGTTTCCACCGATGAATCCCATGGTACGCGCGAAGGTGATGGCTTGTTATTGGCTGGCTGTTGATGGCTCGCGCATACACATCCGCGACTTCAACCACACTTTGGCATCAGCGCACCTAGATCTTGATGCGATGTTGCCCAACCATATTGCACTTCCAGGAGTAATAATGGCGCTGCCGAAGTCGACAACCGCCTACTTCCTGTGACAACCCGAGTTCCGCGAGTAGTTCTGTTGTACAGATAGTATATCCACCCCATGCCCTACCGGAATCCAGACGATCAAGCGCCGGTGCGGTGTCAGATGTCAGAGACAAGCACAGAAAGCGTTCGTGCTTTTAGATCGTCTCTGTTTCCTTGTACATTCAAAGTCATGGTGCCTTTGCCTTGACGACATTCGCCTCTGGCTTGTCGTTTCCACTCTACATTAAGTGTCCTTTCATGACAGGCTTCACACCCAGCCTATCTCACTTCCAATATCGCTACCCCGAAAGGAACCCTCTCCCTGAGTAGAACCGGACCTAATTCTACCAAGGCTGTCCAAGGATCGCTGCTTTGAGCCGGCAATGCTCCACATCGGGGCGTGGTCATGCAAGAAGCCGCCCTGTCAATACCGCGAACAGCACGCACCTGCTACACGGATCACCGAAACCGTAGAACTCGTGCTTGTGGATGAGGACATCACTGACAGCGGAGCGATTTCCGCAAGGCTGTAGCCTTCCTTCGGCTGAAGTGAGCCGAAAGATCGTGCTGGCCCTCGTACCACTAAGCCAGGAAGACAGTCAACCTCATATAGTGTCACGACAGCCGCGGAGTGGAATATGTAAGAACTAAATCACATGGTGTTCCAGATTCAGCACGCGTTCTGCCATGAGTTGAGCTTCCGTCTCGTGACGGGGATGCACTGGTGCTACTGCACCTGCTATTATGATACAGGGACTCAGGTGCTTCCAAAGTCCTGAGTGTGTTGACCATCAGTCAGATCAGGATTGTGCTTGATGGAGCTGCTACTTGCCTAGCCTTCATGCGATTCGCTTATAGCGGCCGTGGGCCCTTTGCACACACGCAAGCTACTGCCAGCTTAACCTGAGAATAAATGCACCTTGGCTCTTGCTTTTTGCATTTAGTATAACCCGAACCCATCGAATGTGCCGAGAGACAGACCGTGAAGCTTGTCAGAAGAAGTGTACCTTCCGTTGGTCGACATTAATCCGTTTGTTCTATCTAAGACCTTCAAGAGTCAAGAGAGCATTCCTGGCATCCGAAAAACAGGACGCTAGTGATTGGTCAAGACGTCTGATATGGTACTCTAACATAAAGTGCTTTAATATCAGACTGCAAAACGCATAATAGCGGCAGAACTGCTGTCTTGCAAGCGCTCGTGAAATATTATGAACTGAATATTTTGCATCTGCGGAAACCGTCTCTTTGGAGATCGATGCTGGCGCCGCGCGGAGGTGGCGAGGCGTGATGGATCTCGGCGTGCGGTGCTCTTGCAGGGCTGGATCATGCAAACGGACGACGCCCATCTCAACACAGACGGTGCGACAGAAAGTGGACCAACCTCTCGCAACCACCCGCAACTCATCCCCAACATCCTCAACCTGTTCTCGCCGGCTCTTTGCATCGCTCGCCGGCTCCACCGTGACTCAACCACCTCCGCAGCATCCACCGCCCGCCGCAGCCAATACCTAGATCTCTACGTCAGCTCGGACCCCACTGGAAGGGGAGAGGCGACGCAGCAACAGCACCAGAGCTCTGCAGTCCGGCCTGGCTCAGCACAGTATTCGAGACAGCCGCCTCTGCCGCGACTGTCCGGTGGAGGTGGGAGACGACAGATGAGGCCTTCGCACGGCAGCCTCGCGCCAACTACCCTCACACGATCGTATCTACAACCCCAGCAGACGGCCTTGGCGGAAGCGGAAAACATCGAGTGGGGTCCTGCGACGATGCATATACCGAACGCTAGGCCGGTGCGGATAAGTGCCAATGTCGGCTCGACCGGCAAGGGCATTCTGATTGGGATGCTGTCGGCCTTTGGATCGGCCGCGCTCATTGCAATTATACTCGCCGTTGTCTACTTCTTCCGCTATACACAGCAGGGACGCATCTTCTTAGACCGGATAGGGAGGCCGGGTGAGTACGATGATGAACAGCAGTTTGCGAAGGAGGAGGCGGAGGCGTTGGAGGAGATGGACGACATCCAGCGCATGGAATATCTCAGAGCTAAAGGTATGTCCTCTGGACTTGCGACTTGTGCGATCGAAGTCATGCCTTGATGAAGGCTCGCACCTGGTGGCAAAGGCTCATGATCATCACAGCATACGTTCAAGCGAATCCGCCCGAATCCGTTCAAACCGATATATCATTGTCGCAATTCCTTGCAATACAAGAAAAGGGTGTTTCTGCTTGGGAATTTGAACCGGAGCTCGAGATCGCCAATTGCTTTGTGGAGGGCCGGACCGAGATCGAGTTCTTTGACTCCGAGTGCAGCGTGCAGAGCAACCTGCCAGTGCCGAAGCAAAACGAGGTGTACTATTGGGAAGCAAAAATATACGACAAGCCGGAATCGACACTCATAAGCATTGGCATGACCACCAAGCCGTATCCACTGTTCAGACTGCCTGGTGAGTGGCTCCACAGTCATCCAAACTGAAGCGGACAGCGGCTGACTATTTTAAGGCTATCACAAATATTCCGTAGCTTATACCTCCACCGGCTCACGGCGGTACAACCAACCTTTCACACCCACTTCCTACGGTCCGGAGTACGTGCAGGGTGATGTAATTGGCGTCGGCTACCGCCCTAGAACCGGAACAATTTTCTTCACACGCAACGGAAAGAAGCTGGAAGATGTTGCACATGGCCTCAAGGCACAAAACTTCTTCCCGACCATCGGAGCCAATGGTCCCTGCCAGGTGCACGTCAACTTCGGCCAGATGGGCTTCGTCTTCATCGAAGCGAACGTCAAGAAGTGGGGCTTAGCGCCGATGACCGGCTCACTAGCACCTCCGCCGCCATATGGCAGTGAGCAAGGGAGCATATTGCTAGAAGGAGGTCGCGACGGCGTGAGGGAAGGCATGGGTGGATACATGGCTGCGGGCCTGCACGGCCATACGAGGAGCAACAGCCAGCAAGTCAGGCTGGGACGACAACAGCCACGGAGTCCGGGACCTCAGCGATCGCCGACAGATATCTCTCTCGCACAGCTCAGCCTAATTGACTCACAGGATTCGGATGCCGGCGAGGGGACAAGCTTCGACGCGACACACGAGATCGCGGAGCATCCGGGCCATCCCGGTCTCGATTTCCAACCGTCGGACGTGCCGCCACCGGAGTATGAAAGTCCAGAGGGCACGCCGGCACAGGAGCGGCGGCGGAGATTGGGAGACGAAGCGGACGAGAGAAGGCCTCTCATAGGCCACAGGGCGGATGAGCCGCCCATACCGAGCTACGACGCGGCGGTCGCGGATTCGTATGGAGAGAGAGGACGTAGGTGATACCCAGGATTCACGGTCGTGATGAGTCACGGCTATCTTGACGACTTGTATGTTGGCATATTGGACAGGGCTGGGAAAGAATCCAATTGGCGCTTTGGTCTTGTCTTCCTTTCGCTCGTTGCACGCTGGGGAAAACAGCTGGATTGGGTGGCTGGGTGGTTTTGTGGAGCATCTGATACATAGCTTCGGTGGGCCAGGCGCAGGTTGACACTTTCTTCTAGTATGTGTCACTCACTGTAAACACAATCTTCAAGGGCCTTCTTTGCCAGTTGAAATTGTCTCTCCAAACACGGACTTCGTAGAACCTATATTGCAACAATTAGCCTGGGGTTGCCATAACACTGGTTGGCAGCTGCTATAGGATAGAACCACATGCTGACGTAATGATGCTTGTGCTTGAAGTCAACCTTTTTTTTAAACGTCTCTAGGCTAACACTGAGTCAACTGAACAACGCTCCCTTGCATGGCTGTGCATGTAGAACCTGAAATCCCTTTGAGTCACTCGTTCCTCCACGCTGGCTACCCAGCTTACCGCCGTTAGGCACTTAGGGAGTTTCACGCGATCTCCTTCCTCAAGGGTTCCACTACGAACGAGCTACCGACTCGGTGACACCAGACAGTTCCGACTAATCTCTGCCTCGTCACAGCACTTCAACAAAGCCCTATCCAGGTCGGGCGAGATCCAACAATTATACCAAGGACATACCAGAAACCGCGGGGAGGCAGCCCCGAGTAGCGAGAAAGAGTCATCCGCGAGCAACGCCGCACTGAGAACCCGTATCAGTTCAGCTCCTTCACCGGCGCTCGAGCAAAAAAAGCCCTCGCATCGCATCCGGACCTACAAGAAGAAGGACCGCACAGCTCCCTATCTCATCAAACCGCCGAGCTCTGCTCATACGCAACATTCAGCCTACAAAACACATCTCCTAATCAAGCCATGCGGTAGCACGCCCACAAAGAAGCCTGTAGTGGAATCGAAGTGGGTGTCCAAGACAGGGGGGGCAAGAATGAAGTCCCACGTTCAGATCCTCACGACGCCTACGGCAGACACGCCCGGCACAATCCTCCTCCTACACTTCGACCAGAAGCGCTACCTCATTGGCAACATGTGCGAGGGCACGCAAAGAGCATGTGTACAATCTGGCGCGCGGCTGCAGAAGTGCCAGGAGATCTTCATGACCGGGAAGACGGAATGGGCGTATACCGGAGGCCTGATAGGCATGATCTTGACACTGGCTGATTCGCTCAAGTCGGCCGTTATGTCGCAAGCCGAGAACAGGGCGAAGAAGAATGCAAGGAAGTCGTTCAACGCGCCACCTACAACCGGCGAGCAGGAGAGTACGAGGCTGACTTTGTTCGGAGCACCCAATTTGAACCATACGTTGGCTACCGCGCGGAGGTTTGTATTCAGAAAGGGCATGCCAGTTGAGGTGAAGGAGCAGAGAGGTGCCGACAACGTTAGCCATGATGGTTCAGCAATGCTCCCCACCTGGTCCGATGAGAACATACTGGTTTGGGCCATGCCTGTAGTGCCGGTTGATAACAGTAGAGTTCACTCTCCAAATGGTACATTGTCACCACGAAAACGGAGCTTCGCTGAGTCGGAGGGTTTCGAGCCTCCAACCCCTCCGATTCGTCCTGAAAAGTACAGCCAAGAAGAACATGACCAAATAGTCCAAGGAGTAGTTTCACACATGTTTGACTCGAACTGGCGTCTTGATGCGCTTGTTGAGATGCCCCTATCTCACGTCCGGCTACCCGCAACCATCTTCGTCCGCGATCCGGACACCAAGCAGATACGGAAGTACTCAGGTCCTTTACCGAGTAAAACGAACGAGGTACCAGACATCCCTGTATTAGTGAGGACGCCGTGGCCTGGTGCTTCCGTTAAGACTCTGCCGCCAACTAAGCCGGCAGAAGAAGCTGTTTCCTACATCATTCGCAACCACACTCAACGAGGCCGGTTTGATCCAGAGAAAGCAAAGGCGCTCAAGATTCCGAAGGGCGGGTGGTGGGCTAAACTCGCTGGAGGCCAAGATGTCCAGAATACGGACGGCGAGACCATTACCCCTGGCATGGTGTTGGGAGAGCCCGAACCAGGCAACGGCTTCGCGGTGGTAGATTTGCCGTCCGCAGATTATGTAGAGCCGCTGCTCGCACGGAAGGAATGGGCATCGAAAGAGGTGATGGAAGGTATTGGTGCCATTGTATGGATCCTTGCGCCCGGCGTTGCCTCACACCCCTCAATGCGCAAGTTTCTGGTAGAGAGGAGCCACATCAAGCATATCGTATCCTCTAAAGATCACTGCCCAAACTACCTCGCGATGGACTCTGCGGCGTCCTCTAGTATTCGGTTGGGTCAGATTGACCCTCGGCGGCATGAAATTCCCTTCTTTGATAATGTGTCGGTACCGCAAGCAGGATCTTCCACTCAAGGCAGTCGTGTTGAAGCGCTACCCGCAAATGCCATTGCAGCTCAAAGAGGGCAGATTGTGCAGTTACAGCCTTCTTTTGAGCTTCAGCAACATCAGGTTGTATCCTTTGTGGACACCCTGGGGGTATTGCAACAGACCTCCCCACAGCTACTGGAGCTTGCTCGGCAGGCGAGACAGGATGTGGTGAACGACAAGCAAAGTCTCGAGGACTGGGCACGCACAATCCCAAACTCAGATGCTGAGATCATTGCACTAGGCACTGGATCAGCATTGCCATCCAAGTATCGGAACGTCTCCGCTACTCTGCTTCGAGTTCCCGGCGTTGGTTCCTACCTCTTCGACTGCGGCGAAAACACACTCGGACAGCTCAAGCGCGTATACGCACCCTCCGAGCTACAGGAAGTCCTCAAAGACCTGCGCATGATCTGGATAAGCCACATGCACGCCGACCACCACCTCGGCACCGTATCCGTCATCAAAGCCTGGTATGAAGCCGTGCACGCCTCAAAGCCCACCACCGTACCTATCCACATCGCCTTCCACAACTCGACCATCTCGTCCCCCGACTCCCCTTCCAAGCCCCAGCACCTCGCCGTCGTCTCCGATGTCGACATGCTCGACTGGCTCGCCGAATACAGCAACGTCGAAGACTACGGCTACAGCCGCATCGCCTCCCTCGCCATCTCGAGCGCCGTCTTCACGGCCGACGAAACTGTGCCTTCCATGCTAGACTGGAGCCACACGTCCGCGCCCGCGACCGGAGTCTCGAGATCCAAATATCCTGCGCTCCTCGGCCTCGAGGATATCCAGGCCGTCGCCGTGCACCACTGCAACGGCGCCAAGGCCGTCAGCCTCACGTTTCCGTCGGGGTTCAAGGCGAGCTATAGCGGCGACTGTAGGCCCTCGCGAAGCTTCGCACGGATTGGGAAGGGCACTACGGTCTTGATCCATGAAGCGACGTTCGACGATGAGCTGGCGGGCGATGCGGTCGCGAAGCAGCATAGCACTACCTCTGAGGCGCTGGGCGTCGGCGCCGCGATGGGCGCCAAGGCGGTCGTGTTGACGCACTTCTCGCAAAGGTATCAGAAGATCCCGGTCATGGAGTTTGATGGGGGGAGTGAGATTGAGAAAAGCCTTGAGGACGACACCGTGGCGACTGAGGAAGAGGGGGGCGATGCTAAGATGACGGGCATGAGTTCCGCGGACGGCCCTGCGCTGCCGCAGGACTCGTCGCAGGGCGGTGCGGCGGCGGTGGTCAGGGTGAAGAGTAGGGATATGAAGGTTTGTGTCGCTTTTGACTATATGCGGGTTAGGGTCGGGGAGATTGCACAATTGGAGAAGTTTACCCCGGCGCTGTTGGAGTTGTTTGCTGAGCCGGAGAAGAAGAAGGATGCTGAGGCTGGGCAGGTGGATAAGAATAACGCGGCGGCTGCTCCGCTCACGGTCACGGCGTAACATACTCGGTCTCGGTTGCACTCGGGTGTGAGCCAGCAGAGATGATTGAATTTCCGTAGCTTGCATTATGGCCGACAGCGCTTTGTATCTGTACGAGCTTTCTACTCGGTTTCACACCGGATTGGCTTTCTGGATAGAGGGTTATGATGTATACTTAGCATGGAATGGGCGTCTTATATTTTCTGGGAGGCACCCTCAATCCATTGAATCTACTGTCTCAATCAGCTATGAGTCACCAGGAATCATTGACAGCCTCATGTCAATCTTTAATAATCGCATGTCGTTTTGATAGGATATTGCGGCCTGAGATACCAGGCTACTATGCCCCGCCATGCCAGAAGTTTTCCTACCCCACTGACGTCATACTCAAGTACGGCTCTGGTGTTGTGCGGTGCATGTTCAAGTGAAGTGGCGATAGAGTCACAGCGGCTCTTAGGGTCAATCGAGGCTCCTGTGAGTACGGGACGGGCAGCAAACATTCCGCAGGATTAAAGCAATAGAGATATTACCAGCTTTGTTCTGCAGCGTCAAGGCGCCACGATCTGGGAACAGGGCATACCATAGAATCATGCATTCATGCTATATCTGAATTTTCCTAATTCCTCCAAGTGTACTAGCCGCTCATCATGCTCCTCTCTCGCGTTATGTCCCTAGGCTTTTGCTCCAACCGCTTTGGCCAGGTCCGCCAATGCCTCGCGCCGCTTGAACTTCGCATCCTGAACAACGCCTGCGATCCATTAATTTCCTGTTCCCGTACAACTAATGCCTTGCTCAGGCTTTCGACCGTGTGGGTACATACCAGCGTCAGCATCGCTGGAGAAATTCCCGCTCCAGGTAACGAACGTGTGGCCCTCGTGCTTGCCGGAGGTGACCGGGAAGCAGCGGATCGTGCTCATGACGGAGGTGTAGCTGAGCGCGGGCTGCGAGGTTATGACGCTGTAGGTTATGAAGTGGTCGATTGACTGTTTTGCCCCGGCGGGTTATGTTAGCTTGGTGTTCCGCTCTAGCTTCCTGTGCTTTGCTGCTGTCCACATCCCCAGAACTCCCCCCTCCCAGCTCATGGAATCGCGGGATGTGGAAAACAAGGTGCGGATGTATCATGTGTGGTGGCTGCTTACAGAATGCTCTTCCTGCTTGACCTCCAACACATGTCCGTCCTTGAACGTCCACTTGACAATGTCGGTCTCGGGCGAGATGTCTCCCGTAACGGTCTCGGACTTCTCGAGCGCGCTCCAGAAGGAGGAGAAGGAGGGCAGCTTGATCAGGTGCCAGACGTCGGAGAAGGGGGCTTCGATGACGGCGGATTCGAGGACGGAGGTCGTGGTGGGGATTGTGCTGGACATGGTGGATGGGTGGGTGGTTGTCTGGATGATTTGGGATTGGGCTTAGTTTTGACTTGGCTGAGAGATGATTGAGGCTTTGGTTATGGGAAATGTGGATTGTGGGCTGGTGGGGGTTGTGTTTGTGGTTGTGCGGGAAATTTCATGGAGGATCTGCGCAATGATGTTATGCAGGTGCAATTGGCCGGGGGAGCTTCCGGAGCTGCCACGCTGCGAGATGGGGAGGCACCTGCAGCACATGGGAGGCAAATCTAATTCCATAGAGCACTGTCAACTCTATTCAAAACTGTTGTAGGTATGGGCATGGTTCGAACACTCCTGAGCGTTGAACTTCTTTAATGCTGAAATAGTTACAAGGTGCTGATCCTGCGAAGAGCAAATATGTTTTGAGGAAAGGTCATGTAAATGCTTCTTCTGCACTCATGCCATCAATGTCTATACCCAAGCCCACCTTTCCTATCACGCTACCACTCTCGATCATTTCATGTGCCTTACGAAGGCCACCAAGATCCAATCGCAACCTCTGCTTCAGATGGCATTTGATAGTGCCGCTGTCAATCAGCTCCGCCAGCCTGGAGAGCATCTTGCCGTAACTGTCAGTCTCAATCCCATACCAAGCTTCCGACCCCAGCAGCTCCCAGACAAAAGTCAGACTCTTGGCCATGAACTCCGTACCATACATTGGGAATTCTTTAGTTTGTACTATGCTGCAGACCTTGCCGAGAGGCGCGCAGACGGCGGCGGCGGGCTCCAGATACTGAGATGTCGAATGCGTGATGAAGACGTATTTTAATGGAACCGTGAGGTTTAGATCGCGGACTTGCGCCGGGATGTCTTCACGGTGGTTCACAGTGTGAGTAGCACCCATGGCTCTACTGAATTCTGTGGTTTCTGGGCGTGAGGTAGTCGTTACAACGACCGGAAGACGGAGAATGTGACGTGCAACTTGAGACGCAATAGAGCCGACACCTACAGCAATCATTAGGCAATGAGCCTCTAGGGCAATTTGATCTGTAGATTGATGGTCCCAAGCTTACCTCCTGCCCCATTGACAATGACTATGCCCGCCTCCTCGCCTTCTTGAATGCCCAATCGCTCCACCAGAGCCTCCCAAGCCGTCATCCATGCCACCGGCATGCTTGCAGCCTCAACATAGTCCAGCTTCTTCGGTTTCAGCGCAACACTCCTGCTGTCCACAAGCTGATATTCCGCGTTCGCGCCTGGTTTGATCGGGTCGCCTGAATAGAAGACATCATCGCCCGGCTTGAAGCTCGAGACTTCCGGTCCAACCGCTTCAACGGTACCAGAGCCATCGGATCCGAGGATTTGAGGAAGAGGAGGGGCGCGGGAATAGTAGTCCGGGTAGTCGTCGTAGATGCCGGCTCGGACTTTGGTGTCGAATGGGTTGAGCGAGGTTGCTTTTACTCTGCACGACAAACATGTTAGATCCAATGTCAACTACGGGTAGTATCCCGCTCAATATACTTTACAAGAACATCGTGTCCTTGAGGATCAGCTGGCTTTGGGACCTTGATTGCAACTAGATTGTCAATGCCGCCATACTTGGAAATTGCAATAGCTCTCATCTCCGCCATGGTCGCAACAGCACGATGCTTGAAGGCTCTTGGACTTTAGAGTAAACCCCATGATAAACAGTAAATACTATTGCAGCCGGTGCCGAAAGCCTACGTCACGACGGTGTTATGTAATGTATTTGACGGCAGGCTGCTGGTTAGTTCATTAACGGTACTAGTCGACCAGATGTGACACATCAACATAGATTTGTAAGGGAGGCTTATTTACGCACTCAATGCAGAAAGTAGATCAGGCCGTAAAGCACAGATTTCAATTTACTCCTATAGAATCAACCAGCTATCAAACCCTACAACATATCCCAGTAAGCCTTGTCGTTAAGATTTTTATCCTACTCGATGTCGACCTTCTTGATCTCAACGTAGTCCTTGTCGAGCTTGGGGACCTCGACTCTAAGGATACCATCTTCCAACTTCGCGGTGATCATGTCAACGTCCACTTGTGCTGGATTCGCCCTGCTTCCCAACCGGACCTTCCTCTCAAATGGCCCGACCTTTCTCTCATCCAGCGCCAGCGTCTTCAACAGCTCCTCGTCACCGGGCCTGTGAATCACACCCGTGACGCTCAACTCGCTCTTCTCGGGGTCCCAGTTCACGCCCAGGTCTTCCTTCTTGGCACCCGGCAGGGAGAGGTGGACAATGTAAGCGGACTCAGTGTCGAAGACGTCGGCTTCGGGGGTGAAGTCCGAGGTAGCTGCCGGCTCGCTCTTCGGGGCCGCAGCTCCGGTCTCGGTATTGTCGCCGAATACCTGAGACTGGAAGAACTCGCCTAGGGCACCGAGATTAAAAGGGCCGCCCACCGACCCTCCGCGAGCACCTTGGCCGCAGCGCCCGCCGCGACGGCCAGCCCAGGGGCCACCGCGGTGATGAGGTGGCGGGCCGTGATGTTCATGCTCTGGTGGTGGCGGGCCTTCGTGGTGTGGAGGCGCTGGTGGGGGAGGGCCCTCATAGTGTGGTGGAGCAGGCCCATCGTGGCCTGGTGGAGGTGGAGGTGGAGAGGGACCTCGGGGAGACTCAGACGGACCTGCTGGCCCTTCGTGGCGGTGGTGAGGAGGACCATGTCGAGGACCTCTGTGCCAGCCGCCGCGGTGAGGGGGACGAGCCCAGCCCCAGGGATCCCATTGAGCTTCTTCGTCAGAGCCTTGAGCGAAGAAGGGGTGGTTGGAGCCTTGGTTCTCAAGACTGGCAACGAAGTCCCAGAAGGGAGCTGACTGGTTGACGTAGCGGATCGAAGGCATATTGAATGACTTGTGATTGACAGAGAAGGTGATAGATTTGATGAAGCAACATTCAACTCGGCCAGCGAAAGCCAAGGTTATATACAGCTCACAGCAACAGGCACTCAGTGCGTACGTAGACTTGCCCCTCAGGCTTGGTCATCTCGTGAAAGCACGCGGAAACTCTTATCAGCCTATTGCGACCAGTTCGACGTCTCAAGAAACGGCGGGAAGCTGCGAGAAGAGGTGGAGGCTGCCATGACGCGCGTTTGGCGGTCCACCGGCTGATTGGGTTCTGTCACAGGCAGAAGGGGATGCGCGGCGCCCTCACTCGATGATTCGACGGAGCGCCACACTCTGTGGCGGAGGCGGGAACTCGCTGCACCCGACACGCCGATCTCGCCTGGGCTGGATGCGCCACAGCTTCTATCAGATGCAGTTGCTTGCAGCGTCTGGTGGAAGTCGGCGTCGTCTATGCTGAATTTGGTCGCTGAAACGTCTGCCCTTCGGATAAGGCGCGATCCCTTTGAGTCCATGGGTCCAATGCACATGCCAAGGCGTGGCTCGACCACGTGATGCTGTGTCGGAACTTAATTTTTCCATTGTCTACATTCTCTCTCTCAACTTCTCCACCAACCTCATCGACCTCCCAAGGTTGTTCCCTAAGCCGTACCCATCTATCGTGAGGCTCCTACTGTTCGCTTGGCCCGGCTGCCGGTGCATGCAACATACTGTGAAAGCTTTGTACCGCTTTTGTTAAGCAAGACGCGATGGAAGCACAGCATTCGTCTCCAATCCTTGTTCCTCGACTATCTTTGTTCTTCGGCGAGCAATTATTCGCAGGCTTTGTAGTGTCCCCTCCAACAGTGTGATCCTACCAATTCCACATTTATCGCCCGATGTACTTCCGTATTGCTGAAGATTCAGACGGTGCGAATGAGGACCTTAGCGTAGCGTAGGGAACTTCATTTTTTGGCCGGCCACAACCAAGGATGGGCTGTACGGTCTGAAGAGTCCATCGTCGTCTCGGTTGCAACTAGGCGAACCGCAAATCTGGTATCAGCACGAGGTATGTCGATCCGGATTGCTTCAATCACGCCGTTTTTGTTCTTTTATGATGATACTATGCAAATTTCACAGACCTGTTCTGAAACACCATGTGGATATCTTGCTTGGAGACCTTCTGAATTGTGTACCTATCGTAACCAGTTTGCTGTCTATTGCAACGCGTACACTAGCTGACCACATATGTGTTAGCCAGATACGTCTTATTCTCCGTTGCTACAAGCAGTCTCTATATTGCGGCATGTTGTGCGGATTAGCGTCAGTATACTGCGCATTTCAGAGTCCTTCAATACATCATTGTGGCATAGAAATTCTCTGTCTTTGTGGTTTTGTTACTGCCGGCTGTGGGCGAAGTACGCTATAACACCTACCATCATGCCTACTTTGGGCCTGTGGTCCGTCTCCTTGTGCATGGCCTGTCGAGAAGGTCCTTCAAAGCTGCCGAAGCTCAATGCCGCCGAGATCGTCGCATTGCGTAGCTGTAAGGCTGAGCCTTCTCGAGTGTTAATTTACATCCACCAACTGGAGCTTCCAACCATCCGCAATGGCTTCGCCGAGCGAGTAAGGGACTGCGATGACAAAGACTGCTGTATTCATCACAATGGATTGTATTGCATGCCGCGCCAGCACAGTGCCTTTGTTAGCCGCGGAGGTGCCAGTTGACGGACGTTGTTTCCTAGCGTTCAATAAAGGCTTTGTAGACAATGCGAATAACAAAGGGGCTGCGTGTAGTATGCCTGCGCATATAACCAAAGCCAGTATCAGCTGGCCTTCTTTAACCAGACCGTTCCTTTTGTGTCGTCTGCTGTGCATCGACACTGTTTTGATCTCATTTGCCAACTTCTCACTCACACGAACTAACAACAACATTCCATCTGACTACTGCTACCGGCTAGCGGTGAGTTTTTACGAACATGGCTACGAAGACTTCACCTACTCCCAATGTCGAGCAAGCGCCACTAACTGAGATCCAAGATTTCGGCCTGATGACACCAAATACACTAGACAGGATTTTTAACTCCATCGGTGAAGTCGAAAACGAAGACGACAGCCTCTTTGTGCCCATGGGTCCGGTCGAGAACGCGGTTCCCGACACCATTGCACCTTCGACCGAGACTGCCACAATCGCTCCGACTCAGACCTTTATGAATGCTGATCCGCAGCCACAGAATGGACTAACAAACGTCCAGGCCGATTGGAACAACGCGAACCCATCGAACCTCCAATTCTCCGACAACTCTAACTTCGACATGGATGATAGCTTCGCGAACATCAACGTCAGCAGGGTGACCTCCTCGCTTGAGTTTTCGGCAGTCCCCGGTACTGCAAATGCGATCTTTGGTCAACCGCCAATGCAGTACGTCAACAGCATGAATTACTTTCCCCAACATACGTACGCACAGCCTCCTGGTCACTACACTCAGTATCCTCCGCCAGATGCGCAATACAGCCAGCCATACCACGACGATCCATTCACCGCTCCCATGGAGATGAACCCGTACCCAGCAGCTGCAAATTTCCAGGCGCCTGTGGCACCAATACCGCCGGCAACCCAACCGAACCATCCAGCGATGGTTAGGAGCGATGCACAATTGGACTCTAATTCCTCGGATTCAGACAGTGCAGGGAAACGTCGACGACGCAAGGCGGCAAAGAATCCTGTAAAGTACAAGGCGGAAAAGCCCAAGAGAGACGCAAAGCATGCCTGGGTACGAACGAACACCACTACTAAAGGTGTTACAACACGCACTGGCAAGATCAACCAATACGACCCTTCCAAGGTGTATGAGAATGTTCCTCACACGAGCGATTGGTCATCCTCCAAGTATTTCCACGAGTACACCGAGGCTGGCGAGCTGGTAGACGGTACTTTCAGCGCAGACCAGCTGCATGAGTACCTCCACCAGTGGTCCACGTGGAATGGAGCGGACGGCGCGAGACTTATCCTCTGGATCCAGAGATGTCCTACGGACTCTGCTCGCAGGTATGCATCCGAGGGTGGCTCAAAGTGTCGATTCAAGCACTGCCCCGCGACCAATAACACAATCATGCACGGTCATTACCGTGTCGCCTTCGACGAGGTTTGGGCCAAGTACAAAACGCGAGCTGACCCGTTCATCCAGGCTGGGTACGTGCATCTCTACTGTTTAGAACGCTTCCTCGATTTCCCTGAGATCTGCGCAAAGCTCGATATGCGACCCGACGACCGCAAGATGATCCAGGAGCCGCGGGGTCATTGGGCCCCGGTGCTTGGAACTCATGATGCCGTAGTCGCCAAAGATTTCATCAAGCGTTGCAAGAAGGGCACGCTGCGCCAGAACGAACTGTATGCGAAGTACCCTGTGCACGACGCGTCTGCCCGTGGCGCGCACAAGGAACACGCGTTCACTCTGACTTGCCGCATGAGCGAGGAGAGAAACGGTCTGAGACCCGAGTCCCAGCAGGATCAGTTCCGTGGGCGAGGTAAGAGCGCTACTCACATCACGCAACACAAGGGAAACCTCCAGCAGATTGCCGATGCAAAAGCGGTAAAAGCCGGAAAGAAGACGAATGTGGTGGAGAATCCAGAAGACCAAGTCACCGAGATACAAGCCAACAAGGTGGCCTCGCCTAATCCGCCCCCAAAGCGGGCTGCTGCATTTAAGCTGAAGGCTCCACCTACACCGCGCCGGCAAACCAAAAAGAGGAAAGCTGCCGCGCCTGATGACTCTGAGGGTGAGACTGACGACGTACCAGGGAACCGTCCTCCAGTCAAAAAGGCTCGGCAAGTGACCAACGAGGACTTTGAAACACTTGGCCGGATGAGCGCCGCTCCGTTCATCGCCAGGATCTTGCAAGGTGAGCAACCTCTCGAGGAGGAATTTCCGCCAATGCCTACTCCAATGCAGGCGGGGTTCGTTTCTGAGTTGCAGAATGCCCGCGACCAGTACGCGCGCATCATTCGGCTACAGACTCCTGAAGAGTCTGTCCGATCTCCTGCCGTCTCTCGGCCCACCGTTGTCGCGGAGGTCGCTGACGATGTGACTGCTCAGCTCAAGCCTCTCCATGCCCCTTCGCCAGCGTCCAGCGACACGGTCTTCTTACCTGGCCCGCCGCTTAAGAAGGAAGATGACTTGTTTGGCAGCCCGACAAAGTAAGCTGTCCGGTGATGGTAAGCTGTACCGGTGAGCATAAGGTACGTGGATTTCCTCTGGCTCACTTTTCTGTCAATTCTCCTTGTCTGAGCATTCCGTAATCATCACTTGCATCGCAGTCATGTCGGAGTGCTGGCATTCTAGCTTAGCTTGACTTGTAAGGATACGTAGGCACAATGTACAGGTAGGTCCGAAGATAGAGTAAATCCACATATGCAAACATACCGATGCGTGTAGTTGTGCGAGGGACGCTCCTCCAAAGTTAGAAGCCAGTAATGATTAAATGGCTACCCCAATCCCTATATGGATTATATGCAAACAGTGAAGCACCAGTGATACTCTAGCCGTATAAATTTCGCTAGACTGAACCAGGCTGCTAATTTAACACTCTCTCTGTCGTAAATGCTGATGCGATCGCCTCCCGCCTTGGAGCTTTGCGACTTCCATCTCAAGGCTTGGCGCGAACATTGCCTTACCTAAGCAAACGTCGACTTTCACCAACACGGTACTGATCCAGTGAGCAACTTCCCTCGCAACCACTCAGCGTGCGGCACCATGTCTGTCCTTTTTATCTCCAACTAAACGGCCGCGCTCTGCGTGATGAAATCAATCACATCTCTAGCCCGAACACCTCGACGCGCGCACATCCCCACGGCACAGCTCGTCAGCACTCTCCAGTCACAAGCCGGCAAGACACGTCTTCTACTCCGCCGAACTTGACCTCTCTTCCCAGCGCAACGCACCATCCAGCATGGCTGCTCAACATGGACGCCAGTGGGGTGTTACGCCGCCAATCTCGACCGCGCTGCCGACTGATAAGGAGTTGGCGATAAACGAGGCAATGATCACGGAGCTCAAAAACCAGAACAACTTCGAGGGCCAGGCAGACACAGAGCGAAGGTGGGAAACACATGGAGCGTTTCAGATCGTCGGCTTATGGGTTACAGGCAACAGGTGTTGAAGCTGTTTCAGCGCGTCACAGAGGAGTTTGTCAAGCACGTGGGCACCCTCAAGGGGCTTTCACCTTCCGTTATCGAGAATGCTGGCGGTGCTGTTCACACGTTTGGAAGCTATCGTTTGGGAGTCTATGGACCAGGTCAGTGCAGGAATCAGTCCTGAACGACGCGCGTCGTGCTCCAGCGGATAGGGTATCTTGCTGACATCGATCGCACTCACTAGGCTCTGATATTGATACGCTTGTTGTTGGACCCAAGCATGTTTCACGGGACGACTTCTTCGAACACTTCCCTTCGCTCCTCAGAAAGATTGGGTCAGAAGACGCCATTACTGAGCTCACGCTAGTGCGAGATGCTTACGTTCCCATCATCAAGATCAAGTACCTGGACATAAGTATAGATCTGATCTTCACGCGGTTGGCACTGTCAGCAGTGCCTCTAGATCTAGACTTGAAGCAGGACAGCTTGCTGCGCGGCCTTGACGAGACCGACTTGAAGTGCATTAACGGAACTCGGGTTACTGACGAGATGCTGGCACTCGTTCCTCAGGTCAAGACGTTCAGACAAGCTCTCCGGGCGGTCAAACTTTGGGCTCAACGTTAGTGGGCGATGCATATCCACAGTGCACAGGATTGTTGCTAACTACTACGTTACAGGTCGTGCGATCTATGCTAACATTATGGGCTATCCAGGAGGAGTCGCCTGGGCCATGATGGTGGCGCGGATCTGTCAACTTTACCCGATGGCAGCAGGTGCCACTTTGGTCAACAAGTTCTTCCATCTTATGTGGGAGTGGCCCTGGCCCAGGCCGGTTATGTTGAAGGAGATAGAGGATGGTCCGCTGGATGTCAGAATATGGAATCCGCAGGTTAGTACCGCCCATTGTGCTTTGCTCGTATTGAGTGCTCACACATGTACCTCAGATCTATCCCGGGGACAAGCGTCACATCATGCCCATCATCACGCCCGCCTATCCATCAATGTGTGCTACTCACAACATCTCCTACTACACGAAAGAGGTCATCATCCGGGAACTCGAGCGCGCAAAGAGCATCACTAACCAGATCATGGATGGCAAGAAGCAGTGGAAAGACTTATTCGAGAAGAGCCCATTCTTCACTCAGGGCTACAAGTACTATCTGAGCGTGATCGCTGCAAGCAAGACGAAGGAAGCCCACGATGTCTGGTCCGGCCTTGTTCAATCTAAGGTGAGGAGGCTTGTCACAGGGATCGAACAGTCCGATACTGGTGTCGCACTTGTGCAGCCTTTCAACAAGGGTTTTGATCGAGTTCACCACTGCAAGAGCAAAGATGAAGAAGAGCAGGTTTGTCAGGGAAAGCTGGATTTTCAAGTCGACAAGACTGAAACTACTGAAGAAGCCAAGAACATCAAGCAGAATGCAGCGGCTGAAGGCGAAGGGGCCAACTCGAAAATGCCTTCTGGAGAAACCCCTGAGGTCAACGAGGACGGCACGACGACCATTTACACAACTACTTTCTACGTCGGCATTGGGCTCCAAGATGGTATGTATCAGTCACTCCTCCCAGGATGAAATGCGCTCACTTCTCCAGGTGCCAAGTCACTCGACATATCCTATCCTGTCGGCGATTTCAAACGTCAATGCACTGAATGGGACCAGTACAACCCTAACCTCAACTCTATCCGGATCATTCATACAAGGAAGTAAGCTGAGCCCAATTGACCTGCAGTGTGGTACGATCCAATCAAATAACACTGTCCTAGCTATGACCTCCCTGCGGATGTTTTCGAGCCGGGTGACGTCCGACCTACGAAGGCGAAGGCAAAGAAGAAGAGCAAGGTTCCCAGCAACAAGCGCAGCTTCACCGAGACCGGCATGGAGGTACGTCCCGCCCCTTCGACAAAAGCTTTCACGGATATAGACGGCTGGCGCCGTGGATACTGACTAAGTACTGCGGAAGTTCTACAGCTAACCAACTTTAATCGCACCCTCCAGGGCACAGAGACGAATGGTTCAGCGAAGAAGCGCCAATCTCCAAACGGCGTAACCACGCCAGCCGGTTGAGTCCAAAGCCAAGGTCTAGTTCGCTGAGGTTCCCTCCACGAAATCCCACTCTCGAAGTCCTTTCTGGACATATACTCAGATTGTTTTGAGTCTGACATATAGGCTTCCCGCACAGCCCGTACGAGTCGTTCGCTATCCGCTTCGTAGAACCTGTAAGGAAGGGCACATATAGACGCCACACTGCAGCGAGGGCACCCTTCTCGCTGCTCAATCGCTGTCCCCATCGAGCTTTTCAGGGGCGTCAAGGGCTTGCACCGCCGGTCAGGATGCAGGGGAGTAAGCTTGGTAAGACAGGAAAAATCAACAAAACGGGAAAAAACATCACAAGGTACGTTTCACGCTACCGGAGGTCTCTCACTAGGACACAGCTCTCGGCTCTTGTAGCATTTGTCAGGCGTTATCGGTGTGGTCTGCAGTTAATTGCTGGCGGCGTAGGCGATGGAACCGAGGCATTGCATGGATGGTCTGCTTGTTACAAGAAGCTGTAGATAGCTAGCTTCAATCAAAACTCAATTCGGGCCCACGGGTCTAGCCAAGATACAGTTTGCTGCACTTGACAGCTTTTGCGTGTGTTCATTGAAGTTCAGGAGCAGAGAAGAAGCAGCAGCAGCAGCAGCGCGAGTCTAAATACTGTCAGCCTGCTCGTACAGTAAGTCCCGCCAGAGCTCGCATGAGGCCGCTGGACAAAAGAGAGTCCCTGCCTGAGGCGGATCATCCGCACGTCGTTCTTGGTAAGCGTGTCTGCACCTGAATCGTCCCGTATTACGGACCAGGGTCGAGAGATCCGGACTCAAGGCGAAGGATCCAGCGACCCCAAGCGTTGCTTGCAGCGCAAGTTCCCATGTGAAGGCCGACCGTCAGCACCGTTCTGCTGAGCCAGAGCGTATCTTGAGCCTTGTCCACGAAGCCTCAACTCTTCGCTCATCACCAGTCTTTCTCGTCTTTTTCTTGTCTTAGGAACCCCTCCATCGCCGTCAATATTCCACCCTCGATCAGCAGGGCTGACCCGCAGCGCTAGTCCTCAGCCGCACGCGCAGCAGCCCCCAGCTCGCCAGCCCTCCTTCGACAACACCCACCCACCTCAGCACCGCCTGTCTCTGGCCCCTCTCTCCTCCGGCGCACTCCCTACTTTCCATGTCGTCAATGAACGCGCGCTTCAAAAACCTCGTGGGCTCACGACGCAAATCCTCGAATCACGTATCCCAGCCCTCCAGCAGCCCGACCCCACCGTCGCTGAGCAGCACCACGGCCATAAACGGACAGACGTCGCCGCCAGTGCCCGCGCCCTCGAACGCCAGCTCCTCGACCACCTCGCTGCCAATGAACCACCAGAACCCGCTCGGCCGGCCCCCGTCCTACACCCATCCCCCGCCGGGCTATGGATTGGGTGCCCCGCCGAACCAGCAGGTCAGGGCGCATAGCCCGATGCCCCCGCCCCCGATACAGACGCAGGGTCATGGTTACCCGCCGCCGCAACCGATGTACCAGCAGCCGCCTCAAGGGCCGCCGGGTTATCCGGTTCAACAGCAGTATGGCCAGTATGCGCATGGTGGACCGCCGCCTGCGGGACCGCAGCATGGCAGGCCGGTTGCTGTGGAGGTGGAAGGAGGGCCGGGGAGGAGCAAGGCGCAGCTTATTGTGGGGATTGACTTTGTAAGGACCCCAGAATGCTCTGTTGGAGTAGCAGTACATATCCAGGCCCATAGAGTGCGCTAGAGGCGCCTCTGGCACTATCACAGATGACTCCTGCGATCACCCTCTGGATGCTACGAGGTGCAGCTCTGAGGCTCTTGCTGGACGATCACAGCTTCTGCGAGGTCTTCTTTGGGCACGATGATCTTTGCTGATCATTGTTAACAGGGCACCACGTTCTCTGGTGTAGCATTCGCTTTCGCGACAAATAACGAGGCGAAGGAGGACATTATCACAGAATGGCCAGGTGCCGGAAACCAGACAAAACAGAAGGTAGACTTCCAGCCAAATACAGCCAGCTCGGCTACTGATATCGCACAGATCCCCACCGTCCTCTACTACGACCAGTACCAGAAAGTCGTCGGCTGGGGGCCTGACATCGCAGACGCGCTGGCTCCAACCGGCTACCCAAAACCTGGTGTGCAAAAAGTAGAGTGGTTCAAGCTGCAGCTGATGCTATCCGGAAACACCTATATTGACCCTATAAACCTCCCTCCTCTCCCGCCAGGTAAATCCGAAATCGACGTCGCCGCAGATTATCTCTTTCACCTGCGACAGGCTATGCGGAATCAATTGCAGAAGACACTGGGAGAGGTTTTCAACCGCGAGGAGCGCAACATCCGGTACTTCTTGACCGTGCCCGCTATCTGGAACGATGCCGGCAAGGCCGCAACGAGGCAGGCCGCCATACAAGCCGGCTTCCTGCGCGACGAGAACGACAACCGGTTGACGCTCATCACTGAGCCCGAAGCCGCAGCTCAGTTTTGCTCCAAGACCGGACTACTGAACCTCAAGGTCGGAGACGCAGTGCTGATCGTGGATTGCGGTGGCGGCACCGTCGACCTAATCGCCTACGAAGTCGAAGAGGAGCAGCCGTTTTCCGTCGCCGAGTGCACAGCCGGGTCAGGCGACTCATGCGGCTCGACAGCCCTGAACCGCAACTTCAGCAACATCCTGCGCGCGAAGATCCGGAAGATGAAACTACCGGATGGCTCGAGGACCGCGGGGAAGGTGTATGCCAAGTGCATCATGGACTTCGAGAACAGGCTAAAGGCGGACTTCCGCAACAACGGCCAGAAGTGGGCAGTCGATGTCGGCATCGAGGCCGAGTTTCCGGAAGCGGGAATCGAGGAGGGGTTCATGACGTTTACGAATGAGGAGATCTTGCAGTGCTTCGAGCCGGTGGTGAACCGGATCTTGGAGCTGGTGAGGAATCAGATCATTGCTATTCAGGCGCAGAATAGGACGCTGCAGGTAGGCGCACACATCCCTCCTCTTCCGCGTCTCGAATCCAAATATGCAGGTGCTGATGCTTTGTCTAGAATGTCCTGGTCGTCGGCGGTTTCGGCGCCTCCGAATACCTCTTCCAGCAAATCAAGCTCCACGTCCCGCCCCAATTCCAATCCAAAGTCGTGCGGCCCATGGACTCCGTCGCCGCGATCGTAAAGGGCGCCGTCACGGCCGGCATCACCGAGCGCGTGGTCACGCACCGCGTCGCGCGGCGGCACTACCTCATGGCCACCTTACAGCCATTCAAAGAGGGCCACCACCCGGAGCAGTACCGCGTGCCCTCGCTGGACGGCAAGGACAGGTGCAAGTACACGCGGCAGATCTTCGTGCAGAAGGGCCAGCGGGTCAAGATCGGCGAGCCGGTGAAAGTGAGCTTTTTTAGGCAGGTCGCGCCGGGGGCGACGCTCATGTATGAGGATGTGCTATATGCGTGCGATGATGATGTTTGTCCGGAATATACAAAGGATCCGCGTAAGTGCTGCCCCTTCCCATCTTCCCCCTTCCACATTTACCCGGTGGTTTTCCTCCGTACGTGGGGGCCCGTTGCGGCAAAGGCTCAGCATCACTCAGCCTCCGCGTACCCCCCAGCACCGCCTGCCTGCCACGAGGTGTCTGTTGGGATGCTGTTTGCTGACGGCTTCGCGCTATCCAGGCATCAAGGAGGTCGTTACTCTTACCTCGGATCTGAGCAGGAAAAACCTGGAAAAGGACTTTGAGCGCATGGATACGCCGCAGGGGACGTTCTACCGCGTTTACTTTGATATCTACCTCACGCTTGACGGGAGCGAGTTTAATGCTGAGTTGGTGTGCCAGGGTGAGGTTATGGGGAGGTGCACTGCGAGGTTTAGGTAGGGGGTTTGGAGGTGGCTAGGATGGTTTGGGTGGGGAGGGTAAAATACACAAGGTGGAAGCGCGGTCGCTTTTGGCTGGGGGGAGAGTGCCGGATTTTGCGGTCGAGACAAGCTGTGGCTGTCCGTTGGGGGATTTGGGTGCTGTTCATAGTTTCGTGCGTTCTGGTAGAGCGGATGAGTGTTGATACCGATACCAATCTATGCTGTTTTGGCTCTGTTAGCTGCAACGCTTGGGGTTGTATGCATTGGGGTTGTGAGTGGACGCACCGTGCTGAGAATGTGGTCAAGACCGGCAGGCATCAGACTAAAGGCTAATGTCAATGCCAGGAACTACCCGTTCGTTACCAGTAATACGAACCACGGTTTGAGTGTACAGATCTAGCGGACGCGCTACAGTGGGCCTACGGAGCTTGGTTCTCGTCAATACACCATTGTGGCTCGGAACCGTTTCAGTCCGAGGATACTGTATACAGGACAGATTGCCATACGGATTCGTCACACTAAGAGACCACGCGACAGCGAATGAAATGTATTAGAAGCTCGCTCTATGGCCTCCGCACTTACCTCATAATCGCCGCTCGAATTTGCTATGGCACGGCAGTACGAACGTACTTGCACGTCGCGAATCACAATTGTCGGCCTACGAGCGATACTCACGAGCTACCAGTACATGGAGAATGGAAAGGGTGGCCTTCATGGCTCTTAGCTCTGGTAGTGATACTGATTTTGAAAGTTTTTTCCTTGTCATAGTTCTGTACCGTGGTTGACCTTGCGAAGCGACCAGGGATCCCGTGTGTTGCTTTTAACCTTCACAGGAGCTATCGTGGAACGGTATCATGAAGAACACAGTTGCATCCCTGACCAAACCTATTCTGCCTCAGCCTGCAGGCTTAAATGGAGGCCGGTCCCTGTCTGCCTTCTGCTGTTCTTTACCTCTCATCATCTGCTACTCGGATTCTCATACTTCCACTTTAAGTCAGCCGTCACGCTTGGTCCTTGCCTTACAGTCTTCGACTCCTATAAGCGATCATGCGCTCTCTCATTCTCGCTGTCCTCCCGGCACTGGCCAGCCTCATCCAGGGCTCGAGGATAGGTAGTGAGCTTGCCGCCCTTATTGAGGTTCAGCCGCCCTTTACTGGTACAATGCCTGGGCTCTTTGTCAATTGGCCTCCTCTGGAGCAGTAAGTTGCTGCAAAACATTCGAAGCCATATCTGTGATCTGACTGACCGTTTCCAGATCCTATGGCAATGCCACCATCACCAAGAGGCGCGTAGACAACGACACTGATATTGATGTTCCCAAGCGTAGGGACCGCATTCTGCGGATCCATGGCAAGCAGCCTGCATACAGCTTCAACGTCACCCATCCCAAACTCTATCACCATGGCGAGGATCTCAAGCTTGACCCTCCGTACCTCAATCTCACTGAGCGCCGCCACTTTGCCAAGCGCAACACCGACTGCGTCTCTCTAGAGTTTACTGCTGCGACCAATGTAACGATAGCGAACGAGACCGGCGCTGCCCCTGGTTCCTTCGATGAGTACGGGCCGTGGTGGGAGACCTCGTTCCTCGCCCTGGATAGCGCTGTCGAGTCGAACACTTACCTGGACATGTTTGTGCTCGATGAGTACGAGCCTGAGTTTTGCATAGCAATCTGCAACGAGGATGAGAGATGCATGGGTATCAACATCTTCGTGGAGAGATCGCCTGTCGGTAAGTGGTTGGTCTTGGTGGGCGGCGCACGTATCCGACTAACTGTTACAGTCGTTCCCGGTCCGAACTGTCCCAACCCTCCTGGGATGGCCGTCGTCAAGTGCGTTCTCTTCGGCTCAGCCGTGACCACGGAAAGTGCCACCAACAAGGGCCGGTTCCTTGGGCCGAAGGATGCTGACGGCAAGGCTTTCCACGCCCTTATCGAGTCCTCCAACGGTATGTCCTGGTCGCTTCTCGAGTAGCACGCACAACCCGCAGACTAACCATGACCAGACTACAGCCGGCGTGCTCCCTATATCCGTCACTTCATACGCCCATATCCTTTCAATGGCCTCCCGAACGAAGAGATCGAAGACAAAGAGCTTATCGACATCAAATTCTACAACCAGGTCTACAACCCCACACTCTGCGCCGAGGTCTGCACCAACATCACGGCCGTCAACAAGGCCAAGGCGCGGATGGACGCCGAGGTCGGCAATGTTACATCTCCAATTCGATACACTTCGTGCAATTCTTTCAGCGCCTTCGTCATCGAGAATCATGGCGTGCCGGCTGGCATGGGCTGTCTCTTTCGCTCTGGTGGCGGCGCACCGCTTGAGGGAAACACAACGGCCACGGATGTAGGCGATTATGAGCTTACGTTCAAGAATGTCTGGGCCTATGACCTTAGGCGGCAAGGTTGGGGTCGGATCTGAGGTGGCCGGTGTGGCGGATGGGAAGGCGTTATCAATGTATGGTAGACTTGACAGGGCTGCTTCAGGTGCTGGGAGACTGCGTGGTGCCAGTGCGTGTCGGTAGCTGCTCAGACAGCAGTTCATCGCTGCAGTGGACGGATTGCTTGGGGGACTATCAATACATAAAGCGTGTAAAATCAATTTAGCTGTGACTCTAATCTCACAAACTATGCGCAACCGCTCTCTCTAGGTCGCACTTCCGAAGAGGGCATATACGAAACGTCGGTGTTGGTTGCTTCCGTTTGGAGACGGCGGAGGGCAGAGGGGGCAGCCTACATAATCAGCAACGGATCGGGCCTTTCCCTGCCCTTGCTTGGACCCGGCTTCCCTGACTTCCTTCACATGCGCCGTCGCACACACGACTCCCTAGCAATGGCACCCACTCCACCACTGCGACGCTCAAGCAAGAAAGCTCAATTGAAGCCACGGCCATCAAAGTCCAACACCGACACCGACACCGTTATGACCGACCCGCCCGAGCTGCCGTCCACGCCCTCACAAGCTCCCGCAGGCCCCTCAAACCCTCTCTTCCGTCTTCCACGCGAGCTCCGCGACAAGATATACGCCCTCGTCCTCACATCCACGAGTCCGATCCTCTGGCCCAGCCTGCACCAAACACACAATCTAACTCCCTCGCTCCTCCGCACCAGCCGCGCCGTCTACGCCGAAACTGCACCCCTCCTCTACAGCAGCAACCGCTTCCTCTTCTCGCACCCCAGCGACGTAAACATGTTCCGCGTCACCGCGTCCGCCGCGTCCGAGGAGATCACAGACATCTTCCTGCGCACGCGCGACAAGGACGTCAAGCTCTGGACCGCATATCTCGGGTCCGCAGACACGCATCGCAGCCTGCAAGCCGACCTGCCCAAGCTGAAACGGCTGGCGATCTTCTACCGCAGCGGCTTCCTGCTGCCGCCGCTCGGGCTGGTCCAGGCCAACGGCGCGTGGGCCGGGCAGCATCATCCTCACGCCCACAACCACGGCCCCCAACACGCGAACCTGACGCTGCATCAGCAGTTCCAGCAGCATATCCAACACATCCAGGCTGGGATAGCGGGCGGGAACCACCAACTACAGCCCCCGCCCCCGCCTCCACCTCCTCCTCCACCGCCGCCGCAGCATCAGCAGCAGGAGCGGCCGGTTGTTCATCTCGAGACGTTCTTCCGGTACCCGTATGATCCGAAACTCAAGGAGCTGTGCATGAATCTCGAGGGGCGCACGCATGCGGAGACCAGGGTGTATGTTATGTACAGGGTCCCGCGCGAGGAGGTCAGGCTGCTGGTTGAGACGTTCCCGGAACAGCTCGTGCTGGATGGGAATGGGGATGCGCGGACGAGGCACAGGAGGGAACTGTGGGGGGTTGGGGTCAGTGTGGAGTTGACAGCTGTGGATGCAGTTGGGGGTGGAGTTTAGGGCGGGAGGGCTGGGGAAACAGAGAGGGGGGAGTGAGGGAGTGGTTATGGAGGAGAACAGGCGTTATACTTCTGCTGTGCAGAGGTGCCGCATGGCTGGGGTGGAGAGCTGCGGGTAGAGCTTTCTGGATTATATTCTTATGCGTTCTTAGCGGTGCTGGCATGCGATGCTGTTCGGAGTTTTGCTACCTAGTTCTTAGATACCAGACAGCTATCCGCCAGTAGTTACTTTTGCGATCGAAGTTTTATTTAAATACAATCACCTAAATTACTAGGGCCTAATTAGTTCTCTCTCAAAAAGGAATCATAATCTAAAATGTGCACGTCAAGGCACTTGTGCAATGTATAGCTCTTAGAGCACTCACTCCTATGGCCATACCTTGCCATAGTCTATGAAATCAGAATCCACAACCGTGTAGCGAGTTTGTCTTACCATGTATTTATGCATGATTTACATTCCGCAGACGGCAAAATAATCTACAATGAAATGGTACTTATCTTCGACGAGCTCGACTGCCAAGAGTTTCAACTCCAACCGGGCGGAAAAACCGGCGGGCCGAAGCCGAGCCCACCATGGCATTTTCGGACCACCAAGACAACGACAATTGGAGATACCGCCGACCCTTCACACGACTACACCGCGCCCTACAAACCTCTGACACCATCCGACACTCGATAAACGGTCAATATGTCGGACGCAGGCGAGGTCGAAGTCGAAAGCCAGTCCGGCTACGCAGTTCTGCCGAAGGAGGTCACCGAGGAGATTGGCAGCATCAAGCTGTTCAACAAGTGGAGCTACGAGGATGTTGAGATTCGGGATATCTCCTTGACGTAGGACGCCCCATTGTCTGGAAACGCGGGGAAGAAGCAGCAAGAAAGAGATATGGTCACAACATGCGGAGGGGAGATGCGGCGTGCTAGCATTCAATTGCTGACGGATTTGCTTGCATAGCGACTACATCCAGATCCGATCGCCCGTCTACATCTCGCACTCCGCTGGCCGATACGCCGTCAAGCGATTCAGGAAGGCGCAATGCCCGATCATCGAGCGCCTGACCAACTCCCTCATGATGAACGGCCGCAACAACGGCAAGAAGCTCATGGCTGTCCGGATAGTCGCACACACCTTCGAGATTGTAGGTTGCACTCGGTCACCTGTGGTCCACACAGAACATATGCGTACAAAGGTTCTAACGGGCTTCTCCCACAGATCCACATCATGACCGACCAGAACCCGATCCAAGTCGCCGTCGACGCCATCGTCAACTGCGGTCCCCGCGAAGACTCCACCCGCATCGGTTCCGCCGGTACCGTCCGTCGGCAGGCCGTCGATGTCTCTCCTCTCCGCCGCGTCAACCAGGCCATCGCCCTCCTCACCATCGGCGCCCGTGAGGCCGCGTTCAGGAACGTGAAGAGCATTGCTGAGTGCCTGGCGGAAGAGCTGATCAACGCTGCGAAGGGTAGCAGCAACTCGTATGCTATCAAGAAGAAGGACGAGCTGGAGCGTGTGGCTAAGAGCAATCGGTAAAGGGACTGGGGGTTGGAGCTTTGTATGCGCATTATGGATCCACGGAACCGCTGCATGGTGTTCAGATGTTTTCGCAGCAGATAGCGGAAATAGTATGCTTTCTGCACGATCCGCCGCAGGTTGGCTGCGTCCTTGCAATTCGCAGCGAATCTGACAGAAATTGACCAGAAGAGCGGGTGATTAGTACAGCTTGCGTTTCAGATTACTAAATGTTCTCCAGCTGAACGATTGACTATACACCAAAAACCAAGCGACGGATCTCGCTCCTCCGACTCCAAGAATGCCGCTAAGCGTTATCGCGAATTGTGTAACAGAAGCTCCCCAAAGCGCCACGCTGTAGGTATACTGTAGTCCAATGCAAGTCCCAAGCTCCTCTACCATCACTTCACCGTCCTGCCTTCCACCAAAGCCAACTGTGCCAATAACTACCATTACCATCATTCCCATCTGTTCCTCTAATCTCTTCTCAACTTTTGCCTCAGCTCCCACCCCATCCACCCCTCAACGCAGGCGCGCTACAATCCCTCCTCTCCCCCCTGACCCCGACCACCAACCCCCTCATCGGCGTCGCCTGCCCATTAGCCAAACTCCTCGCCCTGCCTCTGCGCTGCCTGATCGCCTCGAGCGCCGCTTCCCTGTCGAAAGGCAGCTCCCGGCTGCTGGGCTGCTGCGCGATCGTCGAGGGCGTCCCTGGCAGCGTCCGCGGTGGCGCCGGGCTGAAGTGGATCGGGATCGTCGTTGGTGGGAGGGCGAGTTCGCGGTAGAGAGGTGTGTGTGGGAAGGCAGTGTGGGAGGGTGGAGGGGTTGTTGTTGGATCGGCTGGAGAGGTGCAGAGGGTGGGTGGGGAGGTTGGGGGCGAGGCGGTCGGGATGTGGTTTTCTTTGTTGCTGTCGGTTGAGGGGAGGGTTTCGAAGAGGGGACGGGGTTTCTTGGCCTTGAGGGGGGTCTTCTCGTCATCGTGGGTTGCCGGCGGAGCTTGGTTCCATGTGATCTCGGTGAAGGGTTGTGGTGCTGCGGGTGGAGCGGCTGGCTCTGTGGCTTGGGGCGTGGGCGGTATGCGCTGGAAGGTGCCTGAGGTGGGCGAGAAGGCGATCTCTGTTGCAGCCCCTGTCGTCTCTTCCATCTCTTCTTTGGGGCTAGCTGGCGGTGTTGGAGACCGCTCGTCGGCCACGGAGATTGAATCGGGCTTATTCGTAGTGCCGTCGATGGCATCGACCATCTCATCGTCTTCGTGATGACTTGAAGGTGGCGTGAGATTATGGCACAAGGCAGTCTTGATTTCCTCTACCTCTTTCGCAAGGCTTTGATCGTGGGTATATTGAACCCCATGCTGTTCCGCGACCCGGCAGGAGCAGCACAAGAACTGGCACTCCATTTTCATGAAGTCGACCTGCATTTCTGCCCTCTCTCGTTTCCGCCTCTCCAAGTCCAGCTCCTGCTGCATTGCCTTGAGCTCGACTGCTCGCGTGGGCAGCATGTTCTCCTTGTTATCCGTATCCGGGTCTACCCTCGGCTGCTTTCTGGGAGACTTTCTCGGTGAGTCGAACTCGTCCTCTTCATCTTTGGTCGACACCGGAAGGGCGATCCTGCCTTCAGCTGCGATCCTTGCAACTTCCTCTTCCTTCAAGCTGGTCTTCAGCGCATCTCGTTCCTCCTCGACAATCTTGATCTGTGCGCGTGCTTTCGCGAGCTCTTCTTGCACGGCAACAAGCTGATATTGTGCTGTAAAAGTCTCTTGCTCCCTCTTGGCCGACTTCGACTTTTCGGTCTCGAAGCCTGATTGTGTGATGCGTAGGGATGTTCGTGTTGCCTTCAGCTCTTCCTGCATCTTGACCAACGCAGAAGAACACTTGAAAGCCTCCTTCCTCGAGCGCTTGTTCTCTTTCTCGTAGAGTGCCTGCGCGCGGGCGAAGGATTCCTTCTCGCGCTGATATTCTTCCTGCAGCCCAGTCGTAAGCACCTCTCTACATCCCCAGCTGGACAAAACTTACCATAACAACCTCAGACCGCTTCCCTACCTTCCTTTCCCTCTCCCTACTCTCCTCCAGCTCCTTCTTGAGTTTCCGCCCCTCCTCCTTCCGATTCGCAGCCTCCAGCTTCAACGCATCCCGCTCCGCCTCACACTTCACCAAACTGCTCTGCGCCATATCCCGCGCCATCTCCGCGCGCTTGAACGCAATCTCATCGCGCTTGCTGCCCTCCCTGTGATCGCGGATCTCGAGGCTGTTGAAGCGCGCGACCATGCCCTGCACGTTCGCGTCTGAGCCATTCCGAGTGTGCGAACGTAGGAGTCGGAAGGGGGAGGTGCTGAAGTCGTGGCTGCCGCCGAAGACGTCGTCGGAGAGGTTGGGTAGAGAGGGCGATTGTGGGAGCGGGGGGAGGTCTTTGTTGCTGCTGTAGGGTGGGCGGGTGCCGTTGATGCGCTCGGGGGAGAGGGGAAAGAGAGGCATGCCTGGTGAGGCGGGGAAGAGGACGGGTGGGTCCATCGGTGCTGAGCTTTGTATTATGCTGCGTGTAAGGTAGTTTGTGCTGGGATATGATTTCTCAATGGTAGCTGGTGGCTGCAGATGAAAAAGATGCAAGATGCGGCCGGGCATGTTTACGGGCGCAGTCGCCGAGGGAACGGCAAGGGCGCGTGGGCACGTGCAGCACCCTACTGTAGTATCTTGCAGCCACTTCTTAGCCTGAAAGTCGCTCACCACACATCCCTATGAACCTGCTCAATCAAAACGATCAGATTACCGATAAGTGTTCGTATGGTTATCTTCGCTTTATGCTTTAATTTCAAAGCTCTACAGTCCCTTTTTTTCTACATTACTCCCTGTTTCTAGAAGGATGGTTCATACTTTACGTAGCATGGTTGAAATACAACGCAAAGCTATATCTTCGGAATATCGTCGTCAATCCGTACTTCCAAGGGCGTGTCTTAGTCCTCCTCGGTCTTCTTGGACTTTCTCTGCGGCGCCACCTTAACAGCGGCATCCTTCGCCTCCATCTCTCTCCTCTCATTCTCTTCCTGCACAAAAGTCCCCAAATACTCCGGCACCTTCTCGACCCTATTATACGAACTCGCCACCGGCTTCCCCAGCACCTCCCAGCGCGGCACCACTCCCGTCCAGACACTGTCCAGCACCTCCTCTCTCTTCATATCCTTCCTCTCATCATTGGGCCCGCCCTCCCTCACCTTCCCACTCGCCCCCGTAACCCTCACTTTCAATATCCGCGTCGACTGCATCTCCGCGCCATCCGGCGGTACACGGGTATTCTTCCAACGCTCCGGCACCACCGCGTTGGTAATCAGTTCCATGGCCCACAACTTCTCGTCCACGTCCTCCACGAGCGTCGCAACCCCAAACAGCACCGCAGAGCGATAGTTGTAGCTATGCGAGTTCGGCGTCAGGGACAGCACGAGCCCGTCTACCTTGGTGGCGGCGACGCAAACAGGGAGACCTGGGTCGCCGTCGGGAGAATGAGACGTGGTGGCCAGCTTCATGAGGCGCGAGGAGACGTAGCCGTGGAGGTAGCAGCTCTCTGCGTCGTTGTCAAGAGAGGCGTTTGGGGGGTAGAGCCCCATTTTGCCGATCATGGGGAGGATGGCTGGGACGGGGGTTGTCAGGTCGGGCACGAAGGAGACGTGGAGGACGGGGGTGGAGTTGACGAGGGCGTGGATGGTTGGGGCATCGTAGGTTGCTGGATTGAGTCAGTAATCCGCGTTGTTTGGACCAAAGCCTTGTGATTGTTAGGATAGATCAGAGCAATATCACCTCGATTTCTGTAGCGATTGACGCTGTTAGCTGTTCCCTTGGGATAGGTGTGAGAGTCCATTGTGGCTGCAGTTTGGGTAATTGTTGTTAGTCTAGCATTGAGTGCTTAAGCACAATATCCTGCGGATGCTGAACACATCGCCGGCCTTTTATATACAGTCACTCCCTGAAGGATGACGGGAATCCAATGACTCCAGATGGTCCCGTCTGGTTATCCTGGTGTTTGCTCCGCCCTATGACATGAGTTGTGCCTAATCCCTAAGAGGAAGTCATAGCCGGACCTCCTCCTCCTCAACAACACCCTCTCGCAGTTGGCGGTTCTTCGTACTCTTACCTTTCGACGCTTTGGCAGATCGCTCACTAAGAGCGAAGTGCCAATGTAAGAAGGAGATATCACGCGCTCTCAACGGTGATACGGTAGTTTGCGAAGCATCAGATCCGCTTCGGTCCTCTCCCGCCCTTCAACCGTTCCGTAATTCAGTATCTCCAGATTTTGTTATTGCTGTATGACCTGGAGCAACGAAACTTCTCACGACAAGATGAACACCACGGCGCTGCACCGTTCGCTATTGCCTACTTTACCAGCACTCTTACACCTTGGCTATCCGGCTTCGCCTGCGGCGTCAACGCGTCTCTATAGAAGTCCACATCCGAGCGATCCGTCTCAAAAAGCTCGAACTCGAACCTCCGCATCAGCGACGCAACCATAAGGTACAACTCGCAATATGCCATCTGCATCCCTAGGCACATTCTCGCGCCACGACCAAACGCCACCATGTACCGAGATAGCTGTTTCACGCCGTCGGGGCTTTTGGGATCGCCGAGCCACTTCTCGGACCTGTACGTGGTGCTGTCGGGAAACACCCGCTCGTTGGAATGCATGTGATAAGAGTCCTGGGAGACGGGTGTACCAGGCGGAATAGTATATCCGTTGAAGTGGAACTCTCTTGGCGATATCCGAGGCGAGCGTTGAACGGTGCCATAGCCGATGCGGAGACCTTCACGTTTGTCAGGATATATTATGCGTAGTTCGCGCGAGCCTAATCGCCTTCTCCGATGCAAGCGGACAGATATGGCAGTTTCTGCAAGTCGGTCCAGGCCAACATGTTGTCGGGATCTGGAATGGCATCGACTAGCTCCTGATGCAGACGTTGATAGATGTCTGGGTTTGCGATGATGTGGAAGCACACCATCGTCAAAGCCTGTCTCGTTGTGTCGAAAGCCGCACCAACGATGCTCACAGCCTCATGCTGCAGACGCTCTTCGGTCAGTTCCTCGCGAGGAAGCTTGGAGTTCAGAAGCACTTCGAAGACTGTATCTCCTCCCGTATCTCTCTCCTTGGGCCGCTTCTTCAAAAGCTCTTTGATACGGTGGTTCAGCCCCTGGAGATGTGTCAGCTAGGTTTTCCAACTTCACGCGCTTCGACCTACATGGCGAAACTCGATGATCGGCTGGAACAGAGGCGACATTGCCATAATCCTGTCCGGGATACAGTTCATCAACGGAACAACCCACTCGAACTGGGTTGTCAGGTGCGTTGAAGACACAAGGTTCGTCATCCCTTTCGTAAACGGCGTCTCCCAGTCCTCGCTCAAGCAAAGGTCGTACTCTTTGCCAAAAGCCAGGTTTGTTATGACGTCTCCAGCGAGACACGCGAACATACCATTGAACTTGACTGGTTTCTGTCTGCCGGCATACTCGGCGGTCAAGCGCGCACATATGGTATCAACAAGACTCTGGATGAACGGACCATGAGCTTGTATCTTGCTCTTGGTGAAGAAGGGGTTCAATACAGCTCGCCGATGCTTGTGTGCTGTGTGGTCCGCAGTCGAGAAGGCGGCCTTGGGTATATTGAAACGAGCCTCGAAGACTTTGAGACTGTCATACGGCGCCGATGGAGCGTAGATGGTTTCGTAATAATCCGGTTCGTCGATGTGGAGCTCCCATGGATTGATACGGACGATTGGGCCTTTGGAAGTGTTAGAGCCTCAAAGTCGCGTAGCTAGAGTTCGTCACCTCTACCGTATTGCTCGCGCATCTCTTTGATCCGCTTGGTAAACATCCCACCCCCGTTGTAAAGCATCTCGTAGTACGTCTCGTACCATTGCGTCGCTGCCGCCAGCTTCGGCCCTGGAAACTTTGCCAGCGGGCTGATGTAGAGCCGGTGCACAACGAGGGCGACGCAGTAGAGGAGATAGCTGCCAGCAAAAACCGCTGGAAGCAACGACCAAACGGCCATCGTGCGGAAGATGTCTTGCATAGCTGCGATATGTGCCTTCACGGAAAGTAGCAGGAGATCCTGCGTTTGGAGCTCACTTTAACATGCTCCAACACTACCGTCAACGCTTTGAGTACTCAGTGCCAACTGCCCCGATATGCTAATACTGTCCGTTGCGCCAAAGAGTGTCAGAGTCTGAGGCCTATTCTGCAACTAGAGGTCCCCACGCGAATCTGCCACTCATACTGTTTGACCCTCGCTTGCACCTGCAGAGCTCGCGTTATCTGACAACGCTCCGGCAGCTTATTGTGCTGGCGTACAATGGCGTAGAAGCTTATAGTACTGTAGGGGTACTCCTACAGTATCTCCGAATCACCCCTGCTGCAGATGCTGACACTGCAGAGTCAGCAAGCTTGGCAAGATCGATATCGCCGTGGACTCGCAGCTACTATCACCCAAACCACTTGTGATTATTCCTCGACAGATGTCGCCTCCGCTGCAGGGAGGAAGTGGGTATCGGCTTCGAACTCCGCCAGCTGGCCACAACTCGTGCCCTGGTTACCAAAAGCATCTTCACTTTCGCAGATGTGCACCAGGCCAGCGTTAGCAGACTCGGTACTTGAGGAGCCGCATGGATCAGTATCTACGCTCACGGCTTCGGATTGGCAAGCACCATTTCAGATAGGACGTTGTGGCCGGTTCCTTGCGCTTGTGAGTCGTCTGGTAAGGGAGGAGGAGACATCAGGTGCACCTCTGCTCTCCTAATCAACGTCCGCAGAACTTTGATAATGTCAAGTCTACTGTCCTGCTTCCAGTTCTTCGGCATCCCCGAAGGATTCGTTGAGGTGAAGGACAGCGTCGATGGCATCGTGGATAAGATCGACAATGCAACGAAGCAAAATGGCTCGGGTGAGTTCTTGAGTTTCGATGGTACTCCTATGCAATGGTAGCTTGTGCTTCAAGGCTACTCGGATTGAAACACACTTTGAAAGGAATGTACGAGTTCTCACATCGTCATTGCAAGAAGCTCTATAGAATAGAATGAATTAAAGTCGTGCCTTGATTCCTTATATATAAGAACGCATGTCGTGGCAATCCACCGTCTATTCCTACATCGGCCTTGCTTGTCCCTCCGTCAGCACAGCTAGGGCACGCCGGTCAACGAACATCAGGTGCCGCAATACCACTTGATGCTTAGATGTTCACCAAGAATCCGAAGTCCAGTCCTATGGAGAGTCGGAGAGGACGGCTTTTCGACGCCAGCTCCTCTAGCGCAGCCAGCGCGGCAAGTACGCCTGCGCAGCCCCTGTCCGTGGGCTGAAACAGCCGCTCTGCCTCTACCAGCATGTTCGACCCGGAATTATCCCCTTGACATATCGGACATCCAGCTCCGCTGAACCCACCGAACCATGTGCAGAACAGGCCTCCCACCCACACTTCCGCTTCTGCGGCTGAGTCTGACGGCCAAGAGTGGAAGGCCTGGCTCCACATCGCCGCCGAGAAAGGCCATGAAGCAGTTGTCAAGACCCCTTCTCGACCGCGACGTTGATATCGACGAGAGAGACAGTTGCGGGTCCACGGCTTTGCTCCTCGCGACCAAGCACAAGCACGAGGGTGTGTTGAGACTGCTGCTGGAAAATGGAGCGGATGTGAATGCAAGCGATGACTCCGGTTGGACGCCGACGCATGAAGCGGCTGAGAATGGCTTTGCGGCGGGCTTGAAGCTGCTGGCGCGTTATGGGGCCAATTTGACTCTGAAAGCGAGGAGCAGGGAGTAGACGTGAATGGTTGTAAAAACCGGGTTTGCATCAATGCCCGTTGTGGAAGCGGTTTTGCGAGTAAAGAGTAGGTTTAGTGTGTAGCGTACAGTGGATGATACCTCTGACTTGCCCATTATTGCCCCGCTTTCTATTTTTCCCCCTAGCGTAGACCTAGGCTCCCCGGTGTAGAACAAGCAAAAGATGTTCAGATTGGATGAACTAGGTTCCTAAGAAAATCAAGGATTTTAGACGGATGAAGGGCATAAAAGAGCGAATTTCGCCTCCCCATGATACTCTCCGCGAAAAGCACCACGGCTTTAGATATCAAATGGCTTTACCCTCACGCGTACACCTTTTGAATCCAACCTTGGGCTTGGTAACGTAAAGTCATGCGCGAGTTCAACATCAGTAACATCAGTCTCATACAACTCGAAAGCGAAACGGCGGAAGACGGTCCCCAGGCCCAAGTAAAGCTCAGCGTAAGCCATGCTTTGGCGCTGTTAGCATTTGGCCTAAACTTGTACTAGCTTCACGTACTTGATCCCAAGGCATGATCTGGGTCCCTTGCCAAAAGCGACGAAGTATCGATCGAGGGGCGAGCCATTGGGGGCCTTGGGGTTGCCCAGCCATCGCTCTGGAATGAAAGAATGCGAGTCTGGATACAGTTCCTCGTCGTGGTGGACATCGATAATATTCATTCCGACTGGCGCGTGAGCAGGTATCACCCAATCTTTGTATCTTGTTGGCGTGTCGCTGATTCTGGGTTGGCGGGAGGAAAGGCCGTAAGATAATCTGATCCCTTCTTGGACACAGCCCCTGAGGTAGGGTAATCGTTCTAATTGCAGCAAGCCAATGGGAGCCGAAGGGTCAGAGAAAGCTTCGCGGAGCTCCTCCCGCAACTTCTCGTAGATTCGCGGCTGGTCGATGATGTGGAAGCTCGCTATACTCATGGCTCCGGCAGTAGTCATCACTGCAGCCCCCACGACTAGTTGCGCTTCCTCTCCGAGACGATGGAACGACTTCTCCTGGCGTGGCAAATTGCTTCGAAGCACTTCCTCAAAGATGGTGGGATGGCCTGAATTCTTCGGCCTCTGAGAATCTCCACTGGCAATGCGAGAAAGCATAACTCTCAAGTCCTTAGAAGTGTCATTGGGTGTTGCTGATCAATCCATTGTACAACCTGGCTTACTCGTTGAAATTTCAGAATCCTGCTGAGCGGCGGGTTCATTCTCTCACTGATGCTATCCGGTAGTGATTTCACAACCTTCGTGTAGATTAACGTGCGCACCCGGACAGAGGAATTGGGTTACAAACTTTCATGATCCACGGAAACTGGACTGCTAGATGACCAAATTCGCTCATAGCTAGGAAGGCGTCGCGGAAGTTCTCCGCGCAGCCCGGCGACTTCAGCTGATCGTAGCAGAGACTGAACGCGTACTCGGTGATTACATCGGCAGCAAAAGCAGCCCATATGTTGCTGATAGCGAGAACTTCGCCTGTTTCCACATACTCTGAGAGTCGACTGCACACCAGATCTACCTTTTGCTGAATTACCGGCAGGAGATTGGTGATTTGCCGTTTCGAGAACCTTTGCTACATTAGAGAACCACTCTTCGCTGTCACCAGCGGTACATAGATCACGAACATTGGGCTCAGTGCAGCACGACGGATGCGATGGAGGGCAGCATTGGAAGTTGTAAACATCGAGCTGTTGTTACCGAACTTGATTGCGAAGCGCTCGTACTTGTCGGCCTTCGGGTTATTTCCGTAAAGCTCATCCCAGTGATCGCTGTCTCTAATGTGCAGTTCATCTGGCGTAACCCGGATGATCGGCCCTGTATATCTCAGCCAGCTAGAAACGACGGTATACTATCACAACACACCATATTTGTCATGCCAGTCATTTATGCGGAACGTATATTGGCCTCTCAGAATGACTTCGTGATAGAACTCGTACCAGTAGGTGAGCGCCGCAAGCTTTGGGCCTGGAAAGTTGGCGATGGGACTGAGATAGACACGGTAAATCGCAAGCCCAAAAATGTACGCAATCCATATTAGAAGAGCTACAATAGGCAGCGATACGGATGAGCTTGGCCATGTATCAGCCATCGCCATCTCTCACGATATCCGTAGAAGTGTTTAGGAGAGAGGGGAAGTGAGAGTTCATGGAGGAACCTTACTTGTAGGCACGAAGCGGCACAGCACAAGCCGCTACATCACAGCTGCATGGGGCAAGTGGTTTGATTGTGAGGACGCTGAGCTTTAGCGTCTTATCATCACACTGATTTGTTCCGAGATGCAACAGCCTCGTTCGATAGGATAGCACGCGTTGCATGAGGTTACGAGGATCTGAACTGCTCCGGGGTCCCCGCCCGCAGAGAGATCCCCGATTGGCCCGTTCATCTGCAGAGGATCAATTTGCATGGATGCGCTTGAACGGGGCTGGGAGGAACGGGGCGTTGCGGGCCGTCTGGCTGATGCCGCGTGTCACCAAAAAGATACACCTGTGCATGTTATCAATCCTGATGGATCGGGCAATACGTAGGCGGTTGAGAAAGACCTGATTCTAAGAATGCAAACCTCAACTCCTCTATGAAACGCCGTAGCAAAAACATACCGCACACGAACGCCTATTGCCATCGTACGAACCGCAAGAACCAAAGACAAGCCATTTGATGGCTACAACTCCAACTGTATGCCACCGTCTCTCAGATGTAGAACATGCTTTCTTTGAGGTCTCTGTGAATGATTACATCATTCGTATTGACTTGCTGCGCGTGCCTTTCGTTGTCACTGGGATCGAAGACCTTGCTCAGATAGCACCTGGCGCGCTCACACACAAGATCCGCATAATACACTGGCGGGGGGATACTCACAGCTTTGGTGGCACGGCCGAAGAGGTAGCACATGTTGTGTGTGAGTTCCTCGAGAGCATCCACAGCGGTTTGCAACTTCGGTTCTTTTGGCGGTGGGTCCTGAGCCGGCTGTTTCTTTTTCTTGCTGCTTGGAGCGTCTTGCCACCCTTCATCTTCAGGTTTGTGCTTCTGTTGCTGCTGCTGGGGCGCTCGCTTCCTGAATATCTCATCGAGGACGACGAAGTAGTGTGCTGGACGAGCGGTGCCCTGAAGCGCCGTATGCGACTGCAAGAAGAAATCCCAGCTCCTGGGCTCCGTGATGCCGCGATCCACAGTGGTCCCGTTCAGAGGGTTCATGTTCCTGTCGCCGTCTTGTTCTTTGACCGGATAGAATCGGGTGTGGTGGCGTTTGCCTACAACAACAATTGTGAAGTTCGGCTGAGGCCCGTTCGCCGGATAAGTCTCCTCGCATGCTTTTCTCAGTAAAGGCAGCTCGTGATCGAGGACCATGTTGTATTGTCCCTCCGAAACGCCATCTCGATAGACAAGGATGTTCTCAGGATAGACTGTGTTCTTTACTTGCCAACGCTTCAGGCTGAGTTTCAGCATGTCGCAGAGGGCGGAGACCTTTTCTTCTCGGGCGGCCTGGAGTTGAATCTCGGCTGGCCACTGTGCAAGTTTTCCGTCCACGCTAGCTACCAAAGCCGCTACACTCGGCGCGGTGGATGCAGAATTGGGTGAAGGGTGAGTGACATCGATGCCGACTACCATGGTCTTTCCTTCACCAATGACGCCTAGTCTAGACGCTGAAAGCGACTGGTTGGTACCGCCCAACTTAAGGTTGAATTTGAGAGCCACGTTCGCAAAGTACTGAACGTTCTTGTTCTTCTCCATTTTGGCGAACTTTGAATTAACCACGCAAATGGTGTGAATCCCTCTCCTAACGTCGCCTAGGAGCTTGACGCGGTTGTAGATTTGGTTGCGAAGGGAGTTCTCGACATTGGGCAGGATAACCAGCAGCAGTCTGGGTTTCTCTTGCAGCCCGATGACCTCGTCGAACGATGAGTCAAGTGTCCGGTCGAGGTTGGCGCCGTTCCACGGTAGGAAGCATTGGTGCCTATGATCCAGTGGACGAGGCCACTTGACCCCAGTGTCTCCCAAGGTCTTACAAAACCTGTCGATATTATCATACCATGCTTTAGAGTCTCTCCAGGGTTCGGGATAGCCATCGACAGAGATCCACAACCAGGTCCAGGTTGGCAGGGTTTTTCCGTCAACGACCTCCTTGGATCCCATGTGCCAATTCTCACCCTGGGTCTCGATAAGACCTTGCTTTCTTGGCTTCTGCTGCTCCTATTGCTGCTGGCGTGGCTGCGGCGTCTCGACTTTCTGCGGCTTCTGCAGTTCCTGCAGCCCCTTTTGTTGTTCTGCAACAAATTTCTCGTATTGCACGGGAGGTCCAGGCAACCTTCTACCAGGAACCGCAATCACTAGCGGTTTGACGATGAGATCGAAGTGTTTCTACCAAAGTAAGCGCTTGCTCTGTACCAACTTTTCGTGTTTTCCAAGGAACACGTAAGACTTGCCAGTGTCGGGTTGAGGTAGTTCTCACGGAAACCAAGGACTCGAGGGCCGCTGGTGGTAATAGCCTGGAGATTCTCCGTAGGCTTCCGAACAGCAACTTTTGTCATAATGCCCGCTTGCGATTCACTCAGCTTCGTCCTCGATAGCTGGCACGGTAGAACAACGCACACCTCTGCCGGAAGGTAAATCGGCCTTTGCTGGTTACCGACGTTGACGACCGGCAAGTTCGGATATTGAAGCTTTATGCCGTGGACTATAAGCGTATTAGCTATAGAGCACTTAGTGAGTCAAGGGACACTAACCTCGTCTGAAGAATTCGAACACCGAGATAGCCTTATCCTTTGGAAGATCGTCTCCATGCTTCCTCGTAGGTGGCGCTGGAGCCTTGCCGCCGCCCTTCTTTTCGTCCGATCTGCTGGCTGTGGTTGATTCGGGCGCAGAAGTGTCTTGAAGTCCGCCAGGGTAGAATTTCACCTCTAGCGAGTTTGCGCCTAGTTTTGGTACGAGAATTGGGCCAGTTGGGCTGGTGCGGTCTTTTTTCCCTTTTTTCTTTTCGTCTTGCTTCTTCTCTGGATCATCTTCTGGGGCCGCGAGCCCAAATATGGTCCTGATCCTCGGAATAATCTCACCGCTCTTGTTCTTGTTGACAATATGAGTGACCTCAACACGTACTCCCTTGAGGAACTTCTCCAGTGCGACAAATTTTTCGTTGTTGACTTGTTGATGATCCTGGATCAGCCTGACGAGAGGACCCGCCTGATAGAATGGTGCATGCTTCAGCTGGACGTTGACCAAGAGGCGGCAGGCAGCGGGTCGAACACTCATGAAGTATCCGCGCAAGGCTATCAGCCCGGCACCAAGCTTCCACGTCTCGGTTGGGTCCGGTTCACGGGCGAAGTGCTGGTTCGCACCTACGGTGACAACGTCGGTGCTCGCTTTCGGATGATGGCCAAGAACGACGTTCAAGGCCTGGATGACTTCTTCCTTGGCGCCAGGGTCAGAATTAGCGTTTGGAGAGGTGATATGCGCAACCAGCTCGGATACTGGAAGTACCCTTGGATAGAACTCTAGATGGTAGGTTGGCGATCTCGGTCCCGGCTCATCTTCCTTCTCAGCCCTGTACTTGATGGCGAGCTTTTGTTTCTCTTCTATCTTCAGATCCGACTTGCAAACTAGCATTGATTTGAAGTCCGTGGCAATCTGTTCTTTTCGGGGGGCGAAATGTTCCTCAATGAGGAGCTCGAAAATGCGTCTCAATTTGCGACCAGTCGGTTGCCGTCCTGCCGCATCGGCCGCGATATTGATATTGTAGCGGTAGAGCGTCAGATCCTGATCTGCGGCCAATTTCAGCTCGAAGTAGTTCGTCCAGAGCGGGAATGGCGGAACTGGTTTCTCCGTTTTGGCGTCCAGTCTCGGAGTCCCATAACCAGGCCGGTGTGGAAATCTTGAGCGGGCATCTGGTGCTTGAGCTGTTGCCCGGCCTTCGGACTCATAGGATTGCTGAAGCTGGTCCTCAATCCTCTGGACTCTGTCGCTAAGATCCGCGCCCCCCCTTTGGCTGGTTGAGTATCAGAATTAGCTGCTGAGCGCCCCCAAGCTACATGTTGAAGTTTGTGGAGAACCACTTACGTAAATGGTTTGATATTGTCGCTCCCTTGTCCTCCAGGACCCCTGCCTTCACCTCTATTGTCCCGTCCATGATAGCTTTGAGCGGGAGCACTTCCGCTACCGCCGGCAGGTCTGCGATAATCATCACCGCCCGGGTTGCAATTAGGCCCTCCACCGGGGTTTCGAAGGTGGAAAGGTATCCCCGACATGTTCGCCCACAGTCTTCAGGGAACAGAAGAATCCTGGATTGTTGAACAGAGTTGTTCTAGAGGCGACTTACTGAACGGAATTAGAGGGCTGTGCTGATCTGTGACGCCTTAAGTAGAACTTGCGGCTGTATTCTCCAGCGGTCGGTTTGCCTACATTGCTATGCTTGCAGCACTGATGCGGTTGTCAGTCGTAAAACCATTTCTGAGGCATTTGCGAACTTGACGAGACAACCGCTCCACAAGCGACAAACCAAGCAATGCATAGACAGTGAAGATGACGATGGAAGTGCTTGACTAAGCTGCTTGATTCTGACAAGTCGTGGAGAGTTTCGATCTTTCCCGCATCTATGATAATTATGGTGACTGAAGGTTTGAGCCGCAATGTCCAACGCTTTCGCAAACCGATCTGTATCTGGACAACCATCTTATCAGTATGCCGCTAAATGCTCATCGCCACAAACTCAAACGCCTTCCCAATGCTATTCGAGTACTCAGCTACTGACTACTCCTCGGCATCTGCTTCATCTTCGTCGATGGTGCGCTCCACGATGAGATTGCCGCTACGCCCAATCCGCTCCTTGACCGTGCCTCCCTTCTCCAGCTCGTAGACTTCGCGCGGCATCGGCGAGACAAGGCGGAACTTGTATTCGTGTTCATAGCCCGCTGGCTTCCTTGCATCGAAAGCAGCCTCGTCTTCCGGCTGCAGTATATCATAGCACTCCACAAATGCATACAACTCCTCGATCCCCGCCTCAGGCGCGAACTTGCGAACAACGCGCTCGCCAGACGGCATGCGCAAGCTTATCCTTACCACGTCCTTTGCCTCCGGTCCCGGTTCTGCCCGTATCGCCCGCGCCCTCCACCGCCGCCACTGCTCCAAATTCCGCGCTTCCCGCTCTTCGGCCTCGGCCTTCTCTTCCGCTTCCTTTTCCGCACGCCGCTGCGCCTCTTCCGCCTCTCGCCTCTGCCGCGCGCGCTCCCTATCCTGCGCCAATGAGCGCTCGTATGCTGAGTTCTGCTGCTCGCGCAGGTTGCGCGCCGCTTGCTGCTCTGCCCGCTGTGAGCGCATCCTGTTCAGTGCCTCCGAGTTCTGCGCCATGGCGTTTTGTAGCTTCGAAACGAATGTGGATGGGGGAGTCGGTCCGGTTATGCGCGCGACGATCGACATGGAGGTGGACGATACGGAGGGCGTATGGACGATTAAGGCAGTAAAGGGGAATTTGGTGCAGTTGAGGGCGGTCGAGACTTGATAGGCTTCGGAGTCTTGGACGTTGCCTGCCCATAGGACGAGATTGTCGCGCCGGGATTTGATGAAGTTTACGACTTCGGAGGAGAGGAGGGTATCTCGGATAAAAGATGTAGTGTCATCGTGCTCTGGAGAGACCAGGACGACCAGGAGGAACTTGAGCTCCTTCTTTGCGAGGTCAAACGCTTGCGCGTACCCGTTCTCGAAGAACGGAAGCTCGTTGGCGCCGTATTCCTCCTCGAATTCGCGGATGAAACGCGCTGCTGTATCCCGTGGGTTCAGTGGTCGCCGGCCGCTTGTGTTGCTCCGTCTCGTTGGCGAGGTTCGGTTGGCTGAGAACCTCGCTAGGAGACGGGGGAGGAAGGGGAAGAGGTATCCGACGGCGCCAAGGGTTCTGGAAAGTATGGTATAGGCTAGGTTGAAAGGCATAAATAGTATGGAAAGGAGGAAGGGCGCCTGGTGCGTGACTTGGCCCTCAGGTTGGGGTACTACTCGAGGCGCTGGGTCGATGTCCCTTCGTAGGGAAGGAGACGGGCGCGAGAAGCCGTTTAGTAGCGTTTCCTGCCGTCTAACGTCTTGCGGCAACGGAGTATCTGGTATAGAGTCGGCAACTGGCTCGGGAGGTTCGCCATCGAAGAACCTAGCTATCGCGATCTTGTAATGTGTGAGCTATTGTAAGACCAGCCGAGAATCACAGCATACCTGGACGTTCCATTGACATCGCTCCAGTAGTGGCACTGCGGCGTCGATGTTCTGATCTGTCACGGAGGTGAACTGTTGCAGTGCCAGCTGCTGCTCTTCCGTCAGCGCGCCTATATCCACATCAGAGCTCGCCATGTTCACGAGACATGCGCAAAGGACGAGGCTGGAGCAAGAGAGGCGGCGGAAATATCGGTCTAGAGAGATAGTGTGGGGAAGCTAGGTAGTTGGGTGTACTTTTGGTACTCCGGTACTCCAGACTCTAGTACTCCAGTACGCGGCCACGGTGACCTCAGTCCGATAAGATTCTGGGTTCTGCCAAATTCACCGCCTTCGGTCAAAGGCCGCGTAGGGCGGATTAGCGACATGGGGGACGCCGCGGCGACGTTGATAGTCAGTTGCGGCTGCACGCTGCTCCATGGCAGTGAGCGGGTACTAGATGGTTTGGCTGATGAGGTGAGCTTCTTCCCGGCAATCGCACACTGTGACCGTAGAGACCCGTACATCGTGTCGGAAAGCTACATTGAGCGTGCCCGTCAGCTCCGGGAAACCCTTGTCGCCAGATAAGGTGTGCAATACGCTTCCACGCCAGCAGCATCAGGAATATCAGATGGGGCTGAACAACAGCCATCAGCTTGGTGCATGCCTTTCTCGTTTCTTGTGGAGGCTGCGTGAGTTCGCCATTGTCGCATACCGCTGATGCTTTCCGTCAGGCTTTATTCTGGACTCGGATACACCTCCCGCGATCCGTCCCTTCTCCGACGTTAAATCACGCTCTGCAAGCCCATTGCTGCTATTGAGCTTCTCGAGTTGGCCCAATCTGGGTGCGGAGTTGGACCCATTTGCGCCCGCCTAACAGTCTCCAGTCCTGCCGTTCCCGATGCTTCATACTCGGCGGAAAGCGACACCACAGCACTGGAAGAAGGAGGGATAGCACTACACATGGCAGCTGCCACAGCGGGAAGCAGCCCGGCCGATAGTCGTCGGGGAATGTCCTCTCCTCGACCTCGGGGCCGTGGTATGTCAGTCGTTACGGCCACAAGCGCCGCGCTCTCGTTATGGATTTCCACAGAAGAACAGTACAGTTAACGTACCGGCGCTCAGAAAACACCAAAAATACTCTTTGTCGGAACATCACTATCTATGGGCGTTGCAAGTACGAGAAAGAAGGTACAATCAGAATTGTGGAGATTCGACGGCTGACAGAAATGTGTTGACAAGTCGCCCAGGCTGCCTCTACAACCACGATATCGGCCAAGCGAACAGTGCGCAGATCGTGTCGAACGCCAACTCTCGAAAGGGGTTCAATGTCGATTCACCATCATTTCAGCCCCTTTTGCCAGTCGGCAACGGTGCGTCGTCCGGTACCAAAAGCGCAAGCATCTCACCAAGGGCCGCCAACGCGGCCATATTCACACCAAAGTCATTGAAAGCCAGCAAGTATTCCGTTTCGCACGAGCTCAAACTCTGGCCGGAACAAGTGCTCATCATAGCTCAGACGTTGCCGCTCCCAGAGGACACTCCTCCGAAGGCTCAGGTGACTGGGGCCCACAAGCGTTCCATGAGTTTGTTCCACAAATATACGACAGCAACCAGTTGGTACGTACAGCCACTTGTCCAGCGGTTCCAGGCGGAGTTGCACAACTCTGCGCGCGCAACAAAGGGACATGGCATCCCCTATGAAGCCCAAATTCCTTACTACACAGATATAATACTGCTCGGCTTGTATTGAGATCGCACCCTCGCCAACCGCGAAATGGAGACCGACGCAGAGAACACGTCAGAGGCACAGCCCAACGTTACTCTGTGCTCTAATGCTCTTACGACGGACATTGATGAGCCTGTCTCTGACAACATACAGGCAGATCCCAGTGTAACAGCTCCGGTTCTTAACCCGTACAGCTCATACAACAGCTCATCGACAAGCCTCGCAGCTGCCGGTCAGCAGGCGAACCCATATGCGCAAGACGCGTCCAGTATCAGTGGCACTGCCTATTACCAGAACGCCAATGCCTTGGCTCAACCTGTATGTGCTATTTACTCAACTCGGTTTTGCCGTCGGCTGACAACAGTTACAGCCACAGTACCATCTCTACTTTCCTCTTGGCCCCTATCGGGAGAACTTACTAGCTTATCAGAAGATTGCTCACAACTTCTTCATTCCGGATGACTTGAGAGAAGAGTTGCAGCGAAAGGCCGAGGCCGCTCGCCAGGTCCTTCCGAGTAGGTATCTATTCTGCTGCGAGGACTTTCCGACAATGGGCTGAACCTCGTGATCACAGATTCAGCGCTGCCGGAAGTCGAGCACTATCACACCCTGGTCCCTCTGGACACCAACAACCAGAGAAACGTAACGCTCTTTGGATACCCGAGTTGGGTCTACAAAGCCGTTTCAAGCAAGGATGGCAAGACATACATCCTTCGGAGACTCGAAAGTAGGTGTTAAGCATGAGATTCTGCACGGATAGGACTAAACCACTTCGCAGATTACCGCTTGACGAATGAGAAAGCCATACGCTCGGTGCAATCTTGGAAACGCATCAACAACGGCGGTGTTGTCAAGATCCACGACGCCTTTACCACCCGAGCTTTCGGAGACAGCTCACTCATTTTCGTAACTGACTACTTCCCGCGTTCCAAAACGCTGGCGCAGGAGCATCTAAACTACACACCAAGCTACAACCGTGGCCGACCAATGACAAATCAGATCCCAGAAGCGACTCTCTGGGGCTACATTACACAAATCGCGTCCGCTCTCAAAGCCATCCATAGCAATGGGCTAGCAGCGCGAGTCATCAATCTCAGCAAAGTCATAGTCACATCAAAGAACCGCGTCCGCCTGAACGGCTGTGCGATCCTGGATGTGACCCAGCACGATATACCTCGGCCACTCCAAGAACTCCAAGCCGAGGATCTCACTCAGCTCGGCCGCCTTATTCTCTGCTTGGCAAACAATAACCAGAACGCAACCCTCAACATTCAGAAGAGCCTCGAGCATGTCGGCCGCACCTGCTCCCTCCAGCTCAAAGACTGCGTGACTTGGCTGCTTACAGCCGCACCGGCCGCACCCACCACCTTACAAAGCCCTGGTGGAACCAATGCAACACCCGAGAAGACCATCGACACCTTCCTCCAGGCTATCACAACGCAGATCATAAACACCTTCGACAACACCCTCCACGCCAACGACATCATCGCCAGCGCCCTCGCCCTCGAGCTCGAAAACGGGCGGCTCTTCCGCATCGTCTCGAAGCTCAACTTCATCACCGAGCGTCCCGAGTTCGACCACAACCCGCTGTGGGCGGAGACTGGGGAGCGCTACTACCTCAAGCTGTTCCGGGACTTTCTGTACCACAGCGTGGATGCCCAAGGCAAGCCTGTCACGGATCTGGGACATGTGATTGCGGCGCTGAATAAGGTGGATGCGGGAAGCGAGGAGAAATGCATGTTGGTTAGTAGGGACGAGCAGAATGTTCTGATGGTAAGTTATAGGGATGTGAAGAGGATGGTAGAGAGTTGCTTTCTGGAGCTGGTGAAAGGGGGTGCGAGGAGGTAGGGGATATGAAGAGGTAGGGAGAAAATCTTGGTAGCAGATAAGGGCGCGTTCGTTGGGGGCTTCAAGTCTGCGGACCATGAGCCGAAGGAGTGGATGGTGAAGATATTACTAGCCATTGGAAAGCTGTCCGTTTAGTTGTGTCGTTTTTAGGCACCACGCCCGGAAAATTACATCATCAAGTTTGGCCCAATGTGGAAGTCACGCTGCCCCCTCCGTTGCTTTTCCTTGGTTTTCGCAGCTTCCATCAACGCATACGTTGTTTTCTTCGCTTACTTCACGCATCACTAAAAAGCCGAGGATATTGGAGGAGACATACAAAATTAGTGTAGCATTTTCAACAGAACACCGTAAGCGTCAGACAAAGCTCCAGCCTCCACCGCACAATGACCTTCGAAGATGGCGGGTGAGGTCAATCAGAAATCCTCGGCACGAGGTGCACGGCCATAACGCGAGATCCCGTGCTCATGCGTCACCGCGACTCTCGAAAGTCCGCGATTCAGATGTCGGACGTCAACGACTCCCACACCGCTTCCCCGCCGCCCAACCTCAGCCACCAGATCGGCCCAGATACTCTATCCTGCAGGAACCCGAGAATTGGGATCGATCTGATCGATCCAGCTCATGGCATTTCCTGTCCTTCCCCATGCGCTGCCCCAAGACTTGCACCGCTGCCTGGGCCATTGCAACGTCTCTACTGACACCATGACTTTTGCATGTCTGTTGATCTTTTCCTCTCAACTGCTGTCTGTCTGTCATAGTCAGACGTTTAGTGATCCTGTCGCCAGCCTTTGACGCATAGCATTTCGGTAAATGTGCATTATGACCTCTTCTTGCAGCTGTATGAGGCTTAGGCCAGGCACGAGCGTTGCGGTAGTCTTGTGTCTAGTGGCCCATCTATTGGCCCCCAGCGGCTGAACCATGATAATCGTCCCGGCTGCGGATTTAGTTTCCTGACCGCTGATGCTTCTCTCGTTATCATCCGATTCCCCTCAAACGTCTATTGTGTCACAGCCGCTGAAAGAGTCAGAATGAGCATGGAGGTGTTTACAGGCTGTTGCCCAGCCACTGACGGAAGTCACATTTGACGTACCCCAGCCCAATACAGTCCAGACACAAGTACAAGATGCTATAAGAACCCTCTCGCACCCTCTTCTCAACCCATCATCACAGTAATCAACAGTTTCGACAATAAGCACATCCCTACATAAAACCACCTTTCCAACCCATCCACATCCACAATGGCCAACCCAGGAAACGTCATCGGCGGCCACAAGGCCAACCTCAACAACCCCAGTACGACGTCTTGTTATCTCCTGTGCCTCTCAATTGCTGATCAATGTGCAGACACTTCGGAGGAGTCCAAGCAGCACTCTAAGGAAGTCCTTGAGCAGGCCTCCAACAGTGGCGAGATTGATACCTCGTCCTCCTCTTCTTCTGGCTCTACTGAGGGCCAGAACCCCAACAACGTGTAAGTCATTCTACCCCAGACGTTCACGCAGGTCGGCATTGCTAATAAAAGCGCAGTGCCGGCGGCTTGAAGGCTACCCTCAGCAACCCGAACACTTCGCAGGAGGCTAAGGATAGCGCTAAGGAGCGTCTCGACAACATGTAAGGTGGTTGTGGAGACTGGTCGGAGTGAACTGCAGTGAGCAGGCTCATGACTACGAGCAATGATTCAGGATGCTAGAACTTGGATACTGTAGAACAGAAATCTGACAGCAAATGGAACGTCTTGTGTCACAACAGCACAGCTCATATTGAAGTCTGTTGTCTATCTATGCTATACAGTGCTTGATGAGATTTGTATGCCATGCTGTATGCCCAATGTCGCGGTCAAGCAAGTCCCCTGATTCTATGCATCCCAGGTCGTAGGAATACGTCATGAAGATCAGTAGGAGATATAGAACCGAGTACGAATGGACGCAATATCTACTTGCAGAAATCCCCTCGATGATTCCGTCGTGAGTGGGCGGCGGGGACAGTGCACCTTCGTAGCAGAGACAAGGACGAGACTGTTGAGTACCTCACCGTCCACGGTCGGCATGTTCTGGCTCAATCTTGCAGGTGCAGACCTCAACTCCCTAGTGCCTCCCCACCTCAAGACCATCATGTGGATTACGGCGGCGGACATACCCTCGGTCTTTCGGGAGCCGGACGCTCGATAGTAGGTATTAGACAGCCGGTCGGGCGTCCTCGTGCTCTTTCGGAATCATGGAGTGCTTCTTCGAGCACCCCATCCACTGAGCTCGGAGCTGAGACTACCGACAGTAACATTCACGTCCCGTCCTCCTGCTGACTCGCCCTCCCGACTTCAGCAAGCACGACCTCAACGACCTTGCCCATACCCTCCATTTCCTCCTCCACGGTCCCCCCAAGGCCGGCACCAGCGAAGGAGATCGAGTTGCCGACGTAGGTTGGTTTGCCGGTGCGACGAGCGAGGATCTTGGCGAGGCGGGTTGCGAAGTCCAGGGTTTGTGACTGTGTGTAGAGGGCGGTGCTGAGGGGCTGGGCTGTGGGGGACGTCCGCTGGAGGAATTGCTCGTTAGTGATATGCGCTGCTAGGGGTGGATGATAGGTTGGGATGTGTAAGGCCTCGTACATTTGGCATAGCGTAGACGAAGCTGCCCATGGGACTGCCACTGCTTGACGTGTCGGCCGCTGTTGTGGTCAGGAAGAGCAGGATGGAGGTTGTCAGGACGGTGAGATGCATGTGGATCCGGGTATGGGGAGAGCGCGGGAGCGGGAACGAGAGTTGGATCGGCTTTGCTGGGGGGTGCTCCGTGCCGTTCGTGATTGTGGAAGCCATTGTGGCCTCCCTGGATCAATGCTTCTAGTTTTGAGAGGATCGGTGCTCCTGTGAAGCTGCGTCTGATGTTGAAGCTTCGTTGATCAGGGATTAGTCATCCTCAGGCGCAGTATATCGCAACTCCTGAAACAATAGCCGTGCTTCTGCAGCAGACTAGTCGAACCCTGGTGAAGACGCTTTGTTAAGCCGGAAATTCAGAGGTCGGCGGGATTGTTTCGCAGGTGAAGAATTGTAGTGAATCGTATATGTATGACGTAGGGTTTAAAGTGCAGAACATCAGCCGAGAGAAGTATCTCAACTTCCGTCGATACCGAAGAGATCGAGGGTTACTTTATGTTTAAGGCCTTAGCATTCAACAAGCCCCCTCAGAAAGCGTGGGCTGTTGATGGACAATCAAAATGGCTTCAGGAACAGAAGATGAGATTGATCCCCTTGCTGATCCGGAGGAGAGAAGAGTCATCTATTCAGTGTTGGATTCCTTCGCGTGCGTTACTCTCATCCCCTCAGTCATATATTTAGTTTCTCTTAAAGTGTCCGTCAGTGGATGAGAATCTCGTACCTTGGTGTTTTCCCACTTATTTCCTGGTTGGCCATCAAAGTCCTCAGAGCGAAGTATAGCTTCTGGCATTTCATGACACCTCACAATAGCTACTCGTAGTCCTTGTCACTAAGAGCATACTAAGTTCTTACCGCCGTGCCGCTCACTACAACGTCACTCATCTCCGCCGGCAATCCTTTTACGCGCTCCCATCTGCTCACTGGACCCTACTTGCCGAGCCGCCGTTCTCCCTGCTAGATTCACTCTCGGCCGTAGACGATGCTATCGATGCCAATGCTGACATCGCCGAAGCGATACTCCGTGTCGGGGCCGAGTCCTTCGCCGACGAAAGCGCCGAAGCGCACACAGAAGCACCTAATGGGAACTCAGAGGGTGCTAGTCACCACGAAAGAGACCCGCCATGGAAGGGCAAAACCACCAAGATGGATCTCGACAAAGCGCGCAGCACCATTCGGCAACTCTACCGAGACTGGAGTGCAGAAGGCGCGTCCGAACGCGCAGCTTGTTTCGATCCCGTCCTCCAAGCGCTGAAAGATGAGTTCACTCACATTCCTGATTCCGACAAGGGCGAACTCCAGGTTCTGGTCCCTGGTGCAGGGCTCGGCCGACTAGTGATGGAGATCTGCTGCGCCGGCTTCTCCGTTGAGGGCAACGAGATATCATACCACCAGCTCATGGCTAGCAACATGATCCTCAATGATACTAGGCGAGCGGAGCAGTATCCGTTGTATCCGTGGGCCTTATCCTTCTCGAACCACGTCAGCAGAGCGGATCAGTTGCAGAGGGTGATGATCCCGGATATACATCCTGCCACGGCCCTTCACGAAGCATCTGTCGGTAAAAAGACGCACGCCGGCGAGCGCATGAGCATGTCCGCCGGCGATTTCTGCGTCGTGTATAAGAGTGCGGAGAACAAGGAGGTGTACGATGCGGTCACGACGGTCTTCTTCATAGACACGGCGCCCAATCTGATCTCGTATATCGAGACAATCCGCAACTGTCTGAAAAATGGTGGGATTTGGATAAACCTAGGACCACTACTTTGGCACTTCGAGAACAACCCACCCGGAAGCACGGACGAGGAAGCAAAAGGCGGCGTGCATCGGAACGGACAAGCCAATGGCAGCGTGCAAGACCAGGGCATTGCAGAGCCGGGCTCAATGGAACTTACAGACGACGAGGTCGTCGGACTGGTTGAGCGCTTCGGGTTCAAGATTGAGAAGCATGAAGTTGGGAAGGTCGCTACTGGGTATATCCAAGATCCTAGGAGCATGTTGATGAACATCTACAGGCCGTCGTTCTGGATAGCTAGGAAGCAGTAGCATACGCTCTAAAGACTTCAGAGGATTTGACAAGAGTGACGTGCTGTGACTGCGCAATAATATTAAACTCGCCATGCGTTTGACCCGTGCTTGCCCGCTCGCTTGTGCGTAACCAAGCCGGATGAGTTGCATTGACTATGATTGTGTTCCATGATTTGATAACCAGTATGTGCAATGCCTCTCGAGCAATGTTCCATGCAGTTCGCATGCTGTGGTACATGGCAGTCAGGCCCCGTAGTTGACCGAGGCGTCTGTAAACGTCGCCGAAAAGCCGTTACGGAACCAACACCGCCACAAAAGACCTATCTACTACGCTATAGGCGCAGACAAGCAAGAGATGTAGCAGAAAAAGCAAAAGGAATGCCAAAAGGTAAAACGAGCAGCATACAACTTGTAGGAGTGATAGTGACATGGGCGCCAAACTCGACCAATTCACGGTCTTCAGACCTACCTTGAATGAGATTTGAAGCCTGTCTGGAGGCTGAACCACCACCAAGACAAGTCTGGTGCACGTTACATGCGTGCAGAAGTGTAGAAATGGCAAAGCAAGAGGTAAAATACATGCAAAAAGGCACAACGAGCAACATAGGTGTTGCGAGTTTGGACGCCAAGCCGAGCGAATTCAGGGTCTAAATCTGCCGCCAATCGACCACTGCAGCCTATACAGAGCCCAAACCACCACAAAAACGAGCCTGGTGCACGATCAGAGGTGCACAAGTGTAAAACAAGCACACAGAAGAGCAAAAAGGAACACAAAGAGGCAAAACGAGCAGCATGGGGATCGAACCCACAACCTTTGGTGTCTTCCGTCTTCCGGCGACCGAAAACCAACGCGCTACCATTGCGCCAACCACCCGGGTTGGGAGGTTATTCAAAAGGCTACCAATATATATCAAAAGGCGAACAATGCATTAGCGATTCGCCCTGTAGATCGTCGGCGGGGCTCGCTAGTCGACGCTCGGCGCTTCCTCCTTGCCGAACCCCTGAGCGTTTCTCAAGGAAACAGAACAATCCGATCTCTGGATCCGACCTTTACCAATGTGGCGCGACGATGCCCTAGGAAGGTTTCCCTCATGTGTTTTACCTGTCAGGTCTCGATGCTACCAGAAAAGGGCGTTTTATAGCTCGATTACAATGACTACGATCTTGTGGGCAATTGACCTTCCAAGAAGCACCTCGAGGGGCAGCACAGGAGCTAGCAAGGCTCCGTTTGAGGCCGATCTTCGCGGTACAGAAATAGTAACGGATACGGGGCACCCGAGTACCAACATGGTCCTCCTAATATCGACACCGAGTGTTTACCCTGGTGACAGTCTGCCTAATGCGAGTTCTCGCAACTTGAAACGCGATGGCGCAATGCAGGTTCTATTCATTAACGCAGAATAGCCGTCATCGGCCAAGGGGACGTAAATGTAGGTACAGAATCTCCAATATAAAGACGGCTAGCCTTTCATGATCCTCAAGCTCAGCAGCGGTCTCCCTTCTCCTCGGTCCAACATGTTTCCCACTACTTTTTGGAGCTTCTTCCAAGTCGCGCTCCTCTGTCTCAGTCTCCTCTGCCTTGTCACAGCCCGTCCACCTGACGAGTCAACCGCGCCGACCAAACCCTCAACCATCCAGCTCCGCAGCGAGGTCGTCAAAACGATACTCCCCCCACGCAAGAGCGGCCGCGGCCGCACCGGAAACCCCTCCGCAACCTCTTTCGTCGAACTCCAGCTGAACCTCTGCAACAGCGGCTTTGCAGGCTGCTACAAAGACGGCAAATCAATCCCCGAAGGCAGTGCTCGGATCTACAACGCAGGCCCCAACCTCGTGACCGTAAACGAGGTCTGCTTCAGCGACGTGACGAAGCATCTTCAGCCCGCGCTAGCAGAAGCATGGCCGGACGATTACACCTACTCTGTGTTCATGCCCGCGCTCTACAAGGGCAACGACACGGCGTACCGCTGCCGCGGCTTCAAAGACTTCTACGGCAACGCCGTCATCGGTCGCGTCGCTGCCGCAAACTGGAAAGGCGTCACGGCGTACGGCGGCCGATACGCAACTCAGGCGGCGGCTAGCAACGAGGCGCGCACCTTTGCCTGTGCGGAGGCCGAGGGCGACCACTTCGCCTGCGTGACGCATCTCGCTGCAACGCCGCCGGAGACGGCGCTGGCGCAGTGCAAGGCACTCATGTTTGACGCGGTGCCGTACCTCAAGGCTGTGGGCGGGGCGACGGGGAAGACGGTTGTGGGCGGGGATTTCAATCTCAAGTACGACAAGGGCAGCTCGACGAACGTGCAGCTGTGCGTGCCGAATGGGTATACGCGGAAGGGCGACGGCGACGTGCAGCACATTATCGCGATGAACAGTCTCGTCTTTCAGGATACGGATCAGGGTGGCTTGACGTATTCGGACCATCCGTGGTTCTCGGCCGATTTCACGGCTCGCTGATGGAGTGGTAAATTCACTACAAAAGGACGTAATTGTCATCATGCGTATTATCTTATATTACGATGTGATACTTATATCCTCCCGTGCTATGAACGATGTCCGACCGAAGCGCCGTCAATGTAATGATGTACAGGACCCGAACAGTGCGGACGCCTTAGACCCCCTCATCCGTCTGTAGAGCCAAGGTCTAAAACACGATAGCCACCCAACGCCAGACGCTGTGAGAGTAAGTTGTACTCTGAAAAGACACATTAAAACAGAGCAAGGTTACAAAGTAGATCCGTAGATGGGCAGCAACACCCCACCGCCCGTTATGCTGTACGCTCAATACCGGAGCTTCCCAAGCAGCGAGAACGAATAAGCAGCCTCCCGCTCACTCTTCAGCTGTACAAGACAGTCAGCTTTCCGTCCAGTCCAGAACCACTCGGGACAACATACCTGTATCATGTAGACCCTCGCTCTAGCCCCACTAACCCCCCCAACAGCCCCCACAGTCCCAATCTCACCATTCGGGCCCTTGACATCTTCCCACACCGAGACCGCAATCCCCGTCCTCGCGACGCGCTCAAAGGCAGTCTCACTCAACGTAACATCAAGCAAGCACTCGCCCTTCGTCTTACCTAGCACCACAATCCTCTTCTCATTACCTCGTCCCTGCCCCGGCGACCCCGGCACAGCCGCGCCCGACGTCCTGGACTGCTGGCTCGGATGCGTGATCGTCAAGCGCGCGGAGCCCATATCCCGCCACTTGGACTGCGTCTCCCGCACATAGAGCCGGATCTTCGCATTCGAGATGCCCATACCGCCGACCATGATGCCGTCCGCCGGCGTGCTTGTTCCGGAGCCGCCGGAGCCGCCGGAGCCGCCGGAGCCACCTGATCCGGTTTCCAGGCTCGCAGTGCTACGGCTCCCCTCGCGCGACGAGATGGTGGACCGCGCGATGCTGAAGGTGCGGCGGCCGGTGCTGAATTTCCGCAGCGCTGAAAACGCACTCGCCATCGTACCAACAGAGGAGTCGGTCTGGACAGATATGCTCGGCGCGCGCGTGCTCGTGGCGCGGTAGCTCTTGCTGCGCCCTAGTGAGCCGCGCCACCAGCTGCCGCCCGCGGTGCTGCCGCCGGCGTTCGAGTCATGGCGCGAGGCGTTGCGGCGGTCCATGGCGGCGGCCCAGCTGCTCTCGCCGTATGGGCCGCGCGCGTTCTGCAGCGCCATGTAGGTCGGGTTGTTGATGCGTGAGGTGTTGATCATGGCGTACAGGGCTTCGCAGTCTTCGGGGGAGCGGGAGCGGAACATAATATTGTTTCCTGTGCGGATTTTGCTTTTCGAGGTTGGAGGTGAGCGGATGGAGATGTCGAGGGCTGTGCCGCGACGGAGGGGGACGAGGGGAGTGAGCTCGAGAGCGACCAGGGGACGGTTGGAGCTGCTAGACTGGGCTTTGCCGTCACCGGATATAGGTGAATTAGGTAGAGAGGCATTCATCTCATACGCCTCGATCAAGCCAGGCGTGATAACGATCCTACATTCACCCGGATGCAGGTCTTCCCACATGCCCATATCAGACCACGAGAAAATCTCTGCAATGGCGGTGGATGCTTTCTCGCGGCTCTGGGGCACGGTGCGATACGGAGCTTGGGACGCTGACTGTGAAGGCGACAAGGTGCCGCTGGGGAGGCTGGGAATAGATACAGGAGGCGACACCCTTGGGAGCTTGTACAAGGCTTCAAGTGGGGGCAACGGTCCGAGCGTGCTCTGGTTCTCGTAGATCCCGTCGTCAGAAGACTCAGAAGTGATAGAGCCTTCGTCCTCTGATGCGAATCCTTCACTTTCGCTAGTAGATTCAGTAGCGGTGGACGGCTCGTATTCATGCTTTAGTGGTGATGAAGACCGGCGACGAACTTTTCTTGCGGATGAGATGGGAGTGAATTGTGGTGTGGTGGAGCCATTGAGTTGTACAGGACTTGCAGATCGGTGAGGGGGTGGAGATGGAGGAATCTCTTGTTTAAGTGCGTCAGGTTTTGCTTCTGGTGGTGCTGAAGACCTCTTCTGTAACTTGTGGTACCTCGCTGGGGCTGAGCTTGGGGCTTCCTTGACTGGCGTTACAGGTGCAGAATCCGCACGCTGATCTACGGTGGCTGAGTTGTTAAGCGTCTGACCCGGCTGACCTGACTTCCGCAATTTTGGTATCGTTGGAAGATCTAGCGAAGGAACGGATGAAGCTCGACGATGAAGAACTGGCCGGGAAGGTGGCACTGGAACAGACCGTCTCTTGTGGTGATCTTTGTCAGATTCATCCGATGCGCTTAAATCGTCCTGCTCAGATGGTGGGAACCACACGCTGTAACCCTGGCTGGTGTCGGATAGAAATGAAGATGTCGGCGACAATGGCGGACGGGTACTGGCATGCTTGGGCTTAATGGGCTCCTTTAGCTCAGGCTTCATTGGCTCTTGGTCGAAGTACTGCTGCCTGATCTGGGCCGGCGAAGTTGGAGAGCGAGGTGATTCTCTATACCTCTTTGCCTTGGTCCGTTTGAGATTAGATGGAAGGCTGCTGCCTGCCATGCTCATGGCCTCGTTGAGACTCCGAGGAGTTGGCACTTCATGCGACTTCCTTTCCGCCTCGCCAACCGCTGGATGTGAAAGCGATGCTGATTGGCCGCTCTGTTTACTATCCGGTTCGACAGGCAAACTTAGAGGGGCCGCGCCGCTCTTAGGCTTCTTCTGTAGTCTGTTGCGCTCTCTGCTTGTTGGTACAATTGGTGGAGAGGTAGAGAGTTCAGGATATGCCACGTTTTGCATTTGAGTGGTGGCCTCAGCGTCCCATTGCTTTGATGTACCCTTCGCCCGCTCACCAATTGGCACTTCGATCTCTCGCGGACTGGGTGTTCTACTCTTTAATGGCAACGCTGGCGCTGTAGCTGCAGACATCACCGGAGGAGATCGATGGCTGCTGGTAGGCTCATCAACTTTACCGGCGAAACTCTCCAGCGGGAGTTTTGGTGGAACAGGATTTAGTCCGAGCATCTGTATCCATTCGAGCCCAGCTTGCTCGTCGTCGGTACATAGAGTCATCAATTCTTGCCATTCTTGCCCACCCGAGTGATAGCCTCGGATCATCACTACAATCTCGCTGTACGAGTCACCGCTCCGAGCAGAAATGCGACCGATTTGAACCGGAGGGAACAATAGCCAGCGGCCAGTATTGTCGACTTCGCAGATGAGAACATCGCCACTGTTCCCACGTCCAGCAGCATCATCGCGCAGTAAAAGTTCGGCCCGGCAGTCTACCTTTTGGCCACTGGAATGAGGCAGGTGCAGATCGAAGTAATCTCGAGCGCGCACGCAGCGCAATGGGTCTATCGTCACACCCGCCATGGGAGCTAGGCTTCGGGGGTCTCGCGCTCTGCTAGGATCAATGCTTGCAGCTGCTTCATCTTCAAGCCTAGCCTTCTCTTCGTTTGATCTCTTTCGCGCATCAATGACCAGGTTCTGGAACTTTATGGCTGCCGCTTCAGCTTGCTCTGATTGTCTGATAGTATGGATGCCCTATTTTGATTAGGATCATCTTGAGAACACTTGTCTGCTTCATTGCTTACCTTGAAAGTCTTCGCGAGGTACTTCAGACGTACAAGTGGGCGTTTCAGCAGGAAGGCAACGTCAACTCTCTCACCATCGGCGTCCACTACGTAACCTTCCTCATTTCTAGGCATACCTTCGTCCCATGCTGCATCATCTCCACCCGTCGCAGTCTTCACAACGGATGCCGAGTCTTTACCCGTCGCGGGTGCCAGATTGACTACCACGTCCTGAAAGCCCAGTCTCCATGCTTTGATGTAGTCAGTATATCCTCTTGACGCGCTTTGAGCCCAAGAAAGCAGTGCTTGCGGATCCTGTTGCGGAATGCGCTTGTGCAGAGACTTGAGCCGCTCAAGAGCAATACCCATGTCGACGATTGGTTGGGTAACGCCAGGGTCGTTCTTCATTGCAGCGGAACGACCAAAGAGGCCAGCTGCGACGGCGGCGTCTGATTTTGACAATACACATGTCAGCAGCACCGGGATGACGCCATCAACCAGAGTGCGCAGTTCGCGGATGTATTTCGCCTCATCGGATAAAAGCTCGTTCATCAAATCTTCAACTGTGGCTGTGGCGAGCCTGCTCCTATTTGTTCGAATACTGCGTGCTGATACGATACTCTTGCTGCCACCCTTGGATATTGACAGTACCGATATCAGATCCGCATGAGTGGCTAGCTTGCGCTTCTGGCTTTTGACTCGGCCTGTCCTGCTTACTTGAGACTCTGCATCTAGGGTGACTACAGACTCTGAAGCAGCTCCGTCCTCGAGTACCGTGCTCTGTTGCAGCGTCCCTGCTGAGCTTTCAGAGATCACAGAAGGTGCACCGTTTGCTTGGGTGTTGAATGTCTCGACCGAAGCTATAGTTGATAGTCGCTTTCCCGTTGACGGAAACATTCGCCTTGTTTGGTTTGGTTTGGGCTGAAGGGGGAGGGAAGGGCTTGGTAAGTCGACAGTAGAGGGATCAACGGACGAGGTAGTGGCAAATGAGATACCATCGTCTCCTAGTGTTTCGTTTCGAAGCGGCGATGCCCTTGGTGTACGCTTCGTTGGAGGCTTGGTGTCGCGCTTCGGAGTACTCGGCTTCAGAACCGGGATGCTAGAGATACTGGTAGCGGAAGGCTCATACGAGACTCTCGACGGCCCAGAAACTTCGGTATAACCTGATGTTCCGACAGATCCAGAACCAGCTATCGAACGAAGTCGGACGGGCGAGTTGTTGCTTTGGATCTCCGCTCGCTTCCTGCTACCATGTCGTGGCAGATGTGAGTCGGCTCCCATAAAGCTAGACGTCGTAACGGTGTCGTCGAAGCTTCTGCGCTCCGATTGAACCTGGCTCTCCATGACTTCTGAGCGTGGACTGGAGGAGCGTCTCCGGGTATTCCTCTGACGTTCGACGAAAGGATCGGGAGTGCTTCCGAGCCAGGCCTCTACTCTACTTCCAAAGACCTTCGGTGGCGTCGCTTGGGGCGGTTCAACTGATACAGGGACATGCTCGAGCTCCGCAGGCGGAGGCTTTGACAGTCTGCGCTTGGTGCGGGCCTCTTCTACTGACCGTGTTTTCGATGCAATTGGCGCTGGACCCTCTAGTAAGTCATCGACATGTCGCCTAGACCGTCTTTCTTTCGGTATGCGGTCTCTCTCGGGTCTTTCTGGACTGGTCCGGCGTTCTCTGTCGCGCCACTTGTGCGGTTGACCCTCATCTCCGCTGTGATAAGCCTTTCGACTCCTTCTTCGCTCAATGGGTGACCTCTCGCTTTCGCGCCGGTTCCCTGCTGGGCCCTCATCGTCGCTGTAGTATGCCCTTCGGCTTCGTCTTCTTTCAATCGGTGAGTAATCTTCCGCGGATAGATCGGATCCAGGTGACTTGTCTCGACTCCGTCTCTTGCGCCTACGCCCAGAGCCTTCCTTCCGTGATGAAGCGGGTGAGGGTGTTGACTGGGGAAAGTCCTCCGCATGTCTCGCTGCAATCTCATCATCAGAGTACTCCTGGGCCCTTGAGTATTCGTCTCTTCCGTTGGAGTGTCCAGACTTTCTCCGTCGTCTTCTCCTCTTGTGCGAGCTGTCGAGTGGTATTTGCGGACCCTCTTCGCTCTTTTCTGTCGTTCCGCTATCTGAGCCTCGACGAGCTGGAGGGATCTCTTCTCCGCCATCTGGTATGGATTTCCTTCGCGGCACGCCCGCAAGATAGGCCAGGATCTGTGGGTTGGGTTCCAACTTCTTCTTCGGCGATGTCTCAGCTTTTACCGTCGCCTTGGGCGGAGAGCGAGAGACAGGTTTCACTGCGGGCCGCACCCATCCCGTTGGCTTTCCAGTCTTTGGAGTCGTGTTCGCCTGCGGCGACCTCGCTTTTTTCCAGTGCTCATCGCTGACGACTCTTTTCTTCGGCGCACTGGCAGCGCGTACATCCTCATCCAGCTCGTTATGTTTGATCTTGCGCGGTGAAGGAGCACATTTCTGCTCGGGCGCCGAGTCTTGCGCGTCATCGGACTTCGACACTATTGTGGAATCTTCGTATATGACTTCGACGACCAACTCCTCGCCTTGGTTGCCTGGTGGTTGCGCCTCGCCCGTCGGCGGTCGATCCGCAGCGGGTTCCTCGGTGACGACGGTCCCATCGTCAGAGGTCACTACTCCTCCGCCATGCGTTTGCCATGTGCGAATCTTGTCCTGTACGCTTGCCGAGTTTTGCGCCCCATTGGAACTTCCTAGGCCGAGCTGTTTGGCGCTGGGTTTGCTATCGGCAGGCTTGAGTTTGGACGGAGTGGCCGGTTGTTTGGCAGTGCGGCGAGCTTGAGGAGAAGAGGGTCCTGGCATAGGGACCTGCCCAGCGAGGGATCGAGTCAGCTTCATGTCGCGTTGAGCATTGGAATACGGGCAATTGCTCGCTGCATCACGTTGCTTGGCTGTTGTTTACACACCTGCTCAGGCTACACATGAGCCTGGGGACTACCGGACCGCGCGACACTATCGATAGGGCGGCAACGAGTGAATTGGGTAAGTATCATGGAGAAGAATGACAAGGTGAACGTGTAATGGATATGAAACGAGCTTGCAGGTCGAAAGCAGGATTGTAGAGGCGTTTGGTATCTCGCGCTCTCAGTGGTTGGCCATGGATGCACGAAATAGTGCAATCGCGGCGGCGTAACCGGCGGGAGATCCCCGGTGGACCGTGTGAACGAGTTGCGCAATCAATATTCTTCAATCAACTAAACACTGTCTTCTCATGAGAAAGCAGGTAGAAACCAAGACATTGTCACGAGATGAATCGAGAACCCGGAGATGTGCAACACTCGTCGCGCGGGGGCTTTGCTGACGGCAAGCAAGGGAACGGTTGCCATGCTCTTGCCATTCGCGCGCAGATCAGCCATCAGCCCTGCGTAGCGGCGATCATCTGGAACATTAGCCACACCGAATGGCGAATGCGGCGCCGGTGGCCATGTAAATATCGTCCTCTCAAGCCTTAGGAGAGATGAGTGTCACGCTCGGCCTTTGCAGCAACGCAATCGCGTGAGGCAAATGCTTTGAACAATCCAAAGTTGCGACAAATGTTCTCGCTGCACCTGATATATGGCCTATATTGAACTAGAGTCTACATCTTAGTAAGACAGATGCTCTAAGTCTAGAGAGCTCTAAGCTTCAACTCTATATTTGGCTCCGAACGACGGGCGAGCCCTCGAGAATCCGCAGGGGCAAGTGATAGGCACTGCTCTCCCTCCGCGCATCTGAGGCGTGGCAACCGCCCTAGCGGCGGCCTCTAAAAGAGGCTCACAATGTCTTCTTGATAGCGCCATTGGCCTGCAGCGACCGATCCATCTTCTGGAGCGCTTTGAACGCACGCCCGCCGGCGGTTGTGCTGTTGTACAGCAGTACTGTGCCCTGTTAGCGTTTCCTCCTGCCTACCTACAGAATCCATGAAGGCTTACTGAGGGGGATGACGATCCAGAACAAGTTCATGAAAACATAGTAGCACCAATAGTAGTACGCCTCTGGCCGCCAATACGACTTCTCCAAGTAGTAGTGGTCGAACATGCTAGTGGCATAGTACAGAACATCTCCGTATAGCTGGCCGAGCGAAACGATCGCTTGCAGCGGATGTCTCAATGGGTGCTCCGTGGTGATCATGTGCGCCACGATGAAGGATAGAGGGCCCCAGCAGATCTGTCACAAGTGTTTTAGTTAGCATGCAAGTCCGCTGGTGGGGTGCGGTCCAACGTACAGCAGTAATGCTCTCCATGCACATGACAAACGCGTTCTGAGTAAGATACCGCGAGTCAGAGTATGCGTATTCCTTCCATAGCTGCCCAAACAGGTCTTGCCGCCCGCCCATAGCCTTAAAGTTGTACGCGTAATAGCCTGGTCGTGGGTCAGGTTGCAAGTCGATGTAGGTGGGTGCGGCTTGAGGTTGTACCTTCAAAGAAGAAGTGGATGCACCCGCCTGCACTGGATTAGCAGGGAAACAATGTAGATATCGGCCCAACTTACTCAGGACGAACCACATGAGGGTGAGTAGCTCAGATGTCGGTATCTGGGAGCGTATCCGCTTTGCAGCGACGTAAGTAACAGAGAGGATGGCCGCACATCCTGAACCAAAAGCTAGCAGCAATTGGATCACGGAGTACTCGTTGGCTATGTAACCAGCAATTTCGACTTCGAGAGGGTAGTAAGGGTGTAACGGAGGAGATGATTTCGTGCCATTCAACGTAGCTTCTAGTACGGTTTCCATGGTCAATTGACTGGAAGTGTGTAGCAGGCAACGAGAGAGATTGGTTCCGAGCAATGGAAGATGCCCCAAACTCTGCTGTCTGCGTGAAAGACGTTCGATGGAAACGACCGTTGCTATCGGAACCCGGACCCTGAGGCTCAAGTGAACATGCGTTTTTGCGACACCCGGAAGCACGAGAACCCGGACATCCCGCCGCCAAGGAGCATAAATCAGCCTCAAACCTGCCCTGAGTCAGGAATCAGAGGGACCTTGGGCAGTCCCTTTACGAGTACAAGGCACCTCAAGAGAGCAGAACGCGTTCGCAACGGGGGAGCCTGGGGAGCCATGACCGTAATTTAATAGCAGCCCTTGCATGCTGTCTACGCTTGACGAGCTCGCATCACAAGCTAGTGAGCAATAAGGCTGCAAGGCGCGAGGCCGGTTGATTTGTGGTCAATACATGATGCCTGGACGACCTGTAACCCTGTAGCTCAAGACCTATGTAACGCTAAAGGTGATGTCTATTCCCAGAACCCAGATATGAAGAGCACATCAACACATAAGACATGTTTACACCGCGCTGTATCCGCCTCTACTGCCGCCCCCTTGTATCGTGCTCATGATGCTTCTCGCCCAGTCCTTGAGCAGATACGGAATATCCCTGATAGTGTCTCCATGCGGCAACAGATCCCAACCACGTGCGCCGTACCGGCTGTAGTTCAGCCAAGAACCGAAAATGAGGTATGACGCTACAGCCAGGAAGAGTCTGCAAAATGTTAGCGGCCCATTGGCGATGAATAGGGACGGTGTCAGAGCTCACATAATGATGAACCAAGTAAAGAAGCCCCAGCCTGTCGACTTGGCTGGTGCAACACTCCCAGCCTTCTCGCAAGCGTACTTTGTCCGCCATTCCATCCTCAGCACGCCAACCCTGTCGTCGCCCTCAAACTTGTAGCTGACCACCTTCAGACTCTTGTTGTCCTTCTTCTTCTTCTCATCCTCGTCCCGCCTTTCCAGCGCCTCCGCCTGCTCCTCCTTCTCCCGCTTATCCGATTCGTCCCCTTCTAAACCATCCCTCCCGGCGTCGCAAATAAACTCTACAAGGGCTCTTTGTTTATGTCCCTTATTTCCCTTCTCCTCGAATGGCCACTTACCGCCGTGTAGCTCTATCCGCACGCCCTCCTTGCTGGCATCGGCGTGGGAATCGGAGTCTTTTAGGCGGGTTATCTTAGGGTCTAGGGGCCGGCCGTAGTCGTGCTCGTAGTTGCCAGCTATGGGAATGACGCGGACTATCTTGGGTTCGTCGCCGTCGCGCTCGATGCCGCATACTATGCAGCTGTTAACTTCATAGCTTCTTGACCCCTCTTGCGATGAATTCCCATGGCTTACCTCTTGTACCGTGCGGACACTCGTCCTCCTTGTCAACCCCTTTCGTCCGCTGTAACGGTGCGCAGATGTCGATGGTGAATGTGTAGTTTGAGGTTATGCTGGGGGAGGAATCGTCCAGCCAGTGCACCGAGTGAGGACCTTTGAGGGGGCTGAGGTCGAAGTGCTGTTTGTCTACTCCGACGTCAGTGCAGTCAAGGGTTATGGCGGATACAAGGGAGCTGAGCGCAAATAGGGCAGATAGGGTTCGTGGGAGCCGCGGTGCCGGCATGGTGAGGGATGCGTTTCGGGGTAACGCAGAGTAATATCAGAAATAACCGCAGGGGTAGGGGAGCTCAACAAACAAGCCTTTGAAGGAGTGACGGGCAGATGAAGGTAGTCTAATGTACAATGGAGCACGCGCGTCACTGGGTCGATGATACGGAGGAGATCCCTCGCCGCAAGCAATGCTGCCTTCGGATTCCCGGCTTACGTTATCCGCCAAGGCGAATCAACCACCCGGGCAGACTGGAACGATTCAAGTCCACCATAAGAAGCCCTTTGCTCCGTGTACTCGAATAGGTACCTTAGTTGAGTGTGCGAAGATGTGTGTTGCATGGAGTCCGCGTGCTTCTATGTTCTGTTCTTTTCCAATAGCCGGTCGGTACGAAAAAGTGACGATATGTGTTGTGCTCGAGCGATCTGAGAGCCCTCGAGTACAACAGCATCAAGGAACCATAAAAGGCAGGCATGAAGACATGACCAGGCATCTCTGCGCCGTGAGGGGCAGGGACATTACTGCTCACCATCCATGGATGCTTAAGCTTTCTTGGCTTTCATGTCTCAACGCTATCTCCTTCGTTCCTGACATTACGCATCTGAAGTCATTTTAAAGTACCTTAACCCCCACAACTCATTAACCTGAATTTTGTTTGTTCACCGCACATTCTACGCCCTGCAATCTCTACCTGACGGCTGGGTCGCTGATACGACCTAGCCGTGTCTCATCTATCTCTACATGGCTTCCTCATCACCTCCATCCCTTCGCTCGCCTAGTAGTCTCGCTGAAAGCCTCTCCGATCTAGCTAAGCTCCACGAACGCGCTGAACGTAGGCGCTCAAGGTCTTCGTCGGAGCGCAACGATGCGAGCCTCACCGCATGTTGTGCCCGTTGTGGTCATTTAAAGGCTCCAGAAGACGTCAACGTTGTCCAGCTGCCTCGTCGTGGAAGACGAAGCCGAGCATGGCCTTCTGACGATGTGCTCTATCCGCTTGACGAGTGCTCAGAGGGTAGTAACGTAAGGTCATCCGACAACAACCGGTCGGACCGCCCGCACGAACGTCTGGGTCATGGTGCTTCCAGCGCAAGACAGCCCGGGTCTCCTAGCTCTTCACTCAGGCACAGACCTGTCGACTCTCAGTCCGTAAGAATAGAGGATCTCAACTCGGCACGAAGGCATCCTACTCGTGGCAGGAGACACTCCCGCAGCACGGGTACCTCAAGCCGCAATCGATCCAGGGAATCTAGTGTGATCCGGACTCCCAAGCCCTCCTCTAGCCCGGCGGGCCATAGTTCGGCTCACTCGGATCATTGTTCGCGCGGTTCATCGATCCGACACCTAGATTCCGAGACCATCAGGAGTCGGCGTGGAAGAAACTTTCTCGTCCTCCGCCATGAGCGGGGAACAGCAAGTGCACCGCCAGCCCATTCGATGTCGATCGGACCAGACGCTCGCCTTGCATTAGGCCATATTCCCTGGCGCCGCCGTCTCCACCAGTCTCTGGAGTCTCTTGCGTCTAGTTTATCACGACGGTCCTCAGTCAACAGCTCACATTCAGCGCATCTCGAGCTCAGCCAGCCGGTGGGCTTGTCCGCGTCGTATTCAACCCCTCTGGCGTCCGTTCAAAGCTTCTGCGCAGCTCATGAGCACCTACCAGCCGCCCTTCCCACTGACTTGTATCTCCTCGAATACGTCATCGACGGAGACCTCATCCGTGCACTACCCTCATTCACAGCGGTATATCAACTCTCCCAATCTCTGGAAGATAGCAATCTAGAGCTTCGCATCCGAAGACTGACTCCTAAAGAGTCAATAAGAATTGGGACTTGTCCGATGGACAAGTCCCACCTTCCCAACTACACGCGAAAAAAAGCGTTGTACAAGCTGAAGCTGGATTGGGGCCCGTACCGTGTCGGTATCGAAGGCCGGAAGACAGGTACCCTCGCCGGTACGCTCGGCATGAAGCGTCACCACCGGCACTGGGTCTTAAAACAGGGAAGCAAAACGGTTCTTGAGTCTTCCTCGCGCCGGTCGAAGAGCAGGACCATGGAGTGGTTTACACAAGCGGGCCGGTGGTCCGCTATAGAAAGCTGCATCGACCGACCATCTGGTTGGCCGCTGCGAGGAGCGCCAGCGCTGCGGATCGCGCCCTGGGTGCGAGAACAGACGACGAAGGACCTTGTGATCGCAACTTGGGTGGCAAGGCAATGGTATAGGGCTCTGCCGAGAGTGGTGTGGTGGTCGCGGGCACCGAATCGTAGGTTCCGGATCCTGCACTCCTGATAGACTCCACTGATATCGTCGGAAAGACCGTAAACAGCTGAGGCGTCATTCAAAGCCGGGTCGCCGCTCACCGCCCAAGATGAGTTCTGGTCTTGGACGTAGCAAGACCCCAAAATTCATGGAGGCAGCTCACTTAGGATGGGCGGGTGCGATACCGCATTAGGGCAAAGAAACGGCGTGGCTAGCGGACGTTACTCGATATTTTTATCCTCATGAAACAAATCCTACGTGCATTCCATATTCACTCAAGCTTGCCACCCATTTCCCAAACCTCGGTGGCACCTGGACGGACGAAAGACGTTCACAGGGCACGGTAAATGGTGGTATATTCCTGCGTTACTTACATGCTAGTTCTTAGTCTTCATGTCTCATCGGCCCCTCTACACTATCATCGCCGTGCTAATCCTCCCCTTCCTCTGCCGCGCCCAAACCTGATGCTGGGCGGCACGAACTTCAGCGCCGACATTGACTCCGTGATATCATCCATCGCATCATCTGTACCGGCAGCATCCGCCAGGTTCTCCTTCGGTGCGTCTTCTTTTGACCCCTGACTCCCCTGCGCAGATCCCTCAACCACCTTCTCCTTCGACGCCGTCACATCCTTCCCCTCCTCAGCCTCCATTTTCTCCGCCGCCACTCCTGCAGCTCCGTCAACAGCGGCGTTACTGATACTTCGCTGTCTTGCCATCAGCGCCGCAGAACTCCGCCGTCGGTGGCCGGGGCCGGGCCGGAGCATGGTGTTGCGCCTGTCGATGCCATCGTTGACGATGAAGAAGTCGTAGTATTTCGGGAACTGGTGCTTGTCGATCATGTGCATGCGCCGCTTCTGGGGCGTGCTGCAGACGCGGTCGCAGGTTTCAACGAAGCAGGCGTACTGGGGGAGGGGAATCAGCTGATCTCGTATACATGGGAGACGGCGAAAGTGACACGAGACATACGGTCTTCTCCCCCCGCGCCCTTCGCGCCTCGGCCAGAGAATCATGATTCTCCGCAATATGCAACCCCAGGTAATGATCAGAAGGGAAGTTCTTATGACACTCTGCGCAGCGGTTCACGTGACTCTTCTGGTAATGCACATCGTACTCCTCATACGAGGCAAACGTCAACGGTTGGTGCGGCGGAAGCAGACATCGCATCACTACGGGCTTGGTCTCTGCATCAAGCTGCGTGTACTTCGCAGAACGTGACGGCTCGCCGCTTGATACTGGCGACGCGGAACCGGAAGCTATAAATGGTGAGTCCGCCGCTTCTGGAGAGGAAGAGACGGAGTCTTGTCGTGAGCGCTTGACCATGGCGGGGCCTGACGGAGAGGTTTACTTGATAGAAGTCCAACTCTTGCACCCTTGAATCGAACTGTCGTGTCTAATTCTGTAACATGCGCCGCAACGTTTGTAGGAGCTGTCATACACTATGAAACAGCGCCGTGGGGTGCGAGACCGGCCAATGCACTGCAGCTACTCAGCTCTCTGGCGTGTGTAGCGAAGTTCAATTGTTGTTCGCCTTGCTTGCGTGAGTGCGGTGAAATGTCCACAAACGCCTCAACCCTGGGGTGCGGCTTCCCGCCCACGTCGGTGCCAAGTTGGCGTGGACCACAGAGCCCTCACCTCACCACCGAACCCGCTTATACCTACCAGTAACACTACCACAACACTATTTGAGAAAGCCGAAGAATACAGGAACTGTCGGATGGTTACTCTGTTGTACATCGCAAGGCTTTTGATTAATATCAAAGGGCTGTGTGGTGATGCAATCGTAACTTTGGCTGTTCAGCGGTCCACGTTAATTTGGCAACGACGTGCCGCCCACTCCGCCATCCGCTCTGGCGGAAAGCCGCTCGCTCTTCTCTCATTTGTGGCTCACTCCACATCATCATCCATAACTTCACTCGCCCAACCAATTCTTCCAACACACCCGGCTCGGTCCCAGTACCAGAGCTACGCCGCTTCGCACAAGACTTTCCTTCCCGCCAGCCGGGCTTCTGTCTCCTCCCCACAGAGACAACTGCTGCATCAATGGATTGCAACAGTGACGCCTCTACTCCGCAATCCCGCTCGCGCATCTGACTAGGTGGCCGACCGTGGGGTCACTTCTGAATGACTTGCTACTCCTCTATTACCTGGGAACATGGCCACTGTCACTCACGCTGAATCGACCGCCGCGTACGTTACCCTGAAGTACTTCTGCGAGGATCTTACTAACAGGCACTTTTTTTTTTTTAGCAACGTCTCAAGTCTTGAAACACAGCTGAGCGCGAGCCTCGCCGACCGTAGTTCAAACGCTGAGATAGTGGCCACTTTGGAACAGTGCGCCTTTCGACCCTATGAAACAGATAATTTTTCTCACGGGCTGGCAGGTACCGCCGCACCCGCGACGACGATGTCTTCCGCGGCCCTCACAACGCGCCCGATCGCGCCGTCGAGGAACAGATCTGGGAAGCGCACTCCCGCGTAAACGCCCACTACAAGAAGCTGCTCAGCCAGGTCAGCTTCCTACGCATCTTGCATACAGCTCATAGCTCACAGCACTCCTCTGCAGCTGAACAAAGACGGAAGAAACCGCATCGTTGAGGCTCGGAAGCTCAAGAAGGAATACATCGACTTCATTAAGTCTAGCCAGCGCTTCTACAGGCATCGTATCCAGCAGCTAGACGAGCACTACGGTGGTATTAAGGAAATCCGGCATGCTGCTCAGATGGTTTCGCGAAGCGGGAAGGGGAAGCAACTTGGTACGCTAGTCTATCAACTTAGCTGGAAGCGCTTCGCTGATGTGATGCTGCATCCAGAGTCCGCGATTGCCCCTGAAATCAGGCAAAAAGTTCTTTTTTCCTGCTACCACACGTTGGTCCATCTTGGGGATCTCTCGCGCTACCGTGAGACCACGGCTGCCGAGAAGGAATACAATTGGGGCCCAGCCGTGGGCTATTACAGTCTTGCGATGGAGATATATCCCGATTCTGGCATGGCTCACAACCAGCTGGCTGTGATTGCTCTTACGGACGGTAACCACTTCCGCGCAACGTATCACCTCTATCGATCGTTGTCTGTGAAAGAGCCATACCCCTTGGCAAAGGACAACCTTGAAAGGGAGTTCAAAAAGATTTTGATTGCATCGGAGAAAGGCGAGCTCATCAGCAAAACTCGGTTAGGGACTCCAATTGGGCCAACGCTTGTTGCTCACCTCGTCCGCCTACACAGCAAGTGCTACAAGGGAGATGATTTCCCAGAGCACGACGAGTTGGAGAATGAGGTGTTGAGCCAGCTTGCCGTTGAGTTAAAGGAGCGATCACTGGAAGGTCTCCTACAAAAGATCACGTTGGTCAACATTGCTGCTGAGCATCATGCCGTGACACAGTTACAAGGTAAGCTCATCCACACATGATACAAGTTGACTGCATCTGACACACCGACGCAGACGGCAAGTCGGCGGCACTTCGCCCGTTCTTTTACTTCTTGCGATTGAATGTGAAGACATTCTTCACCTTGCTCCAGGTCCTCCAGCCGGAACTAGAACGCTTGACTGGAGAAGGTGATGATCTCGTTGCAGGAGACCGTCAACAGCAGCCAGCGGACAACGTTTCGGCGGTCGCGCGACGAACTCTGCCTGCGGTCCGCCTCTACAGCGCTTGGTTTTCGAAGAATCGTTCTCTACTTTCATCTGAGATCTCGGGCTCGCTGTCTAACGTTGAAACCCAACAGCTCTGGAAAGCTTATGCCGAGACTCTGACCCTCCTCAAATCAGCGTTCCCAGTACCAGATCTTCCCACGGAGGATTATATGCTGGAGGAAGATACCGATACTCTTGGCTTCGCACCACTGGAATCCGAGTACACCAAGAAAACCTGGTTCTCCGGTGACACCTTAAAGGCGAGGTGGTCTGACGAGGGCATAGGCAGGAACTTGCCTAATGTGGAGATGCTCATGCGTGTTCGCGATTTGCTCATAGATGGCGCGTTCCTGATGCAAGATGAGGTAACAATCTCGCTCTGAATAGCTTGCAATCCGTTCTCGACTAACGAATTTGTAGACTGTCCCTTTGGCGTTCGACAATGAACGGTTCATATATCAGGAAGCCGACGTGCCTTCTCAGCTTCTTGCTAACTCGAGTAATGAAGCCGATTCACCGCCCGCTGCTGCAACTGTCGACCTTTTAGACATCGCTCAAGCTGTCACCCCTGAAGCCGTACCAGATGACCAGATGTCGCGGCTTGCGCCGTCCGAATCAAACACATCTGCAATCATGAACAAGATGGTAGACAACCTAGTCGGCGATGAGGTCCTCGATCCGCTCCCAGAAGAGGACGAAAACATTCCGCCCACGCCACCGGAGCAGACTTTCATGGATACCGTGCAGCTCGGCGATCGTGTTTACGCGCCCATGAACGCGGGGGATCTTGTGCAGCAAGTGATGAACTACGGCAAATCGAATCGCTCACCGGCAACTCCGGTACGCACGCCTGTGCACACCCCATCGCCAAAGATCACACAGCTGCCGTATCTTCCTCCACTCCCCTATTCAGACGATATCTGGAATCCAAATTACCGCTCTCCGGGACCGTCCTCTCCCCTGTTTCCGCCAGGGCTTGAGCCGCGTGGAGCAAACGGCTACTCAGCGGGCCACTCCCGCGACCATTCCAGCGCATCCATTCGGACGTCGGTGCCCATCGCCGACTCGCGGAACGGGTCCTCTGTTACGCCTGTTGGCAATCTTCCGCACTACCAGCAAGGGTATGCGAACAACGGGTACGTGCCGGACCGCAGGTCAACCGGTGCTCCACCAGGATTCGGTCTGCCCGCTTACGCCAATGCCAATGCTGGTGTGGCGAGCCCGCTTCTGTTCGGCGGTGGCGGCGGACCTTTTAGCTCTGACATGAGACGCAGCATCAGCGCGTTCCGCGGGACGCCGCCGAGTGGACAGGAGGGCTGAAGATTTAGGCCTCAAGCTCTTTTTGAAAGGATCAAGCGTCGAATGAACGGCGAGAAGCAACCCTATGCATCTAAAGTCCTATGGCAGCCTCGCAAATTCCAGGAGTAGCCACTTGCTCCGGCGAGCGCTTGTGTCGACAACGATCACCTGCTAGCCGCACTTCCACTCATGCGACATGGCCAGTGGGGATTTGGCGCCTGCAAACTGATACTTCGAGCGCGCCTCCGCTGCCGTGACTCCGGCTGTGTACGTCACAGCCTCTTACCGCTGCCTGCAGCGGCTCTGCTTATGCTGCATCTGCCGCTGTTGCTGGGCGTCTTTCTAAAATCTTGCGTCGTTCCACTGGATCATACGTCGTAGCGGCCGAGGCCACTGACAGCTCAGTTGTAGGGGAGTCGTGGATAGTGTGTGGTGGGGAGCAGGAATCAGCAGAACCAAGCGCATCAGAATGTCTAGTCTTCCCTTTGTGATTTATGTTTCATTGAATTGGAGTCTAGCTCTTGCGGGTTCTGTAGCAACAAACGGTGGTTTTTTTTTATTCTACGTCGTTAACGTGCTGGGTCTTTGAGCCTTTACCTGTGGGCTGTAACATCGGTCGTGTTGTACGATCGATGCGCCTGTCCCTTGACGCTTTCCTGGTCTAACGATACGCCTTCTACCACCTCTACCCATTCCTCTATGCCCGATCGTGGAGGATCCGGGATCCGGAAACGCCTTCGTGGCCTTCGTCTTAAGCCTCCCGCATGTTGTTGAAAACACGACAGCGCCGAGTGGGGGGGCGCTTCGCCCTGCTCTACGAATGGGTATACGTCTGCTTCGGCGACGGATACGACGGCCCCAGCTCCTGTATGCTGAGCTTGGCGAGCCAGTGTCCCATGTCGACGCACGTCTCGAGGGGCTTGCCCTGCACGATGCCTGCCATGAAGCCGCCGGCGAAGGCGTCGCTGTTGCATCCACTATCAGCAACCAGTCCACAACTTTAAACAGGTCGGTGGAGAGAGAAGGGGGAACAGGGGACAACCCACCCAGCGCCATTGGTATCGTTAATCTGCTCCTTCCCAATAGCATGCACATCGAATGTCTTGACCTCCACCTCGCCCTCGCCCTTTCCGATGGCAACGATAGTCGGGTCTGTGCCTTGCGTGATAACGACGGTGCGCGGCCGCGCGGTGTTCTTCTTAGGCAGGCATGCCATGGCTTTCGCGACAGCGGTTAGGTCGTCCTTGGGTAGCCCGTGCGACTCGGCGTAGGAGGCTGCTTCCATCTCGTTGCCGATCACGTAGTCCCAGTAGGGCGCGGTTTGGTCGAGCTGTTCCTTGAAGAACTGGGGGATGAAGGGGGCGGAGAGGGAGAGGGCGAAGATCTGAACGCACGTCTTGGTTAGCCCTTTACCTTCCACGATTCGTACCGAGTTTTGAGCTGGGCCTTGAGAATTTACTTCGACGCATTCGACGCACCTTGTTCTTCGCAGCCGCCTCCTCCGCCAATGCCATCACCGCCGGCACGCACACAGTCAGGTGATACCCGCCCACATAAAACACCTCGGCCTGCTCGACCAGCTTCCAGATCTCCGGCTGCTTCAGGTGCTCCAGCTTGTAGCAGTTCGCCGCCGCCAGATCGGTGCACATGCTGCGTTCGTGGCCCGTGATGATGACGCCGCAGCGGCCGGTGGGCTGCTCATCGTCGTAGCGGTACTCGACGCGGACGCCGGCTTCGGCGACGGCGGCTTGGAGTTGCTCGGCGTAGGAGTCGCGGCCGACGCAGCCGATGTAGAGGACGGAGTTCGGGGGGAGGATGTACTGGGGTAAGGCGTCAGAACTGGGTTGTGCTATTGGGTGATAGGGGGAAACAAGTCGTGTAAGAAGGGCGCTGCTGGGTGCTGAGATTCTGTCCGTACCTGAGCGCCTCGAGCGGTGTTTTGCGCCGCTCCGCCCGCGATGATCTTCGCGTCGTGGTTTTGAAGCAGGTCCTCATACAGGCCCATGTGCTTCTCCTCCGCGAGGATCGCGTCGTTGGGTTTCATGCCATACTTCTCGAGGAGCTCGGGCGTGCTGTATTCGGCGTTTTGTCAGCCATTGGACCTTTGTGGGCGCTCGAGTGGTTTCTATACCCTTTGCCCTGGATATCCAGCAAAGGATTCTCCAGGCACAGTAGTTCGAAATTTCCGCCTGATGCCATTGTGCTTGTTGTTCGATGTGGGAGTTGTTGCTTGGTGGGGCTGTTGGTGGGGTTGAAATTTGAGATGAAATTTGGCAAGGGTCTGAAGCGTGACGTCGTCCATCCCGAAGTCGTAGGTTTAAGTTTAGAGAGAGCAGCCTCCAGGCTACGTGGCATAAGTCGTGGAACATGTCTAATATATAGTCGGTGGCAGTATTTGCTTGATGTTTTAGCATATTAGAATTAAATTAAGTAATTCTTTGATTGAGGTTGAAGCAGAAGTCTGTGAGATCCTAATCATCAAATTCGAACCGCGGAAAAGTGTTGTTGTAGGGTTGTGCAGCATTTTGATGCGATTCGTGGATGTTCCAATATCTATGCCACATAGCCTGCCTCCCAAGCAGCAGCTTGAGAACACACATGCTTTGTTCGATAAGGGTATTGTTATACCGGGTCAGTGACACAGCTAACAGTAGAATACCAGTGTGACTTGCACCAATTCTGTTTTGTATGATTGAGATGGCGACAGCGTAACATCTCATTGCCATTTAAATATCTTGTTACGCCCGATCCCCACATCTCTATGAACTGCACCTTTGTGACTCGACCGGGGTTCTTTTGGCGAGAGCTACTCATAAGAGCCGTGCATATGACGATGCCACCTAGAGAAATAGCTGCAGCCGTGACGGACAAGGCGGAAAGGGGAATTTCCTGGGTGAGTGGCCTCATAGAGCAATCTCCTGTCCTTCATGATAACAAGAGAAGAGAGTATACTTTTGAACAAGACTGCGCCCAAACTCCTCGCTAATCTGAAACCCTGGGGATCATTGTTCATGGATAGCCGCTGCAGGTCTCCTACAACCCTTGCACCAATGTTAGGATTTTGGCTCAACATAGGATCCACCTTCGGTGGTACTGATGAAGACGACCTGGACCGAAGCCAGGGCTACCGCTCCTGCAAAGATCTCGATCCGCCTAGCATCTGTGAATACAGCTAAGCAGGTGGAGAAGAAGCAGGAGAAGAGCATGATGAAGGTAAGCCGCCAGATAGTATCGTGAATGTAGTAGAGCGCGAAGACCGAAGCGGTCGGAAGGAGAGACCCGAATATAGTCGTGAAAGTTCCCACCGCGCGGTTGATCTTGCGGTCATCGATCTCGGTGAAATCACCATCCTTCTGCATTCTGTGAGTTGCTGCATCTACCTAGAAAGTGTCATGGATGCATACCTTCCTGGAAAACCGGTACCTTAGCTTAGCATAGTGTACAACGAGCCAGTCAATGACCCAGGAAGTGAAGTGGTCGGTTGATACATTCCTCTGGGAGAGCGCAACAAGGTCGTGATGAATGGTCGAGGAGTCCTCGTCCAGTTCCCAGACATCTTCGGGCACTTTCAGCCACGCACTCCCATCCGGTGAGTGATTGTCGAGATGTGTCCGCAGTTCCGCGAAGTCAGATGGATTCGGCTCAGGGAGTCGATATAGCTTGGTATGCTCTAACAGCATATGGTCTGGCAGAATCCATCAGCCAACGGCCCCCTCCGCATAGGCGACCTCCATTGGCACCTACTGTATTCCTTTAATTTGCCTCTTATCTCTAGCATTTTCTGCATCTGCTTATGCCCACTGCTGCCCTCCGGTGCACTCAACAAGCCCTGAAGGTGGGTCTGCAACGATCCACAGTCATCGCTGTTCAGGCGCTCCAACTCATCCAGTTCGAGCTCCAGATACGCGATTTCCGCCTGGAGATAGAGTATATTCTTGGCGTTGAGTGTCGCGAATCTGCGGAAGATGGCAAACGATGGCTCCCTCCCCACCCAATGCGCAAGTCGTGGGTAGCCATGACACACACTGTCATGGGTTTCGCGTCTCGGCAAGCGCTGTGGAGGAGCGAATGTGCTCGAGGGTGAGACGGGTGATATGGGATTTGGGTCGCCGCGTTCGATGTCCTTGGCTTGGACGTCCGTCAACTCCACAGCCGTGTCTGCTGCGCTGCCTTCTCCCATGTTTGGCTCAGTCCGGTGGTCGAAGTCGGCTTGAGGCTCTCGTGCAATTAACTTCGAGACTGGCTTGGTGTTCGCTGGTCGCCATTTTCAATCCCCACCCGCATGTCAGCTCGGCTGCCTGCTGCAACATCGCGCATCGTCGTCTGCAGGTTGTGCGATTACAACCAATCAGAACTGCATCGCTTCCGCTTCAACTCACCGAAATTTCTGGAGCTTCCGCGGCTTCGAACAATCAATTTGGCCACGCTCGTCGCAGAGAAATTTCAACTTGGCGCAACCGTCAAAAGCGCCGTTCGTAATCGTTCGGAGGAGGGCCTCTTCTCATACTCGCTCCGAGTCCACCCCTTCTGACTCTGTTTCACGGGAGCTTGCGGCCCCCAAACTGGTTTCCGCCGTGCGCCAGTCGTTTATTTCTGGCCAAGCCAATATCGACGTGTCAATTGGCCTATCACTGCGGACTTCCTCTAACCGTTCCTCGTAAGGCTGTGATGGTTGTGCGCCTGCAACCCAGCACCGCCCCTCTCGTTCCCCCAACGTTTACCAGAAATAGGCCGGATTTATGGACTCTTAAACGCCGGGCTGCGCATTGCGCCGTCTGACCGTGTCGACAGCCAAATATGGCGCCTTACCCCTGAAGCTGCACGGCTGCGTCTGACTGCAGATAAAGCTGCTTTTCCCTTAACATGGAGGAGCTCACACCTGCGCAAGACCACCTCTTCAATTAAACCACAGACACTTCTAGCTCCTCTACGAAACACCGCTGTGCAATCGCCTCCTATCACAGCGCCCATGGCAGATTCGAGCAGCGTCAGCGCCATGACAGTCACAGAGGAAGAGGAGCATACCCCGCTGCTCCTCCGGCACAGGACCATGACCCGCGAGGAGACCTGGTGGACGCCCATCCGCCGATTCTTTCTAAACATCTGGCGATGGGCCACCGGCGACTGCATAGACCACGACCAGCACATGCAGCACATAGTGAGTGCTCCCCGCATCCAGATCGCGCTCTGGTAGAAGCCCGCAGCTAACCAGGATGCCTACGCAGGCCGACGGCGACCCCTTCGAAATGATCTTGACCACCAAACGACGCAACGGCGAGTTCGTCTGCCTCGCCGCGAAGATGGACACCGGCGCCGCCGCAAACTTCATGTCGGACGAGCTGTGCGAGAGCCTAGGCATGAACGACCAGCTGATCCCCGCCTCCGAGGAGGACCAGCACCGCTTCACCGACTACGACGGCTCGCCGCTCAAGGTCAAGGGCATCCTCAAGCTGCCGTACACGGCGGGGAAGCGGAGCTGGTATTATGCGGACGACATGGCGGCGAGGTTCTACGTCGTGATCATTGAGGAGGATCCGTGGGATATCATCTTGGGTAGAGATGCGCTGTGGCATATGCATGCGCTTACTATTGATCCGGCCTATACCGTCAAGCCTAAGTATGAGGTTATAACGAAGAAGGGGGACGGGAAGGGCACGGCTGCGCCGATTGGCTTCGGCAAGACCATCATGCACGCCAGCGGCGGCGGTGGTACGTTGAATCCGTTCTCCTCGTCATTCCACTCGGACATTCGGGATGCTGACTTTACCTAGTGAGGAAACCTATCAAGATCACTCGTTGAGACGAGTCTGTTGCTGTTTTCCCCCTTTCGGTTGCTGCATAAGACGGCGTCTTGGGTCAAATGTCTTCTTTCGATCTCCTTCACTCATCATCGAAGTTACCGCATCTTGCTGTGTTCGACAGCCGCCTCTGCATTGTACTTCTGAGCATCCTTGGCATGGCGTTTGCGGAGTCCTGGGGTTGTTCGAGACACGTTTGTACCATAAAAAGCACCTTGGCCTAAATATCCTCATAATGCTACTACAAAATCAAAACTATTCACGGTCACAGAGTGCGATCTAGCCCCTCTTATCACTTTTCACGTACTGTCGAATGATCGTTACACGGCGACGATTAAAGCTGTGCAAATTCTTTGCCCCCCTCTTGTAGAACACTTCGGGAAAAGTATTGAGCCTTCTCGTACCTAGAGTGTAATCGCCTAGAGGTCCGGAACAGAATCGACAAAGTCGAGGCTGCACTGCCACCAGCAGGCTGGAAATGCAGTCCTGCGCTTCCGGGAAGCTACGCGGCGCATCCAAGGCGTGGGAGCAGAAGCAGTAGAGCCGACGTGGTTGCTAAGGAACAGCACCGCTCGATTGACCTCTCAAAGCTGCGGAAGCCTCAACAGCAAGAGCGCGAGATTCTTGCCCTAGGCACTTCTTTCATGGACAGCCCTTCCGCTTCCGAACAGGGCAGTACCGGTCCTTGTGTAGAACGTCTCTATGTGTGGCGCTGGTCTGTCGGGCTTCCGCTGACCGAAACTGCACCAGTTCGAGACTGCAAGACGGGCATGGAGGCTCCCATATCTCAGAGAATGTAACCATGCTGTCTCTGCATACGACCATGAAGGATCTCATGAGCCTGTTTGCGCGACCCACAATGTCCTGCTGTGTGGAGTTCGCGAAAGAGGTCCAGCACTGACGCTGAGGGTACTGAGAGGAGAACATCGGAGAGGTCGCACTATCAGCCGGCTCATCTTTACTATATTCAGCACCGAACGAGGCTGCAGCAACGACTACAACATCGGCGATAGTGTCGAAGTTAAGCGGCATGAGAGCCCTAACAGCCGCCCAGATATCGCTGCAGCTCAAGACGTTGTTTGATGCCCTCACTATGCTCTGCCGATAGGTTCACTTTCGAAGTCGTGCCGTGGATGGCTTTTCACTGCCGGATGCGGCAATATTGGTGCTTCCAAAAGAACGTCGCAGCCACTGAATGTTCCGTAAGACAGTCCCGGACCGTCGAGAACCGAGCCTGAGCGTAACGGCGAGGCACCGGCAACTCTGCTAACTTCTCTAGCAGCACGAGGCCCTTCAGTATATTGACTTGGGCTGAGTAGGACGAAGAAGCGGTCGTCTGTTGATCTTCATAGATTGGATCCATCGAAATTAGAGTATTCATCGCTGTGGAGCCGCTGCGGTGACAACTGATAATAGCAATCATCGTGAAAGCATGACGGCTCTAGAGGGCGTTGGTTCTTGAAGCGGGTTCAGGAAGACATATTTTGGTGGCCAAGGCTATGGCTTCCGACGTTTATGTTCACTGTCGTCTTGTGGAACTGACTCCCTTCTTAAGTAAGTTATAGTTGAGCTTTAGTCGAACGTCTGTTGATTTGCTCGAGGTCGACAGCCTTACCGTCAAGCGTGCCGGCACTGCGGTTTTGCGCCAAATGGACTTGATAACAGCTCGCGGCATCGCGCGACGCATTAGAGCGGTGCGGGTAATTTTGGGGGATCCAGAAAGGGAGTCGGGATTGCAACGGAGCGATCGAAGGGGAAGTGAAGCTTGGTGGAACTTCGGAAATCATTGGATGGAGTGAAAATCTCTACTGTAGCTGCATTGAAACCTGTTTCGCAGCGCTGTGAAGCTGTGATTTCTCGTAACGGAGACAAACACAGCTTGGCAGGTATCGACTACATCAGAAAGGGAAACCCTAGTTCTCGGCCATTGTCCGAGGAGAATATATGATAGGGCAGGTCCAGCCTGGTACTTGTCAGGTCTACTGATGAATGGTTTGTGAGGTCTCTGCTGCTAAGAAACTCGAGAGGATGACAGATCTGTTCAGAAATCATGAGCCTGTTGATTTGCCTGCATTACACTCCACATGACTACATCGACAGCCAAGGCTCAAGGCGACGATAACCGCTCCATAGGTTCGTATCGCCTCGCAAGACCTGCAGATGTCCTGTATTACAAGAGTCTGCGAGCTTGTGCTGGTTGCCCCGTTCACATGTTATGCAAGTCTCCAGCATTATCCTAGACTGATGTGCTCTAGTAGTGAGCGGCGTCAAGCATAAGGGCTTGGGAGTGCTGGGCAAGAGCCAGATGGGAGATGTTCGGCTCGGATATCGATACACGATCCGGCTTTGCTACGGGTGGATGAATCGATTGAATGGAAGGTCCTGGCTGTAAAAACAGGTTGTGATTACTGACGAAGAGTATACGGTTAGATTTAGCGGTCAAAGTTCTGTAATCGCCATCTTGAGAGGAGCTAGACACCTGTAATGGCATTACGAGATGTTCCTTGGAGAACCTCGGCCGCGTTCACGGTCCGAGATGCCTTCTGCACTCCATGAATGCCTCTTCAGGCTCGTATGAAATATGACGGCTGTCGTCAAGCAAGAGGCTGCAGCTCCCACATTGCGTCAGCTCGTTGCCGGCATCCTCCCTCTACCCCATCAAGGATTCATCGTGGTCTTGCTACTTCTCTGCCGATGCAGCTATCGGATGGACGATGGACTGCATGTACGAAATCCATTGCTGGCTGTCATCGATCCAACCGGGAGGATAATCGCCGCATGTGGAACATGCATGATATTTAAAGGCTGGATCACCTCTCGTGCTACTGCAGGGGATGGAGGCTGGTCCCAGAGCTCGAGTTCTCGACATACAGTAGTCTGCTCTCTAAGGTTAGCGTCTCGAAGCAAAGTGAGCAAGAATAGAGTTGAGTCGGTATTGCAGAAGCAGCCGTCACGATAACTCTGGTCAAGTCATATCAGTCTGTTCTACCTAGGTAGTCTACTCTTGCCACAAGGCAACTCGGCCATTGCCTCTGATCCATAGCGCGGTTGCGTTGGTAGATGGTGAGATATCGATCTGATAAAGCCTGTTCTTGGCGGATGGTAAACGTCCGTCAGTAGCCTATTGGAGTCTGGAAACATGTTTCCAGCCGGGGGCCGCTGCTTCTTTTTCGCACCAATAAGGCATTTGTCAGAGGTCGTTCCCTGAACGAGCCCAAAGACGCTTCCCACCCGCGGATGCCCGTCTGCTAAGCCGCTCGCTCAAAGGGAAGCTCGTATCGCGAGGCATTGCGCAAAAACACGGCAGTGCGGTGAGACGTCACCCTCTATCCCATTCGGCGGCCACCGGCGGACCAGGGGGGCCATTTGACGGGAAAGAAGTTTATCAATTCTAGACACCGGGCCGATGCTTTGATCCGAGGTTGGGTTGGACACAGAAGGTAAGGTTAGGCGTCTGTATTCCGTCCCGACTCCCTGGTCGTGGTGTTTAATTCTCAACGGCCTTCCCGAAGGTTGGTGGCGGGAATGAGGGACTCGGCTATCTTTGACGGCGAGGTGCCACTGCGGAGAGGTGCAGCTGCTGCATGGGGGCAGCGGCGAGAGCAGGACAGCCCTCCAGGGCGGGCCTCGTGATGGAGCAGGCCGATGTGGGTTAAAGAGAAGATCACGGGACTCATGCCAAGATCGATTCTCCAGTGCGTGAGGACGGCCGGAGGAGCAAACCTGCACGGCCAGCACCCGCTAACGTACTGTACAGGGCACTGCCACGCAAGCAAGGGGTCTTTGAGACTGAGAATGTCGGGGTTCTGTCCACCCCGATGTGCTGAGTTGCCGCCTTATGAAGCAAGCATTTGATATTAAGCAGGGGGCCGTATTGGACAGATTTCGTAAATCCATCAGCACAGAGCGGGTATGTCCGAGCCAAGGCAAATCCTCGATACATCGCTGCCCAATAATCCGCCCTTGATGCTTTTTAAGCTTCTCGCCGCCACGCCCTGGCCACTGCGCAGTCGGCGAACAACCGCTTCCGTGAAGCGCGTTGTAATACTGGTGCCTAAGAGATTCTCAAATACCCTCGAAGCGAGCCCTCCTGGTCGCATATGCGACCTCGTCCTCACCCTCATGCATCCCGATGCCAAAAAAAAGGTTGCCTCCCTCTCCTTTTCCCATGACGTCCAGTAGGAAGGAAGAAAATGTGGTCCGGGTATCCCAGAAAGTCCAAGTTCGCGTGTATGTTCCAATGCATCGTACAAGCCAACGTTTCCAAATCCTAAACACCCTTGATGCCCGGATGCCGCCGAAATCGGCGGTGATCTTTGTCTCTTGTGTCGATCGGACGCACGACCTCAGAAAAACCCTAGTGCGTCGCGGGACGAGAAGTTGTCCGTGAACAGTTGCATGTCATGCCTCCAGGTTCCAAAATGCCCAAGATGCAGAAAAGTCCTCCAAGAAAAATGTCGTGGGTAGTATACATGACGGTCATAACAGAGTGGGCACACCGGATCGCAAGAGATGGGGCGCAGCTCCGCTGTCTCCGGAGAAAGAGGGTTGCAGCTTTGCGGCTACCGACGGCGAGCCGTAGATGCTGGTGCAGGTACTGCATGATGCGAGCTCGGACCGGCTTGTTGCTCAAGGAGATCGAGACATTGTGTGAGAACTGTAAGCTGTGAGCGAGGGTCGTGTGAAAATAGATGGTGTGGGCCTACCAGACACAATCTCTTCTTCCCAGACACCCATTTGGTAGTCGACCAAGCCGTGCTTCTCCATCACGTCGCAGAGATCCACAAGTGCTTTACCCATGAATTCCAGATATTCGTGCTCCAGCAGACCTTGTGGCGGATGCGGCTGCTGTCCTGAGCTAAGCATGTCTCGGGTCATCTCTTTCTGCCTCTGAAGCACCGTGAGCCAGCAGTTGTTAAATTCTTCCCAGAGCTTGAGGCGTTCTGCGCGCATAGATTCGTCGTCGCGAGTCAAACCTGCAAGCGCAGTTTAGAACCGCAATCCGCTCAAGTTCGAGATATTCCAACTTACCCAATTGTTCAGCGTTGCGTAATAACCAGTCAGAGACATCAACTAAAAGCCTCCCCGCCTCTCCAACACGTCCGTCTCGAACATACTCAAACGTCCTTCGGATTTCGGTCTGGTAAGCGCTATAGGCGGTGTCATACTCCGAACTGCCCTGCGCGGCTAGGGTTTGCGACGCGTACGCTCCTTGAGAGCTTCCTTGAGCAGGATTGGTCATACTGCCGGTATAAACCGGAGCAAGGGACTCCCTCCCGGGAGGAGACTGCTGTGTATAGTAATGTGAAGGCACGTTTTGAGACGGCAACCCAGCGGCGGGTGCGCTAGTCGGAATCCCTTCGTAGTATTGTTGTGGAACAGTAAATTGATTCGACGTCAATGTGTCCATTGCTGCAGATTGCCGTGGCGTATATGGTTGCACAGAGTCGTAGGACGGATGCGGAGCCGCTTGCTGCTGTGGAGGAACACTGTAGAGGATACTTGATCCGTATTGCGGATACTGTTGTTGTGCGCGTTGCTGTTCCTGTCCAAATTCCGTCTGATATTGCAACACACCGGTTTGCAACGACGGTCCCACGTACGGCGCCCCTTCGCCAAACCCATATCCGTATGCTTGCGCGGTTCCAGCGCGGCCTGCTGAGGGCGCTGATGTTGGCGACTGCGCTGCCAAGGGCGTCTGCCTGAAGCGATCGGATGCGTTCGCTGAAGTGTACTGAGCAGATGTCTGTATGAGTCCTGGTTGCCCGCTGTAGCTCGGCGGGTTGTTTTGCCTTTGCCGACGGTCATTGTTGTCCATGCCAGTCGTCCGGCCCTTCCAAGCGAAAGTCAAGGGCGGATCGACTACCATCCGATGCGCCAATGGCGAGAGAGGCGGAGTCGCATAGAACAGGGCCAGCTTTACTGCCTGTTTCGCCTTTTTCGAAGACAGAAAGTTTGGGCGCGGCAGCGGCTACGGAGATCGCGGCGAAGGAGCGAGACCGCTGGGCTGAGCCGCAGGTGCGTCAGAAGCGTCAAGGTTTCCAATCAATCGATCAATCTGGCAACAAACAAGAGACTGGCTAACGATTGAGCGCCAGCAGATGGATATAAGCAGACCAGACCGCAAAGCCTCCCGCCGCGCGCCCGACAAGAGCCCACAGCGATCCGAGCTGGCCCTGTTCAGGCGATTGCATACAGCCTCTCTTTTGGCCTCGAGATGAGCGCAGGGATCTCTTCCGGCAGAGATGTGGTAGAGAACGGCGCCAGGAGAAACAGGATGGGCCAACGATCAAGATCCTGGAGAGCCCCGCCAACGCTTGGAGACGGCAACGCTGGCCTGCCTCGCCCAGTGCTTGCTGGCAACAAGCGGGAGTTTTCTGATCAGAACAGGGAAAATCCTTGACCTGGCTAAGGTGCGGGAGACAGGGCCTTGAAACCGGCGAAGGAAGGGTGTCCTTGTTAGTCGCGGGAAGACAAGGCGCAGGAACGAGAGCACGCGGCCTTGGAGGCTGCTCTGGCAGCGACGTGGGAAGCGTCCGATACAACGGACAGATTCGTGATCTGGACTGCAGAAGTCAGTGCTAAGTCGATTGAAGCAACCAAGCTTGCCGCTGCGGTAAGAGACTGAAGCGCGACGAATCCCAGATGCTTCGCGTAACACTCACTCACGCACTCACTCACTGAAGGAAGTCACTTTGCAGGTCTGGTTTCTCACCGCGCGGCTGTGTCTGATGTGTCTGATATTGATGACTCCCTGGACCTGAAACACGCGCAAAAGGATGCACCGGGCGCTGTACTCCACATCTCCCGCTTCTGGGCATCTAGATGAGCGAAGAGAGTGCCCGTGACAACTTTGATGACGCTCGGAACATCTTCCCAGTCGCTGCTCAAATCTCGTTCAAGAGAAACTCGAGATGACGCTCTAAAGGATTTACACACCTGACAAAGGGTCTGCACGCCCGATTGGCCAGAATTCGCGTTTCGACGACGAACTGGAGGCCAGATCTTAGCTCGAACGCAGGTTGGCTGCGGAATTAGGGCGCGTCGGCTGCAGCGCGGATCCCTAGGGCTGTGCCGGGAAGGGGAAAGTGCCAGGTAAGCTTCAGCAGGGAGACGGAGATGACAGATGGGTTCTGGGACGACAGTCGCTCGGGAGGCGTCCGGGACGATACCAAGAGCACATTGCGATGATGATGATGACGATGACAGATGTAGTGCGCGAGAATATATCAAGCAAACGCCACCACTGAGTTTGCCTCGGGCCAGCAGTCTCGGCGGGCGACTTGGGCGGCGCAAGAGAGGAAGAGGAAGGGAAGGCCGAGTTCAGATGGCGAGGCAACGAGAATGCAGAGGCGGCGGCTGTTGCTGCAGCAGAGAGCGGGCGCCTCCAGGGCTCCGCCTGCAGGTGGGAGTAAGAGAGGGCTTGGGGAGGTTGAACAGGCGAACTGGCAAAGCCAAGGTCGACAAGTCCGATGTGGAGAGGAGACTGGCGCAAACTCAAAGTCTCGCGTCGCCTTCTGATCCTGGCTTGAAGGCGTTTTTGAGAATCTGGTACAGATTGCATCACAGACGGGTACATCAAAGATTGGCAACGCCGCCTCCAGCCCTTCAGCCACCCTGGACATCGCTTTTTGCTGCAGGGCAGCGTCCACAGCACCTCACCAGCCCCAACGCCCGCATCAATAACGTTAGCAGCGAGCACCAAGGGCACCAAGGGCACCAGGGGCCCCAGCTCCTCGTGAACCGTGTCCGTCGTGTCTGCCGTCCGGAGGCGCGTCTGAAGCTTGACGGACCGTCCTCGGCATGAGCACCCGGACAGCGCTCTGGATGCCTTAGTCCGTCCAAGCGCGTGCGCGAGGGCTGGGATCCGGTTTGCGGCTGCGGGACGGACGCCACAGAGTCTCTAGTAACTAAGCTACTTCCTCGTCCCTCTATTAGTACGGTTGTCCAGTCGACTGTCATTATCCCACTCGTTCAACGTCTGCCCGCAAACTTCTCCCGCTTGTCGCTTATGCTCAATTCAAGTCTGTGTTTAAGCCCCTGTTGAAGGGCAGAAGGCAAAGCACCCTACCCGAGGATAGCTGACGCGCCGTCTCCTTCGGCTGTATGTGTAAATAGGTACTGTCCTCCACAGCTACATTGCTCGGCTAGTGAAGGGCCGTCTGCTAGTGTCAAGCACTCGGTAAATCCGCATTAATGATTCGCTGGTCCGCCTGTCAGAAAATAGCAAAGCAATCAACTCGCCTTGCGATGGCGGGGTTGGCGGCCAGTCTGTACGCCGTGTGGCCGTGCCTGCGCCCGGTTGCCAGGGGCAAATGCCAGATGGCTGTTGTGGCAGTGGATGCGCGGTGCTCTCCAAGCGGCGGGAGACAAGGGTTAGCAGCCACCGCCGACCACGCTCAAACGCGAAACTCAAAAATCCAGCGTGCACAGCTTACCATGCTTGAAGAAGGGCTTGCCCAGCCTCACAGTCAGCATCGGACCGGGTTGTTGTGTTGAGACGGGGTCTCTTTGCAATCACTAGTTGCGCACACGCATAACTTCTTAGCCTGCATCGCGTTAATCTAGTCTGACACTTCATTCCCGGACACAGGACAGCATTGCGTGCATGACAGCTCATCTCGTGCTCTCGACGTCGGCAGCCGACAGCACTTGCAACACCAACGTTACCACCTTCACGCGCACCGCGTTACACCTTGCTCGGCCAGTCCTTCAGCGCCATGGGATCAAATGTCAAGTTCAGATCACCTCGCCTAAAGAGCATTGCGCCGCAAGATCGCGGTAGGAATCGACACTGGTCATCTCAAAAGTCAATGTGACCAACAAAAGATGAAACAACGAGGCGTTCTGATTTCATTTAGCTCTCAGCCAGCCCACTTAAACAACCAAGCTCAAGGATCACGATCGCCGTTGATTAGTTAGTACGCGGGAACACCGCTGATCATCCGAGGCTCGTGGACTAGCGAAATTACAGGGTGACCACGCGCCAGCTCTCCCGTAACTTCCACGCTCACTTGTGAGAACACTTCTAACGCTTCCTTCCTAGACTGAAAACAACTTAGCAATACTTCTCATTGACGTGCAATCTGCGCAAGCAGCTGTAGCAGCATGAATCAAGTTCGGCCACTCCGTACGACGACGAGTTAGCGGAAGTCAAAAAGCAAGGAACCGAAATGACTGTTCGGATTGTGTAAAGATAATCCACGGTACAGCACGGCTATAACCTGGTCACTGCACGTGAAGCTCGCCGAGATACAAAACATTGTTAAAGGATTCTTTACTAAGGATTGCTTAAGACCAAGGAACCTTTGGTACCCGCGACGAGACTGAGCTGCTTGGCTACGGCTGGCTCCTTGCTGTTTACCTATTGGAAGCATTCTAGCCGACCCCCAGTTGACTTCACAGTTGATCGAGGCTGCTCCCCCTCGAGCGGAAAGGCATTGCCCTTACAGTAGGTAATTGCACAAGGTCTCCAGGGTCAATGACCATTTTATGGCTTTCAGCCGTTCACACCTCAGACGTTTCTTACTGGAGTCATGCGAGCGCCCTCACTCGGTTTTCACTCTTGGTTGTTTGCCTGATGCCGCACGCTTAGGGGAACAGTCGGAGCGAAACATGTCGTTCCCAAAACATCGCAGATACATGCTACTTTTTGACAGCCCCGAGTACGGCAAGTTGACCCGGCTCTTGCGGATCAGACTTCCAGGGGGAAGACTGCTACGGAAATTGTGAATTTTCACGGCAACCACCCGCCACTGATTCTAACATCTTCAGGCGATATTATTCAATACAGGAGACCGGACATGGACCGGCGTATGGGGTGTTGGCCTTACCCTGTGTTGATGGTCGACAAATTACAAGTGCCACATCAGTTCTTCAAGCGCACTAAGGCGCTGTCCAACGTCAGGGCGATACCGCACACAAAATGGCCATGTCGTCGACAAACGTGTGCACGAACATGAAATCTGTTGGTCCTACGATAACAGAGAAACGGCTAGAGTTCTGTTCGAGATACGGGGATCTTGTCCGCAGTGAGTTCAAATAAAAAGATAAATACACAATATACACATCACCGCTTGACCCAAGTAGGCATCTTCCGTGCTTTGACGTGTCCCGGTTTCTTCCTTTCAACCCTCCGAGGATCGCGTGTGACGCAGCCGGCTGCAAAGAATGCGTGTTAGCCTTGATCGAGACGTCGCCAGAAATGAGGCACGGCAAGTGACTGAATATTGGACTGAAATGAACGTCTTGTCCCGTTCAGAAAGATCGTCTCGAAGACAACATAGCAGACTTTTCCAAGAATCTTTGACACGAATGAAGAGACCAACGTACCTCTACGCAGCGCTGGCTTCAGCAACGGCTCGTGTACCATTAATGCCTTCCCGACTGCCAATGTCAAAGCCTCTGCCTGACCAGTCGTTCCTCCACCCTTGACGAGCGCCCAGATGTTGTACTTGTCGATCCGCTGTGTGGACTTGAGCGCCCAGATTACGCTTTCCCGGTCATGCAGCCTCCCAAAGAACTGCGTCAATGTCTTCCCGTTTACCAGCACCTCGCCCTCGCCCTCTACCACACAGGCCGTAGCCACCGACGCTTTTCGCCTTCCAGTGCCCCATGCTCTTCCATACCCGTCGATGAACCTTGGATTCGCCACGTTCTCAAAGGGATTGATGTCTCGCTTGTGCTTTTGCAATGCCTCCAAAACTTCCTCCGGCATCAAAGAAGGGTGGATGTGGTTTAGTCTGTGCAGCACTTCGACAATCTTATGGTACTTGGCCGCCTTGACTGGCTCACTCAGAGACAGCCTGAACTGTGCCAATGTCTTCCACGCTACTCGCGGCGCTTGTCCTGCAGGTACGGTCGGGAGAGTTTGGTATTTTCGAAGCAGGGCCTGTAGGCTGAGAAGGCTGTCGGTGAAGTCGGGCTTTCCGCTGAAGTAGGACGGCGATGCTGGTACGACGCGGACTCTCTTCAGAAGGCCTGAATCCTCGCTGTCGCCACCAAAGGAGAAAGGTGCTGCGGCGATGCCACGGTTTGAGGCAGGCGTAAGGTCCGTAGCGCGTCTGGTGGGGGATGTCGAGAACGAGGCCGAGGAGACGGGATATCGGATGCGCTTGACGAGATGCTTGCTGGCATCACTGCGCGGTCGTCGAGGGCGGCATACCGAGCACACGGCTCTCTGGAAGCCTGTGGAGAGCTCCACGCCTTTCATTTCTTCCAATCCAACTCGAGCCCTCCGTCGTCGATGCTGTCGCTGTCGTTGATGCTGCAGAAGCTCCCTTCGTGAAGTTTGAGCTTAGTCATGCCCGGCTCGGCACGCTAAGGATTTTTCCCGCACAGTTTCGAGACAACGAGGCAGCATCACCCACTACAACCCCATTGTCCACGCCTAACACTTCGATCACAGTAGTAACACCGGACCTCATTGACAGTCACACAGCAAACATGTCGTTCGGCAAGCTTTACACCTACCCGGTAAGCTTCGATTGCCTCTCGTACTTAGTAGACACATTGCGGTGGATCTTTTGACTCACACCCCATTTTCTCCAGGGCAATCCGCGCTCGACGGCCATTCGTGCCGTAGCTAAGGCGAACGACCTTGATCTCGAGATTGTGCACACCGAGCCTGCCAAGGGCGTCAGCACCGACTACTTGAAGCTCAACAAGCTCGGCAAGGTCCCGACATTCGAGGGCAAGGATGGCTTCATCCTGACCGAGTGCATTGCTATCGCTGTCTATGGTAAGTCCGGTGACTTAGAATGCTACTCTGAGACCATTTGCGACGCGCATCATATGATGAGACGTATTATCGTACAGTTATCCCTGTCTGAAACTACCTGTTGAGAATTATTCACACTCTGATCCCAAAGCACTCTGTGCTCTTTGCAATCGCAAACATTCGCATCCGTTTCTATACGCTGTTCGGGAGCTAACCCGCCGACAGTCACCTCGCAGAACGAGAAGACCGCTCTCCTCGGCAAGACCAAGCAGGACTATGCCACCATCCTCCGATGGATGTCCTTCGCCAACACCGAAATCCTTGTGCCTCTAGGCGGCTGGTTCCGTCCTCTCATTGGCCGCGACCCATACAACAAGAAGAATGTGGAGGATTCGCAGAAGGCTGCGCTCAAGGCCATCCATGTGCTTGAGGAGCTGCTCCTTGTACAGACCTACCTCGTTGGCGAGCGGCTGACTCTTGCCGATCTCTTCGCTGTCGCCATCATCTCCCGTGGCTTCCAGTTCTTCTTCGACAAGAAGTGGAGAGAGGAGAACCCCAACGTCACCCGATGGTACGAGACGGTCTACAACCAGGAAATCTACTCTGCTGTCGCCGACAAGCTCGAATTCATCAACGAGGCGATCAAGAACGTCCCGCCGAAGAAGGAGCAAGCGCCGAAGCAGGAGAAGCAGGAAAAGAAGAAGGAAGCTCCCAAGCCGAAGAAGGAGGAGGCCGCTGATGAGGAGGAAGAGGAGGACAAACCCGCGCCAAAGCCGAAGCACCCTCTTGAGGCGCTTGACAGGCCGACGTTTGTGCTGGACGACTGGAAGCGCAAGTACTCGAACGAGGAGACGCGCGAAGTCGCACTGCCGTGGTTCTGGGAGAATGCCAAGTTCGACGAGTACTCCCTATGGCAAGTGGACTACAAGTACAACGACGAGCTTACCCAGGTCTTCATGACCTCCAACTTGATTGGTGAGTCAGACGGTGTTTCCGAGATCGTAGTGCTGTGCTGATTGTGAGCCCAGGTGGTTTCTTCGCCCGTCTGGAGGCAAGCCGGAAGTACATCTTTGGCGCTGCTTCCGTATACGGCGTCGCCAACGACTCCGTTGTCCGCGGCGCTTTCCTCGTCCGCGGCCAGGAGGCTCTTCCAGCCTTCGACGTGGCTCCGGATTACGAGAGCTACGAGTTCACCAAGCTCGACCCGAGCAAGCCGGAGGATAAGGCCTTCGTTGAGGACATGTGGTCGTGGGACAAGCCGATCGAGGTCAACGGCAAGACGTACGAGTGGGCCGACGGCAAGGTCTTCAAGTAAATGGGGGCCTGGTTGTTGAATCTGACCATGTGCATCGTGCTGGGATCGTATGAGCCACGCAAGCGTAGGCATGTTGGGATGACTGCTCGTTCATGATTCGAAACGATAGATGAAAACCATGGCCGTGATAGACGGTGATGCAAATGCATGAGCACTCAACGAAACCACTGTCAGCACGCACTCGCGCTCGTATGTAAGAAGGCGCTTCCACGTCGTGACACAGCACGCCCGACCCTGTCCCAGCTGGAGAGCTTGTATTGTGGGAGTTGTAGGAGTTGTGGGAGTTGTGGGGGTTGTGGTTCACAAAGCAGCCTACAGCATAAGCCGCACCGCCAAGCATCGTCGCCCATTTAGTCCGTTCCAGACGCCTCTGGCGCGCACGCTAAGATTGCTGTACCTAGGTATGTAACGCGGTGCCTGTGACCGCGAGCCTCACAAACCTTATCAACCCGCACTTTACTAGAGGCCCGCGTGTAGGACTGCACATCTGTCACGAAAGCCCAAGGAGCCAGACTTGCTGACTGCCCGACTGCCCGAACCCTAGCTGTCATCTAGCAACCCGAATTCAAATTCATTACCCATCTACCAGCATCTCGAAACAGTGAGCCTTACCGGGCGCGGGAAGTTCCGCAGCCTCAAGACAAGACGCATAGCGGAGGCAGCCTGCAGCAATTGAGAAAAGAAACACACTCCCTTGGCCGCGTCGTAGTTCGTTTCCGTTTGAGCCAAGAACCCCCAGTCACGGGAAGCGGCATATCGTTACCAGGCCATCACATCAACCGCGGAAGGGCCCGCCGCCGTACCGCATCCGCGCATCCGAGACATCGCAAACTAGAACTGAGGAAGGGGCTGCCGATAAGGCGGATCGTGTTCGTCGCCGGCCGGCTGCAGCCGTGCTGTCATGAAAGACCATGATGCGTCTGCGGTAACGGCTCGGAGGGGCTCAAGGCCTGCTGAACCGTTCCTGCAGGTGATATGTCTGGTACGTTAACCCTGTTGTTAGTCTGACTTCCTTTCTTGAGAAATGAACTGTTGCTTTGAAAATCAGCACTTCGATGCTTGCATGTAGACAGCTTGTACAGCGCCTGTACATGTGAATCCACACAGTTCGCATCGAGATCGGAGCAATTATAATCGGGGCTGTGCATGCAATGACACCGGATACTGACAGCAAGCATAGGGCTCTGGCGGCGGACCGAATGAAGACAATGTAACTGCATTTCTTGTCCGTTCGACGGTATCAGGATGGGCGAAAGGCTCTATACTGGCCGTTGACGCAGGAACCCACCTCGCAGCCATAACCCGAATATTGCAGAAAGACTTTCCATTGGTCTCAGATCTAAAACGACCACCAAAGCATTACTCACCCCACGGAAGCCCACGTAGCCCAGGCAATGCAGGTGTTGCAGCTGGCGATGAGCTCTCAGACGACACCTCCAGAGAGGTATCGCCAGAGCCAATTATAACCACCCTTTCCGCAGGTCCTTTTGCCGGCCTTCCCTTTCCGCATGCGTCTGCCCGTGCCAATGCCGTGCACGTGGTCCGCGAGCATGTCTCAACATATCTAATTACACATCCGCACCTCGACCACCTTTCAGGCTTCGCTATAAACACCGCCGCTTTCCACAACACCTCGAGGCCGAAGCGTCTAGCCGCACTTTCCCACACCGTTAATGCCATCAAAACCCACATCTTCAACGACGTCATCTGGCCCAACTTGACTGATGAGGGCGGCGGGGTCGGATTCGTGACCTTTCAGCGGCTCAGCGAAGGCGGCAACGTCGCGCTCGGCGAGGGCCATGGACGGGGCTACATCGAAGTCTGCGACGACCTAAGCGTCAAAGCCTTCAGAGTGAGCCATGGCCACTGTATGAAAGGGCCAGGACATGTGCACCGAGGAAGCAACGCGTACCTACCGGAGCCCGGATCAGCTCAACCGCACGCACACGCACATCCCCACGGGCACAACGGCGGCCCAGACGGACGCGAAGGCCGCTCGATGTCCTTCTCGGCCATCTCCCAGCCCGGCACGCCAGCCTTCCCTCCCGGATCCGCGGGCGGCGGCGCACCCCCCGAAAAGGAGCAATGCGTCATCGACAGCACGGCCTACTTCATCCGCACCGAAGTCGACAGCTACTCCTCGCACCCAACCTCGAAAGAAGTCCTCATCTTCGGCGACGTGGAGCCAGACACGCTCTCCCTATCGCCCAGGAACCACGTCGTCTGGGCGACCGCCGCGCCCAAGATCGCCGCCGGCATCCTTGCAGGCATCTTCATAGAGTGCAGCTACAACGACAGCCAGGGCGACGCCATCCTCTTCGGCCACCTGGCACCTCGCCACCTGATCCAGGAACTCCAGGTCCTGGCCGACATGGTGCGGCACGCGAAGAAAGAGCTCGAGCGCGAAAAGGCCCAGCGGCACGAGAGCCGCAAGCGCAAGCGCGCGAGTCTGGGGCCAGGCGTGGGGAACGGTGCTGCGTCCAGCGCGGCGGAAGACGAGGGACTGCGGCGCAGCGCGCGGCCGCAGCGCGCAAGGACCGTGCTCAACCCCATGGAGCACTTTGCGGACGGCGGTGGCGGCGGGCCAGCCGCAACGATCGGCACAGCGCGCACGCCGGACGAGGAGCTCATGCGCGACCCGATGGACGCCGTGCACGCGCCGCGCCTGCCGAACCTGTCGACCCCGACGCCGCTGCGCACGACGACGTTTTCGCTGTCGGCGGAGCCGCAGGCGAAGATGGAGAACCCGCTCAAGGGGCTCAAGGTTGTGATTATACACGTCAAGGATACGTTCATGGATGGGCCGCTGGTCGGGGAGAGTATCTTGGCGCAGTTGCTAGAGCACGAGGCGGAGGCTGCGGAGGAGGGGAAAGGGCTGGGTTGCGAGTTTGTGGTTTCGAAGAGTGGGGCGTCGTATCTTTTCTGAGGTGGGTAGTTTAGGTGGCTGGGTTGGATCTGAGGTGGCCGTTTTAGTGCGCTGTACTCTTGTTGTTGATGAACAGGTGGTTGTCTGGACAGTGGGTGCATGCAGTTTCCACATTTCGGCAGCCTCAAATTGGCAGGGGAAATTGTCTCTTACTCCAGTAGGGTTTCCGCTTCCTTCTTGTGTTGGTGGCCTTATAACGGTTGTGGAACGAGGAGAGCATGAGCTGGAGTGTTGCGATCGGGAGTGTCTCTCTTGATATCCGGCGTTTCGTCAATCTCAACCGGTTCCGACGCATTTTTTTGCTCTCCCATCCCGGCTGTACTATATTACGATCGAAGCCTCTGCTTCGACGTTTCCAAACTTCCTGCTGTCCCCTAACTCGACACCCCCCACCTCTGTATGCTTGTCTGCCCGTGACATTCCTGCAGTAGCTGAGGACCCTTCACTTACCGCACCTTCCCTCCCCGGCTGCTCGTGCTATACACTGCTCTCTCCCACCATGATGCCCACGCGCTGAACCAGCTTCCTCAGCGCCTGCCACCTCCGCTTCGTCAGATGCCTCAGACGCATCTTAGTCTTCTGCGCATCGTCCGCCGCTAACCCATGCAGTATTACAAAAGCCTCAACATTACGACATCTTTAGCAGTTCGCGCACCGAGAATCGTGCGCGGGGCTTGGCGTCCATACCTGCAGCAGTGCATGTTGGTGGGGGGACAGAGGGCCGTCATTGAGTAGATGGCGTGGGTTAGACACGAGGGGCGTGGCGTGGATAGGTACGGTTGACTCGGCGGCAGGGGCTGTTGCGTCTGTGCAGTACACTTCACTGCCCCCCTTCCAACTTACCCTGAGCCAGCATAATCACGGGAATTTTTTTTCCCGAACGAGATCGAACACAAGATCTTATTCGCCGCTTCGGAATCCGTCTCGTTTCCCTCGTCCTATTGTATATACAAAGATTCATTATCCAATACGCATTATCCAACCCACATTACCAGTAGGGAAAAATGGGACCACAGCATCGCTATCCGCCCAACGAATGACTGACACACTAACGGTGGCTGCTTGACCGCGTACCAGACGAAGTCCAACATGCCAAGAGATGCCTAAGAGAGATGGACGCAGTGTTGCTGTCGAGGAAATTTGCGAAGGGAACGGCGACGAGGGAGGACCGGGCTTTTTGTCGAAGGCATCGGCAGAAAGGGAAAGCAGTAGAGAAAAAAAGACTACCAAGCAGAACGCCGACGATGCTGGGGTGTACAATGCCAAGGAAAGGTGATGCTCGAGGTCGCTAGATCCAAGAAGAGGTGCAGTAACATGGTGATGCTGCAACAGATGACGATATAGAAAAATGGTGGCACTGATCGAGCACAAGGGTATCTTGCACTGCTGCGGGAAGCTCGAATCGGACTTTGGCAGCAGGGTCGCATTGAGACGCAAAAGGGAGATCAGAGCGGATACCAAAACATGAACTATGTGGAAGGGCTGGACCAAATTCATCCAAGACGAGGGCAAGAGTGATCACCGGCGGTAGCCAGACTTGTGGTTAAGCGGTGACATATACTGCGAGAGATTCCGCACTGGTTCTCGGACACGGCCACCTCGTACAGCAGGCGTCCGTCCGGTGCAGAAGATGCAGATGTAGACCGGGGGCAGATTCTGGCTGTTCAGGCCAACACAGCGGACATGCAGCCACTTGGTGCACGACTCGCACTGGATCATCAACTGACCGTCTCCATCTGTGGAATTGCACAGACATCGTGTGCCTTCATTCGAGACGCTGCTCCGATCGGTAGACGGCGTGGTAATATCATGTTCAGTGAGTGAGGTCGGCGAAGTGCTGCTGTTGCTGGAGAAAGGATCGAACGGGAAATGCTGGCCGGTGCCGACCCTCATCAGATCCGCCGAGGCCTGCGCCCAACGCTGGTTGTGGTCTTCCAGTATCTTGGCGGGACTTCTTTCTGCGACGTTGTCAGTAAGGTGGCAATCACAGCTAGGATGCCATCGCACCTTGTACTCTCTGCCGGCCCTCCACAACCCTCCTCAGGGCGCTGTGAGCATCTCCATCCGCATGGCTAGCAGTCGATACGGCCTGCGGTCGGCGAGAGTCTCCTCCACCAAATGAGCCCGTTAGGCTGGTGATGCTGGACTTCCTCCGAGGAACATTGGTTTGGGTTCGACGAACGCCTTGGCCAGGGACGTCAGCAAAATCAGTCCGCGCGGCGCCTAAAGAATCAGCTCTGAGTGCGAGTGATGATGATGATCGGGGTATCTTGAAGGAGTTTGAGCGAGGAGAGTCGCTGTCGGTTCGTGCATGTTTTGATGTCCGCCGCTTTGGTGGCTCAAAAGCAAAGGAGTTGTTCTGGCTTGGCACATGAGTGCTTCCGTCGGATTCGGTATCACTGTCATCGTCGAGCTGAACCGAAGAAAAACTTCGCATGGCTTTGCTTTGTGTCGGCTCGTCATCGTCGTGTACTACCTCCGTACGAGCACGGCCGTCCTCATCAATGACCAAGCGAGTTCGTGCACGTGGCTTGGCAGTCTCAGGTATGGCAGTAAGAGACGCCTGTGTTTGTCTCTTGAGGGGCGACGACCTCCGCGGGATATTGTAGCCTGTAGGGTTTTGAGGGTCGGCTGTCGAAGGTCGGTATCTTGAAATACGGCTGTCGGTATTGCTACGCTGCACTCCAGGTCTTGTCACGCTTTGTATAGGTTCAGACGAGGATGCTGTGCTGGTACGCGAGTGTTGCAAACTTCCACTGCGTGCAGGGCCCTTTCCTCTATTGAACTCCCGAGTCTGTTGCTCAGGAGCTTGTCTTGAGTCCTGATATGCATTGTATTGTATCGTGTTCTGATTGACATGCTGCGCAAGCTCATTCGCGTTTGCAAAACTGAAGAGCAAGCTGGGATCCACGCCGGAAGGGGTCGACACTTGGGGACTTTGCTGAGTTGGGATTGGCGGGTTGGCTAGGCTCATGCTGCTAGCCATCCAGGCTCCAGACGATTGACCAAACGAACTGTCCATCATGCTAGGCTGCAGTGACGGATTCGGTACATTAGCCATAGTACTGAAGCCTTGCCAATTCTGCATGCCACCCCCGGTTTGTGTCATCGGGCCAAAAGGGTCCCCAGGAGAGAACGACATGTCCATGTTCATCATGTCTCCACTGCTGGTTTGTCCAAAGTACAGCCGAGGCTGATGAAACACTGGCGCTGTCATAGGGCCAGGATTGCTGAACTGATACAACTCGGGAGAGAACTGCAGACTGGAGAATCCTAGAGGAGTTTGTGTATTGAAGCCATCCCCAGGAGTTGCATTATGTGCGGGAGGGGCATCAATTCTCCGTGAGAGTATCGTGGAAGGCGTTGTAAGGTTCGCATTTTGCGTCTGTCCAGGCTGTCTGCGAGAGGAAGAATGTCTTGTGGGGGGCGGCGTGTGCATCTGGGATGGATCCATCGCAGACGTGATGAGTTTGCTTGAGGCGGTCAATGGCCCGTGCGAGCCGGCACTGGAGCTCCTTTTTTGAGCCGGACCTGGTGAGGATGACAGCCGCCGAGATGGTTCAACAGGCGGCAGACCTAGATGTTGATGCGGCGAGAAGTAATTGACATGGAACGCGGGATCGCCTGGCGTAGGGCCCTTCTGACTATATGAACTGCCAGGTCGAGAGACGGAGGTTGGCTGAAAATCGACAGGGGTCTGCGCTGGTGTATGGTGCCCACCAACTTGTGGGGTTGAGAAGCCGTCTATAAAGGTAGAGTGGAAGGACGCTGGTTTCGGCGTTTGGAGGAAGTTAGTGTCGTAGGCAGCCGACCTCGGTGTTGAAGAGGGGCTTGGTAGATGCCAATCAGGAGCTCTGTGCCGAGATAGGATGTCAGCCGGTATGGACCACTATAAAGTTGGCGAGGACAGAAAAGACATAGGATCTGCACAGGTGCCTGTATACGAACGGCAGGTCCATCTCGATTGAGGGGTCTTGAAGACATCGATGTTGAATGAAACACTCTGAGCGAGTAACGACAGAGCTACCGAACACTTTCCACATGCCAACTGCGGAACATAAGGCATCCTTGGTTGCACAAACAGGAGGCACGCAAGCAACGTGACAAGGATACCATACCCATATATGTGTTGCTCCAGATTCATAGCAATGGAGTGATACTCCTAACCGATTGCTCCAGAACCCTTGGGTATCAATGTAGGCTTCCGATGAGAGGTGACGAGGACGGGCGGATGCAGGGTAGGACGGTTGGATAAGAGCTCGAGCACATGTAGGATGGGCACATGTGAGGTACGTCTCAAAGCTATGGAGACGTAGCTTGCACACGATGGCCTTTTGGTGGTCTCGAGGTCGAGGGCTGACAGGGGAGCAGAAAACTTCTGCGTATGGTCCCCACTGCTGACCGAGGAATGTGTGTCTGTGCAGCAACAACTGTTAGAACTTCAAGCTTCAATTCGGGCTTGTATGAAGCGGTCCGCTTAAACGTAAGCAGAACCCGCCCTGAGAACGAGCGGAGGGGAGCAAGGACCAAGGGTAGTAGGAGAGGTGGAGTAGGTACCAATGCACGCAATTGACGGACGGTGAGGGTTGGAGGTACAGTGAAGTCCTCCTGAGGCTTGGCTTGGCCGAAGAGAGTCCAGCAGGAGCCTACACCGTCTGCGGTGCTAAGCAGAGCATGCTGGCGGGGACGATGATGTTGGGATGACCGTCGGTAGTGGCCGGTCAGGCGAGGTGCAAGGTACAGAGAATAAGGTAGAACGGCATTACCGGCCTTGGCCTCGGCGGAGATGGATTCATGGAATTACACTCTCCCTAGCATAAGTGGTGAGGCGGCAGGACAACGAGGGTTAGCTAAAGGCAAGGAATTTCACAAGCGTTGGCGAGGAATTGCATTTCTAGGCTACCGGCCGGCCAGCTCCACCAGCATTACCACAGCTATGCGTGCAGGTAAAGCAAACATCCATCTGCTCAAGATAGGTCTGGTGCGGACGCCCGTGTGCACTCCTGAACTGCTGTTCCCTCGATAGCGTCGAACGGATGGCGAGTGTCTAGACGTCAACGGCGGTGGTGTTCTCTCCACCTGCTTGGCCCAGCTCGAAATGCCCTATCGCCGTGTCCGCTGTGCCGGGGCAGAAGCTGCCAGGATCAAGCTTAATGTCTGCTATTCGCCAATCATAGACCGGCCAGGAAGCGAGGTCGCATATTGCGGCCAATGGAGGCCACGACTGGCTTTTGACAGTGGTTTTGACAGCCGCCCTAAATCCTCACCTTCTGAGTCATCGCCGGCTGATGCCCCTCTGCTTCAGCTTTAAGCTCGCTGGCCTCCGGTCAAGGCCCGCATTGGCCAGCCTAAGCAGTCTTCTATGCGGGGCGTCGCTAATAGAGAAGAACGCTGTCGAGTCCATCATGAAGTGCTGAGGAAGCTGTCGTGTGCGCGGCAAGACCCCTTAACGCAAGAGGGGCTAATGTCAAAAAAGGCTGGCCCCACGTTTGTGCACCGATGAGGATCGGCGCTCATCTGCAAGGTACGCCATCATCCCAGCTGGGCAGCTGCAATGGTACGCAAATTCTTGCATTCCACTGCAGCCGCCGTCGCTCGGCTACTGCACCGTATCGTGCTAAGCCGACCGCATCGCCCTCTTGCGGCTCTTCCGCTCCAAGACATTGGTCGACGTTGCCTGGGGGCTGGCTGATGGGGAAAAGACCACGACCGATTTAACTAGCCTGAGGCACGGCAGAGGGGGTTTGGACGGGAACTTCTGAAACTGGCGACGCTTGCTTGCGGCGGTGAGGTTCGTCGTGGACCTAAAGCCTGAAGTGGTTCTACCAGAGGGAGAATCCTTTCTCTCCAGATACTCTAGCGTCCAGTAATCTACTCGACAGCCGCTCAAACTTAACATTGGGATTCGTGTTCTACGCTCAATGAAGTGTCTGGCTTTGGATCTTTCCAGAAATACCTCTCCTGCCCCTCACGACGGCCCAAGAGCCCTCAGTGGCTGCGCTCAAAGACGTTAACCGGGAATGGTTCACGGCATCCTCTCCGTGAGCTCCTTCTACCTCGCCTAGAACAGGCATCAGATGGAGAAGTTCGGAACAGGTCATCCGCGCTTGCGCAATTGCCTGCGAGGGTTCCTGCATCAAACAAGCCATGGCGTTGACAACGGCTCTCCTTTCAACCACACGAGGGCCCTGACAGGCATTGAGACCTCGGCCACAGGGGGATCTGCATACTAGATTATTCCTCATGGCTAACAAGTCTCCTGACACTGATCCACCTTCTCTGACTGAGAGATACAAACGGTCCGATGTCGCGATCAGAGTCGAATTCGACGGCACAGGCGCGCCAGCGGTTTAGATGATGCTCCCGCGGTCGAACATCTCTGCTTGTCTATCTTCCTAGACCTCCTAAGCTATTAGTTGCTCAGAATACCAACCATACAATTCGAGATTACACTCTTTCTCAGAGGAGTGTTGCAACAGCGTCTTATTCGCAACCCCCAGTCAACATGCTGGTTCTTGGATAGGGCGTAACAAACCCGGAGATATAATTTAATCTTCACCCCGTTAACATACTCTACAGGCAGGAGAATCACACAGGCGAGAGAATCACTATATTCTTCTCACACCGGCAATCGAATATTTCCCACCCTGCAGTTGGTTGCAATTGCGCGACGATCTATTATCAGCGTCCTAAGCTTAAACCCTGCCCCGCTTGGCCTGGTTTAGTCAATAGGGCTGGGCAGAGGGTTGCGAGTCTCCGTGTCCTGCTTGGAATCCCTCTTACTGTCCTTTAACCGGCGGTAGCTACCTTCCTTAGCGCTCTCTTACCCCGCCCACCGGCAGTTCCTCCCTCCCTTGGCGCTCGCTTATACAGTTTGGGTTTTTTCTTGAAATCGTGATTTCGGCCGAAATCTTTGTTGGACTGATCGGACAAGAGACGATAAACAGCTCGTATGTGCTGCGTAACGGCGATGGAAGGTATAAAAGAGTCTCTCGTCGGCTACCAAGGGCGGTTCAGTTCCAATTCCTGGGGCCAAGCCACAACTACTACACACATTCGATGATCAATATGTCGGGAATCAAATCCGCCGCTGCCGTAGGACTTACTCTCCTTGCCAATCTTGTTTTGGCCCAAGAAGTTATCATCAACGGTGTAGTCCAACAAGATGTCTTCTTCTACGGTCAGAGTCCACCGGTCTATCCATCACCTGATGCTGAGGGTGACGGCCGCTGGGGCGACGCCTTGTCAAGCGCTCGGGCGATCGTTGCTCAAATGACACTTGAGGAAAAGGTGAACATCACCGGAGGGTTCTCTAACACCACGAATGGATGCGGTGGAAACATCCCGGCCATCGAACGCCTGAACTTTCCTGGAATGTGCTTGCAGGATGGCCCGAATGGTGTGAGAGAGACTGATTTCGTCAATGGCTACGCTGTGGGCATTCACGTTGGTGCAAGGTAAAGTTCAGCTCCACGAGAAAAAATATTCTGAGAAGCTTACATTGTAGTTTAGCTGGAATCGGAATCTGACTTACGCGCGCGGTTCTGCGATCGGTGGCGAATTCAGAAGGAAAGGTGCCACAATCGCCTTAGGCCCTATGGTCGGACCGTTGGGAAGGATTGCTCTTGGTGGTCGCAACTGGGAGGGATTCAGCAACGATCCCTACATCAGCGGTATCCTTGCTGCTGAAACAGTTAGGGGAATCCAAGACAGAGGCGTAATTGCTTCCACCAAGGTATGAGAGACTTACTCACATTATTGGGATTAGCAGCATAAGCTAACAATGAGTAGCACTTTGTTGGAAACGAGCAAGAGCTTCTGCGAAACCCCCGCCCAGATCTCAGCAACCGCAACAAGACTATTGAAACTTCGTCTTCGAACATGGACGATGCGACGATGCACGAACTATACATGTGGCCTTTCGCGGACGCTGTACACGCTGGTACAGGCAGCATTAGTAAGTATTCATGTAGTTTCATGGTGGTAGATTCTGACGGGGGTTCAGTGTGCGCATACCAGCGCCTTAATAACAGTTATAGCTGCCACAATAGCAAAGCTCTGAACGGTCTTCTAAAGACCGAGTTAGGCTTTCCAGGTTTCGTGCTGAGCGACTGGGGTGCTCAACACACTGGCATTGCCAGCGCATTGGGCGGTCTCGACATGGTCATGCCTTTTGGATTCCGCTTCTGGGGCCCCAATCTCACTGAAGCAGTCCGGAATGGCTCGGTTCCAGAGTCCCAAATCAACAACATGGCAACGAGAATCATGGCAGCATGGTACTTTGTGGGCCAGGACAGTCCAGACACGCCTCCTTTAGCAGTTGGCATGGCACGCAGCCACTTGCGTCCTCACACTGTGGTCGATGCCCGAGATCCCGCGGACGACGCCGTCAACCTCCAGGGAGCTATTGAGGGCCATGTCCTTGTCAAGAACATCGACAACGCCCTACCTCTACGAAATCTCAGCATGATGTCAATCTTTGGCTACGATGCCAAGAACCCTAACTACAACAGTCCGGCAGAAGGATTCAGTGCTTGGTCCCTGGGTCTCCAATCCCAGAATTACCGCTCTGTAGTCTGTGGTTTTGGTTCGGTCATCGCTACGTGTCCACCATTCTTGCCCATCTCACCGAATGGAACTCAGATAACCGGAGGCGGCTCAGGAGCTATTACCCCTTGGTATATTGACGCACCGTTCGAGGCCCTGTCCCGACGCACACGTGCAGACAGAACCGCCCTGTTTTGGGATTTTGACACCAACGGAGCGAACAGCACGATTGACACCAACAGCGAGGCCTGTCTCGTGTTTATAAATTCAGCCGCTTCTGAAGGTGTTGATCGGCCATCCCTACGCGACGACTTCTCGGATGCATTGGTAGAGAACATTGCCTCCTCTTGCAACAACACAATTGTTGTGATCCATAACGCTGGCGTCCGTCTAGTTGACCGTTGGATCGACCATCCTAACGTCACAGCACTCATCTTCGCTCAACTGCCGGGTCAAAACTCAGGCGAGGCGATCACGCAGATTCTCTATGGCGACGTTTCCCCCAGCGGCAAGCTTACTTACTCTATACCACGGAACGAATCTGACTACGGGTCGCTACTGGCACCCGTCAATTACACTGGCTGGGACCGCTACTTCCCGCAGGACAACTTCACAGAAGGTGTCTACATCGACTATCGCGCTTTTGATGCAGCAGGCATTGAGCCCAGGTATGAGTTTGGCTTTGGCCTCACCTACACAACCTTCGAGTACTCTGATCTCAATATTCAAGTTACAAGCGATGGGAACCTCTCGGAATACCCTGTTGGGCCAGTAATTCCCGGAGGGGAGGCGGACTTATGGGACAACCTAGCCACCGTGACAGCGGAGGTCACCAATACCGGCGATGTAGAGGCGGCCGAGGTGGCCCAGCTGTACCTTGGGATTCCAGTTGCCGGCCAGCCTGTTAGGCAGCTGCGGGGCTTTGACAAGGTGATGATCGCGCCGGGTGAGACGAGACACGTTCAGTTTGATCTGAGACGGCGCGACTTAAGCGTGTGGGATACTGGTGCGCAACAGTGGAGACTTACCCTCGGAACCGAATATCGTGTTTGGGTGGGAGCGAGCTCCAGGATTCTGCCACTGAATGGAACCATGGTCTTGTAAGACTAACACGTATAAAGCCGTGGAAGGGTGCCCCTTCCATATTGTTGGAATATGAAGGTACAGTCATCTTTCTCCGACAGACGCAGATTATTACTTTGTAAGGAAAGTAGGGTCGAAGGTTCTAAAAGACACAATCTTTACTATATGTTGCGGACAGATTGCTTGTATGTAGAAGATTGAGAGACACACAACCACTCATGTTCACCAACAGCTAGTTTATCAAGAATGCCCTTATGCTTATAACTTCTCGATCCCTTCAGACAGATGAATGACGGTACCTCTTCCCGTCAGAATCCTCCTACCATGAAACACAAGTGCTCGAGAGTGTGCGCTAGTGTACAGTCAGCGCTGCGTTCATAGCAGCATAAGGAGATGACTTGCGTGCCCCTGAGTCGTCATGAATCTCTGTTGCAAGAGCGAAGTAGCCGTATATTTTAGGCCCTTTTCTGTGGACTACGACAACCCGCATGCCAGTCCTTTCGAACTCCCATTGCGTGAACTCTGCCGGGGCATAGTCGGCCTTGAAGTTTTGTACCTGCCTGAAGTACGTCATCTTCTCTTTCGTCGAAGGCATTACGAACAAGGTGCTCATTAGTTGGTCGGCTAATGAGGCTGGACGGGCTTAGATAGCGGTGAACTGGTCTTAGCATGGTACTATAATTTCTCATGTTTATAGTTTAAGTGTCATAAGATAAAAGAGAGTAGTCATAGTTTTAATAGAATCTTAGCGTAGTAATTCTCTCGCCCGTATGATTCTCTCGCCCGTAGAGTATAGTAAAATTAGTGCCCTTATTCTTTCGCTCCTGTACGCACAGCTTCGGCTGGTTTCGAGATTAATTTAATCCTTTTTTTAAGGCTAGCTACTTGTACCCTACTAGTGGCGCTGCTTCCGAATATACACCCTAAGCAACCGTTCACTACTGAGTACGCTGTAGGACGCCTATTTCTAACGGTCGTCTTTCTTGGTGTTAAATGCTCACCAATTCCCACCGGCTCCACTATCAGGAAATTCGGTTCGGTCCTTCCTAAGCGCATGGTGGTCCACTCAACAAGACGCCTTTGGAACCCTCGTCAGCATACAGTACAGGACTAGCAACACGTCGTCCATGATCAGATCGTGCTATCAACCTCTTCGTCGCACTCATTAATCGAGCAAAGCCTTGCAGGCCGAATCTTGACAATTTACAGGCGAATGGCAAAGACAATCGGTGGGGCAGCACACTGTGGTTCAACATATATTGATCCTATGGTCTTCACTCTTCACTGTGTTTATCTTAAGAATCGAGATGATAAGGCGAACAGCTTAAATGCCGCATTAGCTAGGTGTTTTTGTCTGAGCACTATGTATACTCCCCCGATACGCCTAATGGCATTTCCGCGTCGATTCATCCTTCGTTACCCTCCATGCTGAAGCTTGCTAACAGGAACTAAAAGAGGAAAGCCAGCTACAATATAACGCCGGCATAAAATGATATATCATGTTGTCCCAGGACGCCCCATATCCAACCAAAAAAAGCCGACTTGCTCCCCTGTCCGTCATAGTAAATATGTCCGTAATAAATTTCTCTCCTCCCACTCTCCCGCCGCATTCTCGTCCCCCTTCTTCTCCGTTGCCGAGTTAGACACCCATCCTTGGCACCGCCTCCTCCCCCTCACTCTGATAGCTCAGCTCCGACACCTCGCTCATCTCCTCCATGTCCCTCGAGCCCATCCCATCCACCACGCCTCCATCCTCCGCATCGCTCACACCGCCCTCATCCGCATCCGGGTCCTCAAACGGATTCCGCTCTCCCCTTCTGTCCCCCGCTTCCGCCGTTCGCCCCCTCTCATGCTCCCTCTCCTGCCCCTGCCTGCCCCTCTCCATAACCAGCATCGCCCGCAGCCCCTCCGGCAAGCGCAGACTCGAGTTCCTGCTCTCCGAAATACTCGGCACGCTGCGCGGCCGGTACGGTGGCGGCGGCTCCTCGTGTCCCGCCTCGCTCGAGCAGCGGTTGTACGCGCTGATCGCCCGGCCGGACGGCGTTACGGATACAGCGTCCGACGTGTCAATGCCGGAATAGTATGCCGCGTTGCTCCGGCTCAGCGGCGCGATGATGACGGGTGCCGGCGGGGTCGGGTGTAGGCTCGCGAGCGAGGGCGACTGCACGTGTACCGCGGGTGTGGGGGCAGAGAAGCGCGGTGTGGTAGCGCGGGCGTGGGCGTGGAAGTAGGGCACTGCGACCGCGGTGCCGATGACGGGCGTCGAGGCGCCGGAGTCCGCGAGTGGGTAGGTGTAAGCGGGGACGAGCTTCTCGGAGAGCGGGTGGGTGCTGAGTTGTTGGTGTTGGCGGCGGCGGCGGTGTCGCCGGCGGAGGTAGAGGGCCAAGAGGCCGCCGAGGAGGAGGATGACGATTATGGGCGGGAGGGCCGCGGCGAGGGTGTTGGGACGCGACGGGTGCGGTGGGATGGTACCGGATTGGGATCCGAAGGCGGGTGGGCCGTCCCCGGGAATGTTGGGACCTACTAGTGCGGTGGGGATGGGGCTGCTGGAGGCGGATGTGTCGATTAAGGTGTTGCTGGGAAGGCTGGCGGGCAAGGTGGATGGGGTTGTTGTGACGAGGGTGGTAGGCTGTGGTACGAGAGCGGCTGGCTGCGATGTGAAGGCCCCGGTAGGCTCTGGCGAAGATGTGGAGACAAGCTGTTCTGCATCAAATTGTGTGGATCGCGAAGGGTTCGTGGTGGGAGGCGGCGGAGGTGGTGTTGTGGGGCTCCTTGACGTTTGAGGTGTTGGTGTTGCTGCCGCAGGGGAGGTTGGCTCCGCGGTTACCAGCTCATTGTCAGTATCAGCGGTTTCTAGTGCGTCTTCCTCGTTCGTGGTGGTGACCACTCGCAACGTCGGCCGGACTGTTGTGGGTCTCGCTGGAATAGTAGCCGGAGCGGTAGTGGGAGTCGGACCGTCGATTGGAGTAGACGGTGGGGAGTCTTCGCTTTGGGCGGTGAGGGGCGTCGGCAGCGATGCAACGGAGGTCGCTGGTATTCGTTCATACTCGTTGAAACGCGTATGAGTAAACTCATCAGGGAAGCCACCTGTGAATACTTCGGAGGGAACTGAGAAAGACCGCCAACGGTCATCGGTGTCTTGTCGGCGGCCACCTTGACGGCGTCGAAGAAAGGACATTGCGGGCAGAGGACTGTCTACAAACACAAGATTTGGAGACGATTGTCTGGCAGCGACACGGTCTTGTCAGCGCGCAGACGGGCGATGGTCGTTGATTTTCTGGCATGATGGCCTATGATGTGCTGGGAGGCCCTGCACGGCAAGTGGATGGCGGGGCCGAAAGGTCGGGGAACTCACGTCGTGCACGTTGACTCCGCATCTGTGCCTATCGATAGCGGAGCGACGATCTCCTCTAACACCCGGCCTCTGTCATGATGAACTGTTCGAGCATGAGTTTGACGGGAGAATGGAAGAGAAAGAGGGAGGAGAGAAGGGTAGAACAGTGTCTGAGACGAGGCACGTTACTAAGTGGCCTCATCGTATGCAGTGCTCTCAGCTGAGTTGGAGGGAGGCCAAAACCGAACGCAGGCTGTGCAAGCTTCATGCACGCTCATGCACGCTCATGCACGCTCATGCATCGGCGCGAGTCGGTGGGAGCCCGGCATGCTGAAACCCAAGCCTCCCGGGTTCAAGATGGTGATGCATTATTTTTAGGCTGGCTGTCCGCGGTGCTGGTTGGTTTGAACTCCTGCTCACCTCGCCGCAGCCAAGCTTTAAACAGCCTCTTTCTGCCGCTCCCGTCATCGCTCCCGGTGCTTAAAGATGGGGATCGGTAACTTTTGTTGACCAAGTCGGACTTGCTTGAATCCTCCCCGCACGCCACCTGGCCGTTTGGCTGCTGAAAGCGCTCGCGTCAGTGGCTCTGTCGTTATCTCATCAGGGTTGCCGCATCGACACGCTGCGGGTTTGAAACGGTGATACGGAGTACTGAAGCAAGGTCAGCCTTTCGCTGGGGCGTGCTGACCGCAGAACTCCTGGCTCGTAAAGACCGGGCTCCGAGATGCCCGGATAGACTGGGAAGCTCACCGGCATCAACACGGTGGTGAGACTGCAGACATCACGAAAGGGCCGTCCCATGCCGCAGCGTTCCATACCAGGTCTTTGACATGAACCCACACCACCATCTTCTAACATGGAAGTCACGGCAGCAAGAGGTGTGAGGATCCATGAGTGGCCGAAAACAGATCCGAAACCCAGACAGGATGCGTCTGGCTGACAAGCGGTTAGACAGTCCATTTAAGCTCCTTTCTAGAGCGCATGAGGCGAGCAGCTAAGCCGCCGTCGTCACTGTAAGCTCGTGACTTGGCGTTGGCGTCGGCGTCTTGCGCTTGGGCTGCGCGTGCCTTGTTTTCAACTCGCCGCAGCCAAATAGCCAGAAAAACCTCGTTTCGCCGCTGAGGACGGCATCACGCTGGAGAACCTCCCGAGGTCGTTTCGGGGCCGGTCAGCCGCCTGTCACGCTTCCAATTGGGTAGGTGAAGTTGCACGGATTCAGCTTGCTGGTCAGCGCTATGGCAGGTTTGGCCTTCGTCACTGCCTTGGTCTCTCCTCTGAGTTAGCCAGCGCGTGAACAAGCGCCTGGCCGTTTTCCTTGATCTCCGCCTGAAACCTGCTGTCTTCACCACTATCCTCGTCGCCGTCAGTCGCTGTATCCACATTGTCTGAGTCAATCATCGCGCCGTTCATGCCACCATGCAATAACACCAGCTGCCGCCTTTCCATCCTTAGCACATCCTCAACCACCGTGTTACTATGACATACGAGAAGGCACTTCCCTCAAGGCGGGCTCCGTCCCCGCGGCGACTCGCACGCTACTTCGGTACCAGCAGACGATTCAGACTTCTCTGCGCCTTCGCTGTTGTCGGCTATGTGCTGCTATCCACAAGCATCGAGTTGTGGGGAACCTACTGGAGTAATGCACCCACAGACTTCGATCGCCGTACCTCTCCGACTACGAGTCCCTCATTACCCCTGCCGGAGCACCCCGCGCGCCGCCTCGTTCAAACCGCGAAGGGCGTGAACATAGGCGACCGATACAGCTACCTGAAGCCGCTCAGCGCTGGTTGCGAGGGCGACACTGCCATCTACCGGGATGAAGAGACGGGTAGCGATGTCGTTATAAAGAGCTTCAGAACGCAGCTGCGCAATCGCCTTCCGGAGTACACGCGGAGGACATTCGCAGGCAGCATCGGCAACTGGCCAGCCGAGATACCTGCCACACTGCTGCTGGGCGGCATGATGAACGTCACCTCGGAGAGCAACATGACGGGGACAGTCGATGTATCATTCAAGTCGGACTTCATTCCGGCTGTTGATTATTTCTTGATCGTTAGCAGCGAGAGCGGTGCTCCAGTCTCGCCTACATGGCGCCTAGTAACCCCGTTTATACGAGGCGGAACTCTCCAAACGCTTGTTTCAAAATTGAGGGAGGAAAGACCACAACAGCCACATGAGCTGGATGCCTTCCTACGACCAGCATTCAATCGGCTGCTCACTGCTCTAAGAGACCTCCACGCCAAGGAACTGTGCCACGACGACATCAAAATCGACAACATTTTCACGATCGACCAAACCCAATGGCTGATTGGGGATCTCGGCAGGGTCCGCGAAGTCCAGCATCCATACCACTACACCCACAAATGGCAGAGCATGAACCAGTGGTCCGAGTGCCGCCTCAACGACGTACGCCGCATGTTGAAAACGTATCTGAGTGTTTTACGCACGGCCGCTGCAGACGCTGATCGTTTTGACGCGGACTTTTACGCTGAGCGCCAGCCGTGGAGCAAACTCTACTGGGATTTTATGAGACGCCCTGCCCTCGCCGGTGAGCTGCTGGGCCGGTCCTCGAATAGCTCTGTGGATCTCGCTCCAGATTCAGCGATGGAGGCATCCGCAACAGTCAAACCAGACGTGTCCATGCAGACAGGCAAGGCTCGGGAAGCACTTCGATTAGCTGTTGATCGGGAATTGAAGTGCACAAGAATCCCATGGAGGTTGAGGAAATGGTGGCTTTGGGGGGGCTTCATGCCGAAGTACCGCCTGGAGAAGAATCTTCACGTAGCCAAGGCCAAGTTCGAAGACTGAAGGCTTGCTAAAATGGGACATGATGTGCCAGCCACGACGGATTGAAGACACGGCCTGCAGCGACCTTTCAGGAGCGAGAACAAGTACACTCGCACGGCGTTCCCTATCAGCACGCCAGCCGTTCGGTCCATCGGCATCCTTGCCTACTCTGTACAGGGTTTGTCGTTGTTCCTACTGTTGCTGTTTGAACCTAGGTTAGCGAGCGTGGAGTTGGCTTTGGGAGAGCACGATACCCCTTTTGATACCCTCTAGTTCTTGTACGCTGTAGATAAAAATTGACTATATACCACTCCTACAGCCTGGACGTGCGTTTACTGCTAACGATGCTGCTTGTTTGGTGTATCAGCCCCTAAATTTGTCGAGTAGATTGTGGATGTTTCAGGGTGTTTCCCGCAACTCACGTGCAACGAAAAACCCCTGTCTTGCCGGCTAACAAGGGAAACCCTCCTTCCCGTCGGCTTTCCCAAGCGACCTTTCCGAGCTGCGTCATCTTCATTGGATCTAGCAACTCTGCAACTCGACATTGCTCCCCTACCTCAACATGCCTGACTTTAAGGAGATTGCTAAGAGTGGATGGCATCCCAAAAGCAAGAGTGGAAAAGCCGAAGGCGGCTGGCGCTCCGAGTTCAAAGGCGCAGACCAGATCGTACGCAATGATCGAGTACCTCGGTGACTGAAAGAAAGCTAATAGGCGTTGCTCTAGGCGGGATGGATCGGAAAGAAGAAGGGCAGCAGCTCAGGGGATGATGCAGCCAACCGCCAGTCCGCTCCCCTCTCTTCGCTCAAAGACCCAGCAGCGTTCGGTCCACCACCAAAGCACGTTGGCTACCATGGCGGAGCAGCAGTTCCGCACAAGACGACACCAGATCCCAGCGGATGGGGTGCTCCTATACCACAGGAAGAGGTACAAGCACAGCGACAGATAGCACAGCGTCCTACGCGGCAAGCCGAAGAGGAGGAAGAGGAGAAGCCTCCACCAGGTCCATACCGCGTCGATACCACCGGCTTAAGCACCGCGAACCTACCCCCTCCGCCAGTCAGACGCGTTAACAATGCCTCTCCCTCGCCACAACTACCTGCTCAGAGGTCGGCCGCTCCTCCTGCGCAGAGACCCAAACCAAGCCTCCCACCACGACTACCGCCGCGACAGAACTCGCACCCGGACGCCTACGCTCCAACCGCACCGCCTGCATACAATGAGACCGCACAAGCCCAGTCTGCAGCTACGGCAACGAGCTATATCAACCAGGGCGCACTGAACAGGCTGGGAAACGCTGGTGTCTCCGTCCCTGGTTTCGATATCGGCCGTACAGCACCGCCTCCTGTAGCCCCTCGCTCCGGCACCTTGCCACCACCTCCTACGTTAGCCGCACCTTCCGCAGGCGCGCAAAGCTCTCCAATGAACACCCTCCAATCCGGCTTCTCCAAGCTATCCACGCGATCGACTCCTACGGATACCGCTGGGAGCAGCAGCACAGGCACAACGTGGGCACAAAAGCGGGAAGCGCTTAACACAGCGAACTCCCTGCGCAATGACCCCTCGAAGGTCTCCCTCTCCGATGCCAGGAATGCGGCATCAACAGCAAGCAACTTCCGCGAACGCCACGGCGAGCAGGTTACATCCACGTGGCAAGCTGCCAGTGGGCTGAACCAGAAATACGGCATCGCGGACAAGTTGAACAACTATAACAACAGAGACGCCACACGAGGAGGAAGAACCGAGCCTCAGAGTAGCGCCGCGGTTCCGGATACCCAGCACGTCAGCGACAACCCGTGGGCAAGCGAGACAAGTTCGTCGACAGGCACTAGCGGCCTTGGGAGAAAAGCCCCGCCGCCACCGCCGCCGATACCGAAGAAGAGGCCAGAGCTGACGGGCGGCGCGCCTCCGCCCATACCCTTAGGGAGTAAGCCGAGGGGCTCGAGTTATCAAGACAAGGGGCAGAAAACGATTTACGCGATGCCTCCTGGAGATGCGCAGGATTTTGGAGGAGGATAATTTTCACAGCATAACGGCTCAACATCAACGGAGAAACTGGCGTAAAGCCGACGGCAATCACGTGATCGGCAGTACTCCAAGTTCCGTAAGGTGGCTAATAACAAATATTACAAAACTGGGTATTATCACGGCGACTTCAAGATGTCTCAATGTTGTACCCAGAGGTTCTGCCAGATCACTGGACCCCTCGCGCCGGGCTCAGCTGCAGATCTACCCGTCATCTCTGCCGCACTTCCCCACATGTTCGTCTCCGCATTGGCTAAGATTCTTTGCAGTGGATGCATTCCAGAATGCGTGTAAGCCTGCCGTGGCTGCCTGAATTGCTTGCAGATGGGAAGATGAGCGTGCGCCATTCGATGATCGAGGCAGATGACATGCAGTAAGCCACGACGATCAACGTTAAGAGCTGAAGACGACGGCTGGCTGAACGACGGACTTTTTCTTCAGAAGAAGCATGGAAGCTTGCTGATTATGCGGGCCAACTCGCCCGCTCTACTTGTCGGCAAATAGAGATGGGGTATGTTCGTGTCAGATGTTCAAGCCTGAGTGGAAGGCTTAGCTGAAAGGCAGCTCGGGAGCACCGTCAGCGCCAGAAGAGCTTTATTGTGCGAGAGTATCTAGAAGGGAGTGGCCTCAAATCTGCGCATGACCGATAGAAACCTCACTCCTCGCGTTCCAGGTCGCTGCTGTGGCTGGCTGATACCTAGCTCAGCTGCGTTCCTTGGGTGGCTCGCATACGCTGCTTGTTGTCGCTGTCCGCGATGCAAGGGATGAAAAACAGGCGAAACTATCAAGGCCTGGGTGAACCGCTACGCGACTGACTACTATAAAGGAGCTCGGTATGCCAGCGTCGTTGGCAGCAACCAAGCGACGACAGCGCGAACAAGCACCATGGCACTTCGTTTGCGTAGATCCATCCGCGATCTTGAGGATGACTACGACAGAGGCAACAAGAAGCCCTTGGAGGATCTCATACGCGCATGGCGGGGCATCCAAGCCCAGCCTGCCGACGACCCCAACTCGGCTTTCCCCCCTAAGTCCTTCTTCACCATCGCTGGTTACCATAGAGAACCCTTTCGGGGCGCCGGCTGGGGTAACTCCCAGTGGTGGGGCGGCTACTGCAATCACGGCAACGTTCTCTTCCCGACATGGCACCGTGCCTATCTCTTGACGCTCGAGAACGCGCTGCGAAGCGTCCCAGGGTGCGAGAACGTTACGCTTCCTTACTGGGATGAAGTTGATCAGCGCACCAAAGAAACGGGGCTGCCCCGGACCTTCCTGCAGAAGACGTTCGTACTAGATGGGAACCCGGTATCGAATCCGCTCTATTCCTACACCTTCCAGTATGATATTTTCGACAACCTCGCTCCTATCCCGGACTTTGACTACAGCAAGCCCGAGGGCTACACGACCGTCCGGTACCCCTACTCCGGTTTGGTAGGTACGCCGGACGACAAAGCGAAGACCGAGGTGCACAATAAAACCTACAAGGACATGCCTGAGGCAAAGGTGAACCAGATCTTGAACGAGAACGTACAGAACTGGCTCGGCTTTGGCATCAAGCTTAACACCGGTGAATACCTCTACACCGGCACGCGAGAGAAATATTACGCTTGCCTCAATGCGCCGAACTATACTGTGTTCTCGAATACAACCTCGGCCACGCAATGGAACGAAGACCACTTCGGCGTCAAGAAGTGGCAAGAGGCAGGCTCCCCGACCCCGGCCACCCAAGCGGTAGTGCCCCTCGAGAGCCCGCACAACGACATGCATCTTGCGATCGGCGGCTTTGACTTGCCTGTCTCACCCACCAGGCCTGGCCAGCCCGAACAAAGCTTCGACGCCATCGCGGATGCGAACGGCGATGTGGGTGAGAACGACACGGCGAGCTTCGATCCCATCTTCTACTTCCACCACTGTTTTATCGACCGCATGTTCTGGCTCTGGCAGAATAGGACTCAGAAAACGGAGAGCCTGGACATCATCCATGGCTATCCTGGCACCAACACCGTGGATAATCAGGGACCGACGCCTGGAGTCCCGGCGAATACCTGGCTGACGATGGACTCGCCGCTTAATCCGTTCTTCAAAGACGACCGGCCTGTGACTTCGAATGTATGTAAGACTGGCAACATTCTGCTTCCTTCCATCCTCTCCTCCTTCTTACCTTTATCTGAAAACCGGCCCCTAACCCGCCATCAGGACGTGATAAACATCGAGACGCAACTCAACTACACCTATCCGCGCCTCTCAGAGAGCGATCCCCTGCATCCAAGTGAGCCTCTACTCGGCAGCCCGCCAGCCAGCTCTCCACCCACACTCCGCGTCTCCGGCATCAACCGCGGCGCCATCTCCGGCTCCTTTGTGCTCTCTATCTACGCCACGCTGGAGGGCCAAACGCGGCTCATGGGCGTCGAGTCGGTGCTCAGCCGCTGGCATACCTCGGGATGCGCCAACTGCCAGACCCACCTTAATGTCAAGACGTTTGTGCCGCTGCATGGCCTGACGCTGGAAGAGGCGGAGAAGGCGGATTTCGACGTGGGGAGGCTTACGAGGGGTCTTGTGCAGCTGCCGGAGAGGCCGCCGGTGACGCACCTGGGGCAGATGGTTAGGAGGATGAGTTGAGGATGGCTGTTGTGCACGTCGGGTGGGGAAGATGCCTTGTCGTGACGGCAGCCTAGCGCTCGTTTACCATGATCTTTACAAGTTGATCCACGTTCAGCCGAACAGCAGAATTTTTAGAGTGAGTACTAGGCCGACAAACCTCAAGCGAGCTATTCAAACTGTGTTATGGCGTATTACATTCATCGTAAAGGGTGCTTTGCAATAAATACAGCCTTGAGTTTCCAGGTTCGCGGTGAGGCATTTTTCCCGTCCGGTGTGTTGCGCTACGGTTAGACGTTGCGAGTAGCGTAATGCACATATGTTTGATAAATCTCGCTTGGTGCCCTACAGCCTGTATACATGTCCTTTCCCCGTCCTACAGCACATACCGGAAGTACGGGTTCTCCTTATCCGTCAGATCTTTAAATGCCAACTTATCCCTCTCCGCCTCATCCAGCCTCATCGCGTCCCTCTTCTTATTCTCCCGCCAGAGCACATAGTACAACCCCACAGACGCGAGAATCGTGATACAGTAGCACACAATCAGCCCCAGCCACAGCTCCGGATAATGCCTCGCCCGATGCTGGCTCACCACCAGCTGCGGGCCGACAATATTCCCCACGCAATAAGCCACGAATATCGCCGCCGCCATCGCGCTCTTCTTCGTTGCGCCAGCGACATTGCCCATCCCGAGCGTAATCACCAAACTGACAACAGCGCCGAAGGATCCGATGATGCTGTACCCGGCTACCGGAGTGGCGGCGTGTCGCGTCCATGCGGATTTCCAGATCATGGCACACCCGGCGATGACGGGAAGGCAGTTGAGGATCAGTAGGATGATGCGGATGTTGGGATATCGGCTGCACAGCCAGCCGCAGAGGAGGATCAGCACGAAGCAGAGCGCGCCGAGGGGAAATTGGAACAGGATTGATTGGAGGGTGCTGTAGCCGAAGGTGGAGACAATGAGGGGACCGAAGCCTGAAACCGCGCCGTTCACAGTGTAGCTGGAGGCCGGGATCAGTATAGGCGCAGGTGCTTTGAGGGAAGTGGGTGGAGAATGGGGTTGACTTACGCGGAGGCCATCATTAGCGCCACGAGCCACACCTTGACATCGAGGAGCGCTTCGAGCAGCTGCGACTTTTTTATCTTTTGGCACCGCACTCCGGTCTGGCCTTTCCGCAGGCGCTCGACGGCTATGATGCGCTCTTCTGGCGTGAGGAACCATGCCGAGACGGGCGAGTTCGGCACCGCGAAGCACCACAGTCCGAAGAGAATGGTTAGCACGCCAGCCAGGAGGTAGATATACTGCCATCTCTTCAAGCTACCGCCGTCAATCTGCGCGAACCCGTAGTTAAGCCCCCCTCCGATGATAGTGAAAAGGCCTGTGCTCGAGAACCACCAGCTCTGCCGTAGGGCTTGCTCCTCTTGCGTGTAGTAGCCACTGATGATGCACATGAAGCCCGTGGGGATGATGCTCTCGACGAAGCCGAGGAAGAAACGTTGGGCGTATAGGCCCCGCCAGGAGGTCACGGCTGCGGTCAGCATGCATACCACGCCCCAGATGATTACGACTCCGCCGAGAATGCGGCCTAGGTTGAAGCGCTGTAGGGCGAAGGTCATGGGGTAGAGGCCGGCGAGCATGCCGAAGTAGAACTGGAATTGTCGTTAGATTCGTGGAGAGGTTATGGTGGACGGGTGGGGACATACCAAAGAAGTCGCCCAACTTAACCGGGTGGTATCGGTCGTTGGCGGAGTCGTTGAGTTGTCTACCAAAGCAAGAGAAAGGTCCCTTGTCATACCGAAGAGCACGGCACTGCCCAGTATGGCCTGGAGACATGTCAAACCAAAGACCATTCTTTAGAGCGCACACAAACGTACCTTGTCATAGTACACCAACCCATAGCCTATCAATCAAGGTCAGGTCAATGGATCGCGGCAGGACTGGAGAAGAGTCCATAACGATACCGACAATCATCGCAGGTATCAGAAACAGATCGATCTTTCTCACAACCCGCGCCTCAGCCACAGGATCAATGGCCTGGGCATGCTCTCCCACCAAGGCGAGAGCGACATCCTTGTCCGTTGATTGCGTATCGGAGTCATTCTCAAGGTCTCGAACATTCGCATGAGAAGGCGCTTGGCCTGGAGGTTTCTCCCCGTGGCCAGCAAAGTGAGCCATGACTGAAAAATTAATGAGGAAGAAATTATTTGGATGACAGAGGAAAATTGAGGCTCCCCGCGCTCAACGCCCATTGACTCTAGCGGCCGCGTCTAGCCTGTCGATCAACGGTGAGGCTGGAAGCAGGGAAAGTGATTGATCGGGCATTCGGAAACGGCTACTGCAGGCCTGATTGGCTCGCATGAAGAAGGGTCATGGTTATGAAAGATGATAAGAGGCTCCGAGGCCCTAGGCTCGGAAGTCCAGTCCCGCAACAATTCGTGCTGTACTGATAAATTTAGGTGAGGCGGCGGAACTCCAGGTATGGCACCAAACTTTTGAGCTCAAGCCTTGCTCTCACAGGCCATGCTCATTCTGGGAGAATGGCTGTTGATAACCATCGACTGTCGCTGTGGTGGAAAGCCAAGAGCTGACTAAGCTCGGTTACAGCTGTCAGGTGACGACTGGCTTGAGGTTATTCGAACGTTGTGGGATGCGGAAAACTCTATCCACCAACCGTCAGGTTGGAGAAGGGTGCTCTTGTCTTGTCATTGCCCTAGTTGTCGTCTGACTTTGGCGTTGTCCCCAGGAGGTGAAAACACTTGATGTGTCGCCAGCGGCCAGATCACCTCTGATGCCGTGTCAACTAACTCGTTTACTTCAAGGGACGCACAGTGCCGCAGAGAAGCTTTCCCGATCCAACCCAGACAGCCGAATGGCATTCGCGGATAGTCTCCTGCCTCGCTCGGTCACTGCCGCCTCATGGTTTGATCTTGAGCTGGATGCACTGACATGTGTACGAGACGAGAGGGACTCGACGGTCTTTGAGTACGAGAAGGCTAAAAGCTTACCAGCGGCCTGTTCGTAATTTATCAGTCGAGACAGAAGTAGCCGTGAGCTGTAGAAGCCGATTTGACGCTGCCTCCGGCTATACTCTGTGGTGTGGCGAGGCTGTGGGATTGTTGGCGCCCTACATTGTCGGTATGCGTGAGCTGGATATCTTGTCTATAGGCTCTAGCATCGCTGAACGTGAGATACGTAAGACATGGTAGACACCTGACGGCACACGATGATGTGTAGCCGCACCGTAAGACCTTGTAGTAGAAAGAATAGGCATGCCTGTTAATTTCGTCTCGACCCTCTAGTAATTCCTGACCAAAGTCTACTGTGAACATTCTCGTGCTGTAATCTCGAATATATGCGGTAGATAAGCTTGCGGAGTTCGGCAACGTGAGACCCGATTTGCAGGGCGTCCGATTCTGCTTCCTTCGAGCTTGCTACAAGACACTTTACAGTTCCAGTCATCCAGGAAACTCCGCAGCACAACTGTTAGAATCTCTACACCTCGTCCAGTCTCAAGCCGGATCTCGCAAGCTCCAGAATTGCAGAGGCTTCGCGCTGCTCTCAGCACTCTCGCCATGCCTCGCTTCTGGCTCGCTGAACCTCCTGCCCTGTTGCGGCTCTTGAGCTGGTCGATTTATATCCTCGCTGTTGGTACATTCGTAGCGACGATCTGCCGGCCCATGTTCCTCAGTATGTTTGATCCTACTTGGAAACCGTTCTGAGAAGTTCGTTATCCGAGAACACCAGCTGAATCACTATAGATGACGACGTGCCAACCTACTGCACCGCTCTGCTCAATCATGGCCAGTGGCTCGACAACGAGTTCCAGAACTGGCAGCCCCCAGGATGCATGCTCCACAAGTACGAGGCCAACGACATAGCAAGCTGCCTGAACTCTCAGAGGATACTCTTTGTAGGAGATTCGACAGTCCGCCAGGTCTTCTGGGCTGCTGCAAGGAAGCTTGCAAAGCATGATGCCGACAAACACAAGGAGAGGGCTCAGAAACACAGCTCGTACAGCTACACAAGGAGGAACGTTACGCTGGAGTTCTGGTGGGACCCTTTCCTCAACAGCACGGCCTTGAAGGTCGAGCTACGGTCACGCCACAACCAACTTGAAGGAGTTCTACCTTCGTCAATCGAGCAGCAAGACGGGGGAACTGCTATGCTCCTCGGCACTGGTCTTTGGCATGCGCGGCACCTTGGTCATGAAGCACTTCAGCAGTTCCAGCGCAGCATTAACGATACCGTTGCCGAGATTTGGTCCCAGGGTTCTAATTTCAACCAGCGTCACAGCCGTATCAGCGCCGCAAACGGCGTGCGGGATCGTGTACTCATTGCTCCGGTGGAGGTTCCTCTATACGAAAAGCTATCTCCGGATCGAGGCCGAGCTTTGGTTCCTGGAGTGATTGAGGAGATGAATCTTCATTTGGAGCAGCTCTCGTTGCATCACGGCGTCCCTACCATGTGGGCTTTCAAGGACATGACGTCCGGGCGCATCGCCGCTTACGAGGAGAGTGGTGTCCATGTGACTGATGTGGTAGCTGCGCAGAGGGCGGATGTGCTCTTCAACATGCTCTGCAACACGAAAGCGGCACAAGCGGGCGTTTATCCACTCGACGGAACTTGCTGCGTGCTGCCTAAGGCCAAGTCCTTATGGAGAGCTTCCCTAGCCGTTTGGATCGTTGTTTTCGTACGACTGACTTCCAACGCTGCACTCTCTTGGCCTGGGTTGACGGTTCTGCTCGCCGCGGGTTTTGCCAGCATGGCAGACCGTACACCGATGTTCAACAAAGTGCAAAAGCAGTACTCGGAGTTCGACTTCCTGGTACTTACAGGCGTGGGCTTCTTGTTGGGCTTCCTTACCATGCAGCCGTCATCATCTTCCTCAAGGCGGAAATGGTGTAGCCCGTCCAACGGCCTCCAGTCCTTCCTCTCAAGGGACCAAACAGACGAATGGAAGGGGTGGATGCAGCTCGTCATCCTTGTTTATCACTACACCGGCGCATCCAAGGAGCTCTGGATCTACAAGGCGGTACGGGTTCTCGTGGCATCGTACCTCTTCCTTACTGGGTATGGGCATACGAAGTACTTCTACGAGAAGGATGACTATTCTTTCCGCCGAGTTGCTGCTGTTCTCATTCGGTTGAATCTCCTCTCTTGCATACTCCCGTACATTATGTCAACGGAGTATATCTTCTACTACTTCGCGCCGCTCGCTAGCTTCTGGTTCCTCGTTGTCTATGCCATTCTCCGGATTGACCGATCACACAACCACCTATGGCAATTTCTGACGGCCAAGATCCTGGTTTCAGCAGTTCTGGTCTCAGCTTTCTTCCACACGCCGGGGCTGCTGGAAGCCGTGTTTACTTTCCTCCGGACTACTTGTCGCATACACTGGAGCGTATACGAAGTCCGGTTCCGGTTCGGTCTTGATCAGTACATTGTCTTCGTTGGCATGCTGACCGCTGTTATTCATTCTCGTATCATTCTAGCTCGGTCTTCCATTCGGCAGAAAGAAAGCCCGGCTTTTGACCCTGCCCAGCGCCATTCGTTCTTCTTGCCACTACTACTCGCAACATTTGCCACGACAATCCTCGTTGGATACAGCATCGTGGCGTGGCAATTTCCAAACAAGTTCGATTACAACCTGTGGCATCCTTACATCAGCTTTCTCCCTGTACTCGCATACGCCATCTTCCGCAATTCGCATCCTGTCCTCGCGGCTTACCACTCGAGGGCTTTCACATGGCTTGGCCGCTGTTCTCTAGAGACGTTCACGCTGCAGTATCATATCTGGCTCGCCGGCGACACGAAAGGTCTGTTGAGTACCGGACTCTTCCGTGGCGACGGAACCTTTTTTGGAGACAGGTGGCGGGATTTTGTACTGCTGACTCCCGTCTTCCTCTTCGTCAGCTGGAAGGTCTCGAATGCTACCACAGTGGTCATGAACTTGATCATTAAAGATGCGGAGGAGAAGGCCAGTCAGGGAAGCCTCAAGTCGGATGCATCAAAGTTGCCTGAGCACAACTCGGAGTGCCCGGACGCGACACCATCCAATCCCGGTGGTTACCTGTGTTCTATCTTCGGACGACTAGGCCGAATTCTGTGGCCAGGCAACCTCCATGGACGGATCTTGATCCTGCTCGGTGTCATGTGGGTGTGCAATTGGACGACCTCGCCAGCTCAGCGCCGTCCATAGCTCAGGTCACCGAAGAACTAATCTGAGTCCGCATATATCCCTCTTCGAGGTTTTGTAGAGCTGCGATTAGGCTGCCGCTCTCAAGACCTATGTCTTATGACCCATGTCGTAAAAGCGTACACATGATTTACTGAATTGCTTTTCTTCGCTGATGTTAGATTCATTTTCAGCTCAATTTATAAGATGTACGCTCCATCACTTTCTAGACTGTATATGCCTAGCTCATCTTCTACTGTTTCAAAGCGTCGCTAGTTTAACCCCACTCCGCTAGCCTTTTCGATGAGTTCCGCATTTGCTGCAACGGTTACGTGCATCTCACTTCGTATACTCTCTCCCTCACCGCTTAGTCTCATCACAACAAAACGCCGCATGTGTGGACAGCAAGCCTCCGAAGAAAAGCCGAGACGTGCATGCCCGTGAACTCTTGCTGCCTGGCTGTGTAACATCTGGTTGCTTTTCCATCCAAGCACAAATATTTCCGAAACCATCCCCCTTTTTGCCATCCTTCACATTCTACACCCTTATTGCAAATTGACAGCTATGGGCCGGCGGCATCAGTTGTTCGTTATTGCTAAGATAGCGGGTCGGTACCGCTGCCTTGCGGCTGCGCATCATCAGTGGCTCTACGGCTCCCGAGCTCTGGGTAGTAAGTGGCTCTTCAATCTACGATTATCCGTTTCTTATCAGCATGGAGTAACGATAGAGGCGGAACTGCCGTTATCAACAGCTCGGCACTCTCGTGACTTAGCCAGCTGTAATATCCTGGACATGATCGTTTCCGGACTTCACTTGGATTGGATATGACATCTTATATGCAGAACCGGACTGGTGTTTTGCCGGTTGTAACTCCACCTCAGTCGCAACTTTATGCCAAACGGGTCAGCTTCGCCGGCTTACTTTGTTATTCAGGCTGCCTCAACCTTCTCCGGTACTTCCAGTCACCGGCTAACCGAAAGCTCCTTTCGCACGAAGTCAGCAACGCACGAAGCACCTCTGAAGAGACATGGGAAACGTCCCCAGACCGGCAACACAAGGGGGACGCGCAATTTCCATTCATCCAAACATGCGTCACGCTCGGCGCTGGTCTGAACATCGAAGACGGTTACGAAGCGACAGTCTCCGTTCTGCCCTTCAATATCGACATCTCTGAGTGCGACAACAACGACGGCTTTACAGTCATCGACGTCTCGAGTCCGGACCGTGTGAGGTATTGCTTTTTCGTTGCCGGTGATTTAGAGACGGCCGAGTACCGGCATAAGCAAGAACTGGCGGACGAGGACGGGGACGGGAGTTCAGAATGGTTGGAGCCAACCAAAGAAGACATAATCCCTCGGTTGGTACCATTGAAAGCCGAACAATACCTATCAGGATACTATTTCAGAGAGTCGAAAGATTGGTCGGCGACCATGGACGAGAAACTTCAATCCTTTAAGAGCTGGCCACTTGTCGATGCCGCGGCTTTGAAGGAGACGTGGCCTGGGCATCCTTGGGACGACGATGTGGAAGAAGAACAGAGTGACCGGTCTTCTCCCGCGGGCACCACGCTGTCTCTCCGCGATGCCTCCATGCAAAAGCTTATTGACGAAGCTCTTCACGACCCCAAGAACGGCGATTGGATTCAAGAAGTTGAGTGCCTGCCCGACTTTATCCCGACTTTGAGGAACTATCTGTACAAGCATCCTGAGTCGGTTCACACTATGCCTGGAGGCCTGACACTTCTGCGCAAGTGCCTTGCACAATCAAGGGACGTTGATCTAAGCTCTTTCAGCCAGCTTTCTACAGAGACGATCCGCGAGCTCATTGCCAGCATCTCAACAACCGTAGAGCAGCTTGACCTCTCGGGCACAAACGCTTCGGAGGAACTATTACGAGAAATCTTACGCATAACGCAATTAACAGAACTCACGGTCACGCAAAACCCCGTCCTTCAATTAAAAACTGTCTTGGACTCGATCAAGCAGACAGGGCACCAGCACCAATTGCAGTGAACCACCCCGAGCTCTTCAGCGCACCCTTCCAGGAGCCGTCAAAGATCACACACCACGACTTCCCCGTTGGTCGTGGAACCGCATTTCCTGTGGTGCAGCTGATATTCATGAGTACCGAAGGCGAAAACCTATCCAAATCGATCAGTGAAGGGGTGCCATGGACTCGGCTGATCTCCGAGAATCACGAAGATCCGTGGGCGCCTTATCAGCCCCTCATGTGCTGTGCCATGGATGTGCGAGATGCGCTCGTTTCGCCAAGAAAGGCCATCTTGGGGACTGCACGCTACATGAGGCTGATTGGGAATACGAGGATGCATTCCAGCGTCTCCGAAGCTCTCACCGGCGCAGCAAAGTGTTTTGCATTGTCGTCCGATGTGAGAGACCACGATCTTCTAGACCTCCTGTAGTTGACACATGCTGACCGCGCTGAGCAGGACGAGCGGAAAGTCAGTCCGATTCCTGGTGAGCTGTACAGAACCGGCAAAACACTGTATCATACCAGCTGGGAGCTGCCTCTTGAGTTTCAGGAGATCAAGACCGGAGAGTGGACGGTGCTGGTCGTGCGCATTCGGACCAACTATATGCGGTCGTTAAACAGACCAGACGTACAGAGCCTTGGATACGCTTTTGTTTCCGCTGACGACGATGGAAATACCATAGCAGTCGACCTGCTCGGTTTTCTGGAGTCGGTTGCGGGAACGGACGCTGCTATTTCATCCATGTCCACCAGGCTTGCAGAAATCTGGGACAACGAAATGAATCTTCTCAGACAGGCTGTCGCCAAGAACGCCGAGAGGAGATCCGGAGAGGAAGCGTTGGACACAGATGTCGTCCGTGTGTGCGGTACCCAAGAGGTCGAGGAGGTCCTGAAGGTTATGCAAGAGTATAAAGTCCGACGAGAACGGGGTCTAGAGGGAATCAGAGGTCTCATGGCCGCTCACTATAACCCAGAGCGGCGACGGAAAGTACCACCGACACAGAGGTTGATTGAGCGATGATGAGAGGGCTAGGAGTAAGGTCCTCATTTCGGATTACTGTATCACAATTGGCAACTAGAGGAAGAAGGAAATGAATAACACGGCGAAGTCTCAACGGAAGTTTGGTTGCATGTTTGCTGTTAGTATGCTCGCCCGCTGCAGTCAACTATCAGCCAAACTACCGTATTGTAGTTCAGCTTAAGCCGTCTTGATCTTCATCAAAATCGTTCGCTTCACCTGAAACTCAAATACATGCTACTGTCTGATGTCCATTACTACTTCTTACCACTCGCAAGATTCCTTGACCACCGTCCTACTAAGGGCTAAGAACAGAGCTTGCGTCTACACACACATCCGGAATCCACGTGGGTCCGAGTATGAGGTTGCAGGCATTGAAGCGGAAGGCCTCGGCAGACAGGGATAAAATTAGAATCTTTCCCACATCGGGATAGTCCCGCACCCCACGCCGCGCCATCTCCGCCTTGTCGCGCTAGTTAAATCACACCTCAGAACCTCGTCACCTCCAGCGTGGTCCGCAGCTTCAAACAGCATCGTCTGCAGCATTCCGTCTTCTACCCTCAACCATCACTCGCGTGAACGGCTTGGGCAGCTGTCCTTGGACTTTGCACCTTAGAAGGGGGTGCTTGAGATTCGAACCAGAACAGATTTCCTTGCCGCGGAGCAAACCGACTCATTACTTGTCTTTGGCTCTTAGCGGATGTGGCGGGATAAGCTTGAGGGAATTTCATGCTGTTGCTAAAGTGGTCCCAGAAGCCGGCCCGGAACACTTCCTAGCCGTGCTGTAGAGAGCAGGCGACCTCGAGCCTCATGCCCCTGACGATCAAAGTCGCCAACCACTTATTCCCCTTGCTTGGCATGCAATGATGCTTAAAATGCCATTCGTGGCTGTCACGACCCGCACGGGTGCATCCTCATCCACCTCACTGGCTCGCTCCACGGCTTCGTGTCTGACCCTGTGGCCCTCATAGGCTACGGAGTTTATCCCTAGTGCACTCGTACAAAGCCCTACAGAGAAAGAGGGTCGCCCTACACAACGTTGCCCACGTCTTCCACCACTACCAGTGGTATGGAAAGACCCTCGTTCTTCCAACATCGACGATCCTTTGTACCGGATGCAACCGGCAAAGCTCACCATCGCCAGATGCTTCAACACACCGATATCAAGGTGACGCATAGACCAAGCTTCCTACCATCATTCTGGCAAAAACAGGCAATGTTCCTCGACTGACTTCGTACGCGTGCCCTCGTAGCCGGATGTGCTGGTAGCACGATCTTGGTTTGGCAGGCGATCAGGTACCTGCTCAGCCGGTTTCATCAGGGGATTCTGCATAGGACTCACGCACAGTCACGCACCTCAAGCTTTGACATTCGTATGGTTGGGGCATCGAAGAAATCACTCAAGAGCTTCGTCACACCGACCACGCAAGCTGCACCTCTGGATTACAAGCTATGATGTGAACCTGACGCTTCGTGGGGCACAGAGTGTAGCATATATGCCCGCTCGATTCCCACTTGGGCTCACCATTATCCAAATCTCACATCGAATACCTCGAAGCACACCCACTGATATCCAATATGCCGCGAGGAGTTGAACAAGTTCAGGCAGCCATCGAGGCACACTCCCTCGCCAACATCGATGACTATGTCAAGACCAGCACCATGCACCCGGAGCTTGAAGAGGTGAGCATCCATCCTCAACGGAACACAACTTCATTGCGGCGCTGACTGTTGCGTAGGCCGTCCAGCACCACATCCTTCTCGAGCTGAAAAGCTGGTTCTTCTTCCGCAAGCTGTCTTGCGACTGTGCCCGTGCCAATATAGCTTTGCACGGCTTTAATCTGTGAGTACCGAGTTGTCCTCCCTATTACCTGTCAACTACGCATCACTGATAATCATCCAGGCTTTTCAAGCGTTGTGCCATTGAGTGCTTCGCGGACGCCAACTGGCTCGAATGCTATCTCGTTCAGCGCGGCGGCATCTGCAGGCCCGTCGACATCCCGGCCCCGACCGTCGCCTTCCCCGACGACCCAGTCGACCCCGTGCAGCCCGTCTACGAGGCCCTCCGAGTCGAAAAGGCCATCCTGGAGGACGCGATCCGCCTGTGTAAGCTCGCCGACAAGCACGGCGACTATCCGCTGGACGATGCAATTGAGACGCGCTTCCTGAAGAAGGAGACGAAGCATGTCAAGGACATGGGAGATCTGCTGCAGCAGTGTGTCAGGGTCTCGAAGGATGTGGGCCATGGTGTCTACCATCTCGACAAGGAGTTGCGCTGGAAGAAGGGCATTACGCCGTGGGCGAAGGAGAACAATCCCGACAACAATGACTTGCTTCTCAAGGAGGCTGCTAAGGACTTGCATGATCCACTGTTGTATCCTCAGTGATTGGGGGCGGTCGAATGATTGAGGGTTGTGGTGGTCATCCAGGGTGAGGAAAGCTGTAGGCAGCGGCGGAAAATGGTGGCTGGCAAGGAAAAGTCTTCACATTGTATCAGGACTCAGCTGTAGCTCACATACCCTGTAGCTGTAATGCAGACTGAAAGTTTACTGTTGCAGCTTGATCATGATTCTTCATCTCCGTTTTACTACACGTGACCTGACAGCACTTGAGTGACACGAATACCGAACGGCCTTACCACACACCGTACGAAGCCTCACCTACAACGTCAAGGGTTTCTGTTCAATGCCAACAATATCTCATCATTCCGCCTGCGTCCCCGTCCCCCCGAACTCAGCGGGCAGATCATTGAACCGCCTCACATCTAACGTGGGATAATTGCTCTCCCTGACGTTAACATGCATAGTCGGCTGCCACTCAAACGACGAAAACACGGTCGGGAACGTCCCGCAGAGCTTCAAGCCCGCCGCTTCGTTCCACACGCTGTTGAACAGCCGCGTCCCGCAGCAGGTCGCGAAGTAGCGGCGCACCTCGGGCGTGCGGTGGACATATGAGAGCAGGGACGCGCCTGCGGTGACCTTGGCGGCGTGAATTGTGGTGTCATGGAAACGAGAATGAATGGGGAAAAGGGGAGGGGTGAGAGCGACTGGTCAATACAGGAAGCCTCGCGCTGTGCACTGAGTAAACGCATACACACCTTTATCGACATCTCGCCTGTCTCCTCGGTAAGGTTCAGCAGCGGAAACATCATGTACGGCACGCTGCCCACCGAGTGCCACTCCCGGCAGTCGGTGCAGTGGCACACGACTGATATAGCGGGCTCAGAGTCAAGCGGAAGCTCTAGCTGCACGGCGCCGCAGAAGCAGGTCCCGCACGCGATGGTAGAGCGGTCTGCTGCTGGAGTAGATGAGGTCGGAATGGGCACCGGATACCGCGAGTCGTTTGCTTGAGCGGTGGGGCCGGAGAGGATGCCGCGGACGAACATGGGCTCTGCTTGGGCCATACGGCGCGGGTGGTGGGCGGTCCAGTTCGCTTCGACTGTGGAGCCCATGGTGGGGTTTACTCTAGGGGTGTGGAGGAGACAATGGAGCTGAAAGGAGTGATGGAGCTGGGTTTGAGAGTTCACTTGCCCGGCGGGCTCATATCAAAGTTATACACGGTCTCGGCTTCACCCTGATATACCCTCGAAGGGCTAAGGGCGCTCCTGCTCGAGGATTACCAATACATAATCTTGCTTACCAAGACGTTCGAAGCTGCGGGTGAACCTGATGGGACTTAGGATGTCGGAACGTATGTGAGTATAAGGCATGAGATCGGCTACGGCATATAACTCTTAAGAGGGGTACATTGGTTCTAAGTGGTGAGCTTCAGGACAGCAGCGACGAGGCTGAAAGACGAGATGAGGTTGGAACAAGCTCCGTTGGCGTTTCGCCGGACTCACTAGTACAAGTCCCTAACAACAAGCTCTTCGATGCTCGCCTTGTCGTGCTGGCATCAAGATCATCTCACACCCATGCGGGCCATGCAGTCAACCTCAATGCATGTGAGGACTTCGTCAGACACACAAGCTGGGCGCCTAGCGCCGCCCTTTCCAAGCAAGGACTGAATGGGGCCGCGAGGCTGCATAGACATAGGAGACGAAAGATAAAGGCCACTAACTCCCCTCCTCAAATGTTCGACGACTTCTGCTCTCAAACTGCTGTGGGCAACCGCCATTGGCCCTTTCGTGCAGCTCAGCCTCGCCAAAGACCGCCCCGTGTTTCGCCCTTCCACGTATCCCTGGCGACTATCGACCAACCATGAGCGACAACTACGCCTGGCTCGACCCTTGGCAGCTCTCAGAAGGTGGCCAACCCTTGTAAGTAAAAAAAAAAGACAGGGGCTGACGGAAGGGCAAAACAGCATTACGCCCCGCCCAGAACAGGGTTTCGCACATGTCAGGCTCCCGGATGAGGCTCCATACCAGCCGGCTTGGCAGGGCTGGCCTCCGAATGCTGGATACGACTGTGCTTCAGTTCCAGCGGACATTCCATTAGAACTGCTCGTATCATTCGACGGTCATGAATCAGCACTTCGGACTTCTACAATCCCAGACTCTTGTTATGTCCAGGACACTGCCACAGCTAGGCCGATGTTTCCGGAGCCGCATCAAAACTCCATCGGCAGCGGTTTCTCCATCGCGGAAGCAGATGGTCGTGCCGACCCGCAAAACGTGTCGTCCGCGTGTAATGCGGCAGAAACAGCGTTCTGGACTAGCGGTACTGCAATGCTTGACCCTGTATATACGCAGACCGGGACATTTCACGACCAGTTTCAACATGGGCAAGAGATGGGCACAATAGGCACCGCAGGATCCGTCACTGGTTTTCAATTTGTCAGCGGATGCCGACCAGTTGGGCATCGCGGAGCGGTGTCAGCAGCGCCAAGGTAAGCGGATATCTGGGCAGCTCTATTTGGAAATTCCACTAAGAAACCGTAGTATCACTCAAGAGCCAAGCGAGGCCTCAGATATACCGGGTCTCAAATGCGACTTTCGCGATTGTCGATCGAAGAAGATATTCAAGCGGAAGTATGAGTTGATGCGCCACAAGGGAAAACATCTTCGGACGAAAACTTTCGACTGCCCCGCTGTCAACTGCAAGTATCGTGGGCCGAAAGCGTTCTATCGGATAGACAAGCTGAAGTCTCACATGGACGCTGCTCACGATGAAGACACAATGTTTGCGTGTCCTGTAGAGGGATGCTTGTCAGCTCGTACTCCTTTGCCTCGCGACCTTCTGGTCCTCCATATTCGCAATCACGATCAAGAAGCCAAGGTGAGATCTCGGGTCTATTCTGGCGCCCTCGCGCTTTGCGACAAACTTCGAGTTTGTCCGGTGGGAGAGTGTCGGAAGAAACTGTGGCTGGCTCCGCTGCAGGAACACATTCTACAGCACACCGAAGGTGAACGGCGTGCCTCCTGCACCAAAATTGCTCTTGCTGGATTCGATTCTCTCAGCGGCTACGTGATCTGCCCAGCTCCCAATTGTCCAGTACGCATTCCGGATCTTGCGGCATTCGAAGATCATTTCATCGATCACGTTGCCTCAAACCCGGACCACCTTCGCGCCTGGATGAAGGATGTTTCGCCGTTCGTATACGCGGGGTTCGGGAGAATGGTACCCTGGCAGAGCTGGTGGGTATCTCGCGAACTGGCCTGCCCTACTTGCGGGGCAGTATCAAAGAAGGGGGAAACCACTCATCAACTCGACCTTCTTAAAGATCCGGAGGAATTGCGCGGATGTCGGGAACAAATCCTCAAACTTTACCCCGATTTCGGCTTTCACCCGGTCTTTGATGATGTAATGCCGGTTGTCGGTCGCAGTGCCTATCGGGAGTCTTGATTCAATGGTCAGCACGCCTGAGACCATCTTCAGAACTCTGCTAAAGAACCATCAGGCCGGCACCCCTCCAGTTCGACTGCTCCCCACAAAGCAATCATCTCACGGCCTGATTTTCATTGTGTGGATTGTGATTTCCTCTTGCCAGATTCTCTGCTAGTAGAGGTGTCCGCTCTTTTCCAGTACAGATTTCGGTTATCTCGTCATTTCCATGTGGTCATCGATGCTGCTAGTGGAGTATTACATTATCCGGGGTCCGATATGGTTGTCAGTGTAGGCTAGCAAGCATCTTTGATCAGTACCATCAACTCACTACCCCCCCAACGTGAAATACTATCGCCAACGGCACGGGGTATCCTACCGTCGCTATGCCATAAGTGGCTCCAAAGGGCATGATTCCAACGAGGCCAAGCCAGACCGGTCTTGACCCCTCGCTTCAACTTGATCCCGGAGCAAGGCGAACGAGCTGAACTTGTGTCTAGCGGTGAATCCAAAAACCCTCAAGATCATCAATGATACCATACAGCGTATCATCAGTTGTCATCCGTTGCGGGAAAAACAATCGAAGCTACTGGGAAATCATTATTGTGAACACGTGATATTGATGATCAATTCAGCCACTGCTGAAAGCTTTACTAAGCTCGTGGAAGCACATGGACTGTATATATGCCGAAACTGATGTCCGAAAGGTCATACACGGGTAGAATAAGATCCGTCACCAGAACATATAGAAACCGAAAAGTGCAGCTTGCAGACGGTAGCAATGGATTCACCATGAGACCCGCCGCGAGCCGCATCGGCCGAATGCAAATGGAGAAAAGCTAGGCATTCCACTCAACGGAACCACCGGCCCAAAGATGAAACACTGCAGATGGAACCGAAGATTGAAAACGTATCGGTCACCCGGGGAGCCTTGATGCCTCGAGCATCAGGTCTTGGTTGCAAAAGACGGAAAGCCAGTGACTGAACCCTCCGGAAGGGTAACACCGAATTCGTGGCCTCCACAGGCTGTACTAGGTGCTCCGAATGATAAATCCCTGGCGAAGGGTCGCCAGTTCGCTCCTTAGTCTTTTCTGTACGCCTAGACTTCCGCCATTGTCGGCCCAATCCTTCTGGCCGGCTGTGGTGGCACACAAATACAGACTACTTTGAATCGGGGGCACTTGACCCATCGCCCGTCTTCCGTGGTCTTAATCCTAGAGCGACGGATCTGCGCAGGAGGAATCATATGTCAGTGCCAAGGAGTCAAATAGGAAGTGACTTTGCATACCTTGGGAGATCTGCAGTGGGTACGAACATGCTGCGATTGGCAGACGCTTCTCGGGCCAGGCGCTTCTCTATCGAACGTCGATTTGCCTGCTGCTGAAGAATCATCAGCTGCCAGAAATGGTTGTTCATTGCTTCGCGGCCAGTATTATTGTTGGCTGGGTTACGAGTGCAAATGTTTTGTTCGTGACACGCCGTCGAAAGCTCTTGCCGCTCTTCTGGTGTGAGAATCATCCATTGCAATTGGGAATCTGAGGGTACGGGAAAATCGGCAGCGTCAAGTATGTCGACTGGGATAGGGTAACGAGTGGGGTCTTACTCGTTGCGTGCTATCAAAATCCCTCGTATACTCTTTGGTTTGCGAACTATTGACTGCATTTGATCGTCTCTTTGGGCGTGGGAACCAGTCGTGCCGCCTTCGTCGGCTGTTCCGTGAAGGAGCCCGTCTTGTACTTCACGGGCTATCCGTAGTCGTTTCTGGTTCTGCTGCTCAAGAACCGATAACTGTTCTTCGTAGTCCCGAAGTGCGTTCTGAGCATGTGTCAGCCCTGAGTGGCAACCAGAGAAGGCGGTGGCACATACCGTACAGGGCGTGGAGAAAGCAAGACTAGGATTGGACCGCTTGTGCCTCGTGCGGCGTTCTGTAGGCCTTTGCGGAGGAATATCTTCTTCTACCTGTGGTTGGACAGGATGACTGATCGCGCCGTTTGGTGCCGCCGCCCCCTGCCGCAGCGATGGAGAGCAGTAGGAACCTTGCACTTGAGCTGGCGGGACTTCTGTGGGAACAGGGTACGGTTGAGTATCAAGACTGTATCATGTCGAACCACATCGTCGATCTTGGTCGCGGCAGGTTTGACAGCGGAAGACTCTTGAGCTCTCCCTTATCCAGCCGTCGCATGGCATCTGTTCAGAAAGATTAGAGATCGAGATGGTACAGTCACAGATATATTCTACACCCACATTGTATGAACGACAGTGGCCGCACCGACGACCACCCCCAAATGCAAACACAAAAATATCTTCAGGCGCAGGAGGGGGCGCGCCGCTGCATTTCTGGCCTGTGGAGAAACAGTGTGTGCAGCTGCCGTCATCGACTAGGTACGTGCCGTACTGGAGCGAGCAAGGTACCTTACCACACATCAATTTTCCACAGGCGTTCGAAATCGGATATGTTACAGACCTTCATACCCCTACATGTATGACATTTCTGTGCAGTGATAGTGTCGAAGCGTGGGTCAAAGGGTGCATACTCGGGCCTCCGGTCGATACGCGGGTCAGGCCCGCCCGGAAAGGTAAATCTCGCCAAAGAGGGTTATTCGGTGGAAGCGCCAGACTGGAGGTTGTCCGAAGGCATGCTCTGGCGATAAGCGAGCGGCTTTTCAGGCACCTGCGGAGTTTTTGGCGGAACTCTGGGCGCTTGGGGAGCGAAATTAGTGGTGTCCATCTGAAGTTGCTGCGCCGTGTCTGTGGCAGGATCCTGGAGAGCACTCGATGAGCTAAGCGGTCGGAGTGGCGGATCGATCTCCGGGTAGCCTTTGCTTTCAACAGCGGCGAGATCCTCCCATTTCCCAGGAAAAGCGGCCCGGAACTCGTTTTGCATGTCTTTGTAGAACTTGCGGACAATGGTTTGAGCCACCGCTGGTGAGGGCCGACTTGTGTTGACCGATGATGGACCTTGCGCATCTACTAGGTCTCGAAGAGAACCTTGATCAAGTTGCTGATGCCGCAGGCGTAGATACCGTTCGAGTTTGGTGGCCCGATCGAGCGTGTCAGTCACCAACCGCAATGAGTCATTTCGGAGTTCTGCTTTGACGGTCGAAAGCTTGTCCGCGTTAAAACCTCCGTGAGACCAAGTCCCGCGAGAGATGTTTGGGAATATAGGGGGTGAAACATCTTGGAATCGGGGCGCTGATGATTGCGATAACGTAGCAATAGCTTCGACTGGAACTTGAGCTCGAATCAGATCCAACATCTCCTCGCCTTTCGGCGCAGTTGTGAGATTCTGGTAGCCTTGCTCCGTGACCAAGATATCGTCTTCGATCCTTACACCGCCTATGGGCAAGTACTTCTCCAATACCTCGACATTGATGTACTTGGAGTGGACTGGCGAAGGCAAGTAAATGGTTGATAGAGCATAGCGGGAGAAGTATCTAAGGCTCCGGTTAGCGTCAAGGCATCTTGTGTTCCTTTCATCAGTACTCACATCCCAGGTTCCACTGTCACGACCATACCTTCCTCCAAGGCGCTGCTCTTCGGGTCTGTTGGAGCCCTGCATAATCCAGGCTCGTAAACAGCAGCTATATCCGCCGGCAGTTCAGCCCCCTCGAGCTCGACAAGAGAACTCTCAACTGACTCTTTGCCGGGATAAGACATGAGTGGTACAGCGGAGGCGTCGTGCACTTCAAGACCCATGTGATGACCAAGACCATGGGGAAAGAAAGCCAAGGAAGTCCCGGCCTTGACGATCTCGTCTACCGTACCGTTCTGCAGGATGTTTAGCGCCAGCAGACCTTCGATAGCTATGCGGTGGGCGAGGTAATGAAGCTCGATGAACTTTACACCAGGCTTCAAGCGCTCGATGCAAGCCGTTTGCATCCTTTGAACAAGGTCGTAGATATTTTTGGCCTCTTTCGAGGGCCACTGACCGGACAGGGGAAAGGTTCTCGTCACGTCACTTGCGTAGTTCTGCCACTCGCAGCCAGCATCAAGACACATCAGCTGCCGACCAGCAAGTGGCTCGTCGTTCTTGACATAGTGCAACGTGCTCGCATTCTCCCCGGAAGCGGCGATGATCTCGTAAGCTTGGTTCTTCGCGTCATGGGACACGCAAGTGTCAAGAAAGATGGCTTCAACTTCAGCTTCGTTCTTGAATTTGAGGATGTTGGATAGGACATTCGAGTGGGCTTCGGCGGAAATCTCGTTGGCTCTCCTGATCAGTTTGACCTCATGGGAGTCTTTCCTGACGCGTGCTGCATCCATAGCATGCTGGAGCTTGGTAGCGTCGACCCGATCCATCTTGTTGTGGCCAGGCTCGACGCCTTGACTCGGATGGAGAATGTAAACATTGCCCTTCTCATTGAGCGCTGGCCAGATCAACACTGTTGGCTTGACGAGGTTGGAGTAGTAAACACAATCAACATCATACTTCTCGGTAGCTTCAGTGATGGTGGACCCTCGGCCATTCCAGATGACCTTCTTCGGATCAATTTCGGGTATGTAGAGAACAAGTGCATCTTGCTCGATGTCATACGTGAGATGGCAGTCCGGTTCATCGCAGCCGCTCAGGTAGTAGAAATATCTCCGTTGCCGGAACGGTCGGGGCTGATCGCTGTCTTCGAGAAGCACAGTGGGAACTCCTGGGAGGTAGATCAAACCTTCAGTAACACCCAGCTTGTCCGCAACGCGCTGAGCATGCTGCTTCGCTGTTGGAGCACGTGTCAGCGACTCACAGAAGCAGGTTTACAGAATCACAGACCTGGGTATTTCTCAAGCGGAGTCGAAGCTTCGATGTGAACCCAAAGGTTTCGCTGCTCGTCTTTACATCTCTCAATGAGAGCTTCCATATCAAGAGCTGCCATTCTCTATAGCATCGGCAAGACTAAAACAGGAGAAATGAAGGTGTTGTCATAGAGACTCCCCCTCTTCATCCGACGAGTAGTACGGAGTAGGCACGCGGGATATCACTGTCGTGCAACGGTACTGACATGTACGCCCACTAGAGTAGCGCTCATACCACTTTAGCTGCGGCGCGTCAGGGTGTTCCTCTCAAGTCGCGCCTTCCCCGGCTTGAGGGACGGCACCCATCGTTCTCTCTTTTGTTGTTCGTACATGCATACGGGGCAGAGCAACAGCGATTAACGCCATGAAGCTTGCTTTTCTGCTCGTTCCAAGGCGCTGGCCGTCTTGTAACCACCTTCATCAACTCTCACACCTCATCTACAACCTCCATCACACGTATCTCCTAGCATTGCTCATGGGCTGGTCCCTCACGAACGACTTCAAGTATACGGCCTATATCTACGGCCGACCTACGATCCTCATAGCAAACGATCTCTAGAGACCGCGTTCGCCGGCGGACATTGTGTCTCCTTGCACCTTTGCCCTTGAAGCAAGTGTGGTTACAGCTGCAATCAAGCGCAATGGCTTCATCGACCAGTTTCCCTGACCGCAGCCGGCGAAATACCTCTCCACTGCTCCCAAGTTTGAATCTACTCTGCACCATCATGCTCTCACTATCGGGCCTCCGTAGCACCGACGCTCTCCACCACATGAGGAAACGACCTCTCAGCCAGAAAGCAGAAGCGAATCCGTGGACCGACACACCACTCATAGTCACCAACCGCTGCCCCGAGACGATCTGGCCGGGCATATCTACACAGTCAGGGTATGGCCCTCCACTGAACGGCTTCGAGCTCAAGTCAGGCAGCAGTCAGAACCAGACTGTGTCAGCGGACTGGCAGGGACGGATTTGGGGCAGAACCAACTGCACGTTCAACAATGGTAACGGTGGGGGGAAAGCGTGCGGCTCAGGGGATTGCAACGGCGTTCTGGACTGTAGGGTCGGCGTACGTATATGAACCGTGCGAGACATCTGATTGATGAGGAATCTGCTGACGGTGATGTACAGGGTGACACGCCAGTCACGCTCGCCGAATTCACGTTAAACGCCGGCGACGGCCAAACCTACTACGACATCTCGTTGGTCGACGGCTACAACCTCCCCCTAGCCATCGTGTTACAGCCGCTCGGCAACAGGTCCATGGAGGAGATTCCTCCCAACCTAACGAACCCCTCCTGCATGGCCACCGGTGAGCTCCTCGCCGAGAAGAACTTCTCGCCCTACGACTCCGGCCAGCAGTTCTTCCTAGGCACTACCTCCGCGAACCCGCTACCGTTCGAGAACAGCGTCAGCGTCAACGACGTAATCCGGTGGTGTCCCTGGGATCTGCAGGTCAAACCGCCGACCGCGCCTGGCGACGGCGTGTATCCGTATCCGGACGACATCATGTGGCGGCCGAGCTTCAACCCGTGCTACTCCGCCTGCGCGAAGTGGAACAAGCAGGAGGACTGCTGTACGGGGAGTTATGGGTCGCCGAGCACGTGCCAGCCGAGCGAGTATAGCAGGGCAGCGAAGAGGGTGTGTCCGGATGCTTACAGCTACGGTACGATTTCTCTCCTTTTCTCCTTCCCCTCAGATCTGTCGAGATACTGATCGGACTCATGCTGACACCGGGGTAACCAGCTTTCGACGACCAGACCTCAACATTCATTATCCCCGCCGGCTCCGGCTTCGAAGTCGTCTTCTGTCCCGGCGGCCGCTCGACAAATATCCTAGCCTCCGAGGCCGACCAGCTGAACCAGTTAGCCAACACGGGCCATGTTTCTGGCAGTAATAGTAAGTAGTCGAGCCGCGCACCTCACTCCGGGTAAGGTGACTGCACCACTACGAATCAGATCATGCCCAAGTATTCTTGTTAAAGGTGTGCCTTCATTGAGCACAGGACGGATAGGGTTGGGCAGATTGCTGACTTGGTTCGTAGGTGATGCTGCTTCGGTTCAGGCTCCGGGCATCGGAGAAGGCGGCGCGCCGGAAACTGCGGGGGATAGGTGCCGACGTTGGGAAGAGTAAACAGTGCGGTGTTGACGTGCACGGAGGCGGCTGGACCGTCTCGCGCCAGGGCTACCATTGGAATGTGGTTACGCTGGGCTTTGTAGATTCAAGAGTCGTGGCGTCTTATATACCCTTCTTACCTTTCGATTAATTTCGTCGTGCCGCCGTTGCGTATAGAGCGGTGCCACGGTGTCTTAGCCGGTATGTCATCCTATCTGGCAGCTTCAGTAGTCGCCAGTGTTTCAATGCGACTGGAATTATTTCCCCCCAAGGTCTCCGCTCACGAAAACAACCAATACGGCGGCATAGGCAGCAGTGGCCGCAAAAGTCTCTGCGCGGCTTGCGCTGGTGAGCAGGCCGATGGCGGCCGCGAACAGCGTCGTGAAGGCTGCAATCAAGCCGAGCCTCCACTTCGGAGACGTGATGACATAGAGGGTGACGATAGCTCCTATGAGGAGGGTAGCAGCGAGGAGCGTGCTGATCCAATTCACGAACCGTGCGATGTTGTGCTCGGAGACGTAGGCATGTTGGCCCTCTGCGGGGCGTGTCTGCTATTAATCAGTCTGAAATATGGTTTGTAGAGACGCAAGTTGAGAACTCACTTTGAAAAAGACGGGAAAATGGGTTTGCACGATTGACGTAAGTCTGTCTTGCTGTAGTGGTATTCTGAGAGCGACTAGGTCCCCTTCATCCTCGTAAAGACCGGAACTGTAGCCTCCAAGCAAAGTAAACCCGTCTGGCTTCTCAGATTTTGGATTGAAAAAATGCCGGAGCGCGTCGAGTGTTCTTCGCGACGGCTGTCCGAGAGACGCGACGGAACTCTCGAGTTGCAGCGCTTCGCCTGTTACGGCTGGTCAATTATCTGTCCCTTGCGAGGCACTAGCGTGCAGCAAAGGGACAAACGTACGGTATTCCTTCATTGTAACTCTTATCTTCATCACCAATTCCATCCTCTCCTTCTGTTTCTGATCCGTCTGAGCCTTTTTCTTGAACTCTTGCCAGTTTCTCGCGCATTGCTTGGAAGACAAGTCGTCACTCTGGTCGTTCGCGTCAATTCTGTCATACTCATCCTGTTGCACTTGGAGGTCTTCAAGCTCGCTCTGTAAGTACAGCAGACTGCGTACAGCCAGGCGGTCGAAGCGCTTAAAAACAAGCGCCGTCCTGTCTGGGTCACTGGCAATGAACCTGCTGAGCGATGGATAGCCGTCGAGGGCTTGAAATGCCCCGCGGCGCTCCACGTCCGAGAGTGTTGCCATGAGCTCGCTGGGTATTAGGAAGATTCCTGCAGTGAGCCTTTGAGGCTCAGCAAGTCAGTTGGATAGAATCATCAGCAGGCAAGTGCACTTGCCCCGCAGATGCCGAGTACCTCAGCTGAACGACAATCGACAGTTGGACGGCAAAGTATATCTTTGAGGAACATCACTAAAACGTGACAATGTTTTCAAGTTGCTGCACACCACAAGGCTTTCTTTGAGGAGCTTTTCGCTTTGATTATACGGATCGCTATATACAGCGTTATCACTATATGCTTTGATTTTTGTGGAAACTATAAATGTGTCATTAACGTCTTCCACGGGGTTTCGCACCACCCGTGGCTTTGCACTAAGTTAAGCGTGATACGGCTAGCGCCTCGTTAATAAGCATAGTAACTTGCCGCGCTAGCCTCTTACTAGCTGTATTACTACTTACCTTGTATTCTTAACTAATAATACTAAATATCCTAGTAAGCCGATACTTACTACCCTAAGATTCAAATAGTGTCATAATATAGAAAGGCTTAATACAGGAACTTAATTAATTAGTTAATATAAGACGTTATATAAGGTCTAGAAGATATAGTAAGCTTAATAGAAAGAAAACCCTTTATAAAGAGTATATAACTACAGAATAATAGGAGATCTAAATACTAAGGAATATTAAGTTTAATCTATAATAGTAGCTCTCTTTATTAGCGTTTTATTTCGTAGCTTAACTATTTCTAAGAACCTAGTATATAGTTCTAATTACTTACGTTACTTAGAGATGCCTCTAAGCTATTAGATTTTATTACTAAATTCTTAGAGCTACCTCTAAGCTATTAGATTTCGCTACTAGATTCTTAGAGCTAGCTCTAAGCTATTAGATTTTACTACTAGGTTTTTAGATTCATTAGATTTTACTACTAAATATTTAGATTTACATTGAAGTAGTTAAATTTCACTACTTTTTATACTACTAGTAGTATACTAGATATTATATTATATGGAACCTAATATTTTAGTAAGCTAATTATATATAAGAACTACTTCTAGGTAGTAAAACTAATTATAACCTATAGTTCTTATAGATATAAATATAAATATAAGACCGGCTAGCTATAATCGTTCTATTATATCTCTTATTATAAATATAAATGTATAGAAGATCCACCTAAACCCTTATATAAGAACTCTAAATATATGGCCTAAAATAAAATAACTATAAAAGGTAATAAAGTAGTACCATATCTACTTCTCTGTAGTTTCTAAACTGTTATTAATACTACTTTCACCTGCTATACCTATCTTACTTATAAGGTCTATAAGAAGTACTTGCATTATAACCTTATCTATTACTACCGCCTTAATATTAATAGATAGTATAGTAAACTAGAATATCTAGTAGTTGCACTTCTAACTAGTATAATAAATCCGCTTTATATATTAATCTTTAATAGACTTTACAGATAGCGGCTTAATTAGTATAAGGTAATAAGTTCTATAGAGTGTTAACCCTATACCTAGGACACTAGTTATATCTACTAAGATACTAGGCTGGATATTAGAGGCGAGTATAGCCTCCCTACTAGTACTATATATTACCTCCTCTTAAAAGCCTTTAACTGCCTTTATCCGGTCTATTATATATATATAAAATCCGTAAAAGTAGCTCTTGCGAGCTAGATAGTGCTTAGAGAGCTATTTATAGAGCACTAGCGCGACGATAGGGAATTTAGTAAGAATTATAAGCTTTTACTATCTTATATTCTCGCCTATAAGGTCCGTTTCCTTCTATTCTATCTTAGTTAGGATATTAACAAGTAGTGGTATCTTTAGACTAGATATAGTGATTTAGTTAATATTCCTATAAATAATATTACTTTATCCTTTTATAGCTAGCTATTTTTTATCTAAGGTAAGCTCTAGCTATTAGGGAAGAAATTATCTAGAGTGCTATATATATCCGAGCTTTAGAAAGAAATAGATTAGCTATATTATCTACTAGTTAACTTTTACCGCGCCTACTATAGTTATTTTTTCTTCTTTTAATCCCGCCTTTCTTTACACTATAAGAGTAATCTAGTACTTCTATTATAATACTCGCTTCAGCTCTACTATATACTAGTTAAAGTAATTCTTTACTATACTAGTTAGTTTATATAGAATATCTTATCTATTAAGGACAGGCAGCTTAACTAGTAGCTCCTTATTAATACCCACTAAATTAGTAGTCTGATAGATTATAAAGTAGGCTAGTATATCTCTCTATTATCCTACTAAATCTATAATCTATTATAGTCTTTTTTAAGAATTCATATCTATTGCCTTAGAGAGTTAGTTAAAGCTACACTAAATAGTAAGGAAGTTAGTTATTAAGTATACTCTTTAAATCTCTACTAGATCTAGCTTATTATCTTTCTTTATAAGGACTATCTATCTCTTCTTTAACTAGATTGCGTAGTTAAGTGTATTCCTTAGTCCCTACTTCTATAGTATTCCTAATATTAGGAAAAGAAATATATTACTATTAACTCTTCTCTTAAGAATATTATTATATACACTTTAAGTATATTTAGTTTAGTGAATTTCGTCTATATAAACGAATAACTATAATATAAAGAGCCTTTAGTGTTCTATTATATTTAAGTATTATGCTCTTTCTTTTCTGACTTACTCTTAATTAACCCGCCTAATATATATGTAGATATACTTCTAGTAGTATTCTATTATAGTAATAATAATACTATGTATCTACCTATTAATGGGTTAACTATTTTTAAGTACTTAAACTATAGTAATATTCTTTAAGATTAAGAAGATTATACTAGCTAAAGTATACGCCTATTTAAAGCGTATAGAAGTAGGCCTAGAATGCTTTATATTAAAGAACTTAGTAAACTTATTATACTAATTTTAAATAAATTCTACTAGTATAATAACTAGCTTGAGGCTAGATATGAAATACACCTCTTCTAGTAAGCTATTTATCTTATATATACATGATAGCTACTATTTAGTAGCTAATAGATATAATTCTATCTCTCCTTCTATAAGATACCTCTTATCGCTCTACTTATAAGACTTCTTAATATCGCGGACGTTAAGCTTATAAAGTATTTCAATAAAAGCATATACGAGGTATAGAATAGTCTTTTCTAAACCCTACTTATTCCTAATAAACGCGCTACTAAACTTATCTACTTACTCTATCTTCTAGATAATTGTAACAAGATACTATCACGAGATAATAGAAGTTACTATAATAGCTAGAGTTCTAATCAAGAAGATAGAGAATTGTGCTGAGATATAGTTAATAAGATAAGGATTAATATTATAGAGTGAGATTAGATTAAATTATAAAGAATACAGGATTCTTATTTAAATTAAGTATACTACTCTAGAGAACAAGAGTAGTATCTCCTATATACTAATTAGTGCTCTTTATAGCTAGCCGTAGCTAGTAGTACTAGTACTAGTATTATCTACTAGCTCTACTATCTCTCCCTTACATATAACTCCTTACTAGTAGTAGCTAGTAGTTATATAATAGCTAGCTAGTGCTAGCTATTATTCGGCTTTATACTAGTAGCGCTAGTTCTATTCTATAAGATTATAATACTAGCTTCTCCTTCTAAAGCGCTTTACTCTTAAAGGTTTAGGCTAAATGATATAAGCTATAGAGTGCTAGTATTAAGATATTATCTCTTTACTATACCCCTAGTTCGTAAAAATCCTTTTATAAATTATAAGACTACTTCTATAGAATAAGCTAATACTCTTACTACTATTCTTTAAATTACTAGTCCTACTATACCTACCTCGTGCTCTTATTATCGAACTAATAAGGTAGTCTATAAGGTTAACCTTTCTATAGGCTGTTATACTAAGTATATTATAAAAGGTTGAAAATATAACTTAGTAGTAACCTAAGTCGAGTATCTATTATTTCTTCTATAATTACTTACTCACTTACTTTTTATTAGAGGTATAGTTACTAGATAAGCGGGAGCGTCTCTATAAAGAGTATAAGAAGGCTGAAAGTACTTTATTAGCTACTATTTCCTAGAAACTCTAGACTAAAGCTAAATAGAGATACTATAAGAAGAAAGAGTCTAAAATAGTCTACTAGAAACTCGCTTCTCTTAATAAGATCTATAAGCTAGAGAATAGATAATAATAACTTAAGTAGAAGTCTAGTGCCTTTAATCTTTCTTTAATTTCTAGCAACCTTTCTTTATTACCTACTACTTAGATAGAGCTAGACCTTAGCTTTCTATTTACTAATTTTACTTATATTTCTTAATTACCTCTTCGCTTCTATTAAGGTTAGTATATAGTTTCTATATATTTTCTAAGTCTAGATAGCCCTTCCACTCTATAAAGTACCTTTATATACTATTATTAAAGTTAGTGCTATTATCTAAGATCCTTTATACTTTATGTTATTCTTTTTATTTTATTAGATAATTATCTAGTACCTTAGCTAGTATTAGTATCTTAGAAGATACTAGTTCTAATAATAACATATAGTATACTAGGGATATCTTTATTCTCTCTAGTAGCTCTAATTTATAGCTTATATTCTTAATATTTCTAATAATCTTAAAAGATTCTATTCGAATATAGTCTAGTTTTTTGCTTAGCTTTATTATCTTAATATTTTTCTAGAAGAGGTAAATTTAATTTCCCTCTTTAAGTATAGATTCTCTGAATCTATATTTATTATAATAAAATACTAACTATTATAATAAAATACCAACTATTATAATAAAATACTAACTATTATGATAGAAATTTAATATCTTTTTACGGTTTCTAGTATATCTATTATATTTCTTTTATAGTTAGTCTAGCTAATTCTATAAGGATCTAGACTTCTCTAGATTTGTAGATTATCTAGGTGAAGTATCTATAATTAGCGTAAAATAGTATTTATTCTATAGTTTTATTCACGCTTATATTATATACTAGCTATATAAGTAGTAATAGTAATACCTAGTTCGTTAATCTATAGTCTA